TTTATATATTAATTAAAAGCAGCTTTTAACCTATTTATAGCTATTTAAATTTAAAATCCAGATAATACTATATATATTAAACTTAACTATTAACTTTAATAATAAGTATAAAACTTTAGCTATAAACTATAATATATTCCTATTAATTTTATTTTAGCTAAACTTATAGTTTTTATAAATAATTCTTTTATAAATAATTAAAACTTTAGCTTTTAAATTAGCTTTCTAATTATCTTAGTTAATAAAAAAAAAAGTATTAACTTTATAAAATAAAAGATAATTAGCAATATTCTATACTAGTTTTTAACTAAATATAAAAAAATTATATAAAGTATATTTACTTTAGAAATTTATAATATAATTAATAGTTTTAATATAAAAATTATACTTATTATAACTTTTTAATAGATTATAGCTTGCCTTAATATTTTTATAATATTACTAGTAATTTATATAAACTTATACTTTTTTTATAAATATTTTATTAAATTAAAAACTATTAAAAAAAAGCAATTAATAATAAATATAATAATACTTTAATAATTATATAAGTAGTAAAAGATTTATAAGCTATACTAAATTAATAGCAATAATAATTTAATAAATATATTTATTAAAGTTAATTTAAATAAAGCATTTAAATAGCTTATAATTATTAATAAATTAACTATTAAAATTAAGGGCTATATAAATTAAAACTAATTAATTTAGTAAAAGAAAAGATTGTTAAAAGTAAAATTAATTTATAATAATAAAATATACTAGATTTAAATAGTAAAACTTTAGATTAGTTTTATTACTTTTAAACTAGCTTATATTAATTAATAATTTATGCTTTTAGGCTATATTTCCTTAAATTTATTTTAAGGGTATACTTTATAATAAGTTTTTATAGTATAGCTTATATATTAAAGGTTTAAGTAATAAGGGTTATTATTATTTTATAGGCTAAATACTATTTAATATTTAATAAGCATTCTTAATTAAATTTTATAATACTAATATTTATATACTAAAAGTTAATTAGTTAATTAACTAATTTTATATTTTTACTACCTATTACTATTTATTAAATTTACTAAATTTATTAAATTTACTAATTATATTTCTTTTTTTTATTTTATTTTATTTTATTATTACTTAATATTTAGGATAAGATTATATTAGTATTATTAATTAAGCTAGCTAATACTAGCTTAGCTTAAAGGTTTATCTTTATTTATTTATCCCTTAAATAGTAAAATTATAAGTTTATAAATTATTTTAAAATAGAATTATTTATAAAGTAAAAGTAATTATTAGATATTAACTTAAAAAGCAATTCTAATAATAAAAGTATTATGGTAACTTTTATTTAAACTTAGCAAACCTGTTTATTTTAAAGATTTCTGGATAAACTTAGGGAAATTAAATGTTTAAATTATTTAGGCACTTAATTAAAATATATAGATAATTACTTTAATTATTAAAGTTTTAAATTTAAATTATATAAAAAATAGTTTTTAAAAGAGTTTTTAATACTTATAAGTATATATATATACTTAATAAAAAACTGCTAATATATAAATTATAGCGTTAGCATTTATAGCAAGCTAATTAATTTATTAGGCTTATAGCTATAAGTAGGCTTTAGAGGGATATAGCCTTTAGCTGTTTCCTATAACTAAACAAGCAACCTACACCTAAATAAACACTAACATCCCTAAACACGCATTATATTTGAATATGTAACCTAGCTAATATTAGCTATTATAAAAAAAAGGGTTAAAGCAGAATTTAAGGATAGTAAGGGTATTGCTATTAAGTTATACTAATTATATATTAAAGCTAGTTATTAGTAAATATTATAAAATACCTTTTACTAGTTAAGGTTAGTAAAAAAATATATAAATTATTTTAAGGGAGTACTTAACTGCTATAATTTAGTAGAAATACTTTTTATAAGTAAAAGCCTTTTTTTTTTAACTTTTATATATACTTATAAAGTAATTCTTTAAAAGTTGTAAGTAATGCTAATACTATAAGCTAATTTATTGCTTAATAGGCAATTAGTAATTAAAGTTTTTAGTAAGCTATTTAAGGTATAGCCTGTTGCTAGCCTTGTAAACGGTTTATTTATAGTTAAATGCCTTAAGGGTATTAAATTGCTTAATAGAAGCTTATTACCTTTAAACGTTTATAATAAGTTAATTACTGCTTATATACTTATAGCTATATATAGTAATTAAAAACCCTTATAAAAAGCTTATAAGTAGCTAATAGTGTAATAAAAGTGTAATTTAGATATATATTGTAAGGCTAATTATTATTATTATAATAAAAGCAATTCCTTATATTAATAGTATTATATAAGGCGGAATAATATATATATTAACTTAAGTAATAATAATTTATTAAAGTAGGTAAGAGTAATAGTTACCAGTAAAGCTGCTCTTTATAAGCTACTAATAAAGCTTTTTTTTTAATAATAATAATAATAAGCTAAAAGCAATTAAAGTAATAAAGAACTTAATAATAGTAATATTAGCCTTTTACTACTATAAAAAAAGTAAAAAAAAAGGTTTAAGTAAAGAGAAGAGATTTATATAGTAATTAACCTATTAATTAACTTTTATACTTTTAATTTTAGCTATAATTAATTATAATAGCTATTATTAGCACTACTGCTATTATTTAAACTATTATTATTACTACTATTGTTGTATATATTGTAAAGCTTTAAAAAACTACTAATACTACTACTGCTAGTAAAGTGCTCTTTTATAAATTGCTTAGGCAGTTTATTAAAGAAATAAAGGCTTATTATAATATCTTTATTGCTACTTTAAGTTATTAGTAATTAAAAGGTTTTATATAAAGAATTTATATTAAAAATACTATAAAAATACTTTTATATGCCTATAGAAAAAATATAATTAAAAAAGTTGCTAAAGGTAATAAAGTATAAGGGTTTAAATTTATAAGGGCTTTATATTAAAAACAATATTTAGTTTAATAAGAAAAGTTTGTATGTAATTATATTAGTTAGGAAGCTTATAAAGCTGTATTTAAAGGAAAAGGAGGACTTTTTTAGTTTTTTTAAAAATAGTAAGAGTAATAAGGCAGAGGAGGATTTATTATAGCTATAAGGGTTATAAATATTGCTAAACCTATTAATAGTTATAAATAAATATTTAAATAAGTTTTTTAATAGCTTTTAAGTAAAGGAAAGTAGTAATAATAGCTAGAAAGTATTATAAGTAATAAGAAAGGGTGGTTTAGTATAGTTAAAAGGATTTTTTTAGTAAGTAAAGTAGGTATAGGTAGTTAAAAGTAAGTATATATAGTAGGGGGGAAGAAAATTAAGTATATTTACTATAGTATAATCTTTTTTTTACTATAGCACTTAACCTATACTTATAACTTTAATACTATTTTTTTTATTTTATAATTAACCTTTATTATATTATTACTATTTTAAGTTTTTAATATTTTTAATTATTATTAAATTAACTGCTTATTTAAAACCTTTTTATTAGTATTCTTATGTAGTGGAAATGCCTTTATATAGCTTTAGTATAGCGCTTAACTTTTTTTATATAAAAATATAAGAAATTAATAAATTTTTAGTTTAAGTTAAAGTTATTTACCTTAAATTAGTATTAGTGCTTAATATATTTCTTTAGATTACTAAAATAAGCTTTAATTAGATTAAAATTAGGAGAATATAGTAGGAAATATATTAGCTAAATACTTTTTACTTTAATAGTAATATAAATTTACTAATTATAATATTATAAAGCATTATTTATTATAAAAATTAATTATAGGCTTAGGTATAAGTTTATTTATAGCAGAATTTTTTTTACTAATTATTATAAAAAAAACTTTTTTATAATATAGCCTTTGTATATTATAACGTTAAATAAGCTATTAATTATAATTGCTAGTAGTATATAGTAGTAAGCCTTTTGTTTAAGAAGACTTTTTATTTGTAGTATATACTTAATTAGCCTTTAGTTAGTTTTTTTTATACTATTTCTTTTATTAATAGCTAATTTGTTATAGAAAATAAATATTTTAATTATATATAAAGATTTTAAGATTTTATATAAATAATACTTATAAAGGTTTTTATTATGTTAGTAGGCTAGTATATATATTTATTTATTAGACTAATTGTACTTTTTTAGTGTTTTAGTGATAATGCTAGTATAGTAGTTAATTTGGTAGTATTTAAGAAGAAAACTTTATATTTTGTTAAGATATATATTAGGCTTTTTAAGGAAAAGATTTTTAAGCTTTTAGATTATATAAATTGGGTATTAGTTAGGTTAAATAGGATTATTATAGGAAAAATGATTATTAACTTTAAGAGCTTATTGTGTTAAAACAATACTATTTAATAGTGTTAATAAGGGTATATTTAGGGCTATAATACCTATAAGGGTAACCTTTTAGTAATAACGCTTAATTATAGCTCTGCTATAGCGGAATTTAGCTTTAAGCTATTTATTAAGTAGTAAGGGGTTTAAGCGCAGATAAAACTATAATATTTGTAATTTAGTGCTTGATAGTTAGCGGCTAATTATTATAATAGCCTTTTTTTGCTTGATTTAGGTAATTGGAGTGTGTAGGTGATAATGATAAGGGTGTTGAGAAGGGTGTTTATAAGTGCCTGAGCCTGTCTGCAAATTTTGGTGGCTGGCGCAGGACTGACTTAAACAATAGGGGGGGGGGCTTATTTTGCTTTCCACAGACAGCTATTACCCACAAAAAGTCTTGGACACACGTATACCAACACCCGCGTCGACGCCCCGCCACCAACAGGCAGCAATAAATACAAAAGCACTTATACTGACCACCCCCTCACACTACTAGTACGTCTCATAGGTTGAGAAGCAAACTGTCTCGGTCACAAGTCCTGAGGTCAGCACCTGGACTTCAACAAGAACGGAACTTTGGCAAGGTTCTCTACACCTTCAGTGCTCAAACAGCTGAAGGCTGTGTTGTATAATCAGATGGGGATACTTCTATCCAAAACAGGGCCCTTAACCGCCAGTCGCGAAAGAAGGATCTCCGAGGCGACCGATGAGAACTACAGGGACAACATGCAAGCGTGTCTCAAACAGTCGCATTCGGATCCTTCTAAAGATCTCTTTCTGGCCGCCCTGGAGGGAGAGTTGAAGAGTCCTGATAACGCCAAGCACCAAAAGAACATCAAAGCAATGGTTGCTCAAGCGACGGAGTCAGGCCCTCCCAAGCCTAAGCACACCTGGTGGGCATTGGACGGGAAGGTTTATAGTGTTGAAAACAAGAATTTTCAACAGACTATGTCGAAGCACGCCAAACAACAAGATGAGATCTATGCTATGGTAAGACGATACTACAAGCCCTTAGTCTCTGCATGGCTACCATCTGTCGCCTGAGTACATGAAGTTTTCGATGTAACGGCGTTATGTCGGCAGTAATGGTTGGTTGCCATGCGCTCAGGTGCAATTTTGATCACTCTCATCTCGACTACGATGACTAGGTTTGCAAGGCTAACTATCACCAAGGGCTCCGTTAATTTTCAAGGTTGACACAGCCAAGCCAGCAATAATACCGGAGGCAACTCTATTTCTCTGAAACCAGTGAGATACATTGATAGCAATTTCAATCACACTTTGCTAATCTTGTCAACATCAACAAATCAACTGCGGAACAGATGGCCCTAACAGCGGAGTAGAAGCAAAGATATGGTGGAAATCCGTTAGCAATGCACATAGTAAGTTATTTAGGGCCGCTTGCTAGATGACTTTTCGAAGGATCAATACGCTGATCATGCTGTCTTAATCGCACTGCAGATTCACAGCAAGATGCGAATTAGTCCATCTTCTGGGGGTGATAAAGACGATGAGGGGATCTATCTTGCTCTACATGGTATCAATCAGTCAACATGGAACAGGGTTCTCAGGTCCAAGTATACTGGAAAGCTCAGGAAGACAATAATTTCCACTCCTAGAGGTAGCTTTGATTCAATTGCCTATGATGTATAGCTTAGGATGTACAACGATATGGAGCGAACGAAGCCGCTCACTGATTGGTTTGGCGTTGAAAGTCTCGTGAAAGCAGATGATTAGAAACACCTTTCTGGGAGTGAGCTACGCGATCAAGCTATCTTCGCCACGCCGATGGGCAATGAGAAGCTCATTATGGGAACGAGCAAATTAGGTGTCGCCTGGAAAATAGAGCTTGACCACATCGTCGAGTGGTCATGGTCATAGAGGGTACACTTCCGTACTTTGAAATACTGAGTCACGAATTGAGAAGAATTATTGGATCACATGGAGGAAACAGTAAAGGATAGAATGCTATAGAAATGATGTTGTAGATACAATAAAGCGCTGGTAGTTTCACTATCCTCTCTCGCATGATAACACTGAGCAGGGCCAGTGTGGCAAGCTCTCCAGGCTACGATATGTTTTGTTTTCCCTCTTTTCCGTCTCAGGCAAACTCGGTCACGGCTTACTGTTGCTGTGGTGCCTGTCAAGATGCCGTATTTGAGTCTGACCAATAGCATTACACGGATCTGATTCTGGTCATTGATGACCTGCCGCCAATGTCAGATACCAGCAACAAACGCTTAGGCAGACTACAGCAAAGCGAGTTCCGAATTAGTTCCTCGAAAGGTTGTCCCGTGTTTGCTATTTCCAGACCATGATCACATCGGCATGAGGGCCAAGCAGTCAGATACGACAAAGGCTAGAGGATCATAGCGGTCGATACCAAGCCTGCTAACGCTTTAACCATTTTCGGTAATCGTATGCGCCGCGGATACAGAACCAAGATAACTAGGCGAGGTGCATCTGCGATCTACACCTGTAGATAACAGCCCCGATACGGCCGCCGAAACCCCGGGGAGTGTGGCGGCAGATTTCGAGACTATTGATCAATCATGTCTTACTATCCTTCGTCAGGCAATTTGTTTTCCCCAGATGTGCCTCCACTGTACCGCCCACGCCTCAAGCACATGTATCGCCAAGTTGCGGACATGTGTGGCGAGCACGTTGAGGCACCAAACATGTGCGGCACAATTTCCGCCGCCAACATTGTCCGCGGTGTTGTTGCTGGACCGAATATTCTCGGCAAGGTGTTGGAGAATAGTGGTGCGGACTTGGCGACTCGAGTCCTTTCAGAAGAGGTAGCAAGCTCTGCCCCATCCAAAACGATGGTGTACTTGCTCATCATAGGTTCTCTGACGGAATGAGCAACAAGACTTTTTATATGCTCGAGTCTCGGTACACGATTCTCACAGATGATCGGTATCAAATCCTCGTCAACGCAAAAGGTGTTTTCACGCCTGACCCCGGTGTCTTACCCGTGGGCGTGGAAGCGCTTGCATGCCTGCAAAACAAGTGCGAAAATCTCTCACGCCTAACTTATAGCGCCCCTGGAAACAGCCCGTACAGCTGGATGAATAGAATTGAAGCAGTCGGTGTGATTAACAGGTGGGATGGAAAGGCTGTAATCGACGCCTATTGCCTTACAAAGTCTCCAGGGGAGCTAGAGGGCGCGGGAGAAGTATTTGGTGGTCAGTAAGACGAGTAGACCGATTAGTACTAAGGAAAAGTTCTTGATGTAATCTGATTTTGCTTTTGGTCTCTCGATTTGTCTTAATGTGCACTTTGATGCAATACCAAATGGAGACGAGCCATTTTTGTAGAGACTCGGCGAAAAGAATTTTATTGGCATATCAGGATAGATGCAGATTTGGCAATTAGACGACACACGCAATATATAAAACATTAATAGCAATCAGAATCATCAAAGCAGGTAGACCACTGAAAATGTAGTTTATTCGATCGCCCCGGTGCATGCAACCATCTTCCAATCCAGAAATATAAGGCAAAGCACATTGCAACTAAATGTCGCGCGTCTCAAACCACAACAGTGCTCAATTTAATCAACCCGTTACTTCTGCACTCACTTGGCCTTGTGCGGCTATCAATCCACCCTGCTTCTCCAGCAGCTCATAATATCGTGGCGCCAGCGCCCTCCTGATCTTCTTGCCCCAGATGATAAGCGGCACAAACAACATACTGATAACAAATGAGATTATGCCGGCGGCGATGAACATGTTCGAGAGACCGCTGCGCTCCATCCACGGGGTAATAACAAAGGGGATCGGAATACCGACGGCATTGCGCACAAAGGCGATGCCGACGAAGGCTTCGGCTGTCAGCGGGCGATACGCGTCGATGACGAGAGTGAGGGCCGCGTCGCCGATGGCGCCGAGACCAAAGGCGAAGAAGGCGCCACCGATCGAGGGGTAGATCCAATGCATGCCCTGCGGGTCGTACTCATTAGCAACACTTCTCATATCGGGAGAATGAAAAGGACACCTAGAGTGATACTCACCCGGTCCGCAGTTGTCCCGAACATAATAATGCCCCCTGCCATGAATAGAGCAGGTGGCAGCAGCAGATACAGCCGCATCTCGGGCTCGTAGTAACCACCATTGCGCCGCGCAAGCCAGCGCACGGAGCGATCGCTCAATAGCCCGGAATAAAAGCTGCCGATCAGGTTGCCGACGAACGGGCCAAGGTTCATCAGGCCGATGCCATCTGTGTCGAAGTTATACGGCGGCTGAGTGAAGACGATGGGGATGGTTGAGGCCATGATCACGAGCCAGCTTATCCCCGCAGCGTACTGGACGGCGCTGAAGAGAACGTGTGGAAGCAGGATGATGTAGGCCGGGAAGTACGCAATCTTCCAGGGCGACTCCGAGGAGTATGTGATCCAGCGGAGACGCTGGCGGTAAGAGGCCGGAGGAATGGGCTCGGCTCCTCTAGCATTGCTGTTCGCTTGGTGGAGGGAGACGTCTAAGCCATCGACCTTGTCCTTCTCGTCCTCACCATCCAGATGCTGTGCCTCTGAAGGACTCGCTTCAGAGACGCCTTGTAAAACAGGTACATACTTTGTCTCTTCGTATGTGAATAAGAAAACGACAAACAGTAGCGAGAGCGATATTGCTAGAGCGAGGTACGAGTCTCTCCAGCCGGTATATTTTGCTTGAATGCCAGCTGCCATTGGAGTCAAGAAGCTGCCTATCATGACACCAGTTATGTAGAAGGCATTAGCGGTGCCCCGTTGGTGGACAAAGAAAATATCTGCGATCTGGACAATGACAAGTCAGAAATTCCTCGCTCTTTTTGTGAGAACAGACGGCATCCGGTCCAAACTCTGAGAGCACTCACAGTCATCTGCACAACTGTTTCATTTGTCGCACCCGCCAGGCCGTAGAACAGATTTGTCAGGAAAAGCTCCGCATCTGTTTTCATATATGTGGACCACCAACTCACGGCAGCCATTACCGCAGTTGACACCACGTATGTTGAACGGCGGCCATACTTCTTTGTCAATGGGATGAAGAGCACACAGCCCATGGCTAGGCCGGCCAGCTGGGCCGATTGGGCGTTGTTGAGCTGCTCGAAGCTTAGACCCAGCTCGGGAGACATCTGCTGCCAAAAGCGGGTTTGCGTGGACAGGCTGTGCGGTGATGATATGATTAGATTCAAGGCATGTGGACAGAGGAAAGGCCAAGTCACGGATGAGACAGTGCCTTAGGCAAGGAGATACGTACGCCGTGAATACCGCCACCGTCTGCGCCGATACGAGCGCAAAGTTCAGGATCTTGCGCCAAATACTCCAGTTCTGGTACTCGCTGTGTCAACGTAATCATTCCAAGTACCTATGACAACACTGGGTAGATTCACGCACCAATGGGTCGTTTGGATCGTCGGAAGGGATAGGGAAGCGGACGAAAGTGTCAGACTCATTCTCGTTATCTTCATCTTGTTTGTTAGCATTTCCCTCCCAGATTTTTAGTCCGAAGGCAGAGTGACAAAGATCTCACGGTGTACCAGGAGAACATCGCCGGGCGCGCGATCTCCGCCGGTGTCATATGCGGGCATGTTGCTGGTTGTGTTGGATGTTGACAGCACCGAGGCGATCGTGTGTCCCAGGACAGAGCACTGTTGGAGTAGGTGGTACAAAAGACGGTACCAATGGTGGTATCAAGAACAACTAGATCTCAAAGGGATGATTGTGTTCGGGCTGGAATCGATCCCAAGTGCACGGATATCATCGACAGCGTCTGGCGCTGAGCTGGGGGACGTTCAGTCAAATACACGACGTCTCCATCGAGGAGTTGCTGTCAATCAATGTTAGGTCGCGCTTGGTCTTAGCAGCAACAGCGGAGAGATAATGCGTATGTTTATTCGGCGTAGTGACTTGCCATTTTGGGCATGTAGAGTGTGAACTTGGGCATGCGAGCGTGACACGGTGATAAGAGGCATCCTCCTTGCCTCAAGATGTCTTGTGCCATGGTGCCCTTACACACTCCTTGTATTCCCTCCCCCACAACCATCCCAGTATCATGGCTGGGTGGTGTGTGGGGAATGGGGTCTGAGGCTACACCTGAAAGAGAAATTGTACGCGCTGAGCGAACTTGATGCATAGTGCATGGTTTCCGGGCGGGTACACTGGCCACATGGAGACTGGTGCAAAGCTTCCAAGGTATCAGCCATGTCGGATTGCCAGCGATAAACTTTTGGAAGGGCCAGTGCTATAAAAGTGGAAGACATGATGAGACTCGATTGTCCCTCTAATATACTCTCATTGCTAGTCATGAAGGGTTTCGAAATATCCAAGCTCAGCAGAGGTGAGGTTCTGATGCTGCAAAAGCAGCACGCTTCTTTTGCAACAGTCCTACTGTTCAATAACATCTCATGCTAAAATGACTGATACTCAAAACACAGGCGACAGCAAGTCGGTGGCAGCAGTCGCCAAGACACTTTGCCGAGCGTAAGATGTCTCCGCTATCGACATACCGACGATGCGACAGCTAAGACTCAACTAGCTTCTCTGACGATCCTCTCGTACAATGGCTGCGCCCAGGTGCAATGCCTTGGGGCAAACTAGATTCGAGGTCCCTATCATGGCAACAAAGAAGAGTGGAGCGGGTCCTGATGCAACAAGAGGTACATGTTGCCGTGGACTTGCAGCATGAGGGCGGAGAGCAAGCAAATTCGTCAGCAGGTTTTCCCGCAGTGGGATTTATTCATCCACTGAACCAGAGTTGGGCGCAACGAATTGCGTCTTTGTTTCTGTCTTTGCGTCTGGCTGCCCTTGATTATTTTCGTCCGGCACAGGATGATGATGGAGGCAATCTCAAAGTTCGTGGTGCCCAAGATAAGTCCTCCTTAACGGTATAGAGCTGACCCTGTGACAATCGAGCAGAGAGTTGAAATGATGTTGACCAACCATCTCGCAAGCAAGTCGATGGTGGAAAGTATCACAAAAAAGTCTGCGTGGTATATCGAGGTTGTCGCGGTGGACCCATCATACCAAAAGAGAAGACTCGGCTCTCAAATGGTAGAGCATCTCCTGAGCCTTTGCCCTCCAGGCCATCCAGTCTACCTGGAATGCACCGATCGTAAGAACGTGGGGTTCTACGAGAAATACGGTTTCAAGGTTGTAACTGAGGTGCGATTGATAGATCCTTTGATAGATTCGGACGAAGGGGTGACATTATGGCTTATGGCAAAGCTATGAATGCAAGTTGTGGGTCATCCAAAGAGCCGAGGCGGTCGTTTCGGTCACTTCCTATCAGAAGAGGGCTATTTCGGCCCCGTGGGACCTCATAGCGGCGTCTGCGTCAAACCAGGCATTGCCTTCCATCTGGGCCTCTTCCAGTGCTGTAAAGAGAATCTTCGCATTCAGACTCGGGTCCCAGGTCAGAACCTTGTCCCGGAATCGCTTGAGGTCCAATTTCCACCCGGGGTGATCATCGAGAACTTTGAATTCCAAACTGGCCATCACGAAGGGATACAGTGTGCTGTTGCCGACAAGCGAATGTCCATATTCTGGTTGTTCGAGGCCCAGGTGTACAGCTTCGAGACAACTCATCAGGCGAAAAACAAGCTGCTCCGTGGTCGGCAGAACGACACCAGCCGGAGGCTCCCTCATATCTCGTAGCTTCCCTCTCCATCGCCTTCTGTGATCCAGCATGCCAGCATAACGCCAGGCGTCCCATAGGTGGGACTGGACAAACTCGCCTATTTCTCCCGGCCAGAGCCAGAGCTCCAGCTCGCACCCAGGCTCGTCTATACGGGCGAATATGTCCAGTAACAGGCGAGGTACGCCTGAGACGGGCTCAACCCCGTCTTCTCTGCAGTTTATCCACTGCCGTTGTGCCTTGCGAAACCGGCGCCAGAAGCCGAGATGCGCTGTTGTCCTGCCTAGTACGAGACTCGGAAGATCCATTATCCCCATGACCTCGAAGCAGTGGTGGGTGTAGAGATCGGCATCATTGCCAACATTGTGAAGGTCGCCGTGCAGGTTATACAAGTCAGCGGTGCATAGAAGATGGGTGGTCCATCGAAAACCTCGTACGATCTAAAGACTTGTCAATACCAAGCTGTTGTGGTGACCCAAAGAGGAACACATACCGAAAGAGTGCAGAGCAGGAGACCGGCTCCCAACGTCCTGGCTTGAATTATGCCATTGCACGCAGAAAGCTCTGCCTGAAATGTGCGCAGAGCATGATCAAATTGTCGATGAAACCTTAATGAGTGGCCGTCTTCCAAGAATATTTGTAGATTTGCGCACACGACGAACAGGGCAGTGGACGGTTTTGCTTCACTGGCGATAAGGGGCTTGACCCACTCATAAATGGTCGTAGAGTAGATATTGTGAATTCCCTTGTCAAGGACTGAGCCACGTCAGTAAATGCCTCATCTATCTCAAGCTGCGTACCGGAGACTGACATCGTTGGAATGCGAGATGTGTCTCTTCGCTAATCGCTGGGGGACTACTCAGAGTGGTCGGGGATTCCTCCAAGTGATATGATCCAAGTGATGTGGGCGATGTCTCGTTGGGTGCCGACGGAGGACTTCCGTCATTTCCATCTGCGTGGCTCTCTGGAGTGGTCAGGACAGTCGGCTCAGTCCCGCTGTCAGGCATCGACGATGCCTGGCTGCCATGATGGGACGGGGACGCGAAATTGTCACTGCCCCAGCGGAGCCGTATGTCGTAGCCATCGCACTCTATTCCCTTAGCGCTACACGCCATGCATTTCGGACGGGTCTCATCACACTTTCTCTTCCTCCTCTTACATGTTGCGCAGCCACCTCTCGACCGTTGAAATCGAGGCATGTTATCAGGGGGTTGGAAGAAAGGGGCAAAACCGTATTACCACGCGGGGTACAGCAGCTTCATACTTAATTAGATAAGCCGAGGTACGTGTCCGAGGACCTGACAAGCTCCTATAGCGTGGTCCGTGAACGCCCAATGCTACAGGAAACACACCATGTACTGTATGTGATTACTCGTGGTCTTGAAGAATGACGTCCTTACTGCTCAAGTAATGTATGAAAAAAAAAGACAAAAAAAAAAAAACGCATTGAGCACTCGTGAACATCTAGGTCTTGCTATTGCATTCGGGATGATTGAGAGTTTCGTCCGATATATGCAAACGAGGCTCTGTGCATTGACGCACCGAGCGCGGTTGGACATGCACGTCAACTTGTAATAAAGCATATATTAGGCTTAAATATCCAGTCTTGTCTGAGCGTGCGATTGATTTCATTTGCAGGAAGAATTTCCTTATACTTTGCTGCGTATACCAACACCGCGGCTGAGTGACTGCTACTGGCCGCGAATCCCAAGACATGAGCTTGTGCGCAGGCCAGCTTATTCTCTTGCTCGCTACATACGCTTTTCTCTTTACACAGAGCCTATTGCTCTGTGGTAGAATTGGGCAGGAAAAGGAGGCAAGCGAGTCTCCGACTTCTTTCCAGGTCTTTTGAGACACACTTGTCTTAAGTCATTGGCAATACAAACAAATAGGCCTTCCTGTGGATCAACATCGACATGGTGAATCCGCTGCCATCTGCTGCCACCAAGGGTCCAACATACGCCGCCATGGAGATGAAAGTATCTCTGCGGACGGAGATATCTCCACAGTTTTTTTTTATCACAGAAAAAGATGGAAAAAGACACCCCAGGATAGTTCCTTCATGACACTGACGCACAGAACAGAATCGCATGTCTCGAAACATTGCGAGTCTCGCCCCCTAGTTGCGCTCCCCCCATTCTAGATTCGAGGAATCATCTTACACGCAGTGATCTTGAGGTTCTCCGCATGGCGCCCAAGCATGGGTCGTATGGCCGGCTCGAGTTTCCGGATCGTCTTCCCTAGTTTCTGGTGGTGCGGCTCAATATCGCTGTCGCTGAGTGGCTCCAGGGAGTAGGCTGCGCAGTTCTTCTTGGCGACCGAGGTAATGATCTCGAGCTTTCCATGCTCGAGCTCCAAGAAAGCGAATGCCAACTCTTCAAGACCAGGGAGCTTGTCTAGCCTTTTGAGGAGGAGGGGAAGGGGTATTGCGCGGCGGATCGAAGCTACCAGAGCAACTCGCCGGATTCTGCCTCCGAATTCGACGGTTCTCTTGCCTGGGAATTTTCTTATCAAGCCCAGAAAGCCGGCGAAAGCGAGCAACTGGTTAAAATTATCCAGGTAAAGAAAGTCATGCTCGGGAAGGTAACCTCGGTCAGGAAATTTCAGTACTGGTGTAATTTCGTGCGGCGATACGCCCTTCTGTTTGGCAAGCCATTTCAGCAGATGACAGCGCACACCACCAAGCTCAGCCTGTAAGCTAGGCGGGACTGGTAGCTTGATTTTCGCGTCTTTGACATTGTGCTGGGCGGTCCCCCAGAGATTATCCAGCCGCCGGTGGTACCACTCATAGTACCTCTCGCTGGGCCATTCCGTCCTAAGGACAACGCGGTCCTGGTATCGTACAGGAAATCTGCAGACTCCAGGTGCATCGAAGTAGTCTGCGAGATGGATCTCGTAGATCTTGAGGCGGATCTCGATAGGTAAAGTAGCATGAGACGACATGGCGTGATCGTATGGAGTGCGAGGAAATATGATTGAGGTGTGTGCTTTGACGAACACGGCTTGAAGAGAAAAGTTTTCAGGTCAAGTGTTGTGTTGTGCTCAATTATGAAGGTCGATATTCCTGTATTTGGCAAAGGAAAAAAAAAGATTGAAATGGGAGGGGGCAAGAGAGTGGCGGAAGTTGAGCTGTTGCATTTTATACAGCGCAGAATGATGCGTGCGTAGCGGGCGGCCTGGGGATCTAGGTACATACATTGAACTTCGAAAGTACAATGACTCTTAGAGTAATCTACCAACGGCTACTACGATGCCTCGTTTGAGTACGCTGAAGCATGTCCTCGCACCACTGTCCATTCAGTTTGCCCTGCATGACCTGATATACATGGGAATCTCGAGGCTCCTTTCAGAGCCTCATCAAAGCCATCAAATCTCACAAGGTCGTTCCTTTCTTGTGTGTTTCCAGCTTTCACTACCCTGAAACTCTTACTTTGTCCCTGATATGTTCTCACCTACATCTGCAGGGACATCACTGAAAGTTAAGGCGTATGTGTTAGTATGGCTGCAGGAGTCAGCCTCAAGAAACCCCCTTTTGAGTGATGAGTAATTGGATATCACTGGTGTTTTGTTAGGAGGGGGGGGGGGGGTGGCAGGTGTTGGGCAAAAATGGCCCTGCTCACGGAAGCAAAGCCCCTGCACATGCATCAAAGATGGATGCGAGTCCGGTCTGTTTCTTGAATGTGTCTGGAGACTGACAAAGAGCTTGAAGAAGAAGCAGTTGCATAGAAGTGGCAGAGACGATTCTCTACAATGTCTGCTTGCTCAGGCGTGAGGGTAAAGCCCCACTCAATGCTTGAGACCAAATGCAGAGAACATAGTATTTATCATTCATGATATCCTGTGCCTGATTCTCAACTTGCACATCAACTGCAGTTTACACGAACATGCCCCAGAAACGTCATAAGTGTCATTACATCGCGGAAAGACAATGTCGGAGCGGTACCTAGGTAACCCTACAAATCTACGCCCAGAGGTTGGTATCATAACGTCATCTTCCTACTCCGGTAGAAACCAAACGCTTCCCTTCCATAGCATAAACTTTCCTGCCTGCAGTACCTGCCGAATCCTCCTGGACACCAGAAACACCAAGCTTCCCAGTTGCTAAAGAAATACGCTACTCATCGTCGCCCTTGTCCTCGGGCATACCCTCACTCGCGAGCTCCTTCTCGAGTTCGTCCGTGACAAAGCCCTCGTAGTCCTCCATGCTCTTCTGGACATGCATCTTAAATTTGATGACATCGTTGAGCATGCGCGTGATTTCGGTGTGGAGCTCCTCCCTCAGGGCGTTCGCTCGGATGGTGAGTTGCTCGTACCTGCAAGTTAAAGTCAGCCACCGCTAATGCCATCAATCCTCATTGCAGAGCCGTCACTTACTCAATATTGACATTCATCTCCCTCTGCTCCATCAGCTGCACGCTCTCCGACAGGTTGGATCGCATCTTGGCGAGCTCCTTCTCCATCTTCTCAATTTGTGTATCCGAGGCCATGCGTTGCGTGTTGGTGACCTCCTTAGTCTTCTCATGCTCTTCCTCGGCCGCGCGCACCCGGTGCTCCAGTGCCTCCACCTCGTTTCGCTTGTCTTCCATCGCCTCCTTGATGTTGTCCAGCAACTCGTGGTCCTTCATCATCGTGTCCATGGAATGGCTGCGACGCTCCGAGATCTCCTTTCGCAGAGCGAGAAAGGCGTTCTTAACTTGACCCCGGAGGTCTAGGTTGAGGATGTGTGCAGGCTGATAGCCTGTGTGAGGGTCGGCAAGGAGACGCTCATTCTCGAAGGCATCACCGAACGAGCCCTTAAGTTGTGATGCCGTGAAGTTGGGTCCTTCATTGACTGTGACCTTGAGCTCGTAGTCTTGACCTTTTGCGTTGACGGAGGTGGAGGGTATGAGACCGATCTGGTAAGCCAGCGTGTTGTATCGGTCCACCGTACGCTCGAGATCGTCGAGTTTCCTGCTGGCCTCGACTTCTTTTTCTGCGACCTTCTTCTTGACCTCATCCAACCGCTGACTGGCTGATTCGATGCCTTTCTGTAGTCGCTCCCGTTCCGAAGTCATGCGGTCGATATCCGCCATGCTTATACCTTGGTCGTCAACTACTTTCTGCAAGCCTCTCCGCTCATCCTCAGCCTCATGCACTTCCTTCATCGTTTTTTCAAGCTCCTCTCGCAGGACTTGTATACGGCTCTCGTACTTCTCCGATCGTTGCATAGCCAGGGTGTTGTACTCTTCGAACTTTTCACAGTCCTCCTCCATGATCCTGTGGTGATCATCAAGCAGTGCCGGGTCTGGGGTGCTTTTCTCCAACTCTTCAACTTCTCGCTGAAGCCGTTGGTTCTCAGATTCGAGCATTTGCAGCTCCTGTTGGTATTTTGAATTCGAGCCCTCGAACGCTTCGGCCATCTGCTGCACGTGTGGTGCCAGGACCTTCTCTGCCTCTTCGTCGCCTATGTCGTCATCCATGTCGAGCCAGTTCCTGTAAGCCTTGCTCAGGAAGTCGAAAATGATGTGATCGCCAGTCACGTCGACCCCGGCCTCGGCGCATGCCTCCTCGTAGCGATTGGCTGAGTATGCGTCCAACATCTGTGCCAGCTGCATCATCCAGTGTAGTATTCCCAGAAATGTGTACCAGTTTTGCCCACCCACAGCGGCAATCTGGCTCTTGGTTATACTCCTCTCGTAGGGATAGCGGAGTTGTTTGAGCAGCGGTGGCACCTCTTGGTCGATGTTTTTTAGGAATTTGTAGCTCGGGTCGATGCGGTGGTACAACCATTGAAACATGTAGACAAAGTCCTTCTGGGTCGGAGATTTCATGACATTTGGCGACAGAGAGTAGTTCATCTCCATTTCAAAGTTGTTCTGAGCAAGGTAGTCTAGCAGCTCCTGCCCGATCCTCGCCTGGAACGCTCTGTCCCTCAGAGGCCGTGGGTCGCGCGGTACACCTGCTGGTTGTGGTGCCTGTTGGAAGAAGCTCTGGTGGCCTCCCATGTGGGCGTGTGTGGATGTTCTTGCGCGGTAAACACTGCTCCTTCGCTCAGCTCCGCTGGATGCGCGACCTGGTATGTTTGAAGGCGTGTACGACTTTATGGTGCTGGTGCTCTGGGGCTGGAAGGACATGCGCTTGGCGGAGGATCCGCCGAGATCTGCCAGATTGCCACCTGACGAGGAGCGCGCGAACATGGGCTGAGGTGGCCTCGGTAATGCCAGGGACTGTCTAGATCCCGAGATAGAGCGAGAGTGGCTCGACGAGTACGGCGCGCCGCCGAAGGAGGACTGCGATCGCTTCATTGCGGAGGTGGGGTGCGGGATCGCAGTATTGTGGCTAATGCCCCCCAGAGTCTGCGCGACAATCTCGAAGTCAGTATGTTGTGACTATAGTACAGTGTAATTAAAGGCGGGAAGGGCTGGTTGGAAGTTGTGTTGTTGAGGAGGGCAAAGTCGGGCGGGCGCGAGTGGGTAACAGAAGGGTAATATTTGGAAGGGTCCTGGACTGACCTCTCTTGGGCGGCGCACACTCCACAGGCCTGTATCTTGCGACATGATGGATATCGAGACGTGCTGTGACAAGGGGAGTATGAAATTGGACTGAGATGTGATGTTGAGTCGCGAGAATAGGATTTGAAAAGACAAAGCCACATCAACGACCTGCAGGGTCAATTGTATGCGCCAGTCATTCCAAGCTTGGTTCGTTTTCTCCAGCGCCGTGGGGCCCAAGTTCGAGGTGCGTGTTGCCAGGACGCCAGAAAAACAATGGGCGATGGCCCAATCAGCGGTGACGGTCAAAGTCCTTGCGGGAGGTGAGCGCCTGGGGAGGGTTCTGCCGCTGGGCATGCAGGAAGAGGGTTGGGCCACAGGGGGGGGGAGCACGGGGGGAGGGGTTGGGCCTGTCGGTGGTACATGTGAAGTTGGGGTTGATTGCCGCCTGCCGCCTGCGCTTAGCAGCAGTCAATCAATTAATGCCAAGGGCTGGTCTGCCCGCAGCGCCTCCCATTGTACCTCGGCTTCGGCGATTTGTTCAACGGCTGATCACAAGTCCTCCATCGACGCCGGTTCGCAAGTCAACGACTCTTCCTGTCTCATCGCAGAGTCATGAAGCAGACCGGATAGTCTGCCCATCATGACGATCCGCGAGGAACTTGTGGCCTCTGCAGTAAGTCTTCGTCCCAGCTTCGCTAGCCACCCAGTTCGTATGCTAACGACGTCACGCAGGCCCAGTGTAAGTCTTCACGGCGAGCCGAATAACTTGCCCCCTTCAATCGCTGACCCAGCAACCCTCGACAGTCCTTCAAGACCCCAGCGTCGCATCATCTCCAGTCGAGAACCGTGTGGCCTTTCTCAAGGCGAAGAACCTGACCGAGGAGGAAGTCCATGCCGCCCTCTCTCGTGCCGGACCCGAGCCCGGACCCGCCCCCTCATACGCCGCACCGCCTCCCGGCGCAGTACCCGGGCAGCAACCGGCATATTATGGAGGATACCCGCCTTATGGATGGCAGCAACCACCCCCTCCGGTACCCAGGAGGGACTGGAGAGACTGGTTCATCATGGCTACGGTGGTCGGAGGTGTAGGCTACGGACTGTACGCTCTAGGCAAGGTATGTATGCTCGCTTAGGAATGTAACAGACAACAGGGCTGACATGTCAACAGCGCTACGTCTACCCTCTGGTCGCTCCACCGACACCAGAACGTCTCGAGTCCGATAAGAAGTCAATTGATGAGCAGTTTGAGAAGGCTTTCGTGCTCGTGGAACAGCTATCCAAGGACACCGAAGAGCTCAAGGCCGCGGAGGAGCAGCGGAACGAAAAGCTGAACAATGCGCTTTACGAACTCGAGACTGTAATTAGTGACCTCAAGTCCTCCAACAGAAGGAGGGAAGACGAGGCGCAACGCATCCGGGATGATGTCCATGGCCTCAAAGACTCTGTCCCCAAGGCCCTAGACGCGCAGAAGAGCCTGACCGACACCAGGCTCCAAGAGATTAACTCAGAATTGAAGAGTCTCAAGACCATTATCAGCCAGCGGATGACCAACCAGCAACCGTCGTCCTCGACCAACGCCATCTTCAACCGTCCATCGGTGCCCGCCCCTGCCGCTACAACAGCCCAGGTGCCAGCAGCATCCAGCTCAAATGGGACGACTAATGGGCATGCTGGAACCGAGGAAACACCCAAGTCGAGCAGTGGACCATCCGTCCAGGATTACGCGGCGAGCACGGGGCGGAGCTCGCCCTTCAGCAGTGGCATTTCAGCAGCCACGGTGAAGATACCAGAGTGGCAGAGAGCCAGTAAGTGACAGGCTCCACCCTCGACATTAAACTCGAGCTTTTGCTCTTCTTTATTCATAATCCTTGCTTCTGGAGGTTGTAGATCTTCTACTGACAAACTTAAAAGTGGCGACGAAGAAGAGTAGCAGTTCTGCCTTAAATGGCGCTGCGGACGGAGGCAGCGGCTCACAGCCGGAGTCGAGCGGTAGCAGCTCATGAAATTGACAAGCCTGGCCTGATTTATGGGACGGTGTATCATAGGAATATTCAAATGGGTACCAAATTCGCACAGGCTCCTGTACTCAAAAGTTTAATGACTCCGGGAGGTTGGGCGTGTGACGATCACTGGAAGTTATTTTCCTGTTATCCTACAAATGCATTTTGGAAGGTTTAAAGGCACGTGCCTCTACAGAATGTGCCTAGCTTCACTTGAGCGAGTACCATGCTAGTAGACAGAGAATATCACACGTGGAGCAAGGTACCGCACCAGGAGACGATTGAAGTCAGCACGCAGCTGCAGGGGAGAAAACTCAAAACCGCGGTGACCGACCGAAATAGCACACGATGAATCTGGAGACGAACAGGCGCCACTTGTTGGTCCATATAGTCCCACTATGTTGAGATGGCCAAGCTTCGTTGGATGTACCCCACAGGGCACTGCTCAAGAGGAGAGGCAGGGCCTTGGAAGGATTCACAAAGCGGGTGAGAGCTGCGCGCGATGGCCACGCGAAGGATGACGAATGACACGACGCGACCCCATAAGAGAAAGCCTATGAAGGTTCAGCTGGACCTCAGCATCGTGGGCATCGTGGGTTTCTCGTGGGTTTCTTAGCCGCGTGGAATTGGGGACATAGGCGGTGACGGTGCATCTTTTTTGTTCGCGTGTGGGTGGTCGATACCGGGTGGCTGGGAACAGGCTGACTCGACCGGGGATCGTCATCGATCAGGAACCGAGTTCGATTCTCGACGGCACAGCCGACGTCTGGATTTCAACAAGGCCCCAAGGGGCCCCGTTTAATGAGACAGCGTCACAGAACAGCGACAACCAAGGGCTCGAGGAGGCTCTGCAAGCTCCTGAAACGGCGCTCGACATCATTAGTCGCCAACTCGGAAATTTGGTAGGGCTCGTTATAGATTATAAGCGGCGTCAGATCCTCGGCAACTTGCTTCTTGTCCGGACCAACTTTGAGGATGAAGTCACAGGCATCGGAGCAACGTTCAGAATGGGTGGGCAGTGGGCAAGCCCCCAGTTGACAGGAACGGTGTGGGGGAGCACCCACTAACAGCCCACAGTCGAGGCTCGCGGTGGCTGGAGATAAAGATTGGATAACAGCAAAGCTCTTAGCCATGCAGCATGCTGCTGGGGGCTAGGGACGGAACTGCGCAAGCTCGAGAGGAGAGATGAGTGGGTGCGCCCCCGTCACTGCGGCAACGGAGACGGGCGTTTTTTATTTGGGGCGGATTGTGGAAAACGGGCAGCGCGGATGTTGCAGAGTGGATGCCTGACTTAAGACTAACCTAGGTACTCTCCTGCTCTCGCCCTTGCCTGTCTCGATGAATTGACCGTCCCCATGCGGAAGCGCTACTGATCCTACAGTATTGATTGCTGCCCTCTCCCTCTCAATATCAATTGGCATCCTTCCTGGCGCGTCGTGATTCCCCACACCGACATTGACTCCCATCATCACCAGCTTTGCTTACCGGCGTGTTTTTGTCTCCCAGGCTTTGAGTTATTGACTTGACCTGAATTTTTTTTTTCTGATCCTGTCGCGACAGCAATGGCATGATCATCCACCACATATTCTCTGCAGGCAGCATTGCAGTCAAGCGTATCGCTGGCATATCAGTTGCATCACATCGCATCGTATCGCATCGCATAATCGCCCCCTCCTGCTCCATTCTACATTCTTGTCATCCTCACATGAATTGATCTCAGCCTCCTAACTCCCCCAAGACACAACCAACTCTGAGACAGCATGGCTGCTATCCACAAGGGGGACTACAACTTCTCAGAGCGGCGACAGCAGTTCGAGCAAAGCAAACCCACTGGCGGTCTGCGGTCCTTCCTCCATAGGCGCAATAATTCCGACGGCGTCAACCTCCTTCCTTCTCCACTCCCTACTCCTGCGCAGAGCAATCAGGAACACGAAGGAAGCAACAGTGGCGACTCTGTTAATTCAACCGCCATGGCGTTTCCAAACCTGGCAATTGACACCCAAAGTTCCGAGTCACGACGCTCACCAACCAGGGCAGGCCGAGAAGGCATCAACACCACCACCAACGACGACAGACTGCAACCCCCAGCGTCACCCACCAAGAGCGGGCTGGGTACTTTCTCTGCGAGGTTTTCCAGGGACAAAGGTGCCAGGGACGCTTCGCCACCCAAGAAGACTAGGTCTTCAACCAACATTGTCGGCCTGCTGTCTCGCCCAAGGTCGAACAAGAACTTGAAATTGGACTTGGACCAGCAAGTCAAGAACAAGGAAAACAGGAAGCCTTCAGACCCAAGCGCAGCTGACTTCCCTCAAACTCCAATCTTCGCCCAGATGCGCAGCAGAGGCTTTGGCCAGGCCGTTTCGGTCCCCAGTTCCCCCTACGAAGCGCCTGCCGACCCCTTCACCTCGGCCAGCCTCTTGAACCTCAACAACTCGCTTCGTCCGTCTCATTCCAATGTCGTGCCTGGCCAGAAGCAGAGACCTAAGTCGTTTCAGCCTCAGTACCTGCCCAAGACCGACACCGCCCAGACGGACGACAGAAGGGAAAGCCGTGGACGAACGAGACTTGACGAGTCTAACGATATCAACCGCGATTCGACACGGGCCAAAGGAAGATCCAAATCGCGCAACAGGGTCTTGTCGGCCCTGACAAGCAGAGGGCGCAAATCAAAATCACCTTCGCCGCCAACCCAGGATCTGAGCGAGCCCTATATCGACCCCAAAGATATCGACAAGCACTTAGAAGCAATGCTAGATCGTCGGAACATCCCGGAGAACCAGCGACACAAGATGCGGAGTCTGACAGATACGATCAAGATGGAGTTCATCAGACAGGACTGGGCGGAAAATGAGGGAAAGAATCTTGTCCGGCCACAGACCAACGATAGCGATGATTCCGCATTGGGCAACGGCAATGCATCTGTACGCGACAATGAAAAGAAGACATCTCGTGGCAGGAGTTTCACGCTTTCACGAAACAGCTGGAAAATCAGCACCTCGCCGTCCAAGGGCAAGAAGAAGGATGCGTCCGTCAGAGGACACACCAGAAATAAGTCTGCGGACAGTGTAGTCAGTGAAAGGCCATCATCTTCGGGCGCCTCGCATGCTGGAACTGGAATCATGGCGAAGATTACTGGTCAGCAACCCTCTGATTTTGTGAATTATCTTCGCAAGGTTCAAAAGCCAGAGTCTGTAGAGGTCGGCAAACTTCACAAACTGCGCCTGTTGCTCCGGAACGAGCGGGTCGCATGGACCGAAGATTTTGTGAAGCAGGGTGGTATGCAGGAAATCGTTGGTTTACTGCACCGAATCATGGAGGTCGAGTGGAGGTGAGTCTGCCAACTATTCTGCCCAGAGTTTCCGAGACTGACTTTATTCATCAACAGGGAGGAACACGAAGATGCTCTACTCCACGAGAACCTGCTCTGTCTGAAGGCACTATGCACTACCGCTTTGGCGTTGCAGTACCTCCATTCTATTCAAGGCTCACTCTTCCCTGCTCTTATCGGCATGTTGTTTGACCCGGAGAAGAAAGGCCCTAGCGAATTCACCACACGAAATATAATTACCTCGGTGCTTTTCACATACATACAAAGCGGCACCCCTCAGGAGCGGGTCATAAGGGCCAAGACTGTTTTGACTTACCTCCGCGACCCACAGGGAAAGGAAGAAGATCGGCCGGTTGATTTTGTTCTCGGAATGAGGCGCGAGCGGCCCTACCGCGTATGGAACAAGGAAGTGGTAAACGTCACGAAGGAAGTCTTCTGGATCTTCCTCCACCAACTGAACGTCGTTGCCTTGCCACCAGGACACAAGTCGTCCGAGGACATCCGGACTTCAGCCAACAAAGATGGCACAATCACACCTTCCAAGACCGAACAAGGGACAAGCGCAACAGCCAGCACGGAGCCATATGCCTATATGACCCGTCACTTCCCACAGGAGCGGCCTCCTGTCCCCGCTGCACCATACGTCGGTGGCGTCGAGTGGGATGCCACGAACTACCTAGCATCACACCTGGACATTGTCAACGCCATTCTAGCATGTACGGCGACACAAAATGAAAGAAATTCCCTGCGTGAGCAGTTACGCATCTCCGGTTGGGAGCGTTGCCTTGGAGGCAGCCTGCGACTCTGTAAAGAGAAGTTCTATCCCGCTGTACACGATGCCCTCCGCAACTGGGTTGCAGCAGCGGCGGACGACGGCTGGGACGTGAGAGACGTACGATTCGGCCCGCCTGCTGAGTCACGCAGCTCATCGCCCAAGAAGCCTGCTGCTGGAGCCCCCGCAGGGGGGAAGAAATTGCTCGAGGAGCCTCCACCGCGGCTGGAGATGCCAAAGTTGGACTTTGTCCTAGACGGGCCACTATCCGCTGCCCCTTAGTGGAAGGATGAGAAGTGGGCTGAGCTATTTGGCGATATGAAACAGCGAATGACGGGGAAGGTGGTGGCTCTTGAATACGGTAGCTGAACAAGCTACCTGCCGTCAGGTTTGGAAGAAAACTGACAGACGGCCCCGAGGGAAGACGGCTGGGCGTTATGACCACAGCCGTCCGGAGTCTAGGAAGGCCAGAAAAACAACCACTCATAAAGTTGCATGAGCTGATTAGGTCATTTGGAGTTCTGGATTGGATAGGCGGCATGGCATATGGATCTCCTATTTTTGCGTTTTCCAAGGCTCGGTTTTCCTGCGCGTTATCATTGCATCCGCTCCTCCCCCTTCCCTCGACACTCGCCTAAGCATGTGCGGGTACGGAGGCCTGAGGCCGGACACTCTGCCCAGCCTACATACCAGGCCGGGCATAGACAGATGCATAGAAGTCAGCTGTATCTGACGGGGCCCCCTAACTAATGGGAAGGAAAGTATGGGGCCACAGTAGATAGGGAGGGTTCTCGTATTTGCAGCTCATGAGGATATGTCTAATGAATGATATGAAATATACACGATTGTTGTCGGTTCATCGCCCTGTTGAAATGCAGCTCTAATCCCAATGATTACGAGACAGTGCTTTGAAGTGTCCTACTCTGTTGGCAGACCAGACGATCGCAGCACAGAATTATGAAGGCGAAGTAGTGTCCGCTCACGATGTCGTTGCATAATAACATTGAATCCAACGTTAAACATTATTGTTACCCTCCCTCCTGTTTGTTTTATTTTTTATCAAAAGAAAAGAAAAAAAGAGCCGAATAGTTGTGTCATCGTCTTGGAAGTACGGCTCAGAGAGTGTGCTGGAATTGATTCCGCAAAACCTTAGCCAGGCCGCCAGTTTCGGAATCGCTTCCACGGCGTATCCGGCATTCTTCGTCGAAAGTACCACTCGCCGCCAAACAGCCAGTACAGAAAGTTGTAAGGTCCTTCTTCATCGGGGCCTTGGTCCTGTGTCGTGTTTGTGGGGGCGACGGTCAGCTCAACTCGTTCCTACAAATACACGGACACAAGGCCGATAGGGGAAGGGAGATGGGATGGCACGGCCACCAGCCGGACCCAGTGACGAAAACTTACCCTGCGGTCCTTATGCAAGATGTAGATCGCCCTCCACCGTCTCCCGAAGTGCCTGACACGCTCCATTTCCGAATCGTAGACAAGGTCCTTCCGGATGCGGCATCGCACGCCCGCCAGGCTCAGCAGGCTGAAGCCCGTCGAGCCCCACAGGCCATTGACTTCCTCTACGACTCTGGGCTCGCCAGCGGCGCCGGGCTCCCGCTGGACGTACTCGATCCCTTGTATGCGTTAGTCATCTGCTGCGGAACCCGAAGCGATGCATTCTGAAAGATTCTAAAAAAAGACGGGATAGGCAACCGTAGCGAGAGAAGATTTATACTGACTCGAGTCGCTGATGACGAACGTGTAGTACGCGATGGCGAGGGCAATGAGGCTGTAGATGACCGCCGCGTAGTACTTGCCTGCCAGGCCCTGACCTTTGCCGTCAGAGGTTAGCGAAACCTGCGGCAGTGGTACGACGACTAGGATGGCGACGTTGAGAGCGATGTAGGCCAGCACCACCAGCACCGCGATGGCTAAGCCGATTCCCCGGGGCTGCCACAGTCGGAAGAAGTGGTCTGGCTTGTCGCGTTCGAGGGCCTCTGCCCGCCCGCCGAGACGGGGGAATACGGCGGCCATGATCACTGGTCGCCAGTGTCAGTGCTCTGCGCTCCATGGTACGGGCGGCGAGGATTGCGTGTGACCGGAAATTTGAACTCACAGAGGACGAAAGCGTGCGCGTAGGTCTGCAGGTACCCCGGCAAGAGGATCGACTCCGTCAAGCCGTCGATACCTGAGCCCACGGCGATGAAGACGACGCTCATGATCCAGTGAGCTATCAGCCCTCCCTGTGGGGACTTGTACTTGATATCGTCTTCCCTTTTCCCCTTGGGTAGGGTGTGGCTTTTCTTCCAGACGTTGGACCAAGGAAGGATATTGGCTTGGCCGATAGCTTGCTTGACTGTGAGATAGTGCCAATGGTCAGCAAGGATGTTCAACCTAACCCAGGGGACTCTTTCATACCTCGGGAAAAGGTGTAAATGATGGAGTTCAGACTTCCGAGACATGAGATGGCTATTATTATGGCCCAGGCTCGTATGGAAGCTGCATCAGGCTTCGCAGGTTTCTGAAGACCATCGTTCACCAGTGAGAATGAACTATACTGGGGCGCAAGTGAGCTACTATGAAAGGAGGAAGAGACAGATGGGGCTCCTTTTACATACGTAGGACGCGTAGTTGAGAGTGATCGCGGTTTGTAAATTTTCACCGTATGGAAAAGCCTCGAGCTATTAGGCATGTCAGTACCGTAGCACAAAGGGGGTCGCAACCACATACGAAGACAGCAACGGCGCACAGGTAGAGGATTCCCACCAGAATCACTGCTGTCATGAAGCCCTGGCGGAGAACATTTTTGTTTCCCTTGCGCTGAGGGATCTCCCCTGCCACCTGTTGTGTCACATCTGTGTCAGCAGCAACAACTCGACCCGAATCTCACGCGAGGCTGGTCTGGCACATACAAAGGTCGCGTTCTCCCACCCCTCAAAGCTGAATAAAACCAACAGAAGGGCCTTCGCCCAAGCGTCGCTGCCGGTGCCCCTTTTCGCGAACTTGTTGTCGGCTCCTTGGTTCATAATATTATCCATGTCAATGCTCGAGAAACACGATGTGTTTTTGAGGACACTGTCGACGTTCTGATTGCAGCAGTCGGACGGGTTTATCGGAAAAGCGCTATAAGTGCCATCGCTGAAAACGCAATTTTTCTCGGCCCAGCCTGTCGAGTTCTGGCGAGCCTTGCTGGCGGCCTGCCCACCAAACCCGATCAGGAGTAACATGAACAGGATCTTTACCACCGCGGCCAGGTTGTTGAGCCTTCTCCCGGCTCGGGGGGAGAAGAACTGTATGAGACAAATGATGGACAGGGCTGCCACTGCGATGAATCTTGTCAGATCACGGTCGATTTCGTGGCTGGCATCCTGAGAGAACTGGTGTGCTTGTATGGCTACAAGTATTACCCTTCCAAATTGCATGGAATTCGTGCTGGAGTTGAAGACGCCGACGAATATGGCTGCATAAATGATGAATCCCAGTAGTCCATCACCAGATAGCCTCCGTATGGTACGCCTAATCTTGTTGAGAAATGCAGCTATGCCGTGAGGTTCCTTCTCCTTTGCCTCGGTCGTGCCGTCGTTCCGTTTGCCTATGCCGGAATATGCCGACATCTCCTCCATCTAGCACGTTAAATGTCAGCGACTACTGAATTCTATGATAAGCGGAATGTAAATATCGAACATGCACCTACGTAGAGTAATTCCCCACCCGTGAAAGGAAACACTGTGGCGTAATCGAGATACAAAGCCATGCTAAGCAATGTCAGCAAGGCTCCCACAGAAGACACAGACACCAGTTTCTCGCTCACCTGACCATAGAGTAGAAGAGACCAATGCCCCAAAGTCCCAGAGTGAGGCTCTTCTGGCCAGTCAAGAGGAAGATGGAAGCCGGCGCGGTGAATATGCCAGTCCCGATCATCTTGTTGACGATGAGAGAGAAGACGTCAATCCATGTAAGCTCAGGGACTTTCCAGCCTTCGCGAGGCTGCTCGACCATCCTGTCGGTGTCTTCATAGTCGTCTGAAGCTTTGTGCCCATTGCGGTTAAAATGGTATTGGGCAGGCATTTTGGTGTCCCCTAGTGGAGACGACTGTGGTTGGAGAGCCATGTTGTGAGAAATGGGGCGAGTGGGACGGTGTTGAATGGAGCGCAGCAAGGGTTCGGAACAAAAGCAGTAACACGGTGGGTAGACTCATCAATCAAACGGTATTGTGCCTTTCATTAGCAGTATTCTTGGGTCTTGGGGGTTTTCTTTTTCAAACCTCAAATCAGGCTTCGTGGACTTCAGCAGCCACTGCTGTGCGAATACACCTGGGCTTAGCGAAGACAATATCAAGCAAGATGAGCCTCGCTAGGAGCGCGGGCTGATGGTGGGGATATCTGAACCTGGTAGCGGAGGGTAAACATCTGCATGGTTACACAAAGCAATGGTGTGCGCCCGACTTATCAGCAGCTGCAACATCCCGGGCGAGAACTTTACCGGATTCGGAGACATCATCAAATGGGGCGCGTAGCCAAGCATCCCGCAGGCAGCAAAGGGAGATTGAGTCACTAGAGGCGGTGGCCAGTGACGGTGTGGTCAGACCATAAGAACTCCCGATGACTGGTATGGCTTTGCACGACCTGTTCTTGCTGCCCAGAGTCAAGATGGCCGCCACAACGCAAATTGGCTACGAAGTCGAGGAAGTGGTCCTTCAGCGGTGGCTGACCAAGCATTTTGGTCCTCAATTCAACTCGAGAGGGGTGATGGTTTGGAAATACAGCGTGAGTCCTCCAACCGCGCTGAATGGCGCGATGTGGAATGCTGACTCCGAGAAAGTCGGAACTGAGGGAGAGCACCAGTTGGTGGATTGTCACCGGCCCACGCCTCATCAGCGACGTAAGTGTTTTTCAACTTGTCACCATTCTTGTGCAATACCGAGGCTGATTTTCTTCTGGGCCAGAACGAGCAGCACAGAATGATTCAGGCCTCAGTGCCACAGCCTGCTCTGCCCTTTGGGCCGAGAAGGTGACGAGTCTCAGGGATGTAAGGCAGGATTTATGCAGGCAGTACTAGCTGCAGTTGAGGCAGACTTCTGAGCTGCAGCTGAATGGTGCACGGGGCTGAGGTTGGAAAGGTGTGTTAAATAGTGAGAAGGTCGCCAATCGATCGCAAGCCATCCCCTGAACTTGCATTCAGGATTGTGCAGAATAACGGCGATATGAACGAGAAATTTGAATTACCATGGCCCCGGCCGCCGAGCCCGTCAAAACTCGCTTATAATTTCGAGGTTCGAAAAATCCTAGAGAGCACAGGGCACCTTTTTGTGAGCAAAGGACCTGTCGAAGTCCACATCGCATGGGTAGACAGTGAAGGTGTGTCAAAAGATCTACTGCTGAGTGCCAACTAGTAGTCTGCTGATATCGAGAAGGCAGAACCAGTGTCGACCTCCTCCAGGATGAATCCGAAATAAGAGAATACGCGGTTTCGCCGAGAAAGTATAGGCGAAGTCGGACGGACTCGGCTTATGCGGAAGAAGGTTGGTCTGAGGATCACCACCGCGTTAACGGTTGTTGACTGCTATCAGATCCCGATTCTGCCAAACGTGTTGAAGTCAGGGCCTCGTATTTGTACGCAAGGCCCCGTTCACGGTCCCAAATAGCCCTGCTCTAACTCATTTGATGCCCAGCATTATCAGTCCAGCGTTTACCCGTAGCGAGCTGCCAGTCACACTGCGTGGGATGACAGATTTGCTTGCAGGATTGGACGCATTCCCTGGTTTGCAACGGAATTTGACAGTTTTTGGACGAAAGTCTTTCTCCAGAGATGAAGGATTTGGAGGGTATGACTGGGCCGAGAGCGTCGAGAAAGATGGAATTCTCTCTGGTTTTGGTATGGCTTCGAAGTTCGTTTCCGTTGGCAGCACAACAGACTGAGTCGCCTCAAAACAGAATCGTGCTACCTGCTCAAGTACGTGCAGAAGCGAGCTCGAGCTCGGCCTGGTACAAACCCTTGGTCAATTAGCCAGGCACTGGTGTATCAGAAGGTATCCTTTGGCACCGAGCGGACCGACCACATATTCATTAAGCCCTCTGACGCTTTGGCGAGCCGTCTCAACCATTGTCTCAACCAAGAGCCTGCAGTGGCGGCCAAGATCGCCAGCGACTGGACGCATGTCCACAGAATAGCATTCGGTAGCGTAGACGAGCCCTTTCGCGACTGCTTCAATCACCTTGACGAGAGGATCTCAGAGATAGTGCGTCCAAAATTCTCCCATGGTACTGCAAGCTGAAGAACGCTGATTTCCTGTTCCAGTTTGGCCGAGTGATGATGTCCGGCGTGGAGCCGGGAAACCTCCGGGAGTTTGACACCCTGGAGAGCTCGTCTAAGGACATGAAGTCGCTCCAGGCCTATATTGACATGGCACTTCGGGTGAAGCATATCATCGATATGAATCTGGAGACGCTCGACGCGATGACTCGGGCGATGAGTGAAATCGGCGTCCGGGATTCCTTTCCACGCCCGACGCAGACTGATTCACTCCATCGTTCGCTGAACAAAATGCGGCAGCAGCACAGACTGAGCATAAAGAATTATTCATCGATGATCGAGAGAGCAAAGTCAATCTCAGAACAGGTGAGGGATGATGGATCCGAGAATTGTATCGCCGTCCACTGATTTTTTTTCTACCAGCTTCGAAATACCATCTCGATTCGTAATAGTGCGGCGACGATTGAGCTCACGGTGAGATCGGGTTATGAGGCTCATGTGGTCAAAATCTTGACTGTATTGGCTCTGATATTTCTGCCTGCATCGTTCGTCTCCGTACGTTCTCCATGAGCTGATCGTATTAACCGAGGCAATGCGCTGACTGGAACAGGATTTTCTTCAGATGGGCTACGTCAGTAAAGTACAGTCTGCCGGTTTCAAGCTCAGCGCAACAGACGACCTACAGATCTATGCTGTCCTGGCAATTCCTCTAATGGTAACCACCATGCTCGTTTACGGTGGTGTCGAGTTGTATCAGCACAGGTCCTGGAAAAAATCAACAGGGAGTCGGGGTTCAATTATCTGATGTGAAATGCCAGCTAGTCAGGATATTCGCGCCAGAACTTGGCAACTTCGCACACACGGTCCATATCTGAGACCCAAAGTTAGAAACAATCCATACAGTGTCACTTTGGCGCGCGTACCAGTCTTTCCTTGCCTTGTGAACACGAGTACTGATGCTTTCCTCCTCAAGTCCGCTGCGAGCCGCTGTAGCTGGCGCTCAAATTCAAATTGGAATTGATCAAGCGGCACGGCTGGGGCAACACACCCCAACTTCTTGATGTAGTCGTTCACATTCATAGGCCCCAATTTTTCCGGAGACCTATAGATGTCGCATTCTTTGTACTCTCTGATAGCTTTGATGGCCACTGTCTGGAGGTGATCCAGGAACTGCTTTTGGCCGTTGTTGACTGTCTGATATTAGCCACCGAATTTCAGGAACCAATTCCACCATTGTCTTACAAGGTACGATCAGGAAGGGTCCCGATTCTTCGAAAATGACGAGCATTTCTTTGGATGAATGGTAGCGGTCTGGGGGACTAAGGTGCCGATTTTTGTCGAAATCATTGTCGCAGATTCCGTCCTTCCAGCAGGACCACAACTGCAACTTGACCTTTCGATCCATGGTGAGTTCCTGCTTCTTGGGTTTGATAAAGAAGGTTGCTCGGTCAACGTTGCTGGTCATACTGTTAGCTGCGTGTGTACTGGTCAGGTGTCAGAAAGACGTGAGGCTCATGATATACCCAATCTCTGACTCCCACTCCACCTTCCGCCGAGTGAGCGCGTGTTGGAACTTGTGAGCATCTACGCTGAGGTCAGGTCGAGCACCGTCATTCATCATGATAATAACTTACCTTCTCGAGACGCGAAGCTAAATGACAGAATTTCATCTGTTTCGTCACCTGAGAAAACCGTGCAGGTGAATCTTCCATCAGGTTGGAGATACAGATAGTTCGGGATGATATAGCTCGTCTCCGTATCAACTGATGCCGAATCAGCCATTGCACCTGGCGAAATTGCGGCAATAGAACTCACGTTTCAACTGTTGAGGGTTTGAGAGCATTGTCTCTAGTTTGTCTTTCTCCTCGACTCCGTAACAGATGAGTAACTTCCCTGGCTTGTACAGTACTCGGAACATGCAACTACACTCCCTAGTTGTCTTATGAAGGATCTCATTTCGAACACGGACATCTTGCCTGTATCTCAAGTCAGCAAGAAAAAGCCGGAAGGGTCGACAGCATTCACAGGCTTTCTTACATCTCAAGGAATGAGCGAATCTCTCCTTCGTCTTGCCAACCGACCTCGTGAAAGTCTCTTCGAGAGTAGTCTCTGATCTTTTGATACACCCGATCACCGGGCCTCTGCTTGCTCGTCACCCATTTCTGATTCACTTCTTCCAGTTTCCTCAACACTTTGTAGGAGTGGTATCGTTTAAGCGGGTCGATTCTGAACATGCCGCGCAGAATTCCGACAGTCCTTTCCATGTATTCTTCCATATCGACGTTCTCCCTGTCTCCTGACTGAAGCGAGCGGAGCTCCTCCAACACAGCCTCCTTCAATGATCTGGTTCTGATGCCATCCGGCTGTGTTTTAATGGTGAAAAAGGCATCAGATCCGTCTTCATCCCTCTTTTCTTGTCGGAATCTCTTGATGACCTGTCCCTTCTCCTCTAGCTGCTCTTTCTCCCCATACGGGTCCTTCTTAGTGATCCATATTAGCACTTCGGTCATGATACAAGCAAGCTGCCAGACATCGTAATTGAGGAACACTTGGTTTCGTGGTAGTTCTTCACTGTAGTCCTGGGTCGTCGATGCATGACTTCTGAGTTCACTAGCCTCCCGAACTTGCTCGCTGTCTGGAGTTGACTCGGGTGCCCTATAGACGGGATCGCCACCTCTATAGTATCCCTTCCTCTCCTCTTCAGGGAGCATGACTTGTATCATTGAGTGACCAAAATCAGTGATTTTCACAATGCCTTCCGCCGTCACAAGCAGATTTGACGGCTTCAAGTCGAAGTGGAAAGCTATGACTTGTTCCGAGCCCCAAGGACTCCGAAGATCGAAATGAATGGTCTTGAGCGCTTCACAAACGCCTGTCATCTGGCGCCATAGGCCGTGATCTGCGGGAGTCCTGACCTGTGTGGACCCAGGGAACGTCCACTCATCCAGAAGCACCTTGTCAAGATGTGTTTCGACGAACGGAAAGACGAAGTGGATTTGCTCGCGCCACTCGTACAAAGCCATGAGATTGATGAGGTTTCGCTGATCTTGACGTGTAGAAATCATGCGGAGTGTGATGTGTTCCATGTCTTTGAGGCTCTTGCGCACGATAACCTTTCGTACAAGACGGTACTATGAGAAGGTCAGCAGTGTCTCATAAGCAGATGACGAATGGTGTACTTTGTCCAGCCCGTACCTTCCTACCACGCTCGTCATCCTCCATAGACTTAGCGTAGTCTTTTTCCATCATTTCTCTGAAGTTCTCATGAAGGTACTCTTCTGGTACAAGAAAGCGTGTGATCAAGCTACCAGAGCTGCCCGAAGGAATATTGCCCGGTTCGTCGAGATATGGAAATCGTTGACAGTCGGCGAGGCTGGTTTCCTCGGGTCTGTCGTTGATTCCGGGCTTGATTTCCATGGGAAAGAACATGTCCATAGTCCTTCTATACGCTTTCCAAAAAAGTGAGTTCTGGAGCGGTGTGTTGAATGGGTTCACTACCGTCGGAGCAGAGAGTCCGCTCAAGTTGCCGAAGTCCTTGACTATGTTTGGGTACCTTATCCACCTGTATATCAGATTCAGCTGGCCCAAGTAAACAAGCGCTGCCACCAGAAGCCACCCCTTTTCGTTTGGGTTGGCTAAGCGTTTTTCGTAGTCCAACAGGTTGAAAGCAGCCGATGGGTCATTCTTGTATTCGCCGCAGTCCCTGCAGCGACAGCTCAAGAGATCGACAATGTTCTCCTTGTTGAACAGAGCTTTCGCATCCTTGCGGGAGAAGAACATGGCCGCCTTCGCGGTGGCCGACTCTGCTCTAGCAAAGAAGTCGTCGGAGTTCTGGTCTAGTCGCGGCCAGAGGCAGTCATGGAGTCGCGCGACATAAGCAAGGCTCTTGCAGTCCTTGCTTGGGCCTGGGCAGAACATCCAGTATTGCTCCATCTCCGGGGGGCAAGGCGGAAGGTAGATAAGTCACAGAATACCTCACAGTCTCATGTGTGGTTGTGTCATTTTCCTTGGATCCCACAAGAGGTTTGACGTATCAGACTAGGATCTTTGGCTAACATCGAGGTGGTTGTCGTCATGGCCATCTGAGGAGGGTCTGGTTCGATTTGTAACACAAGCCAGCGTCAATCAAGAGTTGGCCCTCAGGTGCTTGGAGGCATCAGCACACTGGCTGATAAGACACGAGTAGCTAGTCTACATATGTAGGCAGCTTGACTACTTGGGTGGGTGGCGTTTAATTCCACCAACAGCCATTGGCGCAGCTCCTGTGCAGGAAGAGGCACAGGAGACCTGGCACATGAGGCGCATAATCTCATGACAGAGCGTCCAATCATTAGGCCTTGGGACAAATGAGGTCGAATTAGCATGCAAAACGCGTAGTTGGTGAAGAATATATGCTTCTGGGATGGATGAAGTGGAGCAGAAACGGTAGCCGTTGACGACCCACTGACACAACGGTATGAATACGCTGCGGCTCCGAGGCTCATTGCATCGGAGCTCCCGAGCCCCCCACCAAGAATGACGACCGCGGGGGATCCTCGCAACTCGCATCCTCTTCCTCTCTCTTACCACAAGACAGCCAGCCAACAAGCAACAAAGCCACCCATTCCCTTCCAACATGGCGTCGACAAACTCGACAGCAGCAGCAGCACCAGCAGGCTTCCAATTCCCGCGCGAGTACTACTTCCCGCCCTTCTTCACCCGCCAGACCAACCTCAACACGCACCACGCCCAGCTGGTCAAGTGGTCGTCCCTCGTCCTCTCGTACTGCCAGCACCACCGCATCTTCAAGCTCTCGCTGAGCCCGACCGGGTCGTCGTCCGCCACGGCGGCAGCCGACGGCAGCAGCGGCAGCACGGAGGACATATTCCACAACAAGAAGCTCAACAGGCGGCTGGCGCTGGCGGACATTAGGGAGGTGGTCGACTTCATGCGCAAGGACGGGCGAGCCGAGTACGTGGGCGGGGCCGAGGGCGGCGCGGGCGCGGGCGGCGACGTCGTGTGGGTGTACTGGCGGACGCCTGAGGAGTGGGCGGCGCTGGTCGAGGGCTGGGTGGACGAGACGGCGCAGAAGGGGACGGTGTTGACGCTGTACGAGCTCACCGAGGGCGAGGCGACGAGGGGCACTGGTAAGTCGCGCTTATATGCGATATTTCCTATCTAACCTTGCAGGGGAGGGGATTTCTTGCAAATTACCCGGACACTGACTGGCTATCTACGACAGATTTCCACGGCCTGGATCAGGACCTGCTGCAAAAAGCCCTCAACGTACTGGTCAAGAGGGGAAAGGCACAGATCTTCGGACAGGAGGATTCACAAGGTGTCAAGTTTTTCTGAGTGAACTGCGGGGACGCGAGACGGATTACAAGATTCAATGCATCAGTAGCATTGTGTAGCCTGTGATGCGGTGCATCCCATGGGCATCCCATGGCTGGCGTTTCTGAACAAAAACAGACGCGGGTAAGCATGCCCCAGAGACTCCCCCGTCGCCGGCCAAAACAACCACAGCAAATCCCGCCAACCGATTCAAGCGCCCTGATACATCAAACCATGGCACCAGTATTAGTTCCCCTTGAAGAACTTTGCCGCCAGGTATTTCTTGTCAAACTTCAACTCCTGGCTCATGGCCACCTGCAGCAGCCAGTCCGAGGACACAACCCTCGGCTCCATGTTCCCATCCCTGGCCATCTTCTCGAACCTTGGCCACAGTTCTCGCTCCGCCTTGCTACTCGACGTCAGGAGGTACACGGGCTCAGGCCCCTGTGAATCCTCCTCCGGGTTGGTAGGCTTGATGGTCGACGCGCCACGCCCGGTGTACGTCTTGAAGATGGCGCCGTTCGCCTCCGCAATCGGCCGATAGCTCTCGGCGCCGCTCTTGATGTCCTTGGTGCAATATATTGGGACACCCCACAGAAGACGGCCCTTGTTCTCGCGCGCTCTGGCGATGGACTTCTCAAGCTTGACTCCAAACCTGGCCTCGTTGGCCTTGTCTTTGAGCTTGTACTTGTTGACATCAACGCGCTCGCCGGCCTCGAGGCAGGCATCGATGAAGCTAGAGTTGATGATCTCTGGGCCACGCGCCAGAGCGCGGAGGAACTTTATAGTGCGCACCATGTGTGGTGCGGCGAGATAGTCACATGCCGCATTCTCATGTACGATCTGGATCCCCATGCTGCGTAGTTTCCGCTGTGACAATGGTTAGCAAAAGCATTCCTTTCTCTGAATTCCTCGTCAAGACCAACCTTGTCTGTGTCCTCTTTCTTCAAGTTGTTTAGCCATCCCTGGTAGCCCGTCAAGATGATGCGCATGTCCACTGGCGGTAATGAGGGCTTCTGTCTCTTGGCTGGCCGCTTATCTTCTACCTCTTCCTCCTCATCCTCATCCTCGTCATCGTCCGGCTGGTCACGGGTAGGACTTGAAGATCGCGCCTTCTCCTGTGCCTTCTTCTCCCGCTCTTTCTCCCGTTCTTGCTCGACAAGGTTCGTGGCACGCTTACCGCCGAACGGTGTATTGCCGGAGGATTTTCGCTTGCGCTCCTTTTCATATAACGCGATGTCTGGGGCCAAGTTGTGTAGCTTGTTAAGTGCTGAGGCTTTCGCACTTCGGCTGCCGCTCGAGAAAACAGATGATGTATCATTCTCTTTTCCAGCAAGTGCATGTCGAGTCCTAACCGGCGTGGCACTCGCTTGAGCCTTTGTCTTTTTCTTCGGAGGCGCTGGCACGCCGAATGTCTTGGTTGTCTTCGCAGCATATTCGGCCTCATCATCCTTCATCACATCAAACTCCGGGTGTTTCTGTCTCCCGATTACCAATCCGGCTGCTGGACCGTGCGTACACCCGTTCTCCTTGACCAAGTCTTGAATCTTTCTCTTGCGGCGAGCCACAGCGTCCATGTCATCATCTCCGCCGGGGTAGTACATCTCGTGGAGTCTCGACTCGTCGAATGGAGTCTGGCCAATGATCTCGCCCAGGTTCGTCCGTGGAGGGAAGTGGATATAGCGAGGGTCTGTCAGGGCCTGGACCTCACACTTTGCGTAGCTCTCCTCGATCCACAGGTGGTTCACCATGGGGATGTTCCAGTCAGCTGCGGCCTCGCACTTTTCGCCACTCTTGCGTGCAGTAATAAGATGCGTATTGTCCTGCCTCATGGAGCCGGTGGGCTCGGCACCAGCAGCTCGCAGCAGATTTTGAAGGTAAATGCGTGCCTCGCCCCCGTAATTGGAGAGTGTGATCCGGAGGCCTCGAAATCCCGGAATACCCTCTTTAGGAACGGGATAATGCAAGAGACGCCTAAGCGGATTCGTCCATTGATTGTGCATAATGAGGTGGTATAGCCAGGCCAGGTTTCCGACCTCTTTGCCCTGCTGGGCGGCTCTAATGTACTCAGGTCCGTCACGGTATTGGCACACGAACCAATCGCACTCACTTTCCGTATCGACCACTGTGCCTCCTCCATCCTGGATGAGGCCTTGTAGGGTCTTTCGCAGCTTTTCGTTGATGCCGAGGTCCCAGGACAAGACAACATTCTTGTTCTGGAAGACTGTCAACTTCTCACGGGCTCCTGCTTGGTAGTGTGCAGTCATTGGCGGCCGATCGGGGCGAGCCGAGGCTGCTCCGTCGAGGTGTTGGCTCGACGGGATTGCAACAGCATCGTTGGAGCCTGCCCGCAGTATCTCGGGGTCTGGAAGCAGGTAGGGGCCTTCGTCTATTCTCTTTCCTAAACGGAAGCAGTCGTCGAACCTGTGGTTTGTTAGAGGATACTACAGTAGTGCAGAAGGCGTTGACAGACCAGTGTGGCAGGACAATCTTGCATCGAAAGTTCTTGTGTGCGGCCAACTTGGCCTTGGGGCCGTCCATCGACAGGGCGCAGATATGAGTGGTCAGGCGGCCAAGATCTTTGGATTCCATGCCGCCCATAGCAAGGACAGCACCAGCAATTGTCTCCTTGTCGGTGAGTGGTATCTCGTCAGATGTCAGAACGACATTGGAGAATATCAGACGCGGATCCGGGGAGTATGGTCGGATCTGTGCCTGGCGGTTCTTGTGAAGGGAGGCGTTGACCCACTCAGGCACAACGACAGGAACCATCATGGCCATAGCCTCATCGTACTCCGGAAAATCAATCATGTCGGCAATGATGTGAGTGCACTCAGAGACGGGGATCGAACCATCCTCGCCTCGACCAACAACTTCGGCGCCATACTTCTCGACGGTGCCTTTCAACTAAATCTCATGTGTTAGAGACCCGGTGTTTATAGCCACTCACCACTCACCCAAAATGAGGGGTTGAGTGCGTACCAAATCAATTGTGTTTCGAGTGAGAGTGCTACTTGGTACAAATGCGAACGAGCACTCGTTGAACAACAAGTTTTCGGCAGACTTGCCACCGTTCTGCGCGGCCATGGTGTCTGGGGCGTAAGCCGTCGCGGCGCGTCGAATCGCGTCCAGGCGGTTTTACATGCGGACGGGCACAGCTTCTAATCAGGGCAGTGATTGATTTGGTATGAGAAGTAACAGTTCTGTCGGCCTGTAAAGGTATTGGCGAGTCGATTGAAGACTGGTGGCGTGGAAGCAGACGTTGGAAGGCGACGATGGCCCAAAATGCAGGTGTTTATTTTAGGCAGAGACCGCGACTTTCCAGGGTGCAGCTGCGAGCTTGATCCACCCACTCTACGCGACTCCGACGCGGAACCACGCAGACCTGCTTACATAACCTGTGGGTATGACAGTGCTAGGCATGCTAGGTGCATCACATTGGCAATCGAAGGGTTAGACCCGAGTAGATGCATCCAGGAAGTCAGACACCACCACTATTCTGGGACCTTAGCACGCTTAGCCTCCACTATTACATGAGAGAAGATCTTTACTGCATATTCTTGACTCTTGTTGGATCAAGTGAATGTTCTCATGGGCAAAGTCCAGTCAGGCGGGCGCCCACAAGAGCTTACCCCAGGCTGGGCCTCTTCTAAAGTGGAGCCCGGATGCACGTCACCAGACGCGACCAGCCGACGGCGTTAACCACGAATCAACCCTCGCCCTGGAATATCCTGACAGCTCGCTGACAGCTCGCTAGTAGGCAGTGTAACATTGGATCATGTTTTGAGGACGGCTTCATTTCTATCATATCCAAACATTTAGCCTACCGGAGTTGTTTGGTCCTGCTAGCACTGCTCATCATGTCGAATTGGAGGGAGGGTCACGAGCATGACGCTCAAATCGCCAAGGGGCCTGCGTCGCTTCCACCCTCCTCCATCACACAGCACGAGTCGACGCCTCGACGCCTCTGGCTGCGAACCTGACTTGAATATCAATCCGCCTTCAAATTGAAGAATTGACGGTTCACGCCGACAGCGAGTTACTTCCTGAGCTCGTCAGTCTCCGCCTTCCGCTTTTCACTCGTCTTTGAAACCAACCACTTTAGCTGCCGCCCTTCGCACCAGTCTGGCCACTTGATGGGTGCCCTAGCTTCTAGCTCAAGAGCCGCACATTCCAACGAGCATCACTAGGTAGGAGCCTCCCTTTTTGTCTCTGAAAGGACCCGCAACCCGCCCTCGTGGTCAGCCTCTTCCAAAGTTCTGGGTCATGCGGCTGTGTGTCTGAGTCGCCGGGTTCCATGCCGCCATTCCAGAGTCTTGCTGGGGGGTGTCTCACTCGTGCACACTGTTCCTGCTGCCTCTTCTATGCCATGGATTTTTTGAGTATATATGCGCGAGGAGGGTTGTCTGGTCAGGAACTGTCGAGATTGAGTTTCTTCTGCTATTGACAAGCAAGTCCTCCGTTCATGATGGGGTCCTCTCAAGTCAGGGACGCAAAGTCTCTGAATCCGAGCAAGATGTTCTTGTATTTGCTGCTGATGGCTTTACAGCTATATTACTGTCAAGGGGCTTCAATTGACCAAGTCCTGAGGGAAAAGAGGGCAGCCAGACGCATCTTCCCAAAACAGGTATCGGTAGGGACGAATCAAACCGTGGTATGTTGTTCCGCCGTGGGGATGAGGCGCCGAAACTGAGTAATATATGCAGAATACCCAAGCTATCAAGGAGTTTATCAACGGAACTACAGTACCTGTCATCACCAAGGCAATAGAGACAGGAACCGCTCAAATCCTGCCATCTCCAACCATCGAAGCAGACACAATTGGCACGGTAGTCACCTGCCTGGAGACCGAAGGACGAGCAACAGCAGGTCCCTTGCTCAAATACCCAATTCCATCGCCAACAAGCCTCATTGATACAGACCCGACCATGGTCATCAAGCCAGCCGGAATGAGAGCGGCCGAAGTGTCCTCGGACATTTTCGATGTGCCGATCGACACCGGTCCGCCCCCAGCCTCTATTGGACGGGTTGGTGACCATCCCGTCCCGAGGCTCGGCATCCAGCAGTCTTCGCCAAAGTCCACGAACAAGTTCTATCAGAATTTCTTCCTTGGGTCTCAGACCTCAGTCACCGTCCTTCACCCTTACTCCGTTGCTTGGAACAAGGGAGGTGGTGTAACCCAGAGCTGGGGATTGTCGGTTTCTCATATTGATCCCAACCAGTTCTCCTTCGGCCCGCAGAACGCATATGGGGCCAACTCTTATTTCATCAACCCTATAGGGATTCAGTCCTTTGTCCTATCGGCTGCGGAACTGGGCTCCAGCACGGTCCTGAACACCACTCAAGGCACGGATATGTCTGTGCTTGTCCAGCTTCGCTCAAGCGCAGTAGCAGCACCGACGATACAATTCCCGTTGGTGCAGGGCTCGGGCTTCGTAACCGCAGAATATAATGGTGGAACACCCATTATTCAGTCGGGCATCTTCTTCTCGAGCGTGACCAAGGTGAATGCGCAGCCACGGCCGGGGGTCACAAAGTACAAAATCGTGCTGAACGATGGCAAAACATGGCTTCTGTATGCTTACAGCACAAGCGGACTTCCCCTGGACCTGCAGGTTGTGAACAATGGCCTCATACGGTCGACATCCCCATTCACTGGCACGATCCAGGTTGCCAAGGACCCTGGCAACGCCGAGGCGCTCTACGACGCGGCTTCCGGCCAGTTTGCGTCAGGTGTGGTACTGTCCGGCACGACGTCAGGCATGCGTGGAGAATATTCCTTCAATTTTACAAAGGGCGGACTTACCGGCGCGCCACTCCTGATGTACGCCCTTCCACACCATGTACAATCGTTTGACGATACGACAGCCGCGGCGGTGCAGCCCAATGTCTCGCTGCAGACAACCACCAAGGGAAAGGCCACAGCAGTCATAGCCGATACCTGGAAGATGGTCGAGCTCAGGCTGCCTATCAGCATGTCTTTCCTGCCATGGTCAAACACGGAAGGGACCAAGAGTACGCTTTCTGCTGCTGCAAAGGCGAGAATCCTGCAGACCGCTCAGTCAGAGCTCAGTCAGGACATGGGCGCCCAGTCGAACCTGAACTCCATGTACTACAGTGGCAAGGTCAGTACAACGAGGATGTGTCTTCGAGATCAGCCTTTATTGACATCAATGTATTCTAGGCCCTGGCGAAGTTTGCTATGATTCTCTCCGTTGTCTACGATCTGCTCGGCGAATCGGCACTTGCCGCTGCTGGTCTGGAGAAGCTAGAGGCAGCAATGGCAGTATTCGCGGAGAATAGACAGATTTACCCACTGGTTTACGAAAGTAAGTACATCTGAGACGACCTCAAATCCCTTGTTACCATACCATCTTTGTACATACTAATCCTTCGAAGCTGGCTGGGGCGGTCTGGTCTCCTCAGCCTCGTATGTGACCGGCGACTCGGGGGCCGACTTCGGCAATACGTTCTACAATGACCACCACTTCCATTACGGCTATCACGTCCTTGCTGCGGCGGTTATCGGGCACCTCAACTCGACGTGGCTGGCGGCGAACAAGGACTGGGTGAACGCGCTGGTGCGGGACTACGCGAACCCGTCGACGCAGGACACGTACTTCCCGCCCAACCGCATGTTCGACTGGTTCCACGGGCACAGCTTCGCGCACGGGCTGTACGAGAGTGCCGACGGGCGCGACCAGGAGTCGTCCTCGGAGGATGTCATGGCCAGCTACGCGCTCAGGATGTGGGGGCTCGTCAGCGGCGATGCCAACCTCGCCGCCCGCGGCAACCTGCAGCTGTCGGTTCTGGCCCGGTCCTTGAACCTGTACTACCTCTACACCAGCGACAACACCGTCCAGCCTGCCAGCTTCATCGGCAACAAGGTCGCGGGTATCCTGTTCGAGAACAAGATCGACCACACTACCTACTTCGGCAGTAATATTGAGTACGTCCAGGGCATACACATGCTTCCGCTGCTGCCGGCCACGAAGCTCATACGCGGCGACCAGTTCGTCAGCGAGGAGTGGGCTCAGTACTTCAGCGGCGGCAGGGCCGACACGGTCGTTGGAGGCTGGCGGGGCGTGCTCTATGGCAACCTGGCTACCATCGACCCCAGCACGGCCTGGGCCTTCTTCAGCTCGCCCAGCTTTGATCCGAGTTGGTTAGACGGAGGTGCCAGTCTGACTTGGTATCTGGCTTATTCGGCTGGTGAGTCTATTCCGTTTCCTCCCTTTTCATACGTGCAGTTGGAGTACTTCCTATGATGAAGGTGATACTAACAATGTTGGAACACCGTAGCTATTGGGAAACTCTAGAGGAAGGATCTTTGTCTATCCTCGATGGCCAGGCCATTTCACTTATTTTCCCTGTCTGCTGTATCAGCACAAGCCCCTCGCTTTTATCTCTGTGATATTTCTCTAGAATCTTGTGCGATTCCTAGATTACACTTTCTTATTCTCCCGATACCCTCGTTTTTAAGCATTTAGATTTACGGGGCTCTATATATTTGCACCACATCACAGCATCCTGACCATATTGCCAGCTGGAGACACCACTTGGGTCTTATTTAGACAGACATATAGTTGGATATTAAAGACACATGCTGAGAGACAACATGAGAGTCCAGCGCGGTGAATCGGGCGTATTTGCAGCCCATCGGCTTACATGCATTCATTTAGCCAGTACCAACCAAACCTATCCCTTCCCCCTCGGCATTCCATCCGAAGGACACGCACACCTCATTTGAGTCAAGACATGAGACGGTAGGATCCCAAGCTTCCCCAGACACAGTGGGATCCTTCCGTCCAAAGGATGCATGAATTAGGTTTGGACATCCCTTTCGAGGGTTTCCAGCGCGTTCCAGAGCGGCTGGGCTACTCCAATGGCCCAAGGTCCGTGGCATCCGTAAAGGGGGCAGGGGGCCACCACATCACACCACCCTCCTCTCGCTACCCCAAGCGATGCACCACTTTAGAGGCCTGACTCCAACCACCAGGAGGATCATTGGTGGAATTGGACAAGGTGTGTGAGTTCACGAGGCAAGAGGGGAAAGGAACTGTTGTGTTTGGTAGAAATATATAAATGTTGTTAAATCCCAAAAGGTATCTCAGCTAAGCTATTGTAGCGAGTATGTAGGTATTTCCATCCCAAAACTCCAAAGCCTATCAACACCATCGTGTCCCTGGTATCGCCATTCAATGTTTAAAAACCACGCTTGTTCCCAGATCAACCCTAGTTAAAAGAAGCACAGAAGTCATCAATTACCCAGGTGCTCTCAAAGCACCCAATCGCCGCGCCTTGGGGGAAGCCGGCTTATTCGCAGCTGTCCTGGACCCAACCACGGCTCATCTCCACCGCCTGCTCCCATTTCCTGAACATCTGTTTCCTCTTCTTCTCATCGATCTTGGGCTCGAATTGTACTCTGCCCTTCTGGTTGACTTGGCTCAGATCGCTCAACTCCGCCCACACGCCAGTGGCGAGGCCGGCAGCGATGGCTGCACCGAGAGCGGTAGTCTCCCGCATGGCAGGCCGGTCAACAGGGATGCCGCTGATGTCTGCCTGGGTCTGCATGCACAGGTCCGAGTTGGACAGGCCGCCGTCGACGGCAATGACTTGGAGCTTCTTGCCGCTGTCCTTCTCCATGGCCTCAAGGATGGCCTGGTTCTGATAGCAGGTGGCCTCAAGTGTGGCGCGGGCAATGTGGCCCTTCTTGGTGTGCTGTGTCATGCCGAAGATGGTTCCCTTGGCATCATCGATCCAGTAGGGCGCAAACAGCCCGCTGAAGGCGGTGACGAAGACGACACCGCCGTTGTCGTCGACGCTGGCAGCCACCTCTTCGATCTCGTCCGACTTCTCAAAGAAGCCCATATTGTTGATGAGATACTTGACACCAGCGCCCGCGACAGCTACGCTGCCCTCTAGGGCGTATGCCGGCTGGTGTCCCTTTCCAAAGTCGTACGCGACTGTCGCCATGAGGCCGTGTTTGGAGATGACGGGTTCGTTGCCGACGTTGTAGAGGAGGAAACAGCCGGTACCATATGTGTTCTTGGCCTGTCCAGGCTCGAAGCCACACTGTCCGACCAGGGCACTGGACTGGTCACCCAGGCAGCCGGCGATGGAGACGCCAGCCAGAGGGCCCTTGGCGAGTTTGCCAAAGGCCTTGTCATCTGAAGAGGGCACGATCTCGGGCATGGCGCACTTGGTTGGGTCGATGCCGAAAAAGTTGAGCGACTTCTCGTCATACTTCCTGGTGCGCAGGTTCATGAACATGGTGCGAGAGGCATTGGTGCTGTCCGTGACATGGACTGGCTTCTCTGCCTCGGCACCGCCATTCAGCCTGTAAATGAGCCAGGAGTCGACGGTTCCGAATGCCAATCGGCTCTCGTCGTACGCCTCTTTGACAGCAGGGACGTTTTGGATGAGCCACATCAGCTTGACGCTGGAGGGGTATGTGCTCAGAGGCAGGCCGCACGTCTCGGGCAAGTCATCGGCGCCAGGTCGACCCTTGAGCTCTCGCACAAGGTTCGTCGTCCGGGTGTCGGGCCAGACGATGGCGTTGTGAAGGGGCTCACCGGTGGTCTTGTCCCACACGACAGTTGTTTCACGCTGGTTAGTGATGCCTATTGAGCGGATCTCCTTGGCAGTGTGGCCCTTCTCAGTGAACTGCTTCATGGCACCCTCTATGCACGCCTCAACAGAGGTGAGTAGCTCCATGGGGTCATGCTCGTGCCATCTATTGGAATGTTGTTAGCGACCTGATGGCGCGGAAGGTGCAGGAGCAGGCAGAGCAACTTACCCTGATTGGGGATACAGGTTGTCGAATTCAATCTGGTGGTTGGCAACAGGCTCGCCCTTCTCGTTGAAGATGAGGAACCTGGATGATGTGGTGCCTTGGTCGACGGCACCGACGAACCAGTGTTCGTCCTTCTCCGTCTTGGTTGTGTCGACCCCCTTGGGCAGGAAGTCATCATGCATGGAGCCGGGTTGTCTGTCGGCAGGCGTTGCTGGTGCTGAACGGTTCTCTATGTACTCGACACTGATCGCATCTGCCTTCTCGTCGATGGGCGTGCCCTCGAGACTGATTGTGCCGACTTCGTGGCCAAAGCGCAGTCTCTTGGAGTCGCGGCGCGCGACGTGGCGATTTGCTTGTTTTACGGCGGTGGTAAGCATCTTGGGCGATTGCACAGAGCGGCTGGAGCTAAGGCTCAGGCTAAGGCTGGGTCGTGTGATGAGGAATGTGGCTTGGTTGGACCAAGCAGGAGGGAGGCTGGCCCGTTGGGGCAAGAGTTGGGGGACGGGGCTGCGTGCGTGGGGGGTTGCGTGAGAGTGCAAGCACGGCACGAGGTCGTCTGTGGCAAGCAGCCCTTTGGCCTAGCAGGTCAAATAATGATGATGATGTTGATGTGGTGGTTGTTGGGTAAGTTGTTGGTGAGATCTGAACGCTTTCACAAATATTCTTGACAAGTGTCTTGGGTCTTTGGGAAAGATGTGATAGCAGGGAAAGAGAGTGCTGGTTAACATGCTGAACAGAATCGAGGACCGGTCTAAGAGAGGAGGACGGGAGGGTATTTGAATTGGATTGCGCCGGTGCGAGGGACAGGCCAAGAATCCCAGAAGGGTAATCCGGTCCAGTAGTCAGAGTTCTGGGCGTTTGGGTACGGTCTGGTTGGGCTTGCCTGGCTGTGCCTGGGGTCTGGGTGCGTGCTCCGTCAGTCTGGTCTGGGGGGAGGGTGAGAAGAGGCCGATGGGAGGGAACGTCAGTAAGGCGACGATCGTTTTGGGACGGTTGGAACGTCACGGCTCTGTAACGCTGCGCAGGTCCTTGCAGGTCATGGCAGGTCCCCAGAAGCTAATCCATGTGCTAGCGTCGCGCCCGAGGTCACTCGTTCGCGCAGGCGTGTGGGGCGGGCCACAGGGGTGCGAGAGACGCTGTACGAGTCGCCATTCGTGGGATTAATGAGGGGCAGCTCTCTCGCTCTCGATAGGCGCACAGTCTGGGGCACGGCGAACATTCTAGGCTCTGTCCACCTCACCCACCACACCCTGCAGGCACAAGCAAACACCATCTGCGAACCCCCAACCCTTTCCGCCGTCCTGGGCTCTGGCTGTCCTGCCTCTCTGGGGTTGGTTGGCGGGCTGGCTAGCTGCCTCGGTGGTCACTGGTCTGGGTACCATTGAGGACAGAGAGGAAAAGAAGAGAGAGGGAAAGAGGGTGTGGTGGGGCACGAGAAATTATCTGTCAACCAGGTGAGCACTTCCACATCCTTCCTCCCGCCAAACAAAGTTCAAACATCCGGGAGCGGCCTTCAGGGAACCGCCTAGAATCCCCCGCAATACCAAGCCCTCGTCAAACTTTCTGACTTTCTGCCATGGTGGGGCGCGACAGCTGTTCCTATCCCGTGCTGGCGTGCCCCCTCAGTCCCCTCAGAATCTGCCACCGAGTGCCTCATCGGGGAGGGAATCTTGGAGAAATCAACCCATCTGTCTAGGCAATCTGGGCAATCTGGGCCACCTTGGTGTCTGGGCGCCCAACCGCCCGCACTCGTATCGCCGATGGCACGATCTCTGGGGACGGCACTGCTAGCTAGTCTAGATGCCACCGTGCACGGCAATCTCACGCCCGTCGAGGCTGTCGCGTGCCCATGCCACCGGCATGGTGATGCTTTGGATGAAGCCATACCTGGCGAGGTCTATATAATGCCCCAAGCCTCCCGTTCTGCCCTCGCGACGGGTAAGCCGAGTGCTTGGAGTGCAGCAGATTGAGGAATGCAAAACTCCAGCCAGCCAGCCAACGGCCATGCGACACTCTGGGTTACATGCACCAGATCGGGTTGCGCTTCGATCCCAAGCCTGAAAGGCGTGATTGCTTACTCCCAATATCCCTGGGCCCTACCGACCTCCCCGGATTACCAGATTCGTACTCACTCCTACATCGCAGGTCTCACACCAACTCTCACGAAGAAAACAGAAAAGAAGAATCAGTCACAAAAAAAAAAAAACACCCACTTGACAATGCATTGCCCCAAGTCAGGCCAACAACATTATTGAGTCCAAGAGCAAAAGGTTCATGCTGTCGGGGAAGGTTAAGCGAGTCGTGCAGGGCGGGGGCAGCACAGGCTGACAGGTTGAAGTTCGCCCTGCGACCCGACAAGGCCGTGACCGGAAAAGGGGTCCAGATGCATCCATCGTGACCTCCGGATACAGTATACGCGTCAAGTTCCAACACGAGGTGGACTGCATCCGTCCAACGGTCATGCGGCATTGACCTTCCACTCTTGGCTGTCCCGTTTCCAACCTGACCGTTGGTACGAGCGTGCGTTTGTCTGGGAACCCAGGCGAAAAGGGGCAGTGATTTATTAATGGAAGCCCAAGATATAATCGCACACACCCGCCGCCCCTCGAGCCAAATCTCCCGCCCGGGCCGTCCGCCCTTTGGGCTCTCTCAACCCAGCATGCCCAACCCCACATAACCAGACGGAGTGTGCATCTAACATCGTGGGCCAACAACACTGACTTCCTACCTCGCGACACGGACCTGGCCCCCGGATCTCCGGTCTGCACAGACAGTTGTACCGTGGCGGAACTAGGGGAGCCGAAATCAAAATTGTTCCTCGAGACCCAATCACGCTTATGTCCGATGCGACGCAGACGCTTTTTATTGGAACACTTGCCGCACCGAGCCGGCGGCGCATCGCTGTCACCCAGACCTCGTCCCCGGCCGGGGTCATGCACGACAGCGAGGAGCGAAACAGTCACGGCCGCCTCGGACACGCACGCTACATAGGGCTCATTCAGTTACCTGCACAGCCTCTAACATCCAGCGCTGAATTGGCGATCAATAGCTGCAGTCCGTCGGCGGATTCAAGGTTGCGACCTTCGCTTTCCTAACATAACGACCGGCGCCTCGCGAGATTTGTGAGCAATAGACTTGCAACTACAGAAAGGGGAAGATAAGCCCACGATGCGTCCCCACCAAGCAGCTCCTCTTTATCACGACGTTGGACGGAGTGGTGTTTCCGCCTGCAGAAACGTCTGGACCGTCTGGCTGCATGCAACTCACGATCTCAGGAGGGTCTCGAGCTGTTTCGAGAGGCTGACAAAGGCAACTCCACACAGTCGCCCATAGTCCTCACACATGTGTCGGTCCCCTGTCACGACTGTCGTACTGCCGGAGACTCCAGTCCTTCTCGTCGCTGAAGATCTTGGGGCCCCGAAGATCCCTCGCTGCCTCACAGCCACATCAAGAATCCCACTGGCCCAGTGACTTCATTCTAGAACCGGTCCTGAGGCCCACTGACGCCACTCGCCGCCACACTTCGCGCTCTCACGCTTGCAACATCGACACCTACCTGATCCTCTGCACATCCCCGGCTGACTCAGCTTTCCACACGCAAATGTGCAACTGTCAGAAAATGATCAGCGATTGACGTACACCCCACATATTCATCACTATCGGCCTGGGGGTTACATCAACCTGCCATCAGCTCCAGTCAGAGTCCTCCGCGACCGCGCCCCAGCTTCCCCGGGCCGTAGAATCCAGGCGACGTACCAATTGTAAACAAGGCCCACCTCGGATGATATCACTCGCTCAGGGTATTTGAGCCGCATTGATAGGCATTGCGTGCAGCAGCAGCAGCAGCAGCTATTTTGTCATCGTCGATATCGTCAGGGGATCTTCACGCCCCTCACTTTCCCCACGACCCTGAACTGGACAATTACATCAGTCGCCTCCCAGAGAAGACTGGACCCTGCCCTACGCAGGACCAGATGCTCCGGAGACAGTTCAGAACCCTAGCTCCGGTACCGATGATATCACCACGGGCACATTCGAGCCACGTACCTAGCAGGCAAGGCCTTGCAAGAGGAAGACAGCTTCGCCGGCCTCTGTTGGCCGGGTCAGCCGGGCCCCTCCTTGCTCCGTTGTGCATCGAGATCCCATCCGAGACCAAAGGCCCCTTAGGCTCCCGGGCCGAAAGGTCTGCGGCCCGCCCCCGATGATATCACTGCTGCAGGTACGTTCCTGGAGCTGCGTACGTCGCGTGGCGGGGATGGCGTGTCTATCAGCGGTCAGGTGCCCTGGTGCCATGGCAAGGCGGTCGCATCACAGCGACCACAGGACAAAAATAAGACCTCCCAATGAGGAAATCCGTACTGAAGGAATCCCGATTTGTTTCGTGTGCTATGGTTGTTCCAGATAAGGCCTTGAAATCCGTCAAATTTGGCGTAGGGCCACGCTTCTGTGATGGAGGGCATTGCCTGAGATGCCTGATGCAGGGAGTGCAGCATTGCAGCACTGCAACCTTGTCCAGCCCAGCAGGGCTGCATATCTTGATATTACGGGACAGCCCAACCAGAGCTTTTGGCCAGTTTGGCTGCAACCACGACCATTGAGTGACTCAAAAAAGAAAACGCTGACAGCACGTCTGTCTTAACATCGGAAGTTTTCAACGAACTCAAGTAATATGCACACACTCTCTCTCCTTACAGTCAGCCGGCCAACTTGCGAGTGTTTGTTTATCGTTGGCCTCTGACTCTCGTCTCTTCCAACGGCAACAAGACGTGACTAGTGGTGCACATTCGCAGCCACGAAACCCATTTGTCTGTTGCCGTCTTTGTCACGAAGACATGTGACGTTCGCGATTGCATAGTCTCGCTGTGGGTTTCTTTCTCTTCCGTATTGATGGTCCAGCCTGCAGTCATTCCGCAAGCTGCGCGTCTCTCACTTGCGCGAGGCAAGCCAGTGCTGCCTTATTGATGTTGCTTGGGCTCAAGACAAGAATAAGGTGTTGGAAGTGCTGGGTTTGCCGAAACGTATTGATTGGGTGCGTGCTTGCACTCCTAGGGGCGTCATCTATGGCAGCTCGTGATCCTATATAAGATGTCTCTCCCTCTTCGATGGGTTTCGTATAGTTGGTCTTGCTTATCATCGGTCTCCATTGGATGTCTGAATCAAAATTCCAGCTTGACGAAGTGCATCACTCGTCTTGTCTTGCTGGATTCAGTCTTCTAAAGAGACTTTCCTGTCCGGAACAAACCTTGCATCGTCTTGGCCGAGATTGCATTACTTGTCCGGTAGAGTTTTTGGTGTGATTTTGCATTGTCAAGCCTATGCCGAAGGTAAAACGAGGAGGTCCGGGAGGCAGGGGAGGAGGCGGACAGGGCGTGGCAGGTCGTCCTCAAGGGGAAGTTCTGCCTACTCGCCCTGGAGTAGCTAGTAACCCGACTCCTGTCTCACTGTATGCCAATTGTTTTGATCTCGTGGTCAAGAAAGGCAAATTGAATGTCTACTTGAACACTTTCAAGGTTCTGGGTCACAAGAACCAAGAAATCAGAGGCGCAACAGCCAAGAGAATTTTCAAACTTGCTCTGGAAAGCCTCCAAACCCAGCCCAACGAGTACGCCACGGATTTCCAGCAACAGATCGTCACCCTGAGTCGCCTCGAAGTACCTCTCAATTCCAACAAAGAGAGACGACTCGAGATTGAGAAATGCGCCGTCAACTTTGAAGGCCCTGAGGTGGAGCTCCGACTCGACGACTCTGTCTTGAACTCGCCCTCACCGAATGCCATCAATTGCCTTAACCTCATTATGGGCCATTGGGCCCGAGAGCAGACGAACGTTGCAGCCATCGGAAGGCACAGGTTTTTCCCACAGTCGAACAACTGGTTTTCAAGGCCTCCAAAGGGCTCCAAGCCGCAACTGAATCTTGGGGATCGTTTTAATACTGACACTCCTGAGTCGCTGTCCGTTTCCCGAGGATTTTTCCAAAGCGTGCGCCCAGCTAACGCCAAATTGCTACTCAACGTGAACACGACCTTTGGTGTCTTTCGCCCCGAAGGCAACATCAAAAATTTGTACGATGCGCTTGAAAAGAAGTACGATTTTACCAAGAATTCGGTGACTAAGATCGAAGTCTTGACCAGACTCCACGAAGCTATTGCCAAGGCATTGGTGATTTACGAGAATCCAAAGGACAATAAGCTGCAGACGGTGCGCATTGCAGGTTTCGGTCGCAAGACCGACTCAGGAAATGACAAAGGCAACCCAAGCAATGAGAAAGATCATCCGCTGCTGATTAAGGAGGACTTCCCTAGGCCGGGTTATGTCAGTTTCTGGTTCAAAAAAGGCACGAAGGAGGGATACCGTACAGTCAAGGACCATTTCCGCGAGAGTGAGTCTGACCATTCCTTCTTACTATGACTTCGTTCAGTTACATCTCCATGAGATTTCTCGTGCTATGTTGGTGAGCTCAAATGACTGATGAACAATAGCATACGGGGTTCCCTTAAACCCGCATCTGCCCCTAGTCAACATGGGAAAGCCGACACGCCCACAATACATCCCAGCCGAGAAATGCAGGCTTGTATGGGGCCAGAAACTGACGCGAAAAGTCACTGAGATTCCAGGTCTCACCCAAGAGAAGTTGAACGATCTGAACTTGTTCACGTGTCGACGCCCTTATGACAACCTGACTTGGATAAAATCCGTACATCAACACTTGAGCCTTGTTCCAGGCGTGAACAAAGCGCTGACGAACTTCGGGGTGTCTGTTGGTAAGAACCTGGTCAAAGTCGACGGGCGGACGTTGGCTTCTCCGACCATCAAATACTCAGTGGAAAGATCAGCCCAGGTGAACAATGCTTCGTGGTCACTGACGAACGTCAACTTTATCAAGACAGCCACAGTGCAGCGATGGACGTGGGTTTTCATGAGCAGAGACAAAAGGGATACCCCCAGTAGTGTCAGTAGGTTTATCGGTGAGCTGCGCAACATTTTGCGCGACAAGTGTGGCCAAGGCGATGAATATGACGTTGCCGAAGACCATTGCATCAATGCTGACGAAGGCATTGCGGGTCTGAACAGAATCTTGAGTTCGGCCAAGGCCAAGGGGATTTCACTCGTCGTCCTGATATGCCAAAACAAGATGTCCGTCACAACTTACAACGCAGTCAAGTTTATTGGAGACATTCTACATGGCATCCACACTTCTTGCATTTTGGAGGAAAGCTGCCGAAAGCTCAACGAAGGAACGAACAAGGAAGCCTTCGATTGGAACTACTTTGCCAATGTGGCCATGAAGATCAACTTGAAGTTGGGCGGGATCAATCACAAGCTTGAACAGACGGTCGAGCTATTCAGAAAACCTGGGCTCATGGTAGCTGGCTACGATGTGACTCATCCGACAGGAGAAGACAGCATCGGTGAAGAGAACGAGGCCAAGGAGAGTGCCACTATGGACGACGGCGTCAAGGGACCTGACGAAGGGGTCAAACAGACCCAAGATCCAAAGAACGATTCAGAGGACCCTAAAAAAGAGCAGAGTCAGGTTGGTGTTGTCGTCAGTACCGACACGGATCTTGGCAGGTGGTTTCCATACTACTGGAACCAGCCACCCAGGCAGGAGATGACGAACACAACCCTCGTCGATGCATTTGTGTCCGGATTCGAAGCTTGGAAGTCGGCAAATGTCAATAAGAAGGTTCTCAAAGCTGTCATTTACCGGGACGGTGTGTCTGAGAGCCAGTTCCAACAAGTCCTTGAGCAAGAAGTACCCCAAATCAGGACTGCGCATGCACGTGTGTTTCCTGATGCGAAGCTGGATATTACACTCTTGGTCGCTATCAAACGACACGCAACTCGCTTCTTTGTCGGGAACGATGAATCGGCACCCAATATCAAACCCGGGACGGTGGTCGACAACGGCGTCACTCAGCCGAAGTACTGGGAGTTCTTCTTGGCCTCCCACGCCGCGGTCAAGGGAACCACCAAGCCAACCCGCTACGTTGTGCTTGTCGATGAGATATTCAGGAAGGGCTTCTCCCAGATTGGTCCCGCCAACGAGCTTGAGAGATTTACGAACCAGATGTCTCATCTGTTCGGCCGTGCGACCAAGGCAGTCAGTGTCTGCACCCCGGCTTACTACGCCGACATTCTCTGCACAAGAGCGCGTGCCTACAAGGCTGCACTAGACGACGCCAACACCAGATTCGTAGTCGAAAAGTCTATCGCAAATGAGAAGGAAGACGTAAGGGCCCGCGTATTGGCTGGCGAAATTCATCCCGACATGAAGAATTCGATGTATTGGATCTGATAGGACTGGCCGGTGCTCTTGGCCCTTGTTCACCATGCTAGACGGTCTCCTGATTTCTGTTGTGTCAAATGAGGCTCGACGCCCCATGGTGACACCAGTCTGTACGACTATGGTTCGCCCTTTCTTCTCGAAAGAGGATGAGACGTCCCTGTTGACAGCCTCTATGTTGCATGTTTTGGTGAAAGGGGCGGGTTTGGGTGTGGGGGGCTTGAATTTGGAAGATTGGTTGGAAGCGCATGTGAGCATCTGTCATGGAGTTTCTTTTTGATGCGGTGATGATAGCATGATCTTACAATTACAAAACTGGATTCAGAAATTGAACCACTTTGAAGCACAATGAGCCCATGGTCTATAAAATGCCAGCAATTCGACTGATGTGACCCGTGTCGTTCAGTCGAATCAGTCCGAATCTCCCCAATGGGCCGCTCGTGTACTTTGATATCAACAGAACGTGAGCCAGTTCCGCCCTTCGCTCTCGAATGTATGAGTACATTGCATCGGCGGATGAGGTATAGCCCCTGACCCCCCGGGTGGAAACCACTATCGGACAGATGCTCAATCGCGCGTCCGATGTCTCCTATGAAACATACGAAAATTCGTATTATATTTGCTTCGCCAATTGAGTCGCTTTTGTTCTTCAGTCCAGCCCGTTCTCCGCCTTCCACCTGTCCAAGTACAACTGGGGACTCCTCGGGCCCTCCTTGCCGTACTCTCGGTAGGTCTCCATGCCTGATTTTGCTCTTACGTTCTCGGTGACAAAAGGTGTGAGCTATGCGAGTAATCAGCATATCAGTCCGGCACCGTCTCAGACAAATGGATCAAAACCGAAAGGAGCTCGTACCTTGAATGTGTCCAACCCTGCGGGCACAACGTATGTCCGCACTTTCTCATAATCGATCCTGAAGCCACCCCATTTGTTGTGCTGTCCCATGTTTCCTGTGCGATTTCCCTTGTAGAAGCCCTTATTGATGTCCTTCGTCGTCAACCGCAGCTTGCGGAACTTCTTGCCGAGTGCTTGTGTTGGCCTGAACATGGTTGTTGTCTGTTTCGGGGGTCAACTTGACCCAGGGTAGCCGTTGGCGATTTGGGGAGCTGTGACAGAGTATTTGGCAGCCAATGCAGCTTTGGAGTCGACTCGGGGCGACCAGAGACCCAAATAAACCAATGTTTGAGCTGGCGTATCGTCAATGGCGCGTCGGTTCCCCAGGGTCACTGACAGTTGAAGTCGGAGGCTTGAGTGATGGAATTTTGGCGCCAATTGCCTGCCGGCCACATTGGCGGGCTGCTATCGATAAGCGTCCACTCTAAATTTTTGGATTCCTTCAAGGGTCTTTACAACCTACTCTGCGCTTCTGCCAATAATTTTCGTGACGACCAAATCAAAAATGCCAGGACGTCAATCTCATGGCCGAAGCCTGCTGGGCAACTCGCAGGCCAAAGCTTCAAAACGACCGAACCAGAAATCTAAAGCAAAAGCCCGAGCGCATGCACTCGATGCCTTCGCCATCGCTGGGAAACAAGTCCAGCCGGACCGTATGACCAGGCGCGGAAGAGACCTGGAGCTTGATCCCGAGAAACACGCCAGAGGCAGCAAGCATCGTCGAGACGAGGATGACGAAGACGATGACGAAGAGGACGATGAGGACGAGGACGAAGGTCCGCGCAAGAAGCGTCCTCGACAAGCTGTGGCCGACGGTGACGACGAGGACGAAAGCGATGGCGAGGAAATAGATGGTGGTAGTGACAGTGAGGGTAACGAGTGGCACGTGGGTGTCAAATCGGATGACGACGACTCAGAGATTGAGAGCGACGAAGCCTTTGGCGAAAGCGACGACGAGAAATTCGACGGATATGCATTTGGAGGTGGTCGTGCGCAAAAGAAGAAGAAGAAGAATAAGGGAGACGAAAGCTCTGACGATGAAGATGAAAATGACGACGATGGTGAATCGCTGGGTTCGGATGCTATCGATCTTGCGGATGCGCTAGTCCAGTCCTCAGACGATGATGACGAGGAGGAGGGTTCTCAGGGCGATACAGAGTCCGGATCGGAGGAAGAATACTCTGAATCTGAGCCGGACGACGATTTCGACGACGGTCATGCCGAAGTAGATCCAAAGAAGCTGGCCGAACTCCAGCAACTCTTCAAAGGCTATGCAGGCTCGGACAACGAGAACACAGAAGCAGATGCTGGGTCGCGCTCAACAAAGGCGAGCTTATTACAAGGCCTCGGGCTCTTGGACACTAAGGATCCTCTCATGAAGAAACAACTGAAATTAATAAAGAAAGAGGAAAAAGCCGAGGCGGGCAAGAAGGGAACACCCAAGAAGCTTGATGTACCGCTCGCTAGGCGACGACAAGACCAGCTAGACCGAATCGCAGCCTACGAGCAAACGAACAAGACATTAGACAGGTGGAACGATACGGTCAAGCAGAACCGCCGGGCCGATCACCTCATGTTCCCGCTCCCGGACACTCTTGCCGATGCTGGACTTGACAATGGCGAACTTCTTCCCCTGACCAAGAAAACCGCTGGCACTGAGCTTGAGCAAGCAATCATGTCCATTATGGAGGAGTCTGGCCTCGGGCCCGGCGCGCAGTCAGAAAAGCAGCAGGAAAAGAAAATCGACGCCAACGGCGAGGAGCAGACCATCTCCCGTTCCGAGCTGAAAGAGCTCTGGGCTCAGCGCCGTAAGGACCGTGAACTCCAATCTCGTGAGCAGAAGCGCGCAAAGCGCATCAAGAAGATCAAGTCCAAAACATACCGCAGAGTTCACCGCAAGGAGCGACTGGGCGAGGAAGCTAAATTGCATGAGGAGATGAAGGCTAGCGGGGAGATTGATTCGGAAGATGAGCGCGAAGCTGCCGCGCGGCGGCGCGCTCTGGAGAGAGTGGGCGCAAAGCACAAGGACAGTAAATGGGCCAAGATGGGTTCCAAGGTCGGTCGCGCTGCATGGGATGATGACTATCGGGCGGGTCTTACAGACATGGCCAGGAGAGACGAGGAGTTGAGAAAGAGAGTCGAAGGGAGGACTCATGCGGGCGAAGGTGACGAAAACGATTCAGATGCAACATCATCATCAGGGGACGAGGATGGAAATTCCAGGTTACTCAAGGAGCTCGATGGAGAAGACGACGAGGACGAAGACACCGGTCCATACGCCAATCTCATGAAGCTCAAGTTCATGCAGAGAGCCGAGGCCACGCGCAGACAGGAAAATGACGGTCTTGTTGCGGAAATCCGTCGTGGTCTTGAATCTGGATCAGAACAGGAGGATGACAGTGACGCTGAAGTTCAGGTGGGGCGACGGTCATACGGCGTGCCAGAACAGAAGAAGCGCTTGCAGCGAGAGGTATCCTCGATCAGCAACGGTGCAAAGAACAAGCCTTCAAAAGGCGGACTCTCGAGCACTAACGCACACACCACATCTGCAACAGATTCCAACGATGCATCGTCAGTACCGGGGGTACCAGACGCATGGTCGGGCGGAAAAGCGGCTGTTGAGAGGAAGAAAAAGAAAAGCACAGCCGACAGGCTAGGGGATCAGTTGGACATCAGTAACGTTGTTGGCCAGCCGACTACCGATCTGCTGAAGTCATCTAAGGCCAAGACTGCGTCCAGAGCCGCAAACGCAGGTGTTGGAGCCATAGATGACTCCTCAGACGATGAGTTCCACCATCCTCTCGCGGTCCGGGACCAGACGCTGGCCAGCCGTGCGTTTGCAGGCGACGAAGTCGTGGTTGAGTTCGAAGCAGAAAAAGAAGCCGTTATGTCAGAGGATGATGAAAAGATGGTCGATAATACCATGCCAGGCTGGGGAAGCTGGGCCGGAGAGGGCATCAGCAAACGGGCTATGAAGCGCAACAAGGGCAAGGTTATGACCAAGAAAGAAGGCATCAAGAGGAAGGACCGGAAGGACGCAAAACTGGAGCGAGTCATCATTAACGAGAAGAGGAATCGCAAGGTAAGTAGTGGAATTCTCGTCTTGGCTGATCTCGCAAAAAAGACCGTCGTCACTAACCCAGCTTTTCAAACAGAACGAGAAATTCCTCGCCTCGCAACTTCCGCACCCCTTCGAGTCCAGACAGCAGTACGAGCGGTCTCTCCGCCTCCCCGTTGGACCCGAATGGATGACGAAGGAATCGTTCCAGACGTCAACGAAGCCTAGGGTCATCGTGAAGCAAGGAATCATCGCGCCTATGGCAAAGCCGACAGTTTGAGTGATTCCGGTTTGTCGGGACTATCACTTGCTCAATTGACTCGCTCAGTATGAAGTCCGGAGTTCAGGGATACTATCAGATGCCGTATGTAGGGTGGCAATTCATTATGGCGACCAGTACATATGATGAAAGCCATCTCACAGGATTACAATTGGTACTTTGAGCTACTACTTGCGTGAAAACCACAGCTTGTCTGGGAAGTATGCCAACTCTAATCATTGACTTTGAGCCTGAAGGGATATGCGGATAGACTACAGAGACGGTAATTGGCCCCGCTCCCCGCCAGCTTGGCCAATATATCAAGTGCACATACAGAAACTTGTTCGTCCATAATCGTGCTCGAACAAGAGTTTGACGTTTGTGTGCTTGGGTTGATGAGGGGCACTTTTTGCGTTGCTACTATGTACGAGTCCCTTGCAGAAGACTTCCGAGACGCCGCAACGCCACCAGCACTACACAGTACTTTGATATTTCGACAGACTTTTTGTTGACGTTTCCTCTATTTTCACATCGTCCATTCCAGCTTTCTACGTTAATTCGCCGACTACAAGGCGGACGAATCTGCCCAAAGACCCACTTGGTGCTGTGGGACGCTTGTAGTTGAGCCGCATGGATGAGAGCTGTGAACCCCTGGCTCCCGTCTGAAGCCTCAATGATCGGCACCTCTCACAGGAGCATTACTTCCATCCATGTCTCCAATTCAAAAATCGAGTGGCAACACGTCTCCCATTCGAGCCCCAACACACGGAGCTTTCCAGCCTCTAAACTCCTGTTTTCTTTTCATTGGCGTGTTCGCGGGAATTCAAATATGACAGAGCTTGTAAGGTGGAGCTGCCGTGGACCGATCTCCGGTAGGGTGTAAAGAAGTCTTCATCATGACGACGGAGAAGGACCTCCGGATGGGTCCAGTCTTGCTGCAAACTTGACTCTCGAGGCCTGACACTCGCAGCAATACTATAGTTCTGAGGGCTTCAGTTACGTCAGAGGGGATACCATACTGTCACTATGGAGCAATTTTCGCCTGGCTTCATCTGCTTGTAAAAAAAAACAGCTTCAGTCGGCATACGATCAAGCACCCTCCAACCTTTCATCTTATACGTCCTGTCTTGATGCATCTCGGCGGATCTGTGAAAGTGTATCAAGACCCAAGATTGCACAAAATCTCAATTACCGCATCACAAGAATCGCGACCGCGAAGCGACTGAGGCCTCCTCAATTACAACATCACTGAAGGCAACGTGTTTGTATGCTTGAGCTGCCTGTTCTCAAGAACATATAGTTGATAATTTTGCACAGAAGCTGGGCGAATATCATGTCTGAAGAAGGAACTCGCAAGCCTCACAGCGAGAGCCTTGCTGGCCATGCTGCAGAGCAGAGACAGCTAAACCACTCAGAGCAGCACCATCGATCCGGAGCTTCCAGTGGGCCATTTGGCGAGCAGGGCGACTACTTTCAGCAACCGAATCATGATGGAGCTTCCAGCACTCGTCGTACAGAGCAATCATCGGGTGGCAGCTCAGACAAAATCAAGACACGCCCAAAGATGGCCAGTCGCCCCTCCACCTCGGCATCCTATACCCTCGGCAGGATGCATGAAGACCCAAAGACGTCGGACAAGATATCACGTGTGGTTGCACAGCTGGATGACGAAGGCGTGGAGAATCTGGAGCAGCTCGTATTTGAATTCGCGAAGCAGAGGTCCAAGCCCAAGGGGCAGCTGACATCCTCATACTATCGCGAACAAAACCCTTGGTATGATCAGGAGAGAAGCAAGCCCAACTTCAGTCTTGGCGATACCCTGCCGCACGTCGGCGAAGACAATGAAGAAAGGAGCCCTGGACGTGATCAAGTATGCACTTCTCCCAAGCTCATCTCGCATTTCCCCCGGTACCACATCTGTTCCTGCCATCAGACGAAGACGATGATGGAATATCTCTCTAACCTCTTTCTTTACTAGGACAGAGACAAGCCTGTGTTCAGCCTCGGCGAACCGTTGCCTCACACTGTACGCAGATCAAGACAGCCCCGGAATGACGATGAAGACGTGGAGCAGGGCATCCGCAGAAAACCAACCAAAGAAAGGGTAGACTCAGACGAGACACTCCAAGAGACACGACAAAGGACAACCAACAGACCGCAGAACGACCAAGACGAGGGGACCGAGACAGCGAAGAAATTCCAAATCGACGCTGACACCGTCGGTGGCCAGAGGGAGCAGGATGCAGTCGAGGACGGAAAGGCTGATCCCAACTCGATGCGCAACTGGTGGGCGCGGTTCCGTGCAAAGTACCCAGAGCTGATGGCCGAGTTCCTGTGTACCGCCATGTCTGTCTTCCTCGGGGTCGCGGGCACACTCACCGTCAACCTCTCGAAGGATCAGCCCACCCAGTACGGGTCGTATGAGACGTTGTGCTGGGCCTGGGGGCTTGCGTTCATGTTCGGGATCTATATGGGCGGTGGTGTCTCGGGTGCCCACATGAACCCGGCAATTTCCATCTCGCTTACTGTGTACCGCGGGTTCCCCTGGAAGCGCTGCATTGCATACGTTTTCGTGCAGGTTCTTGGTGCTTTTGCCGGTGGGATTATTGCGTATGGGCTTTATCACGATGCGATCATGGAGGTTGACCCCAAGATGTAAGTGTTATGCCTACGTCTCATTTTATTGGCTCTTCATGGCCTACCGAGACAGATCATTGACCTCATACGTGCATATATAGGACCGAGACATACTCAAGCTGGTTTGCGGTCCCTCAGCAGTGGGTCAGCCCGGCTACGGCGTTCTTCTCAGAGTTCATAGGTGGCGCCGTCATTATGATTGCTGTTCTCTCCCTGGGCGACGATCAAAATAACCCACCAGGCGCAGGCATGCACGCCTTCGTCCTCGGCCTGCTAGTGGCCGTGCTGAAGATGACCCTGGGCTACAACACTGGAGGCGCCATGAACCCGGCAGCCGACCTGGGCCCACGCCTTGCTGCCCTGGCCGGAGGGTACCGGACTGATGACCTCTTCAAGACGGGCTTTTGGGCATACGGCCCGTGGGGCGCCAGTGTTTCGGGAGCTTTGGTCGGGAGCGCCGTGTACGACGCTGTCGTTTTCGTCGGCAGCGAGTCGCCTATCAACTACCGGTGGTCAAAGGAGCAGCACAAGTGGCGTGCCCTCATGAGAAAATAGTGGTGATACTTTCTCGTGTCCGGCTTCTTGGACAAGCTTTTTCTTCTCCCACATGATACGGACGTAGAGTTTCCGTGGCATGTCATTAGCAAGCATGTAATTAACGAGGGACTTCCCAGTGAGCGTGAAATGCTTTGAATAATTCCGCCAGATTTTCCCAATTTTGTGTTTCGCATTTGAACTGAATTGTGAAAGGGCCTCATTGCTTGCCATGGACAAGAATGGTCCTGTCCATAGTGTTCTCTCTCACATTTGCCAGGCTGCCTCCGCCCAGTGAAAAGTTTACTCAAGGCGTCACTTTGCCACGTCAAACCACGAAGTTGTCAGATCAACTCATCAAGGGACAGCACCGAGTATTCTACCGTCCCTCTGATTTGTACTCTCCGGTTGCCAGCGCCCCTTCCTTATTTCTACTTACCTCCACTGGCTCGCGAGCTTTGATTTCGACATCCATATCAAGCCTTTCTGTACTTCCTCCAAGGATCACCGTCCCACCACGGGTCCTTCTTCTCTCCGCTGGCTCCCTCACCATTGCTGTCAGGCGTGCCGGCGGCGGGAGTGTTGTTCTGTGACTCCCGAACCTTGCAGTCTTGGCACACTCGGTCGACCGCGACGTCCTTGTGCTTGCCTCCGGCCCCGAGGCATGACTTGCCCTGCCGCTCTGGTCAGCCGATGGATTTTGGATGAGATGGTCTTGCAAACATATGATGGCCTCCGCAGGGGAAACCTGGAGACGCCGGTCGGTGAATGAGGCCGAGAGGGGGCGAGTAGAAGAGAAGAGAAAAGATATACAAATTCGGGACAATTGTCGAATTTGTTGAAGGCGCGGTGGCCGCACTTGAACAGGCTGTTGATCTGAGTGCACATTGCAGACCTCGTCAAGTATCTGGCACGGGTTGGGTGAGGGCGAGAAGATGTAGAAAGTCCCTGGGTGTTCCGTGAGTTCGATTTTAATATTTCCTCGTCGAAGACAAGACCAACGGTTCATCCACCTAATAGTGGGAATCCTGATGGTGTGGTCCTGTAGGGTGTTGTAGATCAGATCATTGGTGAGACTTTCCCGGATGAGAAGATACCCTCGTCCACCTAATAGTGGGAATGGGTACAGATGAGAAAAGAGAGGTGAGTGATAAGGGCCACTAGAGAAGCAGAGAAAAGCAAAAAGGAAGAATCAGAGACGCATGGCCACGAGACTTTTTGTACTCGGTTGCAGATATGAACGGCCGTCCCGGGGACCCATGTACCGTGCGGGAACATGCGGTCTGGTCTGATGTATGCAGCCAGTAGATCCAAGATTTAACGGCTGGCCCAGTTTCTCAATCGGCAAATTTTCCAGGCGTTCCTGTTGGGGCGAAGATGTTTCTAGTCCCCCTTTCCGTGGCGGCATCCTGCAGCTGTCACTGGGTTTTGACATCCTGCAAATCGAGATATCCGAGCCAGCCATGCGACCTCCCCCAACCCGAGGGGCTCACCCCCCTCGTTTTTTCTTCTTCTTTCTTTCCCTATGGCTTTTCCCCTCGACATGCAATGCATCCCCTTCCAGGCCGGGCAAGTGCTTCGTGGCGACTCGCATTACATCCGGCTCGTAAATGCAGGCCGAGAGGGTGATAATATATAAGCGAGCTGACGGGCTTCTTATCCTGTTCTGTTGCTTGCCCCGTCGCCGCGAGAAGGCTCTCCCCCACGAAGCCGGACGCCATCCACACCTCCCAGCTGCGGGATAATACCAACAAGGCCCACAGCTGTCACGCTACCCGCGGGTAGTGGGCTTTACACGTATGGCTACCTCCAGGGAAGGGGAACGTAACAACCAGAATGAATTGTCCATACATGTACTGCTACAGGAGAGAACACCGCATGTCTTGAAAAGGGTTAGGGTCACTTTGTCGCTAGGTGAGAGGTCATTTTCAGCGGTCCGAACGCGGAGACTCGCAGTGGTCGCTGGTCATCTGCAGTTGTGATGGGTTAGACTCACTCACTCATAGTCGACAACCTCACCTCCTGCAACCAAGACTCGTTGGGACAAAAGTGGGCAAATATGGCGCCTGACTTATCTACGAAGAACATCTCCTTCATTGGTATGTGAACACACCACGTAGAAGAGACCCACCCCACCCCCAGCCTCTGCCCTCAGCTGGACAACCATACAGACATACTCGTTATGCAATGCAAAAGTCTCTCGCAAACTAACAAACCCCAACAGGAGGCGGCAACATGGCCGCGGCCATCATCTCCGGCCTCCTGAGCAAGGGCTTCGACAAGCAGAAGATCCACGTCTCGGAGCCATGGGAGGTCAACCGCAACAAGATGGCCGAGCTGGGCGTCAAGACTACGACATCCAACCTCGAGGCCGCGTCCGGCGCCGACATCCTCATCATCGCCGTCAAGCCCCAGGTCGCCAAGACGGTGTGCCAGGAGCTGGCGGGCGCGTGGGAGTCGTCGTCCTCGAGCCTGCCGCTGGTGGTCTCCATTGCTGCCGGCATCACGAGCGAGAGCCTGCGCAAGTGGAGCACCACGGCCGCCGGCAAGGCGCCGCCCGTCGTCAGGGTCATGCCCAACACGCCCGCGCTGGTGGGCGAGGGCGCCAGTGGCCTCTACGCGGCCGGGGACGACGTCTCGGCCGAGCAGAAGGAGCTCGTCACCGGGCTCATGAGCAGCGTCAGCAAGGCGACCGAGTGGGTTGACAAGGAGGAGTTGCTGGATGTTGTCACTGGGCTATCTGGTAAGCGAGTCCTACTCTAGCCTCCCTCTGTTGCTCCAGGGAGCAGTCTTCCGAACCAGCCCATGGGATGAAGACATAGGAACCCACAGAAACCCTATGCCCTGTCAGACGCTGGAAACGCTCGTCACTGACCCCTGATCCCACAGGTTCCGGCCCCGCGTACTTCTTCGCCATCGTGGAGCACCTGGTCGCGAGCGCGACGCGCCTCGGCCTCTCGGAGGAGCAGGCGACGCGGCTGGCCAAGCAGACGTGCTTCGGCGCGGGCAAGACCATGCTCGAGTCGGCCGAGACGCCCGCGCAGCTGCGCAAGAACGTCACGAGCCCCAACGGCACGACCCAGGCCGCGCTCGAGAGCTTCGAGGCGTCCGGCCTGGCGGGCATCGTCGACAAGGCGGTCGAGGCCGCGACCAAGAGGGGCGAGGAGCTCGGGAGGACGCTGGCGGAAGCGTAGGCCCTCTCTGTTCATGTCGTCCTGGCTGGCCAATGATCATGCTTTTGGGCTGCGGGTAGACTGCCGGCCCACCACAATGCCAGCATTGATCAGTTGGACCAGCCGATGCGGTTTCAGTTTTGCGAGGTAGCAATGTAGGCACCATTCAAAACGTGGAATTGGCATTTCACCCGGACGCCTGAGCTGGTAATTGCAGAATCTTGACCGGCCCCAGATATTTTTACAGTGACAAAAGAAAACTTCCAAAACGCCCACACCCCTTCACTACATTGGTCCGCCTCGATACCAGCCCTTTCCACCAAGCAGAGCAAATTGTTGTAAAATCTTCGCAAACAAGCGGTCAAAATCTTGGAGACCATGTTTGAGTTGACTGTTGCCGGCTTTCCACAAAATTTTGACCCAGAGCTGTTGTTGTTCTGCGCTGGCATTTCGCCCCCTGCTTACTCCATGCATTTCCCAATGCCAAAACCTAGACCAGCAATTCGAAAACCCATGTCCATTCGTGACCGTCTAGTTCGGAACAGTCCAAGATGCTACCCAGAGGCAATTTCGTGGTTTGATCACTACTTCGGTGGCCGTTCATTTGAATCCGGAACTTTTCAGAAGATGGAAGCGTAAATGTTGTTGAGGGCGTCACTAGGGGTGGCGTAGAAAGCCAGGGCGATAATAACGTATAACCCAAAAAGCATGGCACCTTCGAGGTAGTTCGACTTGCCGTCCTGGACAACGTAGGTGACGACGAGGACAGAAATGAAGAACGAAACCGTCTCGACTAAATAAGGGAATGCAGTGTAAGCCTGAGGACCCACAAAAAGAAGCAGACACGCGCGGGAATAATATGGGCAACTTACACGTCTCGAATTGGAAATCCATCGGTCGATCGATGGCCCAACCGAGCAGAACAAGGAATGGAGTAACGAGGAGGGCAATCTGTACACTTGATCCGACAGCAACTCCCATGGCCTGCATCGATGTCAGTGTGATTGTTCAGCGTCGCAAAGAGCCTCTGCCATATCGATACTTACCAGGTCCATTTTGTTCTTGATTGCCACCACACAGGCCGTAACGTGTTCCGCCGCGTTGCCAACAATCGGAATGAGGATGAGACCAATGAAGTTTTTGCTGAGTGCCCCAGTCTCGACAATAGGATCAATAGCGTCGACGAGGTAGTCTGCACAAAACGAAATTATAACGGTTGTGACCACCAGGATTGTCGCTGCAGACCAGGCGCTCATGGATGAGTCTTCCGCTTCTTCGTCGTCCTCCTCCGCAGCCCCGTTTTCTTCCGGTTCCTCAGGGTTGAAGAGGTTCTTGTGCGTCCTCAACTGGAAGAAGAGATAGAGGCAATACAGAAGCAGCAAGATGATGGCTGTCCCTCGCGATAGAATCAAAACGCTCTTGTGGGCGGCTACTTTGTCCTTGTCGCTTTCGAGAACCATGAATAGAGTGGCCGGAATGACTAGGGATGCCGAAGAAAGAGTCATTAGGGAGCAGGCAGTCTGCGCCGTTCCTGAAGCAAACACCTGCTCCGTGCCAACACCGTTCGAATCTCGCATGTTGAATATACCGCCAAAGAAGAAACACATGCCCATTACCAAGAGCAGGTTGGAAAGAATAGATCCAAGCATGGAGGATTTGACCACTTCGATTTGGTTGTTCTGTAGAGCGATAATGCTCACCTAACCCAGGTGTTGGTCATAAGAAATCCAATAGTATCACGAGTTGGAGTACTTACAATCAACTCGACAGCATTACCGAATGTCGCATTCAGCAAGCCGCCGAGAGTCTCGCCCAGTTTGGACGAGATCTCTTCGGTGGCAAAGGACAGGATGGCGGCCAGAGGCACGATGGCCAGGAAATTGAGGGTGAAGACAAGCGTGGGGCTCCATTCGGACACACCGGCAATGATACCAAGTGGAACAAAGATCAAGAGGACATTGACATAGTCTGTAATGAGAGTAAGAACACGATATGGTCAAGAGGGAAGTAGTATCAGAAGCGTCTATTTCATTTAGAAATGAGCTTTGGGTCGGGAGGCACTTACTACTGAGCAATGTAATCTTGAGTATGTTGAAAACGTGTACCGGCCACCTCACAAATGGATTTGGACTGTGCAACCCAGGTGTTTCTTTCCCCAGGAAGACCTGGCCCCAGAAGCTGCGGCCATTGTGGGACGAGTTACCGCCGTTCAGATGGCCGACCAAGGGAGTGTTCTCGTTGACATGGCTCTGGCCTTCGTCGTCGGCAGAACCGTTCTGGCCGGTCCTGTCGATTTTGAAACTGGGTCGCATTCTTTTTAGTTGGTCTCGGAAGTTGACGTTTGCTGTTTTGCGGCAAACCGCATTGTCAGCGATTTAGCTTTGCAAGGCCCCGCGCGTTGCGGAACGCTTCAGGAAGAACGGTAGTAACCACGAGTAGGGCAGAGCTTGGACCAGGGTTGTAAGGTACGGATGACGACTAGAAGGAGGTCGGGCATGAAGCTACTCGGGAGAGCTGGCAGAGAATGCAAGAAGGGGATTGGTGTTTCAAGGTGTGAGAGGGTGGACGGAGGTGAGAGATGGACAAGTTATGTGTAACGTCGGGGCCGGGAAAGTGATTCAGAGGACGTTAAGAGAATACAGTCAGGTTGGGCCGCGCGAACGATTGGATGGAAGGTACTTACAAACCATTGTCGTGGAAGACACCTTCCGTACTGCCAACGTTGTTTAGATTGGCAAGGCGCACAGCCGGGTTGATCCCAAGAACACGTGATGATCAGGGGCAAATATACCAAGAGGAAACTATCAAAGCTTCCCGACGCAGTGGTGCGTATAAACACAAGACGATTGTATGTAGGAGGAACGGTCAGGGCTGTTCCTCGATGGCTGGTGAACAACGAGTCCAGCGCTGATCGCAGGCAGGAGGGTGGGGTGCCAGTGAGATGAATATGGCTGAGGCGGGCGAGGCCAATGTCAGGAGCGGACAAGACCCAAAGCGCGGGAGCTTATTTGGAGAATGGAACGGGGCTGGCGGTGTTGAAGGGTGATGCCGTGGCAGGCTGAGCAAGAGATAATGGCGATGATGATGACGGATGGCTCATGTATTAGCTTGGCTGTGGCTGGAACACCAGTGGAACCTAAGCCGGAGTGCTGGTGGTCTTGGCTGATTCGGTGTCGAGATTGAGATGTTTTTGGACGGATGGATGGTCGCAAGCAGCTAGAGCTAGCCCATGGGGAGAGGAAACTTGAGAGAACGGACGAGGGACCTGGAAACAAAGGAGGACGAGGGTGTCAAGAGACGGAGTGACGATTTGATTTTGGCTACTAGAGGAAACGGAGAACGACGTCAGACGGTGGTTCCCTCCGCGTCAGGAACAAGACCCTCATGGACCCTTCTATCTCTCTATTTTTTCTACAGTATCTCATCTCTCGCCCCCGATTCCTGCTGGCCTGCTCGGACTGTAACCTAGCGGATTCAAGGCCGACGAATTCCAATCCATGCGATTCCACGTCACTTGCGGCAATTTCTTGGACAGGGCTCACTGGCACCGAGTTTGGACGGCGCCTGCGTGTACGCTGTGCTGTGATTGAAACGGGCCTGATGCTTGTTTGAGGTTTCTGGGCAAGCTTTCGAGAGTCAAGATCGCTGGGAGCTTTGGCGCGCCTGGGCATTGGGCAACGGGGCTAGCTCCTCGGATTTTGGACGTCAGATTGGTCAATGCAGCTGCTGTGGTGGGGAGCTCTCCAGGCTTGCCCCAGAACGGGTAGCTTTCAATGTCCGGGCTGCAGTGCCATCTGCAGGTGCCCGATCATTTCTCACTTTCCGCTAGCATATCAAAGTCGATGTTGACTTGGCGGCATGGGCGGCCTCAATTTTCTCGTGACACTGCATGCCGTGGACGAACATCAGCAGACCAACGTGTGCGTTGTCTCCCAATCACCAACCAACCCGCCCTCAACAATAGAGGGAAAAAGTGGCCTTGGCGTATCCTACCTGTCCCACCGCCCACGCCCTGGCTGAGCAATCCTAATGCGCGCATTTCCACTCCCGCGCGGCCTGCGATGATTAGAGAGAGTCAATCGTGAGCTTCCTGCAGGTGGGAGAGGGTCGCGGCCAGCACCCATTCGCCGCATGGCCTGCGATGACACTGAGTCATCCACGTGCAGTCTTGGTCAGCGCCGTCTATCTGAACCTCAGGTCGAAACCAGATGCCCCTTCCTCCGCCCCCATTCCGGGTCCCGACGCTCCTGATGCCCCTTGAAACGATGACTGAGCAAGACGAGCACCCCGTATATCCTCAGTACTGCTTCCACCTCTCTCCCACCATCAACAGGTTCTGCTCTCTGAGGTCCGGCGACATCCAAAACCTGACCACACACCCAGGCTTCGCAGGTGCGCCGATCATAACCTTCGCACCGAGTCATTCGCCTGTCCTAATCGTCTCGCAGGACAAGACGTCTTCTTCCACAGAAACCTCCCTCTACGATGGGTCCGCATCGCTGGCATGGTTGTTGCCGTCGACGAGTTCGCCCACCGCCGTGTTTACACCGTTGATGACAGCGACGGTCTGTGCATTGAATGCGTCGCAGACTTACCGAAACCCAACTCGAACGACTCCGCGAGCGCCGCTATCACAACCCTTCCAAAAGATGTCGACGTCGGCACTGTCGTTGACGTTAAGGGTGGCTTGACCTTATTTAGAGGTAACAAGCAGGTCAAGATCGAGAAGATGACGATCCTTCGCTCGACAGACGAGGAGGTGGCCTTGTGGGAGAAAGCCACGCAGTTCCGTGTTGACGTGCTGGACAAGCCTTGGAAGCTAACGGAAAGGGAAATCAGGAGATGTCGCAAGGAGGCAGAGAGGCAAGACTGAGGCATTCTGGACTCCAGCCATCTTCTCTGAGATATGGTGCATTCATAATCACCGCGGCCGAAAGGACAGAAACGGCGTCTCTTCTAAACTACGAGACATTCGCTGGAACTCGGGCCCCAAACCCCCCAACCTTTTCCCAACATCTGCGACAAAAGCCAAAAGGCTCTTCAGCTAACATTGTAGTACGGTATCACGAACCTTGCCCTCGACGTCGAAGCTGTTGTCTCTGGCACTGAAACAAGACGTTGATGTCTGACCTGGGAACAAGTCACACAGCCCTAACAGCCAGGCCAGGCCGGACCAGGCAGATGGGACCAAACACCCTGTTTAGGCTGCCAGGCTACTCGAGCTTCGTACCCTTGCTCATCGCATCGCGCACGAGTGCGGCACAGGATCCAGGGATTGTGGATTGCCAACAGAACAACCTATTTTCGGCGTACGCCAAGCCAACTATCAAGGCCGCATAAGGGGCCTCAGTAAGCGCACAATTGTTCGAGAATGGCGCTACTGCGCGAATCGCGGAAGCTTTCGAGGAACTTCCTGCACTGAATATCAACGGGCTGGCCGGGCCCTCAGCGCGGCCTAGACGAGTTTTCGGGCTCAAAAAACAGTTGACATTGACGAGATCCGGCCTTGGCAAGTTACCCTCCAACCATATGTCCCTGATTTAGCAGGCTCGATGCCTCCCGAGTGCGATGGTGGGGCCGTGGACCCTCGGAAATAGGCAGATGGTGTATCCTCAGGATCGTCAATGGTTCAGTCGGTGCGCGCACCAACACCGGAACCGACGAGAATGTGGGCAACAACGTGCGGTGTGATTGCTACCTACTCTCCGTGACACGAAGGCACCATGCAATGCGGCATGGGGCTTCTGGTGACGGCTGTCTCATGGTGCTTCAGGGGCTCTGTCCACGCAGATGAAAGCTGAACGTCAAAGGAGACTTGACTTTATTAGGCGGTGTTCAGACAACGCCAGATGTAGATCTCCGTGACCGACAATTCGGAGCTTCTAGTTCAAGCGCTCGAGTCGGAAATCCCACTTTTATACATATCCAATTGCCCATACATAATTTCGGCAAACCTTGCATCCAGAAGTGCCTGAAATGCCAGAAATAGAGATATTGACATCAGACCTGAGCAAAGGCAGCGGGCCAGAAATTGTTGAAGCCTTATAGCGGTCTCCACCAACTGCGGGCTGTTGTTCGGACCATACGCGGGTGAGGCACCAGTGCATGAAAAGACCCTTACACGTGCCCAGATATTGCATCTGGCCAGTAGCTGTGCATTCCAGGCTGTGTTTATTATTTTGTAACCCCCAAACCACGTGGAATACTCGTGCCTGCACCCGGGCACGGAATCCTCATGCCGGAACTACTGTAGCACGGCGCGTCTTGCTACGACCCTGACATGCGTATCTGAGAAGTTCAAGAACTGTGGAACAGCGCCCCCCGAGTTGATAGATACGATATGCTCTGGCGTGCCTGGACGCCTATCCCCTATCGCATCGCTATCCCCCCCTGCGCTAGACTATTAGTCCGTCAACGGTCCCAGATATTCTTTTGCGCATGTGTACAGTATCTCCTGAAAAAAGTACCCATGGCAGTTGTACTGTCCTCAAATGGCCAAGGTCATCCCGGCGCACTGGGATTCTTCCCGGATCGTGACACCACATATACCCAGATGGTGAGACTCCAAACAGCCGCACCCCGTTTGGGATGGGGTGCTACATTTAGCACGGCACCCGAGCGGAAAGAAGGGCGCGGTGGCTGCCTATGATTCCTGTGGCGGGCGCGCCCATGGAACCAACTCCCGACCCGCGACTGCACGGCGCGGCGCGAGCACTAGGAAGAGTTTGACTCCTGGGCAGGGCTAGAAGCGCGGAAGAGCCGTTCTAGAAGCCCAGGGGAAAGGAAAAGAAGCAACAGGATGGCTGCGCCATCTGAAGGGTCAGGGGCCGGCGATCCGATAGTTTGCAAGGTGGGAAGGGGAGGGAAGGGTGTCTGTCCATTTGCTACGTAGCTGCGCGGTGTGTAAAGCATTGCGTGTCATGTCTGTCTTCGCATGTTCCCTCGGTTTAGATGTGAACGGCGGCCGACGTGCGTGTTACCCTGCGATGACTATACGATGAGAAAGGATGACTACAGCCGAGTTGCCAGTAGGACGGAGCGGGATGAAGGAGAGCATCGGACAACCCCGGTCGAAGACATTACTACGCAACACGGTCGTTGGATGCTAGCATTCACAGTGCCGAGGTAAGAAGATAGACGATAGTCATGGCAAAGTAGGATGGATGGATGCGTGCACAGGATGAGATGAGTGCAACAGTAAGGCTTGCTTAGTCCTCCACGCAAGCCGCCATGGGGCGAGTATCTAGATAGAACTTAGTCAAGACCCTTGGGACGTGTCTGGTCCGTTCGTCCTGTCTCACTCCCCTTTTATCCAGGCTGGTGGTACATAGGCTGGTGGTAGGTTGGCACATTCTTAGCAATATTGGTGGGTCCCACTCATCCTGTCATCATATAGCGACGGATGGCGACGAGGACGAAGGATGAATAGGGCCATGGAAGGAGGATTCAGAGTCTCACGTCTCGCCTGGAATTTGCGCCCTGCAGGCCGGAGCGTGTTTGGGTTCCTGGCTGCTGATTGTGCGGGCTGGCTGTACTAGGCTTGGCTTCACCGTCAGCTGGCCCACAGGTCAAGTCCCTGGACGTGCATCTGGGATCTGGGCAGGCAGGAATCCATGGGACGCGCCTGTAGCAGCAGACGCTAACGAGGCCAAACTGAGGAGAAAGCGTTCCTATCGACGACGCTTTCGCGCCAACTAGGGGCCCAGGGCAGGCCCTCGGGACTGGGGGAGGTTGGAGGTCGGAGGAGCAACGGCAGTAGTATCAGCAGCAGCAACAGCAGCAGCGCAGAGGCGAGCACGGTTTACGGGTTGCAGTACATAACGCTGCACGGCACGGGACACCCCTTCAACCCCGCATCCCGGTCCCTGTTCCCGCAGCAAAAGCATCACCACCACCTGGGCAGACAGGCATACACAGTAGAGTAGTAGAGAGAGAGAGAACGAGAGGCAGAGAGAGAGAGAGGGCAGCAGGCAGAGGCAAGCTCAAGCCGCCGCCACCTAAGCCTAGCCTAGCCTCCTCCTGGGACAAGGTCTGGTAGGCCAGGGCGAGGGAGAAAGTCCATCTCCATCTCCATCTCCATCTCCATACTGCCAAACTGCCAGACCGACTGACTGCCCACCTGCCCTCACCTGTGCAACTTTCGCCCGCTCATCTATCGTACCGTGCTCGTGCTCGTGCTGGTCGACCACTTAGTTGCGCCGCATCACTCACGATCAACCCTCGACCATCGCAATCTGCAGCACCTGCTTGTCAGTGTGCCAGCTTGCCCGCCTCGTGAGCCAGACAAGACAAGAGACAAGACAGATAGACAGATCCAGGGGGCTCGCAACTTTGCTTGCATCCGCATCCCCATCCACATCTCCGTCCTCATCCTATCCACCTGCCACCCCACCACCAGAAGCACGCTCGACGCACGCACTTGGTCCAACCCACTCTCATTCGACTCCAATCCAATCCAATCCGATCCAGTCCAGTCCAGTCCAGTCCAATCCAATCCAATCCGGTCCAGTCAAGTCCACCAGCGGCAGTCCAAGGACACAACCAACCAAACTGAGCAAATCCATCCATCCATCCCCCCCCCCCTCTGGTGCTTCCTGCCTCGCTTCTGCTCGCTCTGGCTCTGGCTCTGGAACCTGGCACCTTTACCTCATCAGACTCTGCAGCTGTCTATTGCATCCTCCATTCCTCTTCCATCCCTACCGCATCTGTCAGCGTATCTGTACTATCTTCCTTTTTCCCTTTTGCAGGCCTGCAGCCCAGCCTGCCCGGTCGATTATCATCCTGTCATCTCCCGTCTCTCTCCCACCAATCTCCCCCCCAGCCATTCGCTGGCTGCGGCTACTCTGCTCCTTTCCCGCATCGACAATCGACACCACTGGGGAGCTTTCCTCGATCCAGCCCAAATCCATCGACAACAACCGCCAGTCTGCCCACCGTTCCAGACCAACCTTGCTCCTAGACACCCCACAGCCTTCCTGCTCAATTTCGTCCTCGACCTTACAACGTGCCATTGAGTTGGTCCCGTTGTTGCCTCTTATACTATTTCAGGACAAGACGAGACAGCCGGCTCTCACAGGCGCAAGGTACAGCACCGGCCGGTATCCACCTAGCAGGCAACCTCACCGACTTCGTTGCGTCGCCGAAGGCACAACAAGCCCTCCGAGCCGACACCTGCCCCGATCCCCACGATCAACCAACATCCGTCAACTGTCAACTCCTCTAATCGGCCTTCGTCAATCAAAACAACACCCTCGCCTCCACAAAGGACAGCTATCTTTACCCAAGACCATCTCCACCTGCCACCTGCCATCCCTGCCTCTGTCCGCACTCCCGTCCCTCGAACAAAGCCAAGTCGAATCAAAGCCTCTCGACCTGGGTTACCCGTCTGGACGAACGAGCCGACTGAAATGTCTACGGTTGAACCATAACTCAATCATTGCCTTTCGAGTTCGAGAGCTAGGGCGGTCGCTCCAATGGGTAACAGCCAGGGCAAACCCGTCGAGTTCGACGGAGAAGGTGCTTATCTCTCCTAGCCACTCCTTTACACCGTGCCTGCTTCCGCATCTGGCCTGCGCGCCGTCGCATCTGTCTTTGGGTATTTGACTGACGACTTTGTTTTGTTCAAACAGTAAACCTCAATCATTTTCGATTGCTGCGAGTCGTCGGCCGAGGAGCTTTTGGCAAAGTACGCATCGTTGAACGAAAAGACACCAATCTTTCGTTTGCCTTGAAGTATATACGCAAAGATGAAGGTGCGCACACCGGGCCCCGAGCCTGCGAGCCCTGCTCCCGGCATGGTTGCTGACATCGTAGACACCATACAGTTGTCCGGTCCGAGAGCGTCCGGAATATCATACGAGAGCGCCGCATGCTTGAGCATGTCAACCACCCTTTTATCTGCAACTTGCGGTACAGCTTTCAGGATATAGAGTATATGTGCGTTCGCTCCCATAATCCTTTCATTCCCCCTTTTGATATGTGATACTGATGCCTTGTCTCAGGTACCTCGTTGTTGATCTCATGAGTGGCGGTGACCTACGATTCCACATCTCGAGAAAGACTTTTACTGAAGAGGCCGTGAGGTTCTGGATAGCGGAACTAGGGTGTGCTTTGAGATACATACACGGTCAGGGCATCATCCACCGTGATGTCAAACCGGACAATGTTCTCCTAGACGCAGATGGTCATGTCCATCTTACAGATTTCGTAGGGACACCCCAACCAATGCGGAACTACCCTTGTGTGCTAACGGAGTTTTACAGAACGTGGCATCAGACATCATTCCCGGCAAGGTTCTCACAAGTAAATCCGGCACTCTTGCGTACCTTGCTCCCGAGGTCTATGCCGGACATGGCTACGACAGACGGGCTGACTGGTGGTCACTCGGAGTACTCTTCTATGAGTGTATCTACAACAAGGTTAGTCATCTACAAAAGCACATGTTCAATCCTCTCCTGCGGATCACACGGGAGCTCGCGTCAAGAACACTGGATTCACGATAAAGTTTATTTGCGGTGGGGTCAAAAGCTAATGTGTTGCACAGAGACCGTTTGAGGGGAATTCTGAAAACGCTTTGAGCACCGTCATACAGGCGGCCAACCCCAAGTATCCAATCACACAGCCACCCGTCTCTCTGCTTTGCCTGTACGCCATCAAGGATGCATTGACCGCGGACCCGAATAAACGAATGGGTCGTACATGGGAAACCTTCACGCAGCATGACTTCTTCCGGGTCATCAATTTCGAGGCGCTCGAGAGGAAGGAGATAGAGCCAGTATTTGTCCCTTCGTCCGAGAAAACCAACTTCGACGCAACATATGATCTGGAGGAGCTCCTATTGGAGGAAGCTCCTCTGGAGGCCCGGGCGCGGAGGCAAAAGCCACGGGAGCGGCTCAAGGACGACGCCACAGACAAAGAAATCAGAGAGGATGAGCTCTACAGGATGATAGAGTCCGACTTCAGGCCCTTCGATTACACTGTGGCCGCATACAAAAAGTAAGTCTTGGTCATTCACCGTCTCATGCAGCATGTACTGACTCGGCCTTTAACACAGGATCACGGAAGGTGGCGCGGAATGTGAGCCCGCCGCGGCGGGCGTCAATGGGTTGACCGATGCACAACAGCCGCAAGCGCTAACCACAAATGATGCACGGCCATTGTCACAGGCGACAGGCTCATCCAATAATTATCAGGCTGTAACAGGGCAACCGCTCGCCCCTTCGCGGTCTACAGAAGGCAACCCTACAGCACAACAACATGCCAAGGGCCTACATAACAGCAGAGAGCGGAAGGGAGGCCCGGGGCGCCCACCTCCCTTGCCCCCATACCCGAACTCATATACGAACTCGAAACATGGCAAGGCAGCGGGCCCCAAGGGCATATTTGTCGAGAGCCCGACCGGCGGCGTTCAAGTGACGCTCGACGGCGGCGGCAGCTGGTCAGACCTGGCGCGACAAGATGCCACGCTTCCCGCGGATGCAGCTGGTGGAGGACAGGAGGGTGGCAAGGTCGAGGCTGCTTCCGGCGGCGTCTTTGGCTTCTTGAGTAGGAAAAAGGGAAGAGGCAACAGCCCAAAGCCGAAGGAAAGGGGAGTCCTTGGGAAAGAGGGTGCCCGAGTCGTAATCGGTTAAGCACAGTTCAGATCGTCGAGGATGACGGGCCGGGCTATGTTCATGAAGAATTGGGGACGGGGAAGCTGTCGGGCATTCAGAGCCCTCTAGCCTGACCCAACGTCCGGCTGTTGAGAGGAGGGTGCAGCCGGGAGATCGAATTCATCGAAGTCGCTCCTACTCTGGGTGGTTTACCCGCGATCATTCAGTCGTCATTACTGCAGCGTACTTCCACCTCGAGGTGACCGCGCCAAGGCCCGAAACGCAAGATGGCGATACCAAAAGGCGGATGAACAGCCGAAAGTCCTGCTAGCCAGTGGTGGTTAGTAGGGTGGGATCCGATGGCCCCATTGCAGATGGACCTTTCCGAGGCGAAGACTTTCCAACAAAGAACGGCGGGTCAGCGCTTCGGATGTGAAGGGACGGCACAGGGGTGACAGGTGGATGCCGTTGCTGGCATGCACGGGGCGGCAGTGCCCTCTTTTCACACGCGCGCCATGACGCTCGGTCCGTGTGCGAATGTATTGTTCATGGCTCATTCGGCGTCTTTGATAGAGTGGTTTGGGTGGGATGTATTGGTCGCAGTACAAGCTTGCATGGGATTCCGGATCGGGAATCGTGGAGTCGTTTGGTGCATGAGCGAGTCGAGATATAGTGTGCCGCCCACTCTCCATTCCCTTTTCCATTACTTCCCCGCATAACATTTTTGTCAACATTTAGCATCACTTAGCAAGCATGGAGGCTCAGACAGCAGGCGAGCTCATTCCCTAGAAATCATTAGTGGGGGTGGCCTGTTGTGGGATTGTAGAGAGACTATAGGTAGCGGAAATACCCAAGCAGTTCGATAAGTAGATTTTGTCACGAAGTCTTTGCGAGGTCTTGACATAAAGTTTCTGGAATTATGCTTCTCGAACAACATTTCTTCAGAAGCTCTCGAAGGCTAATATGATCCAAAACTTATGTCAAGCCATTCTCTAGAATCCTTGGAATTGATAGGCGATTGATTGGCTTGATGCGGACCTATGGAGTTGCTTGGAGCTTCTAAAGGTTCTAAAAGCCGTATCCGGAAAACCCCAAACTACCCCCAAAGGTTCAGATTCGGCCCCTCTTGGCAGGGGCTGATTGGCCCGCGTTGGGGGCTTGTGACGCGGGCCAGGAGCTCCAGCAGTTCAACCTCAAACAATCTCGCCAACTCGCTCCTCTAGCAACCAACCAGACCACGTCCCTTCTTACATCTACTCAGCAGCATCGCTCGAAGCTCACTGGCCCCGGATAGCCAAAGGGGAAAACCGAGGAACAGCCCCGCCCGCAGAAGACCGCCCGAATAAACGATCAGGATGGATCTGGCCTACGACCACATCGTCGAGGAGTCGCTCCCAAAGGAGGACGACGGCAAGCGCAACAAGACCGGCAACAGCGCCGAGCAGACGCAGAACAGCCTCAACGCCGAGTTTCAGGATGCCTACAAGGCCTTTTCTGCGAGTCCGTGGGGCGCGCGGATCGGCGGGTTCTTCGGGAATGTGGTGAAACAGGTACGTCCTGGGAGAAATAGGGACCCGGGGAACGGTGTGTGGCGTAACAAGCATCGGGGGTTCTAACATGTGATCCGAAAACACAGAGCGAGACCGTCTACCAGGGCGCACAGAAGGAACTCACCGCCGTCGGGAGCGAGGCCCAGCGCGGGTTCACCGGGCTGACCAACGCCGTCATCAATCGGACCAGAGGCCTGTCGCTGGCCGGCGGGGCAGAAGCTGGGGCCGCGGCTGGACAGCAGGAAAAGGGCGAAGAAACATCCGGCGAGAAGCCCAAGGAGCTCACCACGGACGAGGCTATCAAGGAGTCGGAGAACGTGCTCTCGCGGCTGCGGTCCGAGGCCGCCAAGCGGCTCAAGGACATCCAGAGGGCCGAGGACGCGGCGGACGAGGCGCTGCTGCGGTTCGGCACCAACATCAGCGCGTTCCTGCGGGACGCGGTGAGCATCGCGCCGCCGTCGGGCGACGCCAACAACAACGGCCAGGGCGGCGACAACAACACCGTGCTGTTCGAGAGCAAGGACGCCGCGGGCAAGAGGGTCATCCACACGAGCCGGTTCGACGCGCAGCTGCACGTCATCCACACGTCGACCGAGAGCTTCACCAAGGACCCTGCGACGGGCGACTGGGACAGCTGGGGTAAGGAGTTTGACATCAAGGCCCGGACCGAGGACATTAGCCGGGACCTGGAGAAGTACCCGGAGCTGCGGTCGACGATGGAGAAGCTGGTGCCCGAGACGATACCGTATGAGAACTTCTGGAAGAGGTACTACTTCCTGAGGCACGGCATCGACATTGCGGAGGCGAGGAGGAAGGAGCTCTTGAAGGGTACGTGCTGATCCTTTATCCTATCGTTACACTATACTGTGTTGTATGTGTCATCTATGCTAACAACAAGCCCCTCTTGTACAGCTGCATCTGCCGAGGAAGAGGTCGGCTGGGATGAGGACTCGGACGACGAGGCCGCCGGCCCAAGCAAGGCCGAGCCCAAGAGGCCCGGCTCTACAGGGTCATCTACCACCATCCAGCCCCCCACCAAGACGTCCGCGCAGCCGTCCACCCTCCTGAAGCCGAACGAATCCCGCCGGTCCAACGACGAGAGGTCGCAGCCCGACAGCGAGACTAGCTACGACATGGTCGGGGCCGCGTCCGGCGTCCCGAGCAACGCGCCCAACAGCCCCAAGGAAGGCCGCAAGGCGGACGATGATAGCGACGAGGACTGGGAGTAATTGTTGTTCCTGTGGTTCTTATGTCTTTTTTCCGAGGGTTTGTTGAAGTCGCTGCTGCTGTAGTGGTATTTCGTCTTCGAAGGAAGGAGTCTGGCGTTATTGGAGGGAACGACGCCAGGGGTAACGCATGCTGTCAGACTTCCGAGGTCCTCTTGTATCTCTCATCCTGTAGTAGTCCGGCGCGACAACCTAATCACTGGGTATCATGACTTTTATATTTTGAACAATGACGCAGCCTCTCTGCACTCGTGGCCGTAGCGAAAGGCACGCTTCTCCCAAGCTGCGCGTCACAGCCAGCGGCTTCATCACCAGAACCTCAGATGCTCACCTCTTCCTCGTGACCTTGGTGAAGCCATCCTCGTCGACCTCAGGCAGCGCCTTGTCCTTCTTGGGCGCAGCGGCTGTCTCGACAAGCGCAGGGGCGTCCTCCATATCTTCATCCTCGGAACCGTCCTCCTCGTTCTCGTCGTCATCCTCCCAGTCCGTCTCGGCGTCCTGGTCCTCGCCGTGCTTGAAGTGGACCTTCTCGCCCTTGCGGGCCTGCCAGCGCGCCAGCAGGCGGTCGACCTCGTCGAAGCTGCCGCGCGCGCACTGGCCCCGCAGCCGCACGATCTCGGCCGCCACGTCGTACGCCGTGTCGTCGTCCACGTTGACCTCGAACTCGTCCAGCATCACCTGCAGCATCAGCTCCTCCAGGTACTCGGCGTCGGGCTCCTCCTGCGGCTGGGCGCCTTGTTGTTGTGTTTGTGAGGTGGTGGTGCCGTTGGTGGCTGTGGCTGTTGCTGTGAATGGGGGGAACTGCTCGACGACCTGGCCTGCGAACCAGTCGCGCTTGTCGGCTGAGTCGGCGCCGCCCCAGTTGTTCTGCACGGCGAGGGTGAGGGCGGGCCACAGGTTCAGGGAGAGGGCGACGCCTTGCTCGAAACGGGACTGGCGGACGTCTGTTTGGGTTCCAATTGGTTATTAGCTGGGGTGTTTGACTGGGAAGGTGTGGGGAGGGTTCAAAGAGTTGATATTGGGGACGAACCTGAGGACGCCTCTGTTGTTGCGCTGGACGCCATTATGGACTTATGGGCGCTGAGACTTTGGAGAAAGCTAGATTTGAAAATTCGATAAAAAATGTGAGAACCGTTGTGAGAGCTGTCAGAGCACAATGCTACAGACAGGGACAGATTCCAATTCGATATTATCAAAGGTGGGCGGCGATGTCGACGAGCAGTTGGTCTAACAGTTTAAAAATTTCGCGAGCTTGTCCTTGCTCACACAAGCCCCCCCCCCCCAGGCCCAGACTACTACGCCCCTGCGATAAGCCTTGTTTTTCTTATCGGGCGACAAGCAAAGATTCGTGCTGCAGTAGCGTAGCTCAGCCGGACCCGGAAGTCGGTGGCGGTTGGAAAACGTTCAGGGACCATCTCGCTTGGTACGATGACCTCATACTGGATACTACGCCCTGCGGACGACATTTCGAGCACACAGAGAGACGGTGTTAGACAATGCATTCGCTGGATAGTCTGTCAGTCCATCGTCGTCGTGGCGCATCGCCGACGCTGGTCAATAGCACTTGGCACAATCTCCGCCTCGAGAAGTGCTGTGCTGGGATGTGCAGTGCAGCCGACAGTGGCGGCCTTGGCTAGAGAGATTCTCCAGATGGGATACGGAATTCAGAATGCTGTAGGGATGTGCATCCTGTCAGGAACACTGCAGACATTGCACTTGACTCCCCACTCGGCCACAGCCAGGTCCGACACCGAGAATATCGCCCGGGGGTTCCGACTGTTCGGGACGGCGCTATTCCTGGGCGGCATGACAGCCTACTTCCTGCGTGGAAAGTCTCGAAGGCTGGGCACTGCAGAGTTCAGCACTACTGGGCACCACAGTCACAGTCGGCCACGATGGTCTGACCTTGACGATCGTGGATGGTGTGAGCCAATATTTCACTTCACGGCACTGGTCGATGGGCCCTGAGTCAGCCCCGAGGCCGACGGAGGAAAGGCTCGATACACGGATGTATCTGAAGTATCTGAGGGGTAACCAGGAGCATGGATGGCCGTTCGGAGTTGAAGACTTAACTCCTAATGACGAGCGGGTTGGCAGGATTGCTGAAAGGGTATTAGGGCGGACGGGACGGCAGATACGTCTGACACTGGACCCTCTCTCTGGCACCGTCGCACAGTCGCGAGCTCGCATCTTAACATCTGCCAAGCGCGGAAGTTACTGCAGGCAGTGAGGGATGATGTGGATGATGATGTGACGATCCTCCGGCTTCTGCCTCTCACAGCCGACAGCCTGCTAGCTGCAGCAAAGATTGGGGGTTGGGAGTCATACCGGGGCCAGATAATCGGGAATAGCCCACACTACTCCATGCAATCAATCCTGTTAAGTCCACTCGAGCAATGTATGGAATCAAGGTTGCCCCGTGCTGGCCGGGGGACAGATTCTTCGCCAGGCCCCGGTATGCCACTTGTAACTGGCAGGACTGGGCACTTTGGCACTATGCGGTACCACTATGCCCTGCACGGGCAAGGGTGATACTCTCAAGCATCAAGCCTCAAGCCTCGAGCCGCAAGCCGCAAGCCGCAGATACCCCCAGGCCGATGCGGCGTGCCAGGGCCCCAAGGGCCAAGGAGCAGAGCGCCCTGGGGCTGGGCCGTGTCATCAGGCGACGGACCGCATGTGGTCTTTGTATCTCCCCATTTGCATAGAGACGGTGCTGACAAATTCAACATCGGCTTCCACGCCCCTCCATCGAGACACACAGCCAGGAGGGGGAGGGGAGCCAGCCTCCGTTCTCTGTGCCCCCCCGCCGTCCACGCTCCAAAAGTCCAATCCAATACGATCAGTCAATCCAATCCTCCTGAATCCTGTCTCTGTGCTCGTCTCTCCTGACATCCACCGTACTGTACCCAAGGAAAAGGAAACTTCTAGCTGCCTAGAGAGCGTCAGCAGCCATTGGCACTGAACAAGACACTTGACACATCTCATCTCACCCACCCACACCCCCCTCCCCCCATTCACCTTTCCCCATCCCCCACGGCCGCGACGGTGTGAGCTTCGGGCAGACTTTCGCCTCTCCCCGTTCCCATTCCCACTCACCTGCATCTGCATCCGCATATGGACCCTGCTCGGACAACTTTTTGACCCGGCTTGGATCGCCTGTGAATCACGACCATCTGTATCCCGTCCGGCTGTCTGGCCTGGTATCCTGTATCCATCCGTCCTCTGTGTCCCTGGGCCGCCTAGGTCTGGACCGTTCCGTCCGTCACATCACGCCCGCCCACAGCACGGGGAGTCCATCTCCGTTCGCGCTGACCGTCCTAAATCCTCCTCCGTTTTGCGGTTCCAGGTCCCCAGTACTTTGTTCACCGGTTCAACCGTGCCCACCTTTTCGTATTCTCTTCTCTCAGTATCACTCACTTCCACGTCATTCCCACCTAGACGACTCCCATCTCCAGCCAGGGAATTCTCGACTGGACAACATATCACCTCTACACTGGGGAGGATTCAGCCTCGTCCGTCGTACCTGACTAGAAGGCTCTGACCACTCTCCTCACTGGGGCCTGCCTACAGTATCAAGGACCCATCCATCTCACTCGCGCCCTGCGCCGAAGCCAAGTCCAAAGTCCAGACTGCAGTGGGACGCCAGTGGCGAATTCCTTTCCCCAAACCAGGAGAACGGGGAAGACGACCACTTCAACCAACATCAGTCCCCCTCGACGCTCAGCTCCACCCAGCTCAACCTCTCCCGAGTTGACTTTCGTCGCCGTCGTCCATAGTCTACTCTCACAATGGCCTCCACAGGCAACCCTCACGACTTTGTTCTCACCCCCCAGCAGCAGAGTCTGCTCTTCGCTGCCCTCAACTCCAACAAGCAGACTGCCTCCCCCATGGCTGGCAACCTGCACATGTCTCCCGCCTCCTTTGGCAACTCCCCAACCCAGAAGACTGATCTCAGTGGCTTTGATACGAGTCCTTTCCTTGACTACGAGTATGACATCAATGGCGGCGACACCAGCTTCGACTTCAGCTTCGCCGATACCTCCAACGCCAAGATGATTGGCGACTTGCCCGGATCGGCCGGCAGTGACAAGTCCGGCTCCGAGAACAACGATACCGAGAAGAGAAGCCACCCAGACGATGAAAATGAGGAGGAAGGAGGTGATGCCAAGAGGCAGGAAACTGGAGAGAAGGTTTCCAAGAAACCCGGACGCAAGCCTCTTACCACTGAGCCTACCTCGGTGAGTCCAACCGCGCGCAATGCAAACATATCTACAGTTGCCATGTACTAACAAGCTCCATTCATACAGAAGCGCAAGGCGCAGAATAGGGCTGCGCAGCGCGCATTCCGGGAGCGTAAGGAACAGCATCTGAAAAACCTCGAGACCAAGGTCGAGGAGCTGGAGAAGGCCTCGGCGCAATCCAACCATGAGAATAGCGTCCTCCGTGCCCAGGTTGAGAAGATGACCACTGAGTTGAATGAGTACAAGAAGAGGGTTTCTCTGATGGTGAACAACCGCACCCCCAGCCTGTCTAATGGTCCTAGGCCTACATTCGGCCAAGCCGTTATCAACAACTTGAACGACGTCAACTTTCAGTTCGAGTTCCCCAAGTTTGGCCAGCTCCCTGGACCTTCCCCAACCGCGTCCAACCAGGCTTCCACAAATGGTCACACATCCAACTCGCAGTCACCGCGCAACGTTAGGAGCTCTAGCGAGCAAAACAGCCCCTTGGCCCAGTCTGCACGTCACGGGTCAACTGGGTCCAAGTCGACAAACGGGGTTGAGACCCAGGCCAAAGAGGATCTGGCCAATTTCTCCGGCATCTTCAGTCCTCCCTTGACCAACAACAATGTGGCGTCTGCGGCTCGCGGCAGGACAGACTCTCACAACAGTGCTGCGGCAACCACAACTTCATCGCCGTCCGCCTCATCAAACTCCCATGGAGGCCCAAGCTCATCTTGCGGCACCTCTCCTGAGCCTTACTCTCAATCGCCAATGGGTTTCAAGCCAGTTGATACGCTTACCACCATTGGTGAGGAGAAGCATCCTTTTGCCAACATGAACCAAGGTAAGAACCCGGCGCATGTATCAAAGCAAGTCTCGAGCGAGATGAACCAGAGCAATTTCCAGGAGCTTTGACTTTCGCCTGTGTTGTACGAAGGCTAATTTATGACAGACTTTGGCCAATTTGCAAACATCGACATGAATGACATGAACTTTATGACATCAACCAACAATTTCCAGTTTGACCCGCAGCTGTTCGGAGGCTACCGTGAGCCTCAGGAGAACATTCTGGGCAATGGTTTCGACGACACCTTCTTCAATGATGCGTTTGATGTTGATTTCACAACGCCCTACTTCGCCCCTAGCCCTCAAAAGAAGGACGACCTCATGTCACGGATCGATGCTGCGAAGAACGAGGACTCCACCGAGCTTGTCCAGACCACAGATGGCCAACTTCTTACCTGCAATAAGATCTGGTACGTACCACAAAGGTCTCCCGGGACTCACGTTACTCTATCTAACAACATTTACAGGGAGAAACTGCAGAGCTGCCCAAGGGTTCAAAACGGCGATTTTGATCTCGATGGCCTGTGCTCTGACCTCCAGAAGAAGGCCAAGTGCTCTGGCTCCGGTGCAGTTGTCGATGAGTCGACTTTCAAGAAAGTGATGCAAAAGTACTTGGGCAAGACAGACAAGGAAATGGAAGAAGGCTGCCCGAACGAGAAGCTCAAGCTTGAGCAACAGGCTGCTGAGCAACTCTCCGCTTAAGTGGACCTGAGCGGCGTCCCAAGACTAAAATTCGGGCACACAAGCACTAGCATTACCCCGGCAAACAGGCACGGCATGGAAACGGCAATGGCTGGACTGTATGGCAGCTCTTTGCCAGACTGGCGCAACGGAAATCTGCAATACCCAAGGAGGGGTTTTATAAAAGGGGAGGGTCCTATTTATTTTTTCTTTATCGGATCGGCGTTGTTCAGTTACAGAGTGTGAGGCTCCGGCCCACCTAGCATTGATGGATATCAGCCCGGCGAAAGGCCAACTGGGTCACGAGGCGTAACGCTCACTTGAGAAAACTGTGCTGGGAGATGATCTCAAGGATGGTGGTCCGCAGGATGCGACGAGTTTGAGCTGTTCAGTTAGTGCAATATCTGATGGTCGATTTCTGCTTGATTCCATCCGTTGTATACTCTCCTATCAAATTATTTTCCACGCCAATGACGGGTCCAAGTCTCGGAACCATGGCTTGAGTGAGATGTGAAATCAAGCGTGTTGCTTAGCAGTCACCCTCGCACCAAGGTACGTGTGCCTTGAATGACAACCCCATAAGCTTATCGAGGCCGAATGCATGCTTCTCAGACTATCAACCAGTCAAATCCATGTGTAGGTATCGTTGCCACCATATACGCCTCCACGATCCTACAGCCACAGACGAAATGGGGGAGAGCCAGCCACCGCCACCACAACACCCCAAGCCCAAGAGCATCCCATCCCGCGGGAGCTCCCGCCCCCGTTACGGCCGATGATCCCCTTTTAGTCTATGACGACAAAGCCCTTCCAATCAACAACTCCGGCAGCAACTGGCCGCAAACTGCAACGCTGGATACCTGGCAAGAAGGGAATCGGAGATCTGTCGGGAGGATTGCATCGGCAATTTATTTTGCCTGGTGCTTGAGGCTAGTGTCCAGACGTGACGTCTCATGGTCAAGCTGGCGCCCAATGGCTTCAATTGAATATACATATTTGGAGTTGGGCTTCGTCTTGTCCATTTGTTCCTTCGAGCTTCTTCAACTTAAGCTCCTGGCTATATCGCACATTATTACTAGCTACTACTTCACAATTTAATGTCAGCTTCGTTGCGAACGTCTCATTATCCCTAGCATCTCACTTTACAACACACACATACTAAGATGTCGGCCTCACGAGCACCCCTCTTCGACAAGACCCGCGCCCTGGGCGAGACCGCTCGCCCGCGCCGGCCCCGCGTGATCGTCACAGGCGGCTCGGGGAAGCTCGGCCGCGCCGTGGTCGGCCTACTCTCAGAGTCGTGGGAGGTCATCTCCGTGGACATCAGGCGGCCACCGATGGCGTCCGAGGACGGCAAGTCCGGGCTGGGCGGGGCGTACCGGCTGGTGGAGGTAGACCTGGAGGACATGGGCGCGGTCATGGAGACGTTCATCTCGACAGACATGGCATACGGCAGCGTAGGCGGGCCCGCCATCGACGCGGTCGTGCACCTCGCCGCGCTGCCGAGCCCCGGGCAGACCAACTCGAGCCGGCAGTTCCGCACCAACACGATGAGCACGTACAACGTGCTCGAGGCGGCGCGGAAGCTCGGCGTGCGCAACGTCGTCCTCGCGTCCAGCGAGACGCTCATCGGCATCCCGCTCGCCGAGGACGGGTGCGGCCACGAGCCCTCCAGCTTGCCCATCACCGAGGAGCACGAGCGGCGCCCCGAGAGCGCGTACTCGCTCAGCAAGCTCGTCGGCGAGGTCCTCGCCGAGCAGTACGTGCGCTGGGACCCGGAGCTGAAGATCGTGTCGCTGCGGTTCAGTAATGTTATGAGCCCCGTCGACTATGCCGACTTCGAGGAGTGGCAGGACGACCCGGCCAAGAGGAGCTGGAACGCGTGGGGGTATATCGATGCGCGGGACGGCGCGCAGGCTGTTGCGAAGAGTCTTGAGGCGTCGAAGACGGGTCATCACCAGTATCTTATTGCTGCGTCTGATACGTGCATGCGGATGAAGAATGACGAGCTGGTCAAGGCTTCTTTCCCGAATATCAAGTATACACCGACGTCGGGCCCAAGGGACTCATTGTTGAGCATTGACAAGGCGAAGAAGGAGTTGGGATATGATCCCAAGTTTACGTGGGAGGGCCAGGTCAAGAAGCCGGCGGGTGCTGGTACAGCGGTTGGCGATCATGTCGCGTGAACTTTTAGGTGGCTGGTGGCAAACAGTTTTGGGTGATGTATTGCGTCTAAAAAGTTCTGGATTTAATCAGTTGTATTTTGTATACAACACGCAGACCGTAGAAGGAAATCGGTCACATAGACAATAAGCCAGGCACCAATTTCACGGGCTTCACACAACTTTGATGATGTTTCCTTGTATTTGCCATCCTTATTGATCTACTCATTCTTCAGCTTTGAAGAGAATTGCATGCTTCTTGTTAAAACCATTTTTGGTGTTTAGGGGGGCTCGTCTTCTAGAAAAATCCCTATCACCCTTCTCTTTGTCAATTGCTTTGAAGCATTGGGAAAGTTGAACATAACTCGATTGTACTGAAGAGGAAAATTGATTCAAAAGGAATGCAACTGTAAAAAAATAAATGACGCAAAAATGCTTGGACATTCGACTCTAAGGTATCTATGACAGCACTTTTCCAACCTCTCACTACCTGACCTCTTTCTACTGCAATATTAGCTCTTGCACAGCTATCACACAGCCTCGCCAGGATCTGCAGTCTTCAAGACCCGTCTTATTGAATTGGTCGCTGTTGCAGTCCATCAAATTGCAGTGTACCTTTACAAGCTTGATCTAGACTTAGGCGGTCATAAGGACTTCGTGACTTGGGAACCGCCTGAAGATGATACAATTCTCTGCGCATACTATCCTGATGGCAAACTTCCAAGCCTGTTCTTTCATAAACAATACCTGGATTATCAGCAATATCCGGATGGGGTAGCTGATATCGTAGGATATTGGGCTGAGACACGAATATTTGGTGGTGTTGTGTTATTCGACAGGCGTAAACCCTATCAGCGGGAAGCGTACGAAGACGTAAGTCTCAATCCCTCTCCTACTCACTAGTCGTTCCTTGCTCGGTTCCTGACATGATGGAAAACACGAATATAGCCTGACGCTATCTTCTTTCATTCGTTTTCAAAAAACATGACCTACCGGATTTGGCAGCTACTTGATACGCAGAAAAGGGCTCTACTAGACTTTCTACTAGCAGATGATACACACGTGCAGGCAAATGACGTACCAAATCCATTTCCCATCTTGCCAGACCGGAACAACTTGACTCGAGTTGACCCTCAGGATTCTATCCAGGATACTGGTATTTATCGTGACCTCTGGGAGCGCAAACCTCTTGGTCACGAAGATTGGGATATTCGGCTGCATTGCTGCGCCATCAATGAAATGGATTACCCCACTATCGCAGACTATAGAAGGTCCAGGGACAGAGCGGCTGATCGCAGGGCGGACGTTGCAGAGAGGAGGGAGGAAAAGGTATCAGTAACAGAACCTGAGCAAGAAGAGGAAGACGAAGGGGCAGTGGCAAAAGTCTTGAAGGTGGACTAAAGAATACAACGCTTTGTCTGTGATCATAATCTTGGAAGTCTGCGCTATGCTACTTTGATGATTAAAGCCTTTGCTTCTCAAGCGGTTTCTCGGTTGAGAACAATCCTAGTCCAGCAAAGCTCATAAACCCAACTGCTGGAACTATGCGATATGTGAAGGCGTGGATGACATGGCGCCTCCTTATTGGTGAACTGTCTCATCAGCACGATCCGCATCGTTGTATAGCCGCTCTCAAGCTGTGGGTAAGTGAGCGAGGACTTTATTTGTAGTGGGTAACCGTCCATAGAACCTAGCCAACTGGTAGTAGTTGTGTCACAGTATAGCGTCCGTTGGAACTAGTTTTTGCGTGGTACCACGTTCTCAAATACAGATCGAAAACTCGTGATGGGCTGCGACCTGGATGTCTCTCGCCTTGCCTTGCAAGCACAAGATGAGGAATGAAACGGCGAGTGCATCGCACTGAGTGGGTTTGTTATCATTACCTTCACTCTCGGAGTATCTATGTATTCAGAGTCAAAACCATGTCCTATCGATCACAAGAGACCCAGTCATAGTCCCATAACCGTCAACGCCCGAACGCCAAACCAAATTTTCATGAACATGGCTGCGAGCATACCTCAGCGCCTCGATTTCTTAGCTGGTTTGGGCCCTGGGTCTCCAGACGCCTTATTCTTGCCGAGTCTCGCAGCAGCAGCCTGGAAAGCCGCCTCGTCCGGCTCCTCCTCAACGACCTTCTTCTTCCTGCCCTTGGCCGACTGCTTTGCCGAGCTACCGCCGTATTTCTCTACCAGGTGGTCGAAGAAGTCCTCGCCGCGGTCCTTTTGCCTGCTTTTTATCAGGGCCGCGAGGCTGTCCTCCGATTTGTCCTTGCCCTTCGACTTTCCCTTGCCCTTTGCGCCCTTCTTGTCGCCGAACAGCTTGTCGTGCACCCCCAGCTCCTTTGCGTAGTCCTCGGCCTCCTGCGCCTCGCCCTGCGCAGCCTTGACCCGCGCCTGCTTGGACTTGGCGCTCTCTTTCGTGTAGGCCTTGAACGCCTTCACGTCGCCGCTCTCGATTGCCTCGTCAATGATGCGCCTGAAGCGCTCGTCATCCACCAGGACATCGCTCAGCATGACCGACTCGTAGACGCCGTCCATGTCACCCTTGGACTGCTCGTATGCGATGAGGATGTCGTCCTTCTCCTCGTCGCTGCCCTTGTACTTGGCGGCAAATTTGTTGATGGCATCTTCGCTGATGGCCTCTGCGAACTGCTCGCGGTAGTACTCGGACCAGTTGAAGCCTTCCGAGTCGACTATGGATTCGGAGGTGGAGCCGGTGGCATCGTACCTCTTGCGCCGGGCTGGATCGGAGAGGATGGCGTAGGCGAAGGCGATGCTCTGGAATGCGGTCGTGGCTTCTTCTTTTTGGTCTTCTGGGACCTTGTCTGTTTGATGGAATGAGTGGTGAGTATTAACAATTATAGATGTGCAGATATATGCATTGAGTGTGTCTCAGCCATGATGAGGGCCTGAGAAGACGTACCTGGATGAGTCTTGAGGGAAGCCTTTCGGTATGCTTTCTTGATTTCATCGGGTGTTGCAGTGCGCTCGAGGCCGAGGACCTCATAAGGGTCAATCACTGGTGGCTCGGCGGCCATGTTGTCTTCGCTGTCAGACATTTTGAATCGTTGATGTTTGAAAACGCAAAATGTCGTTGTAATGCCTTGACCTTGCGTCGTTGGGAGACGCGACTCGACGCGCCCAGCTGCAGTCCAGGGTCCAAATGGAAGTGGAGCCGCCGTACGTCAAGGTGGGGGCTGTCTTTTTGCCGAGCTCGGCAGCGAACCTAGGGTTGACTGCAGCTCCCCGAACAGGCTACATGCAGAGCTTCGATGTCACTTGTCCAACTTTGTCTTTAACTTCATCTTGTTTATAACAAGATCGTCGATTTCTTGCAGTCGATTTACGGCAGGACTGCTACGATGTCTGATATCAAACCAAATGATCACCGTGCTTACATGGAACTCGCACTCGACTTGGCAAGGAAATCTCCTCCCAAGCCTACAAATTACAGAGTAGGGGCAGTGGTGGTAGACCAATCCACCAACGAGGTGTTGGCAAACGGATACACCCTGGAGCTGGAAGGAAATACACACGCAGAACAGTGCTGCTTGATAAAGCTGGCAAAAGCTCACGGCGTGCCAGAAGAGGACCTTGCTCAAGTACTGCCCCAGAACCTGGCCCTCTACACCACCGTGGAGCCTTGCTCACATCGCCTCAGCGGCAACAAACCTTGTGCTGAGAGAATTCTACATCTTGCTGGAGTCATTAAGACCGTTTATGTTGGTGTCATGGAGCCAAAGGAATTTGTGGCAGAAAACACAGGCCGAGATGCTTTGGAGAAGGCAGGCATTCAATTCATCCATGTCGAGGGACTGGAAGACGAAATACTCAGCGTTGCCAAAGCCGGGCATGAGCCTTAGGACAAAGAATCTGCTCCAAACACAGAGATAGAAGTGCTGCCTCGGGGAGATTCAATACGACACTCACCACAGACTCAGACTGCATCCTGGCCTCGGACATTGCTGGTCTTGAGTACCATCCAAACAGCCTACTCTTTCCAGAACTTAGGCAATATTATCAGCACATTGCAACCTTTGAAAAGGCAGGCATGGGGCCTTCCGGTTCCGTATGGGATACCGATGGGGACCAAATATACAGAGAGACACAGCTGCCCACCCTATCGTCAAATCTATCTCAAAGACAAACATACCTCACGCGAAGGACTCACTACCGGATCTATTGCTTCTCAGTCTGGATTCGGAAATAAGTGTAAGATGATGCCTGTCAAGCTGGAGGGGGTTCTATCAACGCATTGGAACTGGCTAGACGGTCATGGAAAACCCAAGGGTCGCGTCCTCGTGTTCTTTTACACACGACCAAGGATGTGAGAGAACACACACGTCTGTCCGATATCCAACATGTCAACCTGTAAACACTTTCTATCAGATGCAGTAGACTATGGCACATCCTTTTGGTGGATATCTGTCAACCTAAGATTCATTGCTCTATTTTCGTCTTAACCAAACAAGTCCCTGCATTATGTAGAACTAAGAGGCAGCATGAAAACGGTATCATAAATTAATCACTTCTTAATGACAGGCTAATTACGGCGGATATACCTGCCTTGAAAGGGGCTCATCGTTCACATCGATTCGGGAGACACTAGGCACAGGACGCGCGAGATTGGTGGGAGATTGCCAAAACATCAATTCCTCGTTCGGCTATTTGAAAGGCTAGCCCTGGCACTTGCATGTGCCCTAAATACAGTGAATATCGCGAATACGTCTCAATCTTTGGAAGAAAATGAAAAAAGATCTCCATCCTCATCGGTTTCCTCTCCGCTTTGCCGTTCCTCTCCCGCCCCTTCTTCCTTATCGTTGTCTGTGCCAGCAGCAATACCGACCGCTTGTTCCAGAGGGCCAACTCTGCTACTGGACGTCTCACTAGATTTGGCCTCCTCGTCATCTTCCTGCGTACGGCACCAAGCTTCAGTTTCCTCGGCCGTCTCGTCCCTCTCCCTCAGACTGTAGAGCAGCTTCTTGGTATCGATGCCGCTATACCACATATATGCCCGGTCTATGGCGTCACGGGTGTTTTGGGTGAATTTGAGCTTCTTGCCATGCTTATGCAGGATGTCTGTGAGTTTGACAGGATCAATTTTAGTGACTAAAGCGGAGAAGAGTTCTTCTGTGATTGAAAGGCCTGGTTCGTGCGTGAGAAATACATCCAGGGCTGCGGAACTTCCAGAAAGTGACATAACCTCGGCTATCATGTCCGGGACGAGCCTGATTTCTGGGTCAAAGTAGAGAAGCCACCAGAGCATGTCGGCCTTGTATTGGGTCAAAGGTGCCTCGTATGCAAGGAACGATGCGGCGTCTTGCAACATACCGTTGGCCGGGCCGAATCGCTCGAGCAGGAATTGGAGGTCCTCACTGGTTCTGGCAGTCTTTAACATCAGCTCTGTGACGGCAAGGGACGGTTTGCGTCCCCAGATAGTATCGAGGACCGAAGTCTGGCTGTCGCAACGGCCGCTGAGGTTTAACGCTTTGAGCACAATGCTCTCGGTGATTTCAAGACTGTCGTCGCTGTTCAGGAGCAATTCAAAAAGACCAAGCTCCTGTTGATTCTCCATAATTGCGGGAGTCACCTTGCACACAGGGAGGAATTCGAGCAAACTTTTCAGCGTGTCCAAGCGAAGTTCAACCATGAGCATTTTCTCTGTTATGCCCAAGCCGCCGCTGCGTTCGAAGAGCAGCTTCAAACTGTCTATTTCCGGGCTCTTTTCCAACTCGAGTAAGCGCACAATTAGATTCTCAGAGACAAGCATCTCTTTGTTGGTCTCAAGTAGCGATGCCAGTACGCAAGCGCCGTGGCGGATCCGAGCTGCCGCCAGGATGTCGTGCTCGCTGAGCTGCATACCAGGCGAGGCCCGGAGGATGATATTGGGCAAGTTGTGTTCACCATGGCCTCCGTCTGATGTATAGTCCAAGTGGGCCCGATAGCTGCTGAGGGCAAGCGTAAGGGCGGGTTCGCCCGCCTGGCTTGCTACTGCGACGGAGGCTCCATGCTGCAGCAGCTTGAAGGCGATATCTTTGTTGTTCATGGCGCAGGCTAATTGCAGTGGTGTTCTGTATGCTTGATGCATGTAATTCACGCCGGCCCCCTGCTCGAGGAGCAGGGAGACGACATCAAGATCCTCCCCGCAAATTGCCGCGAACAGAGGGGTTTCAAAGTAGCCACTGATGGAGTTGACATCAGCTCCACCCTCAACCAATTTTGTGACTATTGCGGTGCTGCCGATTAGACATGCTATGTGCAAGGGCTTGCCGAATGCACACTCATCTACGTCCGGATCTGCTCCGTGATCGATGAGAAGCTGCACAATGGTCATGCACTTACGGATGTCTCGTATCTTAGTGACAGGTGGAGAATAGGATTTCCAAATACGGGACTTGTCATTGTAGTTGTGGCCGCATGATAGGCTCTTGCTGAGCGTGCTCTCGGGCTGAAAGTCCTCTAAGCAGGGTCCAGCGCAAGTAAGAAGAGCGCACATCAATGGTGTTCCCTCCCTCGGGCTCTTGTAATGAACATCTGCGCCTCTCTGAACGAGAACCCGAGATACTTCATCCCTCAACTCGCGAGCTGCCACATGTATGGGGCGATCTGCGGTTGTTTTTTCTCCCTCGACACTCATGCCGGCATCCAACATGGAAACCACGTTAGAAACCGAGCCCGAAAAGCAGACTAAAGCGAATCGCTGCTGGGTTGGAGGGAGATAATCGAGCAAAAGGCATATGATTGAATCGTTCGGTTGGTCTTGTCGGACTACTGCGTCCAAAGCCTCGTCGATGATTGTCTCTGGCTGGTCGTGATTGCCGTAAATGCTTTCGAGGAGTAGTTCGACTAGGTCGACACTTCCTCCACAACAAGCCCTGAGGAGGCAATTCGGATAATTTGAACCTGCCGCTACGGCACCTTTAGCCAGAAGCTCTCTGACAATTGAGAGGTCGGCAACCTTGTCAACGGCCTCCAGCAGAGCAGTTCTCCCGCAGCTGACATGATTAATCTCGGCCCCTGCAACCAGCAGTCGTCGGACTATGTACAGATCATTCTTCTGCACAGCAGCGAGTAACGCTGGTCCAGCCGGAGGAATGGCCATGTCCTTATTTACATCTGCACCATTTGTCAGGAGGAGCTCGATAATCTGCACATGACCTCCATCAATAGCCGCGTGGAGAGGACTGGCCTGTTCCAGGTCAACCGTGGACGAGTTACTGTCGCTCGGCTTGCCAGATATGTCGACCGGTGCACCCGCCTCAAGCAAGGCAGTGGTGATATTGACACAGCCTTGCCGACAGGCTAGTATCAGTGGATGTGACCAGCAGCTGTCGTCTTCATGCACATCTGCGCCCGCCTCGAGGAGTGCGTTGACGATGTTGATATCGCCACTTGCAACCGCCAACTGCAGAGCACTTTCATACCGGTTTCCATAGAATTTAGGCTTGAAGTCAATGTCGGCGCCATAGGACAATAAGAGATGGACAATATCGCTATGGCCACCAACAATTGCTGCTCGCAGGGCGCTGTGCCATAGTTGTCCTTGAATATAGGACCGCCGAAAGAAGGCGTCTTCATCGGGTATGTTGATATTCACGCTGGCGCCATGCTCAAGAAGGAGTCTTACAATGCCATGGTGCCCGCTGCCTGCAGCGGCCAGAATAGGGATGCCATGGTAATCTCCGGACCCGTTGGGATCTGTTCCACGTGATAGGAGTAGCTCAATAAAGTCTCGCTTTCCGAGTTGGCAGGCCGCCTCCAAAACAAACAAATAATTCATGTCGTCGGTCTTCTGATATGAATAGTGTCGAAGTAATAGTTCAAGTAGTTCGAGTACGGCGGGGAGTCCATCCTTCAAGACGTGTGCCGGGACTTCACGTTCCCGAACACCGTCAACTGGGCGATCCTTGATTTTACGAAAGAATTTTGCAACCCTTTCGATAATGACTTGTGCTTTCTCAAAATCCACTGGAAAAGCCCCTCCAGCCTCCAGAATCATCTGTACGATACTGGCTGAGCCCCACTCCCTGGCCATCGCCGCATCCATAGCTGATTTACCATCGTGCACGCGAGTGACATCCGCACCGGCATCGATGAGTTGCCTTACCACAGTTTCAGGGCAGATATTAGCAGCAACCTGAATGGGGGACGCATCCTGACCGCTCAAAGCCGACGGATCAGCCCCATGGGCCAGAAGGCATGTCACAATTTCTGTTCTCCTTAGCAACTTTTCCTCGCCTATGGCCTGGAATGATTCACCCCAGAAGGGAGACTGCCCAAAAGACCGCAGGGCTACTTGTAGCAGGCTTGTGAGACGTCCTTCCCTTGAATGTTCCTCGCCTTCGTAAGAACAATGGTCAAGGGGGTCGTCGGCGACCTTCATGTTCACATCCATTTTCAGCTCTTCCACAAGGTATCTGATGATATCGGGGTAGGATTTACTGCATGCTATGCAGGCGAGTCGTCCCAACAGTGTTACATTACGCCCCGAACCCTCGCTTCCTGATAGAAGGAGTTTGAGCACACTGATATCATTGTTCTCTGCGGCTGCGATACAAGCTTCATCTGATACGAGGCGTTCCTGCGGGAACAGCAGATGCAGATGGCGAAGCAAGATCACCAACAGAGGCTCGTGGCCGGCTTTTGCTGCGAGCTCGATTCCCCTTGTGAAGGCTGCACGGTCCAAAAGAGCTTCAAATTTGCACTCAAGGATAGAGCACACACCGTCCTCGTCTCCAGATGTGCATGCCCACATGAAGTCGTGCTTGATTTGCTCCGCATCGATGACACCGTCCCTGTATTTTTCATGGCTGGGGGGCCATTTCAACCGCAGCTGATTGATTTCATCGGTCGTGATTCCATTCTCAGATGCCACACCCAGAGCAAACTCTATCGTGTTGTGACTCTTTCTTTCCCCAGCGGCTTTGAGTATCAGCAAAACATACCTCCTAATTGGTCTCCGTCGTATCATCCACTCCAAAAGTACTTCCAGTACTTTGACTTGGTCGTAGGCAGCGGCTGATTCCATCGCGTTCAGAACAACACTCTCCTTTGTTGCATGCCAGCCTTGATCTAGATTTTCTAAATACAATCTTTCATTTAGGTAGAGTCGGGCCATCCCCACTTGACCCGTTGCCGCGCAGGCCTCGAGGGTGGACTTGTATCGTTTTGCGAACACTGAATCCCATTTCGTGTGACGATTAGACCCTTTTCTGGCCCCAGGAATATTCCGATCAGGAGTAACGTGTTCAAATAAATGAAGGAACGGCGATGGAGACGGTGGCAATAGCGGGGAGAAGTGCCGGTATGCTATATTTGGCGGCGGTTCCTTGAACTTGTAGCCTCGCATCAAGAGTAACAGCACGATTTCTTGATGTCCTCCTTCGGCAGCAGCGTGGAAAGCATCTAGAGAATATCCCTGTGCATAAACATCGGCGCCAGCATCTACCAAGACCTCAACGGTCTCTTTGTGTCCCGTGTAGGCAGCGGCTTGTAGCGCAGTGCCGAAGGTGCCCCCTTGGTGGTTGACATCTGCCCCTTCTTGAATTAGCAGCTTCACGATCACCGCATATCCCTTAGCTGCAGCAGCATGAAGAGCATCATCCAACGAGCCCGACTTAGCTCCCGCCCCGTACTCCATGAGGAGCTGAACGGTAGACATTCGGCCCATTAAACATGCCGAGCGCAAGGGCGTCCCGAGCTCGCCTTTGGCTTCGATGTCCATACCTATGCCATCGAGGAACCGGATTATCTCATTATGGCCATATGTTGCCGCGGCTGCCACAGAATCGGCTGCAAGCAGCATCGAAGGGTCTGGTGCACGGCTGAGAAACTTTTGTAAGACGCCTAGCTGTCCGCCCTTGATTGCCTTCGTCGTCCTTGCTTTCTGCCTATCGATCATATCTTTTTGCCAAAATGAATTAAAAATCGGCTTTTGAAGTTCAGAGAGGAGGTTGACGAGACCAAATTCAGCAGCGATATGCAATGCATGCTCGTAATCTGCCTCCGTTTTAATAGTTCCGCCTTGGATAAGGATAATGGCGATATCCTCATGATCCCCATGGGCAGAAGCCTCCAAGGCATTCTGGAACCTCTTTCCGCACGTGCTGGAAGCCCCGTGGCTAAGAAGCTGTTTTACCGCCTCGTCGTGACCTCCGTAGCAAGCTGCATGTAGAGGGCTGCCGTATCTCCCGCACTCCACATTCACATCCGCACCCTGATCGATGAGAATGGATACGGTAGACGCGTGACCCAGTGCGGCTGCAAGATAGACAGCTGTATGACCTAGCCTGTTTTCTTGGTTCCAGTCTGTCTCGGGGTTCGACTCGGCGACGAGTTCAAGCAGCCCATTAATGCCAAAAACGGCGGCCAAAAAGATTGGAGATGACTGTTCGTTGGGTATGGCATCGAGTGCTGGCTTCATGGGGTGATGATACGGTAACAGCACAGCCAACTCCGCGGCTGTGTCCATCCAGACTTCAAAAGAAAGACTGGGCGTCATGTCGTCCTTGTCGACAACGAAAGACAGCATGCGTAGGAAGAGGTCATCCTGTGCCTCGGGTACTTCAGCACCTTTCAAGTGCACTGCCCAGTACATTGCGGCGTAAACGTAGAGGCTGATGGGCTGTACTTCTAAGGGCTGGCCATCCGGGGGACCGCGCGAGCAGACCTCGATACAAGTGGAAGTCAGGAGACCGTGTGATAGATAAGGGGAGAAGAGATCTTGCTTGGCGCGGAGAAGGTATTCTTTTATCGACTGATGCGCGAATCTAACGGCATCTCGTTTTATATCCGCGACGATTAGATGTGCGCACATGTCCGACACTTGTATGGGCTGAATAGTTGTAGAATTGGCACTGGCAAGAGACATGGCAGCCATCAGAGCCGACAAGGTCAGCGGCGATTTCATGTATAACAGCCATGAGAAGACATGGATGACAAATGAGCGAGTCGCGTCTCCGCCGCTCAGAACCTGGTGCAGAGTCTCTTCATAGAGCTGATCCAAATCGGCCAGAATATTGGTCTCCAAGGCCGGCAGCAGATCGTCTTCATGTTTGATCTTGCGCATTCTTAGCTGTTGAATTTGGCGTTGAACCCAGAGGAACCTTTTCTCAAGTTAGATCTTATTTGCAGCACTAAAAATATCAGAGCGTCGTTCAAGGTGGTTCTTACATCTCGCCAGCACCGCTCAACAGTGCATCGGCTATCGCCGTCCGCACCTCAGAAGATATGCGCCCATTCATGAGCCTCGCGTTGTCAAGCTCTCGAAGAATAAATTCTTGCATATCCCCGCGCACATTGGAACTGGTGATACTCACTGTCTTCGCGGAAGAGAAAGATGAAAGGACTTCGCTATCATTTCTACTCGTCATAAAGATTTTGACGACATTAGCTGCCTCGTTAAGGATTCGGTTGAGTTCATCAAATAGAACAAAGCGCCAAGAGTCCTGGATCTGATCGATCGCGTCGAAAATAATAGTGATGGGACTATCATTAGCGAGCTCAATTATAAGATCCACGCAATGTTTTGTCTTAAGCCTGGGAAGATCGAGGCCGCTGAGGTCAGCGGACTTCGATCGCTGCTCGAATTCAGTGTCAAGTAAGCACTGAACTCTTGGCTGGGTCTCATCTGTGATAGCTAGTTGTCGTAGTATACTCCGCAGTATTTCATCCGCCGACGACCGCTCTGGTTCCGAGTCCGTCTTCAAACAGTAGAAATATGCGAATGGAGCAGACAAGGCCTGCGAGGCGGCTGTTTTGAGTAGCTCATCGACCACCACTGAACACAAGTGCGTCTTGCCCGAGCCGGGAATCCCGTGAAGAAGAAGCACTGATGGTGAGCTGGATTGACACCAGTCCTTGTATTCGCGATGTTGCAGAAGCCACTGGCCAAAATTTGGTGCGCGATATTCGGTAATCGTTTCGTGGTGGGCAGAGTAGGGCGATGTTGACAACCACCTGACCATTTTCACATGGCGTTCACGATCTAACATCCGGCTGGCGATACTTGCCTGGTCTACCAGTCGAACAACAGAAATTTCCAGAGAATGCAACACTTTGACGTCGTCGAGTTTGGCAAGCTTCAAAACTTCGTCCTCCCGCTTTAGAATGCACTGCATCTGCTCCTCGTCGCCCAGCCTGAAAGGAGCTTTCGCCAGTCGCACTTTGGGCGTTAGTCTGAGATCGAAGCTCGAGTCTGATTCAAAACATACCTAAAGTCTTCTCCGACAGAATGTCCACTGCCCGCGCCAGGTATGTCAGAACTTCTGTGTAAAGGCTGGTAAGGGCGTCATCCAAAGCCGACGGTACCGGAGCATTCCGCGGCAGATACAGAAGCTCAAACTCTTTATAGCGAGTGACTAGCCGTGAGATGATCTCGATATCCACCATCAGGGCCCCGTATTGCTGGATGTCGTTGACCGTGGCCTGTAATAAGAAACGCACTGCTGCCCAGGGGAATGAGGCCTGAGTTGTGTCGAACTGGACGGCGGTGTCGCCAATCTCTTTGAAGCGGACGACCCATCTGGCGATCTTCTCAAGAACATCGCGCACAATCACTGCCTCACCATTCGGCAACTTGACTTTCCAGCGTTTCCGGAGACTCGTGTCCCTCTTATCCTCAGCAGCCCTCAGAACGGCCGCCAAGATGTCGCGCTTGTGTGTCTTTGCCTGGCCCAAGCTTGACTTGAGGTCCTCATTCAGCTTGCTGAAGGCTTTGTCCCAAAGACTGCCGGTGAGATTTTGATAAGGTGATGCGGAAGGCGCCATGACTTGCTCGATTGCTGAGCACAGTTGGTCCTCAGACTCATATTCTTATGCACAGATTCTCTGATATCGAAGCCTTCACAGAGGCGAGGATGATGCTACCAGTGAGAACACTGTGCCGGAAGCTGACCTGGACTGCAGTCTGCGGGCGCTTAGGCACAACAAGTACGTGAGTGGCACAGCTAAATTTCTTTACCCAAAAAATGGGGTCTTTCAAGGCGGGGTGGTGGGGTGGGCTTCTTCGAAGACTCCGATGATAGTATTAGGCTCTGAATTGAGGAGATGGTCACTGAGGGTTTAAGAGCACGTCTCTACCATGAAAACTTCCACGGCCAATCCCGGCCCCAAATCAATATGGAGGTTGAGTATCATTGATCAAAGAACTGTATTGTTAGAGCACAAGGGCGGACCTTCAGAGCAATTTCAGAACTGTAAATGCTAGATTTGTAGTCAGGTTGATGATAAGAGCAAATATGCGGTGCTGTATGGAGCATCTCCCTTGTCCGTTTGGCTTTTCCTGTCCTTCTCTTTTGTATCCTATCTGATTGGATGTCAGAACTCATAAACCTCTAAAACCTATGTGTGCCGGAGCATGGGCTTGGCCTCGAAACGCGACGCACCCTGACACGATACAATGGAGCCTACAGAGGTGCTGACCAGAAGTCCGAGAAGGGCGAGGTCCACGGCAGGACATCATGTTTTGGCATGTAAAGAACCAGAATTTGAATAGGAAACATCACTTATGAGTTAATATTTCATCTCGGTCAAAAAGCTAGCTGCTTTGCCTTGCCTTCCGGAGAGCAGCTCACAAACCGCCACCGCCTGGGATTCCACATCGGGACGGCGTTGAGCATGATCCACTTGACAGCGCCCTTGAGTGGCGGAAACACCTCGTGCCACATACCCCCTTCAAAGTCGACCGTGTCCATGTTCAGAAAGAAGACCGGGAGGACGTTGAACACGAACCCAAGGCTGAGCTGTTTCTTGCCGGCCGCGTCCGCGATGCCCAGGACGTCGATGGGGTTCTCGGGGGCGCTGTACTTGGATAGCGCCACGATAGAAGGTGGTTCCGCCTTTAGATGTGAATAAAGGGGGTCTTTGAACGAGTCCATGATGGCGATAAGCTCGACAGCCGAGAAGCTGGCGCCTTCTTTCTGGAGGTAAGCCTTGAAGCGAGCCATGCCTCCATGAAACGCAGCTACAGATGATGGATCAGTCTTTGGACTCCTAGTCCTTGGTGTGGAAGCAGCCACAACGCACTGTGCTCGTCGACTGCGGTACTCATTAGGCCCGTTTTGCCAGCGGCCTTATCGAGGTTGGGGAAGAGCTCTGTCTCTTCGTAGTGGTGGTGCTGATGGACACAGTCGTGCCACGCTATGCAGTAGCCTGCAAAGTCCAGCTTGTCTGTATCAGGCACGCGTGGGGCCTGCTGGTATATGCTGTTGAAGCCGCGGATGAAGGCATTGTGGCTCAAGGCCATGTGAGAAGCCTCTACTGTGAATGGATCGGTCTGTAGAAATTTATTAGAGAAGAGTCTCGGTAGCGTGTTTCGCAGTGGCTACAACGTGAACCTACCTCGCCTGTCTCAAACTGTGGCGTGGGTATGACCTCCAGCGGTGAGTTTGTATACATGGGAGGGGAGGTGGTTGCCATGGCGGTGGTTCGAGGTGATCTGAGTGTAGTAGAAAGTGATGTTCAGCCAGTTTTGGAATGTGGGATAGAGTAATGCGTTGGCTTCTATTCGCTGACCGATTTATTGACCTTTATGCAGTCTGAAGGATCACCAACGCTTGTGGCTGCGCCGTCCGACTGCATCAGTGCTCAAGCGTGTTAGTGCTTAGCTCCAGGTAGGGGACCATGAGCTGATACGGCGTACTATACCGGTGAGTTTGTGTCTTGGAGATCTTGCTTCGATTGCTGCAATAGAATACGGTTGTGGTGGACAATCATGTGCGACATGATGTCTTAGCACCAAACCCAATAAGCCAAGTTGAAAAGTAATTTGCATTAGCTTGGCTGATCTTTGATTGAGCCCATGGCCGTGATTCTTCTGTCGAGGGCCCATCGACATTCCCAGAACTGATATTCAATAGGGAGGAACTTAGGACAATGCTCTTCTCATGTCTTTGATTTTCACGATTGTGTTCTCGTTCCAGCATGCTTACAGCAATATCTAACCCCAGCATGGGGTGTTGTTGCAATGGATGATCCCCATATTCCAGGTGCAAAAGATACTTAATACTTTGTCAAGCGACGAGCCAATGACAATACCATGAATTTATACTTAGATTTCTACAAATTAACTAATTGATCTGAATGGAAGATTTCCCTGGTCCAGCTCCAAGTACTAAAGTACTTCACTTCACGTTTTATGATACTTACTTAGCCACTTTCCCACTCAGCATCGGATTAGGCAGATGTAGGAGGCCGCTTTAGTAGATAAATTTTATGTTACTATTGAGATGAAATTGCAACCCAAAATCAAGAGTCGTAAAGACAAATACAAGGAAGGTCTAATTCAAGATGATCCTGCCTCCTGGCCATAATTCTCTGTACATAACGAGACGCGGGCCAATTGGTCGCTCCTTACTTGGAGAGCCACAAGAAATTGATGGGAGTGGTCCAGAATAGACTTGCTGCTGTCAGAGGCATTACCTTGGCGCATGGAAAAGACTACTGCCACATGAGTAAACAGCTCGTTCAAAATGAGTTCTCGCGAACACAATTTAGAATCTTACACGATGCGTTCCACTGCGACAGTCGACATGGCGACTGTTTCTTGAGTCGGCGAGAACACACTGGGTGCCCAACAAAGTACCGTGATGTTGGGCGAATCTGAAGTTCGTGTGGACAGTCTTCGCCTTATAGAAGCTCGCAATTAGAGAGCGCCGTTGAGGTGGCTGGGCATGTACATCTCCTTGCCGGAAGCGAACCAGTATAAAATTAGCTAGAATCGGTCCAGTATCTGGACATGCTGCCTGCCGCTGTTGGTATCTCCATAATTGTGTTTGTTTCACATGTAGAAGCCTTAGGCTGACCATGATCTCACGTTTTGGCACCATGACCCACACGCCGGATCTGGCGAATTGACTTGAGCAGGCCCAGCTGACAGCAGTTGGTTAGCAAACGTTGGGGTCGACGCGTGATTTCAAAATCTAAAGCAGTGCCTGAAACTGAATTGCTGCTCGCAGCTAGAGGTCATCTGGTCCAATGCCAGAGACTCTCTTAATGCTGATACCACTCTTGACCCCAGCACCAACACTCCACAGTGACACAGCAACACCTTAGTGACCACAAATGGTGCTGTCGCTGGCGCTATTGGCTGTCAACCTTTGATAATTGCGATTATCGGTGTGCGGTCTCTTCACCACTTCAAAAACATCAACGGCCGTAGTTGCTCGGGCGTGGCATGAAGCGCTCTGGCTCAAGCTTTCAGCTTTCCGCTCTTCATCAGGCTGTGAGCCACCTGCGCTGTACTCTCCAGATATCTGAAGCCAGTCCATCTATGATTCGCACGTCCATTAGATTTTTTTTTTCTCGGTGCGTCAGATTGTTCTGGGCGAAATTGGCAGCGGCTTTAGCGTCGAACTTAACGTGGTGGTCACCATCGACCTGAGTTCTCCGCAGATTGCCTTGTGCGTGGCCTCGCCTTGGCGGCGGTGGGCCTCTCGCTTGGCTCTGTACGAGAGGAAAACAGCCACCAGAGCTCGAAAATTCCTGGCATGAAAGCACTGCTTTCAGACAGGACTGGTTCCAGGTCCCATCGCAACTAGCACTTCCTTTAAGATAGAGTTGGACGGTTGAGGCAATGGTTTGGGCTGAGACAGCCTCGTTTTGTGGCTCGGCTCTCACTACGGGTGTCACCCCACTGCGTGTCGGTGGAATGAACAGTTGATAGTTTTGGCGTTGTGAACGTAAAGACACATTGTACTGTTCCAGATAACAGCTCAAGATACAGCCGTGGTCCACGCAATTCGCAGGAGGGATCGAAGGCTATGCAGCCTCGTCAAGGCCTGGAGGTGCATGATCAGTGCTCTAGGAGCCTGCGGTGTGAGAGTCCTGTGCTTTCTTCGTTCCTGTGGTAGCAGCAGAGCTTGGTGTGCATGCAGTGCCAAAGACGAAGCCCTCACGGTCTTCCCTTCGTTTCATTCAGCGATGAGGGATATTCTTTAACTTAGAAAGAGAAATCCCTTCACCATCTCATGACGGATGACTGGTGGTCTGTAGAACACAGAAAGGCCGTGGTCTAGCCGGCAGTCGGATGCTCTGCCCACGGGATTCCGTCGGGAATTTAACGATCGAGAGGGCGATCCCTGCCTTCGATAGTTTTTCCACTAATCAAACCGTCGGCTGGGACTCAATTGAGCCGGAGACGCCCCCACAAAATATGCCCCTCGGTCGACCCCTCCCCCGCCATTTGACGACGATGGCCTCGAGTGCCCAGGGGGTTATGGGGAGGCAGGCTACTACGGGCCAGCCGTAGTGGTGCCGACATCAGGAGAAGAATTCGTGGCCGGACGACAAAGGCCCGGCCTTGTTTAGCTCGTACCGATGCTGCCATGTATAGCCATCACACGATTCTTCCCAAGTGGACAGACTCGTGCCATTAAATAGCTTCGTTTCTCTCATACGTCCTCAATTTCTTTTTCTTGCTTCCTCTTGTCCATCCCCTTCTCCCCTCTTCCTCTCCCATCCTTGATTCATTTCTGTCATATATACCACTGCCGTCAACATGGCTTCCCTGGACATCACCATCACCGGTTGGACAACGAGGGACGTCCGTTTCCCCACGTCCCTCGACAAGACCGGCAGTGATGCCATGAATGCCGCTGGTGACTACTCATCGGCCTACTGCATTCTGACCACGTCGGATGCCAACTTCACCGGCCATGGCATGACCTTCACCATCGGCCGCGGCAACGACATTGTCTGCGCGGCCATCAACCACGTGGCTGACCGCATCAAGGGCAAGAAGCTCAGCGACCTCGTGGCCGAATGGGGCAAGACGTGGCGTCACCTCGTCAACGACTCGCAGCTGCGGTGGATCGGCCCTGAGAAGGGCGTCATCCACCTCGCGCTGGGCGCCGTGGTCAACGCCATCTGGGATCTGTGGGCCAAGGTCCTGGGCAAGCCTGTGTGGCGTATCGTGGCCGAGATGTCGCCCGAGGAGTTTGTGCAGTGCATTGACTTCCGTTATATCACCGACGCCATCACTCCCGAGGAGGCAATCGCGCTGCTCAAGGAGTCGGAGAAGGGCAAGGCGGACCGCATCAAGGAGGCCGAGAACTCGCGGGCCGTGCCGGCGTACACGACGTCGGCGGGCTGGCTGGGCTACGGCGAGGACAAGATGAAGGGCCTGCTCAAGGAGACGCTGGCCAAGGGCTACAAGCACTTCAAGCTCAAGGTGGGCGGCAGCGTCGAGCAGGACCGCCACCGGCTGTCGATCGCGCGCGAGATCATCGGCTACGACAAGGGCAACGTGCTGATGGTGGACGCCAACCAGGTGTGGTCGGTGCCCGAGGCCATCAGCTACATGAAGGAGCTCAAGGAGTTCAAGCCGTGGTTCATCGAGGAGCCGACGTCGCCCGACGACATCCTGGGCCACAAGGCGGTGCGCGACGCGCTCAAGCCGTACGGCATCGGCGTCGCCACCGGCGAGATGTGTCAGAACCGCGTCATCTTCAAGCAGCTCATCGTCAGCGGCGCCATCGACGTGTGCCAGATCGACGCCTGCCGCATGGGCGGTGTCAACGAGGTCCTGGCCGTGCTACTCATGGCCAAGAAGTACGGCGTGCCCATCGTCCCTCACTCGGGCGGTGTCGGCCTGCCAGAGTACACCCAGCATCTCAGCACCATCGACTACGTCGTCGTCACCGGCAAGCTGTCTGTGCTCGAGTACGTCGACCACCTGCACGAGCACTTCCTGCACCCCTCCGTCATCAAGGATGGTTACTACCAGACACCAATGGACCCCGGCTACAGTGTCGAGATGAAGCCCGCCAGCATGGACAAGTTCACCTTCCCCGGCGAGCCCGGCGTCAGCTGGTGGCAGAGCGAGGAGGCCAAGCCCATCCTGGAGGGAGTCAAGATCTAAGTCTGCTATCACAGCTCCAAGGGTTCGGCGTGAAGAAGGAATTGCAAGCCGAGAGAGGCTGAATTGATGGACATGTGCGCGGGGGAAAAGTTACTATGGCATCAATGGTGGCGAAAAGTCAGCGATCCTCGTCTTGTGCTGGGCTATTCACACATAGCCAAGCCAAGACTTCGTGGATTTTGTAGGTGTAAACGGGCCTTCGATCACAGTGATCGTTCGGGCGGGGCAACGATGGCATCCCGTATTTCCCCCTGCTTAACTCTAAGCAGGTACGGTTATCCCTCTCAAGGCAAGGTGGGCCTTGTGTGCTTGGAATTCGTCCGGGTGAACGAGGGGCGGTAGTATCCTGTGTGATAGACTACCACCCCCTTCTCCGGACAAATATCCAAGCCAAATGTTGTTATTTAGCGAATTATCATTGATCTACTATCATTACCTCACGGCCCGATATGCCTCTGATACACTGGACCGATGACATCCTTCCTCACCTACCGGGCCGTCAGGTTCTGTCCATTAGCGACGGCAAAGTCCTGTCTCGGTGTCGTGAACATGACGATACTCTATTGATGGTAGACTGAATGCCAATGGAGTGCTTCCGTGATCTAGTTTGAAGAAGCCAGAAATGAGAGGACGCCACATACGTTCTTTGGCATGCCAGGCCTCTTTATATCGACCAAGACACGGGGCTGGCGTCTCTAGTGCCTCAAACACTGATCGAAATGCTCCGCAAAATACTGCCTTGTTTAACCACGGTCCAGATACTGATATATTGGGTGATGGGAAAGACCTCACACATGCCAACCACGAGATGGCTCTTTTTCAATCCGCCACTGCCGGCCTGATTCACGTGTGCTGTCAGTGTCAACTGCCTGAGCGGCAGTGGCAACGGCAGAGGCTGCCGGGCGGTTCAGACATTGCCAAGGGATCAAGGCATGCGTTGAAAAAGCCGCAAGAAATCGATGATCGAGGTTGTCTCCAGACTGCCAGATAATGACGGGGAAAGGGCGGTAGAGTCTTGGGGCGATAGAGGCTGCTCCTGCTGGAGACGTTGAGCGGCGACGCCAACGATGACTTGCATGGAGCCGCCCAATGCCCCGCCTCGAGCATTGCTTGTACGGTGATACTGCAGACGCCACAATCGCCAATTGGAGGTTGGGTAAGCCACTGTCAGCAGCTGGACAAGGGAAAGTGGAGGACCATGTTGTTGTCCTCGAGTCGAAGACTGAATCAGATCAAGTTGCCTCTGGTGGGAGCAGAGGCACAGCAAATGACTATGGGAGGATCTTTCCTTGCCCTGGCTGTTGAAATTGTGCACTCTCGGGAAGTGCAGCCAAGGCCGGCGAAGCCACTGTATAACGTCTTGTCGCAATTGCTGTTATCAAAGACCGTTGACGCAGTGGTCGACAGGATTGGCGTCTCATGTCTCGCAGAGAAAAGCCACATCCCCATCGAAGAAGATGAGATTGTTGTTTTTTCGATTCTGGCCAGATAAGTGAATATTTGCTGTGTGAGTCTCAGAAGCATTTCCACAACAGGGGGCCATGATGCATCCCTTGCTTCTTGGGGCGATATGCATGTCTGCATGTCTGCCTCGCAATCTCTTCATGCCTTGATTGATAATGGATTCACGGGGTGCCATGCGACTCGCCAGCGTCCCCACACTTGGCCATCATGGTGTCTTGTTGTAATACAATACAGCGCACTGGCATGTTGTCCGCCGAGACATATTGTGGGCCTAGGAGTGCGGAAGAATGGAGTTTGTTGGGTCTCGGAGGGCCCAAGGAATGGATTGATGCGGGAGGCCAATCTTTGCAGGGAGAGAGGAGATCTGGGCAGGGAGGCGAGGGCTGTTCCGCCCCCAGTACCACCAGCAGGTACAGTAACACTGATAGAATACCGTAGCAGCCGCCTAGGGCTCCAGGTCTCTAGGTAGGGCTGGAGTGCCAAAAGAATGAGCGGATGTCTTGTCTCTCCCGTTCCCCGTGCCCCGTCCCCCGTCCCCTAGTTTCCGCGTTTGGCCATAAGCGCGAGTGAGTGTGCCTAGTCTAGTCTGCTATCTGCCCGTCCCAAATCCCCCCCAGGGCCCGCCCGTTTCTCATTTCTCGATCATGGAAATAACAATGAGGACGCCTCAAGATCCAGGAACATGGAGCATCTGGAAACTCAGGTCAGCGACCTTCGATCTTTCTTGCCAGGAGCACCATCCTCAACGGCATCGACATCCAAATCCAATGTCAGTTCTCGCCCAGTAGCAAACATGGCTGGTGCTGGTGTAGGTCCAGGCGCTGCGACCGCCACCACTCAACGTCATCCCAGCCAAAGTGCTGGGTCGTCAGTTTCCGCTGTCGGAAGCAATTCCGCACACCCTTCACCTCTCTCCTTTGGCCCAAACCACAACGCCCAGCCTGCAAGAAACCTCAATCCCTCAGTCTCGACCCCTGGCGCAGGCCCAGCGCCCAGCGCTGCTGCTCATGGTGGTGGCGCCGCCGCCGCTGCTGGGGCAAAGCGGAAGCTGAGCGACACCACTCCCGACGACGCATCGCAGAGACAGCAGAGGAGCAAGAGGAACAGGGTGAGCATGCGCCTGCTTGGGCTGATATCCCATGCCTCACACGGCTGCTGGAGGGCATTTGTCAGCTAACCATTGCCCTTTGTGGCCGTCTACAGTATATCTCTATAGCTTGGTACGTCGCGACTCTGCTTGCCCCGAGAAAGAAGCCTACATCACAAAGCTCGAAGCTCCCATCCGTCCTTCTCTCCCGTCCGATATCAAGAGTCCGAGCCTGCGGGCAGACAGTCTGCGCTTCTTCCTCCTGATATCTTGGTGCGGTAGGGGACGAGAGACAACTACACTAGGCTGACATCTATCCCAATCCCTTTAGCAACGAGTGCAAGCGTCGCAAGATCAAATGCAATGGCGAGACCCCGTGCCAGCGCTGCGGCAACCTCAACCTGAACTGCCAGTATGCCCCAAACTGCTGCTCCAACAACTTCAAGGACTCGGACGAGTTCAGGGAAATGAGAGACAATGTCACCCGCCTCCAGGAGCAGGTCAACACGCTGTTTCAGAACATGAACGCCCTCAAGCAGGAGACACTGCACCTCGCCCCCATCCAAGACCGCGCCCTGCCCTTGCCGTCCAGCGCCGGCGTCACTCCCTCTCCGTCCACAGCCACCATGTCCTCGGTGCACAGGCAGGACGTGGCTCCGTCCCGAGCGCCGCTCCTCTTCCGCGGTCCAACGAGCGCCTCCTTCACCGTTGATGTCGCCAAGAATACGCTGCACAACATGCGCAAAGAGTATGGCTGGAGTGGGCCAGAAGCGGTGCAGGACAATGGCGACGTAATCGATGACTCCTGCGCCCCATCCCCTTATCCGCCCTGGCTGTCGGCGGCTGACATGCCCAGGGCTCGGCCGCAAGATCCCCTGTGGGGCTTTGATAGGGCTGAGATGATACGGCTGTGCAGGGTTCACGAGGAGGAGGTCGGCATCATGTACCCCGTGGTCAACATCAACAACGTCGTGAAGCATGCCAACTTCCTCGCAAATTGGATGGAGTCTAGCAGCAAGCATGGACTCGTACCACAGGGAATCGGGCAAGACGAAGGCATCACCGACATTAAAACCCTGGAACTCAAAATTATCATGTGCTGTGCTTTGGTCGTCGAAGGTAACGGCTATAGCGAGAAAGGCCTTCGGCTGTGGGAAAGCATACAAGCTAGGGTGGATAGGATGCTTATGAGCGACAAGAGTGAAATCAGAAACCTCCCCTTCTTAGCTCTTGTTGGTGGCTACAGATTCTTATCCCACGACGAAGCCTTGGCCTGGAGGGTCATGGGACAAGTCGCTCGCTTGTGCTTTGAGCTGGGCATTCACCGAAGGGACGTCATCGAGGCGATGGAGGATGAGCAAGAGCGCAAGAATGCCATCAACACATTCTGGTCAGCATACGTGCTAGATCGTCGGTGGAGTTTCGGCACAGGATTCCCCTTCGTTGTCCATGACGACAAGATTGACCCAAGACTCCCCTACCCTGTAAGTATCTTACTGCCTGCCCAAGACAGCCGTCCCTATCGTCTCCTTATCCTGCCACATGTATGAAATGTTGCTCATCTCCCTCGTAGGATGAGTTTCCTTATCTCAAATCCATGATCACCTTCTCCAAACTGGGCGCCAAAGTCTGGAAGCTCGTCGACTACTTCAACCCTATCCTCCTTACCGAGATGCGGCCACGTGATTTCGAGGAGTTGGACCAGGAGATACTGGCTTGGTACGATGCCGTCCCGGAGGAAATCAAAATCGACGGCTTCAAGACTCAGATCCCCATACCGGGAACCTCCACCTACGATATCGACCGTCTTCAGATCTGGACGCGATTGAGGCTGAACCAGGTAGGTTTTGGTTAATATTGTAAGCTGTCGCAGGCTAATCAATATGTCAGATCCGCATCTGGCTGTACACCCCTGTCCTCCACTCCTCCGAAAGCATTCAAAAGAACCCCGAACATGCCCAACGCGTCGTCGATCTCGCGAAGGAGACAATCCAGTATCTCAGCCTTCTCAACACGCATACGGACGTATACCGTCGTATCCAGGTCTTCTACAACCATTTCCTGACCTCGGCGATCGCGTGTCTTTTCCTTGCATCTACCCACGCCCCTTGGCTATTCAGCGCTCAATGCCGCGAGGAGTTCAACATGTCCATGATGCTGATCGAGGATATGTCGGCCAAGAGCCATGTCAGCCAGCGGCTGTGGAGTACAATCAAGGAACTAAAGGCATACGTGCCTGGATTGGGCCGACAGGATGATGACCCGCGACTGCGGGAGCATGCGGCGCTGACGATGGCAGGTATGGCGCGGATGTCACGTGGGGGTCAGCCTCCGCCTGACCCGCTCTTGATCTCTAACCGTCATGGCTCTATTAGCAGCGCCAGTGCTGGGTACCAGCCGACGCCGAGCCCCGGGCTGACCCCCGGGCTTGGCGGGCGGCAGAACTTACCCCCGAGCCGGATGGGCAGCCTCACGCCGCATGCCGGAAGACGTTCACCGCACGATGGAGGTGCTAGTGGCGTGCAGGGCCAGGACTCCGCGGGACTGGACGGTGAGACCCTTAAGAATGGCATACTCCTGCGAATGGAGATGTCCAAGATGTTCGAGGCTCTATCCAACGGCGTGGGCTTAGGCGCTCAGCCGCATAGCGACGGCGATGACTCCTTCACCGGCAGCCCCAATGAGTATTCTGCCGGCGGGCATTGGATGCCCTATTCCGACGACGGTGTCTATCCGCGCATGAAGATGATGTTTTAGGGAAACATGGACACGACCCTACTACGCCCTGGTGATCTACGCTGATTGAAGGCCGTATCTAATTGAATAATTGCAACTTTTGAAATATCTTTAGTTGAAATTCCAGTCACGATCAAGCCTTGCCGTCTTGACATTTAAATGAGAAAATCGACTTCTCGATGCCGTTCTTGGAGTATTAGTACCTTGACGTTGTGCGCCGCTGCAAACTATGGTTTTGAATTGGGCTGGGCATGATTTCTTTTATGTTACGGCCGATGTATTTGATGTTTGACGCTCGCTAAATGACTATGTTCGCTCAAGTGGGCATTGAGAGAATGGAGGGGAATGGACTCTCTGGTGAAGATAGCGGAGGCTTTCTTTCGTGATCTGAAGGATATGAATGGCGCTGGAGGATGTCACCACCGCCCACCGGGTCGACCCAAACAACAAATTAGCAGTGTCACGAGAGGCTCTAGAGGCACGTGCTAGTGGTGATCTGGTATTTTAGGAGAGTGTGAATTTGTTTAAATATGTGGCATCCCGCTCACCGAGGCAGAATTCATGTTCTTATTTATACAAAAAAGCAAGGCTGGCGACTTGCGCTACAAGCACTGAACAAAAGAAGGGAAAAGCAAAAACGCAGAGGCTTGGGGACAACAAGTCCAATGAAGAGGAAAGGGGGAGATAGACGAGTGTCGTTCTATGACGCATCCTCTGAACCACTGGTCCACCTTGAGGATTGCAGGACTCGGAGGTTTAGAAGATGCATGTACGGCTGCACTTGAGTATTATTTACGACTGTTCTTTATGAGATACGGCCTATGATGGAAGCTGAGACTGCCTTGAAGAGATGAGGCAAGTTCCTCTATCGCAGGTTTGCGAAAGTGTTTTTCGAGTGGAGGGCCACAAACCGGAAAAGGGCGGCTTGTTCAAGTGCTGGCATAAAGCGTGGATGAGCTCTTGAGACACCCACCAGCCCGTGTGGATGGAACAAAATGTTGGTTGCTTACATCAAGTCAAATTTGAGATCACAATATGCAATCAAAGTCCAATCTCTGAAGTGCAAAATTTCCCTACATGATCTTTTCATCATGCAACGATATAATACGTTGTCTTTCAACCCCACGATGTTCTCTACCCGAGCTGTGTCCTAAAATGAGACTCGACGGGCAATTGGAGGGCTGGAAATGAGAACATCTTGATCCAGCGAGCTTGGACGTGCTGCGTGGAAACATCTTGTCATAGAAAACATTTTCGCCCGGTCCAGGTCGCCGGGCATCTGAATGTTACTTTGTGTCTGGGATGGAACAGCCTCATGGGACAATGAACATACCCTGTGTGGTTGAGCGTCTTCCAAATGCCCTCAAGGAGCTGGCTGGGTAGGTCGTTGCGCATCTTCGCCCTTGCTAGATCCCACGCTGGGCTCAGCCGGAGCGGTTGAGGAGAAGGGAACACGAAATGCTATTAACCACTCATCTGTTCCTCTACAGTGAATGGTTCAAATGGCCTTCTAGGGCTCTATGCTCTTCGCGGATGGTTCCATCATGTTTCTGCTGGCATAGAGTGTACTCTAGAATGCAGTGCTATCTTGCAGTCCTTGCTATGTGAGACGTTGGAAGTGAAGAGTCAACTACGCACTGTTGGTTAGTAATTTGAAACAGGTCCCGAAACTGAGAAATGACTTCATCAATTATACATTTGTAGATCTCATCCGAGCCGAGGACAATACGCGTTGTTGAGAAAGACCTGAGCCTAGAACAGTCTTGAACAAGGGCTCCTATGTCACTATGACTCGTCCCATCAAAATGGCCTTTCAGCAAGACGATATGGGCAGCTCTGTCACACCAGCAGCAAATCCATACTCAAGCCGATACAAAGAAATCCCGCTCTGTGCCTCGGTAGGAACAGGTACGACACTGAATGTCCGCGTCACACTCGTACGTCTGTAAACCTTATTTTCGCGATGGTTTTGGCTAGCATCGGCCAGTGTGCATACCGAGGTATTATTCACGCTTCAGCATTCGAGCTGCCACGTGTGGACAGACATTTCCGATCCGGAATGAGCCGGATCAGCAACACATGAGTTGTGAACTTAATCTATTCCCAGAAATAATGACTCTATGAGCTCCGAACACCGAGCAGTCTACGAAAACAAAAGTCTGGTATCAACGGGGAGATGTAACAGTGCCGTTGTTTCAATCAAAACTTCAGCTGCCTCGGCCTGAGCTTGACCTTCCAGTGGCCGCTGGCAAATTGCATCGTGATATACTGCCTGAAGTCAATATCCTGCCCAGGCACTTCCATGACGTCGAAGCGGCTGAAGATGTTGGCGGCAACCATCCGCATCTCAGCCCAGGCAAAGCTACAGTAGAAGAGCGTCAGTAAAAGGTCTGTGAAGCGTTCATTGAGTATTGGTTCCACGTACTTGATTCCTATGTATGAGTGTTTGCCGCCAGAGAAGGGGTAGTATGCGTCCATGCTGTAAACAAACTGATTAGCAACTTGTCAAGTAAGACGTTTAATGGAGTGTGTGATGCTTACTCGGGAGCTGGTGCGTCTCCCCTCTTATCCTCTGACAACCACCGCTCAGGCCAGAATCGCTGCGCCTGCGGCCAGTGCTGCTCGTTCAGATGCAAGGCTCTGTAACTGGCGCTGACTACAGTGTGAGGCGGAAGTCTGTAACCCATGATCTCGACCCACTCATTGCCCGTCCGGCGACCCATCTCAGAAGCAATAGGGTGCATCCTCAAGTTCTCCTTGATGCAAGCCTCAAGGTACTCGTACTGTGGGTCCGTCCGCACAGTCTTGGACGTGATGATATCCTCGTCCAGGACCGCCCTCGCAGGCAAGCTCGCCAGCAGCTTGGCCTTGACGTCAGGGTTGCGTGCGAGCTCCAGGAACAGGCACGCGATGGTACCGCTAGTAGTCTCCGAGCCGGCGAGCAGCACCTCGGCCATCTGATCGATGATGTCGCGGGCGGTCATGGCGGTGCCCGTGTCAGGCTTGCGGCCCTCGTCGATCATGTGCTGCAGCAGGTCCTGGCGCTCCGTGTCCTTGCTGGCGCTGCGGCGGCGCACCACGGCGTCGATGGCCGTGATCATCTCGGCCGGCCAGTCGAACTTGATGTCCCACCCCAGCTGCCGGAAGAACTTCTTGACGTAGACGGTCTGGTAGCGCTTCGCGAGCCCGTCGAAGATGGACCGCGGGATCGACTTCCATACTTTCTCGTCTACACCGTTCTCTACCTCCATCAGGGCTGGGTTCGTTTGTCCGAAGCCCTTGCCGAAGGAGCATTCTCCCATGCTGTGAGTATGGGGCGTTAGCTGGGTGTTGACCTGGCTAGGTTTGGTGGACTCACATATCGAGGGCAACGTTGTGGAGGTCGTCCATCAGGTCAGCTGGGAAGCCGGTGTGTTTGGCTAGTTGGAAGTCGTTCTCGATATCATTTTGGTACTTGAACAACAAGGCCCGGACGGTGTGTTGGAAGTAAGACTCGAGGTTGTCGATGTAGTTGACGGTGAAGGCTGGCGTGAGGAATCGCTTGAGTTTCTTGTGAGGCTCGTAGCGGCTATCGTGTGTAAACTTGGTTAGTTTGACTTATTCTGAAATACTTCCAGATCTAAATTTGTTACTCACATTTCACCAAACAGACCGGGACTCATTTTGTCCCGTGAGATCTCAGAGTACATGGCGACCTTAGGTAGGTCTACTTTGACCAAGATCTGCTTCAGGGCATCTTTGTCCGAGACCCAGATTTGACGCGGGCCGAGTCGAACTATCGACCCATATTTGGAGTGAGCTTTCTCTACGGTCTTCCAGATCTCACCCGTCGAGAAGCCCCATCTCAGGTGCATAGTGGTCAGCGGAGCGTACCATGGCCCTGGTATGTCTCGCAGTGGCGAGCGAATAGCTCTCAGAGTGCCAAAGGCTGACTTGATGAGCAGAGATAATACAATGAGCGCCGCCGCGGCTAGTATCAGGGTGGAGAGCGCCATTATGTGTTCATTGGCTTGTGCTTGAATGTTTCAATCTCCAGTTGAATGTGAATAGAACCACGACCCCCGGCCAGCTTGGAGTGTGGCAGCCCTTTACTCGTGTTCGAGAGAAGGGATCAAAATGGAAGAGGGAGGCTCAAATCAGTGCAATAATTGTTGGAACGTGCTTTCTAAGTTAAGAAAGCCGAGTGTATGAGCGAGGACTTCAAGCTGCAGACAGAGTACATTGGAAGTAGTATTGTTATTGCTTCAGGGAAGTACCATTATTTATACTATGTAGAAGCTCGACTATCATACCTATCATCCCGCGAACATCACATCAGTTCGTCCCCGATCTCAGCCAATAACCCAGCCCAGAGGAGCATGGGTGATTATTGTGACGGGGACTCATAGGCATCATGCGGCATGATTCGGAGATTGACGCGGCAAGGACGCAGCATGTTCTCGGTATCGAGCCCCCTCGTATCGCCTAGGGGCCTGATTCAGGCCGTGCTCTCTGTGTAAGAGATCGTCTCCACGGACCGATCATTCTAGACCTGAAAGAGTGTTTGCGTATCGCTGAAGATTGTTTCACTCGGGACTGGTTGCGAGTGCGACTTTAGTGGAGCAGGGGGTACCTGTTTAAACCCCCTGAGACGAACGTCTACGTCTACACTATGCGATTAAGACGAAAGCTCTGAGGGCTTACATCCGAGAGACTAAGCATCTCGATCGGCTGAAAGTTATTAGATTAGATGATTAGCAGACAACAATTTTCTTCGAAATCTAGGGTGTCTCTTAGGAACTCCCCAAGTGAGCGAAGAGGTACAACGGTATGGTTCTTGTCTTATCGAACGATGGGACGAGATCTGGTCACGTCGCGAATGTGTGAGTGGATACTGTCCAAAGAGACGACGGTCGTGATCACTCTGTTGTACGCATAGCCTTGCTCCATAGGCGAAGCATGTCAAAATAAGGTTTATCTGGAGGGAGGAGAAGGAGGCGGGTTTTGGATACTTAGCGTAATATTCCCGCGGCTGTGGACCCCGCCCATCCTGGACCTTGAAGTCCAGAGTCAGCTCGTGGTTTTTAAACCTTATTCTCGAACCATGCAATCAACGATGGGCCACATCCGGCCAAATGGAGCCCGATCTCCTTTCAGCTGTGGGGGAAACCCTAGCGATGAGTGCTGCCCGGCTAGCACGGCTTGAAACTCAAGTGACATATATGGAAGAGATTGGCTTCGAGATCGGAATCCAATTGGCAGAGAAAGCCAGATCGAGCCACGAGGCTTCTATATGCGGCGCGCGCGCCCTCCCGTGTCTTCTGTGGCGTGCAGGAGCATAATGAATAGCAAAGCTAGAGTATATGTACGAGAGTATACCCAGGTAGTATTGGTGGTCAGTGATGCCCAAGGTGCTGTCATGATTCTGAGCCCACTGTGACGTTTCAGAGAGACTGGTGTGAGTGGGATGAGGGACCAATCAACCGCCACGTCGGGTTATCGATGAGATGGTGTTCAGTGACTATAGTTGTGCTGTACCCGACGGCTCGGAAACAACCTCAGCCAAGCATCGTATCGAGACTAAGCCCGAGTTCCCGTTGCTAGTAGTCGCCCGGGCATTGCAGGCAATTACAATACTGTGGTCTATGTTGCAACAAACAACCTTTTTGGCCGGTGGCTAGACAGGCCGATTTCTTAATTGCGCTGAGCTGCTACTCATACACTGATGACTTCTCACTGGAAAGGCCGCCTATGCTGGCCTCAAGGGCGATTCCAGGCTGGGCCTACATGCCCAGCTTCCGAATAATAACAGCCAGACTATTCTTATGTCTCACAATCACCTAGTCAGGAATTAAGCAAACGCAGAGATTGGTCAGTTAACTGTATGCTTTGCCGGCCGGTTGAGCATGTTTGGACTTGGCCACACCTGGGCAGTGGAATCTGACTCGTCTTAGAGAGACATGCCCTTCCGCTGTCGGACACAATTGCCACTTTATCCGAGGAGGGCAAGTGTCCCGAGGAGAAAGCTTATTTACTGTCTCTGTTTGTTTTCTTTCACGTCCTCGTAGCGTTGTAGACAGAGAATATCAGAGTGAGGTTCTCACCGCCGGAGGCCCGTAGGCAGAGTTGTGGAATGATCAGGCTAGCTCCCCCGGGGTTTTGAGTGGGGCGCTTTGGGCTGAGCGACACCCGAGCGAGATATGTAACGCCCGCACGAAACTTATTCTTATTATTATTAGTATGCAGAATATCAATAAGGTTGGCAGCAGAAGATCGCTATTTAGCGACGGCCCTATTGGAAGAATAGCCACATCTGGCCCTCCTATGCTCTACTGTTGAGAATAGGAGACAGCTAGTTCCGCACCAAGCAGCACTATGTTCATATGTATTGTGGACCTGCATCGTCAAATCCCTCGATGCACGTGATCTGCCTGGTGGCACGCAATGCAACGCTGGGAGCGAGCTAAGCGCATGGTCTGCACCTCACATGTTGTGCGCATGCTCTGGTGCGTTGGCTGGTTGGTTGCCAAGGCCTCGTACGTTGGTAGTGACAAAGTATTGCCCTAGTGAGTGATGTGTCTTCCCGTGTATGAGGCGTTGTCGGCGTTGGCCGTCGCCTTTTTGTTCTTTTGGTACTGGCGATGGTACGCATGAGGATCTCCTACCGCGGTCCACATTCTCGTGGTCAATGTGCACGGAGTGTTTCGGAGGGGGGAGGGGGGTCCGGCAGTTGGGCAACCCTGGTTCTGCAGTAACCCTAGACTTGTGCAGGTACTTGAGCCGGAGTACTTTTTGCTTGAGCATTCAGGGCACTTGGGCACCGGAGTGTCAAGTCTAGGTTTGAAGGTTTCGGGCTTTGAACCCGAAGGAGGGTGTTCACTCGCATGCAATAGCACGTGCGCGGCATTGACTAGCCGCTTGAGGATGAGAATACCGTTGCAGTGCAGCAGCAATAGTTTCCTAATTGCCTCTTCCTCTCTGTTTCTTGCGAGACAACGAGACGAGGTGCTGGCAGTCTGTGAGTCTGTGTACTGGCTGGCTATACATAATATTTGTGTGTGTGCCAAGTACGTGTATCACCCTCAGGGCAAGCTCTGTCTCAACGGTTTTCCCTCCCCCTCATTCTCTGCACAAACTGGGAAATCTCTGCCTCCAATTCAACCCCCTTGGTTGGCTGCTTCACCCGTGGGGGCTCCGGGCCGCCTCCAGTCCCAGGCCAGGGGGGTCCCCCCCACGACCCACAGCCAGCAGTGCGGCCCACAAAAATAGCTGGGCTGAGCTTGGGGACCCTGAATTGAAAACTGCCACACACACTCTCACTCCTCACTGTCAGGCTCGTCCTTGGCAGAGTTTTGCATGTGAAAGTTGGACAGATCCCCTTGGGCACAGGACACCTGCCCCTGTCCTCTAGGCCCTTGGCCCCCTGATCAACCGGCCAAGCTCCAATCCAGGGCCACGGAGCTGCGCCAGTCTAGCCGCATGGGAGGTAGCCGAATGGTTGATCTAGACTGCAATCTGTCTAGAAGCGTTCCAGAGTTTTTCTTTCCTTCTTCTCAGGGGCGGCCAGAGAGAAAAATAGGATGGATGAATGCAACGGGAGATGGGGTCTGCGTGTCAGCACGCTCCTCCGGTCCTTTGGTCCTCTGGTCCTCTGCCGTCTGGCCCTCTACCTTCTGCCCTCTGCCCTCGGTGCTCTGCTGGCGAGTAATCGATTCATCCATGCGTCCCCTCGCCATTCACCGCCAAGATGGGGCCGTGGCCTCATTGAACCGAGCCGGGCCATTCATGGCTTGCGCTGCTTTTAGATCCTCCTCCCGTGGATGGGGACATGGACGTGGACGTAGACGTGGACGGGGATCCTCTGCCCAGCTCCAGCTCAGGGTCCCTCAAGGGTCCATGGGGTCCAAGCATCAAGTCCCAAGTCCCAAACCCACCAGCAGGGGTCTCACTTGTTGATATCGCTCGAGCGGTCGGGGGTGCAAAATTGTTGATATCGTGTCCAGTTCCAGATCCTAGAAAATTCTCTCTTCCAAAACCAGTCCCGAGACCCTTCATTCCTGTGACTAGCCCAATAAGATTCTCCTGTCTCTCTTCTGCCCGCGCAACTCCCTTCTTCCCATCCCCAAAGACAGGAAGAGAAGAGTCAGAGGAAGAGTCTGCTTGTCTTCAGACCACCACAACGAGGCCTAGTAGACAGAGGCAGACAAAGAGACTGGACCTACAGTCATGGCTACCGCAACCACAACGGTCCAGACGAGGAGCAGGGCGGCAAAGCAGCAGGTGAGCCTCCTCTACTACCCACGATTTCTGCTGGCATGAGCTGCGATGCGCTGCGTGGTGTTGCGCTCCGCTTGTCAACACAGAAATTCCCTCAAGCACTCCCAGACTGACACTGACACCTTGCTTCCCAGGCTGCTCTTTCCGCTCCCATTCAGCTCGAGGCCAAGGGACAGGAATTTCCCGATGTCAAGACCATCAAGAGCTGGATTCCTGAGCACTGCTTCCAGCCCTCGGTCGCCCGTTCCATGAGCTATGTCGTCCGCGACTATGCCATGGCCCTCTCCCTGGGCTGGGCGGCCTTGACCTACATCCCTCAGATCGAGAACCCCCTCTACCGTACTGCCGCCTGGATCGCCTATGGATACGTTCAGGGCCTCATCTGTGTCGGTATCTGGATTCTAGGCCACGAGTGCGGCCACGGCGCCTTCTCCGTCCACAACAAGTTCAACGACTTCATGGGCTGGTTTATGCACTCCTCCCTTCTCGTCCCTTACTTCAGCTGGAAGTTCTCCCACCACCGCCACCACCGATTCACCGGCCACATGGAGAAGGACATGGCCTTCGTGCCCCAGACTGTCGATGCCCGATCGCGCAAGCGCCTTGCCAACTTGTACATGGATTCCGACCTGTTTGAGGACACTCCCATCGTCCAGGCCTTCAAGCTGGTCTTCCACCAGCTGTTTGGCTGGCAGACATACCTTCTCACCAACGCCTCGGCCGGTAAGGGTAGCTTGCAGCGCGAGGGAGCAAGCTGGTTCCGCGTCAGCCACTTCGAGCCCACCTCCGCCGTCTTCAGACCTAACGAGGCTGTCTTCATTGCTCTGTCCGACCTCGGACTGGCCCTGACCTCGGGCGCTCTGTACTACGGCTCCACGATCTACGACTGGCAGACGATGGCTCTCCTCTACATTATCCCTTACATGTGGGTTCACCACTGGCTTGTGGCCATCACCTACCTGCACCACAACCACCCTGAGGTGCACCACTACGAGGCCGAGTCTTGGTCCTACGTCAAGGGCGCGCTTGCCACCATCGACCGCGACTTTGGCTGGGTTGGCCGACATCTGTTCCACAACATCATCTCTGACCACGTTGTCCACCACCTTTTCCCGTGAGTTTACCTGTGCGCCCCGCCGGCCGACGAAACAATTGCTAACCAGATTCCAGTCGCATTCCCTTCTACAAGGCCGAAGAGGCCACCGAGGCCATCAGGCCCAAGCTCGGCAAGCTCTACCACCGCGACGAGCGCTCCTTCCTCGGCCAGCTGTGGTCCGTCTTCACCACATGCAAGTACGTCGAGAAGGACCCCAACGAGCCAGGTGCCATGAGGTGGGCGAACCTCAAGGACGATTAGAGCTTTTCCTCTGTTACTAGATGGTTGGGTTAGATCTCTTTGTTGAAAATCTTCAACTAGAATTTCTGCTATCACCTAGACCCAGTGCGCTCCAGAGACAGGGGGATCATGGGATAGACAAATCAACAGGGGGCCGCGGGTGCGGGTCATAGATTAGAGACCGAGCGCATCTCGGCTGTTATGCTAGATTATAGACGGACTGCGGTTAGACCATAGAGAAGAAACGGCTAGAGTAGTTGATACCGGACTACGCCAAATCTTATGCTCCTACGCACCACAAGCCTGCTTTCCTCACACCTTGCCTTGGCGAAACTTTGCAAGGATTACGAATATGGTTTTCAGGCACTCCGAATTGTCACAAGGTATGACATAAATGTCATGCTCAAAATTACTATACAATATAAGCTATCGAATAGAGATATCTACGGCTGAAAACTCTAAAACTGCCGCTCAAACCTAGTCCGGAGCCTTTCGCCATACTTAATGAATAGCAGAGGAGCAGGGATAAGCGCACACGATATACCAGCTAGTAACGTATTGGCCACCCCCAGTCCCAGGCTATCATTAAGCGAGGTGCCGACAAGCGGTAGGAAAGCTCCCAGCACATATCGCAGCAGCGTCGAGGCGGCAATGGCTGACGAGGCCACGGCCGTGAAGGCGTCCACGAGGTAGGTGTTGAGAGGGAGCTTGCAGATGCAACACTCTGTCAGCTTCAACTGCCAAGAATGATCTCGGAAAACGGATGAAAAACGAGATGGAAGTAGTAAAGAAGAAAACGTACTAGTGTGAGCACCATGCCCGCCCCGACCAACGCGCTGCCGACTATAGGCACGGCGAAGTGCAGCCCGGCCTGCAGCGCCCAGCCGTACAGCAGAAGCCCGGCGGGAATAAGCGGGCTCGCGTACACAATGGGCACGAGGCGGTTCTCGGGCTTGTGCCCTCCTTTCTCGGACCGCCGCATGGCGATCTTGTCCATGACTGTCGCGCTGAGGACGACGCCGGCTGCGAAGCCGACCATCAAACCTATGTAGACTAGGCCGACTGTGCTGGTTGAGAAGCCGTACTTCTCTTTGAAAACTGTTGGCAGGGTGGCAAGGAATATGAACTTTGTAGTGTATCATTTTATTAGACATGCTGTTCTCCTTTCTCGAGAGGAATGAGACGTGGCGGTAGTGGTGCTGATGGTGACTTACGATGTACCCTGACACCAGTGCGAGATATGCTGAGAGTAATGAGATGACTGGGTTGGTGAATAGCAGCAAGAGTGGCCTACATAGTGCTCGTGCAACCATTTTGTAAAGAGGCACTGGGTTAGCATCTGCAAGTTTTGAAGTATACCGTTTGTCCTTGGTGATCTTGCGCAGGTCATGTGCGATGCGCTCAAGAATGACCTTTGCGTTTGTCTCCCGGAGAAACAGGAGAGAGGCAATAGTGAGGATCCCGCCCTGGATCATTTAACACAGTCAGACGCCATTCACATACGTTTTAGAGAATTAGCAGCAAGAGGGAAACCCACGGCGGCGGCAGTGAAATAGACAGTCGACCTCCAGCCATACGCATCGACTAAAGGCCCGCCAATCATCGGACCGATGGCAAGCCCGAGGAGCGGCGCCACGATGGCCACAGACATGACCTTGCCACGGAACTGCAGGGGCACTATATCGGCCATGGTGCCGGCGCCGACGGCGTTTGGGGCCGAGGCGGCGCAGCCAGCAACGAACCGGAGAATAATCAGGGTCATGAGATTTTGTGACCTCGCGGAGGCCAGCGTTGTAATGGTGAAGACGATGTTGGTGACATGGTAGACGCCGAGGCGGCCGAATACCTCAGACAATGGGCCGAGGACGCTTCATTGCTCGTATGTCAGCATCTCTATTCACTGACATCTCTTACCTCCCCCGGGTGACTTCTCCATTATTGTTAGAACTTACAGTGGAGCGACCCCCCACCCCAGTGCGTAGATGGAGACGGCCATCACCCCAAGCAGTTTGCTCTGGTTGTGGAACTCGCTTAGGAGCTCCGGCACCCCTGGCGAGAATATCGCAGTCGCCAACGAGCTGTTACGCGGAGAAAACGGTCAAGCTTTTAGTCCCCCTGTATCCTCCGCGCTGGGCGGTCTTGGTAGGAAGTGGGCCACAACTCACCCGATGAAGAGGATGCCACTGACGAGCCCCATGTGCGTCCAGATTTTGGACCACGGCCAGTTCTTAGGATTTTCTGGGTCCGAATCCGAGTCCCAGTCGACGACAAAGTCCTCTGGCTTTTTCTCGGGGGGCCTCTCGTCGAACCGCTGCGACCCCGATTGTGTCGTCGGCGACCATGGCTCTGACCGCGCTTGCGACCGCGCAAGCTTCCGCTCCGACGCGGCCAGTATCTCCTGCCATTCCTTTCCCCAGTCAGCCTTGTCGGCGTCGAGGCTGAAGGACCGCTCCACGAAGGTCGTGAAGCGCTTCAGGTTGTTGATCGACACCCCGTCGGCGGATATACTCGACCATCGGACCTTTGGCGGGAAAGTCGGCGAGGCCGGCGTGCTCGCTGAGCCCCTATTCATCGTCGGCGAGGAGGCTGGATTATGGCGGAATCGCGTTTGCGGATACGATGACTGTTGTCGAAGAATGACCGAGAGCGAGGGCGTGACAGCATCACTTTGCCTCCCTGCTCGAGTGCTGGCTAGGTATCCAAGATGTGGGAGGCAGGTGCTACAAGCCCCCCAGGCGTCTGTCCATCAGGCGCACTTGTGGGCTATACTGATTGCACGGCCGGTTTTCCCCGGAAATTAAAATACTTTTCTCAGCTGCTGAGAGGTGTCAAAGTTTCATCGCCCATGTCTTGAGCGCAATAATACAAGATCTACGGGGAGGCTGAGGACGCAAGGTGAGGTTCCGGCTCGGCACAGCTGAGTATTAGTCCTCAGCACAGAGTGCGCGCGCAATGCTGATGTAGTCACATCTTGGCCTGCACAGTGGATCCTAAACTTGTCGCGTGTATACTATCACTACTTGCACTGGATGTGTGCTTGCAACTCAGCACTTTCCAGGCTGTATCCAAACTCGGTACACTTCTTATGCGGTGTTCTTGGCTGTAGAGGGAAGTAGACATTCGTAGCATCAGCCTTATGAAACACTACTATACACCAAGACCCTTTCCCTGACCCTCGGGTCCTCATCTCAAGTCGAGTGACTAAGGTTCCTGACGGACTACCCATTCGAGCACGACCCCAAACAGCCAAGGAGGGCCCGCCTCAGCACTACCTGGGAATCATTGAGTCATTCCAAGTCCCTTGCATAATTGCGCAGCAACTGCTGCTGCAGGCTCACAGCAAGTCACCAACACGAATGAGTCGGGCGGCCGGCGGAACCCGATGGCATCACCGCGTGTTAGAGTCTAAATCGAAGTTCATGCCCTCTCACTACAAGGGGCTGAGTAGGCCTGGTCAGAACGTGGGGAACAGAGTTCGGTGCTAGTCATGTAACACGACCGAATTCTATCCTCTGAGACATGACGGATGCCACGGCGTTGGGCTCTCACTCACCTACACAATTGCCTGTTGGTAGAAGATAGGCAATTCGGCGGGCGCTCTTTGCGTTGCACATGGGGGGCCAAAGGTTCGACCGAGGCAAAATAAGGTAATTCGACTTTTGCACCTGAAGCTGCCCAACCTACGCTCCCAGCCAGACGGTTCAGGGCTGGGTCGCATACTTTTCAGCTTTATCTGACGTGAAAGAGTATGGGAGGTTATGAGCAGGATAAACTCCAATATCTGAAGTCTATCTCCCGGCTCAATCTCGCTAGTTTTGCTCGGATTCGGGTACTTTAGCGCAGCAATATAAATCCCCTGCATATTTGTCTAGTACACCATCGTCTTGAGACAAACAAAGTCAGGGTCTTTGGCTATAGGGTACCCACACAGAGGCCGGCTGAAGCCTGTGCGTACCAGGCTGACCTGGAGCAGAGGAACACGGGCAGCATGGGTGTAGATGAGTCGTACGTTGTTCTCACTCACGGAGTTGACGGGTCCACCGGCCCGCAGAACTGTCCTTTGCTCTGACTTGTGAGCTTATCGATGTGGAATATACGACCCTTGAATCCACAGGAACACCACTGTGTGCCATCCGACGGTTCAATTATTTGTGACACTGTCTGAAAGTCAGTGGGCTGGGCTAGACCATTCCACGCATCTCGGATGGTCGCAAATCGCCATGTGCATATAACTAATTCTAGTAAAACACTGCGTCCATAGTAACTTGGTAGCCAAGATACCGCAAAATACTGAACAAAATGACTGTCATCCCAAAAGCCAACGCCCACGCCAATAAGCAGGCCGTAACGGTCGAGTCGTTTCTCGAATTTGTCAAAAGCAATTCCCCTTTTTACAAAGATTTCTGGAACAACGCCCTTGAAGCCTTGGCTTCAGGAAATAGACTCGAGTCTTACCCCTTGACAGACCACGCTGCGTACTGGCAGGCAAACACATGCTTGAACAGCAGTGTGGTCACTTCTGAGCAACAAGATGGCATTATTTTCAAAACAGGAGGTAATCCAGCCTTCCCGTACCATTAGCTAGCACTAAACAAACATTTGTTATAATCTGCTTGAGATATGAAGACTAATTGGTTTCGGAATAGGCACAACAGCCAAGCCCAAAGTCTCATTCTACAGCCATGTCGAACTTGAGGGAGTCTCCAAGGCACTGGCAACAAGCTTGATTCGGTGCGGAGTGCGCCAAGGGGACAAGGTTATCAACCTCTTTTACGCTGGAGACATGTATGGCTCATTCTTGCTGCACATTCTGTCCGTGTTCTACCTGCCGATCAACGAACGCGTGGGTGCGGTGCAGCTACCTGTTGCGGGCCACGTCTCCACCGAGAGTATGGTCACGCACATTCTGGAGTTCGAGGGCACGGTCGTGCTGTCGACGGTCACCACGATGGTCAAGATGGCTGAGCTGCTCATCGGCGTGGGCTGGCACGGCAAGAACACGGCTGAGAGCGTGAGGCTTTTGCTGTTCTCTGGTGAGGCGCTGTATAATGACCAAGTTGGCATCATCAAGAGGGCGTTTCCAAATGCCGAGCTGCGTAGTTTGGTATACGGCACCATGGACTGCGGCGTGATTGGGCTGCCTCCTCAGCCAGAAGCCAAGGAGCTGTTCCCAGTTGCAGACGGCCTGAAGGATCCGAGGCTACATCAGGTCAACCGTCCAGGGATGATTGTCGAGATTGTCACGGAGAATGGAACAGTAACGACTTCGTCGGGCACACCGGGTAGTCTCGTAGTGACGAACCTAGAGAGAAGATTAATGCCTGTTGTCAGATACCCCTCCGGAGACAGGGCGGAATGGATCGACTTTGAGGCTGGGCTCTTTAGGGTTTTGGGACGTGACCAGACTGCGATACGGCTTGGTCCCGTGTCCATCGACTTTACGCACCTTCGTGAAGCTGTCTCGTCTGCGCTAGGCCCTGACCGTCACGTTTCTGGAATACAGGCAGTAGTCGGCAGGCAAGACGCCAAAGACCTCCTGACAGTTCTGATTGCCTTCCAGCCAGTGTCTGAAGCGGAGGAAGCTAAGCTACAGCTGAGAGTGGCGGAGGAGCTGGGCAAAGCGAGGCCGATGTTCAAGGGCCATGTTGATGTCGGCTTGGTCAACCCTTTGAGGGTCTCGTTCGTGAGGACACAGGAGTTGACCGTCAACGAGAGAAGTGGGAAGTCGATTAATGTAGTTGACAAGAGACTCACAACTCTATAGAGAGACTTCAATACATGAAATAGATTTCCATTGGTCAACAACTTTCGGAGGACACTTGTGTATTGTGTTGCTACTATTCAGAGGGCTCGACTGGAAAGACGCAATTTCAGCCCGTGCCTCCTTCGCGGCCTATCTGTCCATTCCCGCACACGTTCAACAAATTGACTTGTCCCCAGAGCCTTGCAATTAGCTAATCGACTCGTTTGCTTGTTGTTTCCAGTCTTGGCGACCCTGCATTCAGTCGTCCAAACGGTCCCGACGTCTGACGCCTCCCGCCCAAGTGCCTACTGGCAAGGAAAAGTGGATTTTCGAAGACTTCCTTGAACCTCGATACAAACTTGCTTTGAAGTCTACCAGCTCAACGATCGACTTCATCACGAATTCTGCGAGCCTACACACCCAGCCTTCCCTTCAACCTTCTCACTTCGCCGTCCTCAAAACATCGCCATCAGCAACCAAACCAAAGCCAGCACGACACTCGCGACACTTTTTCAAGTCATTCAAGTGTCTTTGTGGCAAAGTGCCAGAAGTCGTAAGTTCTGATCGTCTGGTATGGTATACTGAAAGTGGCGGTGCCTAACGCTGACTATCCTCAGACCATGGCTAAGCACCTTCGACTATCGGTCGAGTCCGACATTACGGAGGAGGATTACGCCATTGGAATTGCCTCAACTACTTGTCTACTGGAGGCTCAGATTGAAGTAGCTAGGGAGGCAGTTACTCGCCAGCTTCGCCAACTTCACCAGGTCGACGGTGGCTACTGTCTTGACTGTGCCGACGGTGACGACGGCGACCGAGTCTTCCATCTTTTCCCCGAGCTGCCAGGCGAGCTCAAGCAGATGGTCTGGAAGCAGGCCGTCAACTGTCTATCTGTTCCGAAGCTCTACGAGTTCGACTTCGACCTTGCCTATGACTCAAAAGCTGCCCCTAACGGACGTCCTGGCAATGGCCTCATTGCTTGTTTCAAGCCCATTCGCACGAATAGGGAGCTGAACGGTCATGTTGCGTTGCTCAGCGCTTGTTGGGACTCTCGCAAGGCGTTTCTAGGCTCTGAAAACTATGTCATGGTCCCTCTGACCTACCTCTTCACCCCTGCCACCGAGACCGCGAAGAACAATGTCAAGAGCACCAGCACCATGACCAAGAGCCCGAAGAGCATTGGCAAGGGCAGAAAGATTGTCATCGAGCTCAGCAAGCAACGAACTACCAAAGCCAGTCCGAAATTTCGACACATCCTGTTGCCCGTCAATTTCGAGCAGTCGTGTTTCCTTATCGACAAGATCCCAAATCGTTTGTCCTACAGGTCGTTTCACCCATTGCCGCCCAACACCCCGAGCGCATTCACCCAGGCAGCGGGACTGGATTTCATTCACTCAATCAAGAAGCTTGCATTTTCGGTACACAGCGAAGACTGGACGACACAAGTCCGCTTCGGCGACCTGTTCGCGAACACGCCTGACCACTACACGGAAAAACGCTTGCCCATCACATTGGGTGCCCTGGAGACGCTGTCCTACGTGAGCGCCAAGGCTGTGGAGCGACGATGCTGCTTTGGCGAATACCATTTCTGGAACCAATTTCCCAGCGTGGACGTGCGACAATTCCAGCCGTCTCAGAAGTGGTACGTGCCAGACGTTTACCGGTTGCACAAGAGGCTTTTGGAAGATTGGGAGAGGCACCACGAAGAATTCAAGTGGGAGTGGGCACGAGATCTTCAGCTGGAGTGTACTTGTCAGTCTGCACGCCTCTGAACCTAATAGTTGCCATGCGTCTGTGAATGGCTGCTGGCGATAAGTTGAGGCAAACGAAAGAATTGGCTGAAAATGGAGACGAAGAATGAGTATTTGAGGCGGGGCTTCTGGTCTCTGGCTTCCGCCGAAGGCCTATACCTATCTCAACAGACGAGTCATGTGCACTTAGCTCTGCGCGCGGAGTATCCGTGGAATGGTTTCCAAAGGGATACAGGCTTGTAAGGACTCCGATCGACGAGTAACGGTGTCTTCTTCGCCGTTTACCGATCCTTGATGTTCATTTTAGGGAAAACCCCCATCCTCGTCCAACTGTCCCAATTCTCTATCGTCCGAATCAATTGCTTCCAAAAATGGCAGGCCGCCGCCAAAGCAGCAAAGTCGATATTGGCAAAACAGAACGACACCGCAAAACACACACTAAAAGGTGGTGGGGGGAAAGAGGATGGGTTCTGGATTTCAGCTTTGCACATTGAAGCTGGAAGTCACGCAGCATGTGCGAGGCGTGTATTGACAAACCGCCATTGTTTCAGCTCAAGAACCATAATCAATAAGAAGAGACTGTGGAAAGTGAGGCATCCCGAAGTTCTCTCCATCTTGCCGCCTGGGATGAATCTTGAGCAGTAGGGAGGGTAAGGACTTCATGAGGAGAGTCTACCGAGTAAATACTCAAAACAACCTTCATAAACAATCATCCCAAAGGGTACCATCAAGTTCTTGACTAAGCTATTGTGACCATGCTACTCATGCTTCATCATTTGAAATTCAGGACTCTAGATGGCTTAAAGATGTGACTACCATCGTCGTTCACCAATCTCACGTCAACGGATCTCTATCATTACTACAGCACTATCTAGGTAGGCACCGATGCTGAGTAGTTGACAGCCACACGAGAATGCTGCCTGAAACATGTCCACGAGATCCAGATAGGACACTATGGATGACAGACAATGCAATGCGGGATGGTGAGACTTGTTACAGGTCGACAGATAGACGTTGGAAACTGCAACTTTGGTTCGCTATAAGACTTATACGGCGCAGGCGCTCTGAAAATTGGTGCAAGTTCTTCGCATCTTTGGACTTTGTTCCCAACGGCGCAGAGTTAATGTATGCCCTGTCAGGGGAATTGAATCAAATCCGGACAGTACTTGAGCTACAGGTACACAACTTGAGAACCCGGAATGCACAAACTTATCCTTCTCTCTGAAATGATATTATCAAGGGCTCAAACATCGTTCACCACCATATTTGAGAACAGGCATAGAATTTGAAGACATTTTCGAACGCTTCTCCGAGGAGTGGAATGTCGAATGTAGTTTGCGGAACCAAGAAAATGCCCTCCCATTGAACTTTTGTTTGAGAGGTTCAGAATGTTCCAAATTGTCAGGGCTTGCTTTCGAGGCTGCGACTCGGGGCTCTTTGTAGGCACAAAGACCTTCGTTAGGCCTCAGGCCTCGGAAACGGGGCTGAGATGCAACAATGCGATGGGAACATGGGGATGTGAAGTCATCTTGTGTTCTGGGCAGCACTTGGTCTGATCACGGTGAATCATCATATACAAACGGATTCGGTTTCCTCATGAACAATTTGCCCCACTGCGCCGTGGTGAATCACTCTTTGTATTCCACTGTTCTGGTCAAAGTCCGAAAAAGCAGCTCAGTCAGGTGATGTTCCTGACAACCGCTGACCACAGCATCTCCTTTCGCATTCACAGTCCATTATTTATCTAGATGTCGTCCCCCGATCGCACCAAGAGGGCCAAGCATAGACCACAACCAACGCAACAGCCCCCATCCAGGGCCAACACAGCCGATGACCCGCGCAACCTCACCGCCGTCCTCGCATTGCATCGAACACGATGGATCTCGAGTGAGCTTGGGGCCTAAACCCGAAACTTTATGCACTGAGTCGAGTGTGCTGATGTCTCTAGGTGCTTGTGCGACATTGCTGTTGAAGCAACCCAACATACACTGCGATATCACATCGGCACAGAATTGTAAACAAAGCCATGTCCGACCCATGCCTGCCCAGTGGCCGGTCCTTAAACACTGCTGACATAGCGATGTGTACGAAGCAGTTTTGATGACGATCAAGCGACCTTAGTGAGAGATGAAATCAAGGAACTCTACCCCCTGCGCACAAGGGCACGGGACAGCAGCGTGGCGGATTTGGAAATCGCTTGCGACGCCGCAGTCACTGTCGCAGAGGCCTACAACAATGCCAACCCAGAGTAAGTTCATTCAGCAGGGCTCAGGCAGACAGAGTCAGCATGATGGAGGAATGAGCACTGAGTCAAGTTCAGTTCGACGAGTATCAACCTGCGATGGTTCTACGCCTGCGTTCAAAGCCTCCTCGCCATAGAGCTTAAACCTGAAGTGTTCCTCGATGGCCAGGTCGAAAGACTACGCGATCTGCCGATTTCAATTGTTTCCGATTTTGTATCCGAAATCGAGAATCCCTTGTCGGGATGTCCATCCCCTCAGCCAGCCTCCGACACGTACGATTCTGCACTCCAGGCAATGACACCGTCGAGTAACGGCTCGAAGACCATTCCAGCGAAGGCTGCAAAAGCCAAATGGGACGATGATGAAATCCGGCGCATGGTCGAGCTCAAGGCATCCGGACTGTCTCACCGTGAAGTTGCCGTGAGTCTTCTGCCACACTTGTTGAGAGTTTTCGACCTGATACTGAACCGACATTTCCAGGAGAAACTTGGCAGAGGCCAGGGCTCAGTCGAGAACAAGTATGGAAGGATGATGCAGATGGACTATTGGAAAGATCATTCGACTTGGTATGAGTCCAGTCTTAGGCAAAAGAACAAAAAAAAGGGTGATGATGACTGTCAAGGTCCCTCGCCCAAGAGACAGTGCCTTGACGATTCACCTTGACGGTCGCAACGGAATAACGTCACGGTCTCGTACTTAGAGCGGTTGTACCGGCCAGAGGCTCAGGAGGGCAGGGACTGGTACCGGAACATTAGTGGACCATACATGTCACTACCTTGATGCTGGCAAGCTGTTCGAGTAAAGGTTCTGGAAACTCAAACATAATATTGCCACGGTACTAGCTATGTACATGGATACCTGGTTCCTGGATCGTGGGATGACTTTGTGCACCACATCGACATCTCTGAGCCTTTATGTACATACAAACTTCCTGTAAAATTGAGACCACATTGTTCTATGGTATCAATCGTTCATGAGGTGATGTGTTCTGTCTATTCTCGCAATCCAGCATGATCATACTTAAAGGAAAATCAGGAAGACCGATCATCCGGGAACAATTAATCTGTGGTTTCCTTCCATCTTATGCAGTTGCAAGCCTGGCAGGCGCGAGCCAACTCTTGAGAAGCACATGGACAACAAACACTTTCGTTTGCCTTAATGTCACCAGGCAACGGTAATTCAAGTTTTGGTGGCAGAGCTCACTTCCAGTGAAGTGGGCCTATATCGCAGGTACTGAAAACCTTCCTGCCCCTTTGCCCACAATCGATAGGCCTGACGTCCCTCAACTTCGAATGGAAGGGGACTGACTTTCAACTGGCAGACTTACCTACATGATCTAGAGCATCAATTCGCTTGACAAAAACTTGCAGTCTTATTCCTCAAGTGGCAGAATATGGTGAACGACGAGTAAGCATCGCCGAATATGGCAGTCAACGTGCGATCGGTATGCTGATAACACCTAGGGACCTCCCATCCATCGCTCAGAACGCGGTTGAGCAAGCCTTGCGCTACCGCAATGGGCGTGATACGTGAGTTACCCTTGCAGCATCGTCGCTCAGGTGATTTAGCTGACAGAACGACCTCGCAGGGGACTGGCAGAGTCATACAAGGCTGTCATCAAGGACAGGATCGAACAGATCCTCCCCCTCAAATCGCTGGCTGCTGATCCTGCCGTCGCCAACCTCGAAATAGTCTCGGACGCAGCCTTGTCTTTTCTCGACGCTTACAACCTGGAGCATCTGGAGTGAGTGATCCCTCGCGAAGACCCAGTAAAGCACCTCAATCACTAACAACGATAAAGCCACCCACTGAATCAGAGGTGGCTCTACATTAGCGTACAAGCTCTTGCCGCAATTGATCTTAAGCCCGTCCTCGTGTGCGGAGACGTGAGACGGCTTCCAACGCCATCACTACGTCAGGCCGTAGCCTCCACCGATCTTATAGCAGATTGTACCGATGACCCTCAGCCGGAAGAGACCGAACTTGATACTGAAAGTGGACCCAACATAGACGACCATGAGATTCTAGCTGCGCAGATCCCCACTAATGACGACGAGACTGAAGATGAGCGCGCCTCCGATGACGACTATGAGCCACGAGTAGTGAAGACGCCAGGAGCAGCGAAGGCACCCCGAGCTAGAAAGAAAAGGTCGAGCGGACCGGTCGTTGCCAAGGGCAAGGACCCGTGGAGCGACGAGGAGATCGGGAGGTTGATCAAGATGAAGATTCGGGGTCTGACTCATAAGGAGATTGGCGTGAGTCCTACTCCACACAGGCGTCTGCTTATCTGAAATATAGTCTTGCTGACGTGCCTTGGACTTGCAGGCCATACTCGGGAGGAGTGAACCCGCGTGTGCCATTCGCCATTCCATTGTCTTAAAGGAGGCCGAGTGGATGAACTTTGCTCAGGCCTACCGGGAGAAGAGGGCTGCGGGCGAGATGTCGGACTCGGACGGCGAGAACGACGAGGGCAGGGAAGATGAGGTGATGGAGGAGAGTGATCAGACGTTGGGAGACGAAGAGATGACACAGGACACAGAGATGGAGGAGGTTGAGCAGATGAGAGAGAATGAGGGCGCGAAGGAGGAGTAGACGGAAAAAAAGCCTTGGCGCCGTGAACAGGCCATGAGACGAACCCATGATAAAGCGAGTTGGGGCTCATGCCCCCAACAAGGTGGCGTTCACCTGGTCGCTCTCGAGTCCAGAACAGCAGCGCCACTGCTAGGGCGCCGTCTGTCGGATTGGATCGAACAACAAGGGCAATAGGTCCGCGGTCGAAGGTGTCATTAGAACTTTTAGGATGGAACTTCATATTTGTATAAACAACATCAAGGTTTCAGTATTTTACAAGAATTATTTACTGTGACACGCTCCAGCCTTGCTTCTTCCCCGTGAACGAAGCATTACCGATGCCCAGCACCTCGAGGATACTCTTGAACTTAGGCGTGCCAAACCCAGTAACAGCATCCCAGCCTTCCTGGGCAGGGAACCCGAGGCCGTCTCCAAGCTCAGAACAGCCCCTAGCACTGCCCGAAGTGATATCCGTGAAGGCCTTGTAACCCTTCTTGTAAAGCCACGGGTTGAGGAAGCCCAGAGAGCTCTTGCCAGCGGCCAGCAGCGCGTCATTAACCAATGCGAAAATCGCAGTAATGGCCGGCGTCGAAGCACTGGTGCCAGAAACACGAATGTCGCGCGAGTCCCACACTTCGGTGTAGTAGTATCCCTGGCCAGCAATGTCGGGGTACCCGCGGCCGCTCTGGTTGTAGTAGGCAGCGTCCCTGCCATCCAATGATTCGATATACGCGTCGACAACGCCGTCCTGGTACAGCGGCCGGGAGAAGTAGTTAGAGAAGCCGCCACCGCTGGAGTAGCCGGTGCTCTTGTATGCGACGACCTCGGGGGTGAAATTCATAGTGGCGCCAACCGACGTGATGAAGGGGCAGGAGGAAGGGAACTCGGGCAGGAAGGAAGAGCTGTTTGTGCCGTCGTTAGAGACGCAGTAGCCGCTGAACCCGACGCCCTCGTCGCCCGAGGCGTAGAAGAGCGAGACGCCACGGGCGCCGAGTTGTGCCATATCGTTGCACACGCGCGTGGCGTACGACAGCGGCACCGTCTGCTCGTCGTCGTCGTACGATGTGCTGATCACCTTGGCCAGTTCCTCGTCCGACTGCGACAGCAGGTGCTCCAGCCAGACCAAGTAGGGCTCGTTGGTGTCGGTCGTGGTTGCCGCGTCTGGGGTGTAGGGTGGGCTGCCACCGACGGAGTAGGCGATGAGCTGGGTTGGCCAGCCGATTCCGAGCATGGACTGCACGTCCAGGTTGCCCTCAACATTGGTCTCGTCCTCGATCATTTCGTCGGTATAAACCTGTGTGGTTGTACCGTTTGCAATGGAGTCGAACTTGAATTCATAGGCCCCAGACTTGGCCTCAGGACGATATTTCGAAAGGAATTGGAAAGTGTCGTTACGGTTGTTAGATTCCCCGAGGTAGTCTACCAAGCCCATAATGTTGGTATTGTTGGACTGTGTCTGGTAGTCGATGGTCCCGTAGAGCGTTCTCAAGCAGGTGGGAGTGACGGCATCCCAGACGCAGACATCAGAGACGTTGGCGTTGCTGTACAGCTTCGTGGCCGGCTTCTGGTCCTCGAGCGTCTCGACTCTGAGCGCGTAGGCCCTGGGCTTGGCTCGGAACCAAGAGTTGGTCGGCTGGATCGTGTCGATATGATCGTGAAGGTGGAGCGGCAGAGACCACTTGGGAGTACGAACAAGCTCCGATCCATCAGCGTGCCGGTAGATCGAGTACTTGGTGTTCAGCATCTCCTCGATATCGGCCACTGGGAGCGTAACGGTGATCCAATCCCTAGCTGGACTGTAATTCAGCTCAGACTTGTCCACACCGTAGTCGGCCAGCCAATCATGAACCTCGTCCAAGGTTTCTTCGGAGGGCTCCAGCAACTTGTGAACATCTTGGGCCTTGAGATGCTGCCCGTATGATCGATGATCGGGGTCAGACACCTCGTACAGCTGCCGCTCCAGGTCTGAGAAAGAGCCTTGCTTCAGACCGATACGCAGCGCAATCTTGTGGTCAGCATCAGGGCGGCCGGTCTCAATCCACCTGCGAGGCACGTGGTGGGCGTCCTTGACTGCGAAAGCAGAGCGCTGCTTGACAGGCTTGCCAATGGCCGAGCTGGCCAGGAGGCCTGCTGCCAGGAGAATTCCAGTTGCCTTCATTCTGACGCTGTCGACCACAGGCTTAATTGATGCTCTAGGAGGGACGAGGCACTCTGGAGGGGAGGACAGGCGGCAGAGACGGTCAACAGAGAATGCATCCGGGCTCACCCCCTTTTATCTCCCTGCAGACATGCTCACCAGGCTCGACCAGCCAGCACATGGTGGACTCGGATAAGAAAAGCAGACATGAGTACGCATGAGGTCACTGGGTCTCGCGCGATGCTACCAGCCTGCCAACCAAAGTGGACTCGACTGCCGACAGGGACAGCTGAAGCCCTGCCGTGGTGCCGACCTGCATCTCCATGCAGGTGGCTTGCGCGCCGGCACACGAGCCGACCCCGCCTCAGCAGGGGAAAGATGGTGTTCTGAGCGGCGCTTGGCACCGAATGGGCAGGCCGTGGAGCTCTGAGAGTGATAACGGAAATTGGCCCCATCTCGTCACCTCACTGCGCGATTGCGACTCCCCAGTCCTGCCATGCAGCCATAGTGCTGCTGATGCTTGTTGGTGCGATATCTGCCCGGTGTGCCTGGCCTAATCACCCGCTCTAGTTCCTGATCGTCGCTTGCAAGGGTTTGACAGTTTATTAAGCTTTCTGGATCTGGCCAATGCAGGCCAAGCGACGGGACGAACTCTCGGCGTGTCCTTGGCGTGCGGCTGGCGTTCAGCTGGGCCACCCGCCCTCAACGTCCGACTGAGCAGATTCGGTGATGCCTCCATAATCTGGCAGGCAACCCTGGGTAGTTGCATCAGACCTCCGTTCCTCCTCATGAGCTGAAGGGTCCAGAGGCCCCTCATGAGCACGTGCCAAATTTAGGTGTTGTAAAGATCGTCCCAATATCTAGTGGTGTCAGAATGCGAATGGAAGGAAGCACGATTGAAGTCATAAAGATGTGTAGAATGATTAATAGGCCAATTTCAAGACTGCCTAGGTACCTGAAACAGAATGAAAATCCAACGCCATACTCAAAATCTCAAAAAGCTGTAGTGTCCTCAAGTTGACATAACAGAACAAACACTGCGCCGGGCTATCAAATCCAATCCCATGGCCCAAATGAAGAAGACGACCACGCGAAGCAAAGCCATGTTTGGCGAGGCTTAAACCGGAGTGATTCGAAGGATTGGCGATCTGCAGTCTTTGGTTCTTTCGAGGCACGATCTGGGAGGGAACATCGTTTCCATGATAACGAATCTGTAGCCAAGAACCAGTTAGAGATCCATCAGGTCGAGGACGATGTAGATGTAAACTTACTGGATCAACAAGGATCGCATGGGGACTTCCATCGGGATCAACGGCCCGTCGAATGCGAGGTAGAGTCTGTGAGAGAAAAACCAGTCAGCAAGAAGAAAGTCATTGCTGGTAAGCCACACTTGAATCATCTCGCAATCGTGACTCCATTCAATCCTTTGCATCCCATGTCGCCCGCACGGAGCTCCAAGATCCTCGCCCTGGCCCTGTAGCGAGAAGCCAGCGCAATCTGTTGACGAAGGGTTCCGCGTACTCTCAATTCCGGGGCTTTCCCCACTGTATACGCTCGAATGACTAGGTATAGGCGTGGAGGCTTATATTATGGTACTTAGCTTGGAACCGACACCCCCCGCACGTAACCACACGTATAGCAAAGGGGTGCGGCCTGCTCCTTTCCACAGCGCTAGGAAATGTGCGAACGACGTCCACCATCGCAAACCAAACTGGATGACGCCGCAATACTTCAGGCAGAGCCGTAGACCGAAGCAAGGGCGTGTACTCCCAAGTCAGTCGGCAGCTGCCATCTGGTATGCGCCTGCGACAGTCGTTTTACAGCGACGGGGCTGGGATGTGGAGATGAAAGAAACGAGAGGGTGGCAGATGATCAAGGCTGGGGCACCTTCAGGAAAGGCGGGCTTACCAAAGGAGAGACATCGCGAACGGTGCGACTGTTTGTGTTGCGAGCAACAGCAGCATTGCTTTGCGAGTGCGTGGGGGGCAATCGAGTGGTTCGAGTTGGAAAACGTCTTAAGAATCAAGAGTCAGGGTCAATGATGGTTTGAAAAGGTCGGTGACGTGTAAGCGTGATGAAGTTTGCTGTGGTTTGATCTGTGGTGGAAGGGCGCAGAGAAAGGTGTTGGGCAGGGGTGAGATCCAGTCGGTGACGGTTTGGAAGGAGGAACGTACCTTGAGAAGATTGAGTAAGGATACTTGAAGAACTCAGAGAAGGATGGAAGAAAGTTAAAGTAGACAACACGAATACTGAATGAGGAGGTCTCATTTCTGAGTGGTGGAATGTTGATTTCTTGTGATCGATGGTTGTTGCGGGTGATCGAAAGTTTGGAGGTCAGGCTGGTTGAAAACAAGGGTTTAAGTATTTGCAGCTGGGAAGGCGGCTGATTAGATCTGCAAGTCTGATTGATGAGATCTCCAGCAGATCTTCCCGCACCTTTCCTAATTGGGAATAATAAATTGGGAAATCCGCCAGTTATGCCACTGCTTGGTAGCTGGCAGGTGGGAGTTTTGGTGCCCAGGTGGTAGGTGGTGGGTGGTGGGCGGTGGGTGCTTTCAGTTTGCACCAAGCTTCAAATTCACTTTCGAATTACATGATTGGCTAGAACCGCAAGAATTGGACAGTGCGCCTTGACAGAGGGGGGTGAGGCTTCCAGGTTATTCTTCGTACTCTGCCACTACACCAATGCTTTCACGGCTTCTCACCATTCTCAATCCCAACGCATTGTCAAGCTCTCAGAACATGGCGCCTCACAGTACGTAACCCCGTTCTACACAAGGTCTAAGATCACACTAAGCCTCATGAGGAGCTCAGATATTAACAAGTTACAAACGTACAGAACCCACAAGTAGGATGCCCGGCGAGTTTCAGCCGACCCTCAACCGTAGGTTGAAGGGTGCCAGGAAAGCTCGCAGAGAAGCCCTTGGACTGACATCAGGGTCCCCAAGGAAAAGCCCAGGAAGCTACCGAAACACCAAATACGCCAGCGCCAGCTCGAGCGAGAGAAGGATCGTGGTGGCAAAGGTCATGTATGGCATGAGAGACACGTCTACGTCAAGAAAGGCTGCTAACATGATCAGATTTGTCGTCAAGTTCCCTGCTTCTCCTTCCAACACAAATGCAACCGGCCGGTAAGTCTTTTACAGATCAGCAATGCTCGCCGTGTCTTCACTAACGTGGATTTGCAGACTGGGCCTCGCAACAACACAGTGAGTCAGCCAGTCGGGCTCAGCCGTTTGATGACAAAGAATCATGGAGTAACTCCTGATAGCGCAAGCGATGGCTTGCGGTGTGTTTCATTAGCGACGAAGATTTCCAATCAGAGCAGAAGCGGCGCATGGAAGTGCGCATGCCCTCGAAGCAAGAGTTGACGACCAGCGAGCTTCTGTCCCAACCTCAGTCCATGACACAGAAACGCTTTGAAGCTTCCCTCTCTGCTTTGCAGGCTGAGGAGATCCGGGAGAAAATGTCCAGAGAGCGCGAGATTCTGGCTGCAGATATTCGCCGCATTGGCCACGCCACGGTGAGCTTCAGCTTTCCATTAACGCTGCCTCAGATCAGCGTTCGCTGACTGTCTCTACTGTAGTGCTCCACGCCAGACGACGACACTGTACATGAGGATCTGGACGGTCAAGATAGGAAATATCAAGACACGTTGGACTTGTATGCATGAGTTCAAGGACAGCGGCAGGGAGACATGGTGATAACCCATGAATGTTTGATGACAAGGTAATTGAGGAGTTGTTGGGCCAAACAAGCTTTCGCCTGTCCATAAAAAGCCCAGGATCGGATCATTGCGATCCAATGTGATCAGTAACTTCTATAATCTTTCTCTTGGGTGTCAAACGTGTGCAGGTGTCGTCGCCTGATACAAAACTTGTTCTCAGGACGCTTTCTGTTTCCATATTTCCACCTCACAGCCACCGCGCAGGACGCCGACCCGCATGGTCGCCAGCAGATTATGGGCCGCATTGGAATGATCATAGACACCACCATTGAACGCAGCAGTTGCGTCCTTACCGATGTAGCAAGCAAGAAGAGACCTGCCACCCGGGTGCTCATCAACGAAATCTACAACATCATGAATGACGCCAGCCACCACCACAAGGGCCTTGCCGTTCACCTGAGTCTCTGCCACGAAATCATCCCACGACATAATGGGCAGTTGCTCCAGTGGAAGACCCCAATCACACTGGCTGCGCCTCCGGTCTAGTGCTTTCTGGAGTTGCTGGATGCGGCCTTTCTCGATTTCGTTCCGACGGAAACGCTTGAGGTCGCTGGCAAGACCGACCTGTTTCCACAGCCAAATCATCCACTTCGTAGGGTCGTACTGCCACCATTCTATGGCGTTTCGATAATCCGATGGAAACTCGTGGTGAAAGTTGTGGTATCCTTCGCCCAAGGTCACCACAGCCGTCAGAAAGTGGTCGCGGGGCGAGCGGCGGTCGTCAAATGGCTGCTCCCCAATCCAGTGCGCCAGCGAGTTCACGCAGAACGTGGCTTGCTGGAGGAAGAAGCACCGCAAGATGCCAGCGTAGACGAATCCTCCCATTCGGTCACCCCATAGGCCACATATCAGAGTCGGAAGGCCCCAGGCCATGATAATTACAGCTAGCAGGTAGTTCCGATGTTGCCACATCACAACACGATTCTGATTCAGGTCGGTCATGTCAGTCCGACCGAGCTTTTTGGGATCTTGATTGAAGATCATCCACCAGAGATGTGAATGCATGAGGCCCTTGCGGACTGAGTAAGGGTCCTTCTCTGTATCGGTATGCCTGTGATGTGCTCGATCTTGTACGACATGTCAGTCAGATTGCAACACTTGCTAACCAAACGTGTGCTCGAGACTGTCCAGGCAGCGTCTTGGTCGTGAAAGCCTATCAAAGAGGTGTGATCACCCCGATCCAGGGTAGGAAGAAAACTGAGCTGAAATCACTAACGATCTCGAGACCATGCCCTGATGGACCCCTGGACAGCACCGGCACCAACGGCAGCCAGGTAAACCTGGAGTAGTGGCTTTGCCTTGTAACATGTGTGCGACCACAGTCGATGGTATCCTGCTGGCATGTTAACATTTTCTGTGAATCTCTTCAGCTCTTAGACTCCACATACCCGCTGTGATTCCCAGAGCAGTATTAAAGTAGTACACCGCAGCAAAGATAGCGGTATAGGGATGCAAAGGTGTCCATATCGCCCCAAGGAAGCCCAAAACAGGGACAATGATAACAAAAAACACATTCAGCCAATTGAGATGCCGGTACCAATTCTTCCAAGTGATAGGCAGCTCACTGATATGAGGCGCCTTGCCCGGCATTTTGGCATGCTCTTCTGCCGCGAGTGGCTGATTTGGAAGAATCTGGCTTCGGTCTGGAACATTAAAGTCTTCCCGGCACTTTGGGAGGTAACCACCAAACTTTCTGTCCCGGGCAGATCTGAAACCTAGATTTCGAGAGATTTTAAAATAAGAGGCGACCACTTTGCGATCAGAGGCCCCAACGTCGAAAAAGCAAAGGCTCTGAGCTTGGAGCCTGTCGTTGTCCTCTGCTCAGGCACCGGCAGACACTGGCAGGTTGCTGTGAAGTACTTGTGTTGAGGAAACGGTCTTTTGTTGGGACTTGCGTGTATTGCGCACAAATGGACGCGATCCATGCCGCCTTTGAGAGCCGGAGCGCAATCGCGCCGAATGGCAAGTCGATGACCCGGACAAACGTTTTGAAACAAACAATGTCACAACGCCCAGTGCTGTTTCCATGGGTGTGAAAACCGGCACCGCAATCCTTCAATGTTACGCCGCAACACCTGCCCTCCCGATGCCGTTTCGGGAAAGCTTTCCCTGCAACCTCGGTATTACCCGCTGTGTGAGACATTGGGACTGTGCTCGTGAGAAGTTTCATTTGATCTTTCACGTCTGTGTTCTCATGGAAATTCCCATGCATATTGTAGAAACTTATGATTCACGGTCATCATTTGTCAAGAATCCAAATCGATCGATCCGACAGTGACCTAGCAGGTTGACTTACCGCCCGAACAATCAATGGATTGTATGCCCATGCTGGCGGGTCTGAACGATGTTGTCCACGTACTACCAATTAGCAACTTAGACTTCTCATTCCAGAGGATTGTTGGGGCCAAATGTTCCGACATCCCAGTGCCCAGAAACACGCGGACCGATCGGCACCCAGCCTGATTCGCCAATCGCCGTATTCACAAATATCATCCATCACTTCCACAACCCTCAGGAAGGAAACGAACCGGGCAATCTTCTTATCTTGATACTGTAGTGACACAAAGAAGTCATTTCGGCAAGATACACATCTTGCATGTGCGTTTCCAAGAGGGCAATCGAGAAGCAGCTGTGTCGCTGCGAATCTTGGGTCATGAGTTGATGTTGTTCACTCCTTTCCTACATGAGCCAGAATATCACTGTTATGTCTGAGATGTTAGGGTATCAAAAATTCGATCAACATCCAGTAATCACGACAAGACTCTAAGGAGGCCGGATAATACCCTGTCCTCACGCCAAATGATGCTTCAATATCACAATTCATGCATATCCACTCAACTCCAGGAGATTACGTGGTCATCTTTTTGGGTGAAGTATTCAAATTATTTTATTTTCTTTGGGTCAAACTCGGTAGATGAACTGGTTTCTCATTGTTCTCCATTTTAAAAACGTTCAAAGAAGATAGATACTACTCATCTTTGTGTAGTTTACGTGCCTCAGCCTCGTAGTCGATCGGGTTTTCGTTCCAGGGAAGTGGCGTCAAAGGGTGATATGCCTGGTACTCCAGCTCAACGCCAGGATGCTTGAAAGTGACACCCCGCCTCATGCAAAGATGTTGGCTAGTCGGCTTGTTTTCAGACTCTGTCACCACTTTGATTGCATTGGTAGCCGGCTCATTCAGAAAATTCTCTAAGCGCAGCTTGAGCAGGTGCGCCACAGCCTCCCTAACGGAAGGCGACTCCCAGTATTCAATGAAAGCTTCAAACGGGTCCGCAGTCTCTGGAAGCGAGGGCTGCGCACATCTTTGAAACACGCCGTCCACAATTTCTGGATCAAAGCAGCTCTTAACAAGCTTGGCCACGATCGCCTGACGGCGCAGGCGAACATAGTTTGGGTCCCTCAAAACCTCAGGAAATACACTCAGCTTCTGAATGATGTCTTGAAACTTCACAGTGCCATCCCCTAGCGGAAAACACTCGCAGGCCTCGGGAGTGATTTCATATTTCGCAGGCTTGGTTATCTTTGCCTCAGCCACCCACAGAGAAGCTTCCAGGAGGCGCGCTTCATGATCATTGACAAATCGTCTGATGGAGCGCCCATTCCGGAGGTCGTCGAGCGTGAACCGCCCCGAGGCTACAGCCCAAGCCCGTGATCGCCAGGCCGATGATCTGAAATCCGTATTGATTAGAGGGTGTGGTATGACGCTTTCTTCCTTGGCTAGGATCCTAAACCAGATGTGTAGATTGCCCCAAGTTTGACTGTCAGCACAGTCCCATTGCTTGAAGTTCGTCATATCAAACTGCTGAGGACGTTGTGGGACGTCTTCCAGATGTCGCATCCCACGTTTGATCTCTTCTGGCCCGCCCAAGGTTCGGACTAGGCTTAGTAAGAGGGGATAGTCCAGCTGGTTGATCCGCCTGAAAGTCTTGAAGATTAGATCTTCCCGTGCTTTGGAGTGGAGATATCTTCGGATGAGGCCTTGCTTACACGGAACGCAGACGAGGTCGGACTTACTGACAGCGCTGAAGAATGCATGGCATAGCTCCACGTCGAAGTCGGACATTCTTGTGCTGATCATAGTGTTGGAGCTCCGTGCGTGATACATGTTTAGTGTTCAATAAATATTTCTGGGCAAGTATTTGAGTATGTTCGATAGAATGATGAATGAAGATCCGTTTTACTGGTGTTTCTGGCAGGCCACGAACAGTGCCAACATCAGTATTCATGTGTGTGGCGGTTGTATCAGATATAGTTCTGGAATCAAAGATGGACTCTTGTTACACCAAGGCTATGTTCATGTGAAAGATACAAAGAGTCAGCCTTGTTTGTAGAGACAGAACGTGTCCTCGGCATTGTGTCAGATACAAAGAATAATTGAAACATATGCATCGCCCCGAAAGTCTAAGGCTCTTTGTGTGATAGAACCGGCACAAATGGTCCGCGATGGGCAACTCAAAGTACACAGATTATGCGGGTATGAGGTCACGAGAGACTCGAATACTGGAAGTGACTATACACACTTCTACTATTTCCTTCTCATGACTGAGACTATCGAAATCCTCTTCTAACCAAGGGAATGTCAACCAGGCCAATGCCAGCATGGGATATCCAATCCTGAAGCGCCGCCACAGCCGCCGCCCCACTAGCTCTACCGCTTGTAGTCGCCGCAGGCCTCCTCTTGACCACATCCTCGCCAGCCAGCCGCTCCGTGTCACCAAGCACCGTGCCGTCACTCTTGACACTCACGTCCCGAAAGTAGAGCTCCATGTCCGGATTGTCACTGCTCACGCCGCCAAACCGCATCGTCTGGGCCTGCGTGCCAGACTGTGTACTGCCGTTCTGCCCGCTCGGCGCGGTAAACACCGTCGCGGCGCCCTTTTGCGTCGTCGTGAACGTCGTCCCGGCCAGGCCGGGGACCTGATCGGCTGTGGGCGGCAGCACGGAGTAGAGCTGCAGGCCGCTGGGAGAGACGGCGCCACCGGGGCTGGTCCGGTCCATGCTCTTGGTGCGCTCAAGCGTTGCGTCGAGGCGAGTGGTGCCGTTTTGCAAGGTCTGTGACGTTACATTTGAGTTCAGCGGGAAGGAGTAGCGATTGGTGAAGCCCGCTGCGTCGTCCTCCCCGTGTTTGGAGGTATCGGTCCCGGTGGTGGTGATCACGTTGACCTGATTCTGCCCACTGTTGCTGAGCACTGCGTCGTCGGTGTGTGAGAGTGATTGAGTCCACAAAACCGTGGTGTTACCAGTCGAAGTTGTAATGGAACCCGAAACACTGAAATTCCGGGACACAGACGTGGTATACTTGAGCGTATCGTTGAAGCCTGTCGCGTTTTGTGTTACGGACTGGCTGATTGCAATTGATGGATCCAAACCGTCCACAGTGGGTGATGACCCGGTAGTGATGGAGTCCGCCTTGGAATCCAGCCACACAAACATTTTGCCGGTCACTTGCCAATTAGAGGTGACATTTGGAGATAGCGAGGCGGTTTTCCCGTCGTCACTGAGGCCAACAACATTAACAGTCAAATTGTGCGGCTGACCGTCACAGAGAACCGGAAGCCACGGCGACATGTCGATCTCGCCCTCTTTAAGATCGAAGGCGTCAATGCCAACGACAGGTTGCCAGAAAGCCGGCGATACGCCACCGGTAAAGATGACGGGGAACGGCCATTGAACACCTGCCAGTTTCCCGTCAAGCAGAACTTGTACTTCTCGGAATGGTGAGTTACCAGGAAGCTGGCCACCCGAGGCATTGTAAGTCAGTGTGTTGGACTCAAGAACATTGCTCCACCAAAACTCCTCGTTGCCCTGACCCGTAGCTGAGACTGAAAAGATAGCCTTGACGGCGTTTCGAGGGAAGTCAGTGATCACATTGGAGGCAACTTGATCTGGGATTGTAAAGACACTTGGCTGTGAGTCGTTGTTCGCCTGGCGCGAGGAAATAGGTATAACCGTGTCTGCTGGTGTCACACCTTGAGGCGCACTGAAGAAGCTGGCAGTCAAGGTTGTGTTATAGACTCCAGTCAACTACGAATGATATCAGTCTGCTGTCCGATCATGCCCCTCACACTTGAATATAGAGTGTAAGAATATACTTACTACGTCAGTAAGGCTGTTCGGCAGATTGAAAATGACTTTTTGTGGCTGCTTCCACAGAGCCATGTATTGTGACATATCTTTCACGTATGTATAGGATATACCCCGACGATTTGGCTCCTCAGTAGAGGTCCGGAAAACTTCTGTGTCTCCAAAATACCTGAGCATGGGCTCGATCAGCATCTGAGCATCGTGAGCGTTGAGACATGTGGCATCTCGCACACTCACACGATGGCCAGACGATCAAATTGCCTCCCTTGTGACTGCACCGTCAAGTTCATAATAGCGGTGTTGCTATCGGCCAGACAAGCAGGTGGCGTATAGTTTCCCACGAAGGGACTGCCGAAAGAGTTACTGAAAGTGTTGACTGCCAACGTAACCTGACAGTCCTGTTCTCCAAGGCCAGGCAGGATCGTCGGTATGTCATTGAACCCATCAGCGGTGCCGCCACCGATGACCTTCCCGTTGAGCCCTAAGAGGGGGACATCGACTTGGAGAGTCTGCATCGCGCTGTTGTTGCCTCCTGGGACGTCCCTCCTGACGTGCCGCAAATTATGAATGGGGTGCCGCCTCAGTGGCCTGTGGACTGCGGCTCGAACTTCAAGTTCAACTGGACTCCGGACTGGCTCGTCATTCTTCGCCCACAGACCCCATCGCCCCAGTAATCCCAAGACAAGGAACAGCGCGTTGAGGATGATGACCGCGATGATTGCCGGCCTCTGGGACTGTGATTCATCCGCCCATCTTACTTTCTTCTTCTTCCTGGGTATCTTGCTCGGACCAGCCGCGTTGTTTCTGAGGGACGGCTCAACCGTCCGATGTTTCTCGTCGCAGACGGGGAGCGATTGATTCTCCATTGTCGATGGTCAGTTGTCCGGCGCTGGACTCAAGCTCGAGCGAATGCACGGCGCCGGCAGCTGACTCCAATAGACATTACCAGGGACAGCACTGGGGAACGTGAGATGCGTTGTTTTGTTTTGATGATGTGTCGTCTTATCGGGTTGGCTCAATCATGAGTCAAATCAAGCTTTCGTGTCCAGCCTCCATCCGGGTCCGGGTAGAGGGGTAGCATCGTTTCAGATCCCGGACGCATTGAGCATTCTTACCGGGGCGTCGAACGATGGGGCGCCTAGGGTCTACAGTGCGCCCGGCGGTGCTGCAGCTGATCCGAACTGCTGTATCTTCTAGACTCAATAAGATCGGCGTAAACTTTATGTGTCTCGTCCCGCGGGCGTTGATGGGGAACTATCACAAGCTGAAAAGTCGCGGCGCAAAGTGACAAAGCCAGTCACCCTTGGAGGGTAGCATTTTAGTCTTGAGCCGGACGTATGATAGGCCCGGGGGCATGAATTTGTTGCGAGGGGTATTTTGTATTTTAAAACCGTATGAACGCTGGCGAAAGCTTACAACGTCTTGAGTGCAGGCTGAGATAGGTACGATGCTTCGTGATGTCTTGACAAGTAGGAGCAGCCGCAGTAGCTTAAATCGGCTCTTCACATCTGAGAAAGACGAGGCCGACGCTTTCAGATTTTCTTTTAGGCAGAGTACATTTTCAACAAGCAACTGACCAGCAAACCACTACCGCACCACACCATGGCCGGGCGCCATTTGATATTGTCCATAACGCTTACCGACTCACTGCACTAAATATCCTCCCAGTGCATTCACCAAAGCCGACCTTCTTGCCGTCCTCGCCGCTCGTCGCCCTTAGGGTGATCGTGTCGCCGTCCTTCAAGAACTTGCGCGCATCCATGCCAGCAAGGAGGACCTCCTTCTTCCCGCCCTCGCTCATCTCCAGCAGACTGCCGTGCTCGGACGGTTTCGTGCCGCTGATGGTGCCTGAGGCGAGCAGGTCGCCACTCCTCATGGGGCACCCACCCAAGGTGTGATGCGCCAGCATTTGAGGGAAGGACCACAGAAGATTCTTTGTGGAAACCCGGGAGATGGTGGTGGTGTCACCCTCAGGGGCTGCGATGGGGGTCAGTTGTGGATTCGGCAGTAAACCGCGTTTAGGCGAGGAACTTACTTGTCAGATCAATCTCGCACTGAATGTCGAACACGTTCTCCGGCTTCGCCTCCTTGAGGTAATCTTGCAGCTCGGGTTTGCCCTCGAGCTCAATGCCTTTGCTCCTGAACGGCTCCAACGCATCTGGCGTTATAACCCACGGGCTTATCGTCGAGGCGAAATTCTTCCCGTTGAATGGTCCCAGGGGCACGTACTCCCAGTTCTGAATGTCCCTCGCACTCCAGTCGTTCAACAAGACGTAGCCAAAAATGTGCTCCTCTGCCTTGTTCACATCAATGGGCGTCCCCATCTCATTGCCCCTGGCGATGAAGCAACCCAGCTCGAGCTCAATGTCCAGCTTCTGGCTTGGCCTGACAGTGGGCTGCTTTGGCTCTGCGGCCGGATCGATGACAATCTGCCCGACCGGCCGTTTGATAGGGTGTCCCGAGACAACAATACTGGACGCCCTCCCGTGGTAGCCAACGGGCAAGTGCGTGTAATTCGGCTGTAGGGCGTTGGCTGGGCCGCGCCACATGGACCCCACACCAAAAGCGTGGTGATATCCCGCGTAGAAGTCCGTGTAGTCACCAATGTGCATCGGCAAGTGCATCTTTACCTTCGCCTTCGGTATGAGAGCTTGTTCGCGCAGTTCTGAATTGTCTTTGAGGAATTCGGGGTGCTTGGTGTCCACAGACAGCAGGTCCTGGATGGTACTGCGCACCTGGCGGTGGATGTCCCTTCCCAGTTCCGCAAACTTGTTGAGAGTGGCAGAGTCAAAGACGTTGCCATGCTCCTTGAGATACGGAAACACGCTGTCAGCATCCTTTTGGTCAAGTAGTCTCTTCAGATCAAGGACATGATTGCCAATGGCGGTCACGGCGTGAGGAGCTTCGTCGCTGGATGTAGCGGCGATGCCAAAGGGGATGTTAGCGAGGGAGAAGTCGCTGCCAGGATCAACGTCAGGGACCCACGTGGAGGAAGCCATCATGAACCAGCTGGAAGCAAGACTGAGTAAAGTAGAAAATTGAACAAATCTTTCCTTCGACGATGAAGGCCTTCCACATTAGAGCTACGACAGTTGTGTCGGCAATGAGGCCGGTTCGGCTAAGCCCGGAGGGGCAGAGCAGCCCGACGGAAGCCGGCGTGTGCGGGAATATGGCCGCCCGCCCCACACCCCGCCTCCGACTTCACTCGCTCCCATTAGCGGCTCTGAATTGCCCACACCCGAAGGAGATTGCGATGTGACGAGACATGTCCAATAGTCGGATCAATGAGTGAATGGTGAAACAGCACGCGCACACACAGACTGCCAAAAGATGTAGGCATGCGCTCTACTTATTACATGCAGACACCTCGCCCGAGTGCCCTGCTTATTTCTTTCTTTCACACTGTCAAACCTGATGAATGGCCACTGTATTCCTGGACATAACCGGCATCATCTCAGAATCAACAAAAACTTGGGCGTTGGAGGGTCATCCTGAGACTGAACGGAAAGCTGGACCTGGGTGCAGGCGGCACTTGAGCTAGAATACCCGCAGACTCTTTGAACACGACGATTCAGGTTAAAAAGACATTAGATGAATTGATGTTGGAGAAGACAGTGCTTGGTTTGTGTTTTGAATTGCTTGCTTTGTAATGAGCCTCCTACACGACTGGTGGCTTGCGGCCTGACACTTACATTTGAAAACCTCGCTGAAAAGCATGGTCCTGAGAAGCAACGTGACAAATGCACAGAACATTGGAATATTTGCAATTTACATATCCTCGGTCTGTGTCTCATAATAGCCTCGTCAATTTTGGACGTTTCCGATCTCTCCAACTGTATTGTGCTCAGCCTTCACCTTCGATCGTGGCATGTATGATGCCCTATTTCGCACTCAGCTCTGCTATGTTGATAAAGAAACTTCTATCTACACGACCTTTGACGGCCATTCAGCTGATCTCAACGAGTTAGACGGCTGCAATCACGGCTGGTGTCTGTTTCCCTTTTTTCCCCTCTACTTTGTGATGTGCGCATGGGTTAACATGAGAGCATTTGGACAGCTTTCCAATCATAAGAGAACAAACTCGTTCGCACTGAATAGAAATGGGTAATCCTCAACTAAGAGGACGAGAAGCATCGGATGGGGAACGGTTGTGGCAGTAGGTGCATGCTTTCAGAAGCGGCCCCCTTTGGTGAATAGTATATTTCTTCATACGGCTTTGCACTCCATGCTATTATATAACGGGTATGTACAATTATCCGTGCAAGTTTAGATGCATATACTAGCCTCCGCAGTACAAAGCACCTTTTCGCAAACCCACCGACTCATGGACCCATCATATCTGCACGACTTACCCCCACCTTAGCCCACCCCTTACTTCACATGCCAGCTAACACCAGCTGATTGAGAATGGCGAAGAACAACAGTCTTGAAGGAAGCAAAAGGACAGCCGCTGCAGCTGTTACAAAAATGCATGGGTACTGCCATGTCGGGCTACTTTCCTCCGGTTTGAGCTTAAGCTCTGGGTCAGGGTGCCAGCTCCATCTCCAGAGGAAACCTTGCTCTCGCTCGACTTGAACGCTGGGAGGTGCACCACCACGACAGCTTTAGAGACGACTTGGCGTCCCCCGTTACGCAACAATGCCTTGTCAACGGGTCTTCAAAGTCAGAAAACCTCCGGGCCTCAGACACGCCATCAAGTACGAGACCTCCGCCTCCGAACTCGACCAGCGCCTTGCGCGCCGGCAGCGTGCTCATTTGGACCGCGGCGTGAGGCTGCTGCCCAGAACCTCGACCGACCAAGCTCCCCGACGGCTTACACGAAGCCTCCAGATTCAGCCAGCCAGTGTCTTCCGACCTCAAGATCACTTCCTGTCTCCCGAGCAGCATTTTCCTCTGCAAACTATACACACGCGAACACAGTACCCTCGTTATGTCAACCGATTCAACTCGAAGGAAATCATGCTTGTTGTCGATGGCAGCTGTGTGAATAACGGTGCCGGCGTGGGACGAAACCCGCCTGTCGAGAAAGAGTATGCGCCAAAGTGGGGCTTGAGCTTCATATACAACAGCAGCGTCGCCAGGGATGGAGTCACCTTGCCGTATCTTGCGGCGAACAACGTAAAAACAGGTGGCGCACCGCGGGGAGACCTCACGGTTCCGCTCCCAGACATCTCGGGCACGATTGCAATTCCTCTGGAGCAGCAGGGCCCTCGTGGGGACATACTCAGGCACACTTCAAACAGGGCGAAGTTGCGCGCTGTGATTGCCGCGCTGGACTTCCGGCCCTGGTACGGGGAAGGCTGGCAGACGGTCGTGATTGTCACGGATCTCGAATACGTCGTTCTCGGGGCAACCAAGTGGATGCCAGCCTGGGTGCGGCGGAGGTGGAGGTCGTCTCCCCACAGGGACAGAAAGGGCAAGCTCTGCACCGGCAGGAAGCTTGCGAATCGTGATCTGTGGGAGGAGCTGCAGTCCCGCATCGAGGACCTCCGAGCGAACGGCACTGAAGTGGCCTTCTGGCTAGTCCCGCCTAGGAGTTTGATCAGAGAGGATAGCAACCTCCTTCGTGAGGCCAAGAGCGCTGCCAGGGAGGCTGCTAGGAGTTCTGACTTGTTGTGGACGAGTACACGAGGCTTTGCGGCTTGTCCGTGTGACAGCAGGACTGAGCTGACATGATCGATCATTCAGGGGTAGAGTATTCTTCACCACGCCTTGTGCCCCCCACCCCAACACTGTCATTCTCGACTTCGTGCAAAGAAAACAATGTTGCTAGGGCTTCAGGATTTGCAATGAACTAGCTTGTTCTGCTCTGGTCTTGAGTACATGTGCTGACTTGGTTCTTCCCCATTCTCTTCATGCTAGAGTTCGACGCAGTAGGGCCCAGCGGCCACTCGGACTCCGTTAAAACTGTCGGGTAGAAGTTGTCTGTCCTCAAGTCTTCAGATTCTTAAGAGGCAGTGGATCTAGCTTGGAGATATACTAAGTTATTCCAACTTCACAACGCTGTCGATTTCCCCCACTAGCTGGGTAAGTTCCTCAGGGTCCAGTGACTGTTTAAGCTGAATATTGGCTACTGCATTGTGTTAGACAGCGATGCCAATACAGTATGCCAGTGCTTTCTGGTTTTGGTCTGCTCTGAGCTCTGTATGATCGTTTGGAATTGTTGTCTTCAACTTAGGTAGCACTTTCTATACCTCGCTTCGTTCCATAAAGTGGCATGTGCTTGTGTCAAACGCACCTGGTCACTCTATGGCTCGAAGGATAATCAAGGCAAGATTTATGGCAGATGGGCTGAAGCCGAGAAATGCCGAGAACTAATGAGAAACATACGATATCAATCCATCCCGGAACAATTGTGAATTTATTTGCTGTCGTCCTGCGATTGTCGATAGTGAACCTTGTTGACGATCATACTGTGATGACGATATCATTGCTGCAGGGAACATGCATTTCACGAAGCTACGATCTGCCAAAACATAACTGATAGTGGGCTATGCAATGTGACACCTGCAGTGCTCTTAAATTGGTTATTCATTGCGCCACTCTGCCAGGTATTTACCAGCATGCTTGTCCTTTCATTCTCGTTTCATTGTATGCAAGCTGTATGGCCGACCAACGAGCGAGCCGTATGGTTGCCGATGCCGAGCTTGACTCAATCAATTCGTCGTCGTTTTTGTTGGGTACATAGTTTGAAGCATGTGTACCTTAGGACACGTCAACGAGGGTAAGGGTCGTATGTGTTTGAGAATCAGGGATGAACACATGTTGCAGGAAGCACTGGGCACGAGCCTTTGAATCCTGAGATCCTGGTTCCCGGTCTGCATTAAGCTTCACTTGTCTCCCTGTCACCAGGCTCAGCTGTCACCCTTCTGTGGCAGAGCAAGACATATCGTATTCACCTCCATCCATCTTATCTCCGCATACAGGTTTGGCTGAAGACGACCCAATCCCCAGCCTACCGGTTGACTGGATCTTCGAAGATCAGCGGATACCTACCCTGTGCGTCCAGCAAAATTGGCAACACCGCTTTGAGTGGGGACAGAGAAGCCGCTATCCGACAGGCCAGCATCACCTTCAAATTTACCCCTGAGCTGTTGAACGTTTGACCGCCCATCAATCAATCCGTCACACAAACACCAACACAAACCGCCGCCCAGCACTCAGACTCACTCTCAGACTCACTCAACTCGGGCACTCAGCTCATTCCACGATACCTGAGACAACCATCTTCCCCACCGGCTTCATCAAATCCATTCACCATGGCGAACCTTGAGGGCATCGACGAGCAGAGTCTCGACTGGCTACGATGCTTCGACACTATGTTCATCATCGACGATTCGGCCGCCATGGCGCCTTACTGGAAAGACGTGCAGCATCTCATCGAGGCGGTTGCTCCTATCTGTGCTAAGCACGATCCCGATGGCATCGATCTCTACTTCGTTAACCGTGAGTAATTCCAGCACTCGCTTAGAATCTTGAGTCATCATGCTGAGGGAATCGCCTGCGTAGACAAGCCGGGCGGACTTCTCGGCCAGTTCAAGTCTATCCGGAAGACGGGTTACACCCGCATCGGCGGCTTCGTCGGAGGCATGCTGCTCACAGAGAAGGGAAAGGAGGTCAGCTCCATCTTCACCGAGAAGGTCAAGCCAGCCGGCAAGTGCAACATCGGTGCACGCCTGTAAGCAGCTTCCTCAAACCCTGGGATGGCCGTAAAGAGACGAGGAGAATGTCTTGGCTCGTCTTCCAGCTCTGTCGGTCGATAAACATCACGTGATATCAACTGACAATCGATGCAGTGGAAAGTTGCTGGAGTGGTACATTGAGAAGTTCAAGGCTGGCGAGGAGAGCGCTGCACTGAACCTGATTGTTCTGACGGCGGGAGCCTTCGACGACGACATCAAGACGCCCATCGTCAACATCGCCCGGGAGCTGGACGCGGCCAACGCGCCGCCACACCAGGTGGGCATCCAGCTGTTCCGCCTCGGCGGGGCCAACATAGAGCGCCAGAAGACGTTCGACTACCTCGACGACGAGCTCTACAAGGAGGCCAAGGTGCGCGACATAGTGGACACCGTGACCTACAGGGGTGCCGGGGAGGGTTTGTCCGGTGATGAGCTCCTGAAGGTCGTCTTGGGCGCCGTCGTCAAGAAGTTGGACTCGAGGAGCTCGGAGCTGCAATTGTCTGGCCAGGCTCAAGTGCTGAGGGCTGAGAGGGAGTAATTTAGCGTCCGATATTGAGCGGAAGTCCACGAAGCATTCATTGTGCTTTTCTTGCTCATTTGTAGCGGTATTTGGCAAAGATTGAGCCATATTTTACGGACCATAGACTCGACTATTACGGTCCTTTTGCAAACTCTGATGGGAGTGATCCGCACCTGATGTGGCGGGAGCAAATTGGAAACTTGAACTTCAACATGGTCAAATTTCCAAAATCTGTCTGCGCGGCATTTGTTGTGAAGCTTTTCATCACTCTGTTGCCTTCGGCAATTTTTAATATTGCCGCCGGGATGCCATTTGTCTGTCTCATGCAGAGTCACTAAGCATTTGGCGTAGAAGAGCAGCTCAAAGTACTCGTTTGTATGCTGTGGGATTATCTGATGAACGTAAACAGACGCAAGAGCACGAATTCATGAGTTTGGCACTGTCGTTTCGAATTGTCGTCTGTTGCTCGTCCGAGCTATACGGAGTATTGAAGGACAATCTAGATTAGCAGCCCGCTGGCGTCTCAGGACGTAAGTTGAAATACATAGTAGGTGTATGGAGTTGTGACGTACTCAAGTTCGGTGAATCAGAGCTTTAGTACTGCCGTAAGATTTCTACATGTAGTGTTTATATACCAACTTATGCATAGAGAAATACTCCGAATGTCGACGACCTAGAAACCCGACTTACACCTATTTGTTCCTCGTCTTCAAGGCTCTAAGAAAAAGCAATGCCCTCATTTTGCTTTCCTCTGCCAGCACACTTCACGCCGCTCATCCAGGACTCTATTGAAACCCTCTCCATAATCTTTCTCACGAAGTTTAACATAATTTTTGCAAATGTTGCAGCATAGTCGAGGTGCCCAAGGATCCCCATGGTAGAAGTCTCTTTAGCGAACGGAGCCGAGCATGTGGTCTAGCTGAGCGCTCCGTAAACACGCTTATATCTAACCCATACCTACGTATTCGCCAAATCTATAGGTTTACTGAGTTAGGACCTGCTTGCTACTTTCTCATAATAAGTGCCGAGAGCTTGTCCTTCGACATCTCTTATGCGTTTTGCCGAAGTTTAGCATGCCAGTAGAGCGGTTGCCCGCGTCTCGGCTCAGTTCAACCCATCTCATCTACGTGGGTGTCCCTGTCCACTGCCATAATTGGTGACCGCTGATAAGAGCCCATCCTGTTCTCAACAGATAAACGAATCTCAGATATTGCGCCGGTAAAACTCTTCAGCACGACTTCGCCCGGTTTCTCTCACTGCACCGCCTGCCAGAGCAGCCTGCATAGCATTTTGAATGGGCCGAGCGAGAGGAATTCTTTTCCATCAGGTTTCTTGCCAGGCGAAGCTCGCGAGAGCTTGACGCATCACCCCCCCCCCCATTTGACTGCGGTAGAAAGTCTTGTTAGTCGATGTTTGTCGCTTTCCTAGAGGCTAGATCAGGGCAACGTGGTCGCAGGAGTTCCTGGTTTTGAAACAGGGCTGGATCGGACATATGATCAACTAACGCAGTTAAATCAAAAGTTTTCGGCAGGAAGCGTTTGAGACACCAGTATCTCATATCCGGTGTTAATTCTCAATCACTAGCTTGTCGAGCAAGAGCTGCGGGTCGCAGCTGAAGGGAGTCCACGGATGCTTAGTGAATCATTGAATCATCGAAATATCTGTATTGACTGCAGTCTCTCTGAGAGAGAGTGCCTTCGCTCCTTTACTATGGCCTAGCTTGGTTTACTCGGTATGAGAGCGCTTAGCAATATGACTGCTTTGCATAATCTGGCTGATAGATGAGCTCGTAAGACTCCGTGTACCACAGACTTTGACTGCAAGTTGGTTTTGATGGTTTGATACATCATCCAGACAATTTTCTCGCGCCTCTCAAACTGTTGTTGAACATGCAGCCAAGGACTTCATTATGGTCAAGCCTTCTGAGGCCTCTCGGAAGTAGGGTATACGGACTTGGCTAGCCCTGTAACTAATATTCCCTTCTACTTATAGACGGGGATCGAGTGTACCAAATGAAGTTAGGCAATCACATCTCGTATGCAACAGATGACCGGATGACATTCAGTAATTAATGGAATTGACCATATTGAAAGTATGCCTCAGATAATTACCTGCCTACGCCAGAAGCATCAATCATTGAATGAAAGTGGCAGATATTGTGCATATAAACGGCTGCCAAGGCCACCGGCAAGCTCGGTGCGGGGCCAACCAACGAAAGGCCTGGAAAGAGAGAAGACGGTTGCGGCATATTAGGTGAGGCCGAGGAGATGGGGCACCCGAACAGTCTACTGTAGGCACCCGCAAACCTAACCTTATTGTGTGGGAACAATGCTTCTTCCCCTGATGGTGAATACCACGAGGGGTTGGAGTCACATGGACGAGGGCCGGGAGTCGGTCCCAATGTTCAGTAAGCGTATGTGGTGGAGTCGGAAATGACCATGGGACGACAGACACCTCATTTCCCGCAAACCCAATGAGATGTTTGCGGCCATGCCAAGGTCGATCATCGTTGTAGCGCAAGCGCCGGGATGGATCAGACGTTGGAGTGACAGCTGCCGTTAGCTGTTTGGGGAATACTGTTTGTCACCAGCAACACAAATGTCATGAAGGGGCCGACTACTAGTGAAGCAAACGTGAAAAAGAACTCAGTAGCAACCACTCTGGCAATCAAATCTGCGTGATACGGAGGGTCGAGAGACAGGCACACCCCGTGGTTGTGATATACTTCGCGACACGTGCAGCCCGGCAATTTCCCGATCATGGCCTTTTTGGCAATTAGCTTTTCACGCCATCTTGACTGACTCGGAAGTCTTTCCCTGGCTACTATCGGCTGTCAAACCAATTCTGACTTTGGTCTGTCCCATGAGTTCTTCTGGGATCTTTTCAGCTCAATGGTCTGTCGTCCAGGCGCTGCATCGTCGAGCCTTCGCCCCTGGCCACAACAGATGATCCTGCAGGCAATTGAAACTATTGGTAACGCTTTCATCACATGTGACGACGCTACTGGCATGACCCCAGGGTTGCCGACAGGAGGGATACCACGGATACTACCCTTCCAGGAACGCCAGACACCCTCCGGTCCTTTTACCCCAGATGTTGGACCTGCTTCTCCTGGGGTCTTCCTTGGCGTGCAGCTTTAGCCAGAGCTCACCCTCGAGCTGCAAGCAACCTTGAGCTCGCCAAGGCCGTGCAGGCGACCAGCACCACGGTCGACCAAACCCTTCCAGGCACAGATTTGCTGATGGGGGCGTCAACGGAGCACCGCGGAGCTCCTAGGCTAGACAGCTGTCGCCCGATGCTAGATCAGAATACGATGGCTGGGCCGAGCCCCGGAGCTTGATGGTTCGACTCATGAGGAGCTATATAAGACGCGAGGGATTCCCGATCCGGCCGCTCGCTTCTGCTTCTTTGTTGTCTGTCCACAATAATAAGGCTCGCCCATTCAAGTCCAGATCCGTTACTTGATTCTTTCACCGCACCGTCGCTACTGCAACCCCGAGTTCCGAAAGGTCATTCATTAGTCCCGCCCACCACTCGCCAAAATGAAGGTCACTCTCCTCGCCGCCGGCCTCGTTGCCACCGTCTTCGCTCAAGACCTGTCCTCCATCCCCGAGTGTGCGCGCACCTGCCTTACGGATGCCATCAGCAAGGACGGCCAATGCCAGGCCACCGACTCCGCCTGCGTCTGCGGCCGCATTGATGCCCTAACTACGCTCGCGACCAGCTGTGTCCTGAGTGCCTGTGGCCAGGACGTCGCTCTGAGTATGCGAACCCGCCCGCCCACGTCTGTCTGACCTCTCACTAACCCGCCTGTTCTTCAAGACCAAGTTCTCCCGGCCGTCCAGACCTTCTGCGCCAATGTTGGCTCTGGTTCCAGTGCCTCATCGGCAGTCTCGTCGGCAGCCTCCTCAGCCGCTGCCAGCACTACCGCATCTTCCACCTCGGCATCTGAGTCATCGGCATCCAGCTCCGGTTCAGCGTCGCCATCCGCGACTGAGTCCTCGTCGGCCTCCGCTACTCATTCGTCCTCGCACAGCAGCAGCACTCTGCACGCCAGCACCACCGCAAGCTCCGGCTCGACCGCCACTGGCGCCTCGGCGAGCGCCTCTTCCAGCGTCGTCACCGCTGGTGCGGCTCAGTACGGCTCCGTCAGCGGCCTGGCTGCTTTTGTGCTCGGCGCCATCGCTATCTTTTAAGATGTGACTGGTTCTCGTGCCATTGAATGCGCACTGTTGTGCTGGAGCTGTCGGAACTCAACGAATGTTTTGATCCCGAATCAGAGCTTTGGACTTCTGTGCGCTTCGTGGCAAAAAGGTGTCGAAAGATAAGCAGTCTACATAGTAAAAACATTAGCATACGTTGACGTAATAATAATAACAAATATGTAACGTCGTATTCATTCGCTTGTGCCTCATGTGAAGCATACTTGGCGATGGTCTGACGCACAGGTCTCGCGGAAGAGCCCTTCACACAATGATGATTATTCCCCAACAAGCTCGGTGCAGGTCCAGCCCCATATACCCGACGAAATCGATATCTGCCGACATCCGTGTCTTTCCTGAGCGCGATTGGAGGTTCTGACAATCTGTTGATGTTCTTTATATGCGTCTAAGTACGCACTCCACTGCCGAAATGACCATTTAAGAACGCAATAGTTCCTGGAGACTTAGTGATCTCAGTATTCTAAATACCTTCGGTACACGCATGAAATGGTCGTCAAAAGACCCACGGGAGAGTTCGTCACAACAAGGACCCAGTACCCAAACTAGATGCAACGAATACGGAACCGGGAGCCTTACTTGGCGGAGAACTGGGTGAACTTGGACTGCACCTAAGTCATTGATGCATACGTTCGTAGATAGCAACGAACGACCCAAAATTTATATTTCATTGTCAAGGCAGAAGTTTCGCCTGCTTTCTAGAGACATCCCGGCAACAACATATTGATTCTCAAGACATCGCCTGGATCGTTTTGACAATCCTTATGAGTCTGTTCGAAATTCTCTTAGGGCAGTGGAAAGTTACACGTGGTATTGGTAATTATACTTCAAGTCAGTGGTCCGACGCATACTAATTTCTGCGAACATATTGAGACTCAGGCGAGGAGAGGAGGAGAAGGAATAATTCCAAGATCTCGTGACATGGCCAGAATAGACAGTAGCTAAGAAAGCGGTGGAACGACAATGGGTCGTCCAAGCTTTCTGACATGTGTACGCCAATCATTGCTTGAGGGGGTCATTTTGTGGCCGGAAAATCACCAACTGCATAAGGTGCTGGGCTTTAAATGGAGCTTAACAGGCCAGCCTGCTCCACATGCAGGGGGGTTGGGACTGCATGCAATGGTCTGGAATAGAAGTTCAGGATATCTGTTGGCAACTGTGCCACTGCGATGCATGCAAGATGAGACAGCCCGGCCATCCATAATGCAACAATGGAGCTCTCTTTGCTCTTCGACGTGTCCGAATTCCGCACTCTTCTTTCCGGTGTTGTCATTCTCCTCCTTCTTGGATGTTCTGATTTCTGGCTCTCCGAGGTCGATTTAACGTGGGGTCCTGCTCAAACCAATTGTCCCCACAGTGTATCGGCAATATGAGTGCAATCAACGTGTTGATCTCTAACGGGACCTGCTACTACGCAGCAGGGAGGAAAGCCTCGTCGAACATTATACCATGCGGCAACGCTGCAAATGGCGCCCAGCAATGTTGTCAGGAAGGCGATTTCTGCCTAGAGTACAACGTCTGCTTCAATGCAAATTGTAAGTAAACATTCGATGCGGAAGTTTGGGTCTATATCTGCATCTCCATATTAATATGCCAAACACTCAGATACCACAACCTAGTAAGCTTCTTGACTATTTACGGTAGACATTGATCCCGAGGGCAAGCGTTATCTGTCAGCCCTTTCTTTCAGAAGCTAATCAATGATGCGTCGATGTCTAACCCGAATTGAATGCAGTTTGGCCGGTTGCACTGACGAAGACTTCACCTCGCCCAATTGCCCGGGAAAAGGCACCTCGGAGCAGCAGCTCCTCAACCTAGTCCAATGCGCAGACTCCGAGAGTGGCGGTTCTGTCGTCTGGAGCGCGTGTTCGGCGGCCACCACCAGGACGGAGATCGGACCACCAGCGGCATGTACCTGCACGAACTCGGATAATGGGATCTTGACGGGACCCAAGAGCTTCTCCCCAGTCGCATCCCTGCCGACGACAATCGGGGAGACGATCAGCTTCCAGAGTGGGCACACGCCAAAGACGAAAGGAATCGCCACAGCCACTTCGACTGCAACCGACGGACAGCTCACGACGATGACGACACCGATCGCCACTTCTTCAGCAACTGCCTCGAGCACAGTCGCCGAAGACTCGGGCCTGTCCAAAGGCGCAAAGGCAGGCATCGGTGTCGGTGTGGCAGCAGTCGCCGCCGGAGTCCTCGCATTGATCGCATTCCTGTTCGTACGGTACCGGCGGAACCATACCAAGAAGCCAGCAGAAGAAGTAGCGTATCATCCTACAGCGCCTGGCCCAGAAATGGCACAGTCGCCGCCGCCACAGTATGGAAGCCCAAGCAGCCCGTACGGCTCACCCGGTGCCACCGGCGCCCCAGCCGTAGGGTATACGGGCTATACGGGGTTCAAGTCTGAGTTGCCCGCGGTGCCAGTGGAATCCAAATCTGCGTTTACATATGAGCTTCCGGCGGGCAATAACGCTCACTCGAGCGTACATGGTTTTCATAGGAATGCTACGGTGTCGATGCTATCAATGCCTGGGTCACCGGGACACCTCAGTATGGTGTCGGACATCTCGAGGGCTCCGTCGGTCGCACCTTCTGATCACTCGAATCAGAGTGATGGGTATACGAGGGGTCCGGTTGGAGGGAACATGACACCAATTGCTGAATTGCACGGGTGAGATGCCACGAGAAAGCTTGAACGATCAGCCCAAGAATAAGTGTAGGGCGACAGAGCTTCCCTATGTGGCCCGGTACAAGTTCATTGTTTGGGACTATCAAGTTCCTTTGAACCTTATCCTCCAAATTCGATGGCGACAACTGATCATCGCCGTTATGTATGAACGACAAAGAACCTGGCGATACAGATCTTGAATCTTCCCCAGGCCTTGTACTGGCATTTTCATCCTTAATATAATGGACTTACTCTTTTTCTTGGATGTCTCACAACAGGCTGGAGGAATTTAAAGTCCGAATACGGTCACGATTGTACGAAAGAAGTTATCTCAATCTATGTTCCAATGTCTATATTTATACACTTGTGACATGAAAACCATGAGTGTTTCCGTCATCATCGAATTGAACATCTCACGATCTATCACACTTTGGGCTACTCAGAGCTTGTATCGTGTGCAAATATGTGCAGGAATCTTTTCATCTAAAGCTGCAGAGGATGTCCGCATGCGCTTTTCTCATACCCTCCATTTGCTCCCATTCAGGAGTCACTCAGTGCTTGGAGACGTCGCGGGCGTGACGGCGCTTCTTGCAGGACTTGGCGGCAGACGTGGCGGCACTTCAACAGATATGTTAGCTATTAATAGTCTTTCATAAATGTCATCTAAATATCTTGCAGTACTTACGGAGCGGCCGAGCTTGTCTGAACGGCGGCAGCTGAGCCGGTTGCGACCGGGGCGGAAGGCGCCTGAGACGCAGCACCGGAAGCACCGGCCTGACCAGTCGCCGTGGTCTGAGCAGCTGATGAGGTTGCCGCAGCAGCTCCAGTAGCACCAGCGGGGTCTTCTTAGAATTAGTATGTTACAATTTCGGAGGAAGAATTTCTTCCAGGAAGAATTCAACTTACCAGTGACAGCGCTCGCGCTAGCGGTGATGGGGACAGCGGACTGGGCCAAGTTGGTACCGGCAGCAATCTGCGTGGGGCCAGGGATGTCATAGGTCGAGAGGGAGTTGTAGATGTTGACCAAGATGCCAGCATCGCTCTCCTTGTAGAGCGCCTCGCCCAGTGTCCCAGAGGGCTGAAGGGAGCCGGTGCCGGTGACGGCGAGGTTGAAGCACTGGGGGTAGTTCTGGGCACCGTCGGAATTCTCGGCCGAGTGCAGAGCAATGATCTCGTGGCGCAGGACGTAGTTGCCAGCCGCAAGGGTGGATGGGATCTGGACGATCCACGAGTTGTTGTTTGAGATCAGTTGATCCGTGCCCCAGGTGGATGCCGAAGCGTCGACCAGGCCGACTGCGTCGATCTTGAAGAACTCCAGGGCTGTCTTGTCTGCTGTCACGCAGTCGTCGTCCGCACACTTGGCGAGGTAATCGATAACCGGGCCCTTGTGGGAGGAAGGCCAGGTGTTCCAGTACACCTCGATGGTGTCGCCAGCCTTGGCGGTTGCGTAACCCTTGGCGTTGGTGGCAGACTTGTGGCAGATGATATCTCCTGATGCGTAGGCGTCGGGGGCTACGTATCCATTGTCGGTGTCGGATGCAGTCCAGCCCACAACAGTCGGAGGGTCGGACATGTAAGGGAACGAGGTTGGGTCATAGCCCTCGTACCAGGTGCCAGCCACGTTGATACCGGTGACGTGCCCGTGAGCAGCAACAGAAGTCGCGCCAGCCACAACGGCTACAAGGGCCTTGACAGCAACGGAAGACATCTTGATGGACTATGTTTGAGTCTACGAAGGGAAGTTCGATGAGGTGTGTGCAGACCAGCTTTGTGAAAGAACGGTGAGATGGGCAAGAGTAATCTTCAGTCAATGAAGTGAATGAGTGTCAACGAGAGATGTCTCGGGAAACGAATGAAGAGAATGAAGGAACTTGGCCTGGTGGATGATCTGAAAAGGCTTGGCAGAGAAGACAAGTGATGGAGACGAGAGGCTGATTTATATGCATGGCGAGCGCTTATCCTCACGCCCTGTGAGCCATTGACGGGGACGGGAGCTCGGCAACATGGCTGATAGAGGAGTCGACATGCAGGTGTCTGGTTCCGACTCGACTCAATCCACACGCGGAATAGCCCAGTCAGACTTGACCGGGGCGCCCACTCGGGCATTTGTTTCCTGCGTGCCTGTTTCAGTGAGATGAATGTTTACGAGTCCAACCCGGCCGCCGGCACGAATAGGGGGCACCAAAACCACGAGCATACTGCAGCCGCGCTTAGAGGCGCCTGGAGAAGACCACCGTCTTGATCTCAGTAAACCATTACGGCGGCGTCTTCAATTCGGCCCAGAAGGATTGTGTTGATGGCATCGTGCATCGCCAAGCCATCAAGATCTGCCAAATCTGGGGAAATCTCTTGGCGACAGGCTTGGGACGAAGCTTGGCGACGGGACATTGATGACAATGGCGATCTCGGGGGATTTGCTCAGGGGCTCTTAGCCCGGATTTGAACGGTGAGTGCAGATTTAATTAATGCAGTGGGCCTGGCGTTTGATATCAGTGCGTTGTACCACGCGGAAGAATTGTTTCCTGGGACCGGCGCTAACCGGCGCAGTTTGCACATAATTCTATCAAATCAAAACATTGCTCTGGCTGCCATCACGAGACTTGTCCGGCAATGCTATGCACGTCGAAGTTGGGCTGCTGTCTGAGGTGGCGTGTCGAGGTGTCTTCGCGTCTGTCGCTGCTTTTGAGAAAAATGCAGTGAGCGAGACCGGGTGTTTCGTTTGAAAACGAGGAGCGGGACAAGATTAAAGGACTGGCGGCTTACTCAAAAGCGTAGGTCGCTGGTGGGTGAGCAGGAGCCCTGGACCCACACAGCGTGCTAAGAACCTCGAGAATGCGCGTAATTGAAAAAAAGGAGTCGAATTTTTTCGGCCGTAGGGCAGGGGAAAGCTTGAACGTACACCCGTGTTGACTGCAATACTCGTGGCCCCCAATTTACTTGAGACACCGGTGGAGCTCCGGCTTGCCGTTCAGCCTCATCACAAAAGCATCGTGGCACACAAATATTCTTAGAGCAAGCAACATATGGCCAGTAGCGGATGATGACGATCTTCGGCAGCAAATCTGCAACTTCGTTGACTTTACTATATTTGCAAGCCTTCCACTTCTAAGATAGGTCCTCTGTCAGATCAATTCGCAGGAAATTTCTCCACTGATTTTCTTTATTACGGCAAGCAGCTTACCTTTGCCTTTTATAAAGGGGATGGAAATCATTGCCTAGGAGAAAATGCTAACATTCTTTTAGAGCTGCGGAATTAAACAAACCTACGTCAGAGGTAGGCTTGCTCAGGCTTAAAAACTGCGAGAAGCTCCTTCAGAGATTATAGGCAGACACTATTCTTCAATGCCGGCCGAAAATTCCCAAGACTCAAAATTCAGGTACAAATCCCGAGCCATCCTGAGCAGGTTCAGAAGTCGAGTGAATGAATATCCACCTACAGTTCTTTCTTTCGGACCTCAAAAAATCTGGGAAGTTCTCACGACTTGCTTGAACCATGGAGACGGAGCGTGCGACTAGTCCGCACACTATGTGATGGACGAAATGAGATACCTATATGCAACTACATGGATTTTGAAGTAGTAGAACAATGTGCCATAAGTCCCTTTCCCTGGCAATATACACTCCCCATCCGTGGACCGTTTTGTCATTTCTCATCATGTCTCATTCAATTCATGATCATCAACCCCTAATCTTACCTTTTGTGTACCTCTAATACCGTGGAGTACATGCAGAATCATTACTTCATCTCGTTTTCATGAAGCAGCATACAGCAGCGGGTGGTCCTCACTGCAGATTTCCACTCGGCCTACCTCTTAAGTTCTTCATACTCTTTTTCATCCTCAGACCAAAGGTGCTCACGGAGCGACGGACCCGGACGGTGGGGTCACAGGCGGGGTCGGAGCCAGTCTCTTTTTGAACCGGCGCCGAGCTGGCCTCACTGTCGGCCGAGTTGGTCGATATGTGTGTCGAAGCCCTCGACACCTTGCGGATCCCACTGTAATCCGAGCCAAGAGTAGCAGAGGGCGGCCGCGGGAAGCCTGTGCCCTCGATGCAGCATGGACACCCTGATGGGTGGTGTGCTTCCCTGTACCACATAGGTTCACGATCTTCTTCGTCGTCATAGTCGGCGTAGGCTGGCACATTTGCTAGACGAATACTCGAGCGCCACTGCGTCTCTTTATCAACATAAGCCCGGACATGGGCTCTGATACCCGGGGCGCTCACCATAGGTGTCGAGACGACGACTGGCTGTTCAAATATGGGCGAGAAGGTCGGATCGCGCGCCCTGAGACAGATTAGCTGGCGTGCTTCACGTAGAGCTTGGTCATTGGCTATAGCAAATTGGCCGCGATTACTGGGGATTTGGGAGGTAGTATTACACTTGTGACGACCTTTTCCTCATCTCGCCGAAGAGGTGTAGCGGCCAGAAGCGAACCATGGCGGGCTAGATCACGGCGTTGAATGGCATGGATTGGGCCTAGAGGCTTGACTAGCTATGATAGCGATGATATTGTCTAGGGGTGGTAAAGGGAGGGGCGTTGAGGAAAAGCAGCGGCGTTGTGAGCTGGCAAGGGTTGGTTGGATAAGGGAAGATGAGGACGGTTACACATAGGACATATTAGCATGGGTGAATCAAGCCCAACGAGGCCACCATCCAACTTATATCACAATAGAAACATCGAATCATTCCATAGCCCGTCCGTGTGGCGCCTTGCATGTGGAGACATCCGAGCGTGGGTGGTTGACAAACAAGTAGCTTTGTTCGGACCACCCGCAGAGCTTCTGCCGCGCCCTGCGTCAATAATATGCAAGCACTGACCCCGACTGCAGGCCCCAGGCCCTAGAAGCGACCCCCTCGACTCCTGTCACAATACTACAGCACGCATCTGGTCACTCGATTGTCTGTGCTCCTGAAGGATCTTGCCCATCGTCGTCCAATGTCGTCCCGGCCTGAGGAAGACTCTGACTGACTTTAGACTATGGGAGCTGGGAGGGGGGCATGGTGGGACGACGCGGCGAGGGCCGATCTGTCTCGTTCACGAAGCTTATGCTTATCTAGCAAGTGAGAGAAGACAGCCGTCAGACTTGAAACGAAACAAACAGGAAAGCAGGGGGCGCTGCGATTTGGCGACCCTACAGCCCTCCACCCACACCACCTGCGGGCCTGTGACCAATTACGGGTCCGCGGGGCCGCGGCCTAAGGCATGTTCCCGCGGCCATCTTGCCCTTCTCGAGCCCGAACCGCTGCTTCTAATGCAACGTCGCTGCAGCCTCAACATGAACGGCGTCCGAGCACAGCGATTCTTCGACTCGACACTCACCAGCCCTCTGCGGGCCCTGCAGAGGTTGGGGCCGTGGCTCGAGCCCTTTCACCTCGTGGGCAGGTAGGCTGGGCTTCCATCCACGCCCAGCCAAGAGTCACAGGGCCCAGCTCGTCAGGGGTCGCGACTTGGAAGCGGGGATCGAGTCTCTGAGATCGGCACTCTGGATGCCCTCATTCTCTTCGGTAGTAAGCTAAAAGTCTAGAATTCCCCCCCGCTCAAGTGAGCCTGACCTGTTTGCCTCGCGAAGGAAACTCAACGCTGGTATACCCCCCCTCCCCACCTTACTCCCGCTCGCTATGTCGGTGAGAAAAATCAACGACGGTAGTTACCGTCATACCCGTCATACCCCTACGATAATAATAAACTCAGACGCCTCCCGCTGACTATAATCACAAGCTTTGAGCCGCGGTGTCAGAGTTCAGGAGCACGACACGCCAAGGTTCCTTGACTATCCCGCTTCGAGTCGTGCCTGCGAAAGCCCACACCGGCAGTTGTTCGGTGGCTGGGCGCGGCGAATTTGCCCGGACCCTGAAGCTTCAAAACATCAAAACATGGGAAGCCGAAGACGTGCGCCGGGTCGTGTCGTCCGCTCGAGTTGCTGTTCCATTCGCCAAGGTGCCGCTGCTACACCTTCGTTTCCGCGACTCCTACGCTTGGAAGTTTCCATCGTGGTTTCGTAAAAGATCATTGTTTTTCTCGTGTCGTTCTGTCGTATTATGACGTTGTGTTGTCGTGTTCGCGTCGTGTCCCATAATGTTTCGTCATGTTTCTCATTTGTACTCGTTCCCATTGATCATGACCGCCTCATGGATCCCGCCGTTCCAGCCGCATTTCACCATCCAATACATTGCAAAGAAGGGCGTCGTCATGACCGCGAGCACCCCGCCGAGGACCAGCTTGAATATCTCGGGCGCCCACCGCGAAGGGTACACCCAGTCGCCACCGGCGCCCACCTTGGACCCGACAGCAGTGAGGATCCCGACGGACGGCCCGAACAGAATGCAAAAGCTGACGAACGCCACCATGAGGGCCCGGATGACCTGTGCGAACACGTACAGTAGCTTTCGCTTGATGCTGCCCCGCCGCTTGCGCTGCTGCTTTGACTGGTCCAGCAGCATGAACCAGCGGATCCACCGGCTGAAGCGCTGCGTCGAGCTGGGCTCCGAGATGAACCCAATGGGCTGGATGTTGCCCTTACGCAGGTCCCGGTTCACAATGATCATCTCGATCATCCAGGTCATGATGCACTGGATGATGATGGTGACTGCTGTGTCGCCTGCCAGCGTATTGGGAAACTGCCATAGCCTGATCGGGTCGTCGGTAGTGGTGTACATGGCTATGGGTTCGATGAATGTCAGCCAAGCCAAGATATGCCAGAGGCTCAGGGTGCCGACTAACCATAGGCGAGGGCAAAGTTGATGCCGCCCGATATGACCAGGGCACCGATGCCATGCGATCCCGCAATGTACAGAAATTGGTGCACGGTCAGACGTGAGCTCGGCACCCTTTTGTCCGGAAGACGGCCGGTCGGCGGTGTCTGGCGCTCATGTGTGGTGTAGTTACTCAGTGGGAGGCCGGGCGCATCCTCCGATGTCTCCCGAAAGTTCGGCTTGGAAACATTGCTCCACCACGTCTGCAGGACGTTCTTTGCTCCCTTAGCCATGTTTACTGGCTCTATCACCTGGATCGGTGAACTGGAATCGAGCAAAGACAACACACCATGGGCGGAGAATATGGGGTGGATCGGGACGGAATGCCAGATTTGATCCCAATTCAAGGTGGCACCAGCCGTGGCATTATAAGGCATGAGTTGGCACATGCGCTTTGCCTGCTTGCTGGTTGCGAACAACTGGGCTCTCCCTCAGACTGCTGGCTGTGGCTGGGCGCCGGCCTCTTGTGATCGCAGCCTCACCGCTGGGGATCCCAGCCCGGCATTTATCCTTGGCATATATGCAGCACGCGCCGGCTCCAACACTCTGAACACTGCCACTGACGCTTGCAGTTGGGCTGAATGGTTGGTTAGTGTGCATGATTGATCAGACGCAGTTAATGAGGCTAGTAAAGACTGCGACATGTGTGTGCATTGTTGCGTTTGTCGCCGCGGCGACCAAGCCTTCTAGGAGCGAGCTGGTGTTGTTTGCCTTTGCGCCTTACTCGACATCGTGAGACAGCTGTATCGTAAGCAGCAGAACTTTTCTCCGGAGGAGCATGATAAATCTGTCATTGGGTTCCAAGCCATTGCCCGTGTTCTCATGCTCTATATCCTGCAACCAGACGTCATCCTTCAGCTGATCTACAGTATGGAGCGTCGGATTCATCCAGTCTCACCATGCACGGGGCCCAGTTGCACCCAGGCCCAACCCAGGACGAAGGCACGCGGTGCGGCCTAGAGTTCCTTCTGATTTGCTCAAACGCGGTCAATGCTGAGAAGCCACCGCCGCAGGCGAACAGTCCGATGTCGAGGCTTGGCTCTCTAAAACTTCGGACGGTTGCCCAATCTACCCCCGACCTCGCCGAGTCGCCATCTTCCGTACCGTGATGGTCCAGAAGGTTGCGGACCGAAAAGAGAGTTGCATCCGCCTGAAGCCTTTTTTTGCTTTTATTCCCTTTCTCCCTTTTCCTCTCTTACGGAGTTGTTGCGCCATTTCGTTTTATTGGTGATTTCCCAAGGATCGGATTCCGGCCTGGTTTTGCATAGACCGTGAACCTTGCCAAGACGCCCCAGACAGCGAGCGGCCCTTGTCGTGCCCGTGCCGTGTCATGCGGTGATTCGTGCGCTGGCGTCGCCCTTCCTGGTCCGACCTTGCCTGGACGAAAAATTCCTGGTCACCCGGTGTGATAAATGATGGACTCAACCCAGGTCGATGACGGGCCGGCGCCTCCACCGGGCTTATCCATCGCCCTCAGGTGTTTGGGAAGCAGCCGCGGCTAGAAAAAGGAAATATTGTTGGGTATCGATCCCCTGCTTCTACTCCATCGGGGGTGGTTCTTGCGGTGTCGGTGACCTGCAACACGACACTTCGCGGGCAGGGTTCGAGTCCTTGGGAAGCCTACGAGACAATTTGTTGTAAGGCTGACGGTCCCTCGTGTGCAACTTTTCCCGTGTTCGCTTTCGCTCATGTTAGAGACGGAATAATTATACTTTTGCTGTCGTAAGTCTCGTTGCCAGCACATACAGCAGTCAGAAATTGATTCCAGAAATTGATTCCAGAAATTCGGGCATGAGCCCAAAGCAGCACCGTCGTTTCGACTTGGATGAAGGACAAATGGGACCACTTTAAAAGTTCGTAAACTTTGGCAATTATGTGGCTCAGCCAACAAAAAGCAACAGGCAAGACTAAGCAGTGGCTAAGCTTTGTAAACAAGATATTCCCTCACGCGCTACGAGTTGCACAATCACAGTATAACAGTATATGTCGACAAATATAATACTTGATCTACTAATAGGCGCGCCGCACTCGGAATATAATCAACCAATTATAATTGTCTCATGTCGTTTGATAAATATAGACTCGTGATCTGGGGTTTGTCTTTTTGTGCCTTATCCCACGGCTTTGTAACCCGGCCGGTGATCAGTCTGGTACACCACACCTACACTTTCCTCGGCGATCATGGCTGCAAACTCTATGACACGAGCCTGACATATATATCACAGTTTTAACATCAATAATAAAGGCATCTTCGTGTCTGATTTGACGCCAACTCACACGAGTGCACACTTGGGCGTGTAAACCTAGAATCGCCACCCCTATTGGCAGCAAAGAATGCATCAGTGCACGAATATGATTCATCAGTTCAGTGAAGACAGACGGAAAGAGGGTATGCGATGGGTCAAAAATACATAGTGCGGGGCTCGAAGCCGGGCAATCGTAAAGCTTAGAGCCTCAGATCTCCACGGTGAATCGATCGACATTCGGAAAGGACACATTCCACGTCTATCGAGCCACTCGAAACCATATTGCTTCATCCATGGGCCTGGATACGCTATATTGCCCCTCGCTATGTGCGCCTGCTTTCCCGTGAACCACGGGCTGCGAAAGTTTTGGTCTTTGCAGACAAGAAGTAAATACGCTCATCTATCTTCGAGCATTTCTTAAATCGGCAGGTTCTTGCGAATCGTGTCATCGCAAACCACATGATTGTTAAAAGTCTTTTGGAAGAAACGCTACACAATTGGATCACAAAAGCACCAGTGGAAAGAATGCACATGACATCCTAGTAGGCTGATTGTTGCTACTAACAGACATGTTCTTGATCCAGAAGCCAATGGGAATTCATGCATCTCACGGGACCTGGCAGTGTTCAAGTTAATCGGACAATTGTTCCAGATTGGGGAACACCGGTTATGTTTGGATTCTTTTGGTCCGTTTCTGCTCGTGCACAAGGAGCCAAATATTTGGATGCCTTTCTGCGATCATTTCTTGTTAACATAATGTCAGTCTCACATAACTTCGTTGCGTGCTACGTTTTTCGCTATGATGAAAGGTGCCGTTGAGGCAAAGTGGTTCACCAATGAGAAGACCCACAATGATTCCATGTCCCTTGCATTTGCCGCGACACTGCACCAGGATCGCGCTGATCGATTGATGTCATTCTAAGTACAAACCAGTCTACGCATCTCACTCTGACGTACCACGCAGCCAAAATCCTGTTCGTACTGCCTCACTATCATGACTATCTGACCAACGATAGGGCTATTGTCATAGAATACTGAGCAGCTCGACGGGTATACGGCAGTTTCATGAACACTATCGAAAACGGGAAAATACCACATAATGACGAAAGCCTTGTAATGCCATATCCAACCTGCTCAAAATGACGACGGATAGCATTGTAGCGCTGTAGAAAAATGTGTATAAAGACTTGGCTTGGCAAAGTTTCTCAGACATCCAAACTATCTCAATCACCAGCCAATTCGATCACTCTACGAACCTCAAACCTCTTTCAAAGTCACTCGCAAATTCCACCCAACGCCCAAATTTCAACTTCAACCCATCAAAATGGACGCCATCAAGAATGCCGCCGAGAACAAGCTCGGAAAGGACTCCCAGCCTGGCGACAATGTTGAGCGTTCCGCTGATAACGCGGTCGACCAACGTACGATTCACCACTAATTTGCATCTTGACATTTGATTCGCTTTCGAACTTGCATTACAGAGTCGCTAATCCGCATGGTTACAGAGGTCGACAGTGCAGCCGGCGACGCTGGTGTCCCGGGATCAGCCGATGGCACCATCAACGAGGTCGTGAACAAGGAGGTCAACGACAAGATCCCCGGTGGCAACTAAACGCACAAAGAAATGTTGTCGCGAGACTCTTAAGTGATTACTATGTATATTGTGGGCAATATTTATATATGATAGCGTTTCAAATATTTACGACTTGAATATTCCTCATACCTCGACACTTCGAACACGTCACCTCTACAGCTTCATATGTATAGTTACATATCTGACGTACCCAAGCGTGGAAAGTTGTCCCGTCCAATTACGACCACTTCGCAGCGCTTAGAGCACTATACTGCGCCGCGGTAATAGGCAGCACGGCGCCGTGCCTTAGCCCGCTGGGGAAGTTGGCCGTGCTGCTGTTGGACCAGCCGCTGTTGCTCCTTGGATTCGTCGTGACGAGTGGCTGGTAACCGTTGCCGCCGTAGTAGTCGACCAGCAGGTTGACCTGGCCGGCGACCTTGTTGTCCCAGTAGGAGGCGGGACCCTCGGTCTGCGAGCGGATGTAGGCGCCGCTACCGCCGGGGCGCGCCCAGGTCCCATTCAGGCCCGTCGTCGAGTACTCCACGAAGACGTTCTTTAGGGTCTCGTCCTTGAGGAACCGGAGGTAGGCGTTCTTGTCGCTGCTGCCGTATGGCAGGATGTCCAGGTCGATTATGTTTGTGGGTGCGTAGTCGATGTAGGTTGCTGGTGTGCTGAACGTCTTGAAGTCGCTGGTGTCTGTTCAACATTCTGGTTAGCATACCCTCGCATGGAGTTTCTCGAGACTGTATCGCTTGATACAAGCCTCACAACTCTGGACACAAGTCGAGAGAGATATAAATGTCGAGGTATTGCATACAGGCGAAGCGGATCTTGATGTTGGATGCCGTGCCGGTGTGGCTTGTGTCGGACGCCGCATAAAACTTAGAAGCCCAGTGGACCAAGTACTGGCCCTTGTTGGCATCCCAGAGTGCCTCCGGGGCCCATACCATGCCGGCAGTCTTGTCCTCGACCTGGACGAGCCTCTCGTTCGTCCAGTTGATCAGGTCGGTGCTCTCCCACACAAATATGCCCCGTGAACCAGTCCTCTGCGATGCGTCCCATGTCGTCTGTACCTCAGTCAATATCAACCTAAAAATGAAATTGAGCTTCTGCATTCGAGTGTCAGGTACATACCTTGGCGATATCCAGATCCGTACCAACGATATACCACTTCTTGCCGGCCTCAGCCCCACCGCCAGTAACTATCGCCGGATCTCGTACGCCGCCAGTTCCTACGCTGGGCACAAGCACTGCTTTGCCGCCATTCAGCGCCTTAAATGAGATTGCGTCATTCCCATTGCTGAGGTAGAAGTAGACGTCGGGCTCATCACCGAGGAAGAAGGCGCCGAGGTAACCGGTCAAACTTGGATCCGCCCGCCTTTCCGGTAGTCCGAGCTCTCTGAGGTCTAAGTGTTGAGGGCTGCGAGCCACGAGTGCGAGGGATGAAGCAGCAAGCAGCAATGCTGCGGTGGCAGTCCGAAGTATTGAGGGCATCGTCACGTCTTGTGTGAAGGGCAGTGAAAGTCAAATCACGGAGCGTGTCGTGTCGTAAAGGGGACGATCGGGTGGAACCCGGAAGCTCTGGAAACAGGCAACCTTGGAGGTTAAGTACAAAGCATTAAGTGCAGCACGCCTTCTTGACTCTCTGTAAGCTCCACAATCTATCGTGATCATTTCAGGCGGGCCGCCATGATATTAAGGTTACATTAAGGCGATCTCAATGATTCGGGCTATTTTGGTTGCCTCGAAACACAAACCGCTACGACTCATGGCATCAGACGTGCCGGATAAACAAGCACGTTTCTGCAGAGTAATAACGGGTCCAATTCACGCGTTTATTGCTTAGTCGACTTGTCTCCGGCGCCAGTAGACAGTCTTGCACCGAGCAATGCCTCGTGACCGGCAGAGCTCGGTGGAATGATCCAAGTCGGCAAGGTCTGCCCACCAGGCCTGTAGCGGCCCAATGGAGGACCGCCAGGCCCCCGGGCTTTCGGTGGCAGCTCTTCTCCGCAGTAAGGAAAGCGGCTCCGTGGTCCCCGCAATTCAAGCTGCAGGAGGCTAGCGGTGACAGATGCCAAGCTTTTTCGCGTTGCGGGGGCTTGCATTGAACGCGGTCGGTAGATGCCGAGGTTGCCAACGTAAAGTATTGGTTCCTTGGACAAAGCGTCATCCGTACCAGGAGCGCCTCATTCGTCGCCTAGCTCGCGTTCTCTGTGAGTATGGTTGTTCGTCGTGCTCAGGAGACCGGCCCACCGGGCAGGGTTAGACTCGTGAAGCACCGAATTGAAGGCGGTCCGACGAGTCTCTAATGCGCGGGCCGAGACTGAACTCTCTTGCGAGTCGACGAGATGACTGTGATCTTCGAGGGTGGTCTCGCCGTGCGACCCTGTCCTGTCCATGGACTCAACACTCTCTGCGAAGCTCTCGAAATTCCTCTTGAGCTGGAATCCCCGCCTAGGTTGCGTGGCCGTACTTTGGCTGCCATCTGTTTCCTCAAGAGTGAGATCTATGATTTGGTGTTGTCGGTTGGCTACGTCTTTAGCGTGGTGCACGTCTCCGTAACCACTATGCTGTTTGATCGCAGAGGCAGTCGTTGCTTGGCTTGGTATGGCTATCTCGGCGTGTTGAGAGGCCTCACCAGGATCGCCATATTGGACAGGAGCTGATGCCCTAGCACCAGGAGGTGACAACCCAAGGACTGGGGAAGACTGTATGCGAGACTCAGCAGAGGTTTGAGTCTCGGGTTGATGTACGTCCTCGATATGTAGCTCTGCAGCTATTTGAGCCATGTACTTGTCATGTTCGAAGACGTCGCCCGAGCAGTGCTCGCCGAACAAACCCTCGATGGTGATTCCTGTTGCAAAAGGTCAGCTCCAACTTCTCAGATCAGAGGTGTATGCTCTTAGCTCATGCCCTGCCTGATCCAGCGCACTGTATCGACTGTGCAAGGCCAGATATCTTTTGGCTTCAACGCCCCGACCAAGTAGCGCAGCTCGCCATATGACGAGTGACGCGAATATGGAAATCTGATCCTGTTAGTCAGCGTACTGGAAGACCTGTGCCCTCGATCCTCCTCTGCGGCGGCCACCAGAGACTGATACACCGTTTGTAGGTCGTGCCCATCCTCCAATTCTTTCTCTTTGACAAGAGTGAGTACGAGAGGATGCTGGGATGAGATGGCACTCGTCAGAAAATTTTGCAGCAGAGATTTAGTTCCATTGGGCGTGTCCTGGTCCTCTTTCACACTGCATACAGGTCAGTATTCTCGGTGCTATCCAGTGGCGTAACTGCCTACCTCTCCAACCATTGACGGGCATCTTCAGTGCTGAAAACGATCTGATCTGCTTCTTGCAGATCTCCTGCCCCGCCCCCAATACCGACCTCAACCATATCATTGTCATTACGAAGATGAGCAACAATAGGCGTGATCCAGACAACATTCGCAGCCGTCGAATTTTGCATTATCGAGCATCCGGAACCCTTTTCGCAACTGTGTAATTTGACATTTGGATCTCGTGTCAAGCAGCCAGGGTGGAACCGATTTCCACAAGGGAAGCCGACCAGAGCTGGCGCTTCAGGGCTGAGGTAGATGTAGTCGTCCTCGAGCTTCACTCTTAGGGACTCGTATACCTTCATTTTGTAGTCATCGACATGTATCTGCTCACGATGTTAATGCCCCCACCCCCCGGAGAGAAATTCGGGTGTTTTGATCAGCGTACCTGGGTATTCAGAGCTTTGGCCAATGCAATCCATACATCCTCATAGCCATAGGTCCAAGCTGAAAAGTAAAAGAGGGTGTCTTTAGGATACTTGGCTACTTTCTCGAGGAGCTCGCGCAATCCGTCGGCTTTCGTCTGAAACTGAACGTCTTCTGTAAAGCTTGTGTCCAAGTAGATCTTGTCTAAGGTTTGAAGTTTTTTTGAATTTCGTCCGACTGAATACTCGACCATGCACGGAACTCGAAGCAGGGCGTCGACGTGCCAAGGCTCGCTCCTGATGTCTCCTGTGTACAGGACAGCCTTTCCATCTCCCTCGAAGACTGGAGAGTCAGCTACGGTCTCTTGATATAATGGAAACGTATCGCTTACGGAACATGACCGCGCCTGGGCAATGATTCGCATCGAGTAGAGTGACACGCACGGTGTTGTTTGGGGCAAGCTCAATATCCGTCGGCGTATTCATTGGGAGGGATTTCTGAGCAGCATCAGCCTCTGGAGAAAAGCAACATCAACGTTAGAGGCCTCACTAGACGATTCCTTTGATGTTTATAAGTGATATCTTCCACCTCTAGAATCTCTTGGGCAAAATTGATGCGGGATGCCTTTCTTTGAAGCTTCAAGAGTATGGCCCGAGTAGCTGCCGAGCAGTAGATATGACGACCCTTGTACGTTTCAAGTCCAGCCAGATGATCACTGTGGATATGGCTGAGGAAGCATGCCAGAGGCGGGTCATCCACGACGCCTCGAAAGAAATCCACTGTGTTGAGAGTTAGAGAGAGCGCTTGAGCAACGGGGAAGGAGATACCCACCCCTAATCCCGGGAAATTCCCTGATGATTCCGTCGAAAGTAGACATATTCGAATGAGAATTACTCAGCAGGGCAATTCCTAGATGCTATTGGGAGTAAAATGGATGCGTTGCTGCTGGGAAGGTGAAGATTGCAAGTCAGGTATGGTGCATGAGAGTGAACGGTCGTGGTGTCTGGATGAGTCCGAGTTGCGGTTTCATGGCAGATGGGATAGTAGACACCGGTTCAATAAGGCCTTGACGAACGCAAAAATGCAGCAGTGGGTTCAAATGATATTGAGCGGCAATGTGAGCAAGCTGAACTGGTGTGAAAGCTTGGAAGCCACTTTCTTGATGCTCTGTGTTTCGAGCAGTGATGGCCAGAAGCCTGCCTGCCCACCCGTTCGGAGGTGAGGTAACCCTTGCTTGGCCTGGCAGGGTTAGATCCTGGCCCCGGCTGGGCATACCATCGCAGGCTTGGAATGCACACTAGGTGACGTTCTTGACCTCGCACGAGATGGAACCTGGACAAATCTCAGGTGTGACCTGGATATTGCTCATTAGTACATATGAAGATCATCTGGCCAGATTTGGGAGGAGGTTCTCGCCCTACGGCCTCTGTGAATGCTTACAAGCTGTGGTAACATTGTCCGAACTAAATGCGCGCACACCTTACATGTGAACTACCTGGCAAGGCAGCAGGCCCGTAAGCAGGCAAGAGCTGAAATTCGCGGATGCATGGCTGGTTTTGGGCAACCGGTCAGGTCTGTGGTGTCATGCTTACTTCTGACGTATATTGCATCCGGTGAGAGATTTTGAGTGCTGTATCAAGATACATACGGGCTTGACGCATACATTTCGGGTTACACAACTGCGCATCAAAAGCACTGCGAGCTCAAATGGCTGTGGGCATGCTCCCCCTCACTTTGAAAACCATTCAGTCTTCATCTCCCATTCATCTTTCTCTTGCGTGCTGTGATTCCGGCTGTACTTTTGGCCGGTACATCTTTGGACAGCATCTTGTTCATGACCCATATATTGTGGAACAAGACTCGTGTTTCTATAATTCCAATGCTAGTGGTCCTGAGCAGATCGTACGTGAAAGGTACGACCGGTTGAATAGCACAGCCCGGCCCTTCATTTGCGCCAATATCAACACAGTCGCCTACTCAGATCGAGGCCCGAAGACACCGATACGTGCACTGCGCAACGGAAATTTGTAACCTATGGGGCCAAGGCACATGAGAAACCATAGCATTCAGCAGATATAAGTAACATACAGGACAAATTTGCAGCACACAAATTTTCTGTCCGCTCTTGTGCCTGAGCAACTGCTTCGAAAATGTATACAGATCTCGAGAGCCTGAAGGATGATCAAGGTGCATCAGACAGCGTTCACAAGGTGGAGGCTGCACAAGCAGAGGAAATTCAAGACCAGGTGATTTGCCGAAAAAGAAAACTCGAGGACGAAATTCAACCCGTACGGACGGCTCCCACACAAGTCTCGTCCGAGGGCAGTATCTGCGCCAAGTGTCTCGATCTTGACCTTCCAGGAGCCCTCCAAAAAGCCACACAAATCTTTGCGGCTCACACTTCTTCTGATATATACAAGACCGAGCTCTGGTTCGGTATCCACGTCGCCAACGTCGACCACCAGTATCAACAACATCGCTTCACAAACTGTGCCTTATGCTCCATACTCTTTTCTGCTCGAATCGGCCCTGAGCGAAGCAAAGCTAGCGAGGATGGTGACGAAATACGACTGCTTGGGTTATCGAATGTCCTATTAGTTCCAGATTTGGTTAAGCTTAGGCCTCGGGGGATTTTCCAGGAACCCAAATCTCCAATTCTCGCTGTTGTGCCTCGACACTTTGGATCTGATGACAATGATAATCGCCTGCGGTTCGATTATTTGCGTCACGGGGAGTTTGCAGTGCTTGTCCAAGATGATCATCACCCGGAGCCATTATCTGCGCAAGAAGTTCCAGCCTCCTTTGACTCCAAGGTAGCTTCTGGCTGGCTCCAATATTGCAAAAACAACCATTCGTCTCTTTGTGGTGGCTCGTCAAAGTCCTCAGTGTCTGGTCTTCACCTAATCGATTGTACGACGCTGTCTATCATAGAGGCCGAGAGAAATAGTCCATATGTGGCCTTGAGCTATGTTTGGGGCAAAACAGGTGACATCGACAGCAAAATCCGACGCACAAGCAACAAGCTTCTGTTACCGGCAAGATTGACCTCCATCGTCTCCGACGCAATTAGCGTTACAAAGGCTTTGAGCTTCCGGTACCTCTGGATTGACAAGTTCTGCATCGATCAAGATGATGCAGTTGCGAAGCTCGAACAAATCAATCAAATGAACGTTATCTACGAGAACGCTGACCTGACTATTGTGGCTGCGGCTGGTGCAGACGAGACCTACGGACTACCGGGAGTCGACCAAAGACCAAGAACACCGCAGAAAACTGCGAGGTTCAATGGGCTGAGCGTTATCACGACATTGAAAGACCCGCGGTCTTTAATCCGCGCATCACACTGGGCTTCCCGAGGTTGGACTTTTCAGGAAGCGGTACTCAGCCGTCGACGTCTAGTATTTACGGACGAACAATTGTATTTCGAATGCAACTCCATGAATTGCTTCGAGAGCGTATACATCCCACTGGACAAAATCCACGTGAAAAACAGATCAAAATCGCTCGACATAATGAGAGCCGGAATGTTTGGCAGAGGTACGACTGAAGCATTTGGAAAACTAGTCCCCGACAAATTGTCTCTTCTTGATGTGTTCCAGCAGTTCTTGTCGTCCATACAAGACTACTCGACGAGGGACCTGAGATTCGATACGGATTCTCTGAATGCTTTCCAAGGCATCATCCAGCGGTACTCGAGGCTTAAACGGCCTGTCCATGCAATCTGGGGCCTGCCTTACGCCGCCCAGGGAGAGGAAAGAAGATCCTATTTCTGTTGGACTTTGTCCTGGAGCCACACTCAAGACTCTTGGGAGAATTCGAGACAACCGAGGCGCCGAAAGGAATTTCCTTCATGGACATGGGCCGGCTGGGCCGGCGCAGTGCAGATTAAGCAAATTGAGGGAAAAAAGGTTTGGTCCAGGGATGCGATACAATCAGTAAAATTTGGAGATCGAGGTGACAATGCGGAGGATCTTGACTTGTTGGACTTTTCAACTCCGGTATCCAAGTGTCGCATGCTAAGATTACTGGCCAAGACACTATCTCCGAGCCTGTTCTCCTGCCAGCCAACAGCAGACGGAAAGACAAGCTGGGCTTTCAACCGTTTCAAAGCTGAATTGCTCCCGTCTCAAAGCTACATGCTTGAAGGGCAATTTGTACAAGAACTGATGGATACTGGGCGGTGGAATTGTATCTGGATTTGTTCTATGCTCGAAAACATCTTCTGTATGCTTCTTGAACGAAACGACGATGCTGACACTTGGATACGGGCCGGAATGTTCTCCATCAAGTGTTGGTACACTGATATGTATCCACCGCTGGTAAGTAAGAATGCGACATGGTTTGAAATAGAGTAAGTAGAGTGTACATAGCAGTAATGATCACTGATGATCAGTATGTGAACCTAAGAAGCAAAAATGGACTCAAGGAATGACTAAGAAAATATCTTAAAGGTAGACGAGCCATTGGTAGCATGAACAACCTGGCGAAAGCTCTCCAATGCCTTTGAGGTACAGGAAATCCACCCAAATGCACCGGGAGACACTAGAGCTGAAGAAGAAGTTATGTCCAGGCAATGCAGATCTTCCCCTCGACTGCTACGTCGAGGCATAATATCTCACTATCAGGGATGATGCAGAGCCAGAGGTAGGTATTTTTGGGAGAAATATGATTGATCAGCAAATCAGGTGAGTGTCGAATTAGACCTTCTTCAAAACATTACCAGTCTACATTTGTAGCCACTACCACTGAAATAGACCAAGGTACCCCCCCTTCGCAAACACAGTCTGGCCAATTGGCAGTTGCGCCACCTTATTTTCCGTTGGCTATCTGCGTCTGTGTGATAGCAAGACTTCAATTGATGTCGGGATACGAAATAACTAGGAACTATGCTGACACAATCGAGATCCTTGTCTCCGCAACTTCCAAATAGCTTGCCAACGATACGTCAACCTCGGCGGCGTTAAACACGGAAGCGGAGGTAAGCAGTAGCCGGATTCGGAAATGGGAAGAGCTTGCACCTGGAGGTAGGACGAAACACGGAGGACTGTATCGCCTATTCAAATCATTGATTCAAAACGACACAATATATAAATGATTATGGATGCACAACCTTTTCCTACCCTCAATCAAGTCATCTATCCTCAACAAAATTCATCGAGACAAGTGTGAAAGCTCACCACAAGCCTTTTAGCTCACACCCTTGGCTTTCCATTGCTGCGAACACACCTAAATTTCTCCCAACGATGCCACCAAAGCGCATGTTCATCACCGGGGCCACCGGATATCTGGGCCAGGTCTTGACCGAGTTCGCCATCGCTCAGGGGTATACCGTCCGTGGGTTATCACGTAAGGAAGCCAACGACACGAAGCTCACAAGGCTAGGCGCAACCCCCGTGCGCGGCGACCTCGAGACCCTCGACGTCCTCGAAGCCGAGTCCGCCCAGGCCGACATAGTGATCCATCTGGCCGACGCCCTCCTGGGGCTAGGCTTTGACACGCCATACGACAAGGTGCTAGCCATCGACGCCGCCGCAGTAGACGCCATGGTCGCGGGCTTGCAGTCCTCCAGCGACGAGGCCAAGACCCTCATCACCACATCCGGCACCCTGATGGCCCGGCCGGACCCGAACGGCGAGGAGACGAGCGAGGATGCGCCCAACAACCTCGACTCGCCCATCACGCGGTACAAGGCGTGGGACCACGCTAAGGCCGTGGCTGAGAAGGCCGGCGTGCGGGTCATGTGTGTCCGCCTCGCGCCATTTGTCTACGGGCGCGGCGGCAGCGGGATCACGATGTTCATGCAGGGGGCCGCGACTTCGAAGGTCGCGATATACGTGGATGGCGGGTCCACGCGCACGACGACGGTGCATGTTGACGATGCGGCGAGGCTGTATCTGTTGGTCGCTGAGAAGGGCAGGAGTGGAGAAGCGTACAATGCTTCTGGCGAAACGAACGTTACGATGAAGGAGCTCCAGGAGGCTATTGCGGAGACTGTGGGTGTTCCGGCTTTGAACCTCTCCAAGGAGGATGCGTTGGCTAAGATGCCGCCTTTCTTCGTCAACTTCCTGGTTTCGGAGAACAGGGGATCGAATAAGAAGGCTGTGTCGGAGTTGGGCTGGCAGCCAACAGAGCCGGGTATCATTGACGAGATTCGGAAAGGATCATATGTTGAAGTTGCGAAGACTCTGCCCAAAGGAGAATGATTTAACAAGGGGGTTATCACAGTGCAATGTGGAATCAAAAAGGGTCTTTGCGTGGTCTCAATATCAAATAACACATTATCGTCTCCTCCCCATCATATAATGAATGAGGCTATCATATATATCATATCCCGTGGCTAAGCCACTTGGCGCATATTTACAGAATTTACATTGAAAATTTAAGGAGCTTTTTCCCTGGCGGTTGTAGACGTCGTCGCAACCTTCTCAAGATCGCGATCTGTTCCATGCTCACCAACAGGCTTCGGCTTCTCCGAGAACTTCTCGAGCTCGTTCATCGATTCCTCTGTGCGGTTGTACCTACTGTACAGCAGCCAGAAGATAATACCAGCCAGGAAGCACGAGACTGCCAGTCCGGTGTACATCCAGAGCAGCTTGGGGTCGACGGCGGTCGGGGAGAGGGCGATCGAGAGGGCGGAACCGAATGCGCTCGTCAGTAGGAACAGCGACATGATGAACGACTTCATGTTTGCTGGAGCCTTCGTGAATGCGTATTCCAGGCCAGTGATGCTGGCAAAGATCTCGGAGAGACCGATGAGCAGATAGGCAGGAGCTTGGATAGCAACGTGAATATCGTTTGGTGCGTAGGTTCCGTCCTCTTGCAGGGCGGCCGGGCAAGCGGCGGGCGCCTCGTAGCAAGGCCCGGAGTTGTAGATCATCTTCTGAACACCGGCGGCGTAGGCCATCGCGCCCGCGGCGAGCATGAAGCCCCAGAAGATACGCGTGATTGGCAGCATCTTGAAGCCCATCTTGTTCAGTGCAGGGTAGAAGATGTAGTCGCAGATAGGGATAAATATGATAATTGTTATCGGATCCCAGTTCTGCATGAGGTCATTCGGAATTCCGTGGAGATTCATCTGACCGGCTTGCGAGATGAAGTTGTTGAGCATCTGGCTGTAAACCACCCAGTAAATCGGGAAGAAAAGGAAGACCTTGCAGGCGACCAGGGCTCTCTTCACCTCCTCGACAAACAGGCTATCCCAGGTAATGTTGTATTTGCGACCGGTGCAGAGCTCCTCGTGATATTCAGGCTTGGCAGCGTCGTAGTTGCCCTTGTGGGTAATGGCTATCCACATAATCTTGAAGGCCTTGGGGATGATACTGCCCTGGGGAGGGCGCAGCTTGTACTTGGACTTTCCAGCAACGAGCACGCTCACTCCGACAATGAACATCAGGAATGGGAGAAGATAAGCGGCCCAGAATCCAACATTGGCCTCCAGCTCGGTGGTGGCAATGCTAGAGAGACTGCCAATGTTGATCATCATATAGAAGATCATGTCTGGAATGGCTGTCAGCTAAAGACTTGGAAACGAAGCATGAGTCCGCGTGGGAAAAAAAACCTACAAATTCTCTTGATCGTGGTTGCGGGATCCACGATGACCCTCTCCCCGGACTTCAGTGTCTTCACGTAGGGCACTGTGTTGTCGTACTGCTCTGCAATCAAGGGTGAAACGTTGGACTTGATACCTCCAGTGCCGAGACCAATGACAATCATCGCGGCGATGAGGCCTCCTAGAGCGGCACCATTCTCGATAGCAGCGGGAAGAGAGGTCAGGAAAAGGATGAGGTTTCCGACGATGTAAATAATGGCGGAGTAGAAGATAGTCCAGTACTTCCCAAGATACTGGTCACTGATAACCGCGCCCAGAACTGGGGTCACATAACACCAGAACTGGAAGAAATCCGTCAAGCCTGAGGCGAAGTTGTCAGTAAACAAACGGCCAAGAAACCATGAAGATGCTGTGAAAATTGCTCACCTGTAGCGCCGGTTTGCCCCAAGCCAATGGCTCCGGGGAGGCCGCCGCCGTAGCTGTTCTCGATATAGTTTTGAAACGGGCCCGAGAGACCGTAATAGGTAAATCGTTCGCAAAGCTCAACAACGCAAACGAGGAAGGCGGACCAGGGCAGTTTGTCGGAAACCTTGCGGAGGGTCTGCTTCTCCTCGTCGGTGGGCTCGTCTCCATCCGCTGTCACCAAGCTTGCAGCGTCTCCGGTGGAGCCCGCATGGTCCTGGTCGACTGGCTCAATGCCACCTGCCATGTCCTTGTGGTCTTTTTTGTCATGAAGACGAGGTTCAACTGCGGTAGCATGATACCTGTAGTATCTCCATTAGCAACCTGGTGGCATTCAAACCCAGAAGCGCTTGCTACGTACTCCGCGACACTCGATTCGTGATCCATGGTGGGTGCGCTGTACACGACTGTGCACGAGTACCCAAATTGACAGATTCCCAGAGACCAGAGAGGCACAACCTGGCTCAAAGTTGCTGGACGAACTTCAGCACCTGGACGAGGTGCAAGTTTACGGTGACAGCAGCGGACATAAAATATCAAACGGTCGGACGAAGTGACTCAGAGCGCGTATATGAATTCAAAGACCCTACATATCGAGGAAACACGTACGAGGCAAAAAAAAATCCGGGTGGGCCCCCTTTATCGGTATTCGATGTAATACTCGCGCATAATTCTTACCTCACACGGCGGTACCACGGGGATACCTCGCCCAGGCCACCCGATGGTCATGCCATTAGTGTCAAGCACGGCTAGGGAATTGCTGGGTGGTTGTGGCGAGTAGCAGGGCGAGTCCCTGGGCCCCACGTAACAGGCCGGGTCATAAGATACGGGCATCCGGAGCCGACTGCAACACAGCGAGACTCGCGCACAGCTGAGCATTTACCAATACGGCAGGTGCATAGCAGGCGTGGAGGTGATCGTTTCTCGATTGAACAAGATCGCTCGCCCTGCGACGCATGAACGGCGGCTGGCGCACCGTATTTCTCCGCGCCCCTATATTGCGCGCAAATTGCTGTCAACCACTCGACGGGAGATGGACCGAGGCAGTTGAGAGTCAGTTCGGGGCCGGAACCTAGCCGAGGAGGAGTCAAGTGAGCGTAAATTTCATCACGCGGTCGAGCACAAAGGTGCGTAGTTTTGCTCGTTCGTAAGGATGGGTTATGTTGTTACGTTACTACACCAGTGGCCGGCGGGAGACACCGAAACAACGTTCCTTGTTTCACGCGTATTGTACTGGAGAGTTCGTAAGTGGGTCGTGGGGCCTAGCGGAATTGACCGAAGCTTGGTGTTTGTCTGAGCTCTCAAAAAGATCAGATCTTGAGGGCTCTCGCCAAGTTTATTTTGCCTCTTCTCCACATGGCAAATGCGCGGGACTGCGAGTCGAAGCTGAAGATCGTGGTCCAGTGTACACTACACATCCAGATAGTCTATGTAGCCGAGTGTGACACCCCGATCATGGCGCCGCAGTCAGACAGCCACACTTCTCGGTCCGCACCGAGACCAAGAGATCTAAATGCCTTGGCTTCCAGAGCCGCATTCGACATCGTGGCCGTTCTTGGGTGTGCTCCCCTGTGACGGCTCCACGCTGCACAGAGTAGCGCCTGGGCACACCCAACAAACCCCCGGCGGCAGGGCCCAAGACTCTGGGGTTGTGGAAAACTTGCATGTGGGCTCCAGCGCTCGCGTGCTCGTCCCTGTGCCGATCTCGGCCCCATTTGCCACCAACTCATGCACAATCCCGAGCTCAATCACCGACCCGCATGCTTACATTACCTAGGTGGCGATGGACTCTCGTGACTCTCTCCCCAACTCGCAGACTGCGGCACAGAGTGCTGACAGGCTGAAGCCAAACCTGACTGGTGCACAAGAAACACTCCTGGCCATCCTTTACTCGCGTGCCCTGGACGCCAAAGCGGCCTCACCGATCCTGGGCGATCAATATGCTGTGCGACTCGTCGACCAGCTCGACTACAACTTCTCGAAATTGCGCGTGATCTGGCTCAAGGCAGCGGTCATTGTTTTGCGTGCGAGGTTTCTCGACCAATGGGCTGTCAAATTCCTCCAACGAGCACAGGATGATGGCCAACCTGTCACAGTCCTCCATCTGGCCGCGGGACTCGACACGCGCGCGCTGAGGCTTCAAGAGCACTGCAACAAGGATGGACCACACATTCATTGGGTCGACGTTGATTTGCCGGATGTGGTAGATGTGAGACGCAGACTACGTCTACCAGAGCCGAATAGCGAGAGCATGCACTACGAACTGGTCGGCGCTGACGTGACGGACGAGCTCTGGCTGGCGAAGCTACAGCTCCCACGCGACCGGAAGACGCTCGTCGTATTCGAGGGCCTGTCGATGTACCTGCAGCCAGCCCAGGGACGTTTACTTATCGAGAAGTTGACGGGCTATTTCGTCAAGTCGGGCAATCAGCTGGTATTTGACTGCTTCAACTGGTTTCCACTGATGGTACAGAGAATTGAGCCCATTGTCGCCAGGACAGGATCGAGGCTGTCCTGGGCCATTAACGATCCGAAGGAACTTGAAGAATGGCATCATGGGCTACGCTTGGTGGATGAGATCTTACCCGCAGATAATCCCGACAACGTCAAATTGCCACTCCCAGTGAGAATTTTCTGCTGGATAGTCTCATGGGTACCAGCTCTGCGGACCTCGGCCAGGAATTTGAGATACGAATGGTAATGTGAACTGTCCCCAGGAAAATGCGTGTATTAGACTAGTGGGACCCGCCCAAGGATAGTTATGGCCTCAGAGTCATACTCTACATATGGTGTTGAACATACAAAGAAGATCCCCTATATAAATATTTTGCGACCTCGTCGCTTTTGGTAGCCCACCTCAGGAGCTAAACGCCGCTTGACCTGCGCGGGTAGACTCACGACTGACAAGGAAAGAAACCTCTCCTGAAGTCCTTCTAATGTCTGAAATGAGAATGTACGCTATCCATGCCTGGCCGCTCGGCCGCCTTGCTGAAGATTAAAAGCCGCTCCCGACGCGGCGTCTGTCTTGTCGGAAAATCGAAGAAGAAAACACGATCCCTGCAGCGCTCACTGCTATGCTGATGCCAGTGTTCTCTGTGAGAGCTGTAAACGCCAACGCTTTCACCATGCCATCAACCCACTCCTCTTCTTTGCGAGCGGGTACAGCAACAACGCAGCCAGCGAAAGACCCATGGCAATACTGATACCAATCTGAATAACCTGCAGGAGGATGGGCATCGCATCGAGCTGGAGTTCGCCCAAGGGGAAGGCCACGTTGTTGGCGGTGGTGTTCCGCACGATAGCATCGGCCGTCTGCAGCCCCGCCGCGACGATGCCCGTGTTGGCCAGGCCCGACGGGACCTGCACGATCATGGCTGGCACCATGCCAGCGGCCGCGAGGGCGAACCCCTGTGCCGAGCCCATGCCGAGGCGGCTCCTGCGGTTGGTGGCCTTGCCGAGGCCTCTGTCGTAAAGGACGTGTTCCACGTGCCAGCCAAACTTGGAGTAGAGATTCCCCAGGAGGCCGATCACGAAGCCACCGATAGTGTGGGAGATGGTGAAGGACCCGTGAAAGACGTCGACCGAGAGGAAGTTGACTAGGTAGCCCATGAACGAGATGAAAACCATGCTATGCATTGTGGGTTAGCGATTGATTATTACCAAATGAGAATTGCAGAGGCAGTAATGCTCGGAATGTCTTACGCTGGGATTTGCCTCCACTTAGCTCCGCTGATTATAGCGACCTGGACCGAGAAGAATGGGACAAAGAAGAGATTCCAGCGCCGGTCTATCAGGTTCTCGCAGCGAGGGTTGCTGACTGCGTCGTAGTCCATATAACCGTACAGGGTCGATCCAATAGCAATTCCATATGCAAGGAGAAGAGAGTAAATCAGGGCGTACATCATTCTCGAGCCGCCAGTGACAATATTCTTCGTCATAATCTCCAGCGCGGCATTGGTCATCCAGTAACCAGGCATGAGCAGATTGATAGAGCATTGCGTCAGCGCCGAGTAGCAGAAGATACGGGACCCGTCGGCACCCCTGATGGAGCCCAGCATGCGGCCGAGAAATGACATAAGGATGGCGGCGGTGACCTCAAAGATGAGGGCGTACAGGGGGTGCGAGGGGGCAAACTTGAGCTGCATGACCCCGAGGAGGCTCCCGGTGATGAAGGCGACTGGCAGGTCGATGAAGCGAGCGCGATAAGCGAAGGGTGCAATGCCCACGGCCGCAAAGCCGAATATCATGAACATGAACCACAGGTTGTGGCCGTCGTTCCGCCGCTCGATCGCATCCAGCCTGTGGATGCCTTCGATGACGGAGATGCGTCCGTGAAGGACGTGCTTGTACACCTCGTGGGCGTCTAGCATTTTGCCGACGTGGGTCCCCGCGCCTTGGATCAGCTTGACCTCCGTGGGCTGGTAGATCTGCTTGCCATCCAAATCGTCTGGGCTGTCGAAGGCGAGGAGGATGTTGTCTGGGACGTAGAGCATGTATATCTCCATTTCCAGGGCCCGAGCTGCCATTTGGATGTATGGCACGATCCTGTGTGTCGGCGAACCATAGACTAGTGCAGCCTTGCACAACTTGGTGATGTAACGGCGTCTGGTCGGTATATCGCATTGTTCCTCCGAGAGTGTGATGAACACCTCGTCCTTTCCTCCGGTTCCAACTGGCGGAGGAGGACTCCTTGTTGGCGGCATGGGTTGGGCTTCCGCCGAGTGTGTAGAGAACCGGTATGTCGGGTAGTTTGTTCGACCACTGGGTCCGCGGCGATCGTACTGGTCGTCGCCAAATACTGAACCTCTGGGACTCTCATACCAGCCACTTTCCATTGGCGGGGCCCGGATGGTCGGGCTGTCATTGAAAGACGCCTGCCGTGTCACCACCGGAGGCAGACGGGCCAGCTCAGCCTCGGGGTCGACAACCATTCCGGCTCTCTTGTCTCCGTCTCTCGTCATATCTATGACCAGAAATTCTCTTACTCTGCGCACAAAGGCCTTGAGTCTGCTGGTTGTGGAGGGCATATGATGAGGCACCGTCAAGGTGTGTGACAAGACTGAGGAAGGAGACTGGTCGAGGTCTTGGGCATCTGTTATGGGCTTGAGCACAGAACGCAGGTGGCCACAAGTTTGTCTGAAACTAGACGAGTGCTATCAGCATCCAAGATAGAGCAGACGGAGTTGGATCGGTAATTGCAATGTTGAAGCCAAGGCCTAGATGTAGAGGAATTGCAGGTCTCACTTGTCTTGGCAGGGGTTTATATTGACAGACTGCCTCAGTAGAGTTCATCTCGATCTTCTAATACTATTCGAAGTTGCCGGCGGCGTGGCGAGACTATGTAACCGAGCTCAAAGCACTTGGCAGCTTGCCTCTCAGATACCAAGACTCGACGAGTGTTGCGTATGATAATGCCGCGGAATGTAGGACGGCCGCCACTCCGAACACCAGGCATCTTGTGACGATCTTGGAGAAAAACAGGTGATTCACAGCGCTTTGCTTCACAGACATTTACAAAAATACGCTTGTGTTCCTCGATGGCTTCAATCTCATGAAATTCAATTTTCTCAATTTCGCCATCTCTGTCATTTGGCACATCAAGTTTCAAACTTCAAAATTGAAGCGTTGGAGGTCCTTTGTTCCAGACCACCTTAGACTACAGGAGCAAGGAAGGCAAACTTCTCGCCATCACATACGTTATGGTTTCATCCTCGTATCCAGATCAATGACCATGGAGTGGAAGCCACATGGAAATGAAGAACTCGGCTTGTGTGTACGGTGTAATGAGGCCAGGGATGCTCGTGCATACGAGTCACCACTCAACATCATCACATGTGCTCACTCGTCCTCGGCTAAGACCATGTGAAGCAAATCACCAAAGTCTTAGTCCAGTGCTTCAAGATTTGGTGAGCGATTGCAAGAGGTAGTGTACTGCCATTTGGGAGTCATCAATAAATCAGCCACGTAACATGAAATCTCCGTGGTGCCGCCGCATTTTGCCCAGGTAACCCTGCTGCCATTTACGTTCGGCTTCCAATGTCCGCATCAAGCATGTCATGTTGATTTAAATTCCGTTACTCAGAGCCTTGTCCTTCAAGCGTAAATGGAACTTCGAGAGAGCTCTTCATCGGCTCAGATTCTAGCCGGCGTGGTGTATATGATGATTGTAACGATGAGCCTCCCCGAAGGCATTCTCAAGATCCGTTTTTGGCCGGGAAGGTAGTGGCCGGGAAGTAGCTTTGGTGCTTGTTAATCTTGCGCGAAGACCAGCGCTCCTATCAGCCGCTCAGGTATGAATAAACTTGACATCGACCACCCAGGTCTCTACCCGGTATGGCAAAGTGAAATGCTTAGGTATGTTACATCAAAGTCTGATGAGAAATCCAAGCCGTTCGGATCTCTTGGTAGTCTATCAACTCATGTTTACCTGCTTCCAGCCCGATTTTCCCGTCACTCAAGAGATCGGAGGAAGTGTTTGAGACCGAGATGGGATGATAAAAAAACGGAAGAGGCGTATGTATTTTTGGATGCAGCCAGCCGCGGCGGCAAAACAAGCTTGCTCGTAACCGCGAAACACGCCCGGCGGGCGTGGTTATGATTTGGTTTGCAGTCGAAGGCAAATCCAGGCAGGACTAAGCGTCTTAACATGACGTGCGACCGGACTCTTTATAATAAGATGGCCAACTACTGAAACTCTTGGCGCCCTTTTTGCCCTCAGAACAGAATGAAATGCAGATACCAGTTGACGGGCACTCAGGCAATTGCAGCCATTCAAATTTATTTCAAATATTGTCTTGGCGGCCGCAGTTGGGGAGGTGAAGCTGAACAGCAACCCTACATGGCCTGAGTACTCGAGCAGTGTTAAGTCTCGTCTACTAACAGCTCTGAGTTTGGATTCATCCGACACGCGTCTCCAGTGCAACACTGAAGAAGTTGGAGTTTTGAAGGGTCACCCTGTACTGTCGTGGCTTTGGATCCCGGACTGTCATGACTTCCACATATGTTCCCACTGAAGCTGTCAGATGTTGTCGAGTGGAGTCCCTGGCGACATGTCAACACTATCATCATCCAGCTCCATTCCGTATACTGGTGTCGTGAGTCGGAATAAGCTCCAAGCTTTGAGACTAAAAATATGGACACCACAACAATAAGGTTGATCGTAGTAGACGATCTCCCGAAGCGCTTGCGTGACGGGACTCTGGAGCCTTCCGTGGAGAGGGCGTCACTTTGTGTACTGGGCGAGTCCTACTTTGCATCCTATACTACCTAAATACTCTGTGCGCGATGCCATATTCAGGGATGATCATACTACGATCTGTAGAATGACGCTAAGGACTCACACGTACGAAAGTTTCGAGAAGTGATAGCAGTATACTAAGGTTGCATATGCCTTATGATCCCTGAGCCATTGCCGGAGATTAATATCGCCAAACCTTCCCCACGGGCCGCAAGCCCCATGACCCATGTCGTTGCAACCTGCCAGGCCTTGTTATGAAACGCCCCCAAGCAACAGCTTACTTTGTCCCCAGCAAGATACTCGCGCGTGCGGTAGAGCGGCTTGATTCTTCTTGCATCCGCGAGACGCGTATTGCTACTAGTTGACCGAACACAACAGGATTGCCCGTCGCCAAGCCTCCGAGCCCTGAGTATGCCGTCGTTTCCAAGCCCTACAGTCCCATCCCTACCCTGCCATCCTCTCCCGAACAGGTCGACTCGATTGAGTCATGGTATGGTCTCTCTAGTCAACTTCAGCCGCCTGGGTTCCTCTCCTGCGGTCGAGAACGCTGCTAATACTGACATGACTCCTTCAACTCCCTCGACTCCGCCCAGAAGACGCATGAAGTTCTCGGCCGAGGGCGCACCTCTTGGCTCGCCTGTGGTAAGGTGGCCAGCTTCATGCTTCATATCGTGTTCTCTGCATTGATGACACGGCCCCCGATGGGCCGCCTGCCGACGGCAAGCGCCTGTTATATGCTATTCCATCATTGCCAAATGTTCAAGCTGGAGCATTTGGAGTTTCTCTGCTCTGTACGTCTACGATGGATATCAAAGGAACGCTGCATCGTGATTACGAAGTGTGAGGCGCTTATAGACATGGCAACAATATTTAATCAAAGAGTTGCTGTCCAAATCTGAATCCTGCAGTGTCGAGGAACTCAAGGTCTACACCATCGGGCCCCTCTCACAATCCTTATCTATCGGTAACTGCAGCCTGCGATCAAGGTTCTTTATTGCTTACTACATCCTCCCTCGGGCGCCGGACATTGTCAGTCATTACGGAACTCCCCTTACCTACCCTTGCACAATGGGGTTGAAACATGCTATCCACACCCTAGTCCACCGCGATGCTCCCCCGGCCCATGAAAACAAAGCCGGTCCAGTAAAACCGAGTGAGTCGTTCAAGAGCATCAGAAACTTCGTTTATGTGTTCGTCCATCGTAACGACTCAGCTGCCATCGAGGAGCATGATACTGAACACGATGCACTCACGCATCACGATCTCCGGCGCTTTCCTGGTGGTTATCAGATTGGTGAGTGACGTCCCCGGCAGCGTGGACGGACTTCCAGCGATCCCTCAACGAGCACCCATATCAGATTTCTTGCGCCTTCAATTTCAATCTGAGAGCGCAAGTTTGTATTCTTCCGAGTGAATGGTAGCAAAGGTCCATTTACGTGCCTCGCGCACATTTGACATGGACATTGAATGCTATTATTTGACACCCGCTTGAAATTTGACATAAGAAAGGAAAGAGAGGCCAAAGCTGATACTAACTTTGTGTGATCCTCTTGTTCTAGTGAATACTGATGATGATGACCATCGACCTGTGTCCCAGCCTGACTTCCATGCAACTGCATTCAGACATGTAAAGAAAGTCAAAAGGACATACTCTTGGGAAGCGCCTGACGATGGGTTCGAACTACATGAAATGGACTTTCGGGCGAGAGAGCGAAAGAAGCCGATTTCCCTGTGATCAATGTACGATTTCCATCAAATGGGGCGAGCATCTGCTGGTCGCTGACTATGTGTGGAGCAGTGACATCTTCGACGAGTCCTTCCTGCCTTGCCGTTTCTTTCCTCGAAGACGTGCCATGCGGGTTCATCTTTCCTACTACATGTAGAAGGAAAATACACACATTATCATTTCAGGCCTCAATATGAATCATTGCAAGCATCAGTTTGAGATGACTGAGGCCTATTGGCGCAACCGGAGGCTCTCTTCTCGCACTTGCGTGAGCTCGATGGAATGAGTCTGTGACGAGGTGCTAAGCTGTCGTTGCCGCCGGGTATTTCCTTCCTCTCGTGCCCTCTCAAGCCCAAGAACAGCCCCTTTAGTCTCGGAGCTTAGATGATGAGCACGAACAAAAATGTTTGAGATCAGCGACATGCCGGCAACAGCCACGCACTGTATAAATAGTCGATTAGCATGATATTTGCCTGATCCAGGCCGGCCGACCTTTCCATGACACGATATGGTCCGACAAATACTCACCATTATCCATATTGCACGTAGTGCCTGGAAATATGTGCGTCTGATAATTTCCTGCACATCAGCCGGCAAAGATCCAATCATTTCAACACTAGCAGTGGCGTGTTCCCCATTGAAATGAGCGGCGAGATCTTGGCCGATCTGCGCAGCTAGCCCGCCGTTGTTCGCCACCATCTGGCCTTGGAAAACGACGCCGCCGACGACGACAATGATGGCCGTGCAGATCGATCGAAGGAAACTCATGGTCGAGATAACAGCAGCCGTGTCCAGCGCTGTCGCAGTCGCCTGCGCTACAAGAAGCGGCGGCTCCATGTTTAAACCGATGCCAACTCCTGTGATAATCTGATAAACGACAAGTCTGGTGATCTTCTTCTCGAAGGCGAGGTTGAGGAACAGTCCAGCTCCGAGGGTGAGCAAGACCTGGGCTACGTACATGATCGGAAGATATATGCCCGTCTTCTGGATGAACACCCCGGTGCAAGCGGCTGCAAGTGAGCTAGATACGATGAGAGGAAGGAGATGAAGCCCGGATATCAAGGCGTTGGACCCCAGCACCGACTGCGAGTAGAGGGGAAGATAATAAGATAGACCGATTAGAACGGAGAAGTTGCAAACGTAGACCAGATAAGCCGCCACTGTCGAGCCATTTGAAAACAAGCGTAATGGAACCACAGGATTTGTTGCTAGCTTCCATTCGTTGACCAGGAACATGCCCAACACAACGGTGCCAAAGGTGATAAGACAGATAACAGCCGCTGATGACCATGGGAATGTGACACCTCCGAACTCTAGACCGAGAAGGACCATTAAAGCAGACCCAATTATGAGCAGGCTGCCAGTCCAGTCGATGGCCTTTAAGCCAGCCAGAACAGGGGTTCTAGGCATGGGGATTCTGAGGAAGAGTAGCTGAACAACAAATACTACGGCCCCGATGGGTACTACAACACCGGTGAATATCAGTCAAATGTGAGTTCCAGGAATCATGAACGTTCTGCCATGATAAAGAAGGTGAGACGTACAATTCATCCAGAAACACCACCTCCAGTGTACCCTGGTGGTGAAAACGCCACCGAGAATTGGCCCCACCGCTGTCCCTACAGCCCACATAATCGACGTGATAGCGAGGTAGAGGCCACGGTCTCGCATCGAAAAGGTATCGCAGATTATTGTGTTGACCAATATGCCCATGCCGCTTGCCCCGATTCCCTGAACACCGCGGCCAGCAATGAACGCATCCATGTTGGGGGCAAGCGCGCACAACAGACTGCCGACGAAGAAAAAGGCCTGGGCAATAAGCATAATAGGCTTGCGTCCCCAAATGTCGGCCACGGAGCCCCAGACTGGGGTCACGGCTGTGCTCCCCAAGATGAACGCTCCGCCAACCCAGATGTAGCCCGATGATGATTGGAAGTCGGCAGCGATGGAAGGTATCGCTGGAGTGACCATAGTCAAGTCCAATGAGGAGAGAAAAACAGACAAACAGAGTGGCACCATGATAAGGGCGATGACCGCTCCGGATGGTTTGTTAGTGAGTCTTCCCTGATGAGTTCCTGCTGCCGTGGCTAGCCAGCTATCGGTTTCGCGTTGACTGTCGCCGCTGCCATTGGTGATGTCCATCCGACGATCCGCGCGGCTGTTTTGATGCGTATCCGAGGCGTTGGCTGCGGTCGCAACTTCAATGATCGTTTCGACCGCCGAAGCCATGGCGCATTTGAGCACAGGTTGATGTCTTTTAGTGTCCTGGTGTTGTGCTGTGATTGCAGTGCCCCACAAAACTGATGATTGCGATTTAATGACTGGTCTTATCCTATATCGGGCTCAAATGTTTGTTGAGTATAACAAAGTCTCGTCTTTATTGATTTTGGCCTTAGGCGTGATTGGTGGTGGGTGGAAAAGGCTTCAGCTGACGTTGAAAGGGATCCGGTCCTTCCATAGTCACATGACGTTCGGAGACAGTGATATTATCGGCCATATTCCTTGATATGGATCGAAGGATTCTCTCAATCGGGAAAAGCCACCTCTTCGGTAAACATTGCCAAGGGAAAGTATTTCGATTGTCCAAGATCAAAATGTAAATAATACTGCAAGCTGCGACATACAAGGTGGTCAACCTGAATGATACTACGTATATGTATATGTATGTAGCATACTTCTTTTTTTAGATATCATGTTCCGAGGATGGCTGGCTTCTCAATGCTGTCCGCTGGTGCCCGACAATCCAGAACTGCGCCATGGTATGTGATAGCTTGCCAAGCAAGAGTCAATTGATGACCATGTCACGTGGCCAAGCCATGCATTCAAACTGCAATGCTCCGGTCAACGCTTTATTCTGAATTTAAACCTGTCTTTGCTTCAATTCGTGCAAGAATCGTGTATGAGAATTGGCACGTCACTGTGTTTTCAGCCATGTAATTGATTCAAGTATTTTGTGTAGAAGGATCATGGCTACGTGTGTACTGGACTATGAACTAACGCGCCAAGGCACAGGAGGCTGAAAAGACGAGTACATTCATTCTCACCGAATGTATAAATCAGAAGGCCGTCTCAAACAAGCCTTATCCCTTATCCCCCGATATAGTACTATGTCTACGTAAGTGGTGACATGGATCTAAATGCAGCATACCGACGATGCCAATCACTCAGCGCTCACGCGATGATTGTCACGAAAGGCTGAGAGCTTTCAATTCTAGCTTGGACGACTTAGCATTAATTGGGTGGACAATTTCTACGCGTAGGAGCTGGCATAGGCTTTGACGACAGAGTCACAGTGCATAAAGCTAATTAACACCGAATATAGACACTTGAAGAGATACTGCGAAAGGGGTGGTATATTTAGCTACGTGACGTTTCCTCCAAGCACCATATAACAAAGTGTTCAGCCACGCGAGCGAGCGCCATCGGGTCGGAAACTGCGTTTATTGGGCGAATCCCGGCCGAATCTCTTTCAAAAAGCAGTTAGATGCCCAGATCCTGCTCCGAAGTTGCCAAGGGGAAGATTATAAATAATCAATCAACACACAAAGCTTTAGAACAAACCGCAACAATATCACCCTAGCTTCTTTGTGACCTTGGGTAGACTTTAACCCTTAAAGTCCCTTCTGTTTGATTTTCTCAGTGTCTCAGCTGGCTGACAATCGTTGGCGAACAACTCTCCCTAGCCTCCTAGACAAGATGTCTCTTAAAGCTCTGACCTCTTTCATCTCGGAGGCAACCAAAGACTTCGATCTGGCTTACATAATCAGTGCTTTCATTGAAGCTGGTATGACCTCCGTGATCGACTTCGATGTCACACTTGAGGGAGGGAAGATCAAAAGTGTCTTCGAACCCAATGGTAGTTCACTGGGCCAGCGGGTCCACCAACTCCGCCCCTCGAATGAGCTTCAACGCATTAGCTCCGATTCATCAGCCCAATCAATTTGCAGTCAACGACTTCATGAGCATTTCAGAGTCCAAGAAAGTCTGACATCGTTCCCTAGACTTCAAAAAGGTTCATTCCTCTTCTGGCGAAAAAGGGTCACCAAAGGAAAGCACAGAAGCCTCCATGGAAAGAGTCTTCCCCTACCACAATCACATCATGTCCAGAAGACACCAGGGTGGCTGACACGTTCTAGATCTAGATCTATAATCTAGTGTCTCCCAATGGCTGGGAGGCACATCCCTACTCCCTTCTCATTTGAGTTCAAGATCTACGTAATTTCCCGAATCCAATACCGTGCGAATCGATCCCGAATACGCTTCGCTCCAGTCGGAACTTTGTTGCCTACAGAGCACGATCTAGGCCACGGATCTATTTCATCCGCAATACCCGAGGCATTGATCACAAGAGTGGAAGAATTGCTGAAATGGACTGCTACTATTCCAAGAGTCCCGCGAAACCGAGAAGGACGGATGGCTTCAAAGCGCTGAAAGAACTTTTCTCCACTTACAAATGTAAGCGTGATTGAATGCAATATGCTCTGAAAATAATCGACGTCGACTGGAAAACCAGTATTTGCGGTCCTAAATTAAATTATTTGACAGTTGCATTTGGTCGAGAAGCTGAACAGTCTCGGCAGCGGCATGTGAGATTGCCTTGATGTCATTGGATATTAATAATCTACTAGCATTGCTTCAGATAGTCGCCACCCACTAAGTACTTCCTGCGAAGCGCGGATACTTGGGGTTGTTTCACCATATGAGAGACAATTAAGCTGGAAGTCCCAAATAACTGTTTCCCCTGAATTATGTGCTTTATTGTGGGTCTACTTAATATTACGATTGAAACACGTGTTGCCCAAAAGTCGACGACGTAGTTGCTACAATACATCATAAAATGCACTAGACCAAACGACCGCGTCCTTCGCGAGCCCCACTAAAATTGGGTGGCCTTTTCTTCCTCGCCATATCCGCGCGCCTAAAACTTCATCCTAGCCCTTGGCGACGTCATGTCCTGGAGATAGGTGTTGTACATGTTGTCTGAACTCTGCCTCCTTGGCCTAGCCGGCCGTGTCGGTTGATGAACGATTCGGTAGAAACCCAGCCCGTCGTCATCCTGCCCAGGGTTGGCAGTCTCGTACCCCATTGCTTTCAGCAGGTGATACACGGCAGCTGCTATTACTGCTCCTAGAATGGGTCCGACGAAGAAAATCCAAATCTCGCTCACGTAGTTGTTGTTGACGACCGCGGGACCCAAGGTTCGAGCTGGATTTACGGAGGTTCCAGTGTAATTGATACCTTCATGGCACATGTCAGTTCGTGTGAAGGTCTTCCGGTCTAGAAAAAGTATTAAAACTTACCGATAAGATGCGCCACGAAAAGCGCGAAGCCAATGGCCAAAGGTGCGATAAATGAGGTGCGACTTTTTTCGACGGCGAGCATGATGATAGTCATGACGAGCTCTGCCGTGAGAATCACTTCGAGGAACAAGCCTTGAACTGGTTCTACGCCTGTTGAAAGCGAGTTCTCTGCTTGCAGTTTTCCAGGTAACAAGGCGGACACCACTCCAGCTGCTGTGATTGCTCCTAGGAACTGGACGGGGATCACACACACGAGGCGGACCCAGTCAAAGGCTCCAGCAATCCAAAGTGCGATAGAAACCTGCATGTGTGTATTCGTCAGTCGAGATGTCCTGCATAGAAGTGAGACTTAACCTGGGAAAAACTCACCGCCGGGTTGAACATCCCACCGCTCACTCTGTAGAAAATCCAGACGTTCACGCCGAGACTAAGGCCGAAAACGGCAGCGATGTATGATATCTGTAGTAAACTTGGCCCTGCTGGTGCATTGAATAACGGCAACGAGTCCACCTTTTCGTTGCCTATCTGAGCAGCAGCATACGAGAAGAAGAGGAACATGAAGGTCCCCAAGAACTCAGATATCATGGCGATGATGTGACCTCTCACAGTGTCTTTCATCCTGGCAAAGTAGTGAACTGTCGGCCCATTCGGTTCAAGGTCAGCCGGCTCGATGCCGGCTTGCTCTCGGATGATCAGAGGCGCATCGTCCATGTCGCCTGTGTAGCGGGTTGGTTGGTATGCAATCGGGATGGGCATCTTTCCAGACATGTTTCCTCGGTGGCGGCCCTGTTCAGAGGCCGGTAACCAACTGTACATAATCGAGGACGAGGAGCATGCGCAGAAGGATTCGTGCCCTTGGCGACGGAGTGATGAGAGAGGCGCTCTAATATACAAATGTATCTTCGAAGAAAGAAGTTAAGTGACGTGTTATGTTCAAAAGCGATCGAGTATAGATTCAAAGCGATAATAATATGACGATGAATAAGAAAGTCCAGCCTTATTGCCTGATGGCACAAGAAAGTAAAATGGCAGAAGTACTTGGGAATCCCAACAAAGCGCGCTAGAAATCGTCTGACCTACAAGATGTTCCGAACACCAGCTCGCTTTCAAGCAGCGCTCTCCCTCGTCGACGTACATATTATGCCTTACATACTAATAACGCGGCATGAACCGCCTACTGAACGAGGATGACGCATGGCAGAGCAAGCATGTCGAGGCAGATCGGCTTACCCACTTGGAATCGCTGTCGCATCGAGCCGTTTGAGACAACCTTGTGCAACAAAATACCCGTTGCTTTCAACTTGCGCACGCTGGGACTTCAGCCTTAACTTTCGCAGGAAATGTCCGAAAACATCCTGGGCTGACGCTGGTCATGGCGCGCGCTGAGAGGCTGAGAGGTGTGGTCGCGAACCGTGCGCTACAGCTTCTGAGGCTTGGGACGGAGCTGGGGGAGTCTCACCTCGCTGAGATTGGACTAGTCACCACTCTTTTAGACTCGAATGCCCAGGATCGTGACGCCATTGCCAATGACTCTCTGTACATGTTCACTGGTCAATTGGTCAATTGGGCAGCACCGGATCCCCCGGAAATGCTTGGTGCTTTGCAGGTAGAGGACGGGATGGCATTCCAGCTGAACTTCCCACCAAGTCAAGTGAGAGGCTCTTCGAGCTCATCCCACCATCACGGAGGTGGCGGTGATCGGGCGCGGCAGTGTGCAGGTGTCCCAGCCAGAAATACTATTCCACTTGACTCGTCTGGCTACAGATAAAGCAGTTACAAGGATTGAACAATTATTTATATTCCGTCTTGCTTGGCGATTAAGCGCAAGCATCAGTAGCAGGTTCAATTCTGTTATCGACCAACGACCGGCTTGAACTAGCGGCTCGGACCTTTTTGAAGCAGCTACTAGTTCGAATACAGAAGCGATTGCTACGGTACCAACCCGCCGAACGACTATGCAGGTAGTCCGACTCCTTGTCCGTCAACTCTGTATCAAGGTGTTGCGTCGTTACGACCGATTTTCAAGTGATGAAACACTAACAAAAAACCTTCTTGTATCTTGTCTGCGTTTCAGGGACATAAAATGAACCATAACTGTACACAGATGTCTGAGCCGGTGGATCCGAGCCAGACGTCTGCTGGATCCGAACCAGATTCCTTTTGGATCCGAGCCAGTTATCTGCTGGAGCGATGTTTTGGGCTTCCCAATCAATTGGCAGCGAGCGAGTAGGTGCAAACGCCGCGGCACGACGAGAGCCCGGCACTGGATGTGGAGGAAACTTGGCTCCAAAGCCCTTGACGCGTAGATCAAAGGCATATCTTGCAGCAATCGATGTGTAATAAAGTGTTATACCCTACAGATTATATGCGCCTATTCTATGAATCTAATTATGTGTGCGAAAATGTGCAAGATCCCTGATATGTGATGCGGAATCAGCTGTGATCAGACCAGATACATGATCCACACAGGCGCTTGTGGCGTGAAGTATCAAGAGAAGTCACAGAAAGCTTTTCCACTTAGTGACTGAGTCAACTTCCAAGTTTTTGCTGATGAAAAAGCTGATGATCTGCATGCTCCCTGTCGCTGCGGTCACCGGTTGTGATGCTCTGCTTGGCGCTTTGCGAGGTGCCTAATCAGAAGTGCAGAATTGATGCAGATGTCAATCCAGGTTGGGCCTCACTTCCGGGGCCCCGGGCTGTCGGAGATCACGAGGGTTTCCCCGTGCGGTTTGAACCCGATATATGGGCTGTTTGAACAGCTCGCATACCGGGAACATCGTGACTGGCCGGATACTCGTTGAAATTTTTTCCCTTTCGGTTCTAGAGGCTTTTGATATGCCTCAGCTCTCAAACTCTGGCACATGGAGCCCAGAGGAAGGAAGATATCTCGAGAAGACCATGAAGTTAGGGAAAAGTTGCCATCCCCCCCGAGACCAACTAAGCTTTGCTGCGATGCCTTCGAGATGTGACGTACAGTTCGAGGAATACCGGTTTCCGCGCTCAACTTGATCAGCTTCGCTTTCCTCTGAGATAATGCCTTGAAATTCTTTTTGGCATGCTTTGAGATGTCATAGAATCAATGAAGCTACCTTGGCAGAACCATTTCCTGCTATGGACTCACACTCTCATGATATCGCCCCCGGAGAGTCTAACACATGAATATGTGCAAATTGACGCTAATTCATCTTCTGGCTCTTCTGTCCGATGATTGAACGGCGCCGAACCGTCCCCAGCGAGGATGGGCTCAAGCTTTTCTCCAAAGAAAATTTCTAAAAAAAGCAAATGGCCGCTCCTTACCTAAGACCACCAGAGTTCACACCGGTCCTACACTAGACACGTTCCAAGGCTAGCCTGGGAGTGGCTCTACAACGGCAGATAGAAACGCCGTGGCGACAGCTGCTATGGTGTTCTTGTTAGAATGTCATTTGAATTGTGCCTCAAATTATAAATACACCGCTTTCAGAAATTACGCATGACACTAGTATGTGAAAGTCGTGTGCAGGTGACCGCATGCAAGAGAAAACAGAATCACTATCACTTTCTGTGCCCCAGTTCAAGCGGCGATAACGGAGAATATTTTGCAAGAATGTAGAAGCAAGTAATGGATGAAGGAGGTCGATTACTCAGAGAACTCTGCCATTTAGGCACACAGGTATCGGTAATTGGTGTTTGCGAAAAGAAATGGAGATTTATGTCCCGATGCCGGGCTTAGGATTTTATTTAAACATGCTCGGTATACTGTCCAGCCACACTGGCAGTCTTTAGGTGTCGCTTTGTAGACTCCAGATCAGAAGTCGTCTCAATGTTCGTCTAAACCCGGTGTTTTTGCGTCCACCTGCTGGCCTTCTCCAGCCTAAGTGGATCCCAAAAGCTCGGGTATGACTTGACCAGTACACGGCATTTTCTCTGTGGGATAGCCTATTATAGAATAACCTGATGTTGGATATCCTAGATAGACGATTCCGTCCTTCTGATCTCTTTCTACGTACTGGTGAGTGACTGATCAACCTTTTTAATGTCTCTAGAAACTGTATCTTGGTCCCGTATCTCGCTGCTTACCTGCGAGACACACTGCTAGGCTGAGTACAAAAGTTTCCGTGCACAGTTAGGTGATGTTCTTGACCTTTGAGTTCGACGGACTGTAAACTAAAACCAAAGTGAATTGGGGCAAAGAAAAAAGCACGTCAAAATATTTCTGGTTAATCTTTTAGTAGGCTGATGAACATGGATCTCATCTTACGCTCTGTGGTTGTTGTGTAAAGTAAGGCAAAGGTTGAGGAGTTTTGGTGGTGCTAACGGCTGTCCATGGATGCCATTGTCCTCAGCCTGATGGCTAGATGATGGGTGCTGTGAGTGGTCCTAGCTCAATCATCCTTGTGGAGACCGATGAAAAGGAACCGATGGAGGTATGACGACAGCATAACGTAGGGTCGATCCAAATCTCTGTCCCTTTCCTCATGATTTGGGTAACTGCATCTTCTACCCCATGATTGCCCTTTACCTTTATCCCGTAACATCGCTTCAAGAACAGCTGGAGCATGGTCAAGATGGCCAATTCTTCAAGCCTGTCCAAAGTACAGTCGACGGCAAGCGGGCGTCGACGGAGAACATACGATGCTCTCGAGTACACGCGGAATCGAATGGGCCTCAAGCCCGTGATTGAGACAAGACCGGGCACTCACGGTGATCCCGAGCTGTCATGGTGGCCTCGCATGCGCCTCATGTTCCGGGAGCCACTGTTAGAGTTCTGGGGTACCCTCGTGATGATGTTGCTCGGAGGATCCGTCACGGCAATCACAGTGAGCAACTCATCAATCATGTCTAATCACACGGCTCTTTTCATGATGCTCGCAATCGGAGGTGACAGAGGGTAATCTGAATTATCGCAGTATCTCAGCAATTATCAGAACGGAAATTGGCTTACGATTTGTCTTGGGTAAGTAGCAGGTACTCGTGTACGGTGTTCATGTCACAAAGCTGACAAGAATCTTCGGGTTCAGATGGTCGGCTGCCATGATATTTGGTATCTACGTCGCTGGTGACTCGGGAGCCTATCTCAACCCGGCGATTACCTTGACTAATTGTCTTTTCCGGGGGTTGCCTTTGCGCCGCTGGCCTGTTTATGCTAGCGCTCAGCTTCTCGGGGCGTTCTGTGCGCATGGCCTTGTGTACGGTAACTGTACGTATGAGGTCAATTCCATGACAACCTTTCCCCCCATTCCCTGGCAGCGTCAATTTCCGCCGGACTGCAGGTAGCTAACATTTGCTATGTAGACATCTCGGCCATTGACCAATACGAAGGGCACGCTATACGAACCATCCCTCCAAGCTCAACAACAAGCGCGAAGATTTTCTGCCAGTTTCCTCAACCATTCGTACCAATAGGCAGTCAAATATTCTCCGAGTTCATTTCCAACTTCTTCACCACCTTTCTGATATTGGCCGTCAGGGATGAGAACGGCGCCGACCTGGTAAGTCCTCTGTCCCTGTCCCTCGCCCGTGTGTCAGCAGGGCGTGATTTTGGTTGAAGTCGAAAGCTGACAAAAACTCATTGTAGAAAGGTGGTGGGTTCTTCATAATCGCATTTTTCTGGCTAAATTTTGTCGTCATGGCTGCCTTTGGATGGGAAACAGGGTGAGCAGATTCGATTTTCAGGTAAGGCTCGGTTTGCAGAGACTGACGTTTGACAAAAAGATCCCCAATCAATCCGGCTCGTGATCTAGCAGGAAGAACATGGCTGGCGATACTCGGTTACAAAAATGCATGGTCAGCCTACAACTACTACTTCTGGGTAAGTCCAACTTCACCAATGGCATGATGGCTTTGACTCTCGCAAGTGTTCACAAAGACTGCAGATCCCTACCTTTGTTCCATTCATTGCATGCTTCTTCGGAGCTCTAGCCTACGACATCTTCATATACACAGGAGATAGCCCTCTCAACAACGGTGCCTGGAGCTACAGCAATTTTCGTAAAGGAACAACACAGTTATGGAACTGTATTCTCGTCAAGTCCGAGACAGGGCCTAAGAGGCGCCAATCAGATGAGGAGAGCCTGAGCGACAAGCAAGGCCGGGACAACCTGACATCCAAATCTATCACTGAAAAAGAAGAGTCCAAGCCATCAAGAAACAGTGCTGAAGGGGAACAGCAGCACGTCAATGAAAAAGGAGTGCAGAAAGGAGAAGCCAACCAAAGCCTCGAGGAGAAGAAGGCCAAGGAGACCGGTTACGATGACCCTGAGCCTGGTGCCGAAGAATATGGCGGCGAGGAGATCGAGAAGCATGGAAATTAGCATTGAAATTGAGGGGGCCTATTCCATGCAGTGCAGAGAGGTGTCGGTATAAAGGGTCATTACGGCCCTCATACACCAAAAATGACCACTTCTCTTACAAGTGCGTCGGGCGATGATTTCTTTCAGTACTTAGCTTATTTTCCCATAAAAAGGTTCATCCACCCATTTGACAGTTGCGAAGCTGATAAGTGGACTTCACAGGCCTTCAACAGTATTTACTACTGTTGGTAGTTCGAATAGAGATCTAAATACCTACCAGGGCTAAAACAGCCCCTTCTTTCAACTTCGACTACCATAATTCAAGCTCAACTATAGCTCCGATAATGGTGGAGTTCAGATTTTAAAGTGGTCAAATTAGATTGACAACTTGAGAATGTCAGAAATGAAAATGAAGGGCCTTCAGAAGGTAGAACAACGAGCTCTTTCTCGGCCAGTCCTAGACTAGAAGGAGGAGGACCATTTTGAACAATATGAAAAGAATCTACTCAGAAGAAACAGAATTCTCTGAAGAACTGTGGTTCTTACTCTAACTCTATTTGGAAACCCAAAGGAAATTCTATTTTGTGACCAATTTTATTACTCGGAAGTTCTTTTCGAATTATTAGGAGTCGATACAATTCTGACAATTCGAAAGAAGTTGGAGGTTACATCTGGAGGATACTGAATATGATTATTTGATTGCCTTTTTGTTAAAAGAGCGTCAGTTAAAAGCAAATGCTTTGAGGGCTACTTACGCATGGAATGTCTTTGATCGTCACTGTATTGGAAATAACTTCGCAATTATACCTAAATTCAAGAGTTTTCTATTATGAGGAATCCGAATGAGTGAAAATAACAGAGATGAGATTGAGAAGGTGGATCTGTAAGCCAAAACTATCTATTCCTGGGGGCAGAACAGGCAGAACGGCTAGCAAGCACAATCTGCGTGCATTTGTTCAGAGTAGCGTGCCACAAAGCAGATACTCCGAAATCACTCGATCAGCGGAGGTTTCCTTACCAAGAGGGTATGGTGTGGTCGCTGATGCCGACTTTTGCTGGGCTGTCTCTGGAAACAACAAATTGCCGCAAAGTCCCTACGTTTCGCAACCTGACTTCTACATGCCCACCAAGCTCATAAGAGATCTCTAGGCACCGATTGATCAGCACTTGTTGCTGGGTGATTTGCTGGTCAGAGAATCTGGAAGGCAGCATGACCGGATCCGTGGCTGAGACGACTATGCGAAGATCGGAAAGCCCATTCAGCTTAGCCTTGTTCACCATGACTCCTAGTCTTTCGAGGGTGGATTCATATTCCGCCCTAGGTTCAGATTCGGGAGCGGGAGAGAGGGTCTCCGAAGTATGGCCAAACTCTGCTCTTCGTTGGTCAAAACTGGACTCGCCCTTGGCGAAAGTCCAGTTTAAGTTTGGAAATAGTGACGGAAGCGGGGCATGATCGCATCTGATACTACAATCTGAGAATCCAATACGCTTGGTATGCTCGTCCGCCATATCTTGCTTTAGATCCCACGACTCTTGACTGGGTTCCTCAACTGCGAACTTGTATTTGTCAGCAGATAGCAGGTTACTTTCGCAGTGATGGTTGGCTGATAAGTGAGCAATAAACTTATCATAGTGCATCTCACCTGTAGGTGGTCCTGGAAGCATTCCCACCACGGCTACCACAGCGTCGAGCGAGCCAGCCAATTGGAATACCTTTATTCCATTCCCTCCGAGTCTGCCTGCTCGAGTAGTATTCATGGTTGTTGCGGTGGAATAGATACAGAGTAGCCTGTTGGTGAGATTTGGGTATTGAGAGCTGATATGACCGAAGCAAGTCTTCGGTCTGGCTATATAGTGTGTTCAACGACAGCCAAATATGACTCGCTGTACAAAGACATTCTTGTCTATGAAGTGACACGTACTGATGAGCAATGTTTGCAAAGAATGGCCTTGTAAGACCGTGGGCGGTTTAAGATCGCAACCCATTGTCAGGCAACCTCACCCGACCCGTGTTATAGTTTCTGTCGAGACTCCTTTGTGAGTTGAACAAGGTCCTCTCTAGGTCTGCAGCTTTTCGGGACCTAGCTCGCATTTCTCGACACAATAGCATCGTCCTCTGAAGTAATTGATATGTTTGCTCCTGAAAACAATAGACTCGTACACCAGTTCGAAATGGACATCAACCTGGGCTCAATGTCGATCGGATCACCACGGGGCTTGCCGTGCTTAGTAAGTATTCTGAGGTGGGTGTATGCATCCCGTTCCGTAGTTCATCCTGTCACAGGAACATGCGTGCAGACAGGGGTAGGTGCAGCCCAACCCCACCCTCCCACCTTTCCCATCCAGCTTTCCCATCTTTAACGTTGGAGCTTCGTCATTATTACCTGCGAACTGGTCCGTCAACCAGTCTTCAATTTCACTGCTGCCCGTCGAGCACAGAATCCTGCACAGTACAAGTCAACTCCTCCGCTTACACCACGACTCCAGCACACGGCCCAAATCCTCCGTGCCGGCGACTCAGTCACCCGCATACAATACCGTACCAGGCAAGATCTTCTACTGTCTGCCCGGGACGGTCACACGACGCGGATTCGCCACTCCGATGCTGCCATTGCCCACCCGAAACGCGCTCAATTAGCCTGCCTGAGACGCGTCCACCCTCGAACACCGAATGTGGAGCCCTTCAGCCTTCTGTCGTCATCGCCATGGGCCGGAACCCAACGAGATATCGGGCTCTGCTCCCGACCACTCCCCGCGGCGACCAACCCGCTGCAGGCCAAATCGCGCCCTTGTTCCGCGCCTTAGACTCGATACCAAAGCGGAAATCTACAAGAATCGCATGCAAAGAGTGCCATGAGAAGAAGAGAAAAGTGAGAAACCATTACTACTAGCATGAGCCAGCTCCGCCATTTGGTCTGCAATCTAATGCCTTTCCTCGTCTGCGACAGTGCGACGGACGGAACCCTTCCTGCACCGCCTGTGTTCGTCAGGGGCAGCGATGCACGTACCGAGCCCCGTCGACCACGTCAAATGAGCTCCTGAGGGACGAGCTTGAGGAGCTCCGTGGTCGCTATGATACCTTAGAATCGCTGGTCACCCAGCTTAGGGTTGCAACACCACCACGCGCGCTCGAGGCTCTCCGACAGCTGAGAGCGTCGCCTTCGGGTTTGCCAATGGACCTGGACAAGGACAAAACCGTCCAGCAACCAGGTTTCTCAAGGAGCCCGAGTGCTGCAGTAGATTCGCCTTCGACAGGTCTGGAAACTGCCACCTGCGTAGAGCCTTCAGAGGCCGGCGCTACCGCTCTAAACCAAGGGCCTTCCATAGAAGAGCCGCGTCATGTGGCCCTGGAGCAAATAATTCAAGGAGCTCGTTGTGATCAGATGAGTTGCGGGCTGGACCTCGACTCAGCCTTGTCTTCCGATACCAGTGCCATGCTTTTCAAGCAAGTTTCGGATCCACGTCTCGCGGGTCTCGATATATCCTTCTGGACGGTAGTCCCAGTCACGGATCTTTTCGCCACGGATGCTATATCGTCATACCTCAGGAGTGATCACCGAATCTGGGAACTGTTTGACGCCGATACTTTTCTCTCTGACCTTGTCAACCAGAAATCAAATTTCTGCTCTGCTTTCCTTGTCAACTGCCTCTTGGCATTTGCATCGGTAATTTGCCCTTTCCCTTCAAATATCGACGTCTCACTAACTTTCTAGCAAACGTATGGGCCCGATGATCCAAGCGCCATCACCAAGGGCTTCCAATTTGAGGAGGAGGCTGGGATCCTATGGCAGGCTGAGGCGACACGGTTGGACTCAGAAACGGCATTGACTGGGCTGATCCTGCTCTATCTTTGTTTCACGGCTCGCTGGGAGTCCAATAACGCAGATGATTGCTTACGAGAAGTCTTTGAAATGGCCGTAAGAATGCGGTTGTTTGGGGTGGAGGAGAGGATCTCGGATACCGAAATTTCTCTGCTCAAGGCAGACAGGCGGAGCGCCATGATCCATGCTGCTTGGGGCGCTTTCAACACTATGAGGTGATTACGGTCCTGGAGTATCATTATAATAAGAACGGCCTGCTGACACCCTTGCGTTCTCAGTATACACAGAAAGCGCCGGCTCGGCGATGTGACGTCGCTCCCACCACTGGTGTCGACTCCGGGGATGTTTTTGGCCCGCGAAGTGACAGAGGATGACGATCCGCCCACGGATGACAGTCACACAGAGTCTCCGACGACTTCGATAAGTTGAATCTCCTCTTCTCTGGAGGTTCCATGTCACACTTAAGCCTCTGGCCACGAAGTCACCGCGGCATTCAACTGACAGCCGGCTTCTGAAGATTTTGGAGGCCACGCCAGGAAGAACGCCAGGAAGAATGTTTATACGTATCGAGACCAACTGAATCCCGCATTGACAGTGCCGAGGTAATTCGTTGAGGCTGTTTCAACAAATCTTTTCTACTAACCTCTCAATCTACATAGGTGGCCCTGTATCGATTTCCAGGCGTGGTTTGGACGTATCCATGAACCAAAAGCGAACGAGGCTTCGCCCCTGCAGTGCACCGAGGTACCTGGGGTAGGCTACTGCGTCTCGGTGCTGGATTGTATGCTACGTGAAGCAGCTCATCATTCTTGCTCGATTGATAATCACCTAAGTCATCAGCCTCGCATCTCCATACGTAATCACGAAGGGCGGCGACAGGGACGTGGCCATCAATGCACCAGACGAGATGTATGCGGGCTCAGATACCACCTCACAGGGACCAGGAGCTCTGTAACAACAGAGTAAGGATCACCGAACGGGCAATGCCGCTCAAGATGTAGCATCTAGGGCTGAGCGAGTCTCCTTCGAAGATGATACAGGTATAGGTAGCTTAGGTTCACCATGCATATAGACTTAAGAACTGGCCTTGTAGATAATAATGCTAATCGTCAATCGTCTCAAGGTAGTAGCTGAGTTTCCAGTTTTTTGCGTCCGAATTGATGAGAACTTCCGATGTCATGTTTGTGCTTCGAATATCTCTTCATATGGTCCTACCGGCTGGATCCTTTCCGCCATGCTTCCACCGGGCAGATTGCACAGAACTTTCAGGAACCCCCAAGCGGCCGGAAGCCTTGAGCTGACAGGCCCTCATGTGCCGACGTGTTTACGATGCAAATTGGTGCAGTCATCTTGGTGACTTGCCGTCATTGGCTATGGCATTGTTAATCTGGAAAATGTACAGTAACAAACAAGGCCAAGCTGCGGTGTGTCAGCTGAACAATCAGTGCCTACGTGCTACGGTGAGGTTGCAGTGGTACAACATCCCTGCCACACCATCCCCCAACCCCAACGGTGACGAGCGATGCTGCATTAGGACATGGTGTGAACACGTGGAGCCTAGTAAGAAGTTCAGTTGACAACCTTCAGCAACATCAAGTGAGACAAGGGCAATGTGACCAAGAAGGCTGGGTGACTCTTTAGACCATACATTCAAACCCAAAAAACAAGCTGCAGGCCTGACTATTCTCTTGTATCCTGTTTCCTGTCCATAGTCCCTCCCATGTATCCAGCAAGATGAGCAATTTCACCAGCAACCCGATCATCAAACGCGAGGCGCCAGATACGGTGGTTTATGACCTCTCCGAGCCACATCAAGTCACCATCACCCTACCCGCCGGCTCAACATGGAGCAGTGGCCTGCACTGGCACGAAAATCATATCGAATATTTGCGCATTATTCAGGGTAGCGTCGAAGTCACCCTCGATGGTCAAGTCCGCACCATATCGGCATCAGACACACAGACGGAAGTGAGGGTCGACCGAGATGTGTGGCACGAGTGGAGGCGAGCCGACGTCGAAGGGAATGAGGACGTGGTGGTGGTGGAGAGGACTGACCCGGAAGATGGCGAGAAGGCTGTGTTCTTCTGGAATCTCAACGGGGTCATCCTCAAGGCACAGGGCCTGACGTGCCCGCCCTACATGCCGAAGCTGCTGCACGGCATCTTGCTAGATGTTTGGGTCTCGCTTAGTCTCTTCGCCATTTTCCGTGACCTTGATAACGTTCCCGTCTTTGTCAATGTCCTCCAGGCATTTGCGAAAAGAGGATTTGTCTTCACTGAGAAGACACTGGGGCATACTTGCTTGCGCAGCGTGGACTTCTTCATTTCTCATGCATTACTACTTCTGGCGCATCTCATCTCCATGTTGTTTGGAATCAGGTCGGTCCGGGAGGATTTCACGCCAGACGAGGTACGGCGAAGTTGGATCTCTTCCAGGGTCGAGCGAAGGAAACCCAAGAAAACATGATTCGTGGTTTTTTGCCTTTACACTGCTCTCCAACTCCAGATGTCGGCGCCAATCACATCCGCATTGTTTCGGGCTCCTGGAAAGGCCAGGAAGCTGTCTCTCGTTTCATTCCCACGTCTTGCGAATATTCTGCATCAACTGGCAAAGCCATTACCGAGCGATTTCATGGATCTATTGTTCAACCAAATCGCTGCTCTTCTCTCTGAGCCCTGGCTCACCAACCAAGTCCGCTTTTTATCAAACTGCGTAGTTTGACTAGGCTATGGCACCCTATCCTGCCCACGCCTGCGATCGAGATGGATAGAGATGACGCGGTACTCGGCTCAGCGGTCCTAATTGATTCCCTTCGACGCTCAGGGGACTATTCGGTCGAAAAGCCGCGCGGCTCAAGCATTTGTGCATTCGCGAATTTGAGCAGATGCAATGTTGAGTCAACCAAAAGGTAAGCCAAATCTATTTGCGGACACAGAAGTCACCGATTGAGGGATCGCTGACAGTTTTCGAACAGCAGCTGAATAGCTCATGCGCTTTGGAAAGCTGTTTTTGGACTCATCGCACGTTCGCGGGAATGTTGAGCATATGTTCGCTCACGGCGTCCTGGGTCAATTTGTATATACATGAAACAAGATATGTGCAAGAAACTATTGCCTCAGACCTCGGTCTCCGCACCCAGGTTGTTACTCCTGCCTTGATGCCGGGCCACGACCGGACAGCAGCGATTATCTCTCCTCCTACTACAGGCACTGCGAGTAGTAGGTGTTTTGAACCTGGCAAGTAGTCCCGCTTGCACAGGCTGTGCACCCGGTGTATCCGGTCCCACCACACTGAGCATACTTGGCTGCGGTACACGTGGCAGCAGGAGCGCTGGACGTCGTCGTCGAGGCGGTTGTCACCTTAGTCGAACTGCTTGTTGTTTTAGCACTTGAGCTTGTAGTAGATGTGGTTGGCTTGACGCTGCTGGAGGAGGTTGTCGATGACCTGGAAGTTGCAGTGCTGGTGCTGCCGGCTGTTGTCGAACTGGATGAGCCGCCGCCGCCACTTACCGTCCCTGAAGCATAGAAGACACCCCTTCCGTTCGTGCCCACATAGACCTGCCCCGCTGTATTCGCGCTTCCTGCGAGCTTGCAGCTGCTGATCGAGCCAAAGCCCTGGGTCCCTTGAATATCCGTCCACGTCTTTCCGTCGTCGGCTGATGCGTAAAGCTTGTTTCCTGCTGACCCGGTGCCGAAAGCGTAGATGTTCCAGGTGGTTCCTGAGCCAAGGCCAAGAGAGATCTGCTGAGTTGAAGTGAGAGCGGTGGATATCTGGGTAAATGCAGCACCGTAGTTGGTGGACTTGAAAATACCAATGTCTGTGGAGACGTACACCGTTCCTGCAACAGTCGGATGCGGTGCAATGTCGTTCACTGAAGTCACGGTACCTAGAGCCCCAGCCTTGCTGAAAGATGATCCAGTGCTGGTAGACACATAGAAGGCACCCGAAGCACCACCGTAGAAGACTGTGTTGTTACGTTTGTCGCTCGCAATAAGAGCTCCGGACGCGAGGCCGGTCACAGCCGCGAAAGTGGCCTGGTTTTGAGAACGGAGGACACCTGAAGTCGAGCTCGACCAAACGATTGTGTCAGCATCGGCGCTGTATGCTACATGTCCGCCGTAATCCGTTGTGCTGCTGGCGTAATCAATGTTCCAGCTTGCTCCTCCGTCGCTGCTGAGTGCCACCTGCTGAGAACCTGCTGCGTTTCCAATGCGAACGACGTTGGCGGGCTTGTTTCCAGCATAGTCTGCGGCATAATGTCAACTCAAGTAAAGATACCCGTAAGACCATCGAACAACTTACCAACGTCAGGCGAAGACGACCAGAAGGGGGTATCCCATGTGGATGCTGGGCTGGTTTTGAGGTCCGACGCGCTCTTGAAAGTAAACCCATTGTCGTCCCCTACAGCGACGAGCAGCTCACTTCCGCCTGGGGCGGATACAATGTTCTGCACGGAAAATTCCTCGATCCCGTCTGCCAAAGACTGGATGCTGATGTTGTGCGTAGTATCCCACTTTGTCAGATCATGGCCACCATAGACTGTCAAGCCGGTGCCGTATAGCCAGTGGTCGCTGTCGAAAGGGTCAATCTCCACCGACTCAATCATCCAACCGAGTTGCTCTGCATCGGCCCTCGAAATGAAGCTCTTGTAGATCCAAGGGGCAAGTGGCGTTGAGATGCCATAGTAGCGGTTCATGGCTGGGTAGTTTGTCCACTCCCACAGAACCGACCACGTTGCGCCGGAGTCGGTGGAACGGAAAAACTGGGCTTCAGGGTACCACGAATTAAGTGCTGCCACGACCAGAGTTCCCGGCTTGAGCGCGTCCAAAGCTAGGCCTCCGAATCCAAAATACAAGTTCGAGCCCGAGACGGGTGTGATGTTTGCCCAGGTGTTGTTGGTCAAACTGTAGCGATATACCGCACCGTTGGTTCCATCGTATGGTCCACTGCCGTCCGAGTAGGTGAGATACAGAGCTTTCTCTGTCGGCTGCAGCTTGGCCTTGTGCGGGAAGAACGTGCCAGGCTGGCCAGCAACCGCACTCCATGTCGCGCCGGCATCTGTAGATTGCCAAACAGCCTGCTGAGTGCCGTTGCTAGTCGTGCCAACGAAGATTCTTGATGTTGCGCCATTGGTAAGGGCAGAAGTAGAGTCGAATGTGACCCAAGCAAGGCCTTGAATGTCGCTGTTGTAGCCGTTGGTGTCGCTGGGGTCAGCGACATAGGTACCTGTGGCTGTAAAGGAGGTGACCTTGTTGAAAGTTGCACCCCCATCCGTAGACTTCCAAAGACCATTTCCGCTACGCGCCCCAAAGTAGATAATCTTGGAGTTGGCCGGGTCAACTGCTAGGCGTTCCCCCATGCCTCTTCCCGGCATGTTTCCTCCGACTTTGAAAGACAGATTCGTTATGCTCCATGTAGCGCCCTTGTCCGAGCTGCGGGCGATGACCCCATTGTTTGGGTCCCAACTGATCTGAATATTAATCACTATTCCAAATTTTGATAGATAGCAGTATCACAACCAACCTGTTGGTATACATTCCCAAGGCGACGTAGACTTTGGTGTCATCCTGAGGATCCAGTGCCAACGCGTCAACACCCCATCGGTTCCTGCATTTCACAGGTTAGTAGCTCGCCTACTTCACATATCATATGCAACCTCAAGTCTTACCAATTTGCATCTGTGGTTATGCTATCTGTAATGGCCGTCCATGACTCATCCGCGTTAAGCCTGTAAAGACCACCGATGTCTGTTCGCGCGTATGCCAGGCCTTTTGTCTTGGGGTGAAAAGCGATCCCGGGCACGAAGCCTCCACCGCCTCCGATATGAACGGTGCTCCAAGAGAAGGCGGCTCTGACAGGCGCGACTACTGCAGATAATATCTGCAGGGCTTGAAGATACTTCATCTTCTAGACCGTTGACACCACGTGGATGCCTGATAAGAGAACAAAGAGGTTGCTCGGCCGACTTGGTATATCCCTCGTCACTTGGAGCGGAAGGATGATTATGTTTATAGAACCAATATCATTTCAATAACTGTCCACAAGCCAAGCTTCACGGTACCAAGGATCGAATGGTTCCCGACTTGCCGAAATGGCAGGGCCACAGCATCACGTTACCAGGACCCGCCAACCCAAAGGAGGACGCAATGGCATGGCAGAGGTGAAGACAAGGCGGAATAGGAACGGAACCTTCCTTGCTGACAAGTTGAGGATTTCCCACAAATGATCGTTGGCCCATTTGCCCTATTCGGGGAAATGTGCTCGTTGAAAAAGGTCGAGGGTTCGTGTGCTTCCCGTCATCCCGCCATTTCTAAGGAGGGTGTGCTTCCGTAAAGGGCTTTTGGGAAAGTGGGGGGAATAAGTAAAGGGTGGTTCATTACTGGGGTTCAGGGATCTCCCGGTGCACGGCATCTAGCCTCAGATGATCGTCAGGTCCCTGAATCAGCTCAGTGGTCAATATAGTTACTCTTCGCATACAAAATCGTAAAAGCTTGCGACTGTTCTGGTAGTCTACACAAAAACCAGGGGCCAAGCTTCAGATACGTATTCTGATGGCGTAGCATTACACAGATCAACCATCGTGGGGCCCGGGCCGCACATGATCAGCAAGCTCACCTGATGCGGTAAAACATACAACTGCTGATGAATGCTTCAGGTACTTCAAAGTGGATGTTCTAGGCAGACTTCTCGCACGTCCCACACTGCATGTGAAGCTAGCGCTGAGTATAGTCAACTTGAAGGGATGAGAGTTGTTCCAAACCATGGGGCATCATCAGACCTGGAGTGGTGTCTGCATGAAGGCGTGCTACCCTATTACTTTCAAAGACAGTGCTAGAGGCTTACTTGCATGTGAGTAGGGCTATTGGTGGTCTAGTCTGTCACACTATTTGCAACCCCGGATTCGCTAACATCGTCGGAAGCCCTGCCGAGAATTCCTTAGGACTCAACACCAACGACCCTGCCATCCTCGTCCAATCCGACCCTAACCTTCTTCGTGCTGGCCTTCCTCGGGTTGTCGGCTTCGAAAATCTCGCTCAGCTCCTCCAACGTCTTGCCAGCGGTCTCGACGAAGAAGAAGTAGATGACGACCATCTCAATCGCAATCCAGCAGCAGTACACGATGTAAAGCCTCCACGCTATAGCCTCTATTCCAACAGATATTCCATACGTGTTCACGACCCTGTTCAGCATTACGAGTCAGCTATCAAAATTGAGAAAGAAACTTCATATGAAAATGGGGAAACACGGGAAACTGTTCCCCCATAACCAATCTCATGACCTGCAGCCTGACCTAGGGCTTCATGGCAAGTGGTGAAGCAGGCCAGAGATATAGAAGCAATTGTACTTGGGAAGATCAGAACTATATCTGGAAGCAGCTTACATCGCAACATTAAGGAACAAGAAGTTCAATCCAGAGCCCTTCGCCCTTGTCCGGTTTTCCAGGCACTCCACGCTATACAGGGTTTGTAGAGGAGTGAAGCCCCAAGCGAAGGCAATGCCGAAGCAGTCTATTCATACCAAAATTAGCAAATTGTGTAAACATGCACCACGAAGTACTCTTCATTGGGTCCAAGGGAAGGTTGCATACAGATCGATACGATGACTCCATACCCAAGGTTCGGGTTTGCGTTGGCATTCGCTGCGAATGCAGTCAGGAGAATGTAGAAGAACAAACTTCCTCCCAGGCCACAAAGCATCATTTTCCGCCGGCCAAGCTTATCCAAAAGACTCGCGCCGTAGATTGCACCGAGCATGGAGAAAATTGGATTGATGGCGTTCAGCAGGAGCTGGGTATTCGTGTCGGTGATTCCCGCCGATTCGAACATCTCTGGCATGAAATAATTCACGACGTTGTTGCCAGACCCTAGAATAAAATGGCATCAGCAGTTCATCAGTACCTGGAGAATAGCACAGTGGCGGTAATATTCATTGCTCCTATGACGTCCCCGTATGTACTCGTCGTTCAAATGCAGTATTCGTACAGCATAGTGGGATGTAACTGAAGGGAGAAAGGGCAATATGTAGAGTTATTCTGAGGGAAATGTTACTTACATTGTCCGATGAAGGCCATACCAATAACCATAGCCAGTCTGTATCGCGCAGCACGTGTGTGGAACAGCTCGCGGAAGTCCCACCACGGATTCTCATCGCGTGTACGTTTGTTGTCCTCGACGATTTCGTGGTACTGCAGCTGCGGAATTGCTGAGTTCGGGTCGCCATCACCGTGGTACTTGGCCAGGATAGCAAGTGCCTCTTCGCTTCGATCATGGGCAATGAGCCAGCGGGGAGATTCCGGGAAGAACAGGATCAGACACATTACAATTGCGGGCATTCCCGCCTGCACGATGGTGGGAATGCGCCAAGCCCAAGATGATTTCAGATGAAAGTTCGTCCCATAAGTCGTCCATCCGGCAAGGATATTACCCAGCCACCAGAAATTGTTGTACATCCCGGCCATGACTCCACGGTATGCAGGGTGGGCGAGCTTTGGAGTTTGTCAGTGAAGTGACCTTTTGTTCAAAGCATAGAATATCAATATATTAGGCGATTCGCCAGTTGATCTCAGCGATCTGCAGGATGGGCAACGGAAGGGGAATGACAATACCTCGACAGTATAGGCCGGGCCTGCAGCTGAAGCAATGCTTGCGCCGAAGCCGAGGATGAAGCGGCCGCCGACGAACTGTTGGAGACCATGGGCCGAGCCTTGCACAGCAGTGCCTATGAGAACGAGCACGCAGCCGACAAATATGCAGATTCGGCGGCCCCAGCCGTCTGCGAGCAGGCCACAGAAGGGGAAGGCAGCGATTTGTCCCAGATTGTAGACGATGAAAACGATGCCGGTGCTAGACCCAGCTCCACTGAGGCCCATGTCCTTTTGGTACGGATCCATAGCGTTAATAGCGCCCATGAGCGATGAATCTGTCTTGCGCGTCAGCGGCTGCTTATTGCCATGCTGCTGTTCCGATCTTACCAAATCCGTTCATGGTCGACACGAGGTACCCAATAGACATGATGAGATACAGCTTAATCATGTTAGGGCTCGTCAGCTTGGGTTTCTGAGCCGCAATGGCAGCCGCGAGGGCGACTGATTGCGTGTTGACCTCTTTGACATTGCCGGTTGGCTTTTCTCCATCATACTCCATCGCCTCATGAACTTCCTTCTCGCCATCGTGAAAGGTAGCCATGGTGTCGGTCTGCCCTGCTCGCTGGTGTGCTACCCCTGACTTCCAGACGGTCTGTTCTGGCTGTGGGCAGAGCTGGTAGTATAGAGCGCATGGAGGCAGCTCAGAAACGGGGTACCCGCGATGCTTAAGTGGTTCAGCTCACGGGCTCCTGTCGAGTTGAAGTGGAAGCATACCCGGGCTGTTGTTGTCAGGTGCCTGTCCCATTTTGGTTGAAGCTTCCCACTTCTGGCCAGGGTCCCCGTGGCATGACTTGGCAAAGACGCGGGCAGACGCTTGGTCTTGCGGCCCTTTTTCCTCTTCCGGCTAATTCTGACCGCCCTTGATCGGGAACTGCCATGCCCCAGAGACGCGGCATCGGCCAGTCGGGAGTTCTTCGACACAAATTCTCACATACACAGAACACCGATTCATTGCAGACGTGCGGGCGTAATGTCGCAGCTTTTACGGCGTTCAGTCAACTGACTTGGGCTCGGTGTGCAGAACAATCGTGCGATACATTTGGAGAGTCGTGAACAGAATTGGAGGCAAGGGTGCTGCTGTGAATGCCTCGGCCAAATATCCCTGACGCTTAAGTGTCCGCAATTTCTCCATTTTTTCTCCCATGGGGAAAAATTGGAACCAAGGTTCTAGACAAAAGTCAAGATCGCAGCCAGGAGCTCAACACGACCTGACATGCCAAGCAAAATTTCTTGGAAGTTTTAGCAAACACTACGATGAATTCTCCTTATAACGGCTGTTCCTGCCCTTCGAGGTTGTCAGAACTGCCCATTCTTCCACAACTTTTTATGGGTAGGGCTAGAAACGCGGTCAACATTGAACTACATCGGTCACCAACAGTGGGACCAGGATGTCAAACCCTCAGAGTGTGGAGACATGAAATCGGACCATAATACAGGGATTTCCCACTCACACGAACTCGCTGACTCTGGCCTCCCACCTTTCTGGATATACGACACTCGAACAGAGTTCGCAGGCGCATAGGCTGCGACTCTTTGACAAACTAGCTGGATATTGAGGGGGCCTGTCGCCGATTTAAACCCTGACTTCGGCAGATCTACGGGAGCGGTTGCCCTTGGGTAGAAGCCGCGTTGGTGCGATGGCGCTCTCCCCGTGCGGCAGCGCTTGATCCTTGGCGTCAAAAGTTACCGACGGTTCTTGTACGACTAGGCGAAATAGGAGTCGCCCTTGCTCAGTGACGGTCGACCGATCTCGGTCTTGACGCATCAGAATCAAAAGCTTGAAGATCGTCCGGTCCCACCACAGTTGAACGCATAGGGCAAAAGCCTCTGCAGGGTATCTGTTCCCACTTGCATATATGATTTGTGACAGTTAATATCTCCGCGGTGGGCACGGTCATCTTCCTTGAGACCACTGTGGGATATGTCTCCAATAACCACCTGCAGGTGGCGCTTCCTCGTCCCGTTCGGCTCGCCGCCGACTCGCGTCAGAAGCACAAATATACGTCTCGAGAAAGTTCGCGTTCACATCGTGATGCCCGGGATAGAGCCCGTCGTCCCACAGCCCATCGTCCACGTTCACGTCTGGGAACATTTGCAGGGACGTCGGCTCTTTGATAGGCTCCAATGCAGCCAAGAAGCCACTCAGCCCTATCGGAGGGGGCCCGTCGACACCGACACGAAGGTCGATACCTGCATCAGCTGCCCGCGTCTCCAAGTCCTGGAGGTAGAACGGGTTGGCGCAGTAGACTTGTGCTTGCTTCCAGAGGTAGTGGTGCGGCTCGATGTCAAGCAGCTTGTAAGTGACGTGGTAGTCGCCAGCGATACAGGCCAGAGCAGCTTGAAGTTTCACTGCAGCGTAGGTAGGGTGTTAGATAGAGACAGGTTCGAGTTGCAATCCAGGGGTGGAACAGGTGAAAGCACATACTATCTGGCCTGCGGCGCACGAGCTCTCTCAACGTCGCCTCATGTGGGACAAGAGGCCACCAGATGAGGAATGGGTTCCACTCCGGCGGAGCGGCATTGACTGGCACGACGCGCGAAAGTTCGTTGTTCATGATAAATCGTGCTTTAACAGCCGCGTGCACTGCAATCTCTGCCTCGCGATTAGGCCAGTTCACGCTGTCAGAGCACTCTGCCCACCATTTTGCGAAACTTGTGTGGTGGTAGATCCCCCTGAGGATGCAGTTCAACTCGTCTGTAATCATGACAGGACGTCTCAGGCGTACATAACGATCCACGTTGCCCTCGTATGCAGCCATCAGTATGAGTACGTCTTTATTGATGGTAGGCAGGTCTGGAGGCAATGGGAGATAGAGCAGTTGAGCATGCTCCACTGGGAATGTCGGGACGAATAGTTCTTCTGAAAATTCTTCCCCAACATTGGCGTCTTCGGTAAGATTGAAGTAATGATCGACCCATCTCCCACTTTTGAAACCCTCTACCGCCTGTGTGACACTCAGACACGAGTGTGTCGCCGTATCTCCGTTGAGATAGGCGCCAGGCTTCGCTCCAATCTCATCGACTGATCGTTCATAGTCATTCATGACGGCGTAGCGGGCAGACTGACCCATGACAGCCTCGTAGATGGCTTCACTTCCTGCGTTTTGTGCTTCCCTAGCTTCCTCGCAGATGGAAACATCTGGAAGAAGCCTGAGCTCCTCATATAAAGTTGCGTAGCCAGCTACTGCACAAGCACGTCCAACCTGATAACGCATACTCGGGTAGCGGGAAGCCAGCGACCGATAAGTGTCCTCAGTGGCGAGGTCAGGATACCAAATGCAGTATGGCTGGACGTTTTCGTTTTCCATGTCGGGGATGACATTGCTCATTATCAGGCGCGCGTTTCTCGCTCTCGTAAAGATGGTGTCTTGACCAGAGGTAGCACAAAGCTTCTTGACGGATTCTCGATCCGCAAATTCAAAGTGGTGTCGTATACCTCGAACTATGCTAAGACGCTCGAATCGGGATGGGTTCTCTGGCACAGCTTCCCCACGAATCGCTGCTTGGCAGGCTGACACTGTTCTATCCAGTTCTGCTTGATCTTGTCTGGTGCTTCCGAGGCTCTTCACAGTGGCGTCCCAGTCATAGTTGTCTGATGATTCAGAAGATGTGACACTGCTGCCTAAACTCATGATGCCAATTCACGGCCCGGGTGGGCCAAGCTTTGGAAGGTGTGTCGGGAGTTTCGCTCAAAAGTCAAAAGCTCTGTGATATTAAATCGGCATTTTCGGACCAAGCTGTGTTGTTATAAAGAGTAAAAGACTCAGTTCTGATTTTTCGAGAAGTGGTCGGGCCGGTAAGATGCTATCACTGTAGCAATTAGTGGTCGCTTCCAGAAGTCATCCCTGATCTGATGCGCAGGGTTACCCGGAAAATCAAGCAACACACTAGCGAGGCAACAGGTTAGGACCACCCAACATTGCTTCGGCTTGTCATTGCTTAGTACATAGTCTACCTTATTTACCCATCCGGATAATCTCTCAGTACTGCGTACTTGCACGGTCTGACTCACAAAATTAGCTCAACAGGTTTGAGAAGACATCAATTCTGTGCAAGTACTACGGATTAGATAACACTGATTCGGCTTAGACAAGACCCGTAATAAATTTCGCTCTACAAGTGTGATATCTCGTACTGTGAAATAGACAATGCCTGTGGCCACCCTGCCGTACATGAGCAATGTTCGCTCCAAACTCTGCTGTCCATTCTCCTTACTACAACAGTAAACAGACCCATCGACTTCCTGGCACACCTGTCTCGCTGGTCCTCCCATGGCGCTAACATTTTCACCATAACTAAGGTAACGATGATGCTAAGAGAGCAACAAATATCATTAAAAGTACGTTATTTAAAGAGCTCGGCTGCCTTCGTGCCACTCCTTAGCTGCCGTGGGCTGTTCAAAAGCTGATCTGGATCCCACTGATCTTCATCTCTTCTTCAATTTGGCATGGTCACGGCGAGTATGAGAATTGGTTTTGTTGGGGTTATTGGTGGTTTGTATTGAAGTACTGGACTGTTTCGATTTGAAGATATCTGCATTTTCTCTTACCAGCATGTATAATCAATTCGCCTGGTTTTGATACAGTCCTTACAAGTCTTTCGTTGTTTTTTTGAGACACGTTTGAGTTGATACGGCTGGATGGCTTACTGCTATATTGAGAGGTTAGAATTTAACCTCTGGATACCTGTGCAGATATAGAGTCTAAGACGTGTACTATTTCGTGTTCCATTATGACTAGTCCTCCAAATTTTATGTAGTTCACTTGATCTTGCGTATTTTACTGCGCAAGGACGGACGAATGTCTCGTTTCCACATGGTAAAACGTGTTGGAAATGTGTCAGTGGATGCTTCCGTTTACGCATTTTCCGGGACTATCATGCCGACATTGATCAGCTATATCATCCTGTCATAGGATGATTTAAATCTCGGTAATGCGATTTGATTATCACCAACTCAACATTAAGCTTGTTGACTATTGTTCTATTTGCCATATTTGCCTGAATTGTTGATAGTCTATATTACAAGCAGCCCATCTTAATGCTCAATTATTCACCATTACCACCTTCCAGTCACCTTGCCGACTTTCCTTGTGTCAACGAGGATGTGGCTCCAACATTAGAATTACGCACCCACAATCTTTGGCACCAGCACTTCATTGTACTCCCATAGGATGGTCTGCCAATTTGCTGCGAAGAGAGAGCCTGTGTACCAGGTGGATCGCCGGCCTTGGAGAGCTTGGAGATCCTGGATGAAGCCAGCCCTGTAGTCGTCTGCTGTCACCCGACCGTGCATGAATCCATGGTCGGAGACGAATTGGAAGTCGAGCTGCTCTTGGCTGCTGGCTGGCAGGTTGTGAGATCCAATCAATGTTTGGACGTCATTGTTGAGCTTGGCTTTGGCGTCATCAGGGCCCAGCAGTTTATCCCCCACGACGGAGGTGTGAAAGAGACTGGAGCCAGGGGCCAGCCTAGAGATAGAGCCTGTGAAGTTGTAGTCTGGGTAGTGTGTGAAGCTGTTGTCGTTTGCCTGGATCGGAAGATTGGCCAAGCTGACATTGGTGTCCAATGACGGGCTGGACGCGATGAAGACGTGCTCGCGTGTGTACTGGAGCTTGCTGAAAACGCTAAGCTCCTGGTCATCAAAGTCGAAGATGGGGAACTTGGAAGCATCAGGGGCGATGCCGAGGACGAGATTCTTGGCCTGGATGATAGTTTGCACTCCAGTGTTGATGTCCTGGACTGTCACGGCGACACCGGCATCGCAGCGTACCGAGCTGATGGCTTGAGTGTTGTAATACACTTTGTTACCCAGGAATCGACCTATTGCATCATAGAGATCCTGGTTGCGCCCTGATGCAGTGACGTATGATTTCTGCGTACCCAAAACCGTTCGTGCCGTCTGTGCTGGGAAAGCTCGCATCACCGGCAGGACCTCCTTATCCACGATGCGGCCCATTGCTCCAGCAATCTGGAAAATGGTAGGTAAAGCGTCGGAGATATTGTATTTCTCGACAAAGGCCCCGAAGTTCATCAGCAAATCCTCGGGGATGTCGCTTGCATTGGGAAAATTCCAGTACCCGGGAACTAGAATATCCTCGTACTGTTCCGCAGCAGTGGCATACCGCTGCAGTGCAGCATGAACGTCGGCTGTGGATGGCCCAGTGTAATTGGTGAGCACTTGACCAGTGGAGAAGTCGACACGCCTAGGAGCAGCTGAGGAAGCCGACTGAGATGGAGTTGTGACTAGAGGTCGTCAGTAAATACTGCCGTTATGCACGTTGACCATAAAGTGCGAAGTATTCGACAAAGCGCGTAGAATGTGGCTGAGCTTCATTTTTGAACCCATCCGGTCCAAAAGGGAGCCAATTCCAATATCTTCCCAGGGGGATCTCCGGTAACGTGACTTACTTGGAACATTGAAGCGACCAAAGAAGCCTGTGATATTTCCATAATCTGTGAAGTCCCCAACGCCAATGTCGTACGTTTTTCCCGTGGTCGGGTCCGTAAAACTGTCTACAGCACCGCCCTGGAGCACCAACATTAGTACATGAATGTCATTCTTTTCTTTGCTGGGAAGTTCAGACTTACCAGAATTGGTTGTCTCTCGACGAGAATCACATCTTGGCCATAATCCGTAAGTCGGACTGCAGCATGCGCTCCTCCAGCACCTCCGCCGATGACAAGAGTGTCTGTTGTCACCACGCTGACGTTCGTGCTGTCCGTCGCAGCTAGAGCAGCCAGAAGGCCGCTTGTCTGGAGGAGAGTCTGCTTAAGAGAAGACATCGTTACTGGCGACTGGAAGGAGGGATCAAGCCTGGAGCCAAGTGAAAGGCAATCTTGAGTTGTGAACTGTGTCGAAGATTTGAGAGCGGGAATCAAGCTGCCAGAAGCGTTCTTATATGCTGCTGCTGAGTATTTTGGTATACCTCGCAATTGAGTTGTTGATACTGAAGAACTTGACTCCTCCAAGGCTGTTCGCCATATTCACCGCTCTGAGTGCTTCAGTCAACAGAGTTTGCGATACTCGTCTCTCTCGATATGGACTTAGTCAAGGGGAGTGCATAAGATTATACTGCGCTAGTCAGAATAATACATGAGCCTCTGGATAACCTTTACAGAGCCCGTGGAGCAGATGGCGCTCTGTTTTTCGCTGCTCCTACACAATGTTAACAATTTTGGAGACATTTGGCACGGCCTATTTTTGAAGGCCCACCTCGGTCGTCTTTATCAAACTGTATTGCTGCTAGTCATTTGCCATCATAGCAGAATCAACCTCACAAGACTCCGAGGTTCCTGACATCTGCGAACACAGGCATTTTGCGTAGCTTACTAAACCTGCAGCTAGCTATGACATGACTTGTTGGAGTTCACATAACTGGAACTTTGATTTCTGCTCCAATATGGTGACACCTGTGGTGATGATTCACGATCTTGGACTGTTCTATTAAACTTATCACATGTTGAGTGGCAAGGCCAGCGGTACATGAGCCACATTGCTCGTGGGACGTTTGAATCCACTCAACATTGTGCAGTGCCTAATGAAATTTCCCACCGCAGTGACGTTTGGTTATAGGGGCTTGAAGCCGTTGATGGTTGAAATTGTTTAAGACTGAACAAAACACGTAGCAATCTGGCATTGCCTAATGGCCTGGATCACGGTCTTAAAATTGCTTGCTTGATGTGCTTGAACCCCTTTGAGCGGTTTCCAATTCCTCCAATATCTCCGACCAAGCCACAATAGTTAGCGTAAGGTTGAAAGCTGTTCAGACGACTCATTCCCGAACCAATGAGTCAACCATGAGCGATTGCAGCGTTCGGATGCAGCAACATGCGTTGAGCTAGATGATCAGCGAGTTAACCATGCAGGATGTCGCCAGATGTCTACCATCCCGAGTCATAAGATGAACTTTCTCCCGCAAAGCTTGACTAGTACGGGTGGAGGTACGCTGCATGACGGTAGCTTCCCGAGCTCGTTCAAAGCTTATTGAGCTTACCTTCGGTAAACTTTAAACACTGAAGGACGGCGAGCATGGCTCAAGTCTTATTTGACGAGTTGATTCCTACAAGGGGCCCGACCAATGAATGGGCTCACGGGGATTAGCGGGCACATTTGAACGGGCACGAGGCTGGGTCGCGAGCTGCAAGATATCTGTAGACAGCCCAAGGCGTAGTCGATTCAGGATTCAATACGCTTTCCAATATCATACTTGATGTGAGAACCGAACGATGGAGCAACGCCCTGCAATGGTGACAAATTGAATTACACCTTTGTGTCTCGGAATCTAGTGTTCTCTCCTTGTCTAGGTATTCATTAGTACCAAATAAGAGGGTGCGGTTTGATCTTCTCTTTATGAGCACACAAATGGAATGCTCTTCAAGATGAAAATGAAATTATAATTTGTAGGAGATGATTCGAAAGTAACTTTTCTTGTGTAATTGGGTAGGAAACGACACAGAACCTTCTCAACAACAGACTCAACCCAATTCAGTCGTGCTCTTGAGTCTCTGAATATACATACGCAGAACAGTTCTAAACCATGGCCATTTCAAGCTATTTATTGTTAACTGCATCATGAAATCACCGTTGGGTGTACAAAGCTACATTTGCAGTACTTCTGCCGGGGCATACTTTGGGTAGCCTGTCGGATGAGTAGAATCTTCATGTGAGGAAGTACATTTCTCGAGGCCGAAGCCGAACGACGCCGTTAGGGACCCTGATGCCTTTTGAAACAGCTGTGGCCGTGCAGCGACAGCATTGGTAGTCGATTATTTTAACCAGCGGATATTGACACTTGGCCTCAAAGGAAGCAGTTCGTATTTCTACGGACGGCGCGACCGCTCCATGACTACGTCAATGTATAAACCCCAGTGGGAACATCATGATAGCCCCTCTTGCCAACCGCATGTGTGAGCTCGCTCCGCCAGTCCTCGCCTCGCGAGAGCTTCTCAACGCAAGCTTCGAAAGTGAATTCAGGCTCCCAACCCAAATCCTTCACAGCCCTCGAGGAGTCGTATACACGATCGATCCTGCTCAGATGCTCCCACCCTCTCTGTGCAAACACTTCCTTGCAATCCGGAACCAGCCTCTCCATCACAGCCGCCACGTCTCCCTCCCCATTCGCACCATTCAACAAACCTAACGTCCCCTCATCCCTCCCAAAAGGCGTTGGCGCGCTAATAACATACCTACCCCAGCCGACCTCCCCAGCCGCAGCCTTGCGCAGCGTACATACGCAGGCAGCCACCACGTCAGCGACGTCCACGCGCCGGTAAGCCAGCTCGCAGACCTTGAGGTTGTCATCGCCCATCGCGGTCCTGCGGTCCTCGTCGTCGTCCCCCTCCGGGAAGAAGCGACTCGTGCGGAGAACCACCACTGGCATGCCAGTCTGCGCGTGAACGAGACGGCACATGTCCTCTGCGGCGACCTTGGTCACGCCGTATATGTTCTTAGGCACCGGCACCACCGCCTCGTCGATCCAGGCTGCAGGCTGGCCTGGCTTGGGGCTCAGGGCGGAGCCGAAGGTTGAGGTTGTGCTTAAGAAGACGAAGGACTTGATCTGCTGTGGGTGGAGCGCGGCTGCTTCTTCCAGTAGGATCAAAGTTCCCGTGATGTTCGTTGATATGAAGTCTTCTTTCGTATGGCTGCCGATGTGTGGTTTGTGGAGGGTGGCCGTATGGATTATGTGCTGTATGGTGGGCCGGGACGCGAGGAGCTCGCGGATGAAAGAGCGGTCCGTGATGGAGCCTTGGAGAGTGTCTATTCTGGGTGATGGCTTGATATCTATACCGAGAGGCGCGTGGCCGTAGGACTGGAGGGACAGCATAAGAGCATGCCCCAAGTGCCCCGAGGAGCCAGTCACCAGCACATCGGGAGTCGATGAGGCCATGTTGAAATCGTTGCGTGTAAGTCACAAAGGCTGACTGTCAACTTGGTGGCGTGAGAAGAGACTGGAGAGATACAAGTGGATGCGGCTGGATGGAAGACATTTCCCAAGGACGCGTTTACACCGCAGCTTGAGATATCGATGAAGCTAGTAGATGCTTGGCGGTGAGTCAACCGGGGAGACGCTACCACCTGATTTGGATATCTGCTTCGGGCGTCCTCGAATGGTTTACCTAGAGGCTTCAGCAAATAGCTTCAGGCATATTCAACTGACAGAAATCCAATGTCGTGCTGGCTTTATCTCAAGTTTGTACATGCATTCATTACTAGTTTTGTTAAAAGACAGGCTCTTGTAAACCTTTTCAATAGTGCGCAGGTGGTGGTAGTGCCTAACCAGCTGTAAATTGACCGGAATTGATACCAAGACTTAAAACGAGTCGAGCGTGTTGAGTCTTGACAATGGACCAAGATTGTGCTGAGGTGATATCCACTTGCAGAAGCTGTATCTGTGCGCATGCGATACTTACACCCAGCTCTACATAGATACTCGAGCCGTTCTTTGCCGTGATGGATATAGAGTACGGTGCTCATGACCGTATGATCGCCTTTGCACTCTTCAGTCACGGCATTTTGTTGAATTCGATCCTCTTTTGATGCATTAAAATCCTGCTTGCCATCAATGCCGGGTGTCGCCCGGCGTCTCTACAGCACTTTCACAATTATCGTCGACTATTTTTTCTGAGCGACCGCCGTTGATGTTGTTCAGAAACAGTGCAGTATACTGACTCACCGTCTTTTGTGGAGATCGCAAGCATATGATAAATTTATTCACCGTCAAGTACCTTGCCCTGAGCTGGGCACAGGGCTGAGCAGTTGAGAAATGTGGATGGAATTGTTCTAGAAGGTGGCTTGAGCATGGGGCACCCAGACATGGTCCTTATCACGGAATCGCAGAAATATGTCGTGAACCTAAATTTATCCCATGTCTTGCTGAATTTGCTGCCGGGACTTGGCCACAAGGATGAGCGTTGGTTCCTGATTGATTCCTTCTTTTTTTCTGGGGCTCAGGAGGGTCTCGCAATATTGCATCATGAGGGAGCCTGAGGGTTAGGGGTCGAGAGTGGCGTCTTGGAGGTTGCCTCTGCGAGACTGCCGTATATCCGTCCCAGCCGTCAGAGCCGTTCTGCCCGGCCAGCCCAGCTCGAGCCCAGCAATGGCTCTGATGATGTCTGGATTGGCTATGTCTCTATTCTCGCAACTTGCCGGTCAGCCAGTCTAATAGGGCTGTGTCCCTGTTATTGTCCGCTGGTTATCCTGGGCGGTCGTCCCAGGTTTTGATAGGTTTGATGGGCATTTGACGTCAAAAACATGGATGCGCCTCCTGCAAAGCCACCGCAGCGACGTCATCGTCCTATTCCCGCGGGCCTCGCCCTCTCGCTAATCCGCATCCCGGACGGAGCAGGAGCCGGGCACAGCCATGCATCGTGCTGAGCCTGCGGTCCGTGCCAAGAGATATTTAAGCTCCACCGGCCTGCTGCGAGTTCTCGTTTCTATAAGTCATGCTTTCGTGCCTCCTGGCCATCACACTCACTCATATTTGAACCTAAGATCCAATGTTCTCGACATCGACACTTGCAGATCCTCAAGAATCAATCTCACCTAAGTCCCGAATCATCCGTTCACCTTTCAATCACACACACCGACAGCAACAAACATGGCTCGCCCAGCATCTTCCACGACCGATGTCATCGACTACTTCATCGCCATCTTCATTCCTCCTGTAAGCTTGACCCTGGACACCACCTCTCCTCAGATTTGACACTAACATCCGTTCCCAGCTGGCAGTCTTCCTCAAGCGCGGGTGCGGTGCCGATCTCCTCATCAACATCGCCCTGACCATCTTGGGCTGGATTCCCGGCTTGATTCATGCCTGGTGGATCATTAGGTAAGAGATGCTTCTTTCTCATATGAGAAGTGAATTGATAACTAATATCAATGAATTATAGCAAGCATGAGCGACCAGCTGTCAGACATGGCTAATTAGGCCACGAAGTGGTGAGGGGGCCAATGTGGGCAGACGCGTTTGGTGGTTTGGCGTTTTGGCGGTTCCTGCTCTTCAGGAATATCGATACCATTTTCTCGACCTATACTTGTTTGGATGAACGGGGCATAATTATGATACCCAACCTCAACTCTTCCCTACACAGTACCTAGGTAGTTGAGACCGGTTTTCTCGTAGCGTGCCAGAGTCGGCGGGTTTTAATCAGTGAATTCCTAATAAAGACGTACCATGGCGGGCACATCTGCCCTGCCTGTCTGAAGATTTGGCTCCCTTCAGTGCTTTCAAGTGGTGACTAGGTTTGTTCGTGTACTCACACTACAAACTCCAGAGCAGGCACGTGCTACCTGCGTGAAGAAAAACACTTGTCACACTAAGATCGATTTGCCTGTAGAGATATGCCCAGCAGAAGCTACAACGGGCTACCAAGGTGAGACCTCGGGCCGTGATAAGGCGCCAGCTCCTATTGGTGAAGTTTTAGGCACGCGGGTCTGCTGCCGGTAGTGAAGGTTGCTGGGTGACGGTCACGCGTGTAGTGACGGGTGTATTCGTCATTTCGTTTTGGAGATACGGAATAAACATGGCTGCGAGAGACGTCTGGAATGGATTGCGCGAGCTTCGAGACCCCGCTGGGTGTGATGTGACGTGATGTGACATGGTTCAGTCAGAGCGCTCGAGGGCCGCGAGTCAACTCTATGAGCTCTGCTACCCGAGCATTACGCTGAATACCAGCTGGATCAGAGCCAAAAAGATCTTCTTTGTCTGCAGCGAGGGCATACAGTTGTACTTTCAGTAGCGGAAAATGGGGGACGGATGAATGGTAGTGGCACACCCAAGGGGGCTAGTTCTTGGTGGAGCTTGGTAGCAAGGGGTACTATCTCCTGCCTGGGTAGATGACACCCTGCAGAGATATGCTCATAGCACTCAAGATAAGCAAAAAGTCATCTGAAGCCTGGTCAGATGTGTATAGTAGACATGAGATGGAGGGGTTGTGGGTGGTGGTGAGGTTGAAATAAAAGCGATGATCAAACCCATCTTCGCTGATGTGGAGCGAGACGCCAGTCCCTCCAGTCCACAGTTCACACGCTGGCAGCTGACAGGAGCGGCCCATTATGCACTAACAGCTCCCAACAAGAGGCCTCTTCATCAGTCGACAGCCTGCATTGGTCTCTCCTGTGACAGCTTGACAGTCTGACACCTGGGTCTCGCCCCTGGTTCCTGGTCGCATAAGTGCTCTTTGGCCGGTAGCATATTAGGAGAGCTGCTTTAGTAAGTACCCTCAGCTGGAGGAATCCTGTCTCGGTTACATCGGAATCTGAATCTGTATCTCAATCCTCATCTCACCTTCAGTCTCAGTTGCAATACCCCTCATTCTATTCTTCCCAGAGGAGGGCAACAAGAGAGAGCCCAAGAGAGAAGAAGTCCCAAGACAGCTGTCTGGACCGCAGGGACCAGCTCCGGATCTGAGTGTCTGTGTTAGTGTTAGTGGCGAGGCCACCCAGCCTGCTACTTTGCCCAGCCAGGCCAGTCAGGCCAGTTACAGTTGCGGTGGACTCCAAGCCACTCCACCTTTTGCTCCCCACACTCACACCCACCGTCTCCTCCCCCTCAAAAGCTGCCTCAGTCAAGTCAAGCATTCAATCACACTGGCTGGGCAGACGGCCGCAGACGCCGACGTCACGACCAAGAAACATCCGAACTTTGCCCTCGCAAACAGACTCCACCAGCAAGCCCACATACACACCTACACAGACACACATGTGCTCACGCACACGCATACACACACAGCAGCTACTACAATTATCATCATCCACCGCGCCCTTGCGGAGCTGGGTGTGCGGCAACGGCTACTTACCCGCACGCTTGTTGTCTGCCCGCCACCAGTCGACGACGACATTGAGCAGGCCATCGTCTCGCCTGCCCTTCGAAACAACACAGCCCTGCTCATCATCACAGAGAGGGCTCCATCACGCCGTCGATCAGAGAGCGCCATTGCCAGCGGGTTCCCATAGAACCCGAGCACTCCGTGACGACGAGTTGGGCGCTCCCGGAGCTGCCCTCTTGATGTGAGAATGGGGAACACCAACACCAAAGAGTCGCGTTCAGGCGATGCCGGCGGTTCCTCCAGCCATCGCCATCACAGAACCTCTCTCGCTCCCGCCTTCGACCCCTCCGCCACATCCAATGACCGCCCATCCTCAAGTCACAGGACAAGAAACAGGGCAAGCCGCAATGATCTCGGTACTCTGCTGGGCATCGGCGCCACGTCCTCCTCAAGCTCCCGTCCCGACCCCTCATACGAGCGCCGCGAGACCAAGCAGGAACGAGAGGCACGCCGTCTCGAGAGAGAAAGGATACAGCGTGTCAAGGAACGCGAGAGGAGCATTAGGGAAGAGCATGTTGACGGCGGATACTTGGTGACAATGGGTGTTTATGTTGGCGCCGAAGACTACAGCAAACAGGTCGTCCGCCAGCTACAGGTGCGATTCCCCACCCCGCAATGCCTGCCTGAATCAATGCTGCCAGCCGAGCCATTACTGACAATTATGCCCTGCTGCAGATCGAGAGGAAACTCGCACCCTTCTGGAGAGGGCTCAATGATTTTGACGACCAGTGGGCTGAACACCAAATCATTGCTGCTGCCCGAGGCCTCCCTATCCCTCCCGCCGGCCAGACGCCGCCAGACGAATTGATCCCTCGACCGCTGTCCTCATCCGCATCTCCATCCACCTCTACCCAGAATTTGAACAACCTCACAGTCCCCATTGGCCCGAGGACCCAGTCCGCGGCATCCGACCGAAGCGCTTCCAATGTGGGCTCCGCACTGCCGTCACCAACCGGACCGGGCATTAAGTCATCCGCCTCTCCGTTCAAGCCTCGTACCAAAGCACTCGCTGCAGCCCTGAGCCTTGGATCACGGAATGGTTCCAGTGCAGAGCTTGCTCCACGAGAAATAAACCTGCCTAACGACCCCTTCGTCAATGGGCAGCCGCTTGAAGTGTTCCTCTACAAGGAGGGCAGCGAATGCCCCATCTGCTTCCTCTACTACCCTCCGTATCTCAATCACACTCGATGCTGCGACCAGGCTATTTGCAGCGAATGCTTTGTACAAATAAAGCGGCCCGACCCACACTTTCCAGAAGGTCATGGTGATGGTGAGCAGGCGGAACCAAGTCCAAACCCAGAGGAGCAGAGCGGCCTCTTGATCTCTGAGCCTGCGCAATGCCCATATTGCCAGCAAACCGAGTTCGGTGTCACCTACGACCCGCCGCCCTTCCGTCGAGGACTTACTTACGCCATATCGCCGTCAGGTCTCGGCACCATGAGCACAGCAATGAGCTCCAGTAGCTCCCTGAACTCGGGCTTGTCGCCGACCCCAATGATCTCGCCGCCTCCATCTGGTGCTGGCGGGGCGAGACGACGTACGCAGTCGCTGTCCGCCAATGCACCCAATGTCATCACAACTGATCGTGTGCGACCTGACTGGGCAGCTAAGCTCGCTGCGCAACGCAACCATCAAGCTCGGCGCGCCGCCGCAGCAACGGCATTGCACACTGCTGCCTTCCTAATGGGTGATTCCGGATCAAGGCCTTTTAGCAGGATGAGCCGCTTCAGTCGGAGGAACACCAACAACGAGTCGAACAATGCGACCGACAACAATGCTGGGGCAGCAGCAAGTGCGAGTACTCCCTCAGGTCCAGAGCCTGGTCCAAGAAACAGCTCCGGTCGAGGATTACTGGCGGGGCCCACGAACGACCGGCGCCAAAGCCATATGGAGAACCTCGAGAACATGATGCTTGCCGAAGCGATCAGACTATCGCTGGCGGCCGAGGAAGATCGAAAGCGCAAGGCTGAAAAGGAGGAAAAGAAAGATGCAAAGCGGAGAGAAAAGGAAGAGCGCAAGGCTGCTAAGGCAGCTGCTAAGGGGCATCCGTACTCGGGCAGTGGCCAGAGCTCTACTAATGGAAGTACGCTTAGTTTGCCAGGGCTTGGAGCCATCGGACGACGAAGAGGCAACAGTGCTGCATCTAACCTCAGAATGGAGGCTACAACAGCCAATGCGATAGCATCAACAGGAAGTTCAAGTGGCGCGACCAACGTCGCGTCAGTCGCAGAGGCCGGGGACAAGGGGAAAGGTGTTGACCGTGGTCCAGCACAGACATCCCCTGAGACTGAGATCGGAAAGGCCAATGTGGATGCTCTTCATCCCGACAAGGCACCGACGTCAACGCCAGCTCCGCCACCTACATCTGCACCGCGTCCCGTCCCCTCGCCGCATCAGCACGCTGGACCTTCTCATCTTCGCCAGATGAGCAATGCATCCTCCGGCTCATCACAACCCGACTCTCAGCCAGGAAGCTATCAGAACCAGCCCTACCTTCAGGAGGACCCTCATGCAAGCGGTGTATCTCTGGCTGGCAAAAGCGATGTGAGCGATGAAGGCGGCGCAGGACGGTCTGGAGAGCACGAACACGACGACACTGCCAGCACGGAGCCCATGTTTAACTACCGAAGTTTGGCGCAGATGGTTGGTGTCGAGATGGACGGGATCAACGCAGGCCGTCGTTTGAGCCAAATAGGTGAAAGCCACGCCGAAGATGATGCTAGTGCCGCCGTGCCGGCTGAGGTTCACAGTGACGTTAAGCGTGACTCGATTCATGAGGCCAGCGCGGAGCACGCGGAAGATGTATCACCAGCGCGCAACACAGAGGATGACGAGAACGATAAGATGTCCAAGAGCGTTGCGACGCTGACGCAAGACATGATGAATGCGGGGCACAACGGTGCCCAGGACGCGGACGACGCGGAGGCGGCGCAGTCAAGCGGGCCCGTGAATACGCCGCATCTGATGGTCACGCCTGAGACGCCCCTGCCCGACGATGACGAAGGGGCAGAGTCGAAGCAGCTCGGGTTCCAAGGCACGAGGACGGTGGAGATACCGGGGGAGATGACTCATTGATACATACAGACATGACTTTTTCAAACGAGGAGGTGTCGGGGCCATGGCATGGATGGGTGGATGGAATAGAACATCATGATAAGGGGCACATGACCACGGGATAGACTGACTGTGACCAACCAACCAACCAAGCGATGCTTTTTCTCCTTCAAATGCATATATTATACTCCCATTTTTTCAGACCCACATCTTGCATGTTTCTCTCCTTTATTTTCTGATGGCTCAATGTGCACTTGGCGGAGAGGGCGATGGTCCGTCTGTGGGTTTCAAGCTTGGGAAGGATCACTGTTGGAGGCAACAGTGATCACCAAGGGAATGAGGCGTCTGGGCTGGATGGATGGGAGGCAATGTGTGAGGCATTCCACGTTAGAGTGCATGGATGTCTTTTTCTACCACTGTTGTAGGACGACTAAGATGCTCTAGAATGGAAGATGGATCCCCTCTCATGCGATTGTTGTGTCTCTACGTGAATACTGTTGGTCAGATCCTTCCATGACTGGCCACTTCACGGCCCTATTCATGCTCGAGGTCAACGGCCTAACCGGATACTATCTCCTTTTATCCCTACGGATTTTCAAAAACTCAGACGAAATTTCGATACGCCACAAGCCGGTAAAAGAGCGCTCATTGTTCACGCTCATAGCTGGATAGCCAAGGGAGCTGTGCGGACGCCTTCGATGTGCCCCGATACCCGATATTTTGGGTACAGTCTAGCGTTGCAGTGGTCTGAACTACCTGGAGCCTCCCTCTCCCCATCAATCACAAATGCCGTTGTTCGGAGCGCCAAGGGTTTATGTAATGCAGCAATCGGAGATCGTGGAAATAATTATGGGGCGTACATTAACAAGGCAAGCTTCGTTTCACCGATGAGGAGATTCTCGTCCAACGTCATCCCGCACACTATCTGCACAAGCTTATCAAAATGTCTGCCACCAAAGTTTGGAGTCGACGCCCAGAGGCCGAGGAGAAGTCTCGCCAGCCGCCCGCGCCGGCCGGGCCCATTACCGCTCCGCCAAGCGATGTATGATGTTCACCCTTAGGCCAGACCCCCCAGCCAACACACAATACCTATCTTCACAAGATGCGCGGATAAAAGCTTACCCGGCGTGAACACACAGGTCGAGGCGCTCAAGCAGGACGGCGACTCGTTCACCCTCGACGCCTTCACCTTCGAGGACGCCTGGGTCCTGGGCAACCTGCTGCGGCGGCGCCTGCTGCCGATCCCGACGGCGACGGTCATCTCGATCGCGCTGGCCAACAGCGGCCAGGTGCTGTTCCAGAGCGTGACGGGGTCCGGGGTCATGCCGGACAACGAGATCTGGGTGCAGCGCAAGCGCAACACGGTGCTGCGGTGGGGGTGCAGCACGTGGCTCATGCACTGCAAGTACGATGGCGACGAGGCGGCGTTCAAGGCCAAGTTTGGCATGAGCGAGGAGGTCGCCGGGAGGTATGCTATCCACGGCGGCGCGGTTCCGATCCGTGTTAAGGGCGTTGAGGGTGTGGTTGCTGTTGTTGTTGTTAGTGGGCTGAAGCAGCATGAGGATCATGGGGTTATTGCTGAGGTCATCAAGGAGAACTGGCAGTGATTTGTGATAATCAAAAATGGAATATCAAGTTGGGCTCTTGAGATTCATTCCCTCGTTATGCGTCTTTGCGTCTTTCTTCCCTGAAGCTGTGGGAGAGCTAGAAGTACAAAAGAGCAACATACAGAAGTTGGCCAGCATTTTCCCAAAATATTTACAGGACTGCATTGATCTTCACCCAGCAGTCACTGCTGGCCATTCCTGGTATAACCGAAATCAATTTGACCACCTGCGCCAAGGGATAAATTGAGGACACACTCGGTGGAAGCTCTAGCCAGCTGCGACAACTTCATGTTGTATCGTATCACTTTCTGATCCAGTCACTAAATTATGACAATTTCCTGTTCACCAAAATCATCCAGTTTAGTCTCCAGCTGCTCACATGGCTCGACGGGGGTCAGGTTGCGAGTGATGAAATGCCCCACCCTTTCGAACTTGGCCGGATCCTTCTGTGCCCTCCCCAATATTAGCCCATAGAATGCGTTTAGATGGAAGCCGTCGCTTTCTCTCAGCAGTGGTACCATGAGAAGGCTGACTGTTTTACTTCCCTGAAGATTTCCGATGTAGAAAGTATCTTGAGCCTCTTCGCGCCGGACTCGTCGCATTGATCTCTCTTCAGTTCCATCAGACAGAACAGTCTCCGTCATGATCCATGATGTATCGGTGAATATCATGAACTCATTTTCGAGGTAGCCCTTCACTTTCAGCACATGATCTCTCCCATAGTATCCTTGGAAAAAATCGTTTACTGTGGCCTCAACTCTCCACAGTGGACCCCAGAGTCTGATGTACCCTGAACACACGGAGCCAAACTGGTTCGTTGTCGATTGTGTTGTTTTGGCTCCCAGAACCTTCACTAGATTATTGCTTTGCGGAAAAGGTCCTATTGACCTGAAAATACCAAATTTCAACGTCGGCATCGACGCCCAACTCCAGCTAGGAGCAGAGCGATCTGAAGCGTAACTGACGACCTCCCGACCACAGCCCCAAAGCAGGCCATGAATCAGGTCTCCTTGCCAGATACCTGCACAATAATCCGGCCCTAGTTTGGAGTGGAATTTCGAGGCTATTGCGGACAGCGCAACCAAATTGTCTGAAGGGAAGGTAAGTTGGCGTCCACAATAATGATGCAGGACCTTCTCTCTCCAGCAACGTCCTAATTCCTCCATGTCATCTTTCGCGTCTCGTATGGCTTTGTTGATATTTAGGATCTCAAATCGCCATATCGACTGAACCCTCCACCATTCGCACTCACAATCTAACGAGGTCATACATGTCCAGGATGTATCGTGTGATCCGATAGCCAAGTATCGGCGAGCCAAAGTGCGTTCCTGAAAAGCCCAGGCCCGGCGGTCCAATGGGTCAAAAACCGGAGCCTTGTCCTTTGGTTGAAGGAGCCGGTACTTCAAAGCCAAAGCACGGTTCTTGTCTCGAACGCATCTAACTTGCAAGGAGGATTCTCGATACTTTTTCCGTTCCCCGAGAAAACCATCGTTGTCCGAAGATGCCCTTGAGGCTGCCAAGACTAGGTCCGCATTCCCATAAACAAAGGCCATCAGACTAGATTGCTCTTCCCAGTCGACACGGCTGTCTTGAATAATGCAAATAGAGTCGATCCATATATAGTCAAAACCGAGTGAAGCTGTAAGTTCAATCGCGTCTCTGAAGGTAGCCGGGAGGCTTCTGAGGGGAATTTCGGCTTGGAATCTCTCTATATTTGTGGAGAGTGTCTTTAAAGTCGGGGATGAACCCCAGCAATGACTCAATGCAACGTATGGGGGAAGCGTTCCACGCAGTTTGATAGGCGTGAGCCTGAGTTTATCCTCGCAAATTTGAAGTATCCGTATCGAACAGTCTGGGACACCTAACAGGTGGTTATCCTGGTTCAGGCTAGAGCCGCAGTCTGGGTGGTCTTTTTGACATGTTGTGAGCCGATCGCGTGCATACTTCAGCGTCTCCGCTAAACCAGCATGACTGGGTATCTCAAAGAAAGGCTCTAGATTCAAATTGCAGACGTCTGGCTCTGTGAGAAAGGCCAGGGAAAGTTAGCTTTCACGTCATGCTGAGATTCAGTAGAAAGTTGAGAATCACGACCCCGAGGAGAGATCATGCAAAAGGGGTGGCTTTCAAGTAACCACGAGGACGGCTCACCATCGAGATAAACGGTTATGATACCCCAGAACTCTTTCTGAAACCCGGGCTCCACTAATAACGGCATCATGACAAGCTCAAGGGCCAAAAGATACCGCCCCGTAGAATCCCTGGGTCCCAGGAACACTTGAAAGCCCCTTGTGTTTTCACCATAAGGGAGACCGGGATTTAGAAGAGGACTACTTTCTTCTGCAGTAGAGCATCCATACTGCTCTCGAGCGTCATCGACGACAGAAACAACGATATTGCAGAAGGGGCAGCCCGATTCCGCAGCTCGTTCCCATTCATAGCCTGCGCGGTTTTTGATGTTGAGGGGGTTTATTGCGGAGAGATCTGGCCAGTCCTGCTCCAAGATGGAGTCACAGAGGTAACAGCTTGTCCGAAACGTGCTTGAGCCAAGGCTCGTGGCTGGAGCCGCCTCGCTGTCGCGTTCTTCGGCCATTTCCAGGCAGACATGGAGATCTTGAAATGGTCTAATGAGGGGCAATTGAGAAACATCCACTACAGTCATCGGCCACTTGATCCTCACTCTTGAAGCTCCGTCTTGTCAGCATGACGCACACCCCTTCCTTCCAATCAAATTGCAGGTCAAGGTACATCTAGTGTTGTGGCTGGCCGCTAACTGATGCCTACTATACGCTTGTTGCTTTCTTGTTTCCTGGGAGCTCGCAGCATTGTAATAACAACGTTGGACAGCATAGGTTATGGTAAAGGCCTGGAAGTCGAGTGGAGGTGAATCAAAATAAAGCCTCCATCTAGCTCTCGGCAGGGTGCATAACTCCCACGTACAGGACGCGAACAGAAAGACGGCACATATGTATCATCGCAACTCACACGAGCATGCGCCATGTAGACATCTGGAGCATTTGAGCAATTCAGAATTTAGGTGGATTTTTTCCCCGCACTATTGGTAAACAGACTATCTCCAGTTTTTGTTCCCTAAATATGTACTTTCAAGAATTATAACAGCCCTGCGCCGTACCCCCGGCCAACATATACAGGCAAACAGGGGTACCATTCGACTCCCCACCAACAACACACGCAGAGTTCTCAATACAAGCGAACCCCTCGCCGCAGTCCGCATCGGACGTGCACGTCTGCTCGGTGCACGAGATGCACAGGTTACAGTATTCGGTCCCGTCAACATCTGACTGGCACGACGAGTAAGGCACGTTTGCGTCGCACGGGCTGTAGGGCGTCGCACCCGTGTGGATGTTGTACGGCACGATACCGGCTGGGCACTTTTCGTGTTCCGTGCTCGTCAGCGTCTTTTGTTTTGGTTCCTCCGATGATTTCTTAAAAGTCGAGAATTTCACGTACGTTTGCGAAGGCTCCCGTCTGCGTCGGCGCCGGCGGGGTGGAGGACGTGGGCGTGGGGCAGACGCCGCCCTTGTTGTAGAAGGTGTTGCCCGAGTTCGGGTCGGCCACGTCGTTGCCCTCCACGGGGTGGTCGTACAGGATGCACGCCGGCGCGGCGGTGAGGCCGAAGCTCAGGCACGCCGCATTGGCGTCGCAGAGCTCGAGGCAGCCGCCATACGAAGCTGAGTACGCGTCCGGGTAGAAACCTGGGGCAGAGTCAGCACAGGTATACTTTCACTTTCGCGTTCACACCTGGGGGGAACGCACCAATGTTCGTGCCTGTGTCCCAGCCAACGAAGCCGGTACATGTCGGCGCGGCGGTAGGTACGGGCCGCGTGGTCGTGGCTATTGTCGTCGGGGTCGGCACCTCGGGGCAGACGCCGCCTCGGTTGAAGAAGCTGTTTGGGGAGTTGGGGTCGTAGACGACAGTGCCCTCGACGGTGTAGTTGTAAAGGATGCAGTTAGGGCCGGCCGAGTTGTACGAGAAGCTCAGGCAGGCTTCGTTGGCATTGCAGAGGGAGTTGCAAGCCGCGCTTGTGGCAGACAGAGGGTCACCATAGTAGCCGATGTCTGTCCCGGTGCCCCATCCGGTATACGCGCAGGTTGCAACGGGCGGCGGCGCCGTCGTCGTCGTCGTGGTTTCTGTCTGCGCGAGACAGGTGCCCACGAGGAGGGGGCACGCGGCCGCGATGTACTTGAACAGCATCTTGATACAGACTCGACGACGGCAGGGACTTGCGGAGAAGACTGGTCGCTCGACTGGCACACAATGCAAATACCGGCCATCCTGTTGCTTCGGATCGCGGGGATCTTGTTTAAATACCCGTATATCACCACTCCGTCTTCATTGTCCGACGTTGCCATCTCGTATTGCTTAATATGAGCACCTTCCGGATAAAGGAGCGGATGCGCCAAGACGGGGAGGTGGCCAGACGCACACATGCTTCGCTCCGCATAGTAGTTCCTCTCTGGGCCTCAGAAGCAACCCCAGCTCCTGCGCTCTGCAAGACTTTTTTCGGGTCATTTGGTGATAATTTCCCTCGATCTGGGTAAAAGCTACAGCTTCCCCAGCGTACCAAGGTAACAACAGTCGTATGCTTATGGCCTTGTGTTCATTTGCCTTGGTCAATAGTCTGTATGCCACTTAGAGGGCGCAGTGTGGTCCACCAATCAGCGGCTCATCGCCTCCGCATGGCTGCAGTGAAGGATTCTGCATGGCGTCCGCAACGGACCTGCATCCAGGCACCGAAAGCTCGAGGTCGTAGTAGAGGCGCGGTCTGCAGGGGCTGGTGTGAGTTCCCCATGCGAGCGCTCATTCTGCCCGCATTTGACCCGGATATATCGGCTCTCGCACGACCTGTTCTTTTAAGCCAGGCATGGGCATATCGATGCCTAGCCAATAATTGCTTCAAGAAAAAAAAAGTGATACTGTCTGTGGTATGCAGACTAGAAGTAGGGGCCTAATTGACCCGTATATGTGCATTGTTTGCACAACAATGGACCAACTTGATTAAGGTCGGGGCCGAGGGTAGATGGAGAATCCTCCGGCCCAGACCGGCGATCGCCCGCTGCAGGTTGCCTTACATGCATGAATGGCACGTTGCAGACGAATACTCAGAGCGAGAGGCCGAGATCGCCCCTGGATTGGTAAGGTGATCGTTGACTTCATGTTCTCTGTGTAGTCTGCGGTGGTTAAACACCTGCCTGCTCGTGGTCAGCACCAAGACAGCTATGGGCTAGGTTCCAGATCCAATGCGTTCACTCGTCGATGAAAACTAAGCCTGCTGCTGCTCGACGTCGCTTTGAACTCCAATCCACCCTTTTCAAAGTTCGTGGTTGATTCAGCAGACCGGAGTCCACGTCACTCTTTCCGCCTACATATGCATATGCCGAGTGGACTAGCCGGCGTAGTGTGCAAAAAGTTCCATGGCCTCCGTTTTTCAGGCCTGCAATACCGTCCATGGCTTCCCCTTTTGAGTTCTGCAAAACTGTCCATGGCCTCCCCTTTTCAGCAAGAAGGCCGCGTGTAATTCTTGTAGAATGTCCCACCGCCGGTGTAGTATTCACCCACGGGCTTCGTGCCGTGGCATTGAGCCTTGGTAGCTCACCAATTGGATGTTTGCCATCATCAAAGAAGCTGTGAGTGGTCGAGTAACCCAATCCAAGCTTGATATTGCTTCTTAACTTTTGAAGCTTCAGCAGGTTTCAGGGAAAGGGACCCTGGCCGTAACACGCCATACTTGTGACCATTCCTTGTTTTGGGAGACATCAAAAAAGCCTGAGGAAACAAAAGACTGAGGAAATCACATAAGGTTTCGGTGAGACTCCGGTCTACTCCCATGCTTATCTCGTGGAGCGGCCGAAGAGCATCGCGGCCGAGCAGACGGGTGATCACCAAGCAAAGCAAAAATAGTCTGAGACGACGCGAATGTGGTGCGGTGGGCATATTAGGATCATTATAACTGCCCGGGCAGATCAAGTGGACTTGGACGCACTCGCATCGGGCCACCAGGTATGGCGTCGCAAAAGCCGTAACTGCTGTACAGTTCAATGGCCAACGCAGCTCAACACCCCGGACAAGACATGGGACTTGATTGGATGACAGATGGAAGGCATGTGATGTGTAATGTGTATGTGTAGCTTGAAGTTACATGTCTGGCATGTGTGGTTGGATCAAGAGCCCGCCCCGGTGGGGGCCATGCCAAGACAGGGCGGACATTGGTTTCCAAGATTCGAAACAGTGGTTGAGGTGGTGTAGGCTCCCAGATGTGGCCCCGACTCTGGATTGAGTTTTGCGATGGTTTCCGTTACCAAACATGGGCAGATCGAGTTCCACATACGTGGACTATCCGAGGAGACACTCAAGTGTCAACTGGTCGGTACCGGTAGATTGGGAGTCGGATATTTGGAATGGGACGCCTGAATGCTTGAACTGATATCGTCTGATGGACCGACTGCAGCGGATGCTTGGACCCTGAGCCCTGAGCCCTCAGCCCTGGGCCCTGCAGTAAAGAAGAATAATGCCGAGCAAAGCGGATTGCAACATGGATGAGCCGCAGCAAGATCTTCCCTACTTTGTATTGTAGTCTAAATGTTCGGAGTACATCGAGATCGTGTACACCGAGCACATGGACGACGACATGCGTGTTCAGAGGATAAGAGATGCTGCTCAAGTGGACATGCAGTAGCAGACTTGTCCTTGTTGTCTCGCTTATGGATGTGGGAGGAGGCTCAACTCATTCATCCGAAGGAAGTAAGACGTGCAGTTGCGTGCAGTCTGACAGTGATAGTGGTACAGACTACTGTAGGGTGAGAGTCAGAACCAGAATAGAACAAAAGTCAATCATGAACATGAACGAACAGGCACAGGCACATGAGAGAATAAGGCCGACGCTTCAGGGTGTCAGGTTGTCCGTAGTGCCTGCCCCTCTACACACCCCTGTGCCCCTCCTTACCTGCCCATCCTGCCCCTCCCCCTCCTTCTCCTTCTCGGCAAGGGCGGACGTTCGAGGTCGTTACGGCTGCATTCGGCTAGCAGGGTTTGATCGGGCCGCCTTATCTTATCAGCCATCCCTGCGACTATCACCCAAGCGACACTTTGTGTGCCCTGCAGTGCCCTGCAGTGCCCTGGAGTCTGGCGGTGCCCAGGCGTGCCCTGGGGCTTGGAAGGAGACCACTGGGCGACACCTCGGTACTATGGGCCGATTTTGCCTACAGGGGTACATCTTGGCCCTAGCAAATCATGCGTGATGGCAGGTACATACCGTGATACCGTACCCACAAGCAAAGGAGAAGTGATTGACGTATGTTGTCTCCAAAAGCTAGTGTACTGGAGTACTACTGCCACCTATCTCATATCTACCGACGGAAGGGAGGCCCAAGAGCCAAGTGCTCGGATTTTAGATGTCCCACACCTCTCAGATCTCCAAACTCCTAGACCACCTCCAAATCTCTGACCACTGATCACTGACCACTAGCCATTGACACCTTGTCCTCTGGCTGCATGCACCCTGGCGGCGGGATGAACGTCAGTCAGTTGTTGTCGTCCTTCCAGCCTTCTCGCTCTCGCCTCGTACGTGTTGTCCGTTTGATATAGACATGGGATATGGGTACCATACCCTGCATCGCACTGTCAGGACTGTCAAGAGGGCCCATTTCTTGAATTGTCCCGCTCCGAATTCCCGCCGAACTCCCGCCAGCCCCAGACCCAGCCTGGTCCAGCCCCAAGGCCGGTACATGATGATACCGCACAGCCTGACTACCGCGATGTAGCAATGCACCCAGAATTGCCTGCCAGAGTACATCCTGGTGACTACTCTGGTACCAGCGAGGTAGTCTACCGCTCATCACACACACTACGTACACACAAAGACTAGACCACTGTACAGCACAGTAACTGTATTAATCGTTCGTCTTAAGAATTCTTCGCCTGAGGCCCATCTCCCGCTCCTCCCCTCCCTGTCCCTCCTCCCCTTGCACCTCCCCCTGCCCTCCGTCTCACTCTTCCCTTGTGCCGAGAGAATGCGGTAAAACTTCCACCGGCGGGCCCACCTCAACGGTGCGAAGACGAAACGGGGACAGAACCAGAGCAGAGCCCACATCGCTACCCTCGTGATCCCATCGAGTCAAGAAATACCTCCTAGCCCGCAGTCTACAGTACAGCCGATGATCCCATATACACGCATGTGCTAGACAAATTTCCCCCCACCTGGCCCGTCGCCTCTGCCCCAGATTAACTCTCCTTGGCTCTTCCCCTTCCGAGAAATATCCTTCGGATGCCATCGTGTTACACAGTGACATAGCGGCCGACCACTCATACCTGCCTCTCTTTGTTTTCTGGTCTCGTCCCGGCTCATATCTTCTGCAAAACCCTGCCCACCTGCTCAGTTCATAAGAGTGGCTTCCTGCACATAAATCGTCACCAGCAGACTCTGATCAAACCCAAATCAACCCGTCCATACTGCCGTGAGAGCATCAGTCAAAAGAGAAAAAAAGTCCACATGGGGTCAACCGGCTCGCCGGCGCCAACGCGCCCGCCCATCTCCTCTGTCCTGCCCCCTTTGATACTAGGCACAGCAACATTCAACACCCAGTATGTCGACGACCCGGCCAAGATGCCATACAAGTCCATCGTCTCCCGTGCACTGGAGCTGGGAATCAACGCATTCGACACCTCACCTTACTACGGCCCATCTGAGATCCTCCTGGGTGATGCTCTCCACCACAACACCGTCCCCAACAGCGCCAACACCAAGATCCTCGATTCAGACTCTCAGATATACCCTCGTGACAGTTACATGATCCTGACAAAGGCCGGCCGCATATCAGGCAATAGCTTCGACTACAGTCCCGCGTGGATCCGTTACAGCGTCCTGCGCAGTCTGAAGAGGCTACACACCCCTTACCTGGACCTGGTCTACTGTCACGACGTCGAGTTTGTCTCCCCAGCCGAGGTTCTCGCTGCCGTGAAGGAGCTGCGCCGTCTGCGTGATGAGGATGGTGTCATTCGCTACGTCGGCATCAGTGGCTACCCGGTCGATGTGCTCTGCGAGTTGGCCGAGATGATATATCGCGAGACAGGCGAGGGCGTTGACGCTGTTATGAGCTACTGTCACTGCTCAGTGCAGAATCACCGCCTGGTGGAGGGCTTCATGGAGGACGAGGACGAGGAAGTGAACAACGCGCCTATCACAAACGGTAACACGAGCCATCTCCCACCGCTCGTGCGGCTGAAGCGCGCTGGCGTATCCACCGTCCTCAACGCCTCCATGCTCGGGATGGGCCTCCTGACCACGCGGGGCGTGGACCACGGGCCCCAGGCCGCCTGGCACCCATCGCCGCCTCCGCTGCGCAAGGGGTGCGCCGACATGGCGGCGGCCGCGACGGCAGAGGGCGAGAAGTTGGAGCGGGTGTCGATCCGTTGGAGCTTGGACACGTGGGCGCGGGCGGGAGCGCGGTCTGGGCTGGGCGTCAGCCTCAAGGGCAAGGGCAAGCATGAGAGCCTGAGCGACAGCAACAGCATCGGCGGCAGCGTCATGGGCATCACAACGCTGGCGGAGCTTGAGGAGACCTGGGGCGTCTGGCTGTCTGTGCTGGCCGAGAGCGTGCCCGATGTACAGCTCGGCGGGGACGACGACCGCAACGGCATCGCGCGCGAGGCGTCGCAAGATGTCGTCGTCGTCAACGGCGACAGGGACCTACAGACCGCGTCGCTGAAGCGCTGCGATCAGGTGCGACACCTGGTCCGCGAGAAGCTCTGGCCACTGCTCGGCCAGTGGCGCAACCACAGCTGGCCATCCGGCCTCGAGGAGGAGGGTTTTACGAACACGAGGCGGCCTGAGGACGCGGGCAAGGTGCCGTTGGATGATGGAATAATTGCCGAGTACGAGGCGAGGAGGTAGCTTGTGCCTTTAATGATGTGATTTCGGGCCTTGGGAGAGAGGCAAGGCGTACTTGTACACGACAACTGGGTCTACGAGGCATTTACGACGACTCTTGTCTTTGTTTGGCAGCGGCATATACATTACATTGCTGGTATGAACCGGGCGATAGAATACACATACAGAGACGACTACATTTTAGCAGACCACTGAGTCAATGAACGCTTGTACTCTTTGCGCTGAGGGCTCATGTTGAGCGTCCGTAGAGGTCCTCCCAGTATGTGGACACCGCTTTATTCGTTGATGACTATGAGGAGATACTGGCGATCCTCATTCACGTAACTCGGGGCTAAGCTATAAAGGTGACAATGCCCCGATAGGACGGGTGTGAATCCACTTTTGGAAAGCTGCTGTGCATCTTTCACCTCGTCGTTTTCTCTTCTGTGACTTCGGTTTCGCATGGTGGTTGTTAGCAAATTGCCGTAAGTGGTGCAGTATTACGTTCTTTCCGTCTCACACTTCTTGTCAGAGAAGCAACTACCAGCTTTTTACGCTGCTGTCTCAAGCAGGCCGATTCCGTGGAAATTGCTAACGCTTGAAAGAACTCGCAAATCGGGCAGCTGTCACCCACACTTCGCCGCTAAGATGAAGAGCGAACAGCGTCAGCAAACTCCACTCCTCGAGGAAAAGGTAGACAACCGGATACAACACTCCTGCCTCTGACAGGCCATTAACTCTGCCGACGCTCCCGGACTTGACGCGCGCCGTAGCAGGGAAGAGGTGCGGAGGCTGTACTTTAAGTAGGCAGAGTCACTTTTCGCCGCGTTCGAGACCACACCGATGTCCACACACCCTTGCGTCTGACCAGCTATGTACGGTGGCGGTGTTCCACTGTTTATGCAACGGTCAAACCCCATCACTGTCCGAACCGTCGACGTACCTAATCGTCATATGCCGCTGAATCACTATAAGTGAACGAGAACAGTAGTCTCAGATACGATGCCAATCCGGATCAGTATCCAAATACGCGACCGAAACGAACCCTTGGAAAGGCGACATGATCTACGCCAAGCCTTGGATCACCAGAGCCTCCTCAGCATCTCTAATCACTGACTAAGAAACCATCCGAATCTCTAAATCGCAAACTTTCCAGCGCCACGGTCGATCAGCATGCCTGCCAGCTCCTTTTAGTTGGTTTAACAGCGTCTTTGGATACCCGTGGAGGCTGTTCTTGTTCGCGCTGATACGTGGGTAGATTACTTGAAGTGTGCGTCCTTTCAACGTGGCAGTCACCTGTCCGGCCCAGCATCGCCAATCTACTCCGTCCAAGCACTTATGACCAAGTGAGCAGGCCAAACGACTTAATGCTCGAACATCTATTCAACACGTCGCCAAGATACTACCACCTCGGCTCTATTGATTCGACGTTGACCAACATGTCGGCATGCGAGTACGTGACCAGCAACTGGTGTTTCCTCCATAGAACATCCATCTGTATATCACCACCGGCGTAGACATTGTCTCTCCTCGAACGGTGGATCCTCGAGACCTCAGCAATCTCCATCGAGATTCGATCGTACTAGACGGTGGGCGCGCCGCGAATCAAAGTCCTGATCAACACTGCCATTCTTCTCAGCATTAGCACGAGCCTCTGCATTCCATACGTCCGCCCCGCGCGAAATTTCTCCATCGAGATCCCTCTTCATAGTCATGAGACGCGTCGAGGCGATTCGCTCGCGCCTCTGAAGATCCACCATTGAGCGTGCCACCGTGCGCGATCGTACCCGGACGATCTACCGCCTGACATCTGGATCGGCCAGCGCCGCCTGGCTTCGACCAAGTGATAGGCCGGACTAGCAGCGGTCCGCGCCGATGAGTCTATGAGCGCAATTAGGCGATCTTCGTCCCCAACACGCACGAGCTAAACGCTACGTTGCTTCGCTTGGTCTTTGCCTCCTCGTAAGGCTAGCTGTTCATCACGAACTACGATCATGGAGCAATGGACAAGCCTCATTTCGCAACTGTGCTCGATCCACGTCTACGGATCTCTGTAACTGATCGGCTCAATTCTGGGCGTGGGCGTTTTGTAGCTCTTCGCAGGTAATATTGTACGCAAAAAACAGAGTATCCCGTAGCATCACGTAGGCCAAGTTATCCGTCCAGCACTACTTGATTTGCAAAGCCTATCCTTTCTTGGAGACTTGGTGTCTTTCCGTCGTTGTGGTGGACATCCGGCCGTGCTGCCAGCAGAGCTCTTGCCATGTCAGCCAGGCACAAGCGATGTCAAAATCACACGTCCATCTCATTACAATCGTCTCAACTACGGCCGGCGAAACAGTGCATGAATTCTGGCCCGCCAAAGACGGCTAATTCGAATACCATGAACTGTTGGAATTGTTTGTTCATTATTTTTAATGCATTTCCACTCATTCCAGTAGACCTTTTCTTATGTACTAATTTTACGCCTTTCATTCTAGTGCGGTAGATGCAATCTACACTGCTCATATGGATTCCCAATGTGACCAGTATGTAGTAGTCCCTCTTGTAGGATAACCTCTCTGTGGGGTACTCTCTATGGCGGAACGTTTGACTCCCTGCAGGACAACCTGCGATAGGATAGCCTTCTACGGGACAGTATTTACGTAGCTAGGTGTTGTCCCTCCTAAATTCCTGTGGAGGAAGGCAAGGCCCCTGTCAGCCTCCGGCAATCGGGAATAATCACCTTACTCGCATAGTACAGATGGTTATTTCTCTCAGCAATCCCTTCATCTCCGCCACTGTGAATTCAAATGCAGTCCTGAGCCAATCCAGCTTGCACCAACAGTAATCATGGGCGAGTGTCCGGTACACCGTGCCTGCGGCCGTTGTTGGTCGACAATTGATTCCGATCACACAAGCACCAACTTGTCGTCCTGATAAACCGCGACTCTCTCTCCATCGCTGTCCCCATCACCGTCCTCGCCAACACTACTAGCCTTGTCCTCACCATCATTTTCCTGACCACTATTCTCATCCTCCTCATCAGACTCATACCACACCCTCCTTTCATTCTCCGGCGGATGTAGGACACGCTCAAACCCCCGGCTCCCCTCGGGCTGGTACCCCAAGACCCAATCGAGTCCTTTTCGGCCCATAGAAGCGCCAGACGCGCGCGCGTACTGGTCCAGCATATCGTACCGCCGGAACCACAGCTCCCTGCCCTCACCTCGCAGCAGCCAGCGGGTCTGCAATGTCTTCAGGAAGCAGTAGACGGAGCGGTTGTGCTCCGCGAAGCGCTCGTTCTCCTCCTCCAGGTCCTCATCGCTGTCCTCCTCCAGGTTGTACCGCACGAGGTACTCGGGCACGACGTCATGGAGGAACTCGGATATGCGCAGCGTCTGCAGCGATGCCGGGATCAGCCGCTCCAATTCCGCCTCCGGGTTCTTCCTCATGTCGTCGACCTTGTCGTTGAAGTGATCGGCGGTGTCAAAGAGGGCCTGCAGCGAGACGGTCAGGTGCGTCAGGTTCGCGAGCCCGCTGAGCGTGGTGAGGCGGCGGGCGGCGCCGAAGTAGTGACCCTGGACGCCGTCGTAGTGACGCCACTCCCAGTCCAGCGAGAGGGTGCGGAGGCCGCTGCCCGTGGACTCGAGGAAGCGGTTGAGGTCCCATTTCTCGGAACGGGCAAATTCACAGACGGAACTGCATCGCCTGCCTGGGCTGTCGAAATACAGAGTGTGGAGCTTTGATGGGTGGAAGATGGGCTGCGACAGGCTCATGAGGTCCCATTCTGCTAGGGCTGGGGAGTTTGGGTGCGTTGTCTTCGTCCCGAGAGACTTAACGTACTTCCCTGGCCGAATTTCATCTTCCTTCTCTGCATTCACGAGATAGGCCCCCCAAGTACGAGTTTCCGACTCTATAACGAGGCGCACTAGAGCGGGAAAGTGAAGGATAATGAAATCTGGTGACAGCCACTTGAACGTGCTGAACGCTTGAGACCAAGGAGAGCTGACGAATATCGCCTCGCTCGGTGCCATTAGGGTGATGCGCAGCATGGTCAGGTGCTGCAGAACGAGGTTCTTGGTGAATGGTCCGCCAAGAAGGTTCGTTTGCGGGATGTTGAGAACCCGCAGCTGAGGCACGAGCTCCAGAATGAGCCTCAGTAGGCAGCCACCAAGGTATTCACCACATTCTGAAAAGATCTCCTCTGGTAGAGCCCCTTGCGGAATAATAGAAAAAGGATACCCGAATCTTGTATTGGTTGTGTCATGGGAAAAGGCGAAGGCGAAGCGTGACGCGATCATCCCCAAGTAAGTGGGCATTACGATCTTTTTTATGAGAGGTCGCAGTCCGGTATGGGCCAGCAAGGTGAGCAGGAGTTTCCCTGGTGATTTGGCGGTTGTGAGGTTTGCGCAGCGGTAGAGGAGGGTCGTGGCGGCCATCTTAAAACTGCGGCAGACAAGGGAGACACTGAGCAAGTCCTTGCGATCGACGGCTGCGGTGCAATACCCCTTGATAGTCTCGCCTTCTTCGTCTGGAAATGTAAGCATGGCCGGTCGAATGAGCGTTGGAATGAGGAGGTGCCCGAACACCTGGAGGAGGAGCTCCTGTGGTAGTGTCTTGATGGGTGGAGTGTCGAGGCGAAGTTTGTTGAAGGAATGAACGAGGCTTCTAATTGACGTTCGACGCTCTCTGGGCTTTTGGCGCTCTTGATCCTCTTCGTTGGGAGCGGCGAGAGTAAATACCATTTTTCGCTTCGAAGGAGGCTGTGCCTCAAGCAGGCCAGCATTGTCACGCGTGCGTTTTGGCATGGTCCGAGAGGTCTCTCACCTGGAGGACAAGAGAGGATGTTTCTGGTTAAACTCGATCTTGGCTGGTGGTCAACCGCACGTTTGTTGATGAGTTTGTGATGTCCAAGATGCGAAAGTCTGACAATTTGCAGACTGGTGGTGACAGGAATGACAGAATCGCAGGCTGTGACAGGTTGACTGGTACTTTTGTCGAAGTGAATTTCGCATGAGGTTTGTCCCAGCTCTGAAAAAGCTCAGGCTCATACATCCAAAGTTTGCAAGGAGAAGAATGGTTGGCTTCCAAAGAATTGCAACCATGTGTTGCATTGCGAAGGAATGTCTTCAGACATGCTTGTAAAATTCAGATTCTCCTACTCCTTGCTTGTTCTCGATCAAAACTAAGATGCCATCTGACCATTTCAATTGTGTCTTTCTTTGATGAGTATATTTGAAAAGGTACCTCTTGCATTTCTCATTTATCTCCACTGGAATTGAGCAGCACTGCTTTAGAGTACTGGGTTCAATCAAGCGACTGAATTTAATGTTTGTCCTGATACTCTGACAGGATTAAGCTTTTAACATGAGCATTCAGTGCTCAAGCAGGCGCTCCATACGAGGGACAAATTAAGATTATCAATTAAGATGAACTGCTTCTATTGAAGCAAGCATTGATGTGTTTTACGTCCTTGAAGGAAAAGATAGGAAGAAAGATATTTACCAGCAGGTAGACAAAATATACACAATCTGTGTTGTTTTAGCCTAACACAGGATCATAGAGTGGTCCAGAAAACAAAGCCTCAGGGCTCAAAATGCGTCGCAAAAGTCCTAGCAAAGGTAGAAGACGGGAAAGCACCCATTGAAATGTTGCTCATATTACTCAGAACGAGTCAAGGTGGACTATGCCGCTAAACTCAACACTCTAACAATGGTTGGGTATCAAATCTTTCTATATTGCATGCATAAATCAGACATTCAAGCAACAGCGCCGCCCTTGGCAGGCGCCCAATTCCTCAGCCATTCCCTCCCCTTGTCCATATTTGGACCCTCTGCCTCAGCGGCAGCAATACACCACTCCAGATCCCAGACGCCCTCCGAAGCCAGCACCTCCGCAACCATGCGGCGTTTCTGACCGCCCTCATCCACGCAGAAGTACATGGGCTTACTCCGGTCATCCACTTCAGCAACAAGCGGCTTGACCTCCTGTATCAGGCCAGCCGCGCCTCCAGCGGGGGCCTTGGGCTCTGCGCCCAGGTTCTTCCTCCCCGTCTTGCACCACTCATTAGCACACCAGGCCTTGTTGCAACCGGCCATGAGCTGCGTAAGGTAGCGGCGCTCGATACGGCGCCGGAGCGCCTTGCCGTCCGGGTCATGCATGGACGCGTACAGCGGGCTGAAGCAGATCGAGCAGAGGCCCAGGTCGTTACCCGGGCCCTGCCCCATCCGCGTGCCCGCGCCGATCTGGCCCCGGGGCCCAACGCCGTGCAGCGTGCGCCCGCAAAGCTTGTCACGGCAGATCTGCGGCGCCTCGCGGTACTTCTTGTCGAGCTCGTGGTTCGCCGTGTGCGCCGCCATATCCCGCAGCCGTATTATCTTTCCGCAGAGGTGGCAGTCTGTCGTCCGGGCGCCGTCCGCCCGCTCGTGCGGTGTGAGGCCTGAGATGGCTGTTTCGGCCTCCGAGGCGGGGTCTGTCGGGTCGCCTTCCTGTGGGACTTCGAGGTGGCAGAATTGGCAGAGGATGAGTTTGGATGGGCAAACTGTGGTGTGATGACGAGCGAGGAGTGGGAGGGATGGAAAGGTCTGGTCAGGCCCGCAACTTGAGCAGGTGTGTGGTGTGTGAAAGATGGAATCATGCTTGGATTTGCTTTCAGCGGAGCTGCCGTAGCTGTCATCGCGATCGCAGTGCCAATGATTCTGCCACTCTAGAGAGCGCTTCTGGAAGACGTTCTTGCAATGCGGACAGACCACATTATTCCGCAGGCAGAAGTTTTCGTGCATGAACATGGTTCGTTTTGGTACCCACTGGAGACAGTTTTTACACTGCTCATCGTCCGCGGTGTATTCTTGCGCATTTTCGGCCGTCGTCGAGATTGCTTCGTCCGAGGCAGCCCGAGCCCTTAAAGTGAAAGGTCTTGGGGTCGCGGTTGAGGAGGGTTGATCATTAAACGAGTGTCCATGGACAGATATCCGCAATCCATCGGCGCCGTCTAACTCGACGTTCCGAGGGGACAATATGATCTTCTTGGCTCCTTGAACTGGCGTCGAAAAGTCTCCGAAAATGTGCTCGGAGTCGCGAGGTGGGACGCGGGAGCGCGCAGATCGAGGGCTGACGAAGAGGTCGATCTCATGTCCGTCCTGTATCCCACTCAAACCTATTTCCAAGTCGCAGCTCTTGTCCCAAGAATCCAATTCGTAATCAACATATTCTCCTTCTACAACCTGGCCTTGGACTGGTTTCCAGATATCGATTGTTCCACCGACTGAGCTGCCATCAGCTGTCCCTGGCGCGCGTTGTGCCTTGGCCATGATCTGACGCACAGTTTCACGAGCTTGCTCCTCATTGAGAGCCTCGATATCCACTTGCAAGTCCGTGTCTACAACACAGATTCCGTCTCCTTCGGGCTCGAACTTGTCCACTAGAAATTGAAATGTCTCGCCTTTCACGCCACGAACTGATAGTATGGCGTCCTTGGTCAATGTTGTGAATGCGCCGCGCATGTGGCGCTCCAGCAGTGCCTTCCAGTCGTCTGGGTTGTAACCAGCTTCCAGCGGCCGCAGCCGAACATATGTGCCTTTGGGGAGGAGTTTGGCGTCGACCCTGATGGGGGCCCCTCCAGAGTTGCCATTTGTCCCCGTTAAGTCTACTGCATTTTCCACCTCGTGCCCGTCTTTTAGATCCGCCGAGTTGATGTCTAATGCCTCCAGCAAGTATGGACTCAGCGCCACCTGGCCTTCTTCGGCCGAGAACTCCCGTATTCCAGCATAGACCGTGTTGCCGTTTGCGGGATTCACGAGGCGGAACATGAGAGGGTTCGGTAATTGACCGGTGAAGCCCGCCAAAGAGTCTGAGTACTCGGGTCTTGCGGCACGTGCGTAGGGATTTGAAGGATCATATGCTGAACCGAGGTTGCTGGCTTGTTTGGTTGACTCGGAAAGGAGGTTTTCGAGGGCTGACTGGGGGAGGCGGATTTTGTCGCCCTCGAGGCCTATGGATGTGCGCTCGGAAGGAGAGGCAACATTGTAGGATGCTGACCACTGGAGGCTGATGGGTTGGTCTGCCATTTCGTCCGGTCCGTATGGAAAGGGGATTGGGGAAGTCTGCAGCTAAGGTTTGTGGACGTCAGACAGTCGCAGATGGATGGGAGGAAAGAGAGGTCGGAGACGGTGGCGACTGGTCGAGAAGATGGCTACGGCGATTGACGGCGAGCATGGCAAAGAGAACAAGCAGGTCAATTATGCCATGCCGTAAGATGACGGTTAGAAAAGTTGAGGATTGAAACGAAATTGTTGTTTGCTCGGTCAGCTTTGTTGGACAAATTCATGGATGTTTCTCTCGAATTCCATCCATCTCTAATGGCAGGCGGCCCGAGATGCAGGCAGATCTGCTATCGTCATCTTTTCCTTGGGAGTGGTGTTGGATGCGTGGGGGCAGGCAAACGGTCGGCGCCGACTTCGGCAAACGGAGGCGAGCAGTTTCGATGACATAAACTCTGGACTGCAAGGTGCCCTTCCGCTATCTCCGTGGGCTAGACTACAGTAACAGTACAGTAGTGTCTTTCCTTGAGAGCAATAACTGGCGTGAGTGGGTGGGTGAGTGCGTGAGTCAAGCAGCACTCAGCACTGCAACAACAGCCAACGACAGGCCATGTTCCATCTGATGGATGGGTGTGATACATACGATCACCGGCCTATTCCTGTCTGATGCTCCCTGTCACTGTCACTGTCACGCCTGTCTCTACCCCACGGCGCCTGGGCGTTTCTATCCATCTCAGGGTTGCACTCACTCGGCGGGCCGTCGTTCCCTTCCCCTTCCCGTGCATGTCGGTCTCGCTCTGTCTGACTGAAAGGGTCCAGCTTGAAACAACTCTGAACAGATATCAGACCAGGGTCCAGTTCTGAGTAGCATTCAGTCACTCAGTCACTCAGTCAGTCACTCAGTCACTCAGCCCGCCGCAGTCATTTCAGCTCAGCACGCACCCACTGCAGCTGCAGCTCGACTGCATACTTGCTCATCTATCTCTACGGAGTATCTCATCTTCCCCGCATCATTTCAACGACCCGCGACCAAAAAAAAGTATATGCCAGATGTTGCAGGGTACCTCAAGTGCCATTCGTTAAACGATATCTGACTCTTTGAGCTTGTAAGGTCATTCGCCCAGCATCTCGTCCTGCGGGGAACGAGGGCTCCCCGATGAGGCTGTCCTGACAGTGCTGACGCCGCGCCAAGCTTGCCTGGACAAGCTGAAGTATCTGGACCCGACTAAAACCAGCTGCATCGAGAAACAGGCTCGACAGGAACAGCAACCCATTCGGTCTTCTATTCGGGGGATCGACACTCATCCCTTACCCGGGCCCAAAACTTCCATTGAGTGCCAAGTCGCTCCCAAGCCCTGCCAAGCTGGAGCTTGGTCCTCTGTCTCTCGATCCGTTTGGTTGGGGAGCCGTTGAGCCCACTTCAGCCAAACGTCTCACAGACTAAGAGGTGACATCCAGCCTGCATTGCCGTCTTGGGTCGGAGAGCGAACAAGCACGTCCAGGACGACAGCTCCTCAGGCGCCTGCAACGCAACACAACACAGCAACTCTGTTCTGCATCTCCAGTGACACAACAAATAGGATCTCCACGCCGCGTCTTTAATATCTCTCACCGCTCTTCATCGGTCCTTGCCGCATTCCGTCTTACACAACACCACCGCAGTGCACCCTCCGTGAACTACTTGAACGCTTGAACCATCCCCCGGACCTGTCAGCACTATCCCCGAGACACCCTCATATCGTTCGAGCCTCCTCTTTCATATCCGACAACATCCAAGCCCGGTCGACGCGTTAACGGCTTCTTTGCGACCCGCCCTCCCTCTGGCGACGCCATTTCAGCTCCTGCATGCTTCATATCAGGCGCATCTGCCCTACCTGAATCGCCCCATGTATCTGCCTCTGACAGCTACAGCTCTCTGCGAGGCTCGATCGCACCAGAGCAACCACCTAAGCGGCGACTCAGGTGTCAGGCGTATTCTTGCCCCTTTTTTGGAGCTTTTACCGGCGTCCACCACCGGTGGCGCCCGCCCTGCATCGACTGCATGTAGCGACCCCGCAATGACTCCGATCAGCCACGACCACGGCGGCGGCAGAGGTGGCGGCGGCGGCGGCCAAGTGCTGCCCGACGAGATTCAAGAGGGCACCTTGCTCTTCTTCCTTTCCAACCCTCTGCTACTCTCCCTGACTGTTGATTATTTGCCGCCTTCATCCACTGTGAGTCTCGCGGCGACCTCCCGGGCCTTCCGGAGCTTGATACATCATACACCCGGCGTGTTTAGACGGCTCGACCTCACTCAGGTCAAGTCTGCCCAGTTTGATATTGACCCTATCGACCAAGGGGGCGAGGTATGGCGGAACGTACAGCTCGACGAGAATCTGACAGAAGACGAGTGAGCATGACCTTCATCCTGTTTACGCCAAGCTAAGTACTGATATCGCGGAAATAGCTTCTACTCCGGCCCCTTACGTGGCATATTCGGGGCCCTCCGTAGACAACAAATCCTGCGAGATGTGTCGACACTAATTTTAGATGGGTTATCGGTTACTGCAGAATTGGTTCACGAAATTATTAGCGACCCGTCGTACTCAGTTCGCATCCTCTCACTGCGAGAGGTGAAGAACCTGAATGAGCCGAAGCTGAGAGCAGCCCTGCAAATGGTAGTCCGCCCAAGCCGGCCGGAAGGGACACCACGACTCAAGGGTTTGTACATCTTCGGCGCCAAGGACCCGCCTTGCTTGACCGTGGACACCGCCGCGATTGGGAATGGAGGCAATGCCACGGCTGCTGGCTGGAACCAACGTTCGCACCAAGCCCTGTCTGAGGACTTACACCAGCCAAGCGACTTGTGGTATGATCGGAAAGGCACGGTGGTCCCACGTCCTGTTCCAATGGAGTGGGCATCCACAATACTTGCCTGCGCCGGACTGATCTCTTTCGATGCGGTTTTGTGTAGGGGCCCAAGACATTTTAACTCACCTGCATTTGGTCAAGTCAACATTGGCCCGAACAATCCTCCCTCGCCCCAGGTTCCCTCGAGCTGGGCAGTCGCGACACATGCGCTGGAGGGGTGCGCCGGCTGTGGCACAGCACCAGAAGGATGGACAGTCTGGGGCGAATCGTCCGGCATGGATGGAGACGACGACACGTCCCGGTTCCCTCTCCTTGCACCACCGCCGGTGCACAGCAGCAACACCAAGGTGGCTTGCTGTCCGTCAGGAGCCGACCTGAAACCGTCGCGAAGCGGCAGGTCGAACGAAACTGAACAGAGACGCTTCCTTGCCAGGTGCATGGAGTGTCTTCGCGACCGCTATTGCTGGGGCTGCAACAAGTGGTGGTGTGAGAAGTGCTACGTCCCTGGCCAGATGGACTCGCACGTCGATGGACTCTACTACAAGGTACGAGATGGTCTCTGTGACGAGTGCGTGGGAGTAGACGACGAACTCTTCGGTGGCCGCCTTTCCAACACCCCACGCTCCGAGACGTGAGATCGTGTGGCTGGTGCGGAAACATGCCCTTCGGGAGTGCGAGTGTCGACTCCAAAAACACAACATACGGCCTTCCCTCATCAGATCGCCCCCTGTCACAATCCTGAGGCCGACGAAATTGTATGCGATGGTTATGCCCCCTGCTTGCTACTGCATGCAGATTACTTGCTTCCCCATCCCCTCAACCCTGACAATGTGACGGAGTTCATACGTCTTTGTCCGAGACTTAGCTGACGCGTCTCGCCATCCAGGCTCGAATGGCGAAGAGTTGCTGGGAGTGTGGCAATAATGTAAGTAACATCGATTGTGATGACCGGCCGAGAATATGTCCGGGTCCGCGGCTAATGTCTTGGCGATAGTGCTCGAACTGTATCGAACGAACGCAGCGAGTATGTCGCAGCTGTCGTGGCGGCTACTGCATCATCCACAACGAGGGCTCAACAAGTGAAAAATGTGACTGTAAGTCTAAGTCGATGTCTTCAGGGGTCTGAGCTCATAGCTGAACTTTCTCCTCTAAGGGTGTTCTTCCCGTCGTCCTTCGCGCCGTACCCGGCTGTGTTAGCAGGCCACGTATGCTGCCACATGTGCCAATTGTGCTCGTTCGATGCTGAGCCCATCCGGTGGTGATGTTTCAGGGCTCCGGTATGTTGGCGACAAACACCTCCAGGATCTTGCGATGAGTTCATGGTGTTTGCGTGTCTGTTGGACTGGCACGGCTCCACCTTGAACGATGCTGCTGCAGACGAATGATCCTGCGAACCTTCGAGGGCCCCAAAGGTATACGACCCACCAATGGTGCAGCCTCGGGATCCGCGGCATTAAGAGCAATGTCGCCTTGACGGAGCCGACGGAGGAAGTAGTCCGTCAACGTGAGAGTGAGACCCATGGTTGTCTCCAGTGGTGGGCAGCGGCCAACTTGGCAAATTGATCTGGAAAGCAGTGAACGCGTCTCCCTTTGTCTTGGCACATCTATACCCACACAGTCTTTTGGATATGTACGTTTCAGGCTCATATGGCATCCACATCGGTCGGCGTCTCATTTGGCAAGGAAGCGAAGCGTACTTCATGTATCAGCCGGCGTTAATGTCATCGCCGGCAAAATCTCGACTTAACCGTGTTAGCATTACAATCTCCCAATCGAATACCACTCCCGTCCTCCACCACAGCGGCCCCATGTTCCGGCGGCTAGTCTCCCGCTCTCCACAAATTTATTTCTCCGTGCACGGCATACTCCATGTATCCTCAGGGGTGCTCGCTACGACCTTAATGAAGAGGCAGGTGCATCATGCAACGAATCACCTGATATCAATGCCCCAGAGGTTCGTCCAAGGATGCGTATGTGCGCCGGTTCGCTATGGTATGCCAAAGTAACTTTTATATCAGTGTCGATGCTTTGCTTCGAGCCGTTTCAAGTTTCGTCATGTGTTTGAAACGAAGAACAGGCGAATAAACAGTTCATTCCAACTTTTCGGACTGATCAGGCGGCGACGGAGAATAAGGAGGTGCCGAGGCACATGGTGAGAGTCCAACGAGTATCAATCCGTTGATGCCTCACACATTTCGGCATGGCCTTTCCAAGCCTCGTTGCATATCACAATGGAAAAAGCATGTGATGCCATACCCTTCTAACGAGCTGCCATATTCGTCCATACACTTCGCATAATCAGATGTGGATCACCACCAGACAGAGCCTTTGTCCACAACGGCCGTGTGGATTTTGGACCTTGCCGTCTTGGGCAGTCCTGAAAACCAACCTATGGGCCTGGAAGACGGTGCGAGAGATTGTAGAATGCCACCGACGAATTGCATCGTTCTTTAGTGATGCAGGTGTACATTCATGACACTTGCCAAGAGAGCGCGGACGCACGCAATATCCTACTGCCAAAGGAGGAAGCCAAGACGAGGACAGAAGTGTCCGTCCTCATTCTTGGGCACTTTTTCATGGCGAGTTTTAAGGGATGTGGTGGGCGCGACGCCGTCTATATGCCATTCCTGCTCGGTACGTGGAGTATTTCGGCGAGGACCTGGGCGCCGCCAAGGCCGGTGTTCTAATTCATAATACGTGATTGGCCTAACGGCACAGAAAGCTTACGACGCCCTCCAGGGCTGCTCGCATGCGGCTCCGGGACATCCCCCACCACCCGCATCCTTGCGTGCCGGCAACCTAGTATTCTCATCGAATCACAACGCCTCTTATTCTGTTTACGCGTCAACGTTTCATTGTTCACCACGGGCCTGGTCGAACCTCTCCCTGCCACCCTTGTACCATGGAATATGACGAGAACATGCGGCCTCGCTCTCGCAGCCAGGAACACCCCCCAATCACTGCCATCTGATTGCTCATCTGCCGGGGCAGGGTGCCTAAAGGGGCATGTTTGAGCAGTATGCTTATATTATACATCTTATGGATCTCGGGGTACTCCAGAACCAGATCTAGGGTTGTAGATCATCCGCAAGGTCACTTGTCAAAATGTCTAGGCCCATGCCTGACCGGTGGCCCACCGTCACTGTGACCTATGGTGTTGTTGCATAGGCCGACATGGTAGTGAAGTGCTGGCCTAGATTATGTCGTGTATAGCACCTGCCCCGTATGGAAAGGTCTTTCTGATTTGTGGCATTGAGCGCAACATTCCGCCTCCGGGCGACCAAGTGTCGTCAACTAGCCTGGCGGCTCAAGTGATGTCTTGGCAGGAGGCGATCAACAGACATGACGAAGCAGGGAGGGTAGTCGAGGGGAAGAATTTTGAATATATAAACGTAGTCGAGGAGACTGAATGAAGTATCTTTGGTTCAAGTCTTCATCCTCACTCACCAGAGGCACAGACCGAGTCGTTCTCTCAGTTTCTTCCACAGTCTCTACTACCTTCCTCGAGCGAAGTAACTTCACTCACCATGCGTTTCTCCTCCGTTCTTGCCAGCGCCATGGCCGCGACCATGGCCGCTGCCCACCACAACCACGACATCAAGAGGGAGCAGGCTATGCGCCGCACTCTTCTTGAGCACACCAAGAAGGACCTGAGCCACTGTGCTGCGAAGATCAGGAGGAACGGCCTCGAGGCTCGCAATGTCCAGCGTCGTGCGGACCAGGCCGCCGCCCTGATCGAGAAGAAGGGCCTGATGAAGGGTGGTAAGTAGGGTTCTGTTGGCGTGAGAGTAAACATAGTTGCAAAGTCAGAAGCTGACGCCTTGACAATCACAGTCCGTGACCTCTCTGCTCTCAACACCTCTCACTTGTCCCCCGAGGACTACACTCTCGCCACCCCTGAAGAGACCATCTTCGCCAGCAACGCCTCTTGCGTCCTCAGCCCCGAGGTTACTGAGGGTCCTTACTATGTTGCGGGAGAGTTCATTCGCGAGGACGTGACCGACGGACAGGCTGGCGTTGATCTGCACCTGGAGCTCCAGGTCCTGGACGTCAACACTTGCGAGCCGATCGCGAACGCATACACTGAGATCTGGGGTGAGGAATCTCTTCTTCCTCTGGAGAAAACTTTAATACTAAACATCTCTCGCAGCCTGCAACTCCACTGGTGTCTACTCGGGCGTCTCCGCCCGAGGCAACGGCAACTCGGCCACCGACACCACCAACCTGGACGCGACCTTCGCCCGCGGAATCCAGGCGACCGACGCCGACGGCGTGGCCAGCTTCGATACCCTGTTCCCAGGCCACTACACGGGCCGCACGACGCACATCCACGTCCTGGTGCACCTGAACGCCACGGCGCGCGACAACGGCACCCTCCTGGACACGACGGCCTCGCACGTCGGGCAGGTCTTCTTCGACCAGGACCTCATCTACGAGGTCGAGGCCACCGGCGTTTACGTCACCAACACCCAGACGCTGACCCTCAACGAGGACGACGGCATCCTGGCCGAGGAGGCCGCCACCAGCGACCCCTTCGTCGAGTACGTCCTGCTCGGCAGCACTGTCGAGGACGGCCTGCTCGGCTGGTTGGCGTTCGGCATTGACCCCACCCTGTCCAAGAGCGTGAACGCTGCTGCTACTTTGTATGAGACCGGTGGCGTCAGCAACCCTGGTGGTGGCGGTGGTGGCGGTGGTCCCGGCGGTCCTCCCCCTACTGTCTAAGATGCCTGCGTCGTAGAATACTAGGGGTTGGGAGTGTGATGAGGGAGAAGCTCAGTTGGATTTGATTTCGTCTTCTTGATTTCCTTGCTGTTTCTGCTTGCTGCGTTTGCGGCGAGTAGAAAAACAGTTTTATGTCCATAGTTACTTGAAAAAGAAATGCTGTACTTGTCCACCTGCCGGATCACTCCCCGCCGTGTGATCTCCAAACTAACTTCTATCAATTGGTGACGCTTGCGTCTTCTTGAGAAAATGAATCGGGCGCGCCTTCCTTCATGACTTGTCCATCACTCAACGCAAATACTCTATCAAAGCCCATGATAGACTCAAGACTATGCGTGACAGCGACAACCGTGTAATCGGCAAAAACGTCGTGAATGACCTTCATCATGATTTTCTCCGTATCCCTGTCGACGCTGGCCGTGACCTCATCGAGGAGCAATACGCCGCCTTGGCTCCCGTGCTTCTGGCGAAGCCGTGCCCGGATGATAGCAATAGCCAGGCTGAACAATTGCTTTTGGCCTTGGCTGAACACGTCTTTGGTCATCTCTGCTTGCAGTCCGCCGGCGTCTTGGATGATGGTCCACAGTCCAACTTGTTCTAGGGCAGCCTGGCATTCGTCGTCGGTATTTCTAGAGTACGGGTCGAGTGCGGCTTTGAAAGTTTCGCCTCCCGCAAGGAAAACCATGTCTTGAGGCATGGCGATAATTCTCTGCCTGAGAGTATCGCGGTGGATGCGCCGAAGTGGGAGGCCGTCGATAGCAAGGTTTTCCGCTGTCTCGGATGTCGCATCGAGGAGTCGCAAGAGGAGGAGGATCAATGACGACTTGCCACTCCCTGTCCTTCCAATGATGGCGACCTTCTCACCGGAATGAATTCTCATCTGAATCCCCTTAAGAACCAGAGTCCCATCTCCACCATCATCTCTGTACCTGTCTTCCTCATAAGACGCATCGACACCGCTGATCACGATCTCGCCCCTCTCTGGCCAACTCTCCGCCGGTCTCAAGTCCTCGCCCCCCTTGTCTTCCCTCCCAGACTTCTCACCAAAATCCTTCAGCCTTTTCACCGCGCTCAAACTCATCTCAAGATGTATCCAGCTGTGCACACACGCGTTCATCATATTTCCAAGCTCCATCAGCGACACCATTCCCGCGCCGACAAATCCCGCCCGCCCGGAGAACGAAACCACCTGCGTGGCCAGGACCGTGACAGACACAGCGATCGCGGCGACGATCATCTTCAGAACGAGCGCCAGCCACGTCTGCGTCATTTGAAGGAGGTATATGGGCCGCAGGCTGTTGTCGACGTTCGCGTGGTTTTGCGCCGTGTACGCCGCCACCCAGCCGAAGGCGCGGATGGACGCGATACCGCGGATCGTGTCCTGGAACTGTGCGTAAAGGGGGCTCTTGTTCTCGAGGTCCAGCAGGCGGAGCTGCCGGGATGTCTTGAGGTAGAACCGCGCGAGGGAGGATAGGAGCACCAGTAGTACCGGATAGGCCAGTGCCACGAAGGGCGTGCCGATGGCGACCACGACTATCTGGCCTGCTGATGCGAAGAATGCGAGCATGGTGTTCGACAGTGTTTTTGGTAGGAAGAAGTCGATCATGTTGATATCCTGCGAGAAGAGGTTGACCGTGATACCCTGGTCTGTCTTGGTGAAGTATTGCAAGGGGGCGGCCATCAGCGCTTTGACGGCCTTGAGGTGTAGGACTGATCCGCCGACTTGCGCCATGCCCATGTCAGTGCTGGCAACGTAAAGGCCCATGACGATGATTCCGCAAAGCTGGAGTATGGCATAAATGCCAAGATAGACATTGTTGATGTGTGATTGAGAGCCAGGAATGCGGAAGCTGTTGTCAGCCCAATATCTGAGAAACAGTGTGCCGGCGCTCCAGAAAAAGCCCCACATCAAACCTGAGAACAGTACCGCGGAGATGAGGAGAGGGCCAAAGGAGCTGAAATAGTGGGTGTAGACTGCGGCGTCGTTGGACCTACGCGTAGGATCTTTCTCGTCGTTGTGCTCCGTTTGAGTCTCCGTTCCTGAAGGCAACTTGTGTTCTGGGACATTATCTCCTAGATTGAGTTTGTCCTCTTCCCATTCCAGGGTTGATGTCACTTGCTTGTCTGCGAGAACCTCGTCGGGCTCGCCTTGATGCGCCACACAACCTTCTGCATTGAGTGCAACAACCCGTTGGCCAAGAGACAGGTACTGGACAGCATGAGTACACCACACTACAGTGACCTTCCTGCGGCGGAGAAATCCATCTGCCCCAAACAAACGTCCCACAATCTTGTTCGAGGTTAGCTTGTCCAGGCCAACCGTGAAGTCATCCAAGATATAGACGTCGGCGTCGAAATATAGTGCTCGCGCAAGACTGACACGCTGTTTTTGACCGCCACTTAGACTAATTCCACTGCTTCCGATATGTGTGCTATCCGCCCTCGGAAACGAACGTAGATCATCTTTGAGCATGACGGCTTCCAGGACTTTGTCGTAGAGCTGGCCATCAAAAGACTTGAAACCGATTATATTGGAACGTATTGAGGCGTTTGTGAGGAATGGTGTCTGATCACAGTAGCCGATTCGAGGCGATTCCTGGTGGAACTTAATGATTCCCTCTGTGAAAGCAACCTCTCCTAGCAACGCTTTACACAGCGTTGATTTGCCAGAAGCTACTGGTCCCGTCACAATCGTCAGGGTGGACCTCGGAATAGCGACATTGAGACCTTTCAGTTGCCATCGATCCGCAGTCCAACCGAAATTCGCATCCTCCAGTGAAATAGCCACGCTCCCTTCCTCTGTGGCTGTGGCGGACGAAGACTCGAACTTGCGATATTCTGACTTCGCCTTCGTGTCTAGGAATTCCTGAATCCTGCTGAGACAGGCGAACGAGGCTAGAATATCTGGGACCTTTTGGAACAGCTGGGTCAACGGGCTGGTGATCAGCGCCACGTAAGACAGGTTGGAAAAAACCTCAGCCATACTCAGCTGTCTTCCCGCCCAAAAGAACGTGGCCACCGGTGCAAGGAACATGGGCGTGAACGCAGAGGTGATGGAGACGACCAAGATTAACCGGTAAGTGCGACCGACATCCTGCTCGTTCTCTCTGAACTGTTGCAGTAATGCGGTAGTAGAATCCGAAAGACCCGAGATCCTCAGAGACTTCATACTCGCTACCACAGCAGTGGTCAACCTGACCCTCGCCTCTGTACTTTTTGTCCACTTTGACATTGCGGGACCTGCGAACTTCGCGATGAATGACGTGCTCACAACGCTTGCCGATACTACGAGGATCGGCGCGAAAAAGGCGGTCCCCAGCTGTCTGTATAGAAACCATGATGCTAGGATGACCTCGATGGTATTTGCCCAAATGCTATGCATTGAATACATTCCTCCTTCTATGATACGATCGACATCTGTGCTCATGAGCGTCAGGATGTTCGTATCCAGGTTGCTGGTCTTCAGCTCAGTCATCTTCTGGAATATGGCTGTGACGAGGGCACTTCTGGCTTTGCAGACTGTGCGGAAGTGAAGCCATAAGAAGATCGAGCTCGACAAGGCTAATCCAGGGTAGATAATTAAACTAGCAAGGATAAGACCAAGCCCAGTGTTGCGGTTCGAGAGCGGGTCGGACTCCAGGAATTTGATGAGTTGCGCGATGAAGAATGGCTGGCAGAAGGAGAATGCTATCATCGCCAAACGGCTTGGTATGGTCTGAAGCACTGACCAGGTTATGGACTTGAGAAGTCTAAACAGCAATTTCCCTTTGGGCGTTTTCTGTGTTCCTCGCCAAGTCTTCCGGAAGTGCGCGGCTTGGATGTCGGCTGAAAGCTCAGAGTCCAAGGGATAGAGATCACTGGTGTCGAGGATTTTCCTATTGCCCAATACAAGCAAGGGGTTCACCCATGACATGGAAAGCAGGCTATAAAGACCGCTTGTCTCTTCAGGGCTCGCGCCTTCATATGAAGACTTCAGCCAGCGGCTCTTCGGTATTGCTTCCAAAATGGCCAGACCTAATATCACAGCTGTGGCGATGGTGAACAAAATCGAATAGGGCTGGACTCCATAGACCAGCCAAGTTGTACGAGTTCGAACGATGCTGAATATCGTAGTGATAAGAAGGTAGGAATTGAGGAGGAGTGACGTCCTCAGGGACCGGTGATGCTCCAGGTATGATAGAAAGGCTATCATAGGTGAAATGATGGCAGACAGGATGGCGGACCCCAGAATGACTTCATACGCACCATCAGCTGTTTGCCGTGATGAGAAAAAGAGCAGGGCCAGGTTGACCGCGCTGAGAAATGTTATACCAACCTAAACATTTGAATATTCAGCATTCATCTAGAAATACCAGATCCAAACAAGAGTACTCGAAGACACTCACTACTTTGATTGTAGACAGAACAGAACCTCGAATAGAAGCCGGTTTGCCCCGAAGATAACATATTCGATATGAAAACAGAAATAAAAAGCAGGCCGAAGGAACGACTGAGAGAAAAGCGTGTTCGAAGAGAACAGTGAAATCGAAGTCTCCTCGGCAGCCTGACACGACTGGTCCAAGGGTGAAGTCATTGCGGCACTCTTTTGAGACCCCCATGATGGCAACAGGAATAAAATTTCCGCCCAGCCTAAGAGGGTGCTGAAGGGACTCGCGAGACATCAATCCCCCCGAATGATTCAGCGACTCCATGTTTGAAGTGGCGCAGAAATGCGAACAATGACGAGGAGGCAAAAATCTTGTCAACTGCTATGAATCCGGTCAGTGATCAATCGCAACTCATATGCCATCCCGATATTTGAAGTCAGGGAATTGAACAGGCTGATGCCGTCCACGCAGTCTCGCCGGCGAGCCAAACATGGCATTGTGGCCCGGAATGAACCCTTACCGCATCGGGCAAGCAGAATAGGAAGGACGTATGCACGAGCTGACAGGGGCTATATGATAAGTGGAAGTGGTGGGCGTTTCAAGATAGCAGGATGATTTAGGCTGCGAGTCTGACGCGGACATGGTCCAGTACTGTCCCACGTAACCAATTGATGCCTTGTAGCGTGGATATTGTGATGCCTTGTCGCACATGTCCAAGACTGTATTTCGCCTTTTAGAAGGACCTTTGCTATATCAACTTTACTAGTGAAAAAACACCTTCACGCTTGGTGGGGAGATTGCGAGAACATTATTGCGGAACCCTGTGTGGCTGGCTTACTTACCCCGTATAAGGTTATGCTACAAGAGACTATTCTATGGAGGTTATCCAAAAGACGTCATCTCCCACGGGAGGTTTTGCCACAAGATATTCTTCTATAGCCGGTTATCCTAGAGTAGATTACGAGCTTAATCTCGTGATTGCTTGGCTACAGAATTTTGAAACTATTGCCGCATCAAGTGTCGGCGACCTCGAAAGGTCTCATTCCCATCCATTCAGACTCCACGGCCTATTGCCAGTGTCCCACTGAGCCGGCTCGCTGCCCATCTGAAATACCAACTCCGATGCATTTGTCAGCTCAGCATGGGTCAACCATGACCTGTCGAGCGGGAGACCGTCCAGGGTGACGGACTGCGGATAGTAAGATGTAGCAGAAAGATTGTCAGCTCTGATGGTGAGGACGTTCTGGAACGGGGTGCCTGAGAGCAGGGTCACTCGAAGGGCTGGGAAGCGCGGTGCTCCCAACAAGTATAGCGGTTGCCCAACCACCGGATAAAAGCCCAGGAGGTTGAACACCAGCCACGATGGAATTGCGCCGGCGTCTGTATTGCCGGGATAACCATTTCGCTGGTCACTGTCTGTATACGACTTGTCAGTACACACAATGCTGAGCCTTGCCGAACGGACGACACCTACAGAATTCGTCAACTATGGCGCGTGTTTGGTTGGCGGTTTTCCAATGGTAGCCAGGGACGTAATTGTACAAAAATGGAATGAGAAAAGACGGCTCGTTGCCTGGGTTGTAGATGGCGCTGCCTGCATCGTTATTCTCTCCACGGCTAGACCCGAATCCAGGGAGGAAAGATGCGTCCAGACGCCGGATGAAAGCATCATCGCCACCCATGGACTCAATGACCTTGCTCATGTCGTGTGGCGCCGCTGAGAACCCGGTCTCCCACACTGTTGCTTCGTATATATCGTCGTTCCAACTTGAGCATGTTAGCTAGATCTCACGCGATCCACATAGGCAATTTTGTCACGGGCAGTCTGGTACGTACCCGCATGATGGCGTACATATAGCCGGATCGTATTCGGTAGTGTTCCACGTCCCATCAGCGTTTCGCGGCCCAGGGAAACCGACGAAGTTGCCCACACCTTCAAGCGTCTTGTTCGCGTCCAGGTTCCACTGATTCTGCCACCAACTCGATCGCTGTAGGAGCTCGTCCTGCTCACTTTCAGCCTTGGCGAGACCCTTAGCGATGGTCCAGATGGAGAAGTCGTTCTGAGAATACTCGAGTCCTCGAGAAATACTCCTAGAATTGTTGCGGGTGATGTAGTTAAGCGATAGATAGTCCTCCAGAGCGCCCCGACCGACCTTTGTCGCGCCGTCTGAAGTCACGGAGTCGGCATTGCGATCTGGTAGCACAGTTGCGTCTTTGATCCTGAATTGAGTCAGCGGCCTGTGTTTTTAAGATGGGATGAGAAAATATGTACACGGCTCGGTACGCCTCTTCCCAATCAATGTCACCGAGTTCTCCCAAGCCTTCCTCGCCAGTCGGTGTCTGCACACTCTTCACGTACGCATCGCCTAGAACTATGTCCGCATGCGTGCCTCCCTGGACCCGACCGTTCCAATTTCCAGCTCGCCCAGCCGGCAGCCATTCTTCAAAAGTGAAGATGTTGATGAGACCTTTCACGACGCGACTGTAGGTGACTGTATAAAGAAGATGGTACATTGGAAGTAGAGACCGATATGTGTCCCACAATGTCTATAATAGCTGTGTCAGCAGATTTCTGATATTTCTACCGTGGGATATTCGGCGGGATTGACTTACATAATGGTCATCGAAGTAAGGAAACGAATCGTTCGATGTCCAGAGCGGAATCTCGCCCGTTTTGTCCGTGGGCAGGACGGCTGTGTGATACAGAGCAGTATAGAGCATGCGCTTTAGTGTGTCATTCTGCGCCTCGGGGCTGTCGCCGTCGACCACCTCAACCGTGCTGAGAACCCTTGACTCCCATTCTGATCTAGCCTGCTCGACTAAGTCATCAAATGAAGTCGAATCGGGCATCTCAGTAGCAATGTAGCTACAGGCTTGCTCGGCAGATATGTGGGAGACGCCGATCTTGCTCTCAATCACTGCTCCTGAACTATTGCTTGACCCTGCTAGTGACGGCGTCCAGCTGAAAAGAGCGCCGAGGCCCATCTTATTCCCAATCTGCGTGTATGCATCCACGTAGGATCGGACCTCAGGGGTCTCAGTGGGAGGCTCGAAAAGATTGTATTGCCAAAAGAATGTGCCAGTTCCATCGACTCGGTTGGAACCAACCGCTCGCACGTAGTCGTTACTCGGAACCAGACCAGATTCGATGGGCACAGAAAAGTTTCCGCAAAAGTGAATGTCATATAGACCTATGTTTGGCCAACCGCCGGCGTATGAAGCTTTGCCATAATATGATGGCCCGGACAGACCTGGTCGTATGTGAATCTCGCCTTGGAGGTAATTCTGAGAGTAGGTCTGGGTCCCTGGTTGGTAGGCGGGAAGGACATGTGTCAAGTCCACCAAGACGTGCGCGTCATTTTCAGTCTGGCCCTGGGAGATATCCGGCGTCGAAGGCAGTGAGAATGTCTGATTTGAACTCTGGGTCGGAAAGGTGTAGCGAACAAGACTGGTGTGGTTCGACGCTGTGATCTCAATTTTGACGTCGTTCAGCAATGTCGTCGTGAAATAGCCCACGGATGCGCTCTCGCTCTCAAGCGACCTGTTCTGCCAGTACGTCGTGTTGTCCCCTAGGTTGACGCCCGCCAAGGTTCCAAGCAAGGGCGTCTGGGACACAATGCCGTCTGTCCACGCACGTCAGCCACATTGCTCTCCCATGACGACTAGCTACGATTCCCTCCCGCTGTAGGTGTACTCACAGGTGGGGTCACCTCCTGTCCCGGTGACGTGCATCATGCTCACTGCTGTAAAGTTACCGATGGGACTGTACCCTCCATTGACATCGGTCTGGGTTCCGTCCGGAATTCCCAGATAACTCGTGTCTATTCCTGGCTTCGCCATGCCGTTGGGGAGGCACGGCCCGGGGAACACATTCCCTGATGCGATGCTGCTCAATAGATTGGGACCTGCAGTACCAATTAACGGATCCACGTAGTCCGTCAAACGGCCATGCCCGTGGGTGAAGAGCCCCATCACAAGCCATGCTGAGTTCTTTGTCCCTGTCCGCATTTTCCAATGCTATTACTGGTCACGTAATCGGGTTGAGGCCTGGCTTTCTAGTCAAACGAATGGTCTCGGATGAAGAAAGAGGAGCAGATCTATATCTCTCCGAGTAAGAACACAATGTAAGTCGGTGCGGAGATTATCGGACTCCTTGCTCTTGGCCAAGCCATCCGACATCCCCGGCCTCGCCAGGATGAGCAGTGATGGGCTGTCGTACAGAATGGAGAGGTTGCTGCACCCACCAACAATATGCATTAAGGAAAACAACGCGTGTGTCGCTTACAATGTAAAGACCGGACGCCAAAATGGTATCAATCAGTGAATCAAGAACATGGTCTGGACATTCTGGCTGGGCTCTACTACGCGCCCCGGGTGCGTGGTTGGAAAGAGGGGTTCATGAAAATTATGTATGCGGGCATCCGCTGTAGTTCATCCCGAAATTTGATGTTCCCCAAGCGACCGATCGTCCGAAAGCTTGACTCCAATGCTACACTCATTTAAGGCTGGCAAGCAAGGCCCTGGTTGGTTCATGAGGCCAGTGTTTACTAGCGCAACATAATGCCAAAAAGATTTCACTGCGCCGGTATAACCCATTACGAGCTGTTGTAAGATGATAACTACAACACGTTTTACATAGTGTGCTTGCGGGGCAATGCATTTCTTCCTCGATGAACGTTTGGAGCAGGTTGCCTTTATTCTTGAGATGATGCATTTTCCGCGGTCCCTCATCTCTTTGCGCGACTTTGCCATCTGGTCGCAGTCTCATGTATCTTTCTAGGGCCTTTGACTAGCTGATTAGCCAGTGGTCTGGTGTATGTCACGTACGAACTCGGTCTTATCCAGGTCTGTGGGTCAAATCTTTTGGGCACGGAATGTCTGTTCAGTTGGGCAAGCCTAGGATCAGCCTACCTAGGTACTTAGTCATTCCAAATCGTCACCGCGCAGTGACTTTCTGAAATCATTCCTTCACATCATCCAGCACCTCTACCATGAGCAGAAAGTTGCACTACTGGCCCTCAGTGAGCGCATTTACTCTGGCACTCACCAATATATACACGACCCATATATTCAGCCATCCAACTGGAAATTACACGTTGCCTACCGTTTCCCAACGTCAGACAAAAGCCCCTCGTGTAATTAACCACGCAGTACCAACTGATTTAGCGATATATAAGGGTTAGGGTGAGCACGTTCAGCAGAAACTAAGTAGGAATGTAAATGACTTCGCGTGCAAACCGGGCGCGGTAGCCGTTCCGTGAAGTGTCTACTAGGTGACCGTCGCGACTCCCAGGCACATTGGCACGTAACTAGCATGGAGATACTTGATCGATTCAAGTTCCGCGGTGTCAAGTCTTCAGCTCAACTCTTCACTACCTGCTTTAGTACGACATGGATCACGGCTACTGGAACTTGCAGCCTAGGCAGGGGCCGCTTCCGGCTCCATTTACATGTGATGGAGACAGAATCAGGGCTTTCACGGAGACAGAGTTTAAGAAGTAAACATCGGCCAACAATCTTTTTGCATAGAATGATGCTGTTCCGGGTTCGCTGGAAGGAAGCTTGTCGTCGAGGGAGGAATTGTATCAATAGCTGGACAGTGCGGATGCAATACACTCTTGCTGTCGTTAAGGCAGAACTCAATTCTAGGCTCGCACTAAGCTCTTGTTTATCGAGTTTTCTCGAGTCCATCAGGGACTTGGGACAAGTCTTGGAACCATGACCAGCCTCAGGCGAGCAGTCACTTGCAACACGAACATTGCCTTACTGACGCCGTGGTTTTAAAGCTTGAATATATTCAACTTGAGCGAATGAAACGTCTGCTTGGGTACCCCACCATCCCCCTAGACTATAAAAGAGCAGTTCAAGGTAAGAACCAACCCAATCGTGCCAATGTCCTAATCAATCGTGACTATGCCTTGGTTCGCGCAGCCAATCTCGACGGTCACTTCGTAGCAGAGGCGGTGGATTTAGTGCTTGCCCTTCTGTGGGGCCGACTTTTAGTTCTCTGCAAGTATCGCGACATGTCTGGATAGTCTCAACTTACGCAGCAGTCGCACTTGTCACAGCTAGTGCATGTGCACTGATCGCAGCCACAGGAAGCAGGCATGTTAGCTTTTGATTGTTGAATGCTGTTCTGGCTGATGAAAGATTTATATGATATATATGTATGAATGCTTGTCTTGGGCAGTAGGAGTTGGAAGACTTGAGTACTTCATCACTTGAGGGGAGGACAGAGATGAGGGGGCCTTCTTATACCCAGCTCGTATGAAACCTTGAAAGAGGAGCAGCTTCACTAGCCTGCTCCACGACATGGGCTCGTCCGTCGGAACGGCAGTCGGTGATGTATCAGAGTGATTGCCCAGCCGAGGAGACCATCGCTTGCGAAGAAGTCATGAGACCAATGACCGCTATGATTGGGAGCGGGGCAAGCGTTCAGACAGTGGCTGGCTTGTCGGTTGTGATCAGCCGGTGTCGTCGCCCTGCCTCTATTAGTTAGAGCAGTTGTCCGCCCAGCTCGATGTCAAGGAACAAAGTCCATAAGCATGATGGTGCTATGACACACTGGCGCGCCGATAAGCGAGCTCACGGTGACGGACCGGATGACTTCTCAACGGCCTCCATGGAGCAGCCTGGCTGGGCGGTAGCTTTTGCTAAGTTGTCCAATCGCAGATGCCTCCAGCCGACATCCTGTAGTCTAGTCAGAGGACCGACTGCCGAGTCGGTAGAAATGGCCTGCATGGGTAAGTGTTGTTCGCATAAGGTATCATCGATGATGGGCGAACTCAATGCCAGCCGAGCATTGCTCCGTGACCTCACCTGCGGCCTAAGAGCTGGGCCAAACATGACGTTCAGCTAGGGTGTGGGGGAACAGGGATTAGGCACCGCGGGGCTGCTGCACGAAAAAGATCCCTGCCGGCGATCTCGAACTTCTTCCAACCCACCTCTGACCTGCCGCAGGCCTTCGCGGAGTGAGCTCGCGATTTTACATGTGTCGCCCATAGCAGGGTCCTCACATCACCCACCATGGCGCCGCGAAGGTCCAAGCCCGTTCCGCCACCACAGCCGACGCGTACGCTGGTCATCGACAATGGCGCACACACCCTCAAAGCTGGCTTCGTCACAACTGAGGCCATCGATGAGCCCGTCGTCATCCCCAACTGCATCGCTCGCGACAGGACCAGGAAGACCTACGTCGCGTCCGATCTCTCCAAATGCAAGGATTTTGGCGAGATAGCTTTCCGGAGGCCGGTAGACAAGGGCTACGTCGTCAACTGGGAGGCACAGAAAGAGATCTGGGACCACGAGTTTTTCAACCAAGACGCGCCGCAGAAGTGTGATCCTGCGGAGACCAGGCTTGTCTTGACTGAGCAGCCGAACTCGATCCCGGCCTTGCAGACCAACTGTGACCAGATGGTATTTGAGGAGTTCGGCTTCGCCAGCTTCTATCGCGGCATAGGTCAGCCTGCGCCCTGCCTAACCGTTCACTGTTGCGACAGAAGGCCAAACTTGCTAACAAGTACCAGCGCCGACATTCAATGCCTATCACGATGTCCAAGCCATCTTTCGAACCCCTGAACGCGACCCGAATGCTCTGAGCAAGCTTCCCGCCGAGCTTATCCTCCTGATCGACTCGGGCTACTCATTCACCACTGTCACGCCTGTCTTTCAAGGCCGGCCCTTGCAATCCGCCATACGCCGACTCGACGTCGGCGGCAAGTTCCTGACCAACTACCTGACCCGCCTTCTATCCCTGCGGCATTACGACATGCGAAATGATACCTACATTGTAAACGAGATCAAGGAAAAGGCCTGCTATGTCTCGCTGGACTTCAAGGGGGATCTAGAAAAGACCTGGAAAGGTACACGCGGCGAGAAACGAGAACCATACGTGTCGGGAGCAGGCATCGCGAAGGACTACGTCCTCCCAGACTTCCACACTCGCTCTGCTGGAATCGTGCGTGATTTTGATCCCACAACGACCGCCAAACAACGCAAGTTAGCAGCCGCCGCATCCAACGAGGATATCCTGACCCTGCGCAACGAGCGCTTTGTCATCCCCGAGCTGTTTTTCAACCCATCCGATGCCGGCATGCAGGCACCAGGTCTCGCTGACCTGGTGAAGCAAAGCCTAGATGTGCTACCTGTGGGTCTGTGGCCCGGTCTCCTTGCAAACATAGTCGTGGTTGGTGGCAACGCGCAGTACGTGGGCTTCATCCAGCGCCTACAAAAGGAGATTGTGCAACGGTTTCCGGACGAGACTATTGTTAGAGTCGCAAGGCCGGCAGATCCTATCTGCAATACTTGGTTGGGCGCCGCCAACTTTGCCAGGCATGAGCACGTCGAGAGACTAGCCGTTACAAAGCAGGAGTACGAGGAGCACGGGGCTGCATGGGTCGCCAGAAAATTTGCTGTTGGCCTCGGTCAAGACTGAGTACCATGATTTTGGATGGTTCAATTTCATACAGCTTGAAAAGCCACACCATGACGTTATCAATAACTCAGGGCCCTTTGGCGGCGGTTGTGGCAGACAGGCCCTGCCGAGCTCGCAGCAACGGCTGCTCCAATGGAAGTTATTGCTTCATGTCTCTCCGCAACGCTACAAAGATTGATCAGTATGGCATCTGCCACGTTGTTCTCGCCTTTTATCAGCATCGCGTCTGAAAATCCACAAAATGGTCGACATTAGGCACGAACAAGGAGGTAGTATCGCCGGAGGATCAAGATGAAGCCATACTGATGCGCGTCTTATCCGGCAGTCATTGAAATCTACGATCACCTTGTCGACGACGTCTTCTCGCCATGTTGATCGGCCAGGTGGCTTAAATATCTGGCCATACTTGTCCGACGTCTGAAATTGGGACACGGACTGAGATTTCTGTGTACTGCCAACTGCAGCGAAGGCAAGAGGCGTCAGACAGCCGAGAGGCTATGTGCTCACGTTCAGAATAGTAAACTCTTCGGTCAGGGCCCTAGGAGCCAGATGGCACATCGTGGCCTGAGTTAAGGAGTTCCGAGCAGTCTGGCTGTCAGGCTGCCGGGCTTCCTTCACACTTTTCTACATCCGGGTGCAGGCTTGCATTTGTACCCAAAGGAGCACCTCAGCAATACAACACGGATTTATCAAGAAGTCAAATCCACGCTTGTTTTGTTTGACCTTCACTGAATAAAACTCGTCTTTGCCTCCCGGCTCATCAGAACTGTGCTGGATGCCCCGTCCAATGCCTTTACCTGGTCTTGAGGTCTCGCCCTGTTCTACTTCAGCTCCAAGTATCACCATATGGCTGAACTGGCCCTTCTTTGCCAAAGTTTTCCAGGTGGATGCGGTGGTAGAAGGAGCTCGCTGTCTGAGGAGTTATTTCTGGGCAACCGCGAAGTAATTTACGGTGTCAGTGTCAAACATGTGGCCTGTCGAAAGTACGAGCCAAAACAAAAGTCCTGATATGAACTTCAATTGAGACCATTCTTTCAATGCTAGGACTCTGCTCACTGGAAAAGATAGGTCTCTGGGCTATTTATTCGGAGTGAGAGCACCAAATGATCGATACCATGTCCATATCTGGCGTGTCGCCTCTTTCGCCTCCACAAATTCAAAGACAAAAGAAGTTGTACACGTTCTACATGCTGACGATTGCGGAGATTTGGCAAAATTCATCACTTATCCAACAAAGCCCTGCCAGCCATAATATCCAAGTGAGTTCGAAGTCATTGATCGGGGTCCGGATTCGGCTATCTATTGTTCTGCATATGCGACCGTCTCGATAGAGGGAAAGCGAGCGCCCTGCGAACCCAGATCAGACTTCCGCGATCATGAGCATGGAGCGATGGCTTCTTCTGGCCTTATCCCAGTCTGGACGGCGTGAATTGCGATCGCACAAGTAGACTGTTGGCGAGGTTGTGCGGAAGCCCGGTTTCTGTTCACAGCGTAATGAGAGCTCAAGGAGTACTCCACAGCGCGGCAGAATAGTTGTAGAGGCTTGATCATTGATTTCATTCATGGTATCTGACATATTACACAAGCAAGCATACAACAGAAAAGAAAATAAGTGGCAAACGTTCATGCGTGTGGTTCTCAACCCCATATCCAACCAATTGCCGCTGCTTTCCACGGAGGTCTGTCACAAGCGAGGACGGACTGCAATGCAGGTGGCGTAGGGGTGGAGAACAGGAAACATCAAGAAGTCTCTGTGATTTTCCTACAACCGGATGAGCCTTGGGGAAGTCTTGCGACCAGACCCAGAACTCTCCGTCATGGGCTTGAGGCCTCGTTATCTCCCCGGCGATGATGAAGTGCCTTGGGAAGGGGTTGCGGAAGCCACATAGGGCACCACTCCCCTAACGCGGCTGAGAGCGCCGTTCACCAGGCGCCCCTCTGGCGTAGTCCATGGCGTAACGAACAGCTCGCTCAGGCTGTTGATTGAACTCCGCTCGGCATCCGACGGGAGTCCATCATTCCCCAGCACGTTACGCGCCGCGGCCATGCCCGTGCCATTTAACCGAGTTGTCCCGAACCGGTAGGGGGACGAGGCAGTAGGCCAGTCGCCCGGGTCGTACTCGAGCCTCGGCCTCGACCTGGCGCGGCCATTGGGGGTGTTGTCGGTCTGGTCGTCGCTGTCGAGCCCGGCCTCCTCGGCTGACCGCCTCGAGGGGAGGCTCCCCAGTCCCGCGGCTTGGACGGCCGCGTCTCGTGCGCTCGCCAGGGCGGCCTCTTCTTGCAGGCGTTCCAAGTAGGTTGGCCAGTCGCTAGGGGTGCTGAAGTCGGACAGCTCAGACGTTGGGGCATTCCCGGAGGATGTGCTTTGCTTGGCGGGTGTGGTCGGGTTGTTCCTCGGATTTTGGCCACCTGGCTGGGTGCCTTCGATGTTTTGACTTTCATCACCACCACCATCGCCGCCGCCGCCTGACGGGTTGTCCCCGGCGGGGTTTTCACCAGGAGTTTGAGGGTCCGATGGGGGTGGGCTGCCGGGCGGAGTTCGCGGGTTAGTCCTGCCACTATTATCACTACCGCTGTCACTACTATCACCATGATTATCATCATCACTACTATCACCACGACGACCGCCGCCGCCACCTGGGGGAGTGCCGCCGATGCGTCGACGCCCAGCCTGGCCTTGGTTCAGCCGGAACGTGCGGTTCGCCATAAGAGGAACATTTGTCATATCATCCTGCCACGCCTCGACCCGGACGTTTTCGGCGGTGACAGCAAACGGAACCTCGAATTCAAACCAGTTCATGAATGGCGGGAGCGCCGCATTGTCTTCGTCCGGGCTATGGCCCGCAGCAGCCGTCTCCGGGCCGCTCAGGTCGACGCGGACCATGCGGTTGTTTGAGTTTGCCGCCGGGTGACCCACGTTCACCTCGATCCGGAGCCTCATGCCCTGCCTATCGAGCTCTGGCGGAAGCGGGATCCAGTAATCCGGCGGGCTCGTGGTCTGGTCCGCGGCGGCGCCCTGGGCGGCCGCGCGGACTTGTAGCGCTCGGTGGGGGGTTCCTAGTCCATTCCGCATGTCGTCTACCGGCAGTGACGACCGGCCGTTGAGAGGACACCGGCAGGCTCTTTCCTGGAGGTCGTTGATGAGCTGCTCCAGCTGAGCGATACCGTCAACCAAAGCTTGGTCTGGGTCATCGTTGGGAGGGTCCTGACTGGTGCCTGGGCCAGCGCCTGGGCTAGTAGCCACTGAACCAGTCGCCGCACGCTGTTGACTCTGTCGACCCTGTTGACTCTGTTGACTCCGTGAAATCCGTTGATTCCGTAGCCTCTGTCGCTGCTGTTGTAGCTGCTGTCGTCGTGTTTGTAAATCGATTCGTGCGTTCTTCAGTCGATCCAACCATTGCCGCCAATCATGACGTTCGAGCGTGTCCGCATTTATAACCCTGTTATTGGCATCACGCCAGCCTCGGTCGCGCAATTCATTTCTCAGAATGTGTGCGCCGTAATGACTCCAAACCCGCGGCTCAGTTGGTCGCCAGTGTTGTTGTATCCGGAAGATTAAGTCTTCCTTACTAATTTTTGTTGGTATGCCGATCTTGAATGCGTCTCTGTATCTGGCCTTCCACGTATCCTCATCCCATGTCTCACGTTGATCGTAATCATCGGGTTCGTCGCCGGGTGGTGGAGGGAATCCAAGATCGTCATCAAAACCGTCATCATCACCATCATCATCATCATCATCACCGTCGTCGTCACCGCCGTCATCATGTCCATCATCGGCATCATGTTCCCCCCCATTATTGTCTTCTGGTGATCCGTGACTACTTCCACTTCCTTCAGCTTGGCTGCTTCCGCCTCCCCCTGATCGACTACGTCCGCTTCCTCCACTTTGACGGCCGGCCCCTCCACAGTTGCAGCGTCCTTGCGACTGCGGAGCAGCGCCCTGCGTAGCTCCACTGTAACGGGTTGGCCTGAAGCCGACATCTATGACTCGGCTACCTGTAGATGCTGCCGCTCGCGCCCTCTCGGCCCGCGCTGCTGCAGCCTGGTCCCTTATGGCCTGGTCCCTCGCGGCTTGGTCCCTTGCAGCCTGCTCTCTTGCGAGCCGCGCGGAGGTTTGTTCCGGGGTCTCAGCCCGCGGTTGTGGGTCTCGGTCTCTTGTGTAGAACATAAGCCTGGGCTGAAAGTTTACGGTGTTGTTGATTGCCTCAAATCTGGAAGTCCTGACTCTTTGTTGTCCGCCTTGTGCCCCTGTACGGGTCGAACTTGAAAGAGCAATGTTGTCATCCAGAAGTATCCAACCATTGCCGTCGCCACGTCGGATGTAACTCACGAAGTGTCCGCTGGTCGTCGCCGCACGGCCTCTCTGGACGGCTGGGTTTGCGTTGCCCCTGTAAAGAATGGCTGCCTGCAAGGTGTACATGGACAAGGCCTTGTCGCTATCGCTATCACACAGCCTTGATAGATCGAGCTTCTCAGGAATATCGACCTTGCTTTGGAAGTCTGGCCTGTCGTTCTGGTCGGTGTAGTGGACCTCAATAGGCAAGAGCTCTGGTAGCTTGTAGAATTTGGCGAAATAGCCAGTGGCCCTTGTACCAGCACCGCATTGAGAGCACTCATGTGATTCGTTTGCGGCGTATGGATTGTACATTTTGTTGGAGATACAATCAGACAGGGTGTTGATGTTTCGACCACTTTCCACGTTTACTGCAAAACTGAAATTATCTCCATGCTCTTGGTTGTCCAGCCGCGCCTTCTGTTTATTGTGATCACACGGGAAAACCCGCCTCAGGGCTAATCTGTTTGTAAAAATTCGCTTCAGTATAGGATTGACTGTGCTATTAACACGTGTTAGCCTTTGTTCCTTTGGTGAAGTCGTGTGTGAGAAAGGGAGTATTACTCTATGAGGATGTCTGATAGTTCAGATTCGCAAAGTCGCTCCATCAGATAGTGGAAGAAATCCCCAGCATCCTGTTGGTCACCACCTCGTACTGAGAAAGCTTCTTGAGTCGAATTGATGTTATTCGGAGGTGAATGAAGGAGTACAAGCCAAGCGGAATAGGTTGCATGTTCCAACTGTTGCCGCTGCCCCACACCTGCTCGGAACGCGTGGGCGGCATCGAGAAGGTGTCGATAAATCAGCAGGTTCCCTGTCAATTGACATCCATAGTCAAGGAGGTTATGGAAGTAGTCAATGCTGAAAAGTGAATGTAACACCGCATTACGGTAGCAAAGATTGTCTCTGTTCCTCAACGCGACCAGCTGGTAACCAGGGTCAAATGCGGGCTGAGTCGGCCGATCGAGCAAAACCGAGCCAACCTATGATCAATACCATCAGTATCTGCTCGACCCTTTCAATTCACAAAGACAGTTATAAATGGCCACGTTGAAGATGATTAGGGGGCGCTACGTAGGCTTCCGACCATTGTACAGCTACAGCCAACAACCCCGGTGCAGCCGTGTCTCGCATGCTCTGGTTAGGTCTAATCTCAGCAACGGATCACTCACGATATCTTGTCCAGGCTGAACCACGATGGCGTCGAAGCCCTCTCGTTCGGGTGTAGGCGCATCCCTCTTCGCATCTTCAACATCATTTGGGTGTGGATACTCCGGCACCGACGGCGCTGGCTGTGGCTGTGCCATCACAGCCTCGCATTCCAGAGAGCAGCAGCGGAAAGCTTGAAACCAAGCACGAGATGAGCTCCTGAGAAGTTGAAACAGAAAAGCGCAGCTGACTTGCGAAAAACACTCAATGAGTCTCTTATTTTTGTGTTGCAGTGCCCATCCGGGTGAATTGACATTTTTCAGACCTCTGCAATCCCATTATTGGCGCAGAAGAGCGCAGTCCGGCCAACAAAGCCACCAATCGTAGTATACGACAAAGAATTATCACAAATTCGCGAGATTGTGCATCAGTATCTTACGCAAACGGAATCATCATCTTGTGGCATGTTCAAAAAGACGCTGCTTGAGACCGAAAGAGGCCAATTGTCATGGACGTCATCTCGCCTGCCCAGTGTTTTTGTCTATTGGCGGACGCCATGACTGTTTATAATGAATGTCCTTATTGCAAAGTCTTGCCCAATTACCATCTTCAATCCATCTTGGTCAGGGCATATCAGACGGAATAGGTGCCACCTATGTATATGTAACGATATGTATACGAAGCGAGCATCGTGCCTTTGATTTCAGGGTACCGACCAATGTAAGTCTGTGGACCCATCTGCGCACATCCCCCCTTCACGCACAGCCGTTTCCCACCAAAAAGCCCAATTCAAGACCCACTTTAATTAATTCAAATTAAATTCCAAAAATAAACGTTTTATTTAAGAATTTAATAGAAGTTTTACTTAATATGCTTAAATTTTTATAAAGCAATATTCTAAGTTCTTTATAGTAAAATAAATAAAAGAGAATTTTAATTTCCTCTTTTTATAATTTTCTGCATATATCTTACATACAATTATTAAAGTTTTTAACTTTTATAAATATATAAATAGAATATTAGTAAAATATTAAATAACTAAAAAGTTAATATAATAAAATTTAAAAATATTAAATATATAATATTTTTAAAATGTTTTTTTCAATTTTGAATTTTCTTAAATTAATATTTTAAAAATTTATAAAGCAACTTATATTTTTTATAAAAATAATTATAAAAATTAAAATAAAATTACATTAAATCTTATTTAAATTTATTTACTAATAATATATTTAAAGTTTTATTAATATTAATAGTTTATTATATATATATATTTTAAATAATTTATAATTAATTTATAATTTTATTAAAAAAGATTACCTAAAGTTTTATATAATTATTTTATTTTAATAGTAAAGTTTTTAAAAAAGTATATTATATTTTAAAAAGTAATATAAAAGTTTTATTTTTTAATTAAAAATAAGTTTATTTATAGTATAATAGTTAAAGTAATATTTTAATTTTAAAATAAATAAAAGTTTATATAAAAAAATACTTATTAATTTATATATTAAAATAAAAAACTTTAATAAAAAATACTTATAAAATATTTTTATAAAAACTATAAGCTATAGCTTAATTTTAAATTTATTTATATAAAAGTAATTATAAGTTTAAATTTAAATAAGGCTAAATTTAGTTTTATTTATATAATATTATAGCAAATTATTAATTATTATTAAATAGTTTTTAGCTTTAGGTTATAGTAAGTAGATGTTTAAATAAAGTTTATAAGCAAGTACTGTGCTTTTAAAAGCATATTCTTCTTTACTAAAGCTCTAGATTCTGTTTCACTAAATTAAACCTTTAGTAAAGTAAAGTATAAGGGGATATAATAGCACAGCTATACAAAACTGCATTATATTACAGAAGGCGTTCTGGCATTCCAACCTTTTAATGAAGGAAACAGCCCTAGCTATAGTGAAGCGGTCAAAGCGCTGTCTCACTAAATGCCTACCTATTTACCTCGCCAGGCCTTGTCCAGCATCTCCTTCACAGTAGTAACTTTTATGTCCGGAAACTGGTGATTTAGCGCTTTGTGGTCGGGAAATTCAAAGACCCCTTCAGTCACCCACAAGCCGAAGACTGAAAATAGCTTCTGCGTCCATTCTTTCGGGAAATAAGAGTACGCAGCGACTTGTCCGGGGAGCTCGGTGATGTCGCCCGCCTTCAGCTTCTCCACACTATCATAAACAACGGTGAATTTCTCCCCTGTCACGTCACTTGTTAGCAACTCATCCCTAATCAGTCTCGCACTCTACTAGTAATAACAGACCTCAGTCACATACCTCGGGCTTCTTCAGCGACCTTGACGAATTCCTCCCAGGTCATCTTATCGCCAATCACATACGTATCACGCTCCCACTTGGGGAGGTCAAGCGCCGCAACGACAAACTTAGCCACATCCTTCGAATACGTAAACGTCATAACTTGTTTCCCATTCCCTGGTATGGAAGCATGCTTATTGGCCATGTCCACGACAAATGAAGTCTGCGGGATGTACGTGTGTGCGTGCGGCATTGCGTAGTATTCAAGGAACCAACCCAGGTTGAAAGCTGTCCATTCGAGTGCGGTCTTCTCGATTTCGGCGTAGGACTCGATGTGCTGGAAGCCGTGGGGTAGCATGGCCAAATAACTAGTAGGATTTGTGTTAGCGGTGTGCTGCCTTCGTCAGGGCCTGGAGGGGGCTTGCTCTATGGACGGTCGGACAGCCCAGGTACTGGTCACGAATCGTTTCGTGAAGATGGCCTTTTCGGATGCTTTGATGAGATTGATCTGTGACTTGCCGACACCGATGATGTGCAGTGCAAGTGCTGAAATGACGGTGTCAATATGATGCTCCTCTAGCACGGTCCGTAGGGCGTCAATATCGTCGTAGTCGACCGCGATGACGGGAAATGCTAATTCAGCAACATCGGGAATCTGCGAGTCATTGTGCTGAGCGGTTGTTCCTCGGTGCGAGAAGTGCTGTGTCTCAATTATTCACGTACTTTACGGGCCAAGATGATGACCTTGTGCTTTCCATATGCCTTGAGCGCGTCAACAATAGAACGCCCGACGCCGCCAGTGCCCCCAGCGATTGCAACATTGACCATGGTGAGTTGCTGGTGTCTTTGCTTTTCCTTGTGTGGTTACTTCTCCGTCCTGATGAGTTGAGCTCGGGGGTCTAAATCCCAACTATTTAATGACGATTGGCTTGCTATTCAACACCGCACCGCTCGTCCGTCGGGACGTTAATTAGGCCGGAGTGAGTCGTATTCGGAATCTATAGGATTCGCTGTCAGACGAACGAATACAACCAGCAAGATAACAGTACAGATAGCCATGGCCATATAGCCAAGGTAGTATTCTTCTCTGATTCAAGGGAATCTTCATCCGCTACTTGAGTGGGTTCGGAAGACCAACTCCCCTGAGAGCTAGACAGTGATCTAGGTGATATGATGCTGGTGAATATACATGGCCGATATTGCCAGCATCTATTACAGTTCATGGCTTTGTCGAATCACAGACAGAATACGTGACAAGTCTAGTCACATGTTCACATGTTCACATATAGTAGGCCTCTCTTATAGAAAGTATGACATGTTTGCTAGTGCTAGAGCTCAGGGGATTCTGTTACTAAAACGCCTCCTGGGCTCTTCTGTGATAAGAATATCATGCTGGGGGCAAAAAGAGCGGATTCGTATTATGTCACACCCTCCCAAGACTACACCCACTCCATCAACATCCACTAACCAAACAACCTTCCTTCTTTATAAACAATTTTATCAAAAAGCCAAAACTTTTACCGATAAGTCGTTAGATGACGAAGAATGGATCTCTATATTTTCAATGACTGTAGGATCATTGTAGTCGAGGCTTGTCTGGTTTGGATTACGAAGGGTAGTTTATGAGTGCGCTGTTCTTTGTACCCAGCTATCTGCTTTTTGTGCTCGTCTTGATCCGAGCGGATCTTCACTGAAACACAGAATCTAGACCAGATCACTAATCATAGGGTGGAGGAATGAGCCTGCGCTTGCGGACCGGTGTAATGTTTGAAGCCGATAAAAAAGTCGCCGAAACAGGCAGTGCATGACAATTAGCCCACACTGCCTGATTGGACCCAAGGTGGTCGCTGGCTTTTTTATCTCCACTACATATCTGACGTCACTTAATTTCTCACAGCCTTCTCTGACTTATCTAGGAAACCTTCTTGCCAGGTGGACTAGCCTTACCCACTTAGCTGACTTTCACACGCTATATTGCTTAAATAAGGCGGATTAAGAGCTCATCTTAAGTCTGTTAGCAAGGCTTTTTTTAACACCACCAGCATTAATTAGTAGACATTTTCCAGCATTAGAATTCTAGTTCTCAAATATGACTAAGCCAAGTATTATAGTGCTACACACTTTTAGACTATCACGTTTAAACTACTTTGAATTTTAGGCAATTTGTACTATTCAAAGTGCCACTCAAATATAGCTTTATTCCTAGTTTAAACTGCGGATAACCCATCCGGTTGTACACGATTCCCTGACCAGAGTTAAAGCCTTCATTTGAAACGAAATCAAATATTTAGTTCAGACTATGACTCCTTATTTCACCCCTAGACAGACCATACAGGCCCTCGTCACAGATCAGACCGTTGCGACCCGCGTTGTCAACCCAAGCACCGGAAACTCGGATTTTAAGGAAAAAGAGCCAAGCAATGGGGGTGGGAGGGTGGCAGAAATGATATGGCGAAAGCGGCCAGCGCCTGTGTTATATCCCATGGCTATCGAACAGCACAGATGAATCCGAATGCTTATGGAGAACCATTGCAGAGTTTTAAATGACTTCCGAGTCATAGAGCTCAATTGAAATGACATGAAATGAGTGCAAGTGAGCCGTACCCGTGATTACGCATCTGGTTCGACCGCAAGACTATGCTGGCTGTCATGTTGTTACGCTGGGACGATACTTCGGACCCGTCCAGCACATGAGCTATGCATGGAGAACCGAGAGTAAGTGGCAAATTGAGCAATTGAGCGTCGAGAGTATACAGTTGTTTGCTCGAAATTGCAAAGTATAACAGCATGTGGAAAGGCAAATTGGTTGGAGAAGACAATTGGACAGTTTAAAGATGGTTGGAAAGGGTTTGATTCTACTATTCTCACCGTCAACATTCTCACTCTGTGTGAAGCAGGAGAAAGAGAAGGCTATTAGTAAAGAATAAAGAAAAAGGGTAATTATTAGCTTAGAAAAACCTTTTCTGTCCGTCAAAGATGATGCCACTGAGGGCAGTTAAGACAAGGGAAATCTCTTTATGTGAGGGAGAAGCTGCTGACAAGTTTGAATTTAAAGCTTCCCTTGCCAATAGCTTGCTGTTCAAGTAATCTTGTGATGATTATATTGCCAGCAACTGATGCAGATTGTTTACAATCCTTTTTAAAGCTAAAACCTTTAACCGCTTGATTATAGTCTTAAACAGAATCTAGGATAAAGACTGGCTAGCTGTGGCTTTTAATAATACAACCGAAAACCATAGAATACACGCACTTAAGCAGCTCCTCCAACTCTTCAATGCGAATGGAAATATCCACTGACCTTCATCTCTTGTAGCCGGTGCCACAAGATAGTGTAGTCTTGCTAACACTGATTCAACTTCTGCACCAGTTTTCTTTATAAAGTCTCGAGTTCATCATTTTTTTTTAATCACTCGCCAAAGCTTCTGCCCCTGTTTATGGCAGGCATTCACTAACGCTTGGACGTAGCTGCCTGGCATGCATTAGTGCTCGGCGGCTGCATAAAAGGCTGTGTGCGCCAAGTCTGATGTTTAATATAATAATAATATAAATTAACTTATTTATAAATTAGTATCATGCTAACATTTTAAATAATTTACTTTTTTCTATAAAGATGAAGTTTGAATCTTTAAATTAAATAGTTTATTAATAGAAAAAAAATATAAATATAAAAAATGTTATAATAAGAGTATAATATTACTATATTTATATTTTTAAAGAATTATTAAAAAAAAACCTCTTTTCTTTTCTTTTATTTTATAATACCTTTTATTTACTTGCTATACGAGCTATATATGTATAGTATTAGTATAAAGTTTATTTTAATATAAAGTTTTGTATTCTACAAAGCAATTCAGCTGCGCAGGAGCTGCGCTTGAAAGCTTGTGCAATGTTAGTCCCTGATTTGTTGGACTCTATCTGCTCCCAAATTACCAACTACATCATCGCAGATTTCCTTCTGTGCTCATGTTCCCGGTATCGATCATGTTGAAGTGGCTTTGTTTCTACCACTTATTAAGCCTCTTTATTCGGAGTAACTTATCTCTTCGGGCCCTCACTGCTGCCCTGCTGCGATAGAAAGTCTGATGAAGGCGTTGGTGAGAATCTTCTAGCTTGAATGTATGGTTTGATGAAACTATTTTGGAAGAGCTGAGGCCACTGTATTCTGGCTGTTTGATTACTAGGCGAGGACATGGACGATCTTTCAGCGTCGTTTGCTCCTGTCACCTGTGGCTCCCCTGTATGAATCACAGAATGAAGATGTATGTAGTAGCTCAAATGCAGCAATCTGAGCCACACCGACATCAGGCAGTGTACGATTCGTTTATGTGATGAACATCAGGAGCTGTGATTCCGGTTCTTGATAAGATAGACATTGCAGCTGAGGGTGGAGGTAGGCCAGTGAAGACTTGTGGCCACAGTGCAATGTAAGTCCTAATTATTATGGGCAATCCTCTGACTTTTTGATTGCTCACACGCAGAAAGGATGGTTAAAGACCAATTCTTCTATTGGAGACTTGAAACCAACAGCGAGGGAGTGGTATAAGCAAACTATATTTCCCTACTGGCATTCGCCATCTCAGTTTCCCCATGGGTCATTACCTGGTCACTGGCATGTTTCTGCATCAAGTAAGTCACTAGGAGGGAGACTAGGGACCCACAATGCTCTATGTCCATACCCTGACTCGCTATAGCTTTCTTTCATTTGTTGAGGGGAATTCACATCACGCAAAGAGTCCCACAACAGCTCCTGTCTGGCGAAATTTTGAGGTAAGATTATCAGCATAGAATTTTGGGGATTTTATGACTGCTCGTCTGCCTAGTATAGTGGTTAGTACACTTCGTTGTGGTCTTGGCTTTCAAGAACTTATACGGTCCCGAAGAAACCCATGTTCGATTCATGGGGCAGACATTATTTTTTCGATTTTCTTGCTGTTTTGGTATCATTCAGTCTTGGAACCAATGTAGCAAAATGACAGAAGCATTTCCCCCTTCTCTAGGGAGGAACAAGGAATACAATCATATGAAACTATTCCTCTGTAATACTTGTTTTGCTAGCATCGCTGTAGGGATGTCCGTATCCGGCTGCTTGGCACCTTGGGTACGTAGGCAATTAACCGTATTTAGCCGGAGAGACTAGACCGACATCAAAGCCACAATTCACAATCCATGGACTACTCCTTACAGGCCTCTTGGTGCAACCCAAAATTCGGGTTGGTGCACTGGGTTGGGTCTTAGAAATCTAAGACAAACCTGGAGGCAATCCGAATTTGGCGATCGGAACAATATCCGCGAACTAGTATTGCTCTGGCGAATTAAGCCTAAATTCCACGTTGCTCTCCCGCGGCCCTACACACATTACTGTCTCTCGGATAGTGCCAAGAGCGAGCATAACTAGAAATGCGCCTTGCTGCAACCGCATCACTGCCCATCTTCTCGCTGCGTCTTGACCGTACAAGCCGTATTTACTTCAGGAAAGCCACCTGATGGTCTCCACAGCCCCGTCACATCGCGTCTGTCCGCATGGTCAGTGTGCATCCTTGGCGGGAGACATCAGCGTGCAGGTGTGCGAAGGCTATCACCGTGTACCGGAAGGATAGGGGCGTGCTTGACATCAGGCTCATCTCTGTCGGTTCAATGGAAAGTAAGACGAAGGTGTTGAGTAGTCTCCATGGGGTCCGCATGGCAATATCCATGTCACCATGTCACCTGCTACAATATTCGCTCTCGGGTGTCGGCCTCGCTGGCCACACGATTGAATTTGGGACCTATTTGCCCAAAAGCAATACTTGAAGTAACACTAGAAAGAAGCAATCACCGGCCAGAGGGGTCTGTCGAGCATAGCATATATATCACCCAAAGAGCCCCATTCAAACTTGCTACGAGGGCAGCTCCTTTGTTCCATCACGATTGAAACACCAGAGAAAAATTCTCCTGTATTTGGGAATAACCTCCTTACTGTCAATATGTGGCCCAGTCCAAAGTCAGCCTACCTCTTGCTCGCAGGGTATGGACTGCTGAGCAGTGCCTCGCCCATCGAGAGTGAGGGACACCTCGAGGAGCGACAGTCCTGCCCTAGTATCCACGTCTTCGGCGCCCGCGAGACCACTGCCAGCCCTGGGTACGGCAGCTCATCAACCGTGGTGAATGCCGTCCTATCAGCCTACCCTGGCTCCACGGCCGAGGCTATCAGCTACCCGGCCTGTGGTGGTCAGGCCTCATGTGGCGGAGCAAGCTACTCGAGCTCTGTTCAGCAAGGCATCGCGGCTGCAGCGAGTGCGGTCAACAGCTTCTACACCCGATGCCCGACCACTCAGATCGTGTTGGCTGGCTACTCTCAGGTACAAATCCTCGCGGCTTAGCATGAGGGGTTGTATGCTAACATCGAAGATTAGGGCGCAGAAATCTTTGACGTGGCCTTCTGTGGCGGTGGAGACCCGAATCAAGGGTATACAAACACGGCGGTCCAGTTCTCCGCTGGTGCCGTTGGACAGGTCAAAGCTGCGATCCTGATGGGCGCCCCAACTTATCAGTATGGATTGTCATACGGGGTAGGAACCTGCAGAGCAGGAGGAGTAAGTCGATGTCATCTTAATGTTTCTTCAGATAGCATATACTGACTAATTCCCTAGTTTGATGCGCGCTCGTCGAGCTTCGTATGCCCATCTGCCTCCAAGGTCCAAAGCTACTGCGATGCCGCCGACCCTTACTGCTGTAATGGAAACAACGCAGCTACGCACCAAGGGTATGGTTCTGAATATGGATCGCAGGCCCTTGCCTTCATCAAGAGCAAGCTGAGTAGCAGCGGTGGCGGTTCTGGCACAACTACAACGTCTTCCGCCGCAGGGACGACACCAACAACCCCTGGGACGAGCTGCGCTTCACTGTACGGCCAATGCGGTGGTCAGGGTTGGACAGGAGCGACCTGCTGCGCTTCTGGAACTTGCAAAGCTGCCAACACGTACTACTCTCAATGCCTGTAGATGAACTTGGGATTGACATGGCATGTGGCGGGACCCCTCTGATGTATATACTGGGCTCAAATTGTACATACTTTTCCCACAAGAGCTAACTCTGACACTCTACTTCCCAATCGACTCGACGTACTCCCTGACCAAGCTTTCTGCGCTCTCATCTCGCTTCAGCCCCAGGTTCACAGCGGTGGAGTCGTCGATCGTCAGAGGCCAGGTTCTCAGTATTCTCTCCATATCAACATCTGTTTCCTCCCTGATGTATTTGAGTCTATCTTCACCGCCAATCTTTGCCAGTGAGTCTAGCAGCTCTTGCACGGTCACCGAGATCCCTGGAAAGTTCATCCAACGAATATGAGGCGGCAGGGCGTCACCCGGCAACTTGAGGACCCGCAACAAGTTTTCGATCAGGGTCCCAGGTCCGGAGAGCACCGCACGATAGCTTCGGTCCTTGATTGGAATAACACATTCCTGGTCGTTCATAGGCTCGCGGATCATGCCTGACAGGAATGAGCTCGCCGCCTGCGTCGGCTTGCCCGCGCGAACTGAAACGGTTGGGAAGCGCAGCGAGAACGCGTCAATCAGGCCGCGACGGTGCAGGTCGTTGATGAATACCTCGGTCATTAGCTTGTGCGTTCCGTAGACACCTGCGGGAGTCGGCGTCACCGCGTCCGTGATGACATCGGGCAGTGGCGAGCCATAGACAGCCTGGCTAGACGCATAGATGACACGGACACCCCTGTTTGTCTCCGTGAGCTTGAGGAGCAAGGCTCGCGTCGCATCGAGGTTCACCTTGAGGCTCAGGTTCGGGTCGGCCTCGGAACCAGAAGACATGATCCCGTGGAAGACAAAGACAGCTCCCAGAGGTTGGGATGCGGCGATGAGGCTTGCGAGTGAGGCCGGATCGCTCAGGTCGGCTTGGACGGGGACTGCCTTCTCTGCATTGTGCACGCCTGAGGGAAGAGTAGGAGCAACGATATCGGTGATGACTAGCCGGTACTCTGGGTGTTTGGCGAGGAGGGCCGCCGTAAGGCGTTGGCCAATGAAGCCTGCAGCTCCAGTGATGAGTATTGTCTTGCTCTCTTCAGACATAATGATAGAAGGAAACAGAATGTATATGTATGGAAATTCCAGTACTTTCTCTCGTTCTCTCTCAGCTTGTTACGAGTCTGCTTGGACTCCTGTGCTATGATGTTTGTCCGACAGACATTCAACCCCGAGAATGCATGCGGGGTTACTAGCCGATCGGGTTCAGACTATTCGAAGTTCCTGTCGGCACATTCGCCGCTGCAGCACGCGAGTGGAGCATCGGCAACTGCTTGTTCTAGTGTCAAATCCTGAACGACGCAGAGAAGAACTTCGGGTGGTCATTGCAATGGGGCGAGGTGAGCCTCATTGTTCGGTGTCAAGAGTCCTGGTGCATTTGCTTGGCATTGTTGGCAGCATTCCACAAGCACTTCCTAACTATGACACGGCTGCTCTTCTAAGGGTTTCCTTTCTGGAGATCTCAGACACGTACTGACGTCCATAAACTAATTCTACCGTAGATTGGTCGTCTTGAGCAATCAAAGGATACAGTATAATTTGAGCGTCGATGGTGAAGTACAATTTATCAACAACAATGGACGGTAATGCATTAGTATGCACCAAGATCTGGGCAACAAAGGAAGACTTTCATCCACGAACTTTAAAGAGGGCTGAAGATCAGAAGAACATCCTGGCAGGCGAGGGAGCAAAGCAAGCCATCGGAGAAGAGACAGCATGCACAGCTGAACGAAACCGTGCCCGGGGCCATATCGCACGGAGACTTCAGCAATGATGCATGGACGCGAAGCGTAATGTATCGAGATGAGGCAACATGGCCGTTCTGATCTCAAATGATCAGTCATCAAGTTGGCCACGAAAAAATCTTCAAGTGAGGTGGACTGTGCCTAGATGAGCTGTGCAACTTGCCATTGATGCCAATAAATTTGGAGGAATAATGTGTACTAGAATGGTCACTGTTCATCAGACCACAATCAAGAAAATCAAATTTGATTGCTACTCTAGACTCCGTAGTATAGACAGTGAAGCAAAAATAGGTTGCCGTTCATTACAAATTCGTTCGCACGCATCATTTCCGATTTTCAGCCTTTTGGAACACCAAGCATTCATCCGAAAATTAATCTCAAAGAGTTGACAGGCTGCTGAACCACCTGGTGTGCCGACATGGATCGTGTGAGACATCGCCGTCGTCCCATCTAATGTGGTCAGCCCTGGGACAAAATACCAGTCAGCTTCCTCCAGTGCCCGCTGCTTTCAAAGTTTTTTAAATGCCCACACCACAAGCACTATGATGTAGTAAGGAAAAGTCCGAGGAATCTTTGAAAAGGCTGGAGAAAGGTTTCACCCATCGAATGTGGGAGCAGACATCGACAAACTTGAATAAGAATTTCTTGTTGATCAATCTGATCTCCAACCTTGCAGAAAAGCTCTTCGGCTCATGATCAATGAGGTCTCAGAAAGAATAAATGAGATAAGACCCTCCTAATTCTCCTGACCGGCTTCGTATTTTGTAACGATTGCAATATGTAGATGCCTTTTGTTTTCTTGCTCAAGTGTCATCAAGATGCTGATGTAGTCTGGTCTGGCTGAATCTACAGAAAATTCGAATTCACGTGAGCCACTTTCTGGTTTATTGAGGTGTAAAATGCTGGACTATGGGGTCAACTTCGAAGTCACGGGCGCGGACATTGATATTCGTACAGAAGTTCCAAGGATTTCGGCCTCAGAAACACCACTGGAGCATGACTGATCAAGTTCAAAGGATAATCGAGCGCAGAGGTATAATTCTCACGGAGTGGCTTGAGCCAGTAACACGAAGATGGCCAACTTGCGAGGATAACAATGTTGTGTGTCTGATCCTGAGAGTCCTGCAGTCTCATTGTTTCTATTAGCTGACATACTGGATATTGAAAGCCTGCTTGGTCAGGATTGAAGCCATGGGTGTGAATTACCTTACGTTCCTAACTGAGAACATGCATTCGGGATGGCGGCGTCCGTAGAGGTTTTGATCGTGGTTAGCTCTTGAAACACCAACCAAGCTTCTATGTCGATGGGAGCTTGGCATTCATTTGTGATGTTCTTCCTTCCCACCTCGATCTCTGGGCCCATGTCACAGCATTCCTGAAACGGTGGAACTTGATGATGCTCTCTTATGTCGCCAAATAGTCACAGAGCCCTACCCTTGGAGGACAAACAATCATTTCTTATTGCCCAGGACCAGGGTCCACATACTCCGCATTGTTGAAGCTTGCCGGTCCATAACTCAATAAGTAGAGACAGAGATGTACATCATGAAAAGGTAGCAAGTCTTGACTTCTGTTCCCTGCGGCACATCTCCTAACATGGAAATGACCCTATTGGCGGAGATGACCTTCAGTGCTGTGCGCTAAAGCACGACGCACAGATGAACATCAACAGTCTTATTCGTTTGTGCATGTAGACACCGCTGATGGGTGCATATCTTCAAAATCCATCGTTTCCTTCCAGCTTGGATTTGGATTCGCTGGACTGGCGTACGCACGTCTTGCAGACGAGCATCCAACACCCTCATAATCCAGTTCCAGTAATGCATCGTGATACAGCAAAGAAACACCAACATCTCATGTGTGCTATTTCCAGAATGTAGATTGTGACTGTTCGCATCGGACGAATCGACCCATACTCTCATCATGTCAAATTTTGGGGCCGACTACAATTGGCTGGGTCTCCCGCCTACCGTTTTTACGGCATTGATTTGATCATCTAATCAATTACTGTATCGCCATTAAGTGGTTTCAATACTGGAATAGAGAAGGTGCATCCGATATTGAGATGCAACGTAACGCTTCTTGTGGCCAGAAATGGTTAAGCAAAATCACTTATATCTGCTTCTGTACCGTGGTTGACAGTAACCTAATCTTACCGGAGATCAGTGCCGCAGAGATGAATTGTGATATGTATGTAGATTTACAGATTGAGAGCGCTGATCAGATCGAGTCATATGCAAAGTCTGCTATAGCTCTCGTAGAAATTCCGAAAAAGGGAATAGGCTTCAGTGCCTCTGTTTCAGCCTGGGGAAGCTATCAATGATATGCAGGAGGGCTGGAGTTTGACACATACCAACTAGGTAGCACAGAATCAGGGTACGCCTGCAACAGGCCAGTTAACAGCCACATTCGGGGATTAACGGCCAATAATGTGTTGAAAGAGCTAAGAAGGCTTAGCCGGAGCCCGAGGAGCTCGAGATTAGCCGGTTACAGACCGACAATTCAGGGCATTCTTGGCATGCCATCGTCGCGCACACGCATGAATGATCTACAAGCATCTGGGGCACCGACGCCAAGTCGCAGACACCGAATCTGACGCCGGCTGCATCCGGAGCTTTGGCAAGGTTGAGATTCGCATAGTGAATGTGGCCCTACCTCGCCCCCAATGCGATGCAACACCAAGGGGTGCTGTAAGCAGGCTTATTGGAGGTGCCTCTCACTCAACACAAGGCAGTCACTGTGACAAGCTGGCAGATGCCGTATGGCCTAGGGTTCCCTGAAGTAGAGAATGAAATCCAGTCCCCCAAAACCATCGACTAGTCCGTGTATTTTACTCTGTCCTCAAAACATCACATGCAATGGTCATGAGCTGTATTCAGCCCAAGGCTTTCTTTTCTTAATCTTTACATTTCCGGTGGGCTTTGAAGGATTAGTCGCCATGAATCGCATCGGGGGACCGCAAGGAGTAGCTTCCGTGGTGGTTTTGCTGGCGTCTCTAGTCGTGGCTGCTGGAGAACTGGTCGAGCGACAGAATCCTTCATTCATCACTGCATTACCGACAGTGGCAGCGACGACATTTTCCACTTCATCCATTACGCCATCGTCCTTTCTCCCTCCTAGCCCTTCACCAAATGCTCCTCAGCAACCGGATCCGATTTTCACGCCGAGTCCGTCAAATACCGTTGTCGCCTTCTCGTCAGCACCCCTTCCACCAGCGATTCTACCATCGTCACCAGCTATTTCAGCTACTACGCCGCTTGCCACCTCCTTTCGACCTACAACAACTCGCCCAACTCAGGCAGAAGCGAGTGCAGTCGAGATCAAAGATGATCATTACTTTGGCGGGACCCCAGGATTAAACCCAGATGCACCTGTCACTGGTATCTTCTTGATGCTGTTCATCATTGGAGCCCTCGTCTATGGATGGATCTACTGGAAGAATGCCAAACGACCAACTCGAGGCGGCAACGGAGATATCCTGTCGGGGCTGATGATCTGTTTCTGCCTTGCTGAAGCCTTGGTGTGTATTCTTCGCATCGCTTGGGCCAGCACAGACATGCGACCGGCGGTCGTGTTCTTTGCACTGGTGTCCGAAAGCATTGGGTTAGTCTTCTCTCTGCCAGTATTGAATTGGTAGGCCTGCGGCTGACAGCAAGGACTCAATAGCAGCGTTAGTTTGTTCACAGTGAATTTTCTTCTCACAAAACGCCTGGTCCGTTTGTTTGACCTGCGTTCTTCGCTCTGGACGAGGAGTATAATTTCTTCCGTGGTCAAATACGCCATGGCCAGCGCATGCTCCCTTGTCACACTCCTACATATCGTCGGAGCGGGTTTACACGAATTCAGTAGAAATGCTGGGGAAATCGAGCTTTCAGGAGCAAGACTTTTGCAGGCCAGCACCGGTCTCCTCATGGTCACTGGCTTTATCTTTCTGGTTGTCGTCATAGCAGCGAGCACAGCCGCCGACCGCTCGAAAGTCGACGAGTTCACTGCCAGGATGATTATATACTTCGGTGGAGCCGGACTATTGACAATGACGAGCCAAATCGCACGATTCGCCTCAACCTTCATCATCTGGAAGCCGACAGACCAAGTCTCTGCAGGAATACTATCAAAACCCGTGTACTACATCACAGGTTTTGGAATGAGTGTGTCGATCATTGTCCTTTACGCGGCTGCCAGAATCGACCTACTCTTTGGCAAGATGCCTAACTCGAATGGGCGCTCATCACCACGGCCTTCGCAATTAGAGCAACTGGAGACACCAATGACATTGAAACCCAAGCTGAGAGAATCGCCATTGCGTTTGAACCCTATCCTGACTCCCACGGGCGATGACGGGCGGTATCATAATCACAATGATTGGACGGATAGTCGGAGTCCTCTGTCAGCGTCCAGTACCGGCACGTTCACAATGGAGAAGGCGGGCAATTTTGGATCTGGATGATCACAAGCTTTGCTCACTGCTTTCCATGGCCCAATTTCCTACTGACTCAGAAGAGTTTTTGGGCTCGACATCCTCGGAACGGATTGGTCTTTTTCCAACAACTAGAAGACCCATAAAATCATAATTCAGCACGTCGAGAAAGGCTGGAATGTATCACCTGTGTAGTATAGACATCATGTATTTAATGATAATACCCCCCACCCGTCACAACCTCCGATCAAACCTTATTTTGCCAGCCTCGTTGTCCAAGTATAGTACCAAATGTTTGAATGTCTCGAGCAGCTTGCTAAATGTTTTCGGTGGGTGACGGTGAAACATGACAGCCGGAAACTACTAGCCTTACACTCTGGGCCGCTGTAAGGCTCAGCATTCAGCATGCACGAGCCCGTACCCCCCAACTTGTCATTCAAGAAGATCTCAAGAGTGCCGCTATTTCTTAGGGCCGATGCTTGCTTTCGGGATCTGCTCGATCCCTCACATTGTGTGCGCGCGGCCAGGGCGGCCGAGCATAATGCGATTCTTGGAACCATGTCCTTGCATGATGCGAATTGTATCACATGCGCCAGGCGTCACACCACGATAATACACCTTACGGTGCGGCACCCCTGGCTGCAGCAGTGTGGTTACATCGAATCTTGCGGAAGAGGACCCAACAACCAGGTACCTCTCGAGTCAACCATTATTCATCGACATGCCAAATGCGTAAGAGATCTTGCACTACTGGGTGACGTGATGGCTGTGAGACATCTTTCGAAGGCAGACGGCCCAAGCTTGCATGTTTTCCTCACTCCACTTACCGAAACAAACAGCATCCAACCAACGGCCCGGGCGTCTCGGCGTTGTGTTCCTGGGGTTTCGAAAACATCTCAGAATACGTAGCCAAGTAGGGTGAGTCTTATGCCGCGGCGTTCTGATCACGTCGATCCCAGACCCGTAAGTCCCCTGCAGCAATTAACCCTTGCTTGCAGCTGCTTGACATGCGGCCACTCGGTTTCCCGCCGAGGCAACCTCAGAGCCGCATGTTTGCAATCATCACATCAGCAAAGGATCGTCGTATCAAGCCCCCATATATTCCCGGATATATGATCGACTGGCACGCTGGATCTCATGTCGCTGCCTATTCAGGAAAGGGAAGCTACCGAGATCTCGCGCGCATGTGCATAGTTGAATCTGGTCACATTATGGCCCGCTTTTGTCGTCTCGCCTGATATCCTTCCATCGCGTTCCCTTGCGTTTGCCCAACGTCCAGACGGACTGTTGCCTCATTGGGTTGGTTTCTGCGAATAAGACCTAGTCCATCTAATCTTCCAAACACATACCAAGGCTGCTGTTCGTCCTTCATGTCTGATTGTCGTCTGGACAAACGATGTTTCCCGGCAATGAGATGCCCTACATATCCTCCAGATATCCTCCGCACATGTACCACCCCGATGCACTCCACACGTAACATTAATCTACGAGAACTATGAATCCCTCACAACCGAGATGACTGGGCGTTTCTAGGTGTTCCGTTTCGCAGATGTCCTCCAACAATATTCAGCCGCAATGTTTCTCACCAAATGTCTGCTGCTCGCCGCGGCGAGCTACAACGTCCTAGGCGCAACGGGCACGGAACACATGAGACGAGACTTGGGATCGATCCAAGCCTCGCTCGGAGGCGTCAACACGGCGCTCGCGAGCCTCGACAGCGCCATCATCAACAACGCAGCGAGCCCAAAGGTCCTGATAAGCAGCATGAACGTCCTCCAGACAATCCAGCAGGCGACAACATCCATCAACGCGTCGCAGCCCCTCAGCCTCGCCGACACGTCGAACCTCAAGGCCACGACCGACAGCCTCGTGTCCAACGTCAACGTCACCATCACGGACCTGATCAACCAGAAGCCGGTGTTTGACGCCCTCAACCTGGAGAAAGTGGTTCTCATCCAAGTGCAGAACATCCAGGGCGCCGCCCTGGCGCTCGCGTCCACCCTCGCCAACAAGGTCGACCCGGCGGCTTCCAGCCTCGCCGTCGACGGCATCTACGACCTCACCACTGCCCTCCAGAGGGGCGTCATGGTCTTTGAGGGGAACACCGCGGCTGCCAGCACCGCGCCGCAGCCAGCCCCGGCGGCTCCTCCACCAGCTGCTTCTCAGGCTGCTCCTCCGCCGGCTGCTCCCCAGGCCGCTCCTCCGCCGTCGATTGCGCCGCCACCAAGCCCTCCGCCATCAAATTCTCAGCCACCCAGCCCTTTGCCCTCGAATCCCCCGTCATCTAGTCCGCCCAAAGGAAGTATTGGTCCCGGACCCTATACGATGATGATGCCGATACCCGGCACGTTTGAGGCGGGGGTGACTTGTATCTGTATGTGCCCTCCGGTCACAGCTTGCGGAAGCTCATAGCTGAGGCAGCCAGAGTGGCAGGCGGACTCTCATTCAGATCATTATCATTGTGGGCCTTAAATAGAACACTGCGACGTACGGCAATGCTAGGATGTCGAAGAACCAGGAGGCGAGGAAAGTTCTAGTCTAATAACTTTTAATCTCATTCAATTGCCACGTTGCAAGATTCCCATCAGATGGTGACCGAGCCCCTCAAAATGATCAAATGTCCGCTGCGCTCCAATGCCATGATCGAAAACACAAATGTGATTGTAATACGCCAGAGAAAGTTTCCAGATTGAGAACAACCAAAACCCTGCAACTTTGCTGACCCCAATGAGTGCCTTTGACCAAACGCCATGTGCTTTCAACCGCAGGTTGATAACATGAAGACTATCTGGGCGCGACCTCTTCTTGTTCAGACTCCGTGTTATCATATATGTCCCCAAACTTCTCCTTCAAGAAAGACGTTACTTCCGCGTTCACCATGAGCTTACTCCGCAGGAACTGCCCGTCACCCTCGATCTTTAGACCGCCGAGGCCCGTCGCCCTCGACAGCGCAACGTATACCTGGCCATCCTCAAACGCCCTGCTGAGGTTCACAATGACTCGGTCCAGAGTCAGACTCTGGGATTTGTGGATAGTCATCGCCCACGCCGGCGCCAGCGGAATTTGTGTCCGGGCGAGCAGGCTGTATGGCTCCTCATCGCCGAGCTGGTTGATGCTGCACTCAGCATAGACGGTGCGCCTTACGCCGTTGTGGAATTGCACCACAGGCCACTTCTTGACCGGCGCGGATTCGCTCGTGATAAACTGCTTGATTTCGGCCTCCTGTATAGGTGCATGTTCGCCTCTGACAATCCTCTGGCCTGGCTGTGGCTCAACCTTCCTCTGACCGCGGGAGTTGATCGTCTCCTTCATCGGTAACATCTTCGGATCGTAGTTTTCGAAGCTGCAAATAACACCTTGGGATCCATTGCAAAGACCTGCCTCGAGGTCGAGGTTCGTCAGGAGCACAACAAGCATTCCTCTTTTCAACTGGACGCATTTGGCCCAACGATGGTCTTCCAGTGCGTACAATGGGCGCTTCGTGTCGGGTGGAGCGGCTATTTCGGATTCATTCCCCCAGTCTCCGGGCATGCCTTTCTTTTGGAGATGGGGATGACTTTCGCGCCAGAGGAAACTGTCGTGACACCAATACACGAGTTTGACGCCTTTGAGCTGGTTGAACGCCGTTCGGTTGACATCATTGGCTTCCCTACGGGTGGAGTAGAGCTTCGTTGCCTGCGAGACTCGGCATTTGTGGTCCATGAGAAGTGATATCTCTGATTCTTTCATCTTGTGTCCTAACCGGCACTTTTGCAGCATTCGAATGAACTGCTTGTCATTCTGACGGTGGATTGTCTTGAGGTGGAAATGCACAAAGCCGCATTCGTCCCATGCCTTGCTCCTGAAAGCCCACTTGTCCTCATCTGCGTATTCGCCGTGAAGCTTACAAACGTGGACCAACCTCCCTTGGTCATTAACTTTGCTGGTCAGCTCTCTGCCACATGTAAGGCAATGTTGAAATGGCTTCACTGGCGGCAGCTGGCAGAAGTCACCAGTCACAACAATTTGGCAACCGCCGAAGGCTGGCTGCACAGGCAATTTGGGGTCATATCGGGCGGTTTTCATGAGAATGTTGAGTCTTTCGAGATGCAAATTTTCCACCATGCTAATCTCGTCGATCACGAGGACGTCGGTGTCGATGAGTCGTTTATACACGCTCTTTCCATGTGCTCCCTGCTTTATCTTGTCGATCGGGAGCTTGTGAGAACTTGGAGTCCAGCCTGCAAAGGTCCAGGTGGTAGAGCCGCCAACATTCAGCGCGGCTCTGCCTGTAGGGGCAATTATGCGGACCTGTTTCCCGCTCTGTCGTAGTCGCTTGACAAAGGCCTTGAGGACGGTCGACTTGCCACAGCCAGCAGACCCAGTGTAAAAGACATTGTGGCCCTGTTCGATCAAAGACACCAGTTCAGCCTGCTCAGGACATAGTTGAGGCTCGTCCGGGGGCGATTCAGGCTCGGATTTGATGATAGGGCCATGTTTTGGCTTCTTGCGTTTGGTTTGAGGCGGCTGAGCCCCCGTGTTCTGTGGACAAGTGGTAGCTTGTTGATATTCTGTAGGCACATGCGCAACAAAATGGCCAGGCGTTGTGTTCTCTTTGTTAGCTCCCATAAAATTCAGAGATGAAATTGTCCCATGACCTAAGAATTGGGAAGGCTGAGGAGCGTAAGCGGTGGGCACAGGGACCTGGACTGCCTGGGCTGCCTGGGCTGCCCGGACCGGTTCATCATCCAGCACAATGGGCCGGGCAGCAGTCCCTGTGGCTGGCATCTGATACGTTGGTGAGGTATAGCCAGCGAATATATTCGTCTCGGGCGGCATCTCATAGGAGTGCCTCGGCGGCCAGGACCATGACTGTTCTTGAGGTTGGAAATGCGAATGTCCCCCAGGATACCATTGTTGGAAGAATGGATTCACCGGAGACAAGTCTACATTACTGTGATTCATCCAAAAGTCCTTCTGTGGCTCATACACAGGAGGTATGGCCGTGGCGTTCCATGTTGGCTGGTGCGGAGGGGGGGCCATGACGTTTAGCAAGGGCGGCCCCCATGGCTGTCCCCCTTCTGGTGTCTGATTTGTGAGAGGTGGAACAGCCCAGCCACCCTGGCGGTCGTGGCCAGCAGCCATGGACGATACACAAGTTGCTTCTCGAGCCTGAGGCTCAGCAATTGATGCTGCCTTGACCGGACCATTGGCAGCAGCCTTGGCCAGGGCCTTGGCGGGGTTCAAGGCGCGTGGCCCCGATCGCGATGAGCCGGAGGGTAGGTGTTTGGCTGGAGATAGGCTGACATGGAGACCCGTGTTGTGCTGTGCGAGCTCTGAGTGATGAGGCGGGCCAGGCAGCCCCTTTCCTATGGGGCATTTGAGGTCATCATCGAGCAGACTAACGACGTCCAACTCGCCGATGACAGGAGGAGCCTTGCGCCGTCGTTTGGGCGGGGGAGCAGAAGAGCCGGGCCAGTCATTGTGTTGAGGCTCGTGAAGTGCAGCAGCGTTGGGCTGCACATGGTCACGGTGAGTCGGCGACGACGAGGGCGGTGTTATCTGAGATACCATGCCGAGTCAGGGTGCTCAGGATTGTTAATATGTAATAAGGGAGGGCAGAAAGGGCGGCCGTCACTGCCTAAAGACCAAAAGACGCGTCTCCGAATTCCACGAGACGCGTTTGACTGCCTGAGTGATTGCCCGACCAACCGACCAACCAACCGATCAAAGAGGCACATGGGTGCTTCGGTACATGGGTACTTCCCCAAGGGTTTAGACCCTGGAACACAGTACCCTCCCCCGATGTCCCTCCCACCTTCACCAACCAAGCGATTAAGAGTCAGTCAGAATGACTATTAGCCGTTCCTCTCTCTTGAGATTGGATAAGACTTATCCATATAAAAGCTGGTGGGTGAGACAGCATCCAGCCACAAAGAAATGGCCAAACAGCAAGCCTACGGCTAAACAGGCACATAAGGCCATTAGCGCACAACCCGAACGAGGGCCAGATCCAGGTCGACTTACCGGCAGCCGAGTCCAATGGCGACATTTGCCCGAAATTTTCAAGAATGGATCCCCCAATCATTATCAATCCCCTCCCCGTGCTGACGGAAACTAAGTTATCGTTGAAATCTGCTTACACAATCATGCAGCATGCACCATGCAGCATATTGGCGTCAACGAGAATAGATTTCCGGTAAACACCCTCAACGCCCCCTCTTCTCTCAGCATCTATCTATATCTTCGTCAGTACCTGAACATGCGTTGCCGTACCATATTGCTCTAGGCGCACACAATTGACCGCCATGGACACCAAAGTCGATGAGACCAGCATCTCCCGACCTGTCGTGACCGACATCCCTGATGACTACAGGCAGGATGGCTCTTCGGGCTCAACCAGCGATGGTAATGGACTCATCGAGGACCAGCAGCACCCCGAGCTGGACAAGCGTATCGTCCGAAAAATTGACCTGAGGTTGTGCACAATCGCCGGCATCCTGTGTGCACTCGACCTTATCGACAGCGGCATCATGTCCAGCGCCTCGGCCACATCCATGCCCCAGGATATCGGGCTAGTCGGCAATCGCTACTCGACAGCGGTGTGGATCGTCACTCTGGCCCAGGTCGTCTTCAAGCTGCCAGCCACGATCGCCCTGCGTTTTGTCGGACCGCCCATCTTCTTCACGTTCGTGACCATCCTGTTTGGGCTCATCACCTTGTGCATGGCCTACGTAGCCGACTGGAGACAGATGATCGCATTGCGGTTCCTCATGGGCTTAGCGATGTCTGGAATTTATCCTGGACTGGCCTATCTCATCTCCTCGTGGTACCCGCGCAAGGAACAGCAACTTCGCTTTGCCTACCTTCAATCCGGCCAGGTAATTATCGTTGCGACTGGCAGCATCGTCAACTACGGTCTCAATTTCCTGGATCATTCTCATGGCCTACGAGGTTGGCAGTGGATGTTTGTGGTCCAAGGGGCCATCACCATGTTCATCGGAGTCGTGACGTACCTCTGGATCCCTCATTTCCCGGAGAAAATCTCTAAAACACGCTGGTTCCTTACCCAGGCCGAAGCAGACGAAGTACTTGCTACTTTGGACAGGGAAAGCAAAGACGCCGGGGCGCCTGAGCCTTTCAATATGTCGGCAATTCTCATGCCGTTTCTGGATATCAAAATATATGCCTTCAGCATCCTGTTCTTTCTCCAGAACGTCGTCTCGACCGCCTTGTCCTACTTTATCCCCCAGATCCTCATCGGGATGGGATTCACGTCGGACACTTCGATCTTGCTGTACGCGCCGCCGTACTACTATGCAGTCATACCGGTCATCATCACATCTTTCATTGCCGACCGTGTGGCACTCCGCGGTCCGATAATCATCTTCAACGCTCTGTGTCTCATCGTGGGCATGTGTATGCTTGGGTTTCCTAGCAATGTCGCTGTGCGCTACGTTGGCGTGCTGTTTGCTACCGGTGCTTATGTCTCGAACTGGGCCGCAATGAATGCTTACCAAATGAACAACATCACGGGCCAGTGGAAGCGCGCCACCGTGGCAGCGACGGTCAGTGGCTGCAATGCACTTGGTGGAATTGCAGGATCATACATATTCAGGGCTGATGAGGCTCCATGGTACCCCACTGCCATCTGGATTAGCATTGGGAGCCATATCTTGATCATCGGAATTGTCATGTTGTGCGGTGGTCTGTTCTGGAGGGCCAACAAACGGGCGAGCGATGGCAAGGGCGTCATTGAGGGCGTTGACAGCTTTAGGTACATATACTAAAGCACGGGGATGCGGAGCGACTCAACTGAAGCTACGTCCTCCAAAAAGGCTAGAAGTTTATGGCGTGAACAGAATATCCAAATCCACTAGAGGCTTATATTTTATGCCCAGACCAGCTTTTTCTCGCGATCTAACGATTAACGATACATATATCTATATCCAAAATGGGCTTCGACTTGCTCTTACATCTGACACATATCAATACTTGATGGCCACAAGAACAAATACTGACTATGGGTCTCTTCTGCGATCGACAAGCATTGCTAGACCAGAACCCTCAAGAATTCTAGGTCGGGCGAATATGTTGCAAGGATATTCTTCCGTCTAGTCAGCGCTAAGCTTCTCAGCCGCATGCCCCACTGAAGGATCGATTGACAACATGGAGGCCTGAAGTCAACATCAGTACTTCAGCTGTTTAAGCTGCCTCCTGAATTTGTGTCAGGTCCTGTTTTCACTTCATTTCTCACTACATGTGTTTCTTCACCGGACATGGATCACCTACCTCTACCCAGAAAGTCTCTCCTAGAATCCATCGAGGTTCCTTACAGCTGCACAAGCGACTACGATGGAGGGCCGATGCTCGAGTACCCGTCTCGACGGGGCTGGGAAATCAAGTACTCGCCGTATGGCATCAGGTACCTGGACGAGAATGGAGTCAAGCCAAACAACGCAGACTTGGAGGCTTTCCTCCAGACCTGGCTGTACTTTGGATTTCTGCACGAGGTGTTCGGTGACTTCGCAGATATCAAGTCCTTTGTGACACAGAATACACAGGGCAAGCCTGTGGTGACTACTGCTCCTCTGGAAAATTGTTTAGGGGTCGTGTTCAAGCGTTGGGAGGGTTACTTTAAGTCGCAAGACCCGGACGGTTTGAAGGCCATCTTGAGCGTCTGCCAGCTGAATCAATTTGTGGGTTAGTATTTTATAGCAGGTCATTTCCTTCCCGTGCAATTTTCAAGCCTAGATCTGTAAGGCGCGTGGACTTGAGAGACACTGCGTTGATTGATGAAGATGAGCGTGGTTGGCTAACAAAGTTTAAGGGAAAATATCACTTAACACGAAAGTGTTGTGTCGGAATCAGGAAGTTGATGAGCGAATTTGGCTATCAATCGCCATTCTCAGCGAGACTTTGGAACGCATACGTACAAATCATTTTCTCCCACCGGTGGACGAAGATACTGAACGGAGCCTCACTTGGCGGGCCCCCGGAAACCCTGTGTTCGGACAGTTTCTTGTCGACGAGATGGCGCAGAAAGGATGGTGTCCTTTCGACATCGACAGGGTTGATAAGACGACAACTTCAGCGACATTGCTCTACTACCTGGCACACCTACCGCCCCCCAGGCCGGACGCGGACCATTCGCTCTGCACGAAAGACGTCTGCACGTCCATGTCGATCAACTCCTCTTACCAAACGAAGCATGTTGCAATGGGTTGCCCTTGCGAGTCAGAATTCTCAGACACCCCGAATGTCATGAAAGCTTTACAAGGCGACGAAGTCCCTCTCATCCAAGAAATGCTCCAGGTCAAAACAGTCGAGCATCCTTCAATGGTACCAGGTGGTAAGTCCACTTGGGTATACGCGGAAACCAAGGATGTAGACCCAAAGTTCCGAATCATCGAGAGTGGAGAAGGGAAGAAATTCGTCGCGATTTCCCACGTCTGGGCGGAGGGCCTAGGAAACCCAAACGGCAACTCGCTTCCAGCATGCGCTTTGAAATGGATTTCAGACAAAGTGGACCAGTTCGAATTTCAGACCGACCAGCCTGGGGGGTACCAACGAGAGTGGACCCACGATGTTGATGGCCTTTGGAAGATGCCCTTCTGGCTCGACACGATTTGTGTGCCGGTGTCCCCAGCGGAAATGTGGACAAAAGCCATGAATCGTCTCCGCAAGCCGTACCAGGATGCCGCCATTGTGCTCGTCCTGGACTCGTACCTCTATACACAGGATTCAAGGGAGATCGACGCCACTGAGGCGTGGGCGCGGGTTCTTTGCTGCAGTTGGTCCCGCCGCCTGTGGACCTTTCAGGAAGGCCGTCTGGCGAAGCCGGGGCGCCTGTGGATTCTGTTCAAGGACCGCCCGAGGTCTATGGAGGATCTTTGGTGTGAATTTAAGGAGTGTCTTGCCACCGAGGAGCTCACAACTGAGCTGCATCTCAAGTGGCGCGGCAGTAACGTTATACGGGGACTGGCGGAGACTGGTGGTCCAGTTTCCGAGAGCACACTACTGAACTTTAGGCCCGAGCCCGACATTTGGGACATGCGGGAATCGCTCAAGGCCCGCGCAGTGAGCGTGCCGGCAGATGAGGTGCTTTGCCTCTTCTGTAATATGGGCATGGACATGGAGCTTGTCATGCGCACGCCGCCCGAGGACAGGTTGGCTGTCTTCTGGAGGAATGTGAAGAAAATCCCAGTCGGGCTGGTCTTCTCGACGGCGCCGGAAAAGATGACTGTTCCCGGGCTCCGTTGGGCACCTAATTCTTTCCTGGGGAATATGGACCGCGCGCAATGGTATGTTGAGCAATGTCTTCGGCCTCGAAGGGACGGCTTTGTCACAGAATCCGGGTTGCAGATCCAGGTTCCTGCCCTGATGTGTGACCCGAAGCTCTTGCTCTGGGACGATTCATACGAGACGATATTTGAGAATGACGTGGCCCCTGTAAACCTCAGGGATGAAGAAGGACACTGGTATTTCGTCGAGACGCGTGCCTTTTGGAATCAAAGTCGAATGGAACAACCCAAAGAAAACGAGAGACTGGCTATTCTACATGTTGAGCACATCGAGAACCTCGACAGCAACCCATCAGGCACGATGGGAAAGGCTCCTGACCCTTTTGATTTCAAGTTATCGATACAAGCTCTTCTGGGCGTTGTGGAAGAGCCGATATCAGCCGAGGAAGGAGGGGGTGGGGAAGAGACTCGGAGCAGCAATGAAGGGGCGATGGCCGTGGGCAGGCCACCTGGTACGCCTGATCCCAGAGACTTGCCTCGTTTCCGAGGCTATCGGCACTTGAGCTTGCACAGATACTCGGACGCTTTGTGCCGCTACTTTCGCGCTGTCGCTTCTGCAGTAGAGTTGTTTGTGGCTATTGAGTGCGGGTATCAAGTGCGTTGTGTTGACGACTCCGGAAATGAAGTCGATCTACTATCGATGATCTTTGAGCAACAACCAGAGGATACTACGGGTTCTGCCTCAGAGGAGGCCGCTTGTGACAGTGATGTACAGGATAGTGGACCCGCACAAACTTCGAGTCCCAGAGAGCTTGTCCAGAAACTCGAAGAGGTGCAACTTGACCGTCCAACCGAAGACACTGACAAATTAACAAAAGAAGAGAGAGATGCTGATATTTTCGAGAGAAGATCGGAACTCTCCGGGTCGGATGATCAGAGCCTGGAAGACGAGGATTCCAACCGCGAAGAGTCTGGGACAGATGATGAAGACGAGGTGGAAACCTACAGAGAGACTCCAGACACATACACACTCAAGGAATCAAGCCGTGATCTTTGCCAGAAGTTCGCCGACAAGTTCGCTAGATTCGACCCACGGACTCGTGACATCACGCTCGCAGTGGGTGTCAACCGCGGCAGAGGCGAGGAGGCAAGCTACGATCACTTCGCGAAGTTGGCAAGGTTTCAGCTGCAGATGAGAAGGAGGAACGGAATGAAGCGGCTGAAGCCAGAGACATGGTGGCTCATCGACTGATTGGTGCATGATAACTAACTAGCTTCAGGCAAGACAATAAGCTATGCGCAGGCACGTGGCGGGCTAGCTAGTCACGCTTGCAGTGTCAGGCAAAGTTTAAATGACAAGCCGATTCGTATTGGGAAAAGGGGATAAGCTTATAGAAACAATATTGACAAGCCTTCTTTACCCGAATCTTGTGTCGGGTAAAGATTTTCATAATTGCCCTACCTTGGTACCGAAAATTCTCCTAGCTCCGTACCGGAGTATGTAGTCTATAATGTCCGTTTGGCTCAGGAGCTACTGTCAAGAACTGTGATAGAGCTCTAGGCCGATCAACCTGGCCCTGGACATGTTTGCCTGTGCATTAAAAGTTGACCGTCACGACATTATCGATTAAGCACAAGTTCATTCAAGCTTTCGGTACGTTAGTTCCAATCTCGCCGTGTTCTATTTTGATCATCAAGCTTACCGGGCGACATTAATGTCACCTAGCTAACGGGAGACAAGCTCGCCCCTAACATGCATGACAAACTTTGGATGAACTTTAACTTAAATTTTTCAGATGAACATGCGCTCCCTCTCTAGAGCACGAAAACAATCGAAGACTGGCTGGAAACAACCCACAAAAACCATTGCCGAAAAGGAAATACATGAAGTGAGTTCAGTGTTGCATGCGAGAGTAGTGGACCGCAACGACTGTGTCAAGTATAGGCGCCTACGGCCCTCCGCCTTGGCTCGGGGATTTATCCACCAAACAGGCAGCAGACAGCCAAGCCACGTCGGTTTATTCGTGGCTTCAAGCTCATGCCAAGACTCAGTTAGCGTCGCCGTATTAGTCCCGTGGTGTCCGTATATTCATTCTCTTCGCACTTCACGCCATAGTACCACCCGAACATTACCTACGTAGCAAGGAAGTCAATTCTGTCTTAAGTAACAGATGAATAACTCTCGCCGGTCAGGTTCCGTGCACATAATAAGTTGTGCATTTGCAAATCACCTCCGAAGCAGCCGTCCACCAATGATTCCGATAGCAATATGCGGAGCCAGAGACACCGCAATAGCCTCCTCATGCCCATCAAGGGCCCACGGGTTGGTTGCCATGTCACTATATAGCCCACTTCTTTCGACTTGGTCCCCCCTCACTTCCAACGCTTGGTCAGCCTTCGTTTGTTAGCCATTGCGAGGTACCAGTTCCGATCGTCTCTCAACATGAAGTCACTCTTTGCCTTGCTCTCATGCGCCACCACGGCTTTGGCGGCTAGCCGTACCTCGCCCCCCTCGGGATGCATCAGTGCCGGCTCTGGTGGTACTTACAGCACCATTCAAGCGGCCGTCAACTCACTGTCGACCACATCGACATCAGCCCAGTGCATCTTCATCTATCCCGGAACTTACAAGGAGCAAGTCCTGGTCTCTGCCCGTAGCGCCCAGCTGACCATCTACGGATCGACGACGGACACGACCGGCTATGCTGCCAATTCAGTCACAATCACCGGCTCGAAGAGCCAGGCTGACGGTCTGAGCAATGACGAAACAGCCACGCTCCGAGTCAAGGCTGCCAACTTCAAGCTGTACAATGTCAATGTCGCGAACACTTATGGCAAGGGCAGCCAGGCTGTCGCGCTGTCCGCATATGCGAACTCGGGCTACTACGGCAATGCCTTCACCGGATACCAGGACACCCTGCTCGCAAACACAGGGACGCAGCTGTATGCCGGTAACCTAATCCAAGGCGCGACTGATTTCATCTTCGGACAAAATGCTGCTGCCTGGTTCGAAAACAACGACATCAGGGTGGTGTCGGCTAGCCTGGGTTATATCACTGGTAGGTCCAAATCCGCAACACAGCCTCAATATTGTCATGCACTAACGCGATCCCACACAGCCAATGGCCGGTCCTCCTCAAGTGGCACATCCTACTACGTCTTCAACAACTGCGACGTTGCCGCCGCATCTGGCAACAGCGTGAGCAGCGGCGCATACTACCTCGGAAGGCCGTGGGGGGAGTACGCACGGGTGGTATTCCAGAAAACCTCGATGAGCGCCGTCATCAACAGCGCTGGCTGGCGAATTTGGAATACTGGTGATGAACGTACCGGTCATGTTCTGTTTGGTGAATATGGGAACACGGGGGCTGGAGCATCTGGAACTAGAGCTAGTTTCGCGACCAAACTAAGTTCCCCGGTGGCCATCACGACGATCCTTGGCAGCAGCTACGCTTCTGCGGGTTACTATGACGCGGCCTATATGTGAAGTTGGGTCAATGCGGCATGGGGGTAACCGAGACTGCAGATATGTGGACGGTCCGGGGTCGATGAGGTTGAGTTGCTCCTGTCGTTATTACACAATGTTGCGGCCTTCTTCTTTTCTATGAGCTGCGCTATCTCAAGTGCCTAAGAGAAATGCCTGGGAGACCTCGAGATCCTTGACGTGGCGCTCGCCTTCTCCCAAGGAAATTTTCCAATAAGCAACAAATAATTAACGCCCACAGCAGCACGTCTTATACTATCCTGCTCCAAGTGCCTCCAATATCAAGTCAATAACAGATAGCACCATAATGACAAAATCGAGCGTAGAATAAGAAATTTCAACCGTCAGTATCATCAATATCATATAATCCAAAAGTTCAACTGTTTGTTAGTGTCACACCGGTGTTATAAAAAGAATCAAGCAAGAGTTAAACGATTGGTTCAAGTAATAAACTTGGACCATTGGGTACACTAAATATTTAGTGCCCAAAAGCTGTCTGATGGCCAAGGGCACAAGGCTGCCTGCCCACAAAGACGCCTATCGCTCGAGCTTAGGTAGAAAGCACCCAAGCCGGGACACTAGATCAATCTATACTTGCCAACAAATTTGCTTTTCATCTCCAGTCTCCGAACAAATCCCAAGTCTCCCCCTCTTCTTTTCACGCAGGACGACCGAATTCCCTCTTCTAATCACCTGTAAGGGAAGCAAGACACCCAAAGATGTTCGAAACATAAAGCCCTCTACGACTTCATGGGCTCCAAGACTTGTCACTTCCGAATTTCAAGGTAAAGAGCGGTACTGTTCCAGAAATCTACAGCCATGATCACAAGTGCTTGACCAGAACTCCCGGAATCATCTGGCCATAAAGGGACAGAGTGATTTGGATTATTGCAACTTCGGTACTATATAGCCAATCACTTCGGACGATATATCCTTGAGGAAAGTTGCTCGCAACTACATATTACCCTGGCCAGGCCGAAATAACGACATCGGGCCGGTTCCTCATCTCAGGGGCTCGTTTGACCTATTGCGTCTTCCAGCTACCTTCGGAGGTATGCCTCTTTATTAGTCGCTCCAGAGCAGAGTGATCCACCATCGACGAAGGAATTCGAGAAGCTTGATTACCAAGGCCAAGGACTCAAGTTTATCCCATCAAAACTACGCCACTATGATCAGGACCTTGTCAATGTGACGATATTGCCTTACCACACAAAACACGGGCACATAATCAACAAAATGGACTTACCTGGTCGCGAGTGCGCGATTTGCGCCCATTACATTCCCTTTGCCTACGAAGATGATCCGAAGAAGCGACAAGAAGATGGAGAACCGGCCGTGGATCAAGGCGCAGGAGAAGATTGTCGTCCTCGGGAGTTTCCCCCAAATGAGACTCTGCAGATTTGCAGTAAGAACCATGCGATCGACGCATGCTACTTTTGCCTCGACCAGTATGTTAGCGTGGGGTTGGATACCCGTGGGGCTGCGGCCTGCGGGGCAATGGATTGTCTTCATCCTGACTGCGATCACAAGTACACCTTCGATGAAATCAAGCAGATCACAACTCCGGCGACATTCTCGCGCTACGATGAGCTTCTTACGCGCAAGGCTGTCACAGAGCAGCCAAACTTCCGCTGGTGTCTGCGTTCGGGCTGCGGCGCAGGTACCATATATGACCCAGGCGATTCCTTGTCTGAGTTGACCTGTCAGGACATGGCCTTTGAGCTGTCCCTGGAGCTCACGCAGCAAGAGAGATTGATCACATGCTCAGAATGTGGCTTCGAGATGTGCTTTGTGCACCAGGTCCCTTGGCGAACAAGACCTTCAACGGTGGCTCACCAAGGACAAGGCGCTCCTGGGCCAGTATCCCCGGAGGGATGCCAGGGTTGCAAAGACGACCTGCTCAATCGAGGAGAAGAGACCAGTGAAGCATGGATCGCCAAGAACACGAAGGAATGTCCTGGCCCACAGTGTAACGTTCGAATCGAAAAGGATGACGGCTGTCCACACATCATATGTACCATTTGTGGTTTTGAATTCTGTTGGAAATGCTTAGGTAGATTCAACCGATCTCATAGACTCGGCCGAGCGTGTCATCCAGCGCGACCCCCCGGTGAGGCGGATGAGGGACCGATGCCGGGCTGGCTCACAGACGCCGACCTCGAGGACTTGTTTTCCGGGCAAGTACCGGATCTTGAGGATATGGGAGGCCGAAGAAGGCCTCTCCCCTTTGAGGAGGAAGTTGTCAGGCAAGACCAGGGAAGAAGAACGGCCCATGCACGCGCTCAAGCGCGCACACGACGGCAGCGACAAGCAAATAAACATGAACAAGCTTTTCAGCAGTCACGACCTGGACAAAACCATCCTCGACCATACCATACCCAACAGCTAAATCCACAGATGCAAGCCCAACAAATGGCACAGCCTGGCTGGGGGCGACGCAACACAACGTCGGGCCTGCTATACACAGGCCCACACACGAATATGTTCTCTCCAGGCGGACCGCAGCCTATGACACAGCCAAACATATGGGGCAATCCTCCTGTCCCCGGACAACCATTCTTCGGTAGCGCTGGGCCACAGCGCTACTTCGAGAATAGGGGCGGGCCACATGCTGTGCCTCAGCCCGGAGCTATGCCGATGCCATATCCTGCGCACACCAACGCTGTCGGTGGATGGCCCCACGTGCCGATGCCATATCCGGCGCACATCCCCATCAATCCACAAATGTACCATGGGCATCCCGTAAATGGACCTCATACACACGGTGGCTTCGCGGGAGGATGGTCCCCCCAGGTACTGACTGGACCTTGGGCTGGGCCGCGGGTACCAGTGCCCCCTGCCCCACAGAACGGACAGGCCCCCTTTGAAGCTTTCCCTTCCACACCCTACTTCGTTCCGGAGAATCCTTTCAACCTCGATCCTAGATACCATGGTCATATTTGATGAAGGAATAGGAGGCCGCTCTTAGCTGGGTCCGCGACCACATTTGTGGTCGGGTTGTGGTGTGAATGTACTCCTTCTCAGTGGTTGCTGGGTGCTGCTCAAGCCAAACTTTCCGATCCTTGAGCTGGACGCAACTTTATTTTGATTAAAAAAGAAAAGAAAAAAGCAAAAAAAAGAAAAGAAGAAAAGAAGAAGAAAAGCAAAGGGGAAAGAAAAGGGGAAAGAAAAGGGGGGGGACAAAAGTTTATCAAAAGGGCGAAATTAAAGAAAATCTACTTCAGTGGTTGCACAAGACGTGAGTGGCAGAACTTTCCGTGGACTTGTTCTATCACAAGGACAGCGTACACAGAAATTGGCACCCGCAAACTTGTTGCAAAGAAAAAAAAGTCTAAGAGCCTTAAAGCTACCTGGTTCTATATCTTGGCTTAGGGTGTCACTTCTGATGATTCAATGGAAAGCATTGAAGGAACACCCATCAACTTCGCTTGAGAACACCGATCGCGGGCACGCAGTTAACTTGATATAAGTGATAGTTTCAGAATGCTATTACCATCTTCGTGAAACTACGCATGTTCTGATTTGAGAGATTGCTGACTTACTCACCCCTCTTCCATGATTGAGTCGCCCCAAGTCATCTGTCACATGTACAACAATAGCGTGGCCTCGCAGTAAAGTTGGAGCTGCACACTTCACCAATCCAGGATACCTTTACTGGCACAATTAGTGCTAGTTGCTCCATATTAGAGAACAGGAAGGCAAATATGATAAGTGAATCTCCCCAATATCAAGCAAACTGTGGACGAGGATGGCCCTTGCAACCCAGGGTTTTATTCAAATGATTGAGAAGCAGTGGCCTCGGCACTGATAATTTGAGACTACGACAGTTCGAGTTCCTCGGTCTTGTTATGATGCGACGCGGTACCAATAAACCCAAATCGACGCGAAGAGAGCCACAGGCTGCTCGTGCCAGGGGCAGAAGTCAATACACTGGCACATGTATGATGTGGGACAGGAATATTGAGATTCTGATAGAAAGCCAATGCACGCGCTGTTTCACATGGACACCCAAACCAAAGTGCCTCGCTGGAAAAGTGGGATCCTGTCACTTTGGCCGATCTGCTCGAGTGATTAGCGTCTAGCAGAGTATTCGCCACTTTCATTGAAAGAATCCTCCGCAACGTGATTTACTCTCAGAATGTGTGCAGAAGCAACATACCCACATTGAGGCCTCGAGCTGCTTCGCGATGTGGAATTGTGAAACTTGAGACGGTCTGTCTATGATACTTCAGTCCTGGTCCCGTTATTCCTGCCATTAGTCCAACCGCAAAATTGTTCTCAAAATTCTGCGCCCCAGTCCCAACCTCATGTCATTTCACCCTGCATCCCTGATGTCACAGATCTAATGTTCAGGAATGTGGCTTCTTCCCTCGAGCCAGTTGCTTGTCCATTTCAAGAAAAATGGCGTCACGGCGCTCTCGGCCCAACGCGAGCACCGCTGTGCGTGGTACAGGACACACCCAGAAGCCAATGATTGCAGAATAGTTGATTCCACTCAGCCTCTCAACCAGGGCTCGGTACTTGCTATTGGGCTCGCTTGATTGCACGATCTGCTGCATTATGGAACCCAGTCTGGCTTTCCACTCCGTATTATATCGCAGAAACTCGGTGGCACCATCCTTTCTGTTCGGAGGGTAGTACTGCAAGTTCTGGGGTGTGTCGATTGCTACCTCCGGCATTGGTATATCCTCGAGGCTTGCGCATTCTTGTTCAACGTACGCCTGTACTGACACTTGCTGACACTTCTTTCGGACAGCCGAATATGTCCCCGAATCACACATAGCAGAGAAGTGCACGAAGTAAGACTTGATGCAAGGAAAAAGGCTGAGGAATTCGAGGTCCCGCTTGACAAGAGGGAGCGCGCTTCTCACCCGGTAAAAGAGCGCAATTTCATCTTCGTACGCCAACGAATCGGCTTCCTTGAAAGCGATGTTCTGAACCTGAGCGTTCCATCCACGAGTGAAAAAGATCCCACGTGAAGTGAAATGGCCGAGAAAGCTGTAACCAAAAGGCACTCCGTTTGGTTCCATCAGCAAACCATCAAGCATCACAACGTCGCTAGAATAGTTGAACCTCATAGAAGCTCGTAGTCCGTGTAAAGGAAGGAGGTCGGGGTATTGCAGGATGATTTCGTGCCTCGCTTCCCGGCAAACAGCGGAAAGAGCAGCGATGCGTTTGCGGTGCTTCATTGCGCTGTCGTTGGGAACAAGGGATAAGGCGGCACCCGCAGGGTTCTTCTTAATACATAAATAGAAGTGACAGGGAGCGAAGTCGGGCATGGCGGCTTTCCAGACCTTGATACGGATCTCTGGAAGGAGTCGTAGGAGATAGAAAGTTTCACCACATGTCATGTCGTCGGGCACCTGCAGGGTGTATTCGGCAGACTTGAGCGCGGTCGCGGCCAATGCCATCATGAGCGTGTAATAGATCTGCGGCATCATAGTCAATTTACACATGACCAGCCCACGCCACACGAGACTGTTAGTCGCGAAGAAAGCTTACTGTTTAACGATTGGCGGACGAGAAGTGTTGTACTGACCAGGCGAGCAAAGGACCTGTGTGCGATGGCAGGGGACTATTAGGCGGATCACTTTGCGACTTTGCTGCTAGAGATGGGATCAGCTTGATGAAGATGCAGCTTTGTGACAATAAGATCCGCGTTGGCTGATGAAATTCTAGAGAGCGAGAGGATTGAAAGCTGGGTATTTCTACTTGGTCGTCTTAGGCGCCAGATTTCTTTTCTTTCATTGTGGTTTGGGGGTGGAGGGTTTCAGACTGTTTGTTTTTCATAGCGAGATTCCAGGGGAGGTGCTTTGTTCCCGCATGAAGCAAGTCCTGCAAGAATGATATTGTCTTGAGCCTTGCCCAACATCTCCCAACTGGGTGGTACAAAGCTGAACAGGCTAGTTCTTTGTATAAATGTGAAGACTTGTTGATATGGCTGCACTACTCCAGGGAAACCTGTCGCTTTGAGTTCAAATGTTGCAAAACTTTTGGCACTAACGGCCGGCATCGTGGGGCCTCGGAAGACCTGAAATCCATGGTCATCATAGCCTCATTTCATTATCCTGGAAAAGTATTACGTTGTTCATAAAGTTCGGAGACTCCATACCAATACATGATTCGTCTCTCGTGCTCCTAGGTCTCATCAGCATTGATATTGATCCAGCGAATGCCACATGCGCCACCTGATCGATGTCAAGGCCGGACAGGGGGCGTGGCATTCTCCATTCATCACTTGGACGTCTTATCTCCGCGACCTCCTGGACGAGCCTGAATCAGTTCTACCCACCATGGCCAGCGACCGCAGAGATTGTGTTTCGTCATGCTCCTCGCTGGCCGCTCCGCGCCTGAGGTTGCGCAGGCTCTGCAGCCCAGCCCGATCCATGCCCGGTTTGATGCCCACCTGAGCTTCGCGCACCGGACTGCCTGCTCTCGAACGGGTTCTTGAATGCGTTCGTGCGCGCGACGCTGCTCTGATGGCACGGTGGTCTGAAGTGCGAGGTGGATAAGCAGCGCTGCTGCTTGCTTGCTCCCACTCTTCCTCTTCCTCTTTCGCTTCGTCACTGGAGCTCTCCTCAATGTCCTTCTCTGCAGCATTTGTGCTACCTTCAAGCGGATGAACATCTTTAGTCTGTTTCTCGGCGACGGTCGTAGCCTCAGCTGGGGTACTATCATCGTCCCCCGGTTGGCTTTGCGCCACCTTGATGAGTGATGCCGTGCTGTTTCCCCATCCCCTGGTCCCAGCAGCCTCGGATTCGCTCCGCTTGCGTTCGCAGTAGTCACCTAGCGCGTCTCGTAGGATCTGCCGCATAAACGCCTTGTTCACGTTCTTGCGCACCCGGTCGAAGTATTTCACCACATCGCCGACTACCATGACTTGGGCTTCGTGGTCTACCTCTATAATATCTGCGTAATTTGCGCGGGAGTCGTCCTTCACTTTGTGGCGGCCGCTGTGCAAGTTAATGCCGACGGATGAGTACGGGAGTTGCGGATGGCCCCTTTCCTGCTGGTTGGAAGCTTGGGACTCGGCGCCATCACGGTCTCGGTCTCGGTCTCCTGAGGCATAGACGTGTCCTTGTTGTAAAGTGTCTATGCCTGGCTTCGCGAAGTTTCTCTTGCCGCCTACGGATATCGGCCTGGCGACGCCATCAGCCGGATGTGATGATCAGCTTCGGGGGCGTCATTGTACGTACACGCAAGAGCAGTGCATAGGAAAGCTGTCGGAATGCCGGAGCACGATGAATCTGGTGTATCCGAGACACTTCCATTCATATTCGAATTCCGGGCAGTCGGCCCAAAGGAATTCAAAAACCTACTGCTGGGTCAGTGGCGTCCCAAGATTGTTTGGCAGAGATCAGTTCCGCTCACGTCTCCTATTTGCAGCTTTGACGCCGGGCCGATCTCATAGCCCTTTCGAACTTTGTGGCCTATCGTGTCAGCATTCCCAGCAAGCTTGGCACCGTGTCATGCCACTCACCTAGAGGATGCAGGGAAGAGGACGACCTGTCCGTCGCCTCGTCGCCTCCATACCCGGAGTCACTGCCCGCCACTGTTCGAGAGTATTCGCTTTTCCCCATCCCTTGCGAGATAGTTATCAAGCAAGGGGAGAAGGGGGAATGGGGAGATGATCAAAGAGGGGAGAGCAGCTCCAGTCAAATACACCCACCAGGGGCATCATGATTGCCTCAAATCTGGAACGGCTGCATGCAGGTCCCCATTCTGATGCAGTAGCTCAGACCCACAATTAAGCTGGTGGCTGCGGAAATGCTGCCCAAGGTCGATTTCAAGGCGGCCGACAATCCAGCTGACAAAACACTGCGATTTCAAACCCTATTTGCTCGTCTTCCCATAACATTTGATCCCTCCTGCCTCGGGCTGCAGGCCGTCGGGTGGCGTGCACGATGCCATCTCCACACCGAGTCATCGCCACCAATCGCCTTGCTAGTCCACCCTGACCGGTGCAGGTGAGCAGCCAACGACCATTTCCTGCGCTATATGCGGCCCCAAGCCCGAGAGATTTCGCGGGCGCTTGAAATCAATGTGAAGCGGCAAAGTGGGTCGAACTTCCACGTCAGAGTCCTCCACACCGCTTGAGATCAGAAGGAATCTGGACTGCATATTGGGCTTTCATACAGCCCACCTTGTCATTCACTCACATTACTGTCAGGACGGCGCACATCAGCAACATGCCAAGCAGAACTCACAGACTGACAGGCAACATCGTCCAATGCGTATATGATTCAATAGGTAGCTACCTAGCCTTTCTACAACCTGCAGGGATCCAAAGGTTGGCTTGATACTCAAGACACAAAAGACGTTTTCTTTTCGTCCCGCGGGAGGTTTTCAGCTAGGAGGTTATCCAATAGCCAATGGAAGATTGTCTTATAAGATGTCATCCCACTGGGATAAGTACTGGACTATGTGCAGACTAGTCAAATCGTGTCTGAATATCTGGAATCCCTGAGTGCTGTATCTATGATCGTCTCGTGATTTTCGAGGCGTCTCGCTTATCTGCAGCGAATCGACCCGCCCACTTCGACAGCCCCATTCTATCGATGAGTGAGGCCACCTTCCCAAAGGGATGGGATCCCAACTCATAATGCACGAAGGCACTTCTACACATTGAGGGCACGCTCATTTTCTTTCGGTCACGTCGGCCATGGCGAGAGAGACTTTCTCTTATTACTCCCTGGAGAATTTGCCGCTCCAAAATGTTGGCTATTCTGGGTTCCTGAACTCGGTGACAGTCAGAAGGCAACGACATAATTACGACGGATCACACGCTGGAGTCTGGCACGACCCCAGTCTCCTACATCAACATCCACCCGCCACGTGCGACGGGACCAGCCGTTTCATCGTGGGTCGAGTCTCCTTTGCCTGCTTCTAGAACTTCGCAATAGACCCGATAGTGATGAAAAGGTATGACCACGACACAGATGGTGGATAAATCCTTTCGTATTTCCTGCCATTCACTCCTCCTGGCCCACATAGCACTACAACCTTAAATTGTAATCCGTCACTCAAAACAGACAGAGTAAAATATCATTAGACCATTGAATTGATGACAATCAGGGCGTATTTTGTTCCGAACTGACAATGAGCCCTGTGTCGAGCGGCGCTAACCATTGTAGAGCGTTCGAATACGTTCAGGTAGGCAGCTCATGCCTGCAGCCTCATTTACATATTGTCACATATCGTTCGAGACCTAAGCTGTGTCAAAGGGTAAGTAAATTATATTGTTATCACGAATTCCAGAATCGTCCGTTTGAATCAGCGATCACCTAGGGTTAGCAAATCACATCGACTAGTTCCCAATCTCCAACATGAGCTGTTCAAATTCGTCATCGTGATCAATGGCCTTAAGCCGTTGATCCAACCTTCGCTCCCTCCATGGCGGCAACTTCACATGCCCCGTGCTCTTTTGTGGACAATCGCGAGTAACATGGCCTTTTTCCTTGCAGGAGAGGCAAGTGATGCTGGCTACGAATCTCGAAGGCATTGTGCAAAAGTAATGACGGTGGCCTGTCTGGCCGCAGTTCTTGCAGGCCCGGCGCTCGTCATCGCGGAAGGTCCCGTTCATGACGGCCAGCAGGCGAAGCTGGTCGCGCTTTCGCTGGTTCTGGTCCTCGGGCGCGGAGGCGGCAGCCTCGATCACTTCGCTGACGAGCTTCTTGGCGTCATTCACTTTCTACTGTGTGTCAGCTCTGATCAGACAATGAAGCGGCTCCTGCTTGTTGTTAGTAGTGGCAGCACTAGCGTTTCTGTGGCCGCGGAAGTGGTTTGCTCTGCCTTCCTTGACTGAGCCCTTGCCTCGGATGACGATGTTGGGCCCAGACTGCTTATTCATGTCGGCGAGGCTTTGGCCGCGGGGTCCGAGAATCTGGCCGATGAAATTGACGTCGGGAAAGTCTTTGACCGGGATATAGACTTTGTCAGTGATCAGGGAGCGCTGAAACTTGCGGTAGTCACGAGGTATCTGGTAGCTTCGGACAGTTTTCGAGGCGGCATCGAGTAATGCTTGAAATTCCTCCTCCAGACGGTGGCGGTAGCGACTCTGGCGGGTGTCGATGCGGCGGCCAGTTTCGTCGTACTCAGGTGTCGGCGAGGGCGATCTTTTTGAGTCATATTTTGGTGCAGGGTCACCAGCACGGATTTTCTGGCCAAGCTCCTCGATTCGAAAGCAAAGGGCATAAGCATCGACCTGTTCAGGCGTCATAGCTGTTGTAATGGCAGTCTTCAGACCATTTAGTTGTGCTGTCTGGCTTTCTGGGCCCCAGCGCGTTATTCGTGGACTTCTTGCGCATCCTATATTCTGTCTCTGGGGAGTGAGAGACTGCATTTTGAAGTGAGAACTCGTGGAGTGGCCTGAGAAAGCTCTTAGGGATGCCGATCGATGAAACAAGCTTGTGTGATTAGTATTTCAGAGCCGTTAGGCTTCGCAGGGGTAGATATTGTGTTGCAGAGAGACACTTTATGGTAGTAGATGGAGTATTGGAGAAAGCAAAACATCTCGACACACGTGAGCAGGAGGGAAAGGTGAGCTTATGAATGTGTGGTCGGCATGTGACTCAAGGAGAACTAGTCTTGATGATCCCTCAAAAGTTGCACGCTATGCAACGCTACGGACTGACAGACCGGAGCTTTTTCTATCACTAGCACTAAGTCTAAGAGTGTTACCAAGAAATTCTTGTTTCTCACTGTCTCAACTAATATTGCTAGTCAGCATCTACCTAGGTACGGTCTCGTCGAACATGAAGCTATCCTGTCACAATTCATTATGAAACAGTCGCTTTCAACCCGGCTTTTCAATGGAAGCATGTAAGGTATGGTGAACTTGATGTTTTCGGACTCTATTCAGTCGCTGTATCAGAACACAAGTCACAAACAAATAAATCTACCGCTGGTCGATACAAGTGTAAATTCGGGTATCCGATTTGTGGCCACAATATTTATGTGAAATAATTGAATTGAAAAAGGGGCTACAGAAAACATTCATTTCCCAGGGCTGACTAATTCTGAAGGATTATCTTACAGGATAAACCTCCTGTTGGATAACCTTCTGTGGGATAATCTCCTGTGGGATAACCTCCTGTGGAATAACCTTCTGTGGGATAATCTCCTGTGGGATAACCTCCTGTGGAATAACCTTCTGTGTGAGAGGTTCCTGTTAGACAACCTTCTATATAGGGGAACACATAGGCCACAGAGGGTTCCGCAATGACGAGTTGCGATTTTGGCGAGTCTGGCGGTGTTGCTTCAAGAATGTATGTACTGAAATCTCTGTATCTTGGAGCTCTAAGACTAAGTAACTCAGTCTAACTGATTTGAAAATTACTTCCTTCCACCTTATCAAGCAAATCAAGGCACCATATGAGGAGAAACTCGCGAGCCCAAAAACTGGAACTAAAGGCTGTCCATTGCGGATCATACTGCGGCGGTAAATGCGACTAAGATATTGGAAGCTAGGAATCGACTAACCAAGTATTTGCCAATGTCTACAACAACTTCTTGCTCACACTTGAGGTATGTTTTGGAAAGGTAGAGTCACGATGGGAGTCACGATGGGATTGCGGTCTTGTTTAGCGGTCTCAACCTCTTTTCATTCGGACCTCAAAACTGAGTGAACGGCCAAGATTATAGAAGTGAGGTATTCAACAGGGTCAGACCGTCAGTCACGCCGCCGTCATATTGTACCATGATGCGACCACGAAGTTGTGCCCATGGCCGCTTAGACTTGCCCACGACTCGCCGCCAAGTGAAACCAAGAAACCGGGGGCACTTGACAGTATGGTCATAGCCACGGGTCGGGCAGTAGAAGTAATTCCCAGGTGTGGTTTCTGTTCCGAAAACCACGGAAGGAAGCGCGCGCCACGAATACGAAACAGAACTTCTGCATTTTCCAAGGCTCTTGCCCTTGGGGTCGCTATCTTGATCCACTCCACGGCATCCATCGTCGTACTTGCTTCTGCAGATGCGGTATGGGTGCGGTGCAGAAAGGCTGCCTCCGCCATCAAAGTGATCAAGCAATCCGGGAGTTACTCATACTGTGGTGACGCAAGACAGCTCAGCGCTACATGACGACGGTACTTGTGACAGTGAGCGTCTTTGCCACCGCTTGTTGTCGGCGCCTTTGAGCTTCTCAAGCGCCTACTTCTAGACTTTGCAGCGTGCTTGTTGGCCGAATAAATGAGAAAGTCAATGGCGGTGCTTCGGATTTTAATAGGAACGTGCATGGAGTGGATGGACCTGTTCGAATGATTCATGGTCCATACTCTTGTCCTATGCCGTGAATCTTCGGTCGATTCCCCACATGTGTTCGTTTGAAAGGCGGTCCTGCCACATCGATCGTGGAGAAGTTTTAAATATCGCGGGGGATGTGGGTTCATCCAGAATACCGGCAAGTGGATTTGTTATCAGATGAATCCAACGCTGACGGACTGGGATATCCATATTGTAACCACAAGGCGGATATTATTGGTAGCGTGATGTGGACCGCCGGCCAATGATGATCACGAACCCAAACCTTTCCTTACGACGGTCCCAGAATTATCGACAGCATCGAAGTAAAATATGGAGGCGGCATCAAGAAACAAGCGAGGATGACCAAGCTAGCTAGTGTTGACTTTCGGGCCAACCCGAGCCGCATTACTCCTTAAGTCGCTGGCTGCTAAGCTGGGCAGACTGCGTTCATTCGAAGAGTGTTGCTAGATACAAAGGCTGGGCTGTCTCGCTGGGATGTGCTAGTTTAAACCTTCCCCCATTGCTTTTCGGTTCGAATTGCCCTTGCTTGCGACGATTCGCACCCGAGCGGCTGGAAGCGACGAGGAACAAAATGTTAAGAGTCGGCTGAAGTAGATGAAACAGTGATCCCCAACTTGGCTGTGTCTGGAAGTCCACACTGCGACCACACGGCTTCGATCGGACATCTTGGCAGGACGTTTTGGGCTTATGTTGCCGAATTTTGACGTGCCTTACAACTTGGCAGCACCACGCCAAGTTCATTGAGACAGTGCACCGGCAAAACAAGACTCGATCTTGAACAGTCTTTGGCTCTGCAAGACTAGCTTACGCACATATGTTTGGTCAAACCGGTTCTTGAGGACTTGGGTATTTGCGGCTCACTAATGCCAAAGCCTGTTTTTGATGCAAGCGAGTTGGGATTGGCAAAGTCTTCTCGGACGAGATCATTCCGATGGGAACAACAGAAGAAAGAAAATGTGTTGCAGATCCGTTGTCGAGGGCATTCATGGGCACTGTTGACAACATATTTTCTAAATTCCACTTTTGCATTCTGGCAGTTCATTTCGTCCATTTCACGCAGATGGGCCGGGCCCAAGGAACAGGTTTCCGTGCATGTTAGAAGAAGCCCGGCGCTCACAAACTTTTACGACGCGTTCAACACGACTGCACAGACGATCTTGATGACCGTGAAAACGATACATACGAAAACGGTATCGAGTATTTGACTATGGAGGAGATTAATGTGTTCGCGCGAGCCGCTGCTCTGGACGTGCCGCCTGTTCAAGCCTTGCAGGAAGACCAATACGACATTCTACCAAGACAAGGCCAGGCCATCGCCGCAGGGCCAGCGACATTCGCCACATCTGGGAGGAGGATCACATTGACGGCTGCGACGAGTCACTTTCCTGGGACCAGCAGAAGACCTCAGCCAACTCCATCTGGCATCAGGACGCCATCATCACAGTCATCGGTCCGGACGACAAGCCTCCCACAGTCTGTTGCTCCAACGCCTCTGATACCACTAGCCCCAGTATTGTCTACAACAAATATCAAATCGTCACCGTTGGCCACACTATTACCAACACTCAGTCCTGCTTCAAGCCAACCGAGTTCAGCTCAACCAAGCCCGGTACCAAGCCGAGTACCCAGTGAACAAGAACAAAATGCAGCACAGAGCCCATCGGCAGCCCCAGTGACAGCAACACCTGGCGGCACTGACGCGGGTGTGATTGTAGGTGCAATCATGCTCGTACTTGGTATGCCCTTTTGATTCCTTAAAATTACGCATCAGAGTAACAGGCTAATTCTCACCACAGTCGGCATCGCTATACTCGCCGCCGTGTTCTTCTTTATCAAGAAGCGCGTCAACGGCGGAGGACAACCGAAGGCAAGGACAGAGTCATTCGACTTCGATCCACCTTCAAGGGCCAACCCAAACCTCTCGAAAGCCGAGGCAGCCGCCATGGCAGAGCTTATGAGAATTGCATATCGGGTAGAGAACGAGGGTGACGAGTCGCGGGACGGCCGCGACTCTTACTATCCAGGTCAGGATACCAGCGAGAAAATGCGACCCAGCGTTCTTGGCGGTCCAGATGGCATCGCTGGGGGCATGGGGGTTACCACACCGTATGACGAGAGCCGGCAAGCTAATGGTGTCGCGCGCATGCAGTCACTAGGCAGTGAGTCTGTCGCTCAGCTTGGGCTCAAACACCCTGTGGGACGCTGGGTGCATATCCAGAGATCAGGTGCTGGGTCGGAAAGAGCAAGTGGTTATGATGTACCGGACGTACCTGCTGTGCCAGGCTTCCCAGATCGGTACTCGACGTCAGATCTGTACTCCGCGACGGCTCGCTGAGAATGAGGAGGCACTGGACAAAGGGTTACCTGCGCAGCAAAGGATACGCCAAACAAGATTTTGGAAGGCGGCCTCAGCAGGCTACGAAGGCATGAGAGCTTTTCAGATGCTTTAATAGCGAGCAATTGGCATTTTTCGTAATCAGGGGTTCTCGGAACTCACAAGCAGCGAATTTTCGAAGATTTCACCAAAGTCTCGCACTGATAACAAAACGATTTTATTAAGTATGTGTACATGAATCATTACTTCAGACCAGAACTATTAGCTTTCAAACACCATTGACCCTAAAATGGTCCGACAAAAAAGCGCAATTGAAGTCGTTGAATATCAAATGATGTCAAGCTTCCTTCGTTATACAGCAGTATCTCGTCGATGTCCAGACTCCAGCCCACCCGTCCTCTTTTTCTTGCTCGACGCAGGCGGGGGCCCGTTTTGGCATCTGGCGCCATCGTTAGCAGACCCTGCTGGTCCCTGAGAAACGAAGGTGTAGCCGCTCGCGTTCGGATTTGAGATGTCGAATTTGTAGATTCGACCCGAGGTGTTCTCTGTGGCATACAGGAAGCCGTCGTTGGTTGAGTACATCGCACCCCAAGAAGCAGTACCGTTGCCTCCTCCAGCAAAATCTGGATAGGTTACGAGTTGTGTGAAATTTTTTGTTGTCATATCCCACTGAAGCAGGTGTGTGTTATACCCTGTACCACCACCTTTGTCCTGCTTTCCCAAGCTATACAGTTTGTTGGCTGCCCAGGCAGGTAGATAAGCCCAATCGGCCACGACGTAGTTTGTTGATTGGGAATTTAGTACAGCCATATTAGTTGTACCGTTATTGATTACTCTGCCGTATGTTGAGCTCGAACTGTTCAAATCGACTTGTACCCAACTCTTGCCATTGTTTTGCGCAAGCCAGTAGTTATAATTGAGGTCCATCTCGCCAACATTTATAGAAACGGGAGGGTTGAAGCCTGTTTGTTCAATAATACCGTTAGGCACTGTTTCATATGTGCCACCAGCGCCGATTCGAACGATATATCCGTAAGCACTGTTCCTCTGTGCGATTGCGTAAAGATAGTTCTCCTGGGGATGGTATGCCAAAGCGTTGACTGTATCGAGGAAAAGAGTTGCAGGACCGATTCGATAATAGAATCCGGTGGTCAGATTGATTGCGTATAGTGTTTGGGATTGCGTTTCGAAGGCCAATTCGTCGCAAGGGAACTTAGCCAGTCTTGACAATGCACTAGGGGTTGGAGATGCAGAGCTATGGTTTTCAAAAATCAGTTTCCCTGATAGAGTCAACGACCCTCAAAAAGTGGTCCGCTTACCTTGAGATAGTAGTGCTTGCAGATGAAGACTGGCACCCACCCCGGGGGTAGAAGAGATTACTCGATGCAGGATCTGCTACCATATTACCTGTGATCGTGTAGTTGTATATAATGCATGCCGAAGTGCCATCAATGCCAAAACTCAAGCACCTCGAATCTGCAGTACAAATTGCAAGGCAAAGCATATAATTTGAGGCTGGGTAGTAACCTGTGTGTGGTAATTAGTCTTTCAACTTCTCATTGGTCTTGTCTGGCTTTCTCTTTGAAGCACTTACCAATGTTCTGACCAGCATTATCGTATCCGCGCAAGGGACATGCCGCTGTGGAGCTCTGTGACGAGATGCTACTGGTGACGACAGTGGATGTTTGCACTGTAGAAGATCTTGATGAGCTTGACGATGAAGATCTAGAGGTTGAAAAGCTTGAAGACGTGGAGGCAGTGGATCGGATTGTGGAAGATGAAGTTAGGGAGGAGGAAGACGTGGAGGAGGAGAAGGACGTGGATAAGTAGAAGGACGTGTAGGAGGAGGAGGAGGAGGACGTGGAGGCTGTGAATCGAATTGTAGAAGATGAAGTTGAGGAGGAGTAGACGGGCGTGGAGGAGGAGGGAAACGTGGAGGAGGAGGCAGAGGCCGAAAAATTATTGCTGCTACTGGGCGATCGGGAGAGAGAAGAGTTGATAAGTGATGAGGAGGAAGAAACAATGGGGATGTTGTTAATGCTGATGCTGCTTAGAGATGACAAAGCAGAGAAACTTCGACTGCTTGATATCAACGAAACAGAAGAGTCACCACTGCTTGACGAAGAGGAGGCAGAGCTTGATGAATTTTTGGCCGTGGACTCAGATGTAGACGACGTTGTTCGGACAAGGGAGCTTAAGTCCGAAGCAGTGGGTAAGAATGAAGATGTTGGAGCTAGATAGCTCGTGCTTGCGGATAGGGATGTGGATGTCTGAGGTGTTCGTGCTGGAGAGCTTAAATCTGGGCTTGTGGATGGGAGTAGGGATATGGATGTCTGAGACGTCCGAGTTGGAGAGTTTAAGGATGGGCCTGAGGATGGGGCCGGAGACGTCTGAGATATCTGGGCTGGGTAGCTTGAATTTGTGCTTGATGATGAAAAGTCTTTCTGGTCTGTGGAGGATGAGGTGGAATTTGAAAACGAGAACTTCTGGGCTAGAGTGCTGGAACTGGAACTAGATGACGAGAACGAGGATATTTGGGCTGGGGAAGAGAGACTTGAGCTTGAGTTCGGAGATGCTTGGGCAATGGAAAACAGACCTAAAGAAGATGAATTCGCGAAGGAAGCCACAGCCGTAGATACCGCGCTGGATGATAGGTTGGACGGCAGGGTCGATGACGGGCTTAGAGAAGAGCCCGATGTGAAGTTTGTCGGCGCCACAGTTGAGAGGCTTGATATACCTGATGTCTGAGCCGAGACGGATGTGTTGAGTGAAATTGTACTAGCCGAACTTGCAATAGACCTGCTGCTGTTATTAGGCATTCCGGACGATGTCGCCCCTAACGAGGTTACCCCTGACGAGGGGGAGACGGTCGAGGACGCCCCAGAGGAGGATGGTCCAGCAGCAGAGGGCGCGGATGATGACGGCCCAGTAGAAGATGTTCCATTTGCAGAGGGCGCAGACGAAGACTGCCCAGCAGAAGACTGCCCAGCAGAAGACTGCCCAGCAGAAGATGCTCCTGGAGCAGACGGTCCAGCAGACGACGGTCCAGCAGACGACGGCCCAGCAGACGACGGCCCAGCAGACGACGGCCCAGCAGAGGAAGGCCCAGCAGAGGAAGGCCCAGCAGAGGAAGGCCCAGGAGCAGATGGCACCGACGAGGACAACCTAGACGAGGATAGGACAGGCTGCACACTTGTCGACGCAGCAGGCATGAGTGATGAACTTTGTTGGTCACTTGATGGCCCAGAACTTGGAGGCGGTGCGCCACTTGTAAGCGCAGAGGTGGCCGGCCCTGACGATGGGAAGACTCCGCCGCTGGATTGGCTTTGAGGGCCCTGAGACGTACCGGCTGGCTGGCTGGGCGTTCCCGGGCCGGAGGTTCCAGGAGGAGCTGGCCCTTGAGAACTTGTCCCTGGAAGGCTGGGTGCTTGTGAGGACGTTCCTGATACTGGTGGACTGGGCACCTGCGAGGTTGTCCCTGGAAGGCTGGCTGCTTGGGAGGAAGTCCCTGGAGCTGGTGGGCTGAGCACTTGAGAACTTGTTCCCGGAACGTTGGGCCCCTGCGAAGTTGTCCCTGGAGGGGTTTGGCCTTGTGAGGTAGTCACCGGAGGATTCGGCCCCTGGGAGCTTGTTCCAACAGGGCTGGGTGCTTGCGATGATCCAGGAACTGGGAGACTGGATGCTTGCGAAGACGACCCGGGAACTGGGGGGTTGGGTGCTTGTGACGACGACCCTATAACTGGTGAGCTGGGTACCTGTGAAGGTGTTCCCGGAGGGGTCTGGCCTTGTGAGGTTGTGACCGGAGAATTCGGCCCCTGGGAGCTGCTTCCAGGGACTGGCAGGGTGGGTACTTGAGGAGTCGTCCCTGGCGTGTTGGGCCCTTGTGAGGTTCCCACCGGAGTATTTGGTGCCTGGGAGCTGGATGTCGGAGGGTTCGGTCCTTGAGAGCTTGACCCTGGAACGTTTGACCCAGGCTGGCTGGAGATGGGGGTGGTGGTCCGGCTCCCAGCAGCTGAGGTGGCTATTGTAGGTGGCAGGACAACATTTGTAGTGCTTTGTACTGGTGGAATAACCGAAGAGACCTGTATCGAAGACGCAGCCGGGCTGGGCTGACCTGATGATGCTGGAATCCCCAAAGAGGGCGTGGTCGGCTGAGGGATAACAGCCAGTGAAGTTGTCGCTTGCCCTGGGGAGCCGGAGGCGCTGGATGCTGGTACCGACGGTTGTGGCCCAGGGGCAGATGCGCTGGACACAAGAGACGATGGTCCCGGTCCCGGTCCCGGAGGACCCCCGCCTGAGCTTTGAGCCGTCGGTCCTGGGGGCGGCACGTCGCCCGAGCTCTGGGGTGTGGGCTCTGGCTGAACGTCTCCTGAGCTCTGAGGTGTTGGCTCGGGAAGCACACCGCCATCGCCACTGCCTGTCGGTTGCGGTTGGCCATCGTCCGTCGTGGAACCTCCAGACTCTGATGGCGACGCGCTCCCATCTGAAGGGTTTGCAGACGGGCCTGGAGATACCTGGCTGCTTCCATCAGGGCCCGTCGGCTCTGGACCACCACTCCCAGATGGAGGCGGCAGGACAGACGAGTCGCTCGCTGCTCCAGACGGCTCAGGCCCCGAAGTTCCAGAACCGTCGCCGCCGCTCACACTGGGTGAGGGCGGATTCGATTCCGAAGGGGTGAGGACTGGCCCGCTCGGCTGCGGTAGACCTGAGCTGGGTGGCTGAATCGGGGGCTCCGTGGATGGTAGTACCGCGGATGTTGAGTTAACAACAGGTCGGTCAAAAATCTTGACGCTGACCAGCACGGAGTATGGGAACAGAACCCGGTCCTGCCGAGGAACAATTCTCGCGGCCCCTCTCAGACGGCCAATCCTGGAATCCGGCGCCACCAAGGAGAGGCCGTTGACCGTGATGTTGACGCTCGACCCAGGTGGTTGATTTAGAGGCACGATGCCAGAGACAGATCGGTTTCCCCGGTCGAGGGTTAGCCAATCGGCTCTGGGGAAGGTAGCGATGGATTCGACTTCATCTTGAGCTGTCTTGAGCAGAGGTACCAAGTTCACAAAGAAGATATCCGATTGGAAGACCTCAACTTTAACCTCGTTGGTGAACACGAGGAGCTTAGACAGGATCGTATATGTGAAACCAGTCATCTTAGATGTGGCAATGATGGTGATGTTGACCTCAGACTCAGTGAAAGTAAGAGGAACTGTACCAATCAAGGACGGCGGGGGAGAAGGGCTGATTCTCACCCACGGGACTGGTGGGGTAGTAGTGACCTGCAAAGTATCGTCGGGGCCACGCAGGAAGTCCGTAAGATTGACCTGGAAGTCACCCCCTAGGAGTACAGGGACTGAAATGTCTGAACCAGCCAAGATTTGCAGGCTGAATTCCTTCGTGTAGGAGGAGTCCAGGCTTGGGTTAAACACATTACCAGTAACAGCAACACTGGTGCCAGCAGCAAGATTGATCGGAACGATACCACCGAGCGTCTTGCCGTTGGAACCAAGGCTCACCCAACTCGACTCAGGTACTGTGGAAGCTGCTGTGAGGTAATCTCCCGGCGGGCTCAAAAGACTTGCACCAAGATTAATGACAAATTGGCTTCCCAAAGTTACGTTGAATTTGGGAACATCATTGGCCTGTACCTGCAGCGTGAAGAGCTTGGAGTAGGTGGCAGCTGAGCTTCCCGGCGCGCCGGCAGACGAAGCATTGACATTGATGTTCACAGTGGTGCCGGCCATAAGATCCGGTACCAGTCCACTGACAGTGTTCTGCGCAACGTTGAAGCTGATCCAGTTTACCGCGGGATTCGTGGTGATGGATGTCAGCTCAACAGATGCAGGGAAATACTTCTTCGTGCTGATGGAAAATTTGTTCGAAGCCACGACGGGGACCTGTATACTGGTAACCTGATTGCTGTCCTGAACATAAAGCTCGAGTTGGAAGGAATACTCAAGGCCTTGGTCACTTGAAGTAGCCAGAAGAGTTGCGATAATTGAATTGACATCCAGGGTGGCTGGCACCGGACCAGAAAATGTCTTCGCGCTTGAGTCAAAATTGACCCAAGTAGCCTTTGGATCAAAGTTGACAGATGTGATGACATCTGTAGAAGTGAGAAGGAAAGATCCCAACTGAGTCGTGAATTGGCTCCCCGGTGTCAATGGAATCACCGACACAGGCGCGATGACAAGGGCGAAGTATCGAGCGTAAGACGGTCCATTCTGTGGAACCACATTGGCAGTGACGAGCGTCCTCGAAGTGTTGTATCCGGCTGGCACACGCCCACCAATGCGCTGGTTCGCGCGTACATAACCCACCCATGGCGCAGGTGGTTCAGTGACTATGTTCACAGTGTCCGATGAGCTTCCAAGGTAGCGATTTAGATCGATCGAGAAGATACTGTCGGGTGTTATGGGTACTCGGATGACGGGCTCCAATTTCAGAGTGAGGACGACTTCGTATGGTACACCCGCGGCGTTCGCGGCACGTAGCCTGATTAGAAGAGTGTTCTCTGAGAGGACTTCTGGAGCGTCAATAAACAAAATGTCGTCAGCAAGTCGTGTCCAGGGCACCTCTGGCTGTGTTGTCACGGACAGCACCCTGTCGGTAGGAGCAGCCAGGTATTGTCTGAGATTGATACTGAAGCTCCGTCCACCTGGTGCTGTGATAACGGCAGGCGCTGCAGGCGTGGGACCAGTAATCGAACCAGAGCTTGTAGTTGTTGCAATTGATGTTCCTGTGCCCTGGCCTGGGACTGTACTCTGGCCCGAAGCAGTACCTTGGCCTGGAACTGTGCCTTGGCCTGGAATTGTACTTTGGTCTGGATTGGCCGTGCTTTGACCTGGCGATACCGTGCCCCCACCTGGAACAGTCGCAGTTCCCTGCGGTCCCGTGGTGATGCCACCGCCACCAGGCCCGGTGGAAACACCACCTGGTAGTCCGGATACAGGGCCAGATCCAGAGCCCGCCGTAGTCACTGGACCTGGAAGACCAGTCGGTTGTCTTTCGAAACGATTAGCTTATTCCAAGTTCGTCTGTCTGGGAATGGGGACAGACCCATATGGAGGGAGTGGAGAATAGTCAGAAGGAGCTCCCTCCGGCGCAAAGTAGGTGTAGGTGAAATAAATGCAGTACGATGGATCAGCAGGATCTATGAAGTATTCGTCAACGGCTCGTTTTGAGTCTTCCCGCGCAACAAGGCCTGTTTCAACCCGTAGGCCCGTGGCGAACAGGCACCAGAAGCATAGCAGTAACCAAATGGCCATGCTGCCTCCGACGTGTCTTTTTGTTTAAATGAGTGACTGTACAAGTTAGTAATAAATATGAGCGAGAGGCAATGGTATGGGAGAAAAGCGCAGAGAACAGCGGACAAACGCAGAGATTTCCACGGCTTTAAGCACATTGTGTCCCTGGTTGCCGCCAGGTCTCCGAGCGCGTCTGGGTGGAATGAAAAGAGCGTTGATATCACCGCAGGTCCGCCATGTCTCAAAGAAGAAGCGTATGGTTGTGGAAAATATGCGACGCCACCATTGCCGACTGTACGAAAACCTACCTAGGGACCGATTCGTGGACCAGCCTCGATGCCATCAACAATCCAGTCGTCAAGGTGGCTGAGGGTTCGCAAGTGCTCACTTCTGTCAACCTATTCTGTAGCCGATTCAAACATCAAACTTACGCAGATGCTGAATACCGAATATGAGAATATACTAGGGCAGTACTCTTCACCGCAGTATGGAGGGCAGCTTCTATATCAGTGCGGCCGCATTCCGCGGCCGAATTGGACCCTGACCTGATGGGGCTTCCGCATAGCAAAATTGAACTCTATGTCACACATTCCAAACAACTTTGTATCACGTGGATCAGTTGACAACAATTGCCAATTTGAAGGTTGAAATTTGCTGCGTGCCGTCCATTCTCACTCGTCTCCCTTGGGCCTGGGCCCTCGGGGCCCTATGACATTGTGGCGGGAACCTTTCGTTCCGGATTCCTCTCGCCCTTACTTTGCGGGCTCGATCGACTGAGGATAATAGAACAGCTCAAATGGGTCAAAAGCCTTCTTAATCAGCTTCAGCCGATCCAAATTACCGGCCCAGTACAACTTCTCTGCTGTTCCACGGTCCAACTGCGAATCACTGTAGTTGATGTACATTCCATAGTCGCCGTCATTCATTGTTGTAATGGTGACATCGACCCAATTTCTGAGAATATCAATTCCATCCGATGGATAAGGTTCATCATTCCCACTGAAGTGATAGAACTGGATGAGAAAGGTTTTGTCGCGGTGTGCATAAGCCGTGGCCGTGTTTGAGACAGCTGATATGGCAGAATTGGCGCCTCCGTGGACATCCAACTGGACGAACCAGCCGCCTCGAGTAAACGCCAGTGCATGGTTGTGCCAATACCGGACGAAGTCTGTCAAGGCCTCGCCGCGGAGATCCTTCAGGGTGAGACTCGTAGCAAAGAAGTTGCCGTGCTCATTGGTGCTGGGGGTTAAAGAATTTCGTTCGGCGTAGTATTCAAGACCTTGAATCCACGTGCCGGGCTGCATGCTCAAATTCCCTCCACTTCCCTTGAGCAAGGGGTCAAGGATCATTGATAGTCCAGTTTCGTTTCCGTAGTAGACTCCTTCTAAGTTGTGGCCACCTGAACTGTGCATGCTCACTTGAGTGTTTGCTTGTTAGCCAAATTGTTCAAAGTAGAGGATCTTTCCACGGAGTCATGAAACCTAGATTGTCAATGCCGAAAGTGATTGAAGCCATGGCACTAACTGCTCGCGTATGACAGGGCAGTATTGGATACTCACTCACACCGCATATTGAGGTCAGCAGGCACGTTCTGAACAAACGCGACCAACGCCGTGACTCCATCAATCTTCTGTTGCTCAGTCTGCCAGTCCAGCGCGACTTTGAATGGTATTGAGGAAGTCGGGGCCGCAAAGGTCGCAAGTTCGTAGGAAGTGACGATGCCGAAGCTGGAGCCGGCACCCCGGAGGGCCCAGAACAAGTCACAGTTTTCGGTTTTGGAGCAGTGCACATGCATCCCATTCGCGAGGACGACGCTGGCACCGACCATCCAGTCAAGGGCCAAGCCGTAGTTGTGAGATGCCCAACCATATCCTCCGTGCAGGATATGGCCTGAAATGCCGACGGCTGGACAGCTGCCGTGGCTGATGGCTCGTCCGCCTTTGTCAAAGAGCTCGCGTGCTACATCTCCAAGGCGTGCTCCGGCTTCAACGGTGGCGATGTAGGTGTCGGGGTCGACAGAAATGCTGCTCATGTGAGTCAGATCCACGACCAGATGGTCGTTTTCTCCACCAAGTCCCAATGAGGTGTACGAGTGACCACCACCACGGGCACTGACCTTCAGCCCAACCGCCACACCACAATCGACCACATCCTGCACATGCTTGGCTGTTCTTGCATAGATGAGGAGAGCCGGTTTCACTGGAACACGAAGGTTAAAGGCAGTGGCGTCAGTAGACCAGGTAGAAGACTGAGCAGAGATGAACGGTACAGAACGGTCCTGGAGATATTTGACGGCGAGTGCGGTCTTGTCATTGATCGATGCCGTAGGATGTGGCTGGGGAAAATCTGTCTCTGAAGTCTCGTTGTTCTGGCCTTTTGCCGAGTCCATTCCTGCGACGCAGTTTCCGAGTTAGTTGTCGAGATGGGAACCTGGGGTTGAAGAGAGGCAGATATTGCAAAGTGAGAGTGTAGAAGTTTGACCCGAGTAGCTGCCAAAGGTGCGACACCTTCTAATAAAAGGAAGGAAGTGACGAAATCTTCTTTTGGTTTGTTCCTTCACTCAGCCTGACTGTTTGATTTTTTTCTTTCAAACAAAAAACCCCAAGTGACTTGTTGGGCCCATGATTCACTTTGAAGGCACGCCAGGCAGAAATGATGTCAAAATCACCTACTAGATCCCGCATCGTTCAAAACTGTATCCCTTCTGCAGCTTTTGGTTACTCTGAATTTCCGCTCTTAGTCTTCTTTCAACATTTCAGAAATGCCTGACCGGTGAATTGTGGTTCCAGTGTTTTCTCTCCAGAGGTACCAACACTAAGATAAAGTGGTCTGGGGGGTATTGCTTTCCAACAAAGATGTGTCTCCCAAACGCTTCCAAACCCGAGCACCTGGGCACACTGTTCAATATTATGCATCCAAAGGTAGAGTCAGATTTCAGCGCCGAGACAATCAACACATGACCCAGGGAATTTTCACCTTGTATTGCCTCCAGAAGCTACTTGTATCAACATGGCAGCCCACAAAAGGGCATGTCTCTGCTCGGCAACAACATTACATACATACACAGATAGCCCACCTTCCAGGTAGGTAGGTATCTATCAAGATCAAGGCCATGACAACTATTCGAGATCCACGTACACCATCCCCACCGCTTGAGCTGGATGCCCCAATTTTGACCCTCATGATGACCAACAACGCCGAAACAAGATCTGGGTGAGACTCGTCCCGCAGGAGAGACTTTGGGAGAGGGCCACACCATACACATGTGAGAGAGAAAATACATCACGTAGGCTCCACAGCCATAGCATCGTCATCCCCATCCTGCTCAACCGTGAGCTCGAGAACACGCGCGTACTGCACGGTGAGCCGCTGTAGCTCCCTAAATTTGCCTGCAAACAAACCAGAGTCAGCGGGCCGATTTCATCACACAGGGCTGGCACACAAGGCCATGTGAGGAGAGGGCGAGAGGAGGGAGCAAACTTACCCAGGATCATGACAACGCCCTTCAGAAGCTCCTTGCGGTCCCATCCGCAGATCTCATCCCCCTTCGCGAACCACCCGAAGCCTTCCTCCTTGTCATCCTCCTTATCTTTCAGGATCCCGCCCATCAGCCCGTTCAAGAGCTCCTCTACCTTGCCCCTGAGCGCCTCGGCGCCAATCCGCTTCGCGTACATGAACAGGTACAGCCTGAACTCCTCTCTCGCGCCGAGTTGCAGGGCACCCGCAATGCGGTTCTCGAGATGAGCGATGCTGACGCTGCTCTCGAAGCCCTCGAATCCTTCTTTCGACAACAAGGTCTTGATGAGTCGTTGCAGTGTGTACGCGCGACCCTTGAGCAGGAATTCTGTGGTCGTGTGACGCTCCAAGAAGGGTATGATTCCCGACGAGACGTTGACGCCGTCGTCCTTCTTTTCTTTTGGCTTGGACACGGGCCCGACAGCCGTGGATTGTAGGGCACTGACGGAGCTGTCATTGCTGTTCCAATATTGGGAGCCCACTGCGAACCAGGACTCTGAGAGGCGTTGCCATGTGTACATCTCGCGAGCGTAGTAGAAGCCGTCGCCGTTGGTCAAGGTCACGACGACGTGGCCCGTTGAATTGAGGTGCGCGGATGTGATTCCTGGTCCTGGTGTAGCAGCATGTTGGTGAAGAGAGTGGATGGCGACGTCGAGAATCGGGGCCAGCGACACGGGCGGGTGTGGCGAATTCATGTTCTTGATGTTCCAGACATATGCCAGACCGCAGGCCGTTATGCATAGAAGCCAGTGATCGCGACACTCGAGTACTACGGGCTGCGACTCCAGAACCATCGCGTTTATCAGACGGCGTCCGGCCGGTGTCCATGCAAACACGCTTCCGTCTTCGCAGGCTACCGACCAGAAGTGCTTATTTCCGGTGACAAGTAGGACTGCTCGGGCCAGAAAGTCCTGCCACAAGACGGTGCCCCGCTTGGTGGCAGTGACATGCGAAGGGTCTCGTACTTGGGCTGGATTCCTAGCCTCGAAGACTATGTTCTCGGGCACCTTTGCCGCTTCTTCCAGACTGGTTTCGCCCTGCAGGACGCCCCTTTCCAGCGGTCGCAAGATATGTGCCCGTACCTTAGGAACTGCAAGTCGCACCTGGGAGACAGAGAGTGCAGGGCTCATCACAGCAGGCCGCAGGAATTCCGGTGTCGGCACGACACCATGCTGTGGTGGTTGCAGCGTTGCAGGCTCCACACCGTCAATACCGTTGGCCATGATTGGCGTTGGGCCTGCTAATCGTTTCGGCGCATGTTCTTCATCCTCCTCCCCTTCAACTACGACGGCTTTGCGCTTGTTACCCAGGAGCATCGCCGCGATTCCACCCGGTGGCAAGCCATCAAATGGCTTTGACAGATCCATGATTGTCTGTGGTGTGTCGTCCCGGGCCGCTACAGTCTTCGACCCGATAAGCTGTGTCTGTGGTAATGAAGACGTGCCGGTGCCCGAAGATGATATCAATAGTGGCGCGACTCGCTTCTTTCCGTCCTTCGTTATAGTGACGCGGGATTTGAGCTCCTTGATCCTCTCTGCAGCCTGATCGGCATTCTCTTCTGCTGGCTTCTCCTTTTCCTTGTCCTTTGAGCCTTCCGCCGTCGCAGAAGTCCCATTTGTGGATACACCGTTGGGTGCAGGCGGAGGTTCCTTATTAGCTGGCTGGAAGTCACCCATCAGGGCGCCCATCCTCGACTCGGCCCCTCGCAGCTCACCAGCTTTGCTGTGATTCTCGAGTGCCAGGCCGTCAACATCTTCGGCAATGCCCATGCCCTTTCGGCCACCGCCATACTTTTGAAGAGCCTTGTCATTCTCTTCTGCTGTTGCGACCCATCCAAGTTCGCCTGTATCAAACTTGACTGATACAATGCTGCCATCCAAACTGCAAGCGAACAGACTTTGGCCATCTGGTGACCAAGAAAGGTCTGATATCGATTTTGAAGCGAGGTCCTGCATGATCACGAGCGGTCTGGAAGTATTTGTGTTCCATATGCTGAGAGTTCGGTCCTGCCCCGCTGAAGCAATGACTGTGACCAAGTTGCCGCCTCCTTGGCTGTTCGTTGAGCCATCAGTTGCCGGTGGTTGGGTGTAGAACAGACGCGGTGAGAACATGCAGACCTCGGTGGGGCCCTCATGACCGATCAAATTGATTTCACTGTCCCATCTTGTTCGCTCAATGATTGCTACCGAGCTAACAGGTCCGTTCACAGCATTCGCGGCGGCGATGTGGTTACCATCCGGGGACCAAGAACATCTCCTGAAGTAAGTCGTCAAAGGGGAACTCTTGAAGGGCGTTGATATCGTCGTCTCCAAGACAAAGTTGTTGATCATGTCGTGATGCGTCGCATTTGGCCCGGGGGAGGTAAATCGGAAGATCTTGATGGTTCGATCATCGCTCGCGGTGGCGAAGTACTTGTTGGCCGGGTCGAAGGTTATGCCCTTGACATGGCTTTGGTGTACGGCCAGCGTCTTTAATTTCTCGAACGTGTGCCCTGACCATATCACCACCTTGGAATCCAACCCCACCGAGACCAGCAGGGAGTTGTCGTGGGACCAGGCCAGGTCCTGGACGTCGTTGTCATGTCCAACTAAGCGCTTGTAGGTCTTCCAGTTCTCGACCGGCGGAGGCTCATTGGTCCCTGTTCATGCCCATACCAGGTCAGCATTTCGATCCCCCCCAAAAAGAGATGCCTAGGGCGCGCATACCAAACGTAGCCGCGTGTGACGGAGGACTGGCGTCGAGGTGATATATGCAGATGATCTTATCGTCGGCGCCTGACGCGAGATAGCGGCCGTTGGGAGAGAAGCGGACGGAGTGGATCGTGCCGAGGTGGTGGCTCATGTGGCAGAGCTGGCGCGGTTTCGAGTAGGAGGCATCGTCAGACTGGTATATCGACTCGGTGGACCATACTCGGACATGGCCATCTGCGCAACGTCAGTATTATGGTCCGAAGGGATTGAGGGGGCCGCAGAGGGGAATTGGGCGCGCGCATACCACCGCCAGCCGTTGCAAGCCTCGTGCCGCATGGGGAGACATGGCAGCTGTAAACCTCGAAGTCCTTCTGTTCGCCTGTCGCATGCAACACAAAAGCATCAGTAACCGTCAGACTGCACGCGTGATCGTCTCTAAGTGTGCTCACCGCTGTGGCTGAGCCAGGCAGGCTTGATAAGTTGCATTATTGGAGTGTTGCTAGGACTTTGGGCGGTGATGGGTTTGCATTGTCGGAGGCAGCGGGCAGAGATGTGATGTGATGTTGCAGGTCTGAAATCGCGATTGCGCCGCGCTTGGATCGCGACCCTTGAAAGTTCCCAGGTTCCAAAAGCTGTGCCTGCCCGCAACCTTAGCTTGCTGGCATTGGGGCGTCGGGGAGAGAGGCCCAGCAGCTCCAAGCACAGACACAGGAACCTTGGAACTTTGGGAGCTCCAGTGGAACCTTGGAGCTCCCGCCTGCCTGTGCCAGCCCGATTGGCTCGGCCGGGGACCAGCTGCAGCCGCCAGTGCAGCGCCTGCCTGCAGCCTACGGCCTGGAGCTGTCTACTGAGCTTATCGGTGCTCCTGGCTGGGTTATCCTAACATATCCATAATCTTTGTTGTACCTCGGGCACGCCCAGCACAGAACATAATTCTCGGATATCGTTGCCCGTGAGGCTCAAGACAAGTGGAATTACTCTCATGGCCACGCGTAATGGCAGACAGAAAGGATGTCTCCCTGGCAGTGTTATGATCAGGCAGAACCGCCGAGGACTCTCACACGTGATAGACCGGCTGACCTTTCACCCAACCCGGTAACTGCACTGTGTTTGAGAACGGAGAATCCCAGAGAATGGCTTGATTCAGATGAACAGAGCAGGCTTCCATGGTCCCATAATATCTGCGAATAAGGTATCCTATACACGATAACGTGCTGCTGCTGTTGCAAAGGCAAGAAGAGAGTACAACCCGACCGAACGCGCTGCACCCAAACATTAGATACCAGAACCAGAATTGCCGTGTCCAACAAGCGTGTGCTTCACAATGTCACAAAACCGAACCCAACGAGCAAACCGGACGCGCAAAAGTGGCGGCCAACACTGTGCCTCCGCGCTCCGACATGATCATAAGAAAAGAGACAGCCAACTAAAGCGGAGGGTGGACAAGATGCTGCTGCATGCGTGAAACAAATCAACGCAGAGTTGCCGGTTTACTTGGCAACGGTAGCCTTCTTGGTCTTTGGCTTCTGTGCGAGCTGTCAGTATGGGGCGTGGCAATGGGGGAGGCGGGCGCATGGGGCAGGACATACTGTCTCAGTCTTCTTGACGGCCTTCTTGACCTTGGCCTCGGTCTTCTTGACAGCGGCCTTGACCTACGTAGCACCTCGTCAGCATGATATTCAAGACGATACGGTCTTAGACGTGGACGGAATAAATAGCGGCCCAGCTCTAGGGGCGACCCCGTCGATGCGACGGCTTGAAGCAGCGACGTACCTTCTTGGCGACAGTGCTCTCCTTCTTAGGCGCAGCCGTCTTCTTTGTGACACCAGTGGGCTTCGCGCCGGCCTTCTTGGTCGCAGGCTTCCTCTTGATAGTAGGGGCCGTGTCGACCTGCTGGAAGACGCGCGGTCTGGAGCTGCCGGTGGCTGATCGTGTGCCCTCTCGTGCCATTATGACTGATTTGTAATAAATCTGCCGAGTAGACGCGTTAGCAATGAATCTTGAATTATCCAACATGAGAGAAAAATAGGAGGCATGCGAGCACAGGATGCGCCCACACAGCGTGGCGGCGCCGTGCGACCGTGGCCAGGATCGCACCAAGCTGTGGCGCTGTGATGCGACTCAGATGCGACAGGCGCGGTCGGTCGCGTGCGGAGACGTTGTTCTGCAGAGCTTACCTGTGGGGGATTGGTTGAGGAATGTAGGACAAAAATGTGATGATTCGAAATGGGAATGCTTCGCGACAACGAATCTGAGCTTTGCTAACAGGAAAACTGGTGGCGTGTGGTGGGAGGAGAGAAAAGATGAAGAGAAGAGGGGGGGGGAGACAGTCGCGATGCGGGTGTGGGTGTGGGATGCGAAACGAGGGAAAACAACTCGACACCTCAAAGGCTTACCAGAATTGGGTTGGGCAGGGGCGGGTGACCGATAGGGGGGTCAGGTAGGCTCCTGGCTCCTGTTCTCTCCTGGGCGCTCTCTCACCTTCGTTATCCCAGCCCTGGCAACCACTGGCCGAGTTACAGGCAGCACACCAACTGCAGACAAGACTAATACCAACCGACAACTAACAATCAGTCTCAACAAACTGGGCACTCGAGTATCTAGGTGGGTAATGGCGACCTTGGAAGGTGAAGCAAGGAGATGATAATGCGTTGGCTGGGCACCACCAGGTTTCTCGCGGCTATCGATCCCCTCCCCTCCCCTCCCTTCTACCTGTTGTTTATTTCTCTCATCTCTCTCAGCTCTGGTTGAGAGAGTGTGTGTGTGTGCGTGCGTGCGCTCACGGCATTGATCTCACCAGATTGTCCGCACAGCCGCTCAATTTCCTGGTATTTTTTTTTAATGGCTGCGGCCCAGCAGGACAAATCCACCAACGCAGGCCACGTCCCAGGTCAGATGGCAAGCCGGTGGACTGGCACTGGCCCTTCCGGGGTCTTGTCGCCCATCCTTGCCCTCCAAAAGCGGATTCCTCGACTCCTGCGCGCGTCACGTCGGGGACCTGGTTGCACACTACGACGTGTTTTTCTCCCCTCTCTCTTGTCTCTTGAGCGGGCTATCAACGGCCCATTGTGTTCGCTGGCTCTGTAATCAGCCCTCGGGAGTGACGTGTCTGCCAGCATCACTCCATCGCCGACACTGCGCCGACGTGTTCTGTTCCATGTTGGAGAGTACTCTAAGTACTAGGCATATGCCATTGCTGTGGCAGATGTCGAGCTCAGGCTAAACTTTTCCATTGCACTTTTCACATCCTATTTTGCAAGTGCGCAGTTCAGACTATACACTAACGCTGACTAGATGTTAGTGGTGTATGAGTCTGCTGGTCAGGTGCCGGTCTTCTGAGGTTGTTTGTGATCGAGTCATAACACACAAGACTGTTACAAAAGGCAGTCGGTCTTCCACTTTCAGGTATCGACCGCATCATTTGTGGGAAATTGTAAAGCTGGGCTGCTCTTCCACATATCTACTGCTGTGTCACGTCAGTGTTGTGTTTATCTCGGTGACCATGGCTCGGATAATCCACCGTCTACAATGTCTCTTGGGTTTTTCTCTCCTTTTTTACCTCCTATTTTGTTTTCCCTTTTGTCGTTGAGCCATACTTTTGTTCCTGTTTCCCTCGCTGGGTACGCCGTTTACGGCACAGTCCCAAGTCATGAAGTACCTTAACCTGGACAGTCTATATCTGGTATTACCCACATGGTCATCGCGCAAGATCGATCTACCTCACCAGAGCTATAGCTCGGGCCGGCGAGAGCCGTATATATGAGGGCCAAGGCTGCCAGTCAGCCCAGTGAACCCCAAGAGCCCACAAATACCGGGCATCAGCAGCAACAGGCCTGGGAGGCCGGAGCAAAGACCCTGATCAGGACCCACCCCGTGAAGTGATGCCCCAACGAGTCCCCAACCAGGAAGGACGGACTTCTCCCTTGGCCCGGCGGGAATGCCATGGCATTTGCCAGGCCACCGCGAGCATAAAGCATGCGGATTTGGAACAAGAAGGAATTCACTTACCCCACGCCGGAACAGTTCCGGTCCAAGGGTCCAAGGCCCGAGGCATGCAGATAAGGCTGCCTCTGCGGCCGCCCTTAGCTACAGCGACAGCGTGGCAAGGGGATGAGACAGGCTGACGGTTGCTGAAGCGATTGGCTCGCCTCGCTGGCTGACGGATGTGGGTTGCCCTCATCCACCCCACTTCTGGGAGAAGAGGAACGCTGCGGCGGTACTGTGTATATATCAGGCAGGGGCCCGAGATGGCAAGGAGAATCATTGGCATTCTTTTGTTCTTGTATGATCTATGTTTGAAGCGCCTTGCCAACCTGAACGAAAGAAGAAGAAAAGAGAAACCAAAACACCAGAGACCCCCCGGGGTATGATTCAATCCTGAACACCGTACTTCGCCTTGCAAAATCGAAGAAGTCATGCCAAAGGAAAAGAATGCCAGGCAGAACAAAAGACCATCTCGTCCCTCTTAGGTCGGGAAGTTGAGCCTCTGGCCTGCCGGCATGGCCACATTCTGCCAATTAATATCGTCCGTCCTCTCCGCGACCTGGATGAGCTGCATCTCCCGGACCGCGCAGAACATCCCGCTCCGGCCCGTGCGGTTGACCAGCTCCCAGTCGTTGTCGTCCACGTTCCACCTCTCCTCGACGAACGGCTCGCCCTCGCGCACCTCGCGGTACGGGTTGTTCCTGGGCAGGCCGGCAAAGTAGGATATGATGCGGTGCGGGATGGCCAACAGCCTCTCCCACCGCTTGATAGCCGAAACCCACTTGAGCGTCGACTCCTCATAGGTGACACGCACGTACGGGTTGACAAACACGCCCTGCTCGGCTGCGTTGTCCTTGCGCGCTGCTGTCGAGACGTCGGCCAAGAACAGGCAGCACTCGCATGCGTCGAAGAAAACCTCGGGCTCGTATCGGAATCGCACCGGTGCTTCAATCGGTACCGGGTTGTCGGGATCGATGTCGTGGGCGCCGATGGTCTGGAACTCAGGGAACGGCAGAGTCTCGTTCATGTTCTGCACGTATTCTGCCTGCATGGCGACCATGCCACTCCAGCAAGAAGTTACCGGGACCGCGTCGCTCTGCGCAAGCATAGCCGCCCGCGAGGTCGCATTCCCTGCCGTCGTAAAGATCGGGAAGATCGGCACACCGTTGGAGTATCCCTCCGCATCTCTCTGGGCGTACAGGTCATAGAACAGGAATGGGTTCTTGTAGTCGAGGGCACAAGCGGACAAGTACTGGGAGCGGCCGTCGGGGCCTAGGTTCGTGTTGAACAGCAGCTGCATCGCATCGATGGGGTGAAAAGCAACGTCGTTCAAAAACAGCACCTTGTCGAATTCGACCACGCCCTCCTCCTTCCTGAACCTATCTAGCGGTTTCAACGCGCGATTCCGCATCTCGGACAGGTACGACAGCCTCTTCATCCGCTCGGTCCCATCCGGCATGGTGATATTTCCAAAGCCCGCCAGCGGCACGTGTGGGTCGTACACAATCTCGTGCGCGCATGGGACCTTGCTCTTGAACTCCTGCAGCGCCGCCTCGCCGCCCGGGCTGTCGTTCTCGTAGATGCTCAGGAACGTGTGCTCGGGCCCCAGCATCTGGATCAACTCCAGCACCGTCTCGCCCCAACGACCTCCTGCCAAGTGCCCTTCTCTGTCATATAAACTGACGGATATGAATATCTTCTCGTGGAACGGGTTCGCGCAGCCGGAGGGCGCATCGGGGCCCTCGCATCGTGCTTTCAGCTCGCTGTAGTGTGGGGGTAGTCGTGTGTAGGAGGGCGCGAGGATCGGCGTGGCTACGAAGAGGACGATGATGAAGATGATGAGGATCTTGAGGGTCGCGAGAAGAGACTGCACAGGGTGTCGGAGAACGCTGCGTCGGAGGACGCGTGGTCGTGATCGCAACCATTTCTTCACTCGATGGGGCACACGCCGAGGCGAGCTGGGTCTTTTCAAGACAATCTCGTCCAAGACATCGTCGCCAGCCTTGCCGTCAAAGGAAGTGTGGTCAAGGAAGGCGATGCGCTCCTCGTCTGAGTTCCTGGGACTCATAGCGTTGGGACGTTGACGCCGCGATAAGGGCAACGGGTCCACGATGAAGAAACAATGGGATGGCCTGATGGTGGACAGGCAATGAGGAAGATTAGAAGGGGGGTTGAAGGAAATACACCATTACGACGCCAAGGACGAAACAGAAGCAGAGTGCAGGTGTAGTTCGTCCTGGGATTATGCTAGGCTACGGGAATGGCAAGGCGTAGCGCAAGCAGAGAGGTGAGTGGGTGACAGAAAAGGAGGGTGGGCAGTGACAAGACTGACAGACCAGACCAGACAGGAATTGTCAAAGAATGTTTCGGCGGTGTTGGTCCCAAGGATCCCCCCCCATGTGGACTCGGCGACGATGCTGATTGCCCAGCAGAAATTGGAGGTCCCAAATTTAATGTTCCTTGCCAGGTGCTCCAAGCGTGCTCCAAGCCCATCTGGGCTTGAGCTGGGGGGGGCTGAGGCCCACCACGGACCTGCATGTGCCTGCTGGCATGTGCGTCCGCAGCAGGCTGGCTGGCAGGGCGCAGGCAAAGCAGTAACGGCGCGGTGAATTGGAGGCCACAGGGGGGGAGTGTGGGTGGGTCCGGCAGTGTATGCTCCTTGCCGTGGACTGCGTGGGTGCGGGATGACGCGCAAGCTGCACTACGTCTGCTCAGTGACAGTCTTTCGGGTTGGGGAGGCCCCTGTTCCCATTCCTTCACATGCCGAGCCCCGATGAGTTGGCCAGTGGATGTTTGCTTCCTGAATCCTCTGGCCACTCCTCCGCCTCAGTGCGTCCTGTCAGGCTGTCACGGAGCTACAGAAGAGGCATCGATGAGACGGATGATCCTGTATCAACATATCTGACATGACATTGTTGACCGCCCACCGTCTCACCGTCCAACGTCTCACCGTCCCAGGTGCAACGCACAACGTCCAACGTGCAACGTTTAACGTCGTCGGCTAATGTGTTGTTGGGTCGCCATAGAACGATTCGAAGCTGCGGTCTTGTTCGCTTCCCCTGCCACACACACGCCAAGCCTCGCCCAGCGCTGTCCAAAATCTACACTAAAACGGCCGATCGCCGTCGGGAGTCTGCCACGCTTACTGGGCTTACTGCATCTATTGCTGCACGAGCAAGGTTGCACAGATACTAAAAAGTAGCGGCTTGCCGACTTCCGGAATAGTCTCTAGAGCCACTTGAAACCAACGGTCAGATCGCAGCCGTCTCTCGATCATCAATGATGTCTTCCAAGCCCGGTTTGGGGTATAATTCACGAATGCATTACACAGTTCCCACTACATTGAGCGAAGAGGATCAGCTGTGCAACCACATCTTTGGGAGAGGAGCTGAGGAGTTGGAGATGAAATTAGCGACTTCGCCCCCTGCGAAGCATGTCTGCACTCTGGGGGACACAACACTACCACACGCCGCCTCAACAATATCTTGCTCAGTGGCAGGCACTCGGGCCCGCAACTCATCATTTGTTAAATACAATCACCTGTCTTTTATGGTGCAACATCTGCCACTGTCCGCCCTTTTGCACGTCTCCTGCAGCGCTGAGCCTCAAAGTGCAACGAGTTCGCGTAGCCGGCCGGAGTTGCAATGTCGCACATCCACGCGTCTAGTGCTTACAGATCTGCATCGCATGCTGAGAAGACTGCCTATAGAGTTAGTTGGTACAAACACTGGCAGGAAGGAAACCTACCTCAGCATGGGGCCGATAGATTGCGGCTCAGGGCCTCTTCTTTATTGCCTCCTCAACCTCATCCATCACTTTTGACTCCTTTGACTTCCAGCCAGAGCTCCTTAGGCTCGTCAGCTCCGTTGCCAGCGCTTTCATGGTATCCGGGGTCTTTTTCTTGTTTATGAGGTGCGAGATTCGCTTGAAGTGGTCGTCCATGTCGCTCGAGTCGCTAAGTGAATCGAGCATCGGGCCGGTGATCTTCAGCAGCATGCACACAGCCATGAATTGGTTCCTCTTCAGCGTAGGGCCCCACTGCGCTCGAACGTAGAAGTGAATGTGTTCTGCACTGAATACCCCGTATTTGGCAAGCTCGCCAATGAAGCGCGAGAGACCCAATGCGAAGGTCTCAGCACTGATCTTGTTGCGTTCATGCTTGCCACGGTCCCAATCTGCCAAGCACTTGTTGAACAAGTAGCCCGTCACAGGCTCTTCGTCACTTTGAGCATCCTCAGCGTTATTGCGGGTATAGCCCTTGGTGATGATCTTCTGGAAGCGGTTTGGCGTGCGGGTCTGTATCTCCTTAGCCAAACGAGCATAGAATCTGGGACGAGTACCACAGCGACAAGCCATCTTATAGATCAAATCGAGGACCTGGCGGTAATTTCTTGAGTCTTTGTCGGTTTGCTGCTGGAAGGCAACCACCAGAAGTTCGGGCAAGTATATGTCGAAGTCGTTCTTGATCCTGTCGAGCGCAGCCGTAACCTTTGAGGAGACTATTTCTGGATCAAACAAGTCTTCCGATGCATCACTGACAGTGTTGGACTTGCTGCTCGCTGCTCTTTTGCTTTTCTCGGCAGTGGAATTACTTGAGTCACACTTCTCCTGTCCAAGCTTGAGGGGTTCTCCTCGAACGAGTTTTCGCAGACAAGTTTTCAACTCGTCCGCAACACCCTCGATTGCGTCGTCGCTGATTCCTTCTTCAGCCAATTGCTCGCCAATCTTGTTCCAGGCTCTGGATCTCTGGAGCTCACACTCCTCTGAAGTTTTGTCGCCGCTGCGACCCGCGGAGCCGTCATCAATGGTCGGGATCTGGACAGTGGGACGATGTTCGCTCGCGGCTGATATCGCTGCCGCCAATCCCCTTGCGGCTGCGAACTCTCCTTGAAAGAAGTCCCAATGCTTGAAAATGGAATCTCCCCACTCGCATAATTCCCACAGTCTCATCTGAAGGTCGGCCTGTTCATCGTCGACCAGTGCCTCGAGTGAGCGTGCCAAATGAGACAATTTCTTCGCAACTTGGTCGAATGGATTGCTTAGTTCATCCAGCACGAAAGCGCGGTCTTCATCGTGGAGTTTCCACTCGGTCTCAGCACCGGTTCCGTAAAACCCACAGGTCTTGCGCAACTCATGAAGAAATGCGGCCAGGAGACTCAAGCCGGGGCTGTGGGCTGGGTCCGAACGAAAGGTATCGCGCTTGTTGGCATGCACTGTCCGCATCATCGCGAGGAGAGAAGAGAGAAGCGCCTTGACCTGCCGCTGGAGGCCGTGAAACTGATGAACACCATTGAGATCGTGTATCAACTCTGCGCAGCGCGTGACGCAGACGTTGAGTGGCTTTGTGCGAACGAAAGGAGTCATGGTGTGCGATCGGGCGCGTGTCATACGCGAGGATGGTGGGATGGAAGGAACTGCTGACTCTGGCGATCGGTCGGGCTTGCTCTTCACAACACTGTTAGAACGGAAGCAGCTCACATGAGTTGGACCAGGGATATTCCAGACGCATTGTGTGCTTACCTGTCTAGGGAGACACATTCGGTGCAGTCAGGGTCTGTCTGTTTGGGCTGCGAACGCGTGACGTGACAACAGTGACGAGCTATGAGATGGATAACGGTCTTTTTGTATGCTTGGAGAGGCAAGCATGGGCTAGCCAACACAGAAACCTACCTACCAAGCAGGCGTTGGTGTAAGGGAGAGTTTGAAGGCCAAACATGTGTTAATTGATAGAAACTGGTTCCTGCAAATACTTGGAAATGGGAGAAGTACCATCGTACTTGGAGGTCGTGGGTGTTGCTGGATCTTTCGCACCTTATCTCGAACGAGAGCCGTTTCTCCGTCTGCCTCGGACACTCAAGCAAACACCAACTCTACTATAATCTCTCTGAACCAAATTTCAAATAGCTGTGATGGACTGCTGCACCCCACTGTTTTCGAACTTGTGGATAATCTTTCAACCATGTCGAAAGACAGACGAACATGCGGGCGAAAGTCCTCACCCATGCTCACATGCAAGAGCGCACATAGTCGAGCTGCACCTGGCTATTGGCACACAATGCGTTTATCAAATTGATTTGTTTGGGAGATACGAGTATTCTGATTTCGATATAAAGCATTATTTCATCTGTCAGCATTGGCTGGATCCATGGATCGCTTCAGCCTCTATGCTAGGATCTTCAACCTGTTTATTCAGCCCCTGGCTGCTCGCGGGTATAAGGGTCGAGCAACACATGTATGGTAGTCATTTTTGAGTGGAAGACCTTGGGTCCAGGAGATGCTTTTCTCACCGACTTGTTAGACGAGGAAGAGGGAGGCCCTTTAGAGAACACAACTTGATCCAGGTGCTCCTAGAGTTTCCAAAATGTCGTTGAAATGGAAAGGCTGTGTACGAAGAGAGTGAAGCCAAGGTTGATGCTGGCGGAGGAGTGAAGTGAGACAGAGTCAATTTATGGTAGGAAGAAGATACATCCTGTGAAATGTGCATGTAGAAGAGGACAGAAGAAGCGTAAATTTGCAAGGTCGGCTCAAGCCAGTCGCTTTGAATCCTTATGAAGAATTTTACGTGCTTGTCTGCGAGTCTTTCATTGCGACGAGCTCAATCGTAAAGAAAACACAAATTTTAAACGGTTCACAGGGTCTTCTTGTTTCCTTCAAGCCTCATCCTTTCAAGCCTGGTTCGAACTTGTGCCTGAGCAGCTTTATTATCAAGGAAGATCTGCTCTCTGGCCTTTGGCCAAGCCCTCCTTTTACCGGTCTCAAACAGCCGCCAAATAGAGGGGCTGAATATACCGTTCGCACAAAGATGATATAATTTCCGATCATTCCACCAGAAAGACCAAGCCTTGAGACTAAGCCATCCGAAGTGGCTAAACACTCCAGTTCCGGCAGCATCCTCGAACCACTGCAAATGGTCTGTCATAGGTTGATTGAGGGTATAAAACGTAGCCTCGGATTTCTGCCGATCCAGAAGATTCTGACGCCAATCCAGAAAGCCGTGGTACCATGTTTTCATATCGCTCAGTGGAGGTAGGCTGGACCGTCCACTCCATATCTGTGAGGTTGCCATGATGATGAGTTCGTGCTGGACGAAGCCAGGGAAGAAGATCGCGCCATGACCAAAGAACGCAAGCGAGTTCCGGACCTTAGGGTCTTCATGGAGCGGGAAGGTCCCGCGATACAGATAAGGTGGCTTGCCCGGGATGGGGTAGGGGTTGTGTTCCTGGTCGACGAAAGGTGCGGCGAAATTATAGCCAGTCGTGTAAATGATAGCGTCGATGTCTTTCAGGACACGGCCATCTTTTAACTCGATTGTCTTCGCTCCTGTGATCTTTGACACAGCGCTAACTGGTTCGCAGAAGCCCGATTCCAACAGAGGGTAAATCTCGTCCCCAATCAAAGGAGCTGTGGTTGCGATAGATGGAGCCGGGAAGAAGTTCCATGACTTGAGAACGTTGGGAAATGCGGTTTTCGACGTGGCAACCATAACTTTGTCCATTAGCCAATTCAATATACTGGGAAACCAAGTCGTCGCGAATAACACGAATCTCGTGAAGTTGAGGGTCATGGCTGTGTCGAACGCAGCACCTTTTGGGTCATATCGTGGGAGCTGGAGATCATGAGCCATCAGTTTCATCCCGCTCCAGAGGTGCATGAGGATATCTCTGAAACGTACGAGAACGACACCGTTTCTATGGCTGGCATACAACTGCGCAGCATGTCCCACGAGACCAGAAGCTACATCTTGTGCAGATGCGTGAAGCCCGACGATCAATACCCGCTGGTCCTTGAAAGACTCGGGACGATGGAAATTGATCGCGTGCAGAGTCCTTCCGGTGAACTTCTCTATCCCCCGGATCTCTGGCCATTTTGGCGCCGTGAAGGTTCCATTCGCGACGGCGATCTTGTCGAAATATTCGCGGCGGGGGCCGCCATCCTTGGTAAGAAGCTCGACTGCCCATTTGTCTCCTTCGCGTGCAAAAGCCACCACGCGTGTGTTGAGTTGGATATTCTGTCTCAACTGGAAATGATCCGCATAGCCCTCCAGATACTCCCACATTTGTCGCCAAGTGGGGAAATCGTCCGTTTCGTCCGGAAAAGGGTAGTCTGATATTGCGCTCCGGTATTTGCTGCTGTTGAAAATTGTGTTTGCAGCTACAGAAAGAGACCCATCCTCGGAGTAATTCCACAATCTGAAGGTCTGGTAGTCAGTACGTTTTCGAAACAACTGTCGTCAAGTCCATGTTCCGAATGTTTGGCAATACCCTCCAACCCATGATCTCGCTTCAAAACACGTCACATCCAGCCCATCTTCCTTCATGTTCTTCAGCGCCATGAGTCCTAGAGGACCGGCCCCTATCACAGCAACACGGGGAGCCATATTGTAGAATTACTGGTGTAGAGAAGCCGTAATTGATCCTGTGTATTATCCGAGGTCGAAATCCCAAATGTCACAATATTGCGGCTGCAAGCGAAGTCGTGCGCTAAATGTAGTGTTTCCAAGAGAAAGGGGAGCTGAACTCGAAACGATTCGAGAGCTGGACTTCCTGGGGAGGTATACATAATATCAACCAGAGCCAGCCTCTAAAGCGATATAGCGCCAGTCGTGTTCACGTAAGCCTATTATCATTCACTATTACTCGGGATGGGACTGGGATGAAACAAAGCGAGCTACTAACACAGAAAGTTAGCATTGCCAGCAGATGTAAGCGCCAGGAGCACTATATCTCGTATAACGCAAATCCATTGCAAGGGATAATGATTCCGAGCCTAGCAGCATTTGGCCTTAGCGCTTACGACAGGTATGGGTGACAACATGTTGCAATGGGAGAGGATTGAAGCCTGTGGCGCAGGATCTTCAGCACCTCGTCTGCTCGTCTGATTAATTATTCCTGCGGCTAGATCCTAGTCTTGGCATTCTAGACCCCTGAATGGCAACTCGCATTTACAACATATCACGGGTGCGGAGACAGGTCGCATCCCGTATGAAAATTGCATACTATTTGGGCGCACATAATCACATGTCTTTCAATCGAATAGCAAATAATCAATGTCTTTCAACGTATAAACTCATATAGTACATTTGTGTTCTCTTTTTGGCACCTTAAATATGCTTTGGCTGCCCTAATGCTCGCTACCAAGGTATTTGCGACAGAGCGCCCCAGCAAAGTCAGATTCCTCATCATGACTACCTGGGTGAAGTGCACGGGCAGTCTCTACCGCAGAAGAGGATCATCTGTGGCTCCGGAAGGTATGTGTTAGCTACCCTGGGGATGTCGGCAGCAGTGTGTTGCACTGTATCAGCAGCGTCTCCTTTTGCCTTCCAATTCGTCTGGTGTATCAGCCCAGACATAGACAGTCTTTACCTCTGAAAGTTTCTTCGCTTTCGTCCTGTCGGCCTTTGAGAATTCCGGAACACATGGCTTGGTGAGATGAGCCAAAGGCTCAGGTAATCGCCGTTGCTTTCTGTGATTGGTCCGTAACATACTTTTGAGCTCTTGCGTTGATTGTATGGGTCCGTGGTGTCCGTTTTCCAGGTCTGTGGCCTTTCAAATATGCAAATCATGATTTCGAACTTCAGACGGTTAAGACGCGGAGTGACTTTTATAACCAACAAAAATGAGATCAAAGAAAAGCGTGGTGATCCCGTGATACTATGGCCTGGATAGACCAGAGCCAATACGGAAAGATTAGCTTACTAGTTTGGCTCCGACAGTAGTTGACCAATTTTGGACAGCAGGCATCAAGTAATCGGTTGGCTATCTGCGGCAAAAAGCTATATTTTGTCTGAATCGAGAGGCTAGACTGCGTTAGAGTTTTGAGAGTTTCATGTTGAACGAATGATACGTTCAGCAGCCTGCCAAATCCTTATGGTCAACAGAACGGCATACTCCCAAATAGAGAAGATGGACCACAGAGACAATAGGGAATGATCATTGCAGCTAATTATTTGCGTACTTATATGTGATGGGTTGTGCATCGCGCCTCTCAATTCAAGCGAGAGACAAGGAACAATTGATGCAGAGTAAAGCCGTGGTAAAATACATTTAGTAACTATTGATCCCTGGGGCTATGCGGGAAGATTAAGGAGCTGGCTATACGACGACCAAGGATTCTTTGGACTTGCCGTGAATGTCTTCGGTTTAATGGCTTAGTAGGTAGACTTACTAGAACCTTAGATTCTAGATGGGAAAGGTCATTCATGTCAGGTAGTATGGGATCCTCGTAAGCCGAGACCTTCAGGGTGGTTTTTCTGATTGGAATGATTCAAAGGGAGGTGGGTTTCGTCACAGATCTGAGCCTTGTTGGTCGAGAAGAACAATTTGATTAGTTTTCCACGGTACTTGCAGTAAGCGTAGGAAATTTATTGAAAGAAATGACTGAGCACCGTCGTAGTAGACCCTGATACCTGACAACGGTGAGATTCTCCAAGCGTTAGTGAAAAGATCTGCGTTGCCTAACCCCTTGCTTGTCCATATTCAATACGCATCTCTACTTCATCCGCTGTCGCACCCGGAGACGTCCATTGCTCCAAATGCATTATGGGTTGCCTCCCAGAATGCAGATTGAACACAGCCCATATCGCAGCCCAGACCGACCCTGAATTTCCAATCGAGCCCTTTCTTGTAAACGAAGGACTTTCCGCAGTGTGGTCTGGAGACCATACACAACCATGAATGGCGCTTAAGACCCTCCCAGAGTCTATGGCATACTGCGCCAACGTCGTCGACCTCTCGGATAGTGACATGATAGTCGAAAACGAATCCTGGCGCGTGGATCGAACACCAGGCGTCGGGTAGATCTTCGCCGGGAGGAGGCCCTTCGAGAAGAGTGGTATTAGTCACAGCTACATTGGAAATAGCTGCACCAGGTAGAGCTGCGGCGGAAGCAGCAAGAATGATGCTAAAGGCGGTGAAAATAGAGGATGGCTTCATGGTGAATGGCGAAAACTTGAGGGGGAATAAAGGGAATATTGCACCATTGCACATAGGTATCGGAGTGAAGAGGTGAAGAGCAACCCAGTTGACGAAGCCAAGGGGGCCGAATGCTTTATAGTTGCATCTTCGTTCGACTGGTTGCTTATGGGTGATGCGTCGGCTGGGGAGTCGCTATTTCCATGGTGTTTTGAACGATGCAGAGTTCGCTCAGCCCGGATCATTAGCACACGGTGCTTTACACACTCTAAAGAGCTATACGAGCAAACGAAACACAGGTTCGCGCGTTGGACAGAATGGAGGAAAGACACCGGCGAGAACACCAACTCACACTATGGCCCACTAGTGACTATGCGAGTGGTATATGTGCTCAGCCTCGCCCATGCAAAGTGCCAGACAAGAGCACTAATCGAGTGCTGGCGAATCAAAATCGTTCCTGGGTTGCCATGATGGATGTACTAAATCTCGGACGAAGCGTCTGAGGGTCAAGTCCAGCACAAGTTACGCCAAACCTGCGACAGGCGGCGCTGAGAGGAGCGGTCCTGAGGTCTACCGAGATTAGATGGTTGTTGGGAGGCCTTCTTCGAGGGCAGCTCTGAAAATAATCCATGTTAGAGCCCCAAAGCGAGTAGATCAAACAGATGTGATTTCGAGAGAATGATCCCACAGAATCTTCTAGCAATGTTTTAGTGACACCCAATTCTGATCAGATTGTGCCTTTCTATGTCAAGGACTTTCTACAGTGGGCAGCGTTTTGCACAGCGATCCACAAGGCATTGTGTGATCAGTCATGGTGAAAATTTTATCGTTACGATGACAATAAGAGGCAGGACGAGAATGCGAAAGGAGAAGTAAATTTTCAATGAAATGCCCATGGTGTCAGAGCAGAGGGGCTGCCGAACATGGCATGTGTCTTGATTGGCACTTCATCCCCACGACGACAGAGAAAAGCTGCAGGCAGCGAATTACTTGAACAGATCACCGAGGTAGCCCCCAATATCTTTTGAAAGTTGATCTTTCGTGAAGGCACTGATGGTTGCTTACCAGCGCATCTGTCTGCCTTTCTTTCTTCAAGAAGCGTCATCAATTGATATAAACTGCATTTGATTCAAAGACTCGCAGTTGATGCTGATTCGTCAGCCTCGCGGTCGCTCTCTGTCTAGATATTCTCAGTCTGCGTGCCCTCTTAGGATGACATGGTGTACGCGTATCGCAGTCGGTCTTGGCGCTATGAAGAAGTAGTGCTGATCAAGCCACCTGGGATTATAGGTAAGAATGTAAATTCCGGTGGCTCGCACACCCAAGCGCAGAATCTGCTGGTGCTGACATCTAAACGTCCCACGTGCACAGTTCCCGCTGATCATCCACGAATTAGATCTTGCCTATGGGCATTTGTATGGAGAATTTTAGGCTGCGCGGCGTAGTTGGAATAAGGTGAGGGCCGCTGACAACTTCGTAAATGGAAAAGCAGCTGTCCTTGGTTCAATCGATGCCCTCGTTCCGTGCCCTCGTTCCCTCTTTCCCGCTCGCGGTAACGAGTCGATAAGCATCATGGCGCTATGCGATTTATGTCTGACGGTTCCTTTTAGCGCTTTGCCCCGCTTGCCGCAAGAGCATCGTTCAGTCACCCGGGTCGCGGACCATGCCGAGAATACCCATCTCTTTTTCATGGCAGGAGACGAAATCGCGAGTCCAACCGCAGAGCTCCCAGATCCGATCGGGTTTCCCTTTCATGAGAATCTTCGCGCCTTGGAATTGTCGGCAAAGTCATGCCCTCTCTGCCACATAGCACAGATAGGTGCTCGCGCATGGATTGACCGCTTGGAAGACGCCGCGAAGAACAACAAATCTTTTATCGAATTTCATAAGGGAAGAGACACTGTTCCGACTGAAGAGCGGCTGTGGCTGACGGCCTGTGACGATGGAAAGCAGGGCTTTTATCTTTGGGTTAAGAGCCCAAACATAGCCCACGGCCTGTACTTGTTGGCAGCAGTGAGGTTTTGTGTCGAGTCCAGTCTGTTCCGAGTTTTCTTTCATCTCACAATTCACTCCTCATTGTTGCAATTGAATGAGTCGGCTGACCGCCTGTAGCGAGTCCCTTGGCTGGCGAATTTCCTGTGCGCCCGCTAGAACGAGACTCGGCTTCTGAAGCAAGCTTAGAATTTGTAGCCTCATGGTTGCAGGAATGCGCCATTGAACACAAATCTGGAATATGCTCCGAGGAAAGCACGACTTTGCCGACAAGAATACTTGACATCGGATCAGAGGGGGACGTCATCAAGCTAGTTGATGGCATCCACCAAAGTGGGAAATATGCTTCCCTCTCTTACTGTGTAAGGCATCTGTCCGGTAGTATGGGATGACTTACTTTGAAACTAACATAAAATGTGAGAAACTTAGTGGGGCAAGTCGCCACCGTATCTCACATCTCGCGACAACATGGAAGCCCGTCGCGTGGGTTTCAACATTCATGAAATGCCTCAGACTTTCATCGACGCGATAATTATAGCGCGGCGCCTGGGCCTCAGGTACTTGTGGATTGATAGTCTTTGTATCTGCCAAGACGACGCGAGTGACTGGGCTCGCGAATCTGCACGCATGATCGACGTATATTCGAATGCCCACGTTGTTATCGCAGCGAACCGATCCGATGACTGCACAGGAGGATGTTTCCACAGCCGTGCCGCACGCCCGAGCTCCGTGTTCAGACTTCCTGGTGGATCATATGATGTGACTGCGATACTACTGTTTGCGTCAGACCAAGAATCGGCCTTCAGCGGTGGCGACTTTCGAGACGAGCCACTCGTCGGTCGAGGCTGGGCACTGCAGGAACGTGTACTGGGGAAGCGTGTTGTTCACTACAACTCCAGACAGGTATATTTCGAATGCGCTCGTGGCATCATCGCCGAGGATGGCTCAGGCCTTAGTAAGAAACGCCGCGGCTATCATCAAAGGCCAGTCGCGACGATGGATCCCCTGAATGACGACAAACAAAACCTGTCGTCTTGGAATTTGCTAGTTTGGAATTACGGGGCGCGGCGGTTGAGCAAGCCAACTGACAAGCTCCCAGCGATGAGTGGTCTAGCCAGACTGTTCCATGGGAGAATAGGAGGGGACTATGTCGCCGGGCTCTGGAGCAAGGCTTTGATGGAGGGTCTCGCATGGCAGCCATTGGGCCGGCGAGGGCCCGCATCCCGAGACCAATACACTGGACCGAGCTGGAGCTGGGCAAGCTTCGACGGCATTGCAGCGACGGGATTGAATCCGGGATGGGTAGATGTAGCCGACATCGTGGAGTGGCACGTTGATCTGAAGCACGAGGCCAACCCCTTCGGCGAGGTAGAAAATGCCTGGGTGCGGATCCGAGGGCCTGTTGTCCCACTGAGACACAGCACACAAGAGTCGAACGAGCACGAAGCAAGGCTGGGGAGAGCTGGTCTTCGGCCTCTGCCTAGGGTCTGCACGCCTCACACGGATTCTGAAAATGGATTGATCATGACGCCGGACCACACCGACATCACCAGCACCAGCGAGTGGAAGGACTGGCGGTTAGAAGTTCTGCTCCTTGGGGGCTACGAGGAGAAATGGGGTCAGGAGTCATGCTCGGACGACGAGGACACTAGTACCGCAATCGGCTCATTCTACGGGCTTGTGGTCACAGGTGCGGGGGATGAACACACAGAGAAGAGGCGAAGGGTTGGGTTCATGTTTGTCGATGGGAAAGAAGGGTCTATAATCAGAGATGACGAGAAGAACTGGAAGACTGTGACTTTGGTATGACTGTGGAACGTCATGCATAGGGCTGGAGCATGAGACTCGGAGAGATATCTGGACATATGGGAATTAATATACGTGTTTGTAGTGTTGAGTCCCCAGTCATCAATCAGTGCGAGTGAGCCTTGACCAGAAGCACCTTGGGCTGGCGGCGTGGACAGAGTGGGACCCTGCTGAAAAAGGGGGACGGTAGAGTAGTTCTGCAGGCAGTGATGGTGACCGGAAACCAGTCCTACAGTCATGATTCCAATCCATGATAGCCCCCAGAAGGTGTATCGCCTCGCGAATCATGTCGATAATTGCCAGTGGCTGAGCTGCACGATGCTTGTGTGCATGGTTGGTTGGTCTTTCATCGCTGGGCGGCATCTGCAGCATCTGTCGTACTTGAGGCTGCCAAGCTGAGACATCTACTCGCTAGGGTCTTTTTGTACTCGGCTGCGTCAACCGAAACAGTGTCCAGTAAATGCGCCGTGAACGATTGAAGTTGTTTGCGATATATACGTCGTCTCCAGAGAAGGGCCAAGCAGTAAAGTTGGTGTTTTATTTCAAGAAATGCTGGAATTCAGTTGCTTATAATTGGAATTGTTTCCGCCCCGCCCCTCGCAAACCCCGTCGAGCTCTTGGTACCCGAAACGGCGTAGCGCAGCAGCTAATTTGGAGCTCTCCTAACGCACTGCATACGTATTGTGGTACCTGGGTACTTCGCAGTTGGGTGCCCAAGTCCCCAAAGTCACCTTGGCCGGGATAGACGCATTCCGTAACGAGAGCAAAGCCTCAACCCTGGACCTGCGACATCATTCTGGTCATTGCTCTGCCCGACAGCCCTCGACCGTCCGCCATCAGCAAGCTCCCTCGTTGTCCCTTCCCGGTCGAAGCATCCAGCCATTCATCCTGTCTACTCCTGAGCTGGACGGACATTGCGAACTGATGGGCTCGCCACCATGTCGACAGGCATGAGCCGCGCCGAGCGTTTCGAGGACGAGAAGCGACGCATCATCGAGAGCTGCTTCAGCAAGAGGGACGAAGACGGCTCAGGTGCGCCAGGGACACCCTCATCTACCCGTTCTCTACTGGGCCTTGCATGCTAACTCTTACATTACACCGACGGTAGTCCTCGAAACCTACATAACGCACCTACGAATCCTCGAGTTCTCGCAATATCCAACCAGTCCTCCTCCCCCTCAGTCGAGAACGCCCCAGTCAGAAAAACCCCGTGTCATCATCGTCGCCGTCCGAAAATCTGGCCGGGTGCGAGTACACAAGACCAAGGAGAACGTTAATGGCTCCTTTTCGATCGGCAAGACCTGGAATCTCGATGATTTGGCCGCGATAGAATCATATACCGGCCCCAACACCCCTCCCGACTTCCGACAATGGGCTGGAGACAACGGCTTTCTTGTCACCCTTGGCAAGCCATACTACTGGGAGGCACAGACTGACAAGGAGAAGAAGTTCTTCATCGCCAGCCTGATCAAGATATTTGGCAAATACACTGGCGGCCGGGTCCCCTCCTTGTCTAATTTCGACCAGCGCGAACTTGACCAAGTCCTCGGCGGGGCTGCGAGACGGGGGGCTGCGAGCCAGCAGACTCCTAATCAACCAAGTCCATCCCCTGCCCGGCCCCCTGCGTCTCCGGGCAGACCGCTGCCGCCGCCCTCGCCAGCGCGTCCACTGCTCCCTTCAGGCTCCAACCAGGCGCTCGGCTCGCAGTCTAGTGGACTAGATGGAACTGCCGGCTCAGACTATACACGAACGCCTTCCCGGAGCCCCATGCCCCCCAATGGCAACTCATCACCGGCCTCGAGTCTTGCTCCTAGCGTCGACTCGACGCGGAACATGCGGAGCCAGGATGCTCCCCTAAGGCAGAGGCTGGGTGCCGGCAACAAGAGCCAAGACTCGGTTGCCAACTCGTATAGGAGTGGTGATGAAAGCCTGCGGCCGAGATCTCGAGGAAGGCCAAATGGGGCCCCGCCATTCAACAAGACGCCCGAACAACCTCCGTCTGCCCTAGCTCCTGCATTTGCCCCGAAACCAAACCCAAGACCTACAGGAGACAGGCCTCCGGAAAGGAAACGCCCCCCTATGGACCCTTTGAGGCCCACCGGCTTACCACCAGACGATGCGTTAGTGCCGGCTCCTCTAAGCAACACCACGAACCTGCGCCGTGTACCATCTCGAGATGTTCTGGAGCCCAGCTCGCCGGTTGCACCACCACCCAGAAGTATTGAGCGCATGTCGCCCAGGAAACCGCCAAGCTTTTCGCAACGTACAGAGCCAACTCCGGTGATAGACCAGATCGCTGCCGAACCTGTTGAGCCGCCGCCGCCTTCTCAACCTGTCGAACCTCTACCTCCAATCGACACTGCACCTCCACCCCTTTCCGTGTCCACGAACGAGGTCAACAAAGACAGCCCGACTGTGCCAGCCTCCGCATCCACACCGGTTGAGAGTCCAGTAGATTCTCCTCTCTCGCCTGAAGAACACCGTCCTGGTCTTGGCCCAATGATTAAAGCGAAGAGGTCACAAAACAAATTGGCAGGGGCTTTGTGGAAGGCAGCAGCAGCGTCTAGCGCATTCAAACCCCGGGTCGGAGGAGCAGGTGAGAAGCTACTGAAAGCTGCCAAGGAGGAACAAAATAAAGGACCAGACGGAATCACGGCGGTCGTTCCTGCGCCGCCACGACCGAAGTCCATCGAGAAGAAACCAGAGCCAGTACCGGAGGTCACGGTCTCTCAGGCAGAGCCCGCACCACTGGAGACTGCGAAGGACTTGAAACCGGAGCCGAAGGCTGAATCGAAGAAGATCCCAGAACCCGAGGTCAAGGAGGAGCGCAAAAAGTCTGTTGTGGTCGGCAATGACCTCAAGTACCTGACGACCCTGGGCGTTGACCCATCTGTATTGGATAACAAGACCTCCCAATTTACGGAGTGGCTCGACTTTTTCTCTTGGGTACCAGGCGACAAAATGCGGACACTTAATCCCGACGAAATGAAGTTTGACATTGAACGAGAGCTGAACAAGGCACAAGCTGGGGGCTGGCTCGCTCGATTTCAGGAGGAGGATGAGCGTGTGGACGCTATCAAAACCGGCATTGACGCAGCAGTTGATGAATGTGACGAGCTGGACAATCTCCTGACTTTGTATACCGTCGAACTTTCCGTAAGTTTCCCTTGTTTGGTCCTGCTCTACTGCGTGACTAATTCCTGCTGCAGACCCTCCAAGATGATATTGCCTATATCGAGGCACAAGGCCAAGGCCTTCAAGTCCAGGCAGCGAACCAAAAGCTGCTCAAGAAGGAACTCGAATCGCTCCTCGAAACTTGCGCGATCACTGCGAATGATCTGCAGGCCCTGTCAATCGCTCCTCTCGAAACTGTTGATGGCGTGGAGGAGGTCGAAACAGCACTGGTCACTTTGTACAAGGCCATGATCAAAATCGACCCTAGCATGGGCAGTGCTGACGAAGTCAAGACCGGAGATGGCAGCAGCGACCAAGCCATCGACTTCAACGGCGACTACGCGAAAATGCGGGTGGTGCAGGAAAAGAGACAGATGTACATGCAGGAGAGTGCCATGTTCATGCAGCGGCTCGTCGATTTCATGGCCAAGCAGTTCAATGTTGCAAATGATGAGGTCAGGAGGGCTTTGAAGGGTGCATTGAACAAGAAGGTCGACCCACAGAACCATGATATTGGGCGAGACATGCTCTGGAAATACGACCCGCTCATGCTTTATACCAGAGATGCTGATCTGGAAGTCTGGAATCGGTTGATACAGATTTATCAGGACGCGGCTCATCCGACATACAAGATGGAATTCCGTGACGCGCTGGATTCGTGGAAGAGAAACGCCAGAAAGCCAGCCGGGGAAGATGCGCTTTTGTTTTCGTCGCAGGAGGAGAAGAAAGAAGAAGGTCTTGCAACAGCCGCCCGAAAGCTTACGGTAAAGAGGAGCCAGACGCTTGCTAGAATCCGCTCGCCTCTCGGAGAAGGCCCCAACCGACCTGCCAACAGCAGCGCAGCCGACCTGTCGCGAAGCTCACCCTACGAAATTTTCGCGAATGTGCTCGACGATGTGCTGCCATTGGTAGAGATGGAGCAAAACTTTATTATCGACTTCTTCCATGCCACAACTATGGAGCAAGTCGATTTCCCAGACGCCGTCGCCGCTATCAGTCCTGGAGCCCGTAGGGGTAATGACCTTAAGAGGCACAGGCTCATGGAACCGGATCGAGACCTAGCGAGAAGAGTGACAAGGTCTATGGAAGTCATCTTTCCGTTCCTCGAAAAGGATCTGAGCAACATGATTGACTGGGTACTGGTACAGAGTCCACTGTAAGTGCAGGTGGGAATCATGGACATTCTGGGCTACCGCTAACATTCTCTTAGGCAAGGTGTTGGGGTCATGGCAACCCTCGAACGCAAGCTCGCCGACATACAACAGTCCAACCAAGACTTCCTAAATAGTGCCCTACAGAAAGTCCACGGCAATCTGCTCGTCAAGTTCAAGAGATTCGTCGAGGAACAAATACGGGCCATTGAGGACACCAAGGTCAAGATTAATAAGCGCAAAGGCGTGATCTCGTTCATGAAGGTGTTCCCGCCTTTCAGCATGGCAGTGGAAAACATGCTCTTGGGAATTGACCCCAATCTCAACGTGCGCCGCACCGTTGACCGCGAGTACGATCGCATTTTGAGGTCTATGTTCGACTCCCTGAAAGTTATCGCACGAGAGAATCCAGCAGTGGGTGTCGCAGCAGCAGGTGCCGGGGCAGACCCGGAGGACAAGGAGGCCCTCAATTATCACATCTTGCTCCTTGAGAACATGAACCATTATATTGAAGAGGTGGAAACAAGGGACGACGAAACACTCGAGAAATGGAAACATGCAGCTTCAGATGAGATAAACGAGCACATGACGCGGTACATTGACGCGGTGATGCGTCGGCCCCTTGGCAAGCTCCTCGATACCCTTGAAAACATCGAAGGCCAGCTCAAGTCAGGCAAGGCACCAGCCGCTATTGCCGCCCAGCCCTCCAACAGCAAGGCGACGTTCGACAAGGTGCTGCTACATTACGACGCTAAGGAAGTGAGGAAGGGCATCGAGGCATTGAGGAAGAGAGTTGAGAAACACTTCGACGAGAACAACAGCCTGGCTCTCAAGGTGACGAAGTCGTGTGAGACGTACTATACTGAGGTGGAGCAGAGGATTACAAGGGTAGTCTCCGAGTTGTACGGTGGGGAAGTGCTTGTTGAGTGGCCGAGGCTGGAGGTGAAGAACGCATTCCGGTGATGACTCCAGGCGGATTGGGGGGGGGGGGGGGATGGTATGCGAGCGACCTATTGATGATACCATGAATAACCCTGCATGGCGGAAGGAAGCAATAAATACAAGAGATTTGTCTCCGAGTCTAAGGAGGTCGTTGAAGCCTCAGGAAATGGTATGTTCCCTGCCTCTTTTCCACTGTGTGAATGCCTATGTCGTTGAATTGCGTCAAAGAAGCGGCTGCCCATGCCAAGATTGCCGTTCGTACCGATAAGGAGAGACGATCTCTTCTTCTTCACAGGAGCAAGCAGACATCGTCTACCACGGCTTTCCAGACCGGATGACCCCTGTCTCCAAACTTGGGACGAAAGTTTGCTTGGTTGGTAATTGGACCTCGGGTCTGGAGGCGATCATGAAACGCTTCCCGCCTCGCTCCGACGCCTTGGTTTCTAACCTCTACGAAACCCCCTCACTCATCGCTACTCTTGCAGACAAGCTTGCGAATCGGATGACGCCCGATCGTGCAATGCAATTCACCTCAAGCGCCTGCACTGCCTTCTATGATTTGGAAATAGGCTCTCATCTCGTCCTCGATGTCGCCGTCTCAGCTTTCCTCGTTCCTTCAAACGTCAAAATGTACATACACGCCGTTGCCCACGACTCGGATGAGCGATGAGAACATGTGAATCTGTCAAGCCCGCATCTGTCAAATAAACTTTACCCCCCGCAAAATTCCCACCTGGATCTATTCTCGCTCACTCAACACCAAGATATCGTCGGCTCAACGGCCAAAAACAGGCGCCATGCGCCTCCTCAGTCCATCGCGGCTCATCTTACCCGCCGTGCTCCTCGCGTCTTCGCATCTCCACCTCGGACTCGCCGCCCCAGCCCCGGTGCATCACGATGAGAGGGACCTTTCCGCTGCGGTAGGGAATTTGCTCGATGATTTTGCCGACCTGGTCAACGACACGGCGAGCCTGCTGTCTGAGTTTGTGACGGTGATCAAGGAGCTCAAGAATGCTACGAATGAGAACGACCTCATCGGTCTGTTGGGTGTGAACGTCACTGGCAGCGACAATGACGATAATGATAAGGCCAACGGTACCGTCAGCGCTGTTGCTGCAAATGGGACTGTGACTTGTCCGGATATGGCGGTTCTGTTTGCTCGGGGGACTGCAGAACTCGGTACGTCTACGACAATCCTTTCATCGCTGTTCGCTGGTGATATCTACCGTCCAAATTTGTGACTAACAAGCTCTAACAGGTAATGTTGGGCTATACACCGGGCCATCCTTCTTTACTGCGCTGCGCAACTACATCAACGGCACATCAACAATGGCCGTCCAAGGAGTCCCATATCCGGCCTCCATCCCCGGCTTCTTGGCTGGTGGTTCGCCCTTCGGCTCAGGCGTGATGGCAGCCCTGGCCAACAAGACCGCCTCGGCCTGCCCGAACACCAAGATCATCATGTCGGGCTACTCGCAAGGCGCGCAGGTCGTCCACAACGCCATGCAGAAGGTGGCGGCGATGTCCAACTCGACCGCCGCAAATAACACCAATGTCAACGTCGCCTCCAAAGTTTCCAGCGTCGTCCTCTTCGGCGACCCGCGCAACGGCACCGCCGTCGCGGGTGTCGACCAGGCGCGGGTGCTGAGCTTGTGCAACGCGCAGGACGATATCTGTGCTAAAGGTGGCGATGTTATCACCCTCGACCACCTGACGTACAACAGGAACGCACCCCAAGCGGCTATGTTTGTCATGCAGAAGAGTGCGTTGGGCCTGATGAGTAATGATGCGATGATGCAAGGTATGGGCAACGTGCCGGTTGTGCAGGCGGCTAAGGGACAGAATGGTGGACAGCAGGTTGGGACTGGGCTGGGTCTACCAGGGATGTGAGGAGTGGATGGATGGTATTTGGTGATGTAAATAGAGTTCGTCAGAATCAGGCTGCTGTGTTTCCTTGAGCGAGATTTCTTGACATTTACATCATAGCAATTCGTGTACCTAAGAGCCAGTTTGGAGCCGAGCTCCCAAATCTATTACTTTCAAAAGACCCCCTTGCTTCACATTGCTTCCATCAAGTTTGACAAGTTCGATTTCCAACATTGGTGCACAAAATGATACCCCAAGCAATGTCTAAAGACCTTGCTGTGTTATAGGCTCTGCTCTCATCATAATGGTTAGACAGTCCTACGTAAGTAGCCTTGGGACACTGGCCAGTAGCTTTTCAGAACGTCAAGGCAGTCCACCTCACTATCTCATGCTTAGAGAAGCATCCTGGAGCATACAGGACCGCTTCTGGCTAGCAAATCATTAAGCTTTTAGATGACCCGCACGGCGGATAGATGCAATGTGCGTCTGACAGCTTAGTCTCATTTTTGGCTAACCATGTTGATTCATGCAGGGATCGGCGCGATCGGCGCTGCCCAGATAGGACATCGATTCCGTAGGACTCATCTTCCCAACTAGACAATCTCGCCATTGCATGTTTCCTTGTCCTTCGACTCTCTGCCCATCAGTCATGGCTCAAAGGGCGAAGCCGTGGATGTGGCCAGTCGCCATCTTGAGCGTCTTGGTCATCCAATCACCACTTTCCCACGTTTATGCGGAGGCGACAGGCACAGAGCAAGTATCACAAGCCAAGTACGAGCAACAACACATCATGAGCACCAGCGGAGACGTTGGCGGCGATTTGCCGTCCATGTCCTTGTTGATGAAGCCTCTGTTCAAAGACTCGGCTCAGACATCAAGCCGGCCTGAGCCCATCGCTATAAACATCACCATGACTATCCGAGTGCCAAAGGAACGCTTCGGCTCCGACACGCCTCTGCTGGAACTGCCCCTGAAGATTGCCAAGACTCCAACGGCCAGGTACGATGAGGACGACAACCCTCTGTACGCGAGCCTAAACGATGGCGATCTTTTCAAGCTCAAATACCGGGACGAGGATCCTGTTGAGGGGCCTAGAGTGTGGTATCTGGACCAGGATGAATCTTTGGGCCAGACGGCAACTGAAGAGACGTCCAAGATCACCGTCAAGTTTACGGCCCCTTACCGCAAGACTGATGAGAAGACCTTGCCTGGGCCCAGAATCGATCTGAGGAGGGACATCACAGGCGGTGGTCTGGTCGGCCAGGGGCAAGGATTCATCCCCGTGCCTCCTCCACCGGAACGCAAAAGCGGTGAAACCGATGACAACGACGGCGGCGAGGAGCAAAAGGAACTTTGGCAGGTCAAGGTGGAGTGGGATCTCGCCGATGCACCTTCAGGCATCCACGGGGCATGGTCTCTCGGCGACGAGCAGGTGTCGAGCGCCACTGGCTCCATGGAATGGACAGTTACCCACTCCATCTTCGCAGTGGGCTATCTACAGCGCTTCCCAGCCTGGGACGTCGACCTTGCTCAGTCAGGCGAGAGCATCTACGCCATGTACTGGCTCGACCCGTCGCCCTACGACATGGTCGAACTGGCACAGTCGACGCGCAAGATCTACGCCCGCATCGCAAGATACTTCGACGATTCCAAGGACCCCTTCCGCGTCTTCTTCCGGCAGATCGAGGCCAACAACGGCGGCACCGGCGCCTCGTTCAGCTTCATGGTCGAGTACTCGCTACTGTCGGTAGATCAGAACGACGAGCACAGCCTGGCGGACCTGCTGGCACATGAGACGGTGCATGAGTTTGCGCTGCTCGATCAGACATCCCCTGAGCAGCGCAAGCCGGGCTGGCAGGAGGATGAGAGTGCTTGGTACGACGAGGGAGTCGCATCATATATAGGCGCGCTTGCCGGCCTGAATGATCCCGGGAGGAGGGACTGGATGGTGAAGAGTATGAACAACTATGCGCAGGCGTACTACACTTCGCCTGTGGTGAATATGCCGTATGATGATGTCCTCACAGGTTATTGGGATAATGTGGATATTACCAGGGTCAGCTACTACAGGGGTTTGATGTATCTGGCAGAACTGGACGGGATGATATGGAAAGCGTCGAAAGGCAAGAAGTCGATGGATGATGTGATCGTGGACTTGTACAAGCTCAGGAGAGGAGGAAAGACATGTGACTTAACGACGCTGAAGGACAAAGTGGCTGGACTCATTGGACAAGACAAGCTTGACAAGACCTATGAGGCCATGTTCAAAGGCGACTTGATCATCCCTTCTGAAGACTGCTTAGAGCGGTATGGGTTGAAGCTTGTCAAGATGGAATGGCAGAAGTTCGAACTTGGCTTCGACACGCAGTCAATGAGGGAGTTCAAGGTCCGGGGACTGGTTTCTGGATCCGCCGCGGACAAGGCAGGGGTGAAGGAAGGGGACATCATTGTGAGAGGGTTTATGGTGTGGGGAGTCGAGGACGAACTGGATATACCGATGAGGTTGACCGTGTTGAGGGATGGGGAGGAAAAGGAACTTGAGTGGTGGCCTAGGAGCGATGAGGTTGTCGAGGCTTACGGATGGGTTGACATTCAAGAACAGAGCAGTCCAGATGAACTATGAATGCCTTTAGAGTAGCGCTCGAATCGTTCTTTCACAACAAGCGTGAAATGTAGGTCAATTTGGCGGATATACCACAATGATGAGTGAGCCGCTGTAAGCTCTCCACGGTACTTACTTTACTGATACTTCTCCATAATACTCTTCAACAGCTCCTGGTCGATCGCTTCAACCGTATTCCCCTTGTGCCCAACTGTTGTCTCCGCCATGCAGATGGCATTGTAGATAGCCTCCTCAGTGGCATCCGCCGCAGCCTCAAACAAGCCGTTAATGGTGGCGTCATCTACCACCTCAATTCCGAGGGTCCTTGGCTTGAACGGATCAATCGCCTTGTTATCGGCCGTGTACTGCTGTACGGGGATCTTGTTGGCCGTCGAGAACGCCAGGAACAGGTCTCCCGAGGGGTTGTGACCGTAACCGCCGACGCGTGCCAGGCCCACGGTGGCCCGTTTTGCGAGCCGCTCCAATTGTGTTGGGTGCAGTGGCGCGCTCGTAGCCAGGATGATGATGATGCTCCCGTCTTTCTTGTCTTTGGCCTCCTCAGCCTTGGCTATGTGGATCATCGTAGGCTCCTTGCCTTCCTTCTCAAGATGCTCCATAACGAGCCTCCCAACAGGCACACCGGTCACACGGAAGTCCCTGATACGCCCATAGTTCGCCTGGACTAACACACCAATAGTATAGTCCTTCTCTGGGGCATTTCCATCCGCGTCAGGAAGCCCAAGGCCACTCACGACACGGCTGCTTGTCCCCGTGCCGCCCTTGAATCCTTGGCATACCATTCCCGTGCCGCCGCCGGTGCATCCCTCAGGGGTCAGGTCGGCAGAAGCTTCGTCGAGACCTGTTACAATGTGTTCGGGCTTGACAGCGAATTTGGTCATGTCGTTCAGATAGCCGTCAAACGTCTCAGCAACGACGGGAAGTAGGAAATACCCCACAGAGCCTTCGTTGTTGTGGTGCTTGATTGCATGATCATAGATGCCGCGGTAGGCCTCTCCAACGGAGAAGGAATTGGTCAGTACGATGGGTGAGTGCAACAGGCCCGTCTCTTCGATCCAGTGGGACCCGGTCATCTCACCGCTGCCGTTAAAGCGGAAGATGCCGGCGTAGACGGCATGGTTGAACCAGTCCTTGTGGGGGAGAATCACGGTCGAGCCGGTCTTGATGCCAGGGTTGGACGAGGGACGAAGAGTGGTGGTGTGAGTGAGCACACCTGGCACGTCGGTGATGCCATTGAGTGGACCAGCGGGCCAGTTGCCGAGCTTGAGGTCAGGGAGCAGCTGGCGCAGACGCTGGCGCGGCTGGGAGGTTGAGGTCCCTGATGAAGCCATGGTGAGGTCGACGGCGATGATGATGCTTGTGATGTGGAGCAGATGATGCCCCTGGCTTTGACAAGATCCAGTGGCCGGGCGCAGAGCTATATGTGTGTTTCAATGTACATTCCTCGAGCTTGTCTTTATAGTCGAAGACGTGTTGTCGACGTTCCTCACTAAGCGTCTCGCTTGCGTGCCAAGAAAGGTAAGCCGGTGTGACTCCTTCGAACAGAGCTAGAGGTAATGTAGGTCGGAGTAAGACGACAAAACATCAGGTATCCGAGCCAATAGACTCCGCAACACTCTTCTCAAGGCTAGTTAGGGGATCACTGGTCTTCAAGATGTGCTCCTGCATTTCCAATGATCAGTAGTCCTGGTCTGGTTGTCGGAGTTGGTCTCCGACTCATTATGAGCCATCGTCGAGTCTTGAGGACCACCCGCGAGCGTTACGGCCTCACTGCGCTCTTTTCGGGCCCTGCAGCTTGTCTATATTCTAAAACATGATCAAGTTGGTCAATGTATTGTACGTATCATCAAATCCAGCCCGATATATTTTGGGAATATCACACAGGAAAGACGAATGCAATCATACAATTCGCTCGAGCTCACAAAATACGTAACAGACAGAAAGAAGTGCGGGGTCAAAGATGTTCCCCACAGTGGCCGACCCCAACATTCCCCAAGTCGGAGTTGAAAGCACAACCGATCTACGAAGTGGAGTGGATTTGCATGACGATCCGGCATCTGGTCTCCGGCCTCCCCTCTGCCCTCTGCCGCTAGGGGCCTATGCCGGTCCATCGGAGACTGAGTCTCGTGTGAGGGGAGAGCGGCTGCCCTCGTAGCTGGTCTGTAGCTTGGCGCCGTCAAGACCCAGTGCCTCGGGTATTGGGGTTGACTTGGTCGTTTCGCACACGTCTTAGACTACCTACTCCTCCCCATACCTAACCAAGCACCCAAAGACATGATATCTAGAGGTTGCCCATCATGACAGCTGCAGTGAGAGTTATTCCAGGGGTATGTCTTCTCTGACTGATCTATGTATCATCTGCCTGAGAATAAAGCACTGACAGCTCCCATGACAGGCCGCCACGAGGGCAGTGAATCTGCTCAGAGCCGTTCAGTTCACTCACCCGCCCTCATGTCCCTGCCACTCCAATCCGGGCCACCATCATAATCACCGGCATGGTCCACATGCTGCTGTGCGGCGCTATGCCACCCCTCAGGATAACTCACAGCTTAAGGAGTACGCCTTCGAGATGGCTGCTTCTTCCATCCGCTTCGGACCTGGCGTCACGCGGGAAGTCGGCATGGACTTCAAGAACATGGGTTCCAAACGGGTCTGCGTCGTCACAGATGAGACCGTCGACAAGTTGACTGCCATGCAACAAGTCCGTGAGGCATTGACCAACGAGGGGGTCAACTTCAAAGTCTTTAACAAGACGAGGGTCGAGCCAAAGGATAGCTCGTAAGCCATGTCTCGGCTCTCCTTTTCCAGACTCCAGCACTAACTCTACTCCATAGCATCCGCGAGGCCATCGATTGGGCCAAGCCGTTCAACCCGGACGCGTTCCTGGCTGTTGGTGGTGGCTCGGTCATTGACACAGCCAAGCTGATGAACCTGTACACCTCCTACCCAGAGGCCGATTTCCTCGACTTCGTCAACGCACCGCTCGGCAACGGCCGCCCAATCGACAAGCCGCTGAAGCCCCTCGTTGCCGTCCCTACAACCGCCGGCACGGGATCGGAAACCACGGGCACTGCCATCTTCGATCTGGTCTCCAAGCGCGCCAAGACCGGCATCGCGCACCGCAACCTGAAGCCCACCCTTGGAATATGTGACCCCCTCAACACGCGAACCATGCCCGCCGCCGTCAAGGCCAGCTCCGGCTTGGACGTCCTGTGCCACTCACTCGAGAGCTGGACCGCCATTCCTTACCACGAGCGCACGCCGCGGCCGCAGAATCCTATCCTGAGGCCTGCTTACCAGGGCGCCAACCCGATCAGTGACATCTTCTCGCTCAAGGCGCTGCACGACTGCGTCAAGTATCTTCCTCGCTCGGTCAGAGACCCAGACGATATGGAGGCTCAGAGCCAGATGTTGCTGGCTGCAACGCTAGCAGGTGTTGGTTTCGGAAACGCGGGCGTGCATCTGTGTCACGGTGAGTGATCCTACGTCAACCAAAGATGTTGGAGCCGAGTACTGAGATCTGAACTACTATAGGAATGTCGTATCCCATCTCCGGCCAGAACCCAGGCTACCAACACGCGGGCTACGAGGTCGCGACCCCCATTATCCCGCACGGCGTCTCTGTGGCGGTCACGTCGCCCGCCGTGTTCAAGTTTACAGCCGCGTCCAACCCAGAGCGCCACCTGCAAGCCGCAGAAGCCTTTGGCGTGGACATCAGCAACGTGAAGAGGGAATCTGCCGGCGAGGTCTTGGCAGAAGCGCTGAGGAAGTTTCTCGACAGCCTGGGCGACCAGCCCTCGGGCCTCAAGCAGCTGGGGTTCGGGTTGGAGCATATCGATGACCTAGTGGAGGGCACGATCCCGCAGGCAAGAGTGTTGATGCTGGCCCCGAACCTGGCTAGGGAGCTGCAGACGGAGAGGGAGCAGCTGAGGGGCCTGTTTGAGGAGTCTTTGTGATACTTGGTCTGAGGGAAAATAAGATCTTAGAGAATATCTATCATTGCCTTGTTACTAGTCTAAATCCTGTCCCCTGTGTGGCATGAACAACCACAGGGTCCGTGCTGAGTTCAGCGCTAAGTACTCAATAGATGGAGACAGCGGAGTCAGTTTAGATATTCTCGTTGCTTGAGCATCATCGTAGGCCTGGTACTGCCATTACTCAGAGTTGTTTACTACGCACCGGAAAATGGCTGGATATTTTTCACGTGGGATTCTTTCTGTGCATCAAACTTGAATATCGTAGGCACGACAATGCATCTTGACAACACCTAGCTCATATGGTTCATCTCCGTTCTAGTTCACTTAACTAACATGACAACAATTCCACCAACTCCGTCCTCCCTGTCCCTGGTTTCCAGTTCCATGATTCTATTGAAGCCTGTTAGTTTACGCAGTGAATTACATTTACATTCTCAAAGTGAAGACTTACGGTTCCAGCATTATTCCCCGGGTTGACCCCAGCTGCTGCGTCCGACGAGCCTTGTTGTGAAGCCTGCAAATTATCAGTGTCTTCTTTGACAAGTTCGGATACTGCCACTCACGTTTGCAGCGTTGTTTCCCCTCCGAACACCGGCAGCCACGCCGCTCTAAGTTGTAAGTATTTGATCAGCTCTTTTTTTCTTTTCTTCTCTTATTTTCCTAAGAAGAGAAATATAATTCAATGGTTTCAGAGACTTACCATATTCATAATTTTCAAACGGTCACTACTATGTGGTATCCTTACTTCGAAGCTTTTTCTGTCGCAATGTGTATTCTTGATTTGCTGTATCTTCTGGTGACGATTCGATGGTAGTTGAGCAACTCTTTCCTGGAATTGGGAAGGGGTCCCCTCAGAGTCTGGCTCTCTACACTTTTATAGGGCAAGATCATATCATTGTCAAAGACTCCAACGATAATTGCGTGACTGATCTTGTCCAGTCATGGAGTCTCCTATTGACTCAGAATGTGTCCTGAGGCAAGCAAAAATTCAAAATGATTCCATTTAGCTGAGCAAGAAGCTGGGTGTAATTCTTCTCTCCGTTGGTTATCAACCCTCCACACGACATGTTAAAGTGAGCCTCTGAGTTAAAAACAATGGAAAGTAGACATATAACAAAATCAGTTACTTGCTCTTGATTAAAACAGAATTAACATTATAAGGTAACTTCATATTGAATGGCCTATGTGATAACCAATAATCTCCTGTAGGATAACCTCTTATAGGTTATTCCCCTGTGGGGTATCCTCTTGTGGGATAACCCCCTGTGGGATAATCTCTTGTGTGATAACCTTCCGTGGGATAACCTTCCGTGGGATAATCCCCTGTGGGATGATCTCCTGTAGGATAATCTCCTATATGTAATCTCTTATGAGATGAGCTACTATGGGATGAAGAACGATTGAGACCAACTTCCATTTCGAATATACAGTAATTAGATTAGATTAGTAGATACTCGTCTTACAGCTCAAGTTGTTTGTTCAATCATTAATTGCACTAAAGTTCAATGGTCCAGGAAACCTTTAGACACTGTGATTATCGTGTTCTACGATTACTGAGGACATCATAGGTGTGCCTCTCGTCCGCTGAACCCGTGAGACTAATGAATGAGACACCTCCCTACGCGGCACTTTGCAATAAACACATTGCCCTCAAGAAGATACCCTTGAAAGATTTCAAATCCAACCCTAACCATGGATCCAAAGTCCGGCGCGGATACATCCTACGTAATGAATATTTGCCGCTACCAAGCTGTCTAAGAAGTAGTTGAGGGACTGAAATGACATAAAGCGTGATTTTGTGCTATTCCAAGACTCCAATAGATTCCTAATGTGCTACCTTTAACCACGCAGACCGGTCGATCCTCGTTTCATAATACCGCCTGCGCCACCCAGAGTGCTCTGTGCCGAGCTCTGTACAACATGACACGATGCATACTGCCGTCGTCACAAGGCCCAGCGAAGGGCTAATCGCTCGATATAAAGGCCTAACCGTAAAGATTATCATTTGGAAGGTCCGCATTCATGTCCCCGGAGCCTTTATTTCTTCTGATGTTCTTGTACTACCATTCTCGTTCGTCTTGGGTTGTTGTGCAAGGTCAAGTTCAGGCGAAATGACTTTACCAGGACCGGAGCCGGTTGTAAACCAGCTCAAAAAGTATGTTAATGCTCGAATATATACACAGACTCACTATTTTGCTGACATATATTGTACGCAGGATCGACTTAGAAGAGTTCACGTGCATCGACACCACGTCTGATCCATTGCGATATTCTACATGCAATAGTAAATACTACTCCATTTGTTCCGTTCTCGCAGATTACTCGTCAATCTTGAACAATCTCCGTCTTCTTCTCTGGCCCCGTGCGCGAATCTAAGCTGAAATTTATAGTTGCGGATTGTCCTAAGGGGTATCCGATGCTGGCCCGCTTCACAGCATCTGCATCCCAATTCTACGTTTTCCGAGAATTTAGATATCTGCAGTCACGAGTTCTGCTACATCTTCAGGACGAAATTCGCGCACTCGAAACTCAGCTATGGCGGATGGACGAGAAAGACAGGGTGAATAACCCGCACAGTCTGGAGTGCCGAGAACTTGATGATGCATGCAGTGGGAAAAGGAGAATCATGATCGACAGCATTCACCAGAAGCTGTTACAGTACGGTGAGTGATTTATATACCTTGGTGTCGGTGTCTGCTGCATACTCAATATTCTGCAGGCGAGCTCCTCTGCTTATCAAGCAAACTTGCTGCTCTTGAACGACCATCAAATTTCGAGAGAACGAGCGTCCTGAACTTCTTTTTGAACAAGCAACCGATAGTCTCTCAGGAGGGCTACATTGGGAATAGGGCTGATCTCGTGACTCTAAAAGCTACCAGAGACGATGCTTGGCTCGATAGGCAAATCTTGCGGCTCCTCGTCAGAGCAAATAACCGCTTGCTGAGTGTGAGTTCGGTCTCAATTATCGGATGAAATCACTTACTGGTCCTGGCTGATATGCTCCATATCGTACAATAAGTGGATCTTCTCCAATGCGGTAAGTTCAGATCAACCTTAGCTTCCGTATTTGGCCAGCATTTTCTGACTCCTCCGCAGAAGCTGAGAGAAAATAGCGATGGCCTGATTGTGATGTATTCGTTGGCAAGGATCCACTTCTTCGTGATGACACTCCTCATTCTGACTATGTTGTTCTTGTTTTCGGCGCCGCTGGTGCCGCTGTACGAGTGGTCTCAAGGGGGCATCGACGGCAAAGTGCTTGCCAAAATGATGGGCTTCCAAGTAGGGTGCACCTTGATGTTTGGCGGTGTCCTTTCACTTTGCACTAGGGCCAAAAAACATGAGATATTTGGCGCTTGTGCTGCGTAAGTCAACCACACAGTCTTGACTAGAAGTGACTGCGCTGACTGGATAAGGTACGTGGCCATACTGGTCGTGTTTGTGGGTCAAAGTGCCAGCAAGACCTGAGTCGCACTCTTTCAAGAGTCACAACTTTTCGAAAGTTATGGGCAATTTCGATGCTTTGGGATTGTTTTGTTTGTGTTACTTGGGGTCAGTATGGGTCAGTATGGGTCTGGTCGCTCAACTATCCTGTCTATTCAAGAAGCCTGAAGAATGCATGTGCTGGCTATCATGTACTTGAATATTTGTTACTGTTTGTTTTACTTCCCATTTTGGACCTACTGAATCGGACGCAAAGCTGCCACTAAGTGTTGTTCAAGTTCAACTCATGTGTAAAGCTTCGCTATGTTCCCATGCTGTATTTCATCAACTTGTCATTCAACTTCAGTCAATTCTCTATTCTGTGTCTATACGACCATGCTGTCGACTTTCATCTGATTTTGCCAATGTAAGCGTACTTTTTAATGGAGTCGATGTTTTACGGAATCTAAGTATGAATCATCAGAGATGATGAGCACGGGACTGTGAAAATTGACACTTGGTATTCTTTGGGTCACAAATTTTTATTTCCGACCGAGCTCACTAGCCTCAGTCTTTCTAATCACTTGGATTTCTTCGCGGTCACAACGACTACTTCTTATGAGCCTGGGCCCGAGCCTTGCCCTGCTCCTCCAGTGCAGCTTGGACAGCTGGCCGAGCCAGCAGACGCTTGTGCCAGGCAAAGAAATTGGGATATTTGTCTTCCGGAAGAATCTTAGCATTGTCTTCGCCGAAGATCCAAGGTATCGCGTTATCCCAAGGGATGAAAGCAAAATCGGCATAGGTACTAGACCACATCAGCAAATACTCGTCACACAAATGCAACAGCGGATGAGACACTTCGCGAGCACAAAGTGAGATAAGCAGGGACACTCACGCCTTGTCCCCGACCAAGTACTGCCTGCCTGTCAGGATCTTATCGAGCACACCAATGACTCGGACAAGCTGCTCGTCGTATCTCTTCTTCGCGCTCTCAACCTGCTCGGGATGGAAATGGCGGAACCAAGTAGTCTGGCCGAAGTAGGGCCCCTGGCCGGACATTTGGAAGTGCAGGTACTGCTTGGTGTGGTACTTCTCGGGGAAGGAAGTGTAGCTGATTTTGTTGTCCTTGTCGTATGTGTCTACCAAGTACTCTAGAATTGCACCAGACTCCCACAGGGTGATGCCCGTGTTTGGGTCCTCGATGGCAGGAGTGCGGCCATTGGGATTAATCTTAGTATAGGCCTCGCCCTTTACATCGGCCACAAGTCGCTATTTTTGTTGCGTGTTAGATCATCACTTTTGGGGAAGAAATTATGGTGTCAATGCGGGTCTGCTCACGCTTTCATATGGCACTCCAAGCTCTTCAAGCACGATCACCACCTTCCAAGGGTTTGGGCCCGCGTGAGCTGGGTTCTGTCAGTATAGTATGTTATTGATTTGGTCGCAATGATGAAACCCACTGTGAACAATAATTGGCTTAGACATGATTTTGGTTTGATAGAACTGTATTGTGTGTGTAATGAGACGGTCAAGAACACAAGAGATTGCAGTGACGGTGTAGACTCGTTGATGGTTTTGTCCATCACGTCACCGCTTGCAGTGACTGGGAGCGGGTTCTTATAGATGCCCGCTTCGGTATAGATTACACTCGGACATACAGGTTCAAGGGCGGTGAAACAGTTGTCTGCAAATCATCGGCGTGGAGATGGAACCGAAGTTTAGCTCAGCAAGGCTACTAGCAATTTGGGGTAACGACTTCAAGCTCATGATGCCCACAAGTAGATCCACAAGGTTTCATTGATTGCTAATGCGTTGTCAGCAACCTTCCGTCTCCTGAGTCTCTGAGCTCGGCACTCGGACCCCGTCCTCGGGTATCACTTCGGGAGTCAAGTCGCGTCGCTTCCGGACGCTTGAGCGGACATCGAGGAAGGCGACGAGACCCTGACAAATACCAATCCCTGCTTAGCTTGGCGCTCATTTACATTGCACGTGAATTGAACCTTCAATGTGCATCTATATCCACGTTACAGTCAACCGTTTCAATCTACGTGAATAATAAACCTTGCTTCAGGATCGCCGAAATACGGAAGAACTTTGACACATGCGTGCACAAAGTGAGTACAGCGGTGAGAATGAAACTTCGGATTTAGGGAAAGTGAGGTTCCCGCTGAGTGAACCAGCAAGTGCGAGTCGAACACTTACGCATACAGTGTGGGCAGAACTAAGGCAGGGATTGTGAAGAGATCAACGCATCGACTTCGTGATCAGATTCAGAAATCCATATCTCCTTTCGAAAAAGATGGAGCGAATCGATCGATCAATGAGCAGTTGCTAGAGATAATCAAGGCGGATAAGGAAGCTTTCCCAGATTGACAACACAATTCCATACTTGACTTTTTTGGCTCAGGGTTTGCCTTATGAAGCCACAGTCGTGGTTGGTCGTGGTTGCAGAAGCGACTGGAAGCCGTGTGATCGTCAAAATCCTTCGCTTTCAGAGAAGTCTTCATAACCTCAGCACTCAAGCTTACTATTGCTAAAGGACTGAAATAGAATCTCATGTGACGAGAACAAAAGTCAGCCGAGACTAATGAATTTTAGGAAGTGGTAAATGAAGTGCAAAAGTGAAAACTAGCTGTAGATAGCTGACTCTTTAAAGCTGTACTTGAAAATGTTGTAACAAAGGTTAATAAAATATTTAACTATTTTGAAATATCAATAGTCTATATTGTTTTCAAGGTTATAATATTTGAAGGTTCTCAGTATTAGCGCAATTCTAAAGTTATAGCTACACGACGGCTTGAGCCTAAATATTCCTAAGAATAAATTTCAGGTTACAGCAGTTGCTGTGCCGTGAAAAGAACGATTAATATCAATGTACTAATCGTGCAGCGGTAGAGTATACGAGAGATTTTAATTTATCTTATTATCAAACCTATAATGCCTGAGATCTACACTAGCCGAAACAGCCGAAGCACGATGACCTCCCCATTTTCTTGCCTCTCTTATCACCATTGGGATTGAGCGGCATAGCTGTGGCCTCTTTCCTTCTGACGAAAATAACTGGCAGAAATTGTCTATCCTCCTGAGCCTCCTTGTCCCGTATGAGTTTCTCGACACCCACCCAATACTCTTTCTCATCGCCCAGGTCCCACCCACTCAATGCTCGAAATTGAATTTGCTTGCGTTTGCTATGGCGAAGATCTCTGAGGGATGCTCCTTTGTCTAGTAGAAAGGCCACAGTTTTTCGCCTTAACTCAAACGGCAGATCAGCAGCAGTTAATGTTAGTTCGTGACCAAAGATTGCATTTTCCAATATTGATGCCATCTGCGTCGCATGCGACGTCGTCTTGAGCTTTGCATTCAAGTAAGGAATGAAGCAATAGCGGGCAATGAGTCCGGAGAAGTCGCACCCAAAAACATAGCTCCAGCTAACATTGCGAAGCGTTTGTTCCGCCTGTTCTCGAACGCATTTATCCATGTCATCGAGTGCTTTGACAAGCGCTGGACTGAGCTCCGTGGTTGCAGGATTAATAACGCCAATTGAATATCTCAGCACCTGATGCATTTGTTCCTGGATCGTCTCTTGCGGGTGGTGTCGAAACCACGACTCGTCCAGGCGTTCAGGAACCCTGAGAGCCTCTGCATGCAGGAGGTTCAGGCAGGGATCAAAGGCTTCAGATAGGTGTAAGGTGATTTGGGACCAGACATCATCGCGAGCCACCCAGTCGGAGGCTGTGCGGTGGATAAACTCTACATTGCCCTTCGGCGAGAGTTCTAACAATCCCCGCGTTTTGCTTTCCAGTCGGCGAACCATTGTACCACGCAGGCCAGACCTAGCGTCTTCAGAAAGAGTAGCGAGTTCAAGGTGTTGCTCAAAACCTCCATGTGCAAGCCATAGAGTCAAAAAGTTGAGCTCGGGATAGGCTGCTTTCTTCAGCGCTATTAATTCTGCAGAATCCAACTTGTTGCCTTCTATGCTATCCCACAATGTCGAAAAGAGCCTTTCGATATCATCCGGTAAGTCTTCGAGAACTTTTCTTAGTTGTGGTAGCCCATCGCCTGCTGAAAGTAACTGCAGAAGCCTCTTGGTGACTAGAGCCGCCCACAGAAAAACACCGCTGGACTTTTCGACTGTATCTTGGACCAATGACCGTGCTTCCTGAGGAAAGGTCTTGCTCAAATCTGAGAAGCCTCTGTTGGCCTCTAGATTGCCTTGAACGAAGTGAATCATGTCCTTTTCAGTCAAGTCTTGTATCCGTAGCATCGGATGTTTGTCCAGGGCATCGTTGAATTCTGTCCATTGTCGACTAGCAAGACAGATTTTTATGTTTCCTCGGTCCGAAATGTTGTGTATCAATCTCAAGGTCCTCTGAGATGAGACTTTGAACTCATCCAATCCGTCGATGAAGATGGCGAGCTTCTTTGACCCTGATTTGTCAAATTTGGAAAGCAAAATATCGAAGCACTCGTTGAGCTCCCAGTCTTGCCAAGATGGCTGCTTCTGAGAACTTCGAAGAGTACTGAGTAAAGACCATCGCCTTGGTGCGACCGACTTTACCATTTCTGGGTCTGCCTGTAAACACTGAAAAAGAATAGTCCTCATAAGCCCCAGGTGTGATTTCTGCATATCCGAGCCTGCAATCCAAGCATAGAAACTCGTAATTTGCAGCGGATAATTCCCTGCCCATTTCGCGAGACAGGCTTTCAACTCGGGGCTCTGGAGGATGTATTTCATCAGGGTCGACTTTCCAGACCCTGGCTTTCCTGTAATCCAGTATAATGAGTCTGTCTTGCTTTCGAGCCAGGCAGGGAAACTCGACCATAGAGCTTGTCCGTCTCGTTCGAGAGGCTCGTAATTGAATACCCAGCGAAATGTACCCTCGTATGATCGAGCGATAGCCTCTCCACGGTCATCAATATTATCAAACACTCCTGAGACTAGGCTGTCGATGATAGCAGAGCGGAACTCTCGGTTGCTGGATTCCTTTTCAGGCTGGCATTGGACCTTTGGCAAAGTCCTCGAATTCCACAATCCCCGGACTAGCTCTTTATATATTCTTGCACTCCCTTCGTCACTGTCGTCGTTGAGCAGAGTGATAATCTGCTCGTCATATAAACCTGCTGTCAGACCCCCCTGGCCCATCGCGACGTCGCTGGTGCAAGGTTGAACTCCTTTGTGCTGGAGCTGTCGCAAAGTCACCAACATCTCGTCAAGCTTCTCTCCAAACCGTGTCTCTCTATCGCTACTCTCCTTTGAGGCTTGCCTAAGTGATGATTAGCTCCCAGTAGCCTTTTTGGGTAGCCATGATAGTAATACCATAGAGCTGACAAGGTAAAACTATATCCGCGACGTTGAATGTAGTCAAGCCGGCTCAGCGCCTTTTGAACCTGCTTCTCGGCCCTAATGCTGTCAAGGCCAACACTGAGCGACTGCATCATCTTCTTGTTCTTGGGGATCGCATTTGCTTCCGAGCGTGACCGCAGGCCTTCCAATATCGCATCAAATTCATTTGCGGCAGCCTCGACATCATCAAAGATTCTGGCAAGTTTCTGGTCGCTTTGAGCCTCGGGAAAGCGACCGAAGGTCTGTTTGGCTTGGACGGCCTGTTCGCGCAGCTCGCTCAAACTCAGCAGTAACTCGCTCTCTCGTTCTGTTCTGCTGACGGGAGACGCCTGGATCTGGTGAGCCCGCGAGACTAAGCGCTTGCCAAAGTCCACAAACTGGACTACGGCAGCAGCCACCCCTATCGCGCTCACTGGGTCCATGAGTGTGATGTGTTGGACATTAGACGTGCTGTGCGGGGCGAAAAAGGGGCCTTCCAATCAGATGGCGCTGTAACAGAGTGTTTGGTATTGCTTGAAGGCTCTGGGCTTACGCTGCACGTGAGGCTGAATGCATCATTCTGAAAAAGGCCTAGCATCTTCTGCAGGTGCATCTGCAGGTGCATCTGCGGTCATGAAATAGGGTCAGATAATTTGTAGGCATCTAAAGCTTGACCACTGTCATGCTCACCGAGTATACGAAGACATGACACATTCTCACAGCATCGACTAGTCACATATTGCAGAGCAAAGAGCCATCGGCGAGTGCTTCAGGTCGGAGAAGGGTGATACACCGATATTACGCCAATATCAGTTCGGCACAGCTGACCCCGTCACGTCCTGTGATTTCGAGCCTCTCTGTAACACATCTGAATTGTCTTACTTCTCTGTGGGCAGAGATCGCCGGTCCGAAGCATGCGGAACCACGAGGCTGTGTGAGTGTCCAAGTTCCGGATAGCTCTTCCGCACCTGCACCGTGGGGCAGAAACGTGTACGTCTTTGTGTAATGCTCCCCTGGTGATTCCACGGCTTTTTATATATTGATTCAATCGAATACAACTTTTGGCTTCACGGCATGGAAAACATGCCCTCAATCTTCAATTTTACTCCGAGACACCATGGTTGAACCTTTCATGAAGAGGTCTCAACCCCTAATCCAACAGATGGTCAGGTCAGTTCACATTTAAAAAGAAAAAGAAAACACAGCTTGCTGGGCAGATTGAATTTTATCCTAAAAAGTGTTTCATATTGGAGAGTCTGAAAGGATGCATCTACGGGAAGGCCGCGTAAATTTAACAATAGAATCATGACATGGCTGAAGACAGAGGGTTGCCACCCACTGGCAGCTGTTGGTCCAAGAGCCTTTGCTGGCACTGCGCAACAGCCAACAGACCCGATCTGTTGAAAGCCTTCCTTCCGCATTCAGCAAAGACAACCTAGAGAGAATTTGAAATTTATTCACTGCACGTTGATGAGCAGTCCGGGCAGATTGGAATGTTGATTTCCTGTCCGACCTCCAGCGTGGACGGGTCCACACATGGATTGGCTGCCCGAATCGCATCAACCGTGATATTGAATTCCTGCCCAATTATAAAGAATGTGTTTCCAGCCTGGATCTCATAAACAGGGTCCACTCCTTCTTCCTCGGGCACACAGGGTCTCGATCCCGGTGGTGTGATGCAACTCTCGTTGTCTGGGTCGCAGACGTCGGTCGGGACGGCCAGGACCTGGCCTACTTCAATGAAATTCGGGTTGTCCAGATCACTTGCGGCAGCAATGTCACACACTCCACTGTCGTATGTCGCTGCGATCTTTTCAAGAGTGTCGCCAGAGACCACAGTGTAGTTTGTCACAGGCCCGTCGGTACAGTTCGGGGTCTGTCGCGTAGACAAAGTGCGCGGGAAATTATCTTGCGAGATGGGCAAAGCGCCGAGGTTGATCACGTTCCATGAGCATGAAGGTGTGGTTCCAATGGACGAATCGTTGAAGTGAAAAAATACATTGCGAGCCTCGCAGCTGGATCGCTTGTAGATGAGGTGTGACTCTGATGCCGTATGCACATTGGACGCCGTTGCTACACCCAACACACTGGCGACGAGCATGCTATAGCTGAGTAGCTGCATTTTTCCGGCGAAAAAGTTCAAGGCTGTATGTAACGAGAGGCTGGGGTGAGGAAGGGCTAAGAAGAGATTTTTGTTTGAGGCTAACGAACCCGGAAGTGCAGGTTCGGACTCTGTAGTAGAATCCCTTTTTGTATCTAAATGCGTTGGCCCATAACGCTGTATCAAAGCGTCATACGATGCGTTTTGTTTTCCTCGTGAACACCCAAACCTCGTGATTCAAGGCCGTTGTGAATTTATCCGCGAACTTTATCAACAATTTTCACTTGTAATTGAATCTTCGCTCACCTTATCATCCCAGAATCGCGGACTCGTCGCCCAGAATAGTTTAGATGACTTGAACTTTAGCAAATTCGCGCTTGAATGGTGTCTGTAAGATTTCCGGACGAACCTTGTTCTCCACACGCAGCGGCGGGTTTGCAGAGCCCTAAGTATGTAAGCAGCCACTGACTTGGCTTGTCATATAATTTGTATTCTCTGACGGGATTAAAAGCCTTACAATGAAGACAAAGGAGATGAGAAGCGTCATCAGGACTTCTTGGAACAAAATAATCAATGCAGAGGATGCCAGGGCGGGGAGGCATCACTTGACCAAACATCGGCGCCGCTCGGAATGCCACGGCAATTAAACTTAAGGACCAAGAAGACTTTTGCCATGCCTTAGAACTGAGTCGGTATCACAATAGCTGCGCTGTTGGTTGATGAATTGACTTCAATGTACGATGTCCTTTCGAAGTGCTGGCAATCTGTGCTGTATCGTCACTTTCCCTACACAGTCACTTGCACGGCACCGTCACTTACGCTACATTATCATTCACACTGTATCGTCACTCAAACTATCCCCTCACTTGTTTGATGCCGTCACTTGCGCTGCACTGTTATGTACGCTGCACAGTCGCTTGCGCTGCATCGGAGGTTATATGTCAAGGCTTACCGATACATCCACTTGTAAGCACCCGGCTTTACGGCGCACCAGTCGAGTCCTAAAGAGGATATCTAGCACATGTAACGTTGAAAAGGAATTGCGGGGGTTGAGCGTAAAGTGTATGTTGGTGCGCATCAAGCCTCTTTTTTCGATCACCAACACCACTTAACGGGCCAATCGCGCGTCTCTACCTGTGCAAGGATTGCTATCAATGGCAAGTATTCGGGGCCACAGCGAGAAAACGCCACCACATCTGGGCGCGAATGAATTCCAGGTCACTAGTTGAACGGCAACCCTAGGTTGCTTATATGGTATCTCTCAGCGCTCAATACAATCTATGAAAGCTTTGAGACTGGTTCTTTGTCGGACTTTAAAAACGACTGTTGCAGAACCCGAAGCTGGGGAGTGATGTTTTTTGTTCACGGTCGTAATTAAGCTGGAGGTCTTCATGTGCGAGACCATGGCGGACGAGTGTGTATGGCTTGAGGCTGTTAAGGGCAACTTCCCTATCCACAAGGCTGTGGTTGATGGTAAGCCCTTTTCTCCAGCGTTATGAAACGCAACGGCTGCTTTTACTTATTGATCGCGAACGCCGTCAGTGATGCCTAAAGGAACGAAGGTCATTTCTTCAGAGTCGTCCGGAACCTCAGCCTGGGCGAAAACAGCAAAAGTTTCCGTAGCTTTACCAGACGGAGCCTTGACTAGATACTTCTTGAAATGTGCAACAGGGCAAGGCGCTCGTGCTCTGGCCGAGGGTGAATACCACTCCGCCACCAACATCAACAGCGTTGTGCCTGGCTTTGTCCCCAAAGCCGTCGGATGGGGTGAGTACGAAAACGAAGGGACAACGACCTGCTTCTTTCTGGGCATGTTTCATAATATGGACTTTTCCACTCCTCCAGAGCCAGAAAAGATCATGTCTATCGTATCAAAACTCCACGGGCAGGGGACCTCACCAAATGGGATGTTCGGATATCCCGTGCCGGTTGTCTGTGGCCGCATGGAGAGAACCGTGACGTGGACGAAGAGTTGGGCCGAGTCTTTCACCTACCAGCTGGAGGATGTCATCAAGTATGACAATGAAACGAATGGCTCTTGGCCAAAGTACGATGCTGTCTGCAAGCAGCTGATTGACGCCGTCATCCCACGCCTTCTTGGGGCTTTGCAGTCTGAGGGCAGGGACATAAAGCCGACGCTTATACATGGCGACCTATGGGAAAGGAATGTGGGGATGGATATGGAGACAGGAGATATTGTCGTCTTTGACCCAGGTTGCACGTATGCGCATAATGAGATGGAATTTGGCACCGTGAGCCTTGAATCCTGGCTGTTCATACGGCCTGATCCCAGTTGATGAGCAGGGCTGACGAAGCTGGTTCGCTGGACCTTTAGTGGCGATGTACTTGGGCATACTACTTCAACTCACCAGCCTATATGCGCATATACCAGCGCGAGATCGAGCCATCCGAGCCAGTCGATGAGTGGGACGATCGGAACCGATTGTACAGCATTCACCCGTATCTTAACGACTCCGCAGGCCACCCTGGAAGCCGGTCACGGCAAATGTCAGTCTTGCCCCCTTCAAGAAATTAGATACACTACTAAGACTCACACGCAGAGCCTACAACGATATGTTGTACTTAATTGAGAAATACGCCCCTTTGGAAGGGCTTGAGAAGTACGATCCTGAGCAAGACATTAGCATTACAGGCGCTTATATAGATTTTGAAATATGTCAGTTAGAATAGAAATAGACGCTGCGAGATGTGAATCAAGTTTGCCTTACTTCTCAGATACTTTCCCAATTCTAGTCCGCCGCGTGCTTAAGGATAATAATCTAATCCGTATTACTTGGACTAAGTCGGATTTCTGGCAGAAAATGATGCCGAAGTCCAGATACGAAAACGTTCACGGAAGTAAATCGACCATAACTGAAAGGCATGAGAGTTGACAAAAGGCCAAGTAGTGAAGTTGTATTGACGAAGTCTATCAACGGCGCGGCAGATCCTGTCTGGGCTTCATATCTCAGCACATCTTTCGAGTCTGGCAGCGCAACTTCTGGCCTGTTGTTGTGTGGTGTTGCTAACAGTAACAGCGCCACCCCATGACTCTTGCGGCTTCGTGGGCGGTGCTTCCAAGTGCTTGTTGTGAGTCGTCCTGCACGTCGTCCTCCGCACGACGTCTTCCGAGAGCGTGGAGAGACGAGCGACATCCGAGAACACCTTATCGGTACGCCCAAAACTTCTGTTCCGTTGTTCCATGAAGCTATTCGTTCGTCCGAAAGGGATTGCAGGAGTCTTCCCCGCCAGGATCGCCCTGGACCCGTGTCATCTATCGGTGGGTAGGAGCATGTCCACGCTGACTGCTCGAAACCAAGTCGCAATATCTTTCAGGTCCTTCCACCGCATATAAAAAGTTCGGCTTCAGAGATCGACGACAATGATCATTTCTCTTTTCCAAACTCAATGGGCAGATTCATGCCAACCCTCCTGGCCGAAAGGCGCACCCTCTCCTCCTCGTCCATTCCCATGCCAGGGTTGTACCTCTCCAGTAACGTGACGTACGTCCTCTGCGCGCGGACGTATGCAAGGTACTGCTCTGCTTGCGCAACAGCTTGTTCAGGGGTGGTTTCGGGGCGGAAGTGCTCGCGAAGACGTTGGTGGAGAGGCGATCGTGTTTTGGAGAGGATCGGTCGGGGAGGAAGCTCGCGCAGGAACGAGCGGTAGAGAGATCGAAGCCGAGGCGCTGCGAAGGTGGACATGGTGAGCTAGAGTAGAGCGCAGCACGGTGGGATGCAACAAATACTGTCTAGTAGGGCTGTGATGACGAGGGCTTTTGCGCCGGATGCATTCCGATGTCGAAGTCCAGGTGGGAGAATTGCGCTTACAGGGGCCTAGCTTTGCCCGCCGGGAGCGCCGCGCAAGAGCTCCTGTGCCTGCCGGAGGTCACCCTCTGTCGTCACAGGCGAATTTTCTTGGGACCGTTCCTGAGAGACACAACCATCAGCAGACACCATCTCAGCTGTCGCGATCCCCCCTGAGCTGCCCACGTGGTGAAGTCGCATCTCACATGCGAACATGCCCCCACGAGGTGTAGCCAGTCTGCTGGCCATGCCACCAGCCCTACGGCCAGTCTTCCTGCAGGCGGTCCTGGCTGGCCCACGATTCGAATCTGCAATCCCCCTCTGTACCTGCAGCCGGCGACCCTACTCGAGATCGGCCAAACCTTCACCACCACCACCTTCTCCTCCTCCAGTCCACAACCGCGACGATGGCCCTCCACGCGCCCTCTCCTTCCACCCCTCACCACCTTCCGTCCAACCATTAGTCGCGCACCTCGTCTCCGACACGCCCCCCCTCGACTTCACCCGCTCCGCCGCGCTGTTCCGCGAGCCGAAGTTCCTCTACTCAGCCCCACGCTTCTTACACCTGCCGATCAACACGCGCATCCCCGAGGTATGCGTGCTGGGGCGGTCCAACGTGGGCAAGTCGACGCTGATCAATGCGCTGGCGGGGCTGGGCGGCAAGCGGGCGGGCGCGAGCCACGGGGCCAAGAACAACCGGAGCGGGATCGCCATCACGAGCGCCAAGGCCGGCTGCACCAAGACCATGAATGCCTACGGCTTCGGACCGCCGCTGTCGACCAAGCCGCTGACGAAAGCGGAGCAGGAGGCGCGCAAGGAGGGCGGGCGCGGGCGCGGCGAGCGCAGGTCCGCGGATGGGAAGAGGAGGGAGCCCATGCCCGCGCATAGCATGGTGCTCATGGACATGCCTGGTTATGGGCTCAATTCCCGCGCCGACTGGGGTGAGGAGATCCTCAAGTACATTAATCGCAGGGAGATCCTCCACGGGGCCATCCTGCTCATCGATGCCGTGGCTGGTGTCAAGCAGGGCGACAGGATGGTGCTGGAGGTGCTGAGGGACGCGGGGCTCAAGACGAGTGTGGTCATGACGAAGGCAGATAAGCTAGTGAGCGATAAGGATGCCTTCGTATGGGAGAGCAGTGCGCCGCTGAGGCAGGCTTGCATGCACATATGGGAGGAGATGAGGAGCGTGGAGAAGGCGGGCGAGATGGACTGGTTCGAAGGCGATGGCTGGAACCCTGAGATCTTTGTCACGGGCGCGGGCGACCCTAAGCTTGGCGGTATGGGGGTTGATGGCGCGAGGCTGTCGATTTGTAGACTTGCCGGTCACATTGCCCAGCCCGCAAGGAAGTTTGATGTGTCTCAGCCTGAGATTGTACCCTTCGACCAGCTTGTATTCAGCTCGTCTTCTACAATACCGGCGCCTCAGAGCCAGCCAGTCTCAGAGGTCGAAGAACCTGAAGAGCAGGTCCAGGCTCCGGTGGGTCGAGGAAGAATGATGAGACCCTGGAGAGCTAGGCGGCGCGTCGACCAGATGAAGCTGATGGAGGCGGCCATGGACCAGCCAAGAGCGAGAAGAAAGCTAGGCCAGGCTTCGTTCTGATCTTTGGAAATGATCACGCTCTTCTCCCACTATATAAACCACATGATACCAAATACCCGTTTGTCTATCCACTGCTCTGAACACGTCATACATGACTAATTTCCAATATCCCATTCTATGAATTCATTCTTTTCAATCCGTTCCTGCCCACGCGCTCGCTCACTGGTATCCCATTACCCGAGAAGCGGTATCTCGGCCAGAACACCTCCCGCAGATTTTCCCAGAATCCTAGATCGTACAGATTGTCCACTTCTCGCAGACTCGTTGCCTTTTCCCACTCCCCGACGCCGGGGATGTTGGTGCTGTCCGCCCGGGGCGGGTTCCCGCTTTCGGTCCTGATCAGGATCTGCTCCGTCTCGGACGGCCACCTCGTCCAAGCAGGCTCGAAGCGAAGGTCCTTCTGGCGCGTCTGGCTCATGCGCCGCTTGAAGGCGTAGCCCTCATCTATCTCGAGCTTCCAGTCCGACCATTTCATGGACTCGTTGGTGGTGGTGCCGGCGTAGACCATGTACAGGTTGTACAGGAAGAGCCCCCACACTAGTGGCGACGTAAGCGCCGTCAACATTGTCACGCTGCCCATTCCAATGTTATCCTGCAGCCCCCAGGTCCAGACGACAAAGTACGAGCTCCAGGTGTAGCCCTTGGCCGAGGGCGGCCAGATAGAGAAGTCCGGGTAGCGCGTTGTCATCTTTGCGCTGAGCAGGGACAGGCCGACGTATGTGCCGTAGGCGGTTAGGACGGCGGTGCTGAAGAGCAGCAGGATGAACCAGTGCAGGTTTCCCTCGCCGACGCAGCCGTTAATAAAGATGCAGTGGTGGTCCGCTTTGGCGATGCAGTGCTTGCAGATGGCGCAGTGCTTCGACCTCGCGGGTTTCAGGAGCTGGCATGTCCGGCAGTGTGAGCCGGGGTGAAACAGCGCGAAGTCGTAAGGGTAGTGAGCCATCTGCTTCACGTGGTTCTCGGGTGTGATGTAGCCTGGATCTACAGCTGATGCGAGATACAGGAAGATGTATGGGCAGGCGATGGCGGGGACAGCGAGGACCTTCTGGAGCCAGCCTAGCTGCGGCCAAACGGTGGGCAGGTACATGTATTCGCCGCCCACGAGGAGAGACAAGAAGAAGATCAGCACGGTAGGGTGCCTATCGTACATCATGTAATTACCAAAACGGCGCATGGAAGATGACAGCCGCCCGGAGGTAATCTTCCGGTCCAGGGTCAGGAGGAGGTTTGGCACTGTGATTATCAAGAATCGGTGAAGCCATGCTATAGGGGTGTTTCTGGCAGCAGCAGATCAGCTACGGTAGCCTTGAATGTCTCACAGCAGCGGTATAGAGACTTGTCCGTTTCCTTACCTGAGCGCTGGGAGACGGCCAAAGAAGGCCACAAAGGTCATGAAGGAGATGAAGAGCACCAGAAGTGCGATGGTCGTAAATGTCCCCATGGTCTCGGTTTCGTCGGGTCCAAAACAGATGTCACCAGGACCATTATATGAGGTGTGCTACCAGCTATAATAATCCTAGAAATACATCCAGGGTGAGAAAGAAGACAGTGATGAGTGTGAAAGCCGTCACACGAGGCGGATGACTGACAGCTGAAGCAAGCAGCAGGGAAGGCGGCAGTGAGGCGGAGCTGTCAGGCTGTTGCTGCTGCTGCTGCTCTAGATCGTTCTCTCAGCTGTCCGGGAGACTCATCCGATCTCATGGGCCCGGAGAGTGGCAGGTGTGCCAAAGTCGAACATGTCGAAGGGAACGCGCGGATGTCCAGTCAGAAACAGCATGTGCTGTTCTGGTAGCCTGCCTTCTCGTATCTCTTAGTCGCATTACGGGTCAGCCTGCCCCGATAGATGCATTTATGCGGGTAAAAGCGGGGCACGGGCCTCGCGTGAGAGCGCGACACACAGCAACCTTGTCACGCGTCGCCATCACGCAGGAACTGAGATCGAGGGTGTGACACCCTCTCTCTGGTGTGCAAACTCCCACTCGAAATCTCGATGACAATTCCACGGAAACCTTCTTTGGTATTTATTGACCGACTCTGCATGCCGTGAAGTGATGAAATGGGTTTGGAAAATCTTGCTTTTGGGGGGATACCACTGTGAAATTGGCTGAGCGTACCTTCTCCCAGCCGTACAGATTACCAAGTCAAAGTCAACCTTTTCTTGTCACAAAGGGAAAGTACATTCTCATGCACGCACTTCCCCCGCCCACGGCTTTCACAATAAAGTTTCACCAACCTCGTGTACCACCCACTGCCTACAACTCCTGGCATTTGTCCACTTTTCCCACCCACTTCGACCTACGCCATTCATCCCAACGTCCTTCTCGACACCGAAGACACTCGTCATTCGAGCAGTATCCAGAAGCGTATCCCATCGTGGCCCAGGGTTAGGGTCCCGTCGTGGCCGACAAAGACGACGACAACAACCACGATGCCCATCGTGTACGATGGCTCGAGGGGCAGCAGCCATGGCGACCTGTTTACGGGCCTGAAGCTGTTCATTTTCCATCGTGTACCGCAACGAGAGAGATGGATCGACCTTGTGCAGGTGAACTTGACATAATTATCCTGTTGTGGCCGACTGTTTGTGATTGACGACCGACTGTAGGGCAACGGAGGCGAGGTGGTCAAGCTCGAGTCACAGGCCGACATGCTCATCGCCGACCACGTCAAGAGAGGCGGCGCTGCTCCACCCCCTGGGTCATATTCATGGCAATGGATCGAATATTCCGTCAAGAATGGTTATCTTGAGCACAAGGACGACTATCGAATCGAGGAAGCCCCAGCAAGAACGGCTGGGACCTCCGCCCCCACCAAGGGCAAACGCGTTCCCTTTACCAGCAATGACGATGACATCTTGATGAAGTTCGTAGTGGGCCACGAGAGGCAAGGAAACGCTATCAGCGGAAATGTCATCTTTAAGATTCTTGAGGAACAGGTGAGCACCGCCTACCGAACAACAGAACCCTCAGATTTCCGCCCTTACTGATCACGCCCAGCATCCGCATCATACATGGCATTCCTGGAGAGATCGATGGGTCAAGTATGTCTCGAATCGCCCACGTCCAAACCTGCCTCATGAAAACCCACAGCCCGAAGGCGGAGTTGAAAGTTTGTCTCCACGAGCTGCCCGCTCGGCTGATCGGCCGCCGCGTTCGCAGCCCGGTCCTTCCAATACGCAATCTACGCCCTCCAGATCTCCTATGTCGACGCCCAAGAAGCAGGAAAGGCGCCATGGCAGGAATCTTTTCACTAAAGAAGATGACAAGTTGCTGCTAGAAATGATTCGAAAGACACTAGAGTTCAACAAGGCCGCCGCTGCTGAGGGCAAATCTGGCAAGCGACTGAGTGGCAATAAGATCTATCAAGAGTTTGCAGAAGAGGTAAGTAAGGAGTTGTAGGATCTGGGTTAATCGTGGATCTAACTAATTCATGGTTAGAATCCCAGCCATTCATGGCACTCTTGGCGTGATCGGTGGTTAAGGCACTTGAGCCATGGAAACACACTCGAGCAAAACGGGTCACGAATTCAAGAAGAAGGAGCAGGTTGGGAAGACGATTCAGCTGCGCAGCCGCAACCGCAATCGGGGCCAAACCGAGATGAAGCGACTCGGACACCGACTAAGAGAGTACCGGCTCCGTCATCAACAGCGGTGCCGTCACCAGCACAGCGTACAACACAACCACCAGATGCGAGATCCGACGGCGAGAGGCTCAAGAGACAGCAACAGAGCAAGAGAAGAGCTCGCGCTGCGCAATTGCTTCAACGAACTTGGAGAGGTCACGTCGTCAGACGAGACCGTGCGCAGCTTGAGTCCTCTATTGTGCCTCTACAGTCTCTCATTAGGGGTTATTTATTACGAATGAGAGAAGCAGAAAACTTGCTCGTTGCTGTCGAAATGGAAAACCAGTCGCTTGAGGACGATCAAGACGAGGACACCGAACAGTACGAGGATGCTCAGGAGGGCTTGAGCCAAGAAGTGGACGGCAACGATTCAAGCTCAAGAGATCAGTTTTACGATGATCTCCAAGATTATCTTGAAGTGAGCGGCGCCGAGATTCAGCATCGCCCTGTCGTTGCAGGGCGCGAAATTGAGCTGTGGGATCTGTTTACGGCAGTAACACAACAGGACTGCGCTGTCGAGGACCGTGACTGGACGAACGTGGCACAACGACTGGGCTTCGACTGGACAAAATCAGCAACGTGCGCCGAGAACTTGAGAGCATGCTACAACCGCAACCTAGCAGATTTCGAAGAAGCCATCGGTCCCTACGACGACCAAGATGACACATCGGTAGTTGACGACGAACATGTTGCCCATGACGAAGAGCTAGTTTTGCCCCAGACGTCGGACGCTGTGACGGCGCCTAAAGAGCCTTATGCAGCTCCGTCGTCTCCTCCATACCGATCATCTTCACCAATCGCAGGATTGAAGCGATCCTTCCAGCAGTCAAATGCCTCGCAATCTGAGCTCGGATATCCTTCAGATGGATCAAGAAAACGGCGACGGCGCGATTACGGAAAAGTAATTCCACCAACGCCAGACCGCGAACTCAGATTCACAGGAGAGTCGAGCAGTCGCGCAGAAGCGCAAGGCTTTTCCTCGCCCTCAAATCACCGCGAAGCCGCTCCCAGACCCAACAACGTGTACGCAGCAGACGATGCAGAGGACTTTCTGAATACTGGTATGCATGATATTGAAGAGGTCGACGAACTTCCCGAACTTGCGCCTTCAAAAAAGAAGAGATTCCTTGAGCCCGAGACTCAGGACTTCGGACTAGCAATGGGTGGCGATGAACACGTGCGTCAGACGATCGAAAGAAGCAACACCGGGTACTTCACAGATGAGGACGACAATACGCCTTCGCAACAGCTTCTGTCCGAGCTTGATGCATTTTCCAGCCCCGCACCTCCAGTCTCGAGAACAGGCAACGGTACTGCACCTGCAAATCGACCGCCCTTCGTAGAGCCTAGGCCTAGACCTTTCGGAGGTCCCGCGCAGATGACACACACTTCTGCTTCCAGGACAGCAACCATCACTGGGTCCAACGTTGTAGCAACGAGTGCCAGTGCGTCGAGCTTGAAGGCCACGAAGCGGTCACTGCCACAGCACTACCAGAGACAGCCACCTGCTCCAGCTGCTATACGAAATGGCATTGCTGTACCACAGTCCCATCCCATGTCTCCCATTGCGGATCGAACTGCAGCTGTAGCTCCTAAAGACGTCAACCAAAGATCCAGGCAGTCAGTGCCTTCAACTCCCACACGAGCTGCGCTACCTTCCACGCAACTGCGAAGACCCTCTGCGAGAGTCTATACGTCTCCTACGCTAGCGCCGAAACAATCGCACAGCCAGGACCCGGCCCAACCTGTCGATTTTGGCAAGGAATATGTCGATGCTCAATTTGAGCATTTCTTGGCCCTCGGGTATGACACTCGTCAAATCGGGCAAGCCATGGAAGCAGCCTCTCTCCACCGTGGTCCCATGACCGTCGCGCTTCAGTCACTCGATTCCGGCAAAGGAATTCCTCGCGATGCGCCCGGAGTGTGGACAGACGATGACGACGAGAAGTTGAGGAAGGTCAGGGATTACGATCGCAGGGCGAAGATGGATGCCTCATCCTCGGGCTCTAATGAGGATCCAAGGGAAAAGGCGCGGGTGGAGCGCTTCAGGAAATTCTTGGCCATGAAACATGACGAGTGGGTGGGCGTCAGGTTGAGGTTCATGGACGTGATGGATAAGGGGCCGGATGCGTGAAGGAACGCAGTGTGTTGTACGGGACTGTCAACTACATGGCAACATATGTATTCAGTGATGATGGAGGACGGTCAGCTTTCTGGCGTTGATTTTGCTTTTACGATACCCAGCAGGTTCCCACGAGCTTGTCGTTTTGTCATGTTGCCCTCAGGGCTTAGGTAGTTGCCCCACCCCCCCCCCCCCACAGTCAATAGCTCAACCAGCTCGACCCATAGTGTCGACCGGTTTCCCTTCAATCGAGATGCCATTCTACTTAAAATCTTCTGCTTGGCCAGTTCATGGTATCATTAAGATCTCAGTGGCTGATAAGCTTGCTCCTGGGCAAGGGAAGGTTCTGCGCAAGCAGGACACGAGGATACAGTGTATCTTGGGACAGACGTGAGCCAATGCGAATCCAGATGAAACGTTTTGACTCTGTTTACAGTGCTTTAGTAACCAAAACACAGAATGGGTGATCCGACTGTTTCGAGGACCACAGTCTCAATCGATGAGCCGGGCGATTACTTGTATGCAATAAACTCTGGAAGCGAGTAAGCTCTCGGCAGATTTAGAGTTGCGAGTATCGAACTGGGCTGCGTAATTATGATGAAATAGAAAGTGGAGTAAGATTCGTCCTATCGATGCTGAAGCCTCTTCGTCTAGAGATAGAGAGCCAGGCAGCATATATATTTACAGGATGTTCACCGCAGGGTCTCGTTGATCGTATGCAATCTCAACACAACCCTTCTTGATACCATGGTAAGGCAGAGCTCGCACAAGAATACAGGACCTATCTAGTGGCTTTAGGAAGTTCTTTCAGACCTCCATCAGTAGAGAAACTGTCATCAAACTTGTAATCTGGAGGTCTGGTGTTCCTGGCTCGAACAGACTTGTGGCCGCCTTTATGAGTGACACTTGCAGGGTACGAGGATTTCCTTAATACGGCAGTAAATATCTAACAACCTCAATGTACCACGAGAAATATGGGTCTCATTCACACAGTAGGACTAATTTCTCTCATCTAGAACTTGATCTGACCGTCTGAGGCCATTTAATCCAGCCAATCGAACGGTCGGTAACTCCTTCGAGACAAGCACGAAGAGCGGCTCAGCGACAACAACACGGATATCATATCTACAACGTACACAATTCTCATGCAAGTGCCACTAGAGTCTAGAGGATATTGTTGATTACTTGATGGAAACCCCATGCGCCACCCCCAGCCACCATGGGCTACACCTACGAGCAGGAGAAAGCCCTCTTCTACCAGCTGCAGAACAAGCTCGTAGCTCTGAAGTACAAGCCCGGCACCGCCCGAGTGGCTCACTACGCGGACCTCGAGAACAGCGTGCTAGACTTGGCGGACAGGCTGGTCGAGTACATCAAGGCCTGCGTCGCCAGGCGCCACCGGAGGCACCAATGTCCGGATGATATTATCCGTAGGTGGGAGGAACTGAATAGGATGTGCCGAGAGTTGGCGGCTGAGGCGGGCAGGCTCAAAGAGGAGACCAGACGGGTTCAGGCTGCTAGGAACAGTGACGGGTCGTGTTCAGCAGGAGGCGCGTGCCGGAGGAGGAGGGTGGCCAAGGAGCTTGATGTTCCGAGATCTCTTGTGGAAGAGGGCTAGAATTTTGTAGCGTTGATTTGCGTCGACCTCAAATTGAAGAATGCATACATGGGGCGATCCTGGGATAGACTACGATGAAGACAGCAGGACAAGAGTACGGATTAGCAAGGAAATAAGTGATGGATGGAGAGGAAGGATTTGATGAAAACCTCGAGGGACTCAGACGATGCATTGTAGGGAGACTACGAGATCAAATTGAGAGGCATCCTTACAAGATGGCACAGATCGATTTATATTGACCTCGACCCCCCTAAGGCCCGGTCGTTGCGGTCGTCCGAGTAAATGATCAGTTCGCAAGTGCCAAGATTCCCTTTGCAGTTGCATCCAGACGATGTTACACCGTTCTATTCTCACCACGTCCTATACTTTATATGAAAAGCGAAGGCCTGCAATTTACAGGCGATGTCTAAATATTTACTTGAGAAGTGAAGTCCATCCAGCCGTGGCTCATAAACGAACGTGATCGCGTAAGGGGGTATCGTATCAACTCAAAACCCACCCACTCTCTCCTCCTGGCGCCTGTGTAGGCTTGCCTGTCTTTTTCACAAGGACCCAACTCCCCTCTCCTCCAGGCTCTCATCCCACCCGCCAGTCTCAAGCAGCCACCCGCCGACCCGCTCCTTGACGTGCGTTACCCTGTCGCCCAGGGCGCTCTTCCACTGTTCCTGCACGGTGCGGACCTTCTCCTGCAGGTCGTTGGTCAGCCTGCGGCCCTCATGCCTCTTCATGGCCTCGATCTCGTCCTTGCTTCGCCCGTCCTCCTCCATCACCCTCGCCTGCGCGGCGACCACGGCCTCCTTGACCTCGTGGAGCAGGCAGAACAGGTTCGTCTGCGACTCGATGAACTGGTACGTCGACTTCTCCGAGTGCAGGAGCAGGCTGAAGAAGTACTGCAGCGGGTGGTCGACGTAGCTGGGGTTCTCGACGATCTCGGCCTGTGGGATCTGGATCCGGAAGTCGGCGAGCGTGCGGCCGTCCCACTCGGCCGCCTCGTCGTCGTCAACGACGCCGCCGGGCCCGGGCCCCAGCGGCACCCTGTCCAGCAGCCGGCACAGCGGCGGCGCGATATCCCAGAACGCCGACAGCTGGACCTCTACGCCACGCACGACGTTCTTCTCCACCACGTCGTGGAACTCGCTCGTGCGCTGCAGCACCTCGCTGGCGAAGGCGAGCGCCCGCTTGCCCGCATCTTCGGCAAAGAAGGCCGACGCGTGCGCCATCTTCTCCTCGTTGCCCGCCAGCCGATACGGCATGATGACCATTTCGCGATACCGGTCGTTCCTGTCAGACAGCAGGTCGTACACGGCGCGGTGCAGCAGCTCGCGCGCCTCGAAGATCCACTTGAGCAGCGTCAGCTTTTCCAGCAGCTCAGGGTGCTCGTCGCCCTCCTCCTGCGGCATGTTGGGGTTGGGCTCCTGAGTCTCCACGAAAAGCCGCGACCGAAGCTCGTCGAAGAGCTGCGTGGCTTTTGTTATACGCGACGTGAGGAGGTCGTTCAGCGGGACCACCACGGCGGTCTGGAATCGGTCGAAGTCTTTCTTCTCCAGGTCCTTCGTGGCTTGTTTCTCGCTCTCATTTGAATCTGCGTCGATGGCTGCGGCTTCGTTGTACGTCATGCGCCCCAAGCCGACTTCCTGCTGCAGGTTGGCGCGGAGGGCTTGTCGGCGCTTGTTCGCTGCGACCTCGCCTTCCTCGCGGAGGGTGCGGCTGTCGCGATTGAAGCGGTCCTTTGTTGCTTCAACCTCGGCGAGATCGCTTAGGGCACGGACTGAGGCTCGGATCTCGGTAAGGTCAGGGTGATTGTTGTTCACGGCCGGGTGATGGCGGGGGTATGGCGGTGGGAGCGTTATTAGTCTTGAGATGTCAGTGTAGTTTGGGTTTGGGGTGTTGGGAAGAGACAGTGACTGCTGCTGCAATGGTGTTCGTGTAGCCTGAGGAGTAAAGGCTTGGTAGGTCTCATCGGGCTGTTGCTCGTGCCAGCCCTGCTTCTCCGGCGGGTACTCATCCGAGGCTTGTCGCATGCTGGATTCCCCTGGACTGTCGAGCCACTGAAGAGCCTCGCGTGCTTCTTTCGGTACGCTCATGTACTTGGACTCCCTTTTCGATCGCTCCCACCTCGTCGAATCTCCAGAAGACGCAGACTCCCACCAACGGCTGGCAGGGCGGCCGCGAGAGTCCGCGTCATGGTTGTCACTCACACTCATACTTAGAATGGGAGACAGCGTTGGTCGGTAGTCGGTATTCCAATTAGGGTTATTCGGGGGCGGACCAGTTGGTGACATTGGAACGGAACTCGTCGAGGCAGGAGTCGAGCTCGACTCTCCTTGTTTTGAGCTCTCGCCCTGGTACGTGGACCCGATCGAACCGCGATGAGACCTGCTGGGTAAAGATGATTGCGGGGTCCACTCGCTCCCCTGAGAGGTCGTTGACTCCCGGCGACTGACCATAGGACGGAAGAGGTCTCGCGTCAAGTCGAAGATCTCCGAGCCCATGGCGCCGATTGCTGCCGAGTACCTTTCCCTCCTGATCCTAGACTCATTGACAATAAAGTCAGCGAACAGACAAACTCTCTCTACGTCATCGGTAGCTGCCGCTTCCTCCTGGGCGAAAATCTGGAACCGCTCAACTGTGTCACGGGAGAACTGTTCTGGGTTTTGCTTGATGACCGAGTCTCTGTTGATCGATTTCGAAGATTTAGGTGTCGCAAGCACTTGCTCGAGCGTCATCCTTGCTTTGGAGCTCGAAGCCGATCGGCTATGGGCAGGTGGCGTTGGTAGAGCTTTCGGAGCCACTGATGACGAACTCTTGGAGGCCTGCTGAGACTCCAGTGGCCGCGGAGAAAATGGAGGCGTTGATATTTGCGTGCTTGACTGTCCTCTTGCCGAATCAAGAGCTCGTGGCGTTGACCCGCTGCTCTCTTCTTCTTTGTCCCCCACCCCTGCGCTGCGTGGCGTGGTTTGAGAAAATCCACCACTTCTTGGAGTTCCCCTGCCGATGGTCATCTTCCTCGAGAGCCCGCCAGACGGTGGTGGAACAACAATGTTGTCCATGTTAGCAATAGATCCATCAATTGAAAGGCGCGTGGACCTCGTCCGGCTTTCATTACGCCTTTCTCGCAACGTCTTGTCGCCTCGAACTGCGTTGTTCCTGTTCAAAGCAGCACTTGGGCTACTCGAGGACTCGGGCTCCGCGCTGGCATCAACCCTCTGAGCCGGATGTGGGTCCACAGACGAGGACCGTTGCCGGGCTGGTTCTTGAGGTGTTGTTTGAGACTGAGAGGTGGTCTGCTCCTCATCCACCCAGTTGGCAGGCGTAGGTGGCACCGGGCCAAGAGCCGTGACACCGCTCGGAGGCGGCCGTCTCGTCGGCGGTGAGGCAACAGGGTCGCTCCCGCTAGTGAAGTTCCTGCTGGTGCTTTGAGAACGAGACTGCGCAGGCGGAGGGCCGGGAGGTGGCGGCGGCAAAGGAATGCTTTGATTCCATCTCGTCTGTGAAGCTGATCTCGACCTCGCTGAAGTTGGCGTGTCAAGAGCCCCTGTGGAAACTGCTCTACGCGAGCCTGGAGGTAAGCCTTGAGATGAAGCATCGCTGCCATTCCTCGAGGGGCCGCCTTGCGGTATCTGGATACTCAAAGGATTTGGTCGCGAGGATGAGATGGAAAATGGATGGCGATGGCCTCCGCCGATTGACTCCGGGGAAGGCGTCGTTTCTGGGTCTTTCCTCCGTCCAAAAGATGGCAGACCGAATCGCCTCTCACGAGAAGAGCCCCTAGCATTTGGGGGAGGTGGAAATGACTGGTTTCCTACAGGCTCAGGTGGAGGACGATGAACTGTGGGAAGAGGCGCTCGAGTCAGAGACATGTTGGCAGCGGGAGCCCCATCGAGATACATGCTGGCCGGCCTCTGGCTTCGCGGAGGGGAGTACGGAGGAGGGGGCAGAGGCGAGCCTGGTTGACATGTTAGTTAAATTGACTGCACCCGTGATCGAAGTCAAGGACAATCATTACCAGTGGAGTCAGGTGAGCTCAACTGGTGGCTCCTCTCCGGCCCTGGCCCAGGCATTGGGGATGGCAGCCACTCTTGCGGGTTGTAGGGCAGGATGGCGCTCGAGGGAGTCGGGGCGTTGTGAGAGTTGGAGCTGAACGACATGGCAGAGATTGGAGTACTGCCTTGTTGTGAGAAGGGGCCAAGAGACGAGGTCAACAAGGGGTTCAATCTCGGGCGAAGGCCCCTGGGATCACGGTTGTCGTTCATGACGACTGAACCGGCAAGGAGCGCCTCGATGGTCCGATCACTGTCTATATATGCGCATGGAACAGATGCCGATGCGACGTATCCGCTGCAAGTAACAAAAGTGGACTGAGAGCAAAGTTCCGGTTAGGCAGGAGCAGAAGTGAATCAGTCCCTTTTGGTGCGGATCGCCTGGCGCACGTCGTGCGATGCCCTCGGGATACTGTCCTCGAGCCCGAGCCCCACGTCCTTGGCAAGCTGCTGTACGTGTTGTACCGCTTGAGGACGTCTCAGTCCACGGTAACCACACAGGTCTTGCGTTGGGTTGCAGACTGAGCAGATTGGGGGTAGGGACAGAAGTAACAAATCCAGCCCGCAAGTGAGGCGGCGGCTGATTGTGTCAGGTTGTGGTGAAGTCCAAGAAGAGCAGCTGCACTAGATTAAAAACAGGCGATTGTGCAAGCCGGTGGTTGACGATCGCCAGTCCAAAGGTTGTGCAGGGGGCCTGGTCTCGTCTCTTGGGAGTGGTACCGAGGCGCAAAGCACGGTTGTAACCCCCCCTCCCTGTGAGTGGTCCCAATATCGGCCTGCATAAAGGTTGCAGACGGCCCTTCGCTTGACCCGCTGATGAAGGTGTCCCCTGTCCAAGACCGGTAGTGCACAGTAACCTCTGCGTGCATGTAGCAGGCTCAGGGTCTGCAAATTGAAGCCCGATGAGTAGAGTTTGAGGCGACCCGGGTGAGGGAGCAGATAGGCCAGAGATGTACCAAATCAGTTGAGTAGCGTAGGTAGCACAACACCGGCCCAGGCTAATGTACGGTGTGATGTACACCCGCGGGAAGCCATGCAGGCTCCGGCCTTCTGAGGAGCGCAAGGAGGGAGGGCGGCGGGCGGAAGAGCCAAGGACACGGACACGATGATGGCTGGAGCTGTATTTCTCGGCGTCGACGGCGCGATCGGAAGGCCGGCTGGGGGGATGGACCACACTGCTGGAAGGGGCTCCCTGATTGCTGGCTTTTGTCGCTGCTCGCTGCTACATTGCCATGACCGCTACTTCGCGGGGTGACTCGCACAATGCGACGTCCGGTTCAACGGCGTGGGCAAGAAAGGAGAAGACAGGCCAAGAGGGGGACTGAGGTGGGCTGGTGGAGGGTGATTGGGTGTTGCATGCTGCCAAGTTGCACGCCAGCATGCTTGTTGGATCTATTCTTAGACCATCATCGACAGGAGACATTGTCGTCTTATTCGCTGGGGCGTGTGTGATGGAGACGAGGCCGGCGCTTAAAACCTATCGACGTCCTGCTCAGAACCCCATGTGATTTGGCTCTGTTGGTCGGATATGTGGGGTCTGGTCCTGGTTCCCCCTCCCCCTCCCCCCACCAGCCTGCATATATCAAGCCCAGATAAGCTTAGTGGAGCTCTGTTGAGAACTATAGCCTATGCCCTTCAGAGCAGGGTCCAGAACACTGGAGCTGTCATCCCAGTCCAAAATGTTTGCTGGAGCTGAGCTCTCAACCTCAGCCGTCCAGCCTGTCAGTCAGCCTGTCCACGCCAGTTGAACCACCACTACACAAACTACTAGAACAATATCACCCTGCAAAACAACTCTGCTCGGGTACTCTGTCTTCCATGATGCAGTGTAACCCCAACAATATGCGTTCTCGAAGACGACACGATACCCGTCTTACTCATCAAAGCGGCCAAGAGTCTCTAGTAAAGTGGCAGCTTCAAAAACGTCGTGGCCCGTCCCGTCGAGCATCAATTATCCTAGCACGGTGACATCGCAGCCCTCGACTATCTGTCTACACTGTCCCCTGCCCTAGGAAACTTGCTCGTTACCATGGAGTAATATATAGCCACGGAACACTCCTTTTCCGCTGCACGATGCCTTCCTTGCCCTTGACTTGACCTCATCGCTCCCTATACTGTGTGTGTATGTTCAGCCCTGGTGGTCGGCGACCTGCTGCTTCTACTATGTGCGTAACATAGTACGACCACATGCTATTTGTGGGGGCAAATCAGCATCATTTTTCTTTTCGCGGGACCATTTTTGACCCTGCCAATCCCTATCAAATCCCCGAGACAAGACCATACATAGCAGAGCGACTTACTGTGTACAGTAGCTGGTTCCATGTCAGGCCGGATCCTGACCTCCCCGACCCCTCGGCAGACCAGAGCTTAGAGCTGGTCTCCTCAACGGGTCACTGTCCACAACAAGCTCGTGGGGTCGCTTGGACCCAGTCCCAAAAATAGGCAAATTAATATCACAGTTCACAGTTGCACCAAAAAATCTTCCTAGGGACACCTTACCCAGCTACGTTCACGGTCAACACCCGATGGTCGAGCATGGTTGGCTCTGACCAACGGCCCCATGGTCGCCATTCGGCATCGCTTCTGGCCCAGACGCCATGGATCTCGCAGTCACAAACCTTGACAGAATTGACCGAGCCGCGCCATGCACCAGTCAAAGCGGACGTTGCAGCTAAGCATTTGGTCCCAGCTCGCACCGTGCGTCTGTCACCTGCAAACCAGTACCGGCAGCGTGGACCCGGACGCCCGGCGGCCGAACCATCCGCTTGCCTGTTGGTGCGTTGCTTTATATAGAACGCTTGCATTGCTGGGACAATTACGGCCCTTTCATGAATGAGGGGATTCGCATTGATTTGCTCAGGGAGGGTGGTGTAACCAGCACCTGGCATATCGCTGCAATGAATGACACGAATGATTCGAAATCGGGTGACCTATTCCTAGATCACAAACTGCGCTCAACAGGCCGTCATCTTTGGAATGGGAAAGGGGGTTGGGTGGCAATCGCGTTTGTCTGTATTCACTGCCTGCACCCATGAATAGATTTTCCGTACTATGTCCTGTGATTGTCTTCTTCTCTAATCCTAGATCCCCTTTGTAGCATCTTGCAGCGTGAGAGGGACTAGACTGAAGAATAATGCCTTTCAGGCGTATTGATGCTTGGATGTCAGCTGGCCATGCCTCAAGATCCACAACTCTGGATGTATACAAATGGAACGATACAGCCCTAGGATTGACACTCTCCTGCCTCCTGCACTAGATCCTACTAGTTCAGCTGTACAAGTGCAGGTGAAATACGTCGCCATTCGATGTTGCCATTCAATGTTGCCATTCAATGTCACCATTCATGAGTTCAGGAGGCTCCACCCATGTGCATGACGGTATATGGAGAGGCACCACGAAGTAGCTCCCTAGAAGCAAAGTTGCACGTGCTGCAATGCTACGCAAAATCACCTTGAAAAATGTCAACATTATCTTGCACAAGGCTCCCCACACGGCTGTGCGATACGGCTGTCGTGAGCAAGGCTTTACCATACAGTTCTCATAAAGTGAAGCTATCTCTCGTGGCTGTTCCAGAATTGGCTTTCTCTTGCGGCTATCTCACACGGCTACTCAATCGAGGCTTCCCAACACGGCTGCGAAATACCGCTATCAGACAGGCTGTCAAAATCGGCTTTCAAACAGGCCATCACAAACACTCCTCAAACACACTCCTCAACACACAAACAAAGCTCTCAAGACAGACATTTCTCAATACAAACAAAGCTCTCAAACAGGCTCTCAAGCACGGCTCTCAAGCACGGCTGTGAATACAGCACGACTGTCAAGCACGACTGATCTGTGCCCCACTGGCTCACACTGGACTCCAGGGCTGTCCCCAACAGGACTGGCACTCTTGGTTGCCTGATACAGATTTGTACACTGGGCCGTGTCATGCGGCTGTTGTACTCTAGGGAATACACATGAGGGTTTCCCAACGAGGCTTTCCCACCAGAGGCTAGGCTATGGAAGGTTGTCCTATTGAAGGTTATTTTATAGAAGGCGATGTCTTAGAGAATGGGAAGTTGTTCCACATGATTTTGTTGCATACGAAGTTATCCTATAAGGGGTTATCCCATAAGAGTTAATCCCATAAGAGGTTATCCCATAGGAGGTTATCCCATAGGAGGTTATCCCATAGGAGGTTATCCCATAGGAGGTTATCCCATAGGAGGTTATCCCGTGAGTTGTCCTATAGGAGGTTATCCCATCAAAGGGTATCTTATTGGAGGTTATTTCAAGGAAAGCATGGTCACTGATGATATCGAAACTTTGTGGGTTATGCGAAATTTAGGGTTAGAGGCCGATTGCTGTATTTGGGTACCTATTTGTCTGGTCCCTGCCTCTATCCAGACCTCCTAGCTATCGCCAGTGCCTCCCCACGCACAACTGCTGACCCATGCCGTAATGGAGCCGAACGCACACCTCAGAAGTACCAAACCACCTGGACGAAGCCATTTCCTCCAGCGAGGACGCGCTGGAGCTCCTCGTCGGAGATGTTGAAGAGGTTCTGGACCTCCTTGCCCTCCTCCTCCGGGATGAAGTCAAACGACCGCCAGATGCGGTCGACGAAGGCCTCGAGATCGTGGTCTCCACCCTTCTCAATGACGCCCTCGATGGCCTCATTCAGGCCGTCAATGGTGATGTTGGCCAGGGGTCCGAGGTTGACCTCCTGGTCCTGGGCCTCTGCTGCATATCAGCTTCATGTTACGGTCACAAGAATGTTATCTCAGGGGGACCGGGCATGGGAGCAGATATGGAGTCAAACTTACCGCACTTGAGGTTCTCGTCCATCTGCTTTGGGCCAATGCCGATGGGAGCTGGTCCGTTGGGGTCGACGAGGCCCTGGCACTCCTCGTGGATGGTCTTGATGCGGATGGTAACCAGGTTGTTCTCATCCGGGGTGTTGTTGATGGGGGCAGCGGCGAGGTGGTTCTCATTCGGGATGCTCTTGGCATCGACGATGGCCTCATCGGCCTTGCTGGTCTGTGGGGTGATGTTCTCAGTCGACATGATGACAATTGATGATGGTCTGGGTTAAATGATGGAAGCTCTGCTGAGGAAGTGGACTGGTGTGGTTTGTTGAGGGAGAGGTTGGAAGGTTTGCTGAATTTCATCAGTTGAGGGAGAGGTTGAAAGAGTTGGGTGGCCCAGATTTTATAGCAGCAGAGGGTGAATGGCTCGACTAGCTCCGTTCTTGGACCGCAGGATATAAGTGCCTTGCGAGGATGTGGGAGGTAGCCCATATGGTTGTGCGAGGTACCTAGATGACCCACTGGGATGTGAAAGGTACCTATTTGACCCTCGGGGTTGTGGAAGATAGCTTACGAGGATATGGAGGGTGCCCGCCGGGGTTGCAAATGGCAAATGCACAAGCCGCCAAAGAATGCCATGTATAGCGCCTGTTGCCTTGACTGTGGAAGGCGATTCTTGAGGGAACAGAGGGCATTGCCTCCATTATCACTGTATCCACAGAGTGCAGAAGGTATTTCTCCAGGGGCCAAGAGCAATTCGTGTGACCAAGTGCGTTGTGTAGAGAAAACTTGGAGAACGTGCTAGATTTTTAGAGAGAGCAGTAATGCACAAGACTGTCATAGACTATTGCACCTGGTGGGTGAGCACCTCGCATCACCATATATCAGCAATTGGACAATATACGAACAGCATAGGAGAGTTTGAAAGCGCGAAATGATATAAGCTACTTCTGAATCATGTATTCAGTCGCTGTGGAAGATGTTCCTTGGGGTAGGGACAAAGATCTATTGAGTATTACACTGGGTATACATCTAAGATACTTGGTAATTTTCAGAAGGGAACACAATTTACTATTGCTTAGTATATTGGCAGAGAACGAAAGACGACTATCAAAGGGGTGCAGGCTGTTCCTGAAGACTACATCAGAATAACTCTATGTAGGAATATTGTTTGTTAATGTAAAAATTCCGGACCTCTATGTTATATTCTATTAGCTTAATGGTCACTGTTCTGCGAACACTTTCTAATAATTTTTTGGTTGGTGTCTTTAGACAGAAGTAGATCATTGTCTGCTACATTTCATCCTATGTGTCTCAAGCTTCCGTCTCGTACTGTCTCTCGTCTGGTACTATCTTGATCGTGTTTGGACTGGCATGAATACACAGCATGAACAAATTCGCAGTAATAGACTGTTATGCCCCCCTCCCCCGCGGTCCAGCCTGATGTATTTTTTGACAGGAGAATGGTTTTCTTTACAAATACTACTGGGTCATCAAAAGTAATGTGAACTATACGCATCATGTTCGCACCCATATAAGGTTGCAGACTTCGGGATGAGCTTCAGAGCCCATAGTATATTGAGGTTGCAGTGGCTCTGTTTGGCATTCCTTACTAGTATTAGGAATCTTTCACCATGAGTGCTCAATCCAGATATACAAATCTGAGTTACCTATATACAGAATATGTGGTTTCTGCCGAAGCAAAGTAAAATTGACAAGTCGTTGTCTAGCTTGAACAAGATGTTGTTGTTTAAGCTCATATAATAAGTGTGCCACTCCTGATAAATTATAATCAAGTAGTAAACAGCGGCTGTATCAGAACCCAGTGTAAATATTCGTCACTACTATGCTGGCAAACGCGGCTTTCAAGAAGGATAGCCGCACAATCTAGCTTGAATGGAACTGAAGCCAAAAGATCATTTTGAGCCAAGTGGTTCGCATTATTAATGATCATCAGGAAAGATCACGTCACTCTTATATGTTGAATTTGAAGGTGTTGGGAATTGCTAATTAATGAGGCTCAACTCCATTGAACAGTGGCAAAGATTACCTTTGAAACCAGGAGACATGGCTGGTGTGCTTAATGTTTGACTATCACATGGAAGGCGTCCCTTCACAAAGATCATCATGTGAATAGGGCGTTTCAGGCATCCATGACCTTCCAACCTTCTGGCAAGTAGCGTTCATTGTCAGTGAATCGGCGTAGGATCTCCAACAACTAGAAGCATCTGAGTCACCAGTGACTTGAAGTTGGGGCCCAAACTGGTTTCTATGAACCAGCTCACCTCGCCAGCCAACTCTCACCCTTTTCTGATCCCTTGCAAGTTTCATCTTCCCTTGGGATTCTCACGGTCTCTTAAACCTAATCGCATCAACCATCACCCTACGAAATTGAGAGAAAATGGAATTTCATCCATTCCAGGAGCTCCCCATCGAGCTTCGTCAACTCATTTGGGAATGCTCCCTCCACGAGCACCTCGTCATCGATGCACCAAGACCAGTCTGCCGCATAATTACGCCAGGGAACAAGTTCGGCCATCCCAAGCATCCACCCAAGCTGGTAACTCATGAATACTATGCCCTGGGACATGTCTGCCGTGAGTCACGCGATGTCCTCCACCGGTCTGGTCTAATCAATTCCTCTCGCGGCTATGTGCCTGCGACCGACGTGCTCTTCATCGACGACTATGATGCCTGGAGGGGTCTGGAGCACACCACGATGCGTGGGATCTACCACCTCGCCCTTTCATCTGAGTTCTGTTACGATTTGCTGAAAAAATCAAATCACTCGGCAAGGCGGTCTATTGCTTGGAATAGCCACTTCTTGCTCCAACAGGCACCCTTCTTCCTTGACGTGCTGATGGCATGCCCCGAGCTCAAGAGCACCTCTGTAATTTTCCCATCCCTCGAAGAGGACATGCCATTTTTCGCCGACCACTTTCCCCCGCTTGCTAATCGCCCGTCTTTCCTAAAGGCAGTGCCTTACTCGGAGACAAAGAACATACGAATCCGAGGGCCCTACACCTACGGGTCGTGGTTGCGGGGAGGAGCAAATACGAAACGAAAATACCTTGGGTCGTTCATCAAAGACGTCAACGAAGTATGGCGACAAACATTGAATTGTAACCAGGGCAATAATGATCCTCGCCGAAGCATCAAGGTGCAGGCTGGAGTCCTCCAGTGCCTAGAAGAGCCGTTCAAGGTCCCGGAGTGATTGTCCTTGATCTACAAAGCGCAACAACATGAGGGGAACAATGGACAGCTTGAGAATGAGGGTGAAAATTAAAACATGTGGTTTCCTCCAATTTTCTTTGGGTAAGAAATGACAGGGAATCCCGCAAAGTTTTACTGGAGTGGTTGATATGCAACGCACTTGGGCGGGATACGGAGAGTTTGTGCACGTCACCATTCCTCTATCTAGTCTTCACTCAACGACCCAAGGGCGCAGGCAAGCAAGGTTGTCAGGCATGAATGGAATGTATGCATTCAGGAGGAACGAAATTGATGCTGGTTGGGGTCACACAGGAAAACAGGGTCAGAGGGCAGAGGGTAGTGAAAGATTGGTTATCTGTACACTACCATATCGGAGGAATTCCGCGTCTCGAGACTTGTGAGACCACGGGGAATAGAATATCATTCTTGGCCAAATGGTGCATTCCACTACTCATTCCTTGAAAATGAATGCTTGCTGCCACCATGTAGTCGCAAAGACAATTAATCTACAGAAACAAATGATGAGGAAATGAACAGAGCTTTTCCCAGAAGAGGCTGAATATCAGCAGCAAGCTGTCCATTAGACAATTGTCCTGGAGCAAGCCATGCAAGTGAGTTCTGTTTTCAGAAAAATAGAGCCGAGTGAATGAACTGACAAAGCTGCATTGTCTATTGTGTCGTGTCCCCACAATAGCCTGTGGTCCCAAGAGCCTATTGTACTTGGGTACTTGCGCATGTTAGACTGCGCGTCATTGGCCAATTGACCGGTACCTTGACGAGTGGACATTCGTTTGCAGGCCCTTGTCCCTGTTCCCGCTCCTCGCTAGGCTCAAAACGGTGAGCTTCAGGCCGATCAGGGTCGCGACGCCTTTTGTTTTGTTGCGCGACCGCAACCAGAACGCCTCCAGGCTTTCAGCTCCCAACTGCATCCCCTCAATTCCCTTTCAACAACAACATCGCACGACAACGCTTACTGTGCTCATCTGACCCACAGAAAGACCACCTCGTCAATTCATCACCCTATCACTCATTCACATTCCCCTCGAAGGAGACGAGAAGTCACTTACTGAGATGGCGAATCCCTCGAAGAAGGGTGCCTCCAAGGCCGAGGGCAGCACGCTCACAAATCACCCAAACAAGAAGCCCACCACCAAGGCCGCGGCCCCGAAGCCGACTGCCAAAGCGCCGACCACCAAGCCAGCAAATGCGAAGGAGACAGCCAAGGCCTCGACCACTAAGAAGGCGACAACTGCGAATGCGACGAAGGCGACTTCTGTGAAGCCGGCCACCAAGAAGGTACCCACCAAGAAGTCTGAGAAGAAAGAGGCTGCTGCAAAGGCCACCGCTGCTGCCACTAAAGCAACTCCTGCGCCCTCAACCCAGGCCACGATGTCAGGCGAAAAGCCAAAGCCACACGCCAACACCTCCCGAAAGCGCAGGGCACCGAGCATCGACGGCGAGGATGAAGCCCCCGCCGCCACGATATCCAAGAAGCTCAAGGCCGACACTTCCAACTTGAAGCGCAAGGCCACTGTCGATGCCGGCGAGAAACCCAAGAAGGCCGCAAAGATTACCAGGAACGATATCGCCAAACCCAAAGATTCCAAGCAGAAGACCACCGCCAAACCCCCTGCTGCATCTGCCAAGAAGCCCACCAACAAGGCAGTTTCTCAGTCTGCGAAGGCCCCTGCCGCTGCTAAGTCGACTGGTCGCACTACGACGGCCTCTAAGGTCCGAAAGGCCCAAAAGGCACCTGCCGCGAAGTTGAAGACTAGAATTCAAATCAACTTTGCGCCAACCCAGCCTCTTGACATCTTCATCTTCGGCTCGGGCGAGTCTGGCGAGCTCGGCCTGGGCAACAGGAGGGTGGACGGAAAGAAGCCCGTCAACGTGAGGCGCCCCCGAATCCACCCCTTCCTCTCTGCCGAAACCGTTGGCGTCGTACAGATTGCCTGCGGCGGAATGCACTCTGTCGCTCTCACCAAGGACAACAAGATCCTTACTTGGGGCGTCAACGACCAAGGCGCTCTCGGACGCGATACCACCTGGGACGGTGGTCTTCGTGATGCGGATGCGAATGCCGATGACAATAGCGGAAATGACTTCGAGGCCCTGAACCCTATCGAGTGCACCCCGGCTGAGGTCAGCACCAAAAACATTGTTGACGGTACCAAGTTTGTCAAGGTTGTCGCAAGTGACAGCGCTTCATTTGCCTTGACCGTGGACGGTCGCGTCTACGGATGGGGAACTTTTCGCGTAAGTTTTTGACAATCTTCCGCCATGTACGCACATCAACTTACAATGTATAGTCATCCGATGGCATTCTCGGCTTCACCAAGGATGTTCTGGTTCAGTATGAGCCTGCGCTGCTTGAGGACTGCAAGAAGATCGTGGACATCGCCGTTGGCAACAACCACGTGATGACTCTTGACAACAAGGGCAAGGTTGAGACGTGGGGTGCTCCTGAGCAGAATCAGCTTGGTCGCCGCGTCGTCCAGCGCGATATGAAGGCCTCTGCCCTGCGACCTGGCGGTCTTTCATTCAAGCGCGGCATCAAGATTGCCAAGATTGCTTGCGGCTCTTATCACAGTTTCGCCATCGACGACCTTGGCCGTCTCTATTCGTGGGGCCTGAATAACTTCGGAGAGCTTGGCCTTGACCAAAATGCCGGCGAGGACGACGCTACCGTACTTGAGCCCACCCTCGTCGAGTCCCTCGCCGACTACTCCATCGCCGAGGTCTCCGGCGGCGAGCACCACTCGATTGCTTGCACCGACGACGGCCGGCTCCTGGCCTGGGGCCGCATTGATGGCAACCAGACAGGCCTGACGGCGGACAAGTTCAACGACGCCAACACCATCTTCGACGAGCACGAGAAGCCCCGCATCCTGTCAGCCCCCACCGTCCACGAGGGCTTCCCCGCCGTCGCCTCGGTCGCCTGCGGCACCGACAACAGCTTCGCCATCACCCGAGAAGGCAAGGCTTACTCCTGGGGCTTCTCTGCCAACTACCAGACCGGTCAGGGCGAGCAGGACGACGATGTCGAGGTCCCCACGCTGATTGACAACTCTGCCGTCCACGACAGGAAGATACTTTCTGCTGGCGCCGGAGGCCAATTTTCGGTTCTTACTAGCATTCACCAGAATGCTTGAGCGCATCCATACCAATTTGATTCTTCCTGCGCATTTGTCTTGGGGGCATCCATGAGAGCCTCTGAAGACGTCATGTCAACTTCACTTATATGCACTGCACTTGTTGTCCAGTGGAAGGCAGAAAAATGTCTGATTTTTGCATTGTATGAGTATTTAATCGGGCATGAGGAGTGACCTCATGCTCATGGTCTTTGCGTCTTGATATCAGGCGGAGAGGAACAGATTGTCCCGAGGGCAGGGATTTAAATGATTACGTTTGACGGTGAAATGAATGAAGGTCAAGGAAAGGATTTGGCAAGCTCAGGAAGGCAAGGCACAGGGAGTGAGATGAATTCACGGCGTTCAAGGACTGTATTCGAGGAGATGGTCTACATTTTGGACCAAGGAGGCCGCTGCTGTTCTAGAATACAACCGCAGAAATGGAACAGCTCATGAAACACCACCAGCTACGATCTTTGCCATGTTCCCACTGCCCCTAGAGCTGAAGATGCTCATAATACCGAAGCCAACGTAGAAGAGCGCCAGGGGGTAGGCCACGAGGCCTCTCATGCCGCGCATCCTGCCCACGGCGCAGAAGATACCCGAGGCGCTGTAGGTGCACCACATGATGGCGGCGGAAGTCATGACGATACCCAGGGGCGTGTCCATGGGCATGACGATGCCGAGGAGGCTGGTGGCGGTCAGGGGCAGCAGGCAGTAACCCAGAACGGAGGCGCTGCGGAAATAGGTGAGGGTGGAGGATAGCTCGTTGGAGTGCGGCTGGCCCGGCTGCGAGCCGTAGGGGGTCGCCTGGGACGGGTCGCCGCCGTGGTGGCCGTGGATGGGGTCGCCGTCCTCGAGGGGCGTCATGAGCGAGATGATGAAGTGCAGCGATATCGAGCCCAGCGCCGCCAGCCCGTAGATGTAGCCGAAGTGCAGGTTGCCCGAGAAGAGGAGGAAGAAGCCGAACAGCCCCGCGAAGAGGATTGGACCGCCCAGGTCGCTGTCGTCCATCAGGTGCTGGTCGATGCGGCGGAAGGGGTTGAGCACGGCGAGTGTCTGTGGAAGGATAACCAGATGTGTTAGCTCAAGCTTCGCCATGGCAAGGGGACATCAAAGGTAATGGGCGCACCTTGGCCTGTATGTGCGTGAAGTTAACGCCCAGCTCCTCCAGCAGCGGCGGCTCGCCCTCGTAGCCCTCTGTGGAGAACGCGGCGATCCAGCCTGTCCTCAGTCCTCCCTGCTCGCCCATTCGTCCCGAGACTCCTGCTGCAGGGGCGCCGAAGCCGTAGTTAGCAGCGCCGGCCGGTGCGCCATAGCCGCCGTACGAGGCTTGTGAGGGTGTCGCGTGTCCCGAGACGTCGGTTGGTGCGTATTGTGAGGGGTAGAACTGGAGGTTCTGGGCGGACTGGGGGGCGTAGGCTGGGTTGCCCTGGGGCTGTGCCCCGTAGCCGAATTGGGACATGTCTTGAGGCTGGTGACGATGCTGGCCGGAAGCAGAGGTTCAAGGAGCTGTCGACTGTGAATCGAGCGAGACAGCGAGCTCCCTGGGCGTATGTGTGACGGTTTTGTTCTCAGCTGAGCTCAATGATGGAGCGAATTCAGTAAAGACAGATGCGTAGAGCTTGCACGAATGGTTGGAATTGGAGAAGGTTGCAGTGTGATGTGTCGTGGTGTGGTGAGAAGAGCAATGCGAGATGATGCAGTCCTCCAAAATGTCCCTTGTTCCATCAGGGGCCAGCTGGCTTTGGTGGGCATGAACAGCTGTTCCCAGTCTCCCAGTCTCCCAGCCTGCCAGGCCACGCCACTAACAAGGCAGCTGTGCAGACAAGGCGCTACTCAACGCTACTGTAGGAGCTCAGCTGTAATTCGCGGCAGGCAAGGCTGGTCCAAAATCCATCGACGGCCCGATGATCGGCAAAATTTCCAAACCCTGTCGCCTCCGAGAACCAGACCACCGAGAGAGAGAGCTTCAACTTCCGTCCCGTCAGCGAATTTCCCTGAAGCGCATCCTGCCGTCTATGACACCACGACCCGCGTTCTGAATATCGCATCTCCCTCGCCTTGTCAAGCCCAGAGTGTTGCATATACCCAACGTCCAAAGAAGCGAGTGGACAGTCAGCATCGCGGTTCGCAGAGACTAGACCAGCGCAGAGCCAGATACTTTTTCAAGATGGTGAGTCGCGCCAGCTTGAGCTTGTCGCATGATGGCCGAGCCATAACATGGTCTCTGTACACACCATAGGGACACTGTCGCTAACATTTCTCCCCTCTTCCAGGCTTACCGCTTAATAACCCAGGTCATCTTTATCGGCACCCGTGTGGTCGGCCGCGCCTTCGCCGAAGCCTACAAGCAAGCATCCGCCTCGTCGAGCTACCAAAGGGCGCAGCAAAAAGCAGGCGGCTCGGTCTCGGGCCGCGCCAACCTGTCGTCGGGCATGACGCTGGAGGAGGCCGTCAAGATCCTCAATGTGAAACCGCCACAGGGCGGCAAGGCCGACATGGAGGAGGTCATGGACCGCTTCAAGCGCCTGTTCGACGCGAACGACCCGCAGAAGGGCGGCAGCTTCTACCTGCAGAGTAAAATCCTGAGGGCGCGCGAGCGCATTGAAGCCGAGATAAAGCCCGCGCAGGAGAAAGCGGCCCAGGAGCAGGAGGTCAAGGAGGGTTGGAAGCCGAATATCTACAAGGACAAATGATGACGGAGGGCTCGGGAGAGGCTGCAACGGATCTGGAGTGCTGTCTACAGCGCGGAACATGCGCTCCGGCCATGATACTCCGGTCCGAGGAAACGGCTATCAATCGCCGCTGGGATGCTCATTTCGCGAGAGGCATGAAATCCCTACGCTCCAGCGACAGATCCGGCCATATCCCGTGCAGCTCCCCCAGAAATAAGGCCGAAATCCCTTCAAAGGCGAGTCTGGGAGTATCTGCGCCTCCCACTTCTCAGCGCCGGCGGCTGCTCCGCTGGCATATTCTATACATACTACACATCTTCACTCGACATTGCATGGCGTTTATTTGGGCGTGGGTTTACGGCGCGTGCGAGGGGTCGCTTTGTCGGCCCAAAAGGCAAGACGGTTAGGCTATCTGTGTGCCATAGATTCTTGTGTATATTACGAGGCCGCGCGAGGCGGGAAAAATAGACACGCTTCAGAATTGAGGCATGATTGGGAACCAAATCCTGCACAGTCGTGGGGCGCGCGCGTGCGTGGGCGAGCGTTTTTTGAACGCCGAACTATGAATGATCGATCGGTGTTCTCATTATCGCACGTTTGATGAAGAACATGTGTAGAGAAGGATAGGCCTACAGCCCTGACGGGATCATAGGCTGCCTGAGCACATCCCTCTTTCTAGACCTCCGTTTTGACCACATTCCCAGGACATGCTCCTTCGAAAACAGCGCCTTCCGCGACAAACCCTGAAGGAACTTGACAAGCTCGGGATCAACAGATATATGAGGCTCGTCAGCAGTCCCTGGTTGCGAAGATCTAGCCTCTTCCACATAAGCCAACAGTGGTTCTTCCTCTTCATTGAGGAACTGGTGTCCATGGCAGGCAACTTGATGCTGGATGAAATACCGGAGCTGGAGTGAGGCCGCAAAAGACGAAAAGGCCGTCCTTGATCGCGGGCTTTGCTCAAAGCACATCTTCGACCAATGTGAAGAGCACTGACCGTGATGTATCCCCTTGCATAACACACATTTATGCCGTGATACGAGGCTGCCGTCGTTCAACCGACCTTGCACAAGTAGGTCTTTAAAGTGGATACCCATCACCCGGTCCAGCTCAAGTAACAGCCCTGGGGAGGCTCGTTTCGTCAGCTGCTCGGCTTCGAGAGCTCGATACCCTGCATAGAGGGCCATTGATCTGATTATGCCAACCGACTCCATCGAGTTGTCGAATTGAAGCCTCTTCAGTGTATGAATTGCTGAGCTGAGTAATGCAACGGTTGGCTCGAATGATGCATCCTTCCAGTGCGTGATGTATTGAGACCAAGTGTCTGGTTGGCTATTGTTCTCCCGGGCTGGGGTCAGCGCTTTAGGAATTCGAAGAAGAAAAGGGTTCAGAGATGCGTAGAAGAAAATTTGTGAAGGAGCGGATTGAGAGGGAAATATTCAAGCTGAAGACGAACCGAAGAAACTCAACGGCTGAGCGATGAATGAATCGGACAGCATCCGTTTGCTTATGTCTGGTGTCTAACGTGTCTGGACCATGTGCCAGCCATGTCGTATCTACGGGCACCACTTCCACGAAACCCAGGCAACGACTCTGAAGAATTCTCTCCATATCTTCAGTGACTTCGGCCAATTCTTCTGATGGCAAAGGTCCGATTGGAACCTCCAAGACTTTTTCCTCATCCAGTTCGAATGCGTAATGTAGTCCAAAGACGCTCAGCTTCCATCTATCCCGAGTCCCATAATAGGCAAGTTCAAGCAGTCGAGAGGTCTGGGGCCGATACGAATCTGGGACCCGTCTCAGCATCACCCGGTAGAGCTCGTCCAAGTCAGTTGGGAGTTCACGGAGGCGGCGTTGTAAGTCAGCAACGCCATCTCTGTTCATGAGGCCTACCATCAGACTCTGCACGACGAGACGGACCCAGAGGAAGACACCTGCCGATGCTTCAACGACTTCTTCCATCAGCGCTTTTGACTCCTCTGGGTGAGATTTTAGAAGCCTTTGCATTCTAAAATCATGTTCCATTTTGTCGCTGACGTAGAAGCTAATGTCTTGATGAGTGAGCTGGTGAAGCTGCAGACGTGGACTTGCTGCGAATGCGTCCTCGAATACAGCCCAAGGTCGGCTGGAGATAACCGCTTTGACATTATCCCGCTGGCAGATGGCCTTCAGAATCCCAGCCAAGTCGCTCATTTCGGTACTCACAGCGTCATATTCGTCGAGCCCATCTATCGAGAGAAAGAAGCATGCGTTGGGTTGCTGCTGGAGAATCCTGTTCAGCGCCATCAACAGCTCATTGCGGCTTGGCTCGAACGAGGTCGGCCGTTCCGATGATAATTGCATTGATTCGAAGCGCTCTGGGAACGCAATCTTGACGCGTTCCGTGGATAACGCTAGATCGCCAGAGCCAAGGTGAGTGAAGAACCTCTGTTCCTCGTTCCGCCAGAACACGCCATTCGTCTTTGGGTGGGAGGCCTTCATCAACGCAAGGACTAGAGACCGCAGTAGTCCAATTCCCGACTTCTGCATCTCTGTGCCGAGATAGTAGAAATAGAAAGAGGCTTTGAACAGTTCCCGCCCTGCCGCCCAGCGTGTCAAAGCATCGTCCAGCTTTGGGTGCATGTTGATGTGCTTCATAAGAGTGCTCTTCCCAGAGCCCGCCTTTCCGGTGATCCAATATGTGCCGCAGCCCTCAGTCACAAAGTTGTTGAAATCATCCCACGGCACCTGAGTCTCTGCCGGACTGCTTTGGAACACCCAGTCCAAAGTGCCCTTGTGAGGGGACCATATTCCTTGTTCTCGCTCCTCCATCGTCGGATACCACAGCGAGCTTCGGAATGCCCGATCCATGTTCCAGAGCTGTTTCTTCGAGCTGAATTCGGTTGAAATGATGGGGTCTTGGCTCTCGGGCTCGCCTTTGCCCAGGCTCGCCATGATCTCCCTATGTCGTCGCGCAGCTTGTTCATTGCTGTCCAGCTGGGCAGAGAGAATGGCATCCAGGCCCACCTGGCTCTCGAGGAATTTGGCAGCGATCTCCCTCGTCTGTGTGTCCAGGGCCATAAAAGTTTCACTGCCCAAGGTTGCCTGCGCGTCCAATCTGTCCCTGAGACTGACCACGACCCGGAAGTTGAGCTGATCACGAAGGCCCTTCAGTCTCTGCTCTGCCTCCTCGATTTCACGTTTCCTCCAAAGCGTAAGTGCTGTCTTTTTGATGACGTTACATACGGCTAAATCCTTGGGCCGAATCTTGTCCATCATCTCGGACACATGCGATGCTGTCGCAACCGCCTTGGACGCAAGCTCGACCATCTCCTTGTCTGCCGCATTTTGCTGAGACTGCTTCTCGTTCGAAGGCTGCTCGATCGAAGTACGCAGCCGTCCAGCAGTCTGTTGCAGATCTCTGCTAAGCAGAAAGAGCTCACCATGGCGCTCGATGCTTCCCTGTTCCTTGATTTGCGCCGCAGTCGAGAGGACTTCATCAGTAAAACTTATAACTGCAAAGATATTCGCCACGAGACTCAACGCTGAGATTGGATCCATTGCTGAAATTGAATGAAAGAACACCGGTAGACTGGAATCATTGACTGTAAGTACGCGTGCATGGAATTCTCAAGCATTGGAGGCCGCGCATATCAGATCATGGTGCTATGCCATACTTGTGGCAATAAGGGCAAAGTCAATTGTCGAGGTGATTGAGCAAGATTTTGTGGAGGCTGGATACTCGTAGCAATTCAAATTGAAATTGGTCGGGAAATCATCCTGATTCGGTTTCCGATCTCCTCTTGTCAGACTCCAGAGCGGCTGGAATGGCTGGCGAGGCTCACTCAATTGATGTCTTCGTCAACAACTTGCCTGGGGAGGGGAGAAATCCATTTGTTTCCCAAGTAGACAGCAGGCTCCCGCCACAAATGTTGTTTTGGAAGCTTTGTGAGATCATGTGGTGAGCGTCGGAACAACGTAGCACAGAAGACAGAGAGAGCTGAAAAACATAATCCGGCCGGAGATGAGTGCTCAACATATCCACTAGTCCTGCAAGAGGGGATTAGCCGACAGCCATAGCTGTGTGACAGTGCCGTAGCATGCATCAGTAAGCTTATCGCAGGGGCAGCAGGTATTTACACTCGGAACTGCCCATGTGGCTGGTGTATCAGCTTGTGTCACCATAAGCCACAAAATGTCGACCGCTCGAGCAGTCCAGGACGAGTGACAAGGCACAGCAAAATTGGGAGTGTTATACCGAGGTACGAAATACTCCATTACCCTAAAACCTAGACAGACCTCTGTATAGCGAGTAGCCTTATCAAATTAAGACGCAGCCCAGCCAACATGCAATTTGCCTTGTAGACCTTCCTCAAATCCTCTAGGCTTTCGTGTAGCTATTACTGGATCAATCAATAATATGACAAGTTTGAGATAGGCGTTGAACATTAACTTCTCTACTACAGAACTGCCAATTTCTTTTCTGGGTTGAAGATCATACTGCAAGCCCAAAAATAAGCAACTAAAATACCCGCGTATCCTACAAAAAGAGAAAGACATAAATCGTCACTCCCAATAAGTATGCAGGCCATTCAAGAAAAGTCGAGATAGCCAACCCAGCACAAAAGTTTCGGCAAAAAATAGTGCAAGCAGAGAGACACTTGATTCAGATCATGGTATCATTATTATTATTTTGTAAAGCCAGAGTAGGACCCGCTATCTGTAGATTTGGTCAGGGCCACCTCAGTGGTGCCCCGAGTGCTCTCGAAACATGTCCTTTGTGCCTCCCTTGCCCTTCTTCCCAAAAAGCTTCCCAAGGAAGTTCCACCAAAACACGCACTCAGCCACAAACTCCTCGACCTTGAGTGAAATAGCCACAAATGCCATGATAGCGAAAGCTGCCCATGACATCCACTTGAGCTGGGAGCTCGACGACACGGTGATATCGACGACGCCCACGGCGAGGCCCACAACGTAGGCAACCATAGCAATGACCGTGAGGATGACGCTCCCCAGCAGGAGGAAGAACGCGGCGGCGGCGGCGATCGTGCCGCACAGGCTGTAGACCTTGGGCGGCAGGCCCTCGTCGGAGCGGAAGCTCAGCGCGGTGGCGGCGAGCAGGATGAGGAGCAGCAGGCAGGTGAAGAAGGCGGCCAGGGCGTACATGACGACGATGGGGATGAAGAGCAGGTTGACGGTCCAGGTCGAGAGCTCCTCGCCCGCCTGGTGCACCAGCCTGTCGACCGTGTTGACGGCGCTGTCGACCGGCTCGCGGATGGCCGTCTGCGCGCCCTCGGGCACGAAGAAGACGCCGAGCGCCTTGGCGAGGACGGCGCCTGGCTGGAAGCCAAAGATGGTGCCGTTGTTGGCGGTGGAGTTGAAGGAGGTGTCAGCTAAAACGGTTAGGTTAGCACCGAGATAGAAATTTATATGCTCTGGATGGAATACTCACCAGTAGAGAAGAGGCGTGTGCACGATGTCGATGTCGTCGTGGAGTTGGAGTCGCTCGTCGAGTTCGAGCTCGAGCTCGTAGCATTGCCGCTGCAGTACGTCGTCAGGTGCAGAGACATGGTCCTTGGAATGTCTATGTCGTCAAGGGCGCTAGCAGCCTCCTGGAGCCACTTGTTCAGGGCGTCCTGAATGGAGCTGAGGACCTTTTCCATGAGTCCCACGACGGCGTTCTCGATATCTTCGAGCTTGTCTCCGATCTCGCCGATGATCTTGTCGGCCTCCTCCGAGGCGGCGGTCGCGACGGCCCCGGCCGCGGACTCGACGGCTGACGCAGCGCCGGAGGCAAAGGTCTCAATCGAGTCTGCGGCATCCCCGGCTTTATCTGCGGCGTCGCTGAAGAAGGATCCGATGCCTCGCTTAGTCTTGGTGGCCTCTGTGTTGTTGTCCACGAGGGTGATCACCGGTGGGTTGAAGCGGGCAAAGTCGGTCATGTTGATCTGCCATGGCGTCAGCAATGAAGCTCAAAAATGAAAATTCATATCACACTGCCTGATTTTCTGCTGTCAAAACTTACTGTGACGAGGGAAAGGTCACTGCTTCCATCGCCGTGCCTTCCAGCAAGGAGGATGATGAGAGTGAGGACCAGTACGGTAATAGCGAGTGCTAATGTAGCACCGAGCCTGAACATTCTCCAGATAAATCTCTTGGACTTGTTGGCTTTTTGGGAATGAGGGTCCTGTTTCTCCGAGTAGGACTCGTGTGTTGATCCCTCGGGCTGCCAGCCATTTTGCGGCGGGTAACCTTGCTCATGGCGCATGTCCATTTTGATAGACCGGCTATCCAAGTGACTGTATTAAAGGAAAGAAATAAAAATGGCGTTGAGAATGAAAGAATAAAAACTTTCGAAAAGATACGGTCGCCCGTCTCGTGGTTGTCTAAAATTCGCAGTTGACTGAGAAAATCTCGAAGTGAAATGGGTATAAGCGGCAAGAGGCTATAAGCCTTCAAATATGAAGGATGGACAGAGACTCTTTGAAAATGAGCAACCAACAAGCACTGAAACGGGCCAGGCGTATTTGTAGACAATGTCATGCGGGCACGAGACCCTCAAACCCAACAATGGGGTCCAAGGGCCTCTTGAACAAAGACTCGAAAGAAGCAGCACAATGGATTGCAGCAACCGCGGAATGTAGCAGCCTGTGGTAGGTCTATTGGCTGTCATGGCCTGGCCTCTGGCTCTCACAGTGACAATACGCGCCAGCTGGGGTCTCGCGGCCCCACCGAGGCCCCACCCTTGCAGGCGGTTCCTGGGGTCCGGCCTCACGCCAAACACATTATGGCCAATGGCACAATGACTTCTGTTTCAATCGCGCGAGCCGCCCACCAATCAATTGGTCGGCGTTCCTGAGCGTTCGCGCCCACCTGGGTGAAACAGACGACGACACCTCGACTTACATACATACAGTACACCACTTGCTCAGCCATGCATGCCACTCCCTGCATGCCAGCAGACAACCTGCTTGCGACGTCAACACCGAGGGGGCGGGTAAGAGGCAGCCAATACAGCTGCATGCAGGCTCGCAGCTACGGTGGCTGAAGCGAAGCCAGTCCCCTCGGTCGAGTCGTCGGCTGTTCTATTCTAATCAAGGTGCTCACCCGACCAAAACTAAGCCCATGATCTTCCGATCTACGCAGCTGGGCATGGATAAGAGCAGGAATGTATGCAAAAGATGATCATACGTACACGAGATACCCAAGCATATAGAAAATTGGCGCTTCTTAGCAGCACGTTGTTCTTGCGTATACACACACCCCCTCTCACATTCAATGCTCAGCACATGATCGCCACCAATTCCACACTGCCTCATCAAGGGTTATTCAACCCAACCAGTCCAAAGCCTCGCAGTAATGACATCCAATGCATGCGGCTCTTATGTGAAACGAGTATGTGTATATGCGATTGTGCGTAGTGTTTGAAATGAGCATTTGAAGCCACTACGTAATTGTATGGGCACTGCCCTGGGATTATTGTGCACCACGGGGATACAAGGTGTAATACAATCTTTAGACAGGCGTAGCATATCATTTAAACCCCTAACCCCCCGAACGAACACGAGGTAGCCTCAAGTGAGGACTTACTTCCGTTATGCTATGCTATATATTTGGACAGGTGTGAGAACTTGTCATCTGCTCCGTGGGCCGAGTACTCCACAGTTGTCATGGCTAAGATTATCATTCGCTATTGCTAGTAACATAGCTTTTCAAAATGTTTCTGTTCTTCAGACTCCATCTTTCTTGAAAGCTGGGAAAAACCCGGAAAATCGACCAAGTACTAGCTTTTCCTATCCAATTAATGGATTACATACCATTGGTAGTCATCCCTAGCCTATTTACTCGCTGAATTATGGTTTCGATATGTACCTGTTCAACCTGTAATACGCAACTCCGTCATCGCTATGAGTAATAAACACGCAAAACTCGATGCATCACTAGTCTTCACATCTAGAACGCCTGGCCCTCCATCTGCCGCGCCAGCTTAGGGAACGCCAGCAGCACCTCGTCCTCGGGCGGGGAGAAGACGAAGCTCTCCCGCCACGTCGTCCCCAGGCCCCGCCCGTCCCCCCTCGAGAACGTATAAGGCGGCGGCTTGGGGAAGTTGGCCAGCGTGCTGGCGCGCAGCCCGGAGGCGTCGGTCGTGCCGCTGGCGCGCGTGACACGCGAGACACGCGACGTCCGCGGTCCAAACGTCCCGGAGTTGGTAAATGTGAAGGCGGCTTCGGAGCTGTACACGCTGCTGGTCATGCTCTTGCCCCTGGCGCCGCTGGATGCGCGGTTCTGCTGCTGCTGCTGCTGCTGCTGCGGGGCCTGGTCGTTGGTCGCTGCGGCGCTGCGGCGGGCGGAGCTGCGGAATCCCATCTGCCAAGGCTCAGAGAAACTCCGCGTCAGGGCTGGCCTGCGGGTCCTCAGTGGTAGAGGCATCAGGGTCGCCTCGCGCACCACGGGGTTGAGGTAGTCTGACCGCCGGATGCTGGGCCTGGGCGTCGCCGGGAGCCCCGGGTACCGGCCGACTGTGCCTCGGGTCGGCTGGAAAAATATCGGGACTCGCTCCGACGTGTGGTCCCCCTGTGCGGACCCAAGCAGTGCTGTATCCGGTGTCGGCGGCTCGTCGCTGGCGCTCCCAACAGCGCTAGGAGTGGTCGTGATCGCTAGACCAAACAAATCCCCATCCTCGTGGTTTACGGCGCCACGCTCTGCGGCCTCTGACATGGAGCTTGAGTCGGACAGGCTCAGGAAGCCTTCTCTCCTTCGCATTCTCCGCCGTGCACGCCTGTAGCAGGCCACAGTCAGCAGGGCCGCGATCACGAAGGCGCCGACTGTGCCGCCTGCGATACCTCCTCTCTGTCCGGCACTTGGTCCAGAAACTGAGTCAGAGTCCGCGTAACTACTGGGTGTTGAAGTGTCAGTAGGGACACCAGGCAGGATGTAGACTGTCGTCGTCTCCCGTATCGTGGTCGATGGGCCTGACAATGCTGAGGCATTGCTGCGTGCTCCTCTGCGCAGTTGTGGTATCAAGGATGGTGTTTCTGTAGCAGCGCTGGCTGGTGCGCCGTCCTTCGCTAAGTCCGGTGGGCCCATAGTTGGGGTTGGCATGGACATCGCCATGGGTATAGCGGATGGGAGGAATGACTCCTTTCCGGTGCTCGAAATTGCTAGGCTCGAGGGTGACATTGGCAAGAGTGCTGCCTGTGCAGGGAGAACATCTCTCAAAGGATGCCGGGTTTCCAGACGAGATCCACGAAGCGCCGATGTACTGCCTGTACGGTGTTGTTCACCATCATCTCCCCCTCCTCCGACGTTGTTTGGTTGAGGTGTGCGGGCTATCTCAAGGGACGATGAAGGGAGGCGGGCTACGCACAAGGTGACATGAAGGCTGGTTGTGAGGGCGTAGAATACGCATGAGAGCAACATGGTGTGCCCAAAGGCATCGTGTTGCGGTGGAAGGCGATGCAAAGTTAAAAGAGAGAGCAAGGCCCGTGGCGAACAACAAACGCAGGGGAAAAGCGAGCATCATGCCACAGATAAGTGACTGACATCTGAACAGTCACAATCATGGCCGAGGTGTACAGCCAAAGGTAACCGAGAAAATCAAACAATCCACCGTTAAAATATTCGGACGGAAACGCGCAGATTGGCAGATTGGAGATGTGGACTGACGGAAACGGTCTATCAAAAGGGCCGGTGGAGCTTGAACAGGAAATGCGAGTGGTCGCACCGGCGACAATACCGCTCAATCGACCGGAACTTCTTAATGTGGAAATTGATATGAGTAAAGTATAATAATATCAGATCAACCTTGGAGGCACCAAAGGCGCGTTCATCGACAGCTGCCAGAGGGTCGTCTGTGCGCGGTGGGTTCGTGACAAGTTGGATTGGTGTGGCCCAGGTCTCGATATCTTCAGCTGCATCGCTGCTGCATCGCTCGGTTCCCGGCGCCCGGGAAAGCTTATCGACCCCCCTACAGCAGCAAGAGGTTCGCAGGACCAAGTTGGACAGTTCGCTGCCCCGGGCATTCCGCCCTCAGCCACCAACCAAGGAAGAACCTGGTGCCGAGATCTCCTGGTCGGTGATCACTTTGTCAACACCCAGCTGCTCGAACCCGGAGACAATTACGGCGGTGCCCTCTACCGGCTCTCAATGGAGCTCCAACATGTCAGACAGCGCCTGGCCCTCGACTCGCGGTAGGACTCAGAAGGGCGAAAGTGGAGGTTTCCTGAACCTGCATTGTGTCAGGTCGCATCACCGTCTGTGCTGGCGCGTAATGCTCCTAAAGCAAAGCACCGGCAGTGCGAAAACATCAAGTCAGGATGGGCAACACCGAATCTGGAGGTAGCATTCTAGGCCAGGTGTCAGACTGGGCCACTCGTCCTGTGAAACAAAGGGTGCTGACGAGATGAGCAAAGTTCAGGACTTCGGAGCGACGTTGAAAATAGGTTCGCACCTTGTTGGGGGCTGACTAAGCCTAAATCGAGACATTACTGGCTCCGACTTTATTCATCCTATTTCACTTCGTCCTCATTTGACGATCGCTGTGGCGTGGGACCAAGTCCCGGAAGTCTTACCGAACGCGTTGGCTTCATCATTACTTCATTCTTGATCTGTGCTGACTGTAGAGACTCATTCACTCGTTACAGGTAAGCTTTTGCGGCTTCTGACCTCTTACCCGAGCGAGGCCAATAAGTACCAGGCCAACTTCCGATACCAGGTCTTCCGGCCCCTGACATCTGGTCACACATTTACCGGCCTCAGCCATTCAAGCATTTTCCCAATTGATCGACGTCCCCAGCCACTCCCCGTCTCCGGCCCGAAAGGGGACCGTTGGAGCTCGATCTCGGGATCCACTGCACACTGACAGTGGAGGCGGGTCTCGTTAGCGTGCTCCAGGCACCTTGGTGTTGAAGTTGTTACTCTGCTGTCGCCAGTTTAATGCATCTGGGGAGGGTTGGACATCTCTAACACTCTCTCATCAATATGGCACGCTTTTTAACGAGGAGTTGGGTTGCCATTGTCTCTAGAGCGTTTTCAAACGAAGGCATGCTTAGTGAGCCGAGATTCGGTGAGGTGCCCGGAAGTATTTCCCCTACGAGGTCGGAACGCCATGTAATTTCATCAGTCCGGACTCTAGGTCAGTCAAACCCAAGAAACGCAACTGGCTTCTTTTCTGACTGTATCTTGAGTTTTCAAACCTACCTAGGTGGGTAGCACTCGGCCACGATCCGACCTAGAGTTCATGAAATTCGGATAGATCTGCCTACGAGATGTTCCTGAGCCCCATTAAGATGGAGGCTCACCCTGCGAGTGTGGGATTGGATGCGGAAGCGTGATTCCCAGTCGCGATCGGAGCTTTCCGAAGATCGGAACGTTCCGTTGCAGCCTTGACACATGAGTGCTAACGCGGATATGTCTCTCGGGATAGGTGACGAATCTTTCACGATGGCAGTTCGTCATTGCTTTTTGCCGTAAAATGACATCCAGGCACGGAGAGGCCGAACATGCCAACATTTTTCCTGGATGGGCGATTGAGGATGAAAATAGAAATACCACCTTCTGCCCAGGGCGAAGCAATGTTGACAATTGTACCGGGGCCGGGGGGATGATTAACGACAAGGAAGCCACGATAAGATCAAACGCCGCAGGTCATGAGTCGTCGCATGGCGACTCCTCTGCAATCTTCAGGGAGCCGAGATGGAATCCACATGGGTTGGAAATGGGCAGCACACTATTTGCTGCTAGCCACAGGAGCAACATCCCCTTTTCGTCATTCGTTCCTTGACACACGTCTAAGCATAGATGATCTACCTGCCTCGCAAAAGCTTGGCGTTGTCCCCACGGGGCTGATCTATCACCTTCGGACAAACGACTGCTTCTGTTCAGGGCTGTGGATCACTGCGACATGGATCGTGGGCCCTAACGAGCGAACATTTGAATGCATTCATGGGTAGCGGCGGGCTGAGCTTGGAGTATAAGATAACGGCTTCTCAGCAGGTCTATGATCGAATGGGCAGCTTCAGTATTGTCTCCTGAACTGTCGTCACTCTTTCAATCCCGGCTTGTCGCTGAATTTTCGCTGTACATAATTCATCATGCATTCATTCAAGTCGTTGTGCCTTGCTACGGCAGCTGCTCTCATTCCTTTTAGCGCTGCCCTAGATGAGACAACATACCCCTGGCAAGCCCCGACAGACACCGACGTCCGGTCTCCCTGCCCGGCTCTCAACGCACTCGCCAACCACGGACTCCTGCCTCGCGACGGCAAGGGCATCACGATCGGTGTGCTTTCCGACGCAGCGTATACGGGCTTCACCGTCGCCGCTGATGCGACGCTTGTGTTCGGCAGCTTGGCCTTCCAGACATCGACAACTGGCAACGCATCGACCTTCAATCTGGACGACCTCAAGCAGCACACTCCGCACGTCCTTGAGCACGATGGATCCATGTCTAGAAACGACTCGTACTGGGGCGACAATCTCTCCTTCAATGAACAGGCATGGGCGAGAACTCTCGCAAACTGGGGAGACAACGAGGTTATCACCGTAAGTTTTGACATCCAGCGTAGAAGTTCGAATCATCACTAAGATTATCGAAATAGTTCGCCGTAGCCGCAGCCGAAAGAACGGCACGCTTTGAATATGGCTTGGCCACGAACCCCGAGTTCAATGCTAGTGTCGCTCAGACAAGTTCGCTGCTAGAGTACTCATTGATTCTGTCTTCATTTGGGGATCTGGTGGAGGGCAACGGCAATGCGACGTTCATCAAGTACCTCTTTGAGAATGAGAGGCTGCCCATCGAGCTTGGGTGGCAGCCACCAACGTCAAACTTGACAATTGCCGCTGCGCAGGTCATGGCAGCCAAAATCGCTGCCCTGCTTTGAGGACAAGCGCGGGAAAATATGATTCTCTCGACGATGATGTATAGAATGATACTTATTTAATATGCTTGTAGCGTATACCCAATGTAAATGTTTCCTACTCAGGTATCAAAGATGACAAGCATGGCAGCGGTACCTGACTACCCTTCGCATAGGACCCGATGCTCACTACAGGTCTAACTGGACACCTTTGAGTCTTTTGATTCAAGTGCTGCTGTGACGCCGAAGCGAAGCCGTTGTTCCATCGCACTAGGAACTGATTTAGATTGTGGTAACCACATACAATCAGATGACCAGACCTGCTATTCTTCGCCAAAGTGAGGAATTCACGGGCCCAACTCCACGTCCTGTGTGCCACGTCTCATGACCGAGAAACATGAGAACCACAGAGAATAGAACAGCTGACTCTTGATACTGTACATTTTTGGCAAATTCATGATTTATTTTACATTTTCATGTCCACAAAAACGACAAGAAAACATCGGACAGTATTTCAAAATTGGAGGCAATACTACCGCTTCAAAACCAATTTGCCTGCTTTTCTGCCAATTTGCTCGCTGCCTACGAGTCGATTTCTTCCATTCTCTGGGTAGCTAATATCTCCCATTTTCATCACATCACAGTCATAGTGTGCACATATCTGATCTTCCCACCCTCGATCCTAAAGTCGTGAGTGTCGGGCGCTCCCTCAAAACTCAAGAAGACATCAACCTCTCCAACTTCCTCGTCAATGATATATCTTCTGTCAGTCAGACTGACCCCGCTTGGCACGCCGACATTACAAGAGTCCGTCGCAGCCCCTTTTCCGGTGTACGAGCCGCCCTCCAGCCTAGCACAAGGTGTCCCCCACGGAACTACCACGCTCTTGTCTTTGAAGTAGTCTAGGTATGCATCGGCGGCTGCTTGGATGGTCTTCCTGGTATCGCGGCTCGCAGTCGCAATGCTGCCCCAATTCTCCCGAGATGCCCAGTACAGGGTGCCCGTGGCGTTGAAAAGCCAGTCGCCCTGGTCCGTCACGATGGTGTCGATCTTGGAGATGGTTTGCGGCTCTGTGGTGCTGTTGGAAAGGTACAACTGGGTGCCAATGACATATGGGTGGGCTGAGTTGGCGACAATCAGCTCGGCGAATGAGGCACACTGGGTCGTGTCGAGCGTGGTACGGTTATGGTCAATTTTCAGGGCTTGGCTGAGGATTCCGCTTGAAATGGTGGCGGTCTTGTAGTTTTCGTGGTAGGTCGTCCCGTTGAGAAGGCCAGCTAATGGGGTGAGGGAACCGGCTGTTTGCGCGGCTATATAGGTGTCGGTGACATTTTTCAGGGTGGCTCGGTCGCAGGCTGCTGAAGCAGGCTCAAGGGCGGCGAGGAATAGGGCCAAAACGTGAAGGCTTGACCAAGTCATGATTATGTTTGCAAATATTATCGGTATGCGAGCTGGGAGATCACCTTGAAAGCTCGAGTGGCAATGAACTTCGAATTTATATCAAGAACCAAATGGCAACTACCGAACGGAAGATGTTTGGCAGTCTCCACAGAGCACCTAGCATCTCTACCAAAATCCCTGGCGGAAGTTGTCTGGCTAAATGCGCCCAGGCTGTATATAATAGCAACATCAATAAATGTCGTTGATTTTGACTTGCATCGGCAGTTCTCTGCAGCCATTCATATCTTGCTGAAACCTGAAGATCGTCCATTCATTTGGACATCGCTCATTTGGCTGGGCGCTAGCAGAATATGTAACCGAACACTTTCAAACATTTACAAGGAATAGAATCGCGAGGATTCCATCTTGACCTTTTCTTCATGATCTCCGACCATTCACTGTTACCAGATTGAGATGTGTTTTCGGCTGCGACTTCGATGTGTTCCTGGCTGGTTTAATTAAGCACGGTGACGGTATGTTGCTGTAACTTCGTGGGGGTGATGAGAAGGGTTGGGAACAAGTCCCAGTCTATTTTGAAATTAATCCCCGCGCAAACTCTGTGCCACCGTATTGCAGATATAGCCTCCGACGTCCCCTTAAGCACGCCAACCCCTCTTCGTGGACGAGATTGGCCGGCGCTGCGTGCAATTTACCAGGACATGAGAAAAGGATTCTATCCAAATTTCCCTCACTCTCAATGTGCACTGCTTTCTTGAATCAGTTGTGCAAACCTTTTTCCAGTCAGGAACACAAAAGTTGCTTATTGCTAAGTCGCCGCAAAATTGATGCCTTCTCCTACGACAAAACGTGGTGCTTCCCTGGAGGCTTCGCGAAAAGTTATGTTTATATACATCGTGTAAAATTGCTTCCCAGTTAACATTAAGCCTTTCGGGTGATCCAGCCTCGAGCAGAGAATCTCGGTTCTGAGAGGGTCCTGTGGTATCGTTACTTTTGTTTGGAGATGAGAACCGGGCTCTACTACAGGACGAGTTACAGAACACAAGGTTTCAATAAGACAAGAACCTTTAAAATTGGGAATCTAACAAAATCAAGTGGAGCTGTTTCTCTGATAACATCCAAATATCATCAAAAACGTCTTGAGTTTGCAAGGGCATAACCTTGAAGCAAGGGAGAAGTCTGACAGTAAGATAGCATGGATTGATTACTTCAGGCTTTTGCCCCTCCTGACCTGAGAAACATTCCGCCTCGAAAGTCTCTTGGTCACTTCGTGTGATTCCCTGCCAGTGAACTTGCTGACTGCCGTTCTTGCGTTTGTGGGAACAGCGCTCCTAGATCGTCGCCTGAACTTTCGCCAGTCTATCTCTCGAGGGTTGAGGCAGGTATTCATTACGTCTCTCGTACTCTTCTTGCCTGACCTCAGTCTCTCGCAGGCCTTGCTGTCGGGCAAAGGCCTGCAGACGATGCTCGGGCCGTCCTCGTGGCCCTCGTTCCAGTCATTGAACATCCCGTTGAGAAGAGACAGGTCAGAAAGTACCTCGTATCTGGCTGTGTAGTCCAGATCTGTTCCCAATAGCGTGTCAAACATCATGTGCGGCACGGTGATAGCTTTGCTAAAGTCGACCAACTTGCCGCCTAGATACGCGTCCTCCTTCAGATCATGGACCACTATGCCACAACGATGAAGTTGTTTGAGGTCCCTTATCATCTTAGGTGTGTCCTTGGGCCCGAATGGCTGGTTGCTCTGGATAAAGTCCTTGATTATGGCCCGTAGTGGTCCTTGATCATATTCTGGGTCCGACGGTTCGATCTCGTAGTCATCACTCCACCAGGTCTGGATCCCGAAACGATCGTCGAGCTTCCTCTATTGAGAAGGCGTGAGAACCGTGTATCCATGACAGCGAACGACAAGATTCTCCTTCCCAGCTTCCTTTAAGCGGGCATAAGCGCGACATTCAGCGTTGAAAGGGTGCCACTGCGCGGTCAGGAGCTCGGTGTCCACGTTGTCGAATTCTTCGGTATGAGGTGTAACCCAATCAGCATCAACGAGCTGATTCATGAAGACCTTGAGAGCAAAGGTCTTGCCATCGATTTCGACCTTGAAAACGTGAGCGTGGGCACCTTTGCCGATCTCGTCTATGGATTCGATCTCAGGCGTGCCATTGGGGTTGTAGGGATGGAGTCGCGGTCCCTCGCAGTTGGGGACCGGCCCAAAGTCAGCCATCGCTATGAACGAGCAAGTGACGGTGTTCTTGCAAACAGGTCAGAATGAATCCGTGCATCCAGAGACAACATAATCAGATGCTTGGACTTGGAGAGTTTCAAGTTGTTGATCTGCGAGTGAACCGGGCGGGGGGGGGGGGGGGGAGATTGTCACTGCCGCAACCGAAGGGGCAGATTCACCCCTGAGCTGCTCAGTCACTGATGAGAGACCGTTGCACGTACACCAACGCAGAACGTAGGACACGGCAGCATATTCACTCAGGTATAAAGCCTGTCACTTGGTTTGCGATGCCGCTTTTGTGATTGGCTATGTCTGCCGCGGTGCACTAGCAACCTCTCCGGTATTGGCCGGCGGAGCTTGCAGCACCTTTCCTGACTGCTAGACAGTAATCAGGCAGTCGTGCGTATTGTATTTCCTGGCCAAGGGGGCAGCAGCGCAGTGGCGAACTGGGCCGCCTTCATACGTATTGAGGTTTAGTTCTGCCTTGTAAGGCTTTCTCTGATAACCGCAGCCGGCAATCGTCTGTTGCCTGGATTTCTCGCGCCGGACTTGGTTCGCGCTGCCACACCGAGTTCGTATTCACGGAAAGGACGGCTCCTGGAAAAGGCTTGATTGGTGGTGTCCTAGGAAGTGTCTGCTTGTCGGAGGGACTTGGCGTCTTCTTGTTGCTGCTGAGATACCAGGAAAGCACGTGAGGCTCTTTTTGACCAATGTTGAAGACCGCAGACCAACAGGGCTCTGAGCGGTGCTCTAGGGATTGGTGGTTTATCCGGGTCTCTGCTAAGCTGGGCGCCCTACAAAAGTCCGTCTCGCTGGCTGGTCAGAGCACATCTAAACTTCTCCATGCTTGTGACAAAGCTCGAGAACCGCCTCAGTACGAACACATTGGCCGAGGCTTCTCACAAAGACGAGCCATTACCGTCACAAAGCGCGTAGAGAAGGAATTTCCCAGGATCTTTTCTGATTTTCCACTCGACCAATATGCAAACTTGGAATCACCTACGGCTTTTTCAGTATCCGCCGCTTGGCAAGGCTCGGCGAGAGATCAGGCTCATCACGATTTGTCCCTCATCCCAACAAGGAGATTCCAATATCGTTGAATGTTCTATGAAAATCACCTCCCTGAAAACCAAGGTCAAATATTTGGCTGTCTCATACGTCTGGGGGGTGGCTTCTCCAACATACAAGCTACTTATCAATGGAGAAGGGCCAGAATACCCACAGGCCTTATGCATCGGACCGAATATCAATGAAGCTCTGCGGAGTTTTCGAAACTAGAAAGCGATTCGCGAAGATAATCTGTGGATTGATGCAATATGCATCAATCAAACAGAGAACGACGAAAATTCTTGGCAGGTTGCGTGCATGAAGTCCATATACAAACAGGCCGTCCAAGTTTTAGCCTGGCTCGGTCCCTCAAACATCACGGGCAAAAGCGCGTTCGACATGCTGAACGCCATTGAACAGCGTCTGGAGAAAATGGGCCCAGATCTCGAAGTAGGACGATTCGAAGAGTTTGCGGAGGTCCTGGATGAAGACCCTGGCTTTGGTGGCAACGAAATTCAGAAAATCATCGACCGCCCATGGTTCCCAATGAATCTGGGTGCAACAGGAGTTTCTGGTAGCTCGCGAAGTAGAATTTGTCTGCGGCGAGTACTCCTTCAAATGGGAAGCGTTGTTTGTTGCGTCTACTACTATAAAGAAACTTGCGGAGAGTTACATTCGAGAAAACGTTAGGTCAAAATCTGCCTTGGGACAAAGTTGATAGTGAATTATTGGGTCTGCATCCGAATGGACCCGAGAACGACATGTTCCGTATGCGGTGCGACTTCCGGGCAACGAAGATGTATACACGCTCTGGGATCTTCTGATTTCTGCTAAAGCTGGCGGGATCCGATCGACAGATCCCAGAGACAGTATATTCGCCCTACTCGGCCTCGCAAGCGACTCACCAGGCTTGGGAATCGTTGTGAATCATGATCTCACACACCAAGATTGTTTTACGCAGGCATCTAAAGCATTGCTGCGCCAGGGCCATCTGAGACTGCTGTGGTTTTCATCACACCGCAAGATCGTGAAAGACTTGCCTTCTTGGGTCCCAGACTGGTCTAGTGAGTGGAATTTGTCTTACTATGTTGTGTCATACTGCAAGCGCGATCTATCACGGGATCTTCCAACATTAAACGATGGGAACTTCACAGCGGGCAACTCAGGCCGCAGACGAAAAGCCTCCATCTTATCGTCGAAGATTCCCGCAGTTTGGAGAGCATCCTCGGCTTCTACACCAGAAAGATGGCGCGCAGATCCACGCCGGCTTCTCGCAACGCGGACACAGAGACCTCCAATCGATGTGGTTTCCGACTCCAAGCACTAGGCTGGATTCCAAACTCCTCAAGCAGTGCTGCAGGATCGGTCTTGAAATCATTTGTCCGGCTGTCCAAAAGTGCATACCTAGGGTATATACTGCCGAAAATCAGCTCGTCGTCTGTTGCTTTACTATGAGACACTGGTCGATAGTGACTCGGAAGGCTTCCATATATTGCCTCCCCGCACATCAGGCCGTTGGCATAGCAAACGCCCACCACTTTCCATCTAGGCTTGCCGGACTTGGCGCTAGATATAGGGTCTTTCCGTATGACAACAGGGAAGTCGCACCCTAAAATAACGCTAATAATGTCTCCTGGCTCAGTTCCCAGGGGGGCCAGGCCGACGTAACCCTTCTTGGTGGTGAAAAAACATCTCCCAGCGGTCCGAACGCCACATTTCTTTAGGTACTTTTGGACCAAGGGGTCTTCTATCGAGTCTTCATAACCGTCCCAGTCCTCTCTCACGGACCATACCTTCTTTAGAGCCTCCTTCGCCTCATCAAAGGTTATAACACTCGGGCCGTCATCTTGCAGGTGCCAATTATCACGGAACATACCACCAGTAAAGGTGCGGCAATATGCATCCATCATAGTCTGCTTCTCATCATACGGGCTATTGATGAGGTTATCCCCAGGGTAGCAACTCCAAATATAGTCGAAGTTGATTACGAGGTCTCTTAGTGTCTCACTACCGACAGGGTCGTACAGGTCCCTGACAGACTCAATCGTATCGATCGGAAGCCCACCCACGCGAAGTACCCCATCTCCAAGATATGTTGCGTTCGCCGAGATAAAGCCAGAAGCACTCCAGGGAAACACGAAATTGGTCACCGCCGTCGCTGGCTTGGACCAGTCAGGGACCCAGCTGGGCAAATTTGGTACCGAGATTGAGTTTAATTCGCAGGATTCAAGGAAATATGCGAGGCCCTGACGTTCCACAATCCGCAAGCAGACGTCCATGAAGACGTCAGCTGTCTGTAAAGTGTAATTCGGCAAGACGTCTAACTCCTGATCGCTTGCGTCCAGCAGGCGCTTGACGGCGTAGATCGTGTCCCGTGGATCTGTGAATCTAGTACCCACATTGTCGCGGCGCAGAGTTTTGTACGACAGGAACTTCATGTTGACTTCACACACATTCCACACCGCTTTGTTTATTTTGGCGCGCCTCTCTTCCAGCTCGACCGGAATTGACGGACCGAAGTTCGCGGTGAGGAACCAACCCGCCGCGTTTTGCAAGTCGATCCAGTCAATTTTTGTTCTCCCGCAGAGGACCTGCGCGTTGTTTGCTAGCGCAATCTCCTGCCGTATCCACAGACGCGTGAACCATGGCCGCTCAAAGAATGTGATTAAGGTCCGCAGGTGTTTCTCTGGACAAGTTGTATTCGTCCCGGGCTGTGACACCAAGATCGGGTCGCCTGGTTCCCGCGGTGGAGCGTCGGGATGACGTTCAATGCCTCCGCGGGAAGTGAACTCGACTCTTTGTCCTATATAGACAAGTAAATCCAAAGCCTGTGGACTGTCATTCTCCTCTGGTCCAAGCCAAACAAGGGTTGATTTGGCGATAGTGTAGATTGTGTCCATGAAGGCGACTTGATGGCTGCGCTCCTCGAGGTTGCCCTGGTCGATACATATTGCATCGATCCAGATTACCACATCTGTGCCCTTAAATCGAATGTTCCGCAGCGCAATATCTAAGTTGCGTGTGATGGAGATTGTGTTGGCTCCCTCGGGAGCTGAATCCACGATTACCTCTTGTGGATCATCGGGGGATCCCCATACATATGACAAGGCGACGAAGTCGGGTTTTTCAGCGTCGGACTCCTCAGAGGCCAGGTCAATCGCTTCGAGATCCGACTCCAGCGGTGTGCTGAGGCAGCTCCGGGGGATGGTGACCTTCTGCAGGGAGATACGGATCGGCTCAGAATCGTCAAGCGCCGGAGGGAGGTGTACGACGCGGATTTGAGCCTTATCATAATCCAGAGGCTCATAGATGTAGGTCGTCATTTTCCATTTATCAGACGCGAATTGTCGTGTTTGAAACGTTGGGTGCTTGGGATAGAGTGCCGCCGTATATTTGCGGACATCAATGAAGTTGTATAGCAAAGCAAAATGAGACTTGATGCCTGCTGCGACGGCGATGTGGCCGCTCTGGATAAAAGTGCGGCGGCATGTTCATCATCATCATTGGTCAGCTTCGACGTTCACAACCAACAGGACCACGAATGTAACATGATTGGCTCGCTCCCTGTAGCCGAGCATCAGCTGTCGTATGCTTAAAGCATTGGCACCGTAACCTACCTTATATAAGAGCTTATCCTCGACGCCTTACCCCTTAAGGTAGTATACCTAGTGCTTTATAACTCAACAGAATTACCTGATTATTAGTTTAATATTAATAAGTTCGAGTCATTTAAAACAACATTTACTTCTTAAGTTATAGAATATAGATTTTATTATAACAGACAAAATGTTATTAATGCCATAGGTCCATCTTTACATTAGCATTAGTGAAATCTCAAAAGCCATTGATCGAGATTGTCAAGATACATACAAGGTGGGTACATGTAGATTTCATCTTGGAATCTACATGCCTCCGTTTCCGAAGGCCTGCTCTCTTAATGCCGCACCCTCCGTCCTGACACCAGCTCAAGGCAAGGGACGAACATTCGGGTAAGAACGGCCGCGCTAGGCTTAAGAATATATTGGAAAAGGTATTCTCCGTCCTCGTGGTATTGGCCTCCCCGCTAGTACGAACCAACTATCAGCGGCCTGATCTGACGGTCAGGCGCCAGCTGCGACTGTTGCCAGTCCTCGAGACCCCGACAGAACAAAGCTTTTTTCCTATAGCTAACATGTGCTGAGGCCACTGCCAGGTCTAGCTACAATGGACATGGCCAACTTGAGGACGGTATGAAGAGATAAATTCGGGGTCTCCATGTAATAAACATATTCTCGGTCTCTTGCAGGTGGGTTCGCCACCATACATCAACCTACACTTTCCTCTTCACGAGCCCTTTCCAGAAGTCAAAGCTATTCTCATCGCTCTGCAGCGTCCAAACCCGCCCAGTCACCCTCCCATCAAACCCGATCTCCTGCGCCCTGAGCAAGCCCCAATCCCTCGTGATGCCCACCACCTTAGCCCTCACACCGCCCTCTGCCTCCAGCGTGACCTCCTGGCCCGAGTGCAGCCACGCGGCGTAGTACCGCTCCTCCATTTCCCTGGTGAAGCCGGCGCGGACAAACTCTCTGTACAGGGTCTCGAGCCGGGTGATGATGCGGGCGAGCAGCCTCTCGATGCGGAAGGGTGGCAGGTTGTGCCGCTTCGAGAAGGCCGACAGGATGTGGTCGAGCGACGTGGTAGGCTTCCCGTTGGTGGTGTTGATCCCGATGCCCACCACCATCTGGTAGTTCCCGTTGCTGTACGCGCAGTTGGTCAGGATCCCGCCGATCTTGACGTAGTTCGGCTTCAGCCCGTCCTTGCCGCCGCTACCACTGTAGGGGTCCGCCGGGTCCTGCGCGTAGATGTCGTTGGGCCACTTCAGCCGCACCGGCAGGTCGGCGTACTGGCCCTTGGAGTTGCCGTCGTAGCTGCGCACCGCCTCGGCGATAGCTATGGCCGCCAGGTACTGGATGAAGACCACGGGTCGGTTGGCGCTGATGTGCGCCGGGTGGTTGATGACGGTCGAGAAGATCATGCAACCCGGCGGGGCGATCCATACGTTGGTCCCGCGCCCACGGCCCGCCACCTGCGTCGTCGCCGCCAGGGTGAAGCCCGTTGGTAGCTTGGAGAGTAGCTTTGGGTTCTTCTCGAGCAGCGTGTTGGTGCTGGTGACGACCTCGCCGTACATGAGGGCATCGCCCCACTCGTATGATTCGGTTTCGCGGCGCCGGAACTCTTGCAGCGAGCCGTAGAAGTCGTGGTGGTTGAAGTAAGGCGTCTCCTTGGGCTCCGGCCAGGAGGACTCATGCGGGACAATGGTTTTGAGTACTTTGTTGTAGTCGATGAGGCCGTCGATTCCAGTTGCCCTGGCGGGATCATACTTGGCTGTCTTGCCGTCGTTGTCGTCGACATGTGCTGATTGGAGTGCTTCGCGGAGATCATTCACAGACCAACGCGAGTCCGGATGCTCGATATAAAAGGTATCGTTATCGTCCTTAATTATTTCCTCGTTTTTCTCGTCTCGGGTAATGATATCGCTGAAGGATGTGACAAGGCCGCCAGCCTCTTGAGGGTCTAGAGCCGAAAGGTGGAGTTTGGAAAGAGACGGTACCGACGAGCCCTCGTGGCTGACTTGGAGACCAAGCTTGGTCAGACAGGCCTTGAGAAAATTGGTCCGGTGGTCGTCGTCCTCGGCCAATGACTTGATCAGCTCATCATATCCCTCGATGTCGGGGTGTGGCTCGAGATTGACCGCTGCGAACTCCGGATGAGGTCCGGTGAGAACAACACCGCCGTTTCCAACCTTACAATACACCACAGCAGCGTTGCCATCACCGCCGTCAACGTCCAGGCCGTCTTCGTAGCTAGCCAAGACTTCTATACCATCGTCCTTCATCTTGGACGCATCGACAAATACACCGCCGCCGTTGTAATACGACCGGAATGTCTCGGGTGACTCGCCCGCACCAGCTAGAGCGTCCTTGTCGACTCTGACCCTGACTGACCTTGCGCCGCTCTCACTGGCATACTTGAAACCCTTGAAGGCGCCGCCCCTACACGTGCCCGGGAAGAACTTAAGTTCCCGGCTGCCGATGACCTCCATGGCCCGGTCGGGGTGGCCGACCTCGAACTCGCAGCGGCCGCAGCCGTAGTAGCCGCCAGCGCAGAAGCCGAGGTACGCGCCGCCGCGACGGACGAAGTCAGTGATGATCTTGTTGCCGGGGCCATTGAGCACACGGCAGTAGTTGAGATCCGCACCTCCAGGAATGACGAGGAGGGCGGCAGTTGACGGCCATGGCTCCTTGAGGAGGGCGGACTCTGTCAGGGCGATGACTGCATAGTTGGGGGAGAGCAGGCGGCGCAGGGTGTAGATGCACTGCCTGACCGAGGCGACTGTTGTGCCAGTGCCTGAGGAGATGTGTCAATTCTGAGATAACGATGCATGAGAACGAATCATAGGTGACAGACCTGTGTAGACCAATACGTTCAATTTGCGTTGTGGTGCCATGGTCGGTCTGGCTCGGGTGAGATGAAGTGACAGTTCTGACCCTCTCAGCGCCAGAGAAGGGATCTTCTCCGGTTATGGTGCCACCAAAATTCGAAGTCCGTTTTCCCCTTCAACACATCAACACACTTCCACTCCAGGATGGGCAGCAACACATCAAAAGAGGAGGCCAATGCTGCCGTGGAACAGCCAAAGGAGGAAGATGATGAGCCAGATGAGTGGTGAGTCAATTCTATCTCACTAACGGGGATCACTGAGGCATTTCTCCAGACGAAGGCCAAGCCGTCCGTCAATCGGACTCGGAACCTCATGCCTCTCTCACACGGACTTTCTCTTTTGTCATCCAATCCCAAGTGCCGCAAACAAAAAAAAAGACTACTAATCTTCAGCCTTACTGCAGGGACAAGCGCATATTCAGCACTGGCTGTGCAGGTGATAAAGACCAGTCCTGCTCGGCAGCAATGCCGAAGACCATCAATTATTGGTGGACGCTGACCATAGTGAACCCATTTACAGAGGAAAACATGAAAATGACCGACTGTTACTTCGACAAGAAGGACTGGAGACAATGCAAGGACGAGGCAAGCTGTCACCACAATGTTCTCATCCAGAAGAGGCCATTTGCTAACCTCATCCTACATTGCACCGCTTCAGATGGAGACTTTCAAACGCTGTTGGAAAGCTCATGGCAACGACCAGAGGACCTCGACACAGGATGCCGACAGCAGTGCAAAATAACTAGACATGGACCAGTGTACCAAATACAGACTATCTCTTCTCATTCCCTCAAGTCAGACCAGATTATAAACATAAGGACATGCAAATAGTCACCCAGACCAGGTTGCCCGGCAAAGTGATGAAGCTCTCTCTCTCTCATTGCAGAAACGGGTCGATGATGCACCACCCCTGCACGGTCTGGACCCTTGCTGCCAGCCACTGCAAACCCAGCGTCCAAGCTCCCCATGTCGCCTCCACTTGCAGCAACCTCCAAAAAGTCCCAGTGTCTCGGGAATCCCATCTTCTTCCACCTCTTGCGCCTACCTAGTCTCTGTAGGCCACAATCTCTCCCTCAGTACCACACCCACCTCAGTCATGACACGAATAATATCATCGGCCATGCGCCCACTACGGCTCAACGGCAGCCGTGCGATTCGCTTTCGAGTCTCAGCAGAGCCCGCCCAGGTGCCATCGTTCGAGGCACGCAGAGCCGCCACCACATACACGAGGTCAACGGCAGCGCCAGCCTCGAAAACCCCACCGCCACAGACCCCCTACAAGCGATCCGCGACTACGTCGGCAGCGACGACGACAAAGAGCAGCAACAGCAACTCGACCGCAAAGCCCACCCCCTCTTCCTCAACCGCCAAGAACACCAACACCCCCTTCGCCGAGTCACAGACCAACCCGGCCCCATCAGCGCCGTACTCGCCGCCGCAAGGCATGAACTCCATCCCCGAGGCCCCGACCGCATTCTCCAGCCCTGTGTTCGCCACGCCCGCGGCGCCCTCGGGCGACAACGGCATCGACTGGTCGAGCTCCTTCCACGGGCTGTCGACGGTGCCCTTCTCGCCCGAGGTCGCCGCCGTGCTGATGAAGCCAATACCCTTCGAGGACGTCGAGATCAAGCCCGACGGCATCATCTACCTGCCCGAGATCAAGTACCGCCGCATCCTGAACCAGGCCTTCGGCCCCGGCGGCTGGGGCATGGCGCCCCGCGGCGAGCTGACGGTCGGCGAGAGGGTTGTCACGAGGGAGTATGCGCTGCTGGTGCACGGGCGGTGAGTTCTTTTCCCGGCATATAAAGGCCAATTCCTCTGGGACAAGCTCCTCTCTGGGCATGCCCCAATGTATACATGAAGACTGACATCCAACTCTGTATCGCAGATTCATAGCCCAGGCCAGGGGAGAGTGCCAGTATTTCGCCGACGACGGCATCGCCACCGCGGGCGAGGGGTGCAAGTCGAACGCGCTGATGCGCTGCTGCAAGGACCTGGGCATCGCGTCCGAGCTGTGGGACCCGCGGTACATCCGCGACTTCAAGAAGAAGTGGGCCCAGGAGATCTGGGTCGAGCACGTCGTCACCAAGAAGAAGAGGCAGACCTGGGTGCGCAAGGGGGACGACCCCGCGTATCCCTTCAAGAAGAGCTGAGAGGCGGGGAGAGGGTCACCGGAAGGCTTTCGAAAGTGAGTGGTGAGGAATAGCGAGGTGGGAAAGAGTGCTTGAGGAGCACACAGGTTGACTTGTGTGTGCTGCAGACATACAAGTTGGCCTACAAAGGTGCTCTATATGGCTGGAAGATACCCTGCGCAACATGAGCACATGTAGACAAGAGATACCAGAGACCAGAGTGTGGTAGCTGGCTGGTTCTCACTGTAAAAACAGACGTGGCGGACCAATAGACTGGGGCCTCCTAACATACGCCCCTCTAGAGATGATTTGGGAACACTCAGGAGCAGCAACACAGACGCGGTTGGCATATAGCAAGCCTCAGGACAGAGGCCCGACAGTTGCAGTGGGGTTGCCTTGCTAAAGTCTACCGGATATCATGTTATATCATAATCCGTATCCCTCCAAACCCATACAAGACAAAAGACCAAGAAAACGCCATTGGTAGCACAAAGCTTTCTAATCCGACTTATTCTTCCCAGCATCCGACGAGGACGCGCTCCACCCCCAAGGCAGCCACGACCCGCCCGACACAGCCGGCGTCGGCTGTGCCGACCCCTCGTTGTTGTCCTCGGCACCGCTCTCGGCCTCGATCTTCTCAAAGTCGACCTCGCTACGGCTCTTGCTAAGACCGCTCTTGCCGCTAGATGACGTCGTCGGCCTGTCGTTGCTGGACTGGAGCCCCTCTAGATTGATGTCCTGCGCGCTGCCGCCGGCGGCCGGCGCGGCCGCTGCCCCGGACCGCAGCTGGGCTGCCTCGCGGTCGAGTGCGCTGAGGACATAGTTGAGCCGCTCGCGCTGTGCGGCGAGGAAGGTCATCTTGTCGGCGTCGCCCTGGATGGTAGGCGGCACAAGCGTGCCCGACGCGGACATGTCGCCTGTGGGGAAGGCCCCGACGCCAGGCCCTCTTGTTGCGGAAGCCGCCTTCGTGCCCGTAGCCGCCGTGCTATCCGAGGCGACCACCGCAGCCGTGGCCGCGTTGACGGCGTTGGAGAGGAAGCTGTAGAAATCTGACCCCGCGTTGCCGGCGTTACCGGACCACTGGGCCTGTGGGAGCTGAAACCTGTCGAGCAGGGCTTGGGTGTAGCTGCGTGGGCGCTGCGACGCGGGTATGTTGCTCTCGGCCTTCGCGGCGGCCGGGTTGGGCGGCAACCCGAGGACTTGTGTCCTAACAGCCTCGATGGCGCGCTTGAGGTAGGCGATGCCCGCAGCCTTCATCTTATCGTGGGTGGTGGCGATAAGCTCCTCGATCTGTGATTCATTCTCTTCTAGATAGGGGTGGATGTAGGTTGTGTAGATGATGCGCGCGCCTTGGGTCTGGGGGAGGACGAGGTAGAGGAGGAAGAGGAGGCGGATGTACGAGTACAGTGGGATCCTGTGCAAGACAGATTGTTAGTATCTTCAATCTTCAACCCATGAAGAGGAATCTAGGTCGTCCAGGACGTACCAGACGAGAAACCATTCTGTCCAGCTCTCAACCAGGAGTGCGCACGCCAACACGACCCAGTACATCAGCCATGGTGTCAGCTGGGCGGGATCGGAGGTCTTGAGCGCTTTGTAGGATGCGAAGAGGGGGAAGAGGAAGGAGGTGATGGACGACAGCAGCTTGGCGAATATGTCGAACATGGTCACTGATCGTGGAGGCCAGTGTGTGGGCTGTAGGATTGTTTGCACAGATGCGAGTCGATGTCGAGGAGGGAGAGGGAAGGGGATAGACAATAATTGGGAAGGAGACCCCAAACGGATGGAGGGGCGCGTTCACAGGACGACGTGGGGCTCATCCACGGACCCGTCAGCGGCACGAGGACAAAGCAGCTGCCCTGGACCCTGCCTACAGCTCTAAGTTCGTGCAACGCGGGGGACTGTGGGCCGGCTCCAGCCGTTTTCTGTTGGTTACTAGACTATGTATGGTGTTTGGTAGTGATTGTCTGTTACTAGCAAATGAAAATAGTTTATGTATGCTATTGTTCTTGTTTTTCATAGTCAGCGCACAGCCTTGTTCTCTTCCTAGTGGACGGTGCCTCTCATGCCTCCCAGTATCATCTGGCGCACGGTAACATCGAGTGAGTGCAAAGCGAAAGGGTCTCACCTGCATCCGGCGAATCCCACTTAGCGCGTGCCTTCCCGCCAGGCCCGCGTGTGCCGTCTGTAATCGATAAGCCCTACGTCATGCGTCGTGTGCTCGGCTCGCCGTCAGGCCCGTTCGTCGCGCTGAGACAGGGATCTTAATGGCCCCTCGAGACGTCCTTCTGTCAATCAATACGATCGCGGGGCAAAAAAAAAGAGAGTCATTGACCTGTGGAGAAGTTCCGTCTTGGAAAGCAATGGTTGATCGATGAATTTATCTCACACTACTATGAGGACAGATTGCATTGGCCGTACATCCTTCCCTCTAATGACGCGTCCTGTTGATCCACGAAATAATCATTCCGACTTCCTACCAGGCACCGAGCAAATATCTAGCAGGCACATCATATGTGTAAGTCAACGTGGCCTGTGTGCCTGCTGTTCAGGCAGCAAGATTTATAGAATCCACGTGTTATTTATGCTCAACTTTGTGATGTTGAGTAAATTCTCTTTTCTTTCTTGGCTTTCTTCTTCTTGGTGACCACGGTGTCCTGGCATCCCGCTCATTTGTTCTGCCCAGAAGGCCTCATCCCCTTCTTGTTATGCTTGGACACTATTGCAAAACAGAAGAACGAGATCATACTAGTACAGAAAGAGCAGCTTATAAAAACTATCATCTTCAACACAAGATAAATATACAACGAATTTATGTTAAAGAAGTGTATTGGAGAACCAGATAGCTGACGGCCTCGGGGGTTATATATTCCGGCTTTAGCAGTAGTTGCTTGGAGGAAGCAAATCCAGATTTACTTCCAGCCTTCCACAAGTCGACATCTTACACCTTATCACCCTGGTAGAGTAGCTGTCAAGACGGACCTCTTCTTGTCACTACCGTAGGCACTTCGGTGAGAGCTTCAAGTTCTTCAAAATCTGGCTTTGAATTACTGTTCTTGATGATACGTTGCGTATGAAGCTCATGGACTTCAGGAGGTGAGTACCACCATGAACTATGCGTCCGTCGCCTTCCTCGCCTTCGGCTTTATCTCGACAGGCCGGAACTTCGTCTGGGGCTACTCAAAACTATGCCTGATTAACAATTTGAGCGGGACTGGCCTTCATTCTTTGTCTTTTTTCCGCCTAGCCTCTGCTCGTCCTCGTCCCTGGACAAATAAAGCCGCAAATTCGAGCGCAGATTGATAAGCAGGTCGCTTGCCCTTCTCACTAGGGGCGACCTTGTCCGCATTCGCGAGGTTCTGAGATCGAGGTTTCACTGTTTCAGCAGGGCCGCTGAGGTATGACTTTGTTGCGTCCAGCCAGTCAACGACCATCTTGTGAGTGGGCCGGGGACAGTCGCAGGTCTTCCACCTCTCGCCACACTGAGAGCAGAATATAGCACCGCAAGGACTTCAATAAAAGTGGTCAATAACAAGCTATCCGGGCGGGACTCTTTAAACATACCAAGCTGCATATTCTGCCACAATTTCGACCGGCCCTTCGCAGTTGAAACACCTTTGGCAAAAAGGATTCTTCCTTTGGAATACCAATACGTCAGGGGAGCAGCATCTTCTCCCACAGTGCGCAACCACGTCGCTGGGCGGTTTCTCCGTCCATATCCATTTACTTGAAGGCAGTCGACACACAGCATTCACAGTGAGTTTTGAATCACCGCGGAAAGCCTTGCGTTCCTTCTCGTGCTCCTTGCTCATACGAATTATATCGTCGATCTCATGTTTGGTCAGACGTTTGTGAATTTGGATATAACTACCCTAACCACTCTGGCGTTTAGCAAATTGAATGTTATGTGGCTATTGTTTACAATTGAGGCTGCTAAAGACTCACAAAATCCTTGTAGCTGTAGTCGAGTTCGTTCACCAGTATGTGTTTAGAGACAATTTTAGAACGGATGTTCGTGATCCTCTTGCCACGGCCAATGCCGTTATCATCCAGTGCGGGCGATATGGGGCGAGCTTCTTTTGGCACTATGTCGTGTTCAGGGTTGGTTTTGGACTTCGAAGCGGGACGATCTGTTTGTAACACGGCTCTTGAAGACACGCTGGATATGATGTGCTCGCGTGGTGAAGGAGAATGATCGACCTGGTCTTCATTATCGGTTCTGGTTCTGGCTGGTTTCTTGCGTCCCTTTGGCAAAGTTGTTCGTGGACGGAGTTTTGGTGCGCTGGTCTCTCCCGGTCTTTTCATGTGCTCTGAATCCTGGTCTTGAGTGTCCTTCTTAAACTTCGAGGTTCGATGATGAATTGGCTTTGACACTTTGGGTTTTGAGGATCGAGAACGTGGGAAATCCAGTGTACATGTCATTGATGATGGGGCAACAGCCTCGACCGAGGAATTATCCTCATCATGCGGTTCTGCTTCTGTTTCTCGCAGTTCCTGTTCATCAGGAAGATTTTCGGTGCTACCCTCACTGCTGTGCTGAACCAAGCTCGCTGTTGCGACGTCGGCGGGTAGTTTTTGGAGGAATGTACTGTCGCAAGCGACGGAACTCGAATCCTCATCAGCATCTTCAACATAGGCCTGGTGTTTTCTTGAGTCTACTACATGCGTCGTTGTGGTAGAAGACTCTTGGGGCAGACACGTTCGATCCCGGTCTTCCACTGGCGTCTCTATCTGGTCGAACTTGACGGGTAGATCGGAAGGGACTTTCAACCTGGCGGTTTCGATGTCTGATGTCCAATTTGCGGCTGGTTGTGTAATATCTTCACACTGAGGAGTGAAGATCGTCAATACAGTCGTGTCCTGGACACTGTCCACACCGTCGCGAGTAGACTTATTGTCCTCTTCCGTTGTGAGCCATGGGTGCTTCAGAGCCAACTCTGCTGTCAGTCGCTCTAGAGGCATTGGATTCATCATTGACTGGATAAAATCTATCCCTAATTCACTAGTATTGACTTCGTTCAGAGCTTCCTCGGGGAAGGGGATGCGGCGGGCCGCATAATCCACGAGCTTGAGATAGGTGTCAAATACTCCTTGGTCAGTGAGGGCGTGGAATACGGTTTCAGCCAAGCACCAAATGTCTGAGCAGAAGCGATCAGCTCGTTTGGGGTCCTCTCTAGTGAATCCAAGAAGCTCAGGGGGTATAAATCCGGGCGTGGCCCGTACGGTGCTTGAGCTGGTGATTTCTTCTGTTCTTTTGCTCAGCCCCAGGTCGCCAAGTTTAACCCACCAATTGGCTGGTGGGGCACTTTTGATGAAGATGTTCTACCGAATTCCATTTAGTGGTGTCGTTTTAGCAATATGGTTGTAGACAAGTCCATACTTACCGCAGGTTTGATATCCCTATGAGCAAAGCCAGCTTTATGCATGAGACTAACGCCAACCAGCAGCTGGCGGGCGATATCCTGTACCTCGCCCTCCGGTAGCCTGCTATGTTTGCCCAAATAGTGCCTTAGGTCTCCGTATTCGCAATATTCCATCACTGCGTGTAGCCAGTCGGTGCTCTCGAACCAACCGTGAAATTGAACAAAGAACTCGTTGTACTGCAATAGCCAGACAACTCAGCATTCATGACTCTGAAGTGACAAACCTGGGTCTACATGGATGCATACCTTGGACTTATTGGACGAGAAAGTGGCCAAAGCCTCGAGCTCGCGCACATAATCCCTCCGTTTCAGAGAGGAATGGATGCATTTGACCGCACGCAATTCAGCGGCATCAGAAGCGCTCCGACGGCCATCCAGTTTTCGCTCAAGCCAAACTTCTCCGAAACCTCCGTGTCCAATTTTCTTTTCTCTTATCCATGTTTCTTGTTTCTGCGACCCTTGACGTGGACGCAAGAGCTTGTGAACGGTTCGTGTGTGCTTGAATACAGCTTCCAGTTGTAGATGTCGGACAAGTTCTGGCAAGTCGTCGGGGTCGGTCATTTGTTATTGAAGAGGTGTGAGCGCTGGTCTTGGGTGTGGGGAGACATTCGTTCGGAACGATGTAAATATGGTTTCGCTAGGGTATTTCAGTTGATTTCTTTGAGACCCAGCATGGAAGCTTCTGGGGAAACGTGGTATGTTGACTCCCCTCCTCAGCTGACACTCGCCTTCCTATTCAAGATCGAGGGGTTGGTAGTGTCACGTGGATCATGCATGTCAAACCTGATCTGTAAATGATGTTGAAGGAACCAATACTCGGGCAGATCCATCGAGGTCTTATCTTGGTCTTTGCGCCGCTAGTTGATCACCTTGGGCTTCGCTACGGACGAAGAAATAGCTTCCTGAATGCTACAGGAAAAGAGGAACAAAAGTCTTTGTTTCCATTTTATTTCATGGCACAGTGTCTTCGAATTGAGTACTGGACATGTGAAGCTCTAAATTTTGGTACTTGCTTCACTGCGTGGAGCCAATCAAAACAGCAACACATCCGCCACGACTACAGGATTCCCCCAACTGCATTTCTATCTATCAGTGACCACGGATCGCTCAGAAAAGCGAAGCAAGCATGTCAGCTGAGCTAGCTTTGGCCATTGTTGCTACCGTTGATCTGTGCCTGAAGTCCGTTCAAATCCGTCCCGTCATTATGCGGACTCTGAGCTGACCACTATCGGCCAACCAGGTATGGGACAGAATTGAAGCAAGTATGCACTACGCTTGGAGCTGCCAGTAGTGAGGTCGCAGAAGCAGTACTGAAATTGGAGAACGGGTTGTTGAGGTTTCAACAACAGCTTGACTTCTCACAGCGAATCCGGCACCTCATGAGCCGACAGCACCAAGAAATATACGATAGGAGCCTGGTTATGTTTCAAAGCAAGCTGGAAATCCTGAAGTCCATCCTTCAAAGCGCTACGTCTCCTACTGATGTGGATGGTCTCGATAGACTGAAGTACCTTTGGAAGAGGAACGTCATCACAGAAGCAATTCAAAACCTCGAAACCTGGCAGGCCCTTACGGACCAAACATGGTTCTTGTTCATGACCATAGTGGACGCGGGTGTCGACGATGCCTTAACCATGAAAGACTCAAAAGTCCTGAGCATTATACCGTCTGCATCAACAATTAGATCTTCCTGCATGCTGAACAAATCCCTAAGCGGTGCTAAATTAGTTCTGCCGCATGGAGAGATCGAAAAAATGGAAGTATCCGATATAGCCTTCTCAGACGTCAAGCTAGCCAAAAGGGACAGTTCATCTGGTTCATCTTCTATCTATATTCTCAACGAAATCAGTGGTCTCCAGTCTCCGCCTGGATCATACTTTTCGAGATACACGATTGCCAAAGAGGACTCCGGCCAGCTTGCAAGCAGGCTACAGCACAATGAGCCGGAAAAATTCGGACTTCTCACTTGCAAAGGGTTCACCTTATCTGGCACAAAAGCAAATCCAAAGATTACCTTGGTGCTAAGAACACCGCCTGGTCTTCTTCCATGTCCGCGAAGCTTGCGAGATCTGTTGCTCAGTACGGAGCTTCCAGGGTCTCTTACCCAACGTCTTGATATTGCCAAAGGTCTGGCAAATGCAGTTGGCTACGTTCACGTCTTTGGCTTCGTTCACAAAAATATCCGTCCAGAGTCGATCCTGTGCTTCAATCGACCAGATGGAGAAATCGCGTCCACCTTCCTTGTTGGTTTCGAGCTCTTCCGCAGAGACATGGGCTGGACCCAGAGGTTAGGCGACACTGCGCCCGATAAAAATCTGTATCGTCATCCATCCCGCCAAGGGATTGATCCCGCATACAATTATACAATGCAGCACGATATATACAGTCTTGGCGTCTGTCTCCTGGAGATAGGTCTTTGGAAAAGCTTCATTGACTACACCCCACCAGGTACGCGTCTAGCAGCCCTGGTGTCAGATGCTTTACAATCTCCAACTGGCGTCAACGACCAGCAGTTGAATGTAAGGCTTTCAGTTGAAGGGAAGGAGAGGCTGGTTTGCCTAGCACGTGAAAAGCTGCCCCAATTCATGGGGACCAAGTACTCCGAGGTCACAATAGCCTGTCTGACATTCATGGACAAAGAGAGCCCAGAGCCCAGCGACGACTTGGAACCTGGGGATGACAAGGAAGTTCTTATTGGTGTACAGTACATTGACCAGGTCAGTGAACCATTTCCACATGAATTCAAGCCATCAGACAGAACCATGTCACTGATCCGTCCCAGATTCTTCTTCTCTTAAACACGATAGTCATGTGAGGTGCAACTTGGATGTCAAAGACTGATACATTACATCGATTCTGTGCAATTCGAGATACAGGTGTAATATACGTCCCTCCAAAATGCTGCCGGGAGAGCATTCGTTGCTCGCGATCGGGGTGTTACTCAGGGTCGGAGTTTGTTGGTCTGCTGAAGGTGTCGTCCTCTCTGGATAGCCGCTCGCCACATAGAAAGATGCTGAGGCAGCCATATTCACATGCTCTTTGTATTCAATATGTGATGTTGAATCAAGACTTGCTGATAATGATCACACGTCTTAGCCTCCCTTTCATTTAATTTATCTATCAAAGTACATATTGGGCCTCATATCCTCTGGGCTGGGCTTCCGCCATCACAATTCAAAATCAGGAGAACAAAGTGACATAAACGAGTCATCAGTCGACCTAGCGAAAAGACTCTTCGTTAAGCCAAAGGCAGTAAATTGTTGTACTGCCCCGTTTGAGACAAATCTTCAAGAGCGTCCAGTAGAAAATAGGCCACGGAATGAGGAACAGGAAGTTGAGATTTTCATAAGAAATTAGTGGGAAAGCCGAACTCAGTTTTAGCCATACGCTAAAGTGAGGTGGGAGGCATAAGGTCTCCAAGATCCATTTCAGCCCGCCGCCAAATGCATAGTTCCGTCTGCCCAAGTACAGATGGAGTAGCGAAATGTCTCAGCTAATTTCAATTATCGAATAACTTATTTGGTTGACATGAGGCCTGAATGTCTTCACCCCATCTACTCTGGGAAGAAGATCCAGCACAATGAGAAAACACCATCGGGCCAATTCTTCCCCCTCTTGAACTTCCTGCCAACACAACCGTTACCAATCATAAGCTGCACATCTCATTCAGCTGACCACAATTTGGAGGATCCAAGTAGGATCTTTACACCGTCGGAACCATTTCAGTGGTCGCATATATCCCGGCTTCCGACTTCGGTTGCGAAAGCCTGCATTCTCTTGCAACCTTTACTCCCCTACTGAGGATGTAGCGACATTGAGCGATGGTTCCAATCACAGTCCCAGAGGTAATTGATTTGGTATCCATCGTCTTGAAACGAAGAGTCCCTGTAAAACTCGATTGAGCCGGGGAAGGGATCACCCAAATCCACTATCCAATTCCAGGTCTTGCAGTAGGTGTGGCATTCCGATTCCTCTTTCCCGTCCCTCCAGAGTGAAATAAAGTCTCTAACACGGTCGACCGTATTGGAATCTTTGGAGGGGATGTCGAACGTCACGCTGCATTTAGATTCCAGAAGATCGCACGATCGGCCACGGTCGCAGTGGTCGTGAGAAGGCTGTGTGAAGTGAATCGTGAGCCTGCTAATCTGTGGGAAGAACCGCGGGATTGGGTGTTCAACTGCAGTCCAAACATTGAATGTGCGCCAGAAAAACAGCCACCGGGCTGGGTGCCTGAATGCAAGCTCAGTCCTATCTCCGAAGACATCCTCTTCGTCAGTGTCCTCCTCTTCGTCAATGTGCTCTTCGTCAGTCTCATTGTCGCTGGCCTTTTCTTCGTGGGCAACAAAGCACTGTGCTTGGAAATGTAGGTGTGCGGCCTGGAAACTATCAACAGCAATGTTCCGGACCATGGTGAGGCCGTTTAGGCCATCCAGAGCGTCTGATAAGAGATTCAAGCGGCATGGCCAGTCCACGAGGAACACATCGTGCTCTGTGCTCCACCAGAAACCTCCATCGTTGACGTTTTTGAAGATGAAATTTCCCCGATCCAGGATGAAGGCTCGACTTTCTTGGCAGATCTGCGACAGAACTGGCTGCTTTGGGTGGTCGTCGAACTCAAGGCGTGGTTTCTGTGCATCGGGGGTTTGCTGATCACTTGTGCCTTTGATTTGTGCTCTCAAGATTCTCCGATCAGGAAGCAGCAGCTCCCAGATAATTAGGCGAATCTCGGGTGGAAGCCCAAAGAGACCATCAGAATGCTCCGATACGCTGCTGGAGGAGCTCTCGTGATTCGAGATTGAGGTGTCGCTTGGGGCCGAAGTTTCTTGGTCTCCGAAAGGAGTCGCCTTCTCTGCATCGCCGCTGGCCATTGTGGAGAGGACCAGGCAGCTAGACGAGTCAGCATAGAGCACAGTGGTCAAGACAGGCGAGCATGGAAGGCCTCGGTCAAATGGCTTACTGCAACTGATGCCCTTGCAAGAAAACCTTGCCCAAATGTCGATGGGAAGCCTGTGTTCTTGAGGTTGCCTGCACGATCAAATGCTGGATGCCAACAGACGCGGCGCACGTTTGACCCAAACTGCCAGGGGCGTTGGTAGTAGCCTAAGCGATATGACGCGATGCGACAAATTGTGCTCTCGTCGCAGAAGCCTGTTGCGAAAGTGGAAGGAGTGACTTGGACTTGTTGCTGATCGCTCAGATGTAAGAGGTCTGGTGGATCAAAACGACGCACGACCATTGGGGGTTGGAAGGTGGGAAGGGCAAGTCAGTCAAGAAATTGTGCATGATAACATTACTGAGATTCACACCAAATCAAGGTAAGTCCTGTGTGCCTCCGATAGTATTCAATATGCTGTCGAAACGGTACTGTAAACGGTGCTATGGAGCCACGCAGAACTATGACGTGTAATTATTGTACACATAGACCTTTGGTTCTCAGCCATGTTATTTGAATTACTCCTTCATTGCGCATCGTACTCATTCTAATCCTGCCGACGAGACATTCAGAAGCAGGTGTTGACAATAAATTATCTGAGAAAAGCATAATCCATCTATCCTGGAAGGATTTCTGACCATTGAGACCAAGGCTGCCGTTCGGGAAGCCCAAGTCTCACCGTTGGTATATTTGCCAGTTCAGGTCCTCGTACACCTCCTCATCCGTGGGTTTTCGTCGCCTCCAGGTCTCATCAATCCAGTTCTTGAGGTCTTTCGGGCGCTCTTCGCGCTTGGCGACTACACGATGACGGAGCTGTTGGTGCTCCCCCAGTGTATTTGGTCGCCGATACCCAACGTCTATCTCATCTAGCCTCGCCATCAAGCCGTCCTCGGATAGCTCAGGAGCATCATGCTCAATCTCGCGCAGCGCCTCGGCAAATTCCAGAGCAAATTTCACGGGCCCTGCACTCCTCATAATCTTCTGCCTCACCAGGCCGCTCCGCAGTGAGAGCCACAGGTAGCATGTGAAGCAGCAAGCCATCCACGTAGCCTCGAAAGCGAGCCCCAATCGGACCAGGTAGCTTGAGAATCCCCAGACATAGCCCTGTGCAGTATTGCATATTGCCCTTCCCTCGCCCAGCAGTTCAAGGGAAATTGGCTGCCCCTTATAGCAAACGCAATTACCCAGGCTCGCGAAGCCGCTGCTGCCGGAACAGTTGTGGCCGATGTCAACAAAAGGAGCAGATAGCGAAATTGCGCTGCCGTTCAGCCATATTGTCGAGTTGTACGGCATCTGTCCTGGAAGTAGCGCCTCGCCCGATACGTTGCCGAGAGAGAAATGAGCCCAGGACATTTGTTCGGGGACTTCGAATTCGAGCGCCAACTGCGAGTCCGCTGGAATAGGTGTGGCCTGGGGCGACACGACCTGGGCAGCATCCAGGGAGGGATTGAGGCCCGAAAAGTCCCTGAACGTGCAAGTTTTGTTGCTGTTGATCCACCAATCGAGTCTGATGCCACCCTGGTCAACGACTTCAGGTCGTAGGGCCGCTTGAGAGCCATTTACAAGCCATCCTTGGGGATGAAGAGAGATTTGTAAGAGCTGCTTCGTTATGGCGTCTACAGTGCGGCGTCAGCAGAGTGTTCCAGCGTTCCGTGCAGATACAAGCCGCCACCCACAAGCTCGAATGCTCTGGAAGTTTTCAGAACTATTTTTCACGTTATTTGAACCATTTATCAGCCCGAAATGGTCCCATATAGTTGTCGCCGTATTGACCTTCCAGCCGCCGGACGTGTAAAGTAGCCGCCGGGGAGGGAGATTAGTCCCCATGATATCTCCAGTAGAGGACTCGTTGATGCAGGGTGTTTTGTCGGTGTAAGTAAAACATCTCGCTAAAGAGTCTAGAGTGGAGAAGTCCGGGCCGATTTCGACGTGGTCGTCCGGCGAGTCGAACCTGCTGCCATCCAGCACCCAGCATAGGGCCAGATCGCGCGTATCCAGTGGGACGATGTTTCCGTCTGGCATGGCGTATAATCGATGAGAAAGGCTGAGTAGCCCGTTGCAGTGCTCCAAAGAAGAGAGAAGAGGAGGGTGTAGCCGAGGGCGTAGATGAGCAGAATGGTGCAATAGAAATTAGTGAGTCCCTGCACGAAAAGAAAATCCTTGAGGATCCCACAGAGCGACTCGAACGATGCTCGCGACCAAGACACAGTAAGGTAGTACCTGCAAGTGACATGATAATGCTCCATGGCATAGATCAGCAGGCGACGCATGACACAACGATACAGGATCCAGCCATGGAGCAGTCTGCCACCTTGGCCAACGGTCGTATCCCACGCCACATCGATGAGTTTCGCTTGGGTGAAGGTGAAGTTGCCGAAGGTGAGGTCCAGATTGAAAGCCTGCGCAATGCCTGGAGATCCAGAGTCACCAAGTTTGTCAATGCAGCCAGGGTCGAAGATATCCGAATAGGAACGGGACAGCCTTTTTTCATTAGACTGAACCAGCTCACTCGAGACGGCAAAGCCGATAGTGCACAATAGAAAGAGTCCTGCGAAGCCTTTAATCTGCTTATGGGACAGTTGAGGGTCTTCGCTTGTCCGTTCTGGCGAGTCATCTCGAAGTGACAATGGTGTAGCCGGCGAGGCTTGTGCAACGTCGACAGCAGGAGTAACATCCCCGCTTGTGGGCTCTGAGACTGCTTCTGCACATGGAGAGGCTTCGACGACGTTGCGCGGTTTTGTGGATCCTGAGCCCAAACGCCTCATTCGGATGGCGGGAGGTAATGCCATAATTGATTTTGGCATGATGATACTCCACAAAGTGGTTATTAGAAAAGAGGTGAGGTCTGAGTCCTGCGGCTGACGCGCTGATATAGATATAATATATGTCCAGGCAGCTGAAACTCTGGTCCCAATTCGATATGAAATGTCGCACGCTGTGTAACGAGGAACTCAGCCAGGAATTTTCGTGCAGATATATTGCAGAAGCCCAATCATAGCCATTCTGTAGGTTTGTCTGTGGCTAGCTTTTTTTGCGCTCCACAGTAAGAGACTTTCTTGCACCAGTCACAAGTCAGAAATGAAGACCACGGGCGTCAACCTATGTCTCCAGCTCCTCATACAGACCAGTGTGGCATCCGACGTATGCTAGCATTGCATAATTCGTTGCCTCTCTCCGTAGTGAAGGTTGTACAAATTCAATGTAGATACGGCTTACGTGGTGTGCATTCCGGCCCTTCTATTGCAATCGCAGAGTTGTGTTGGCGCCATGACTTCCATATCCTCTAATTGAGGAACTCTGAGAAATCAGTCCATGCGAGAAGTGTGCGCGATGTTTCAGCCACCGAGTCGGTCTCCAGCATGATAACGAGGATGATAATCAGCACACTAGGGTAAGTTATGATCCAAGCAGGATCCTAGAGTTAATTCCACCACTCAGTCACACCAGCGACCTAAGATTTGTCCGCCTTTCAAGGAACGCAAGGAGTGGAAGACGGATGCGACTGACCAAGCCTGGAATGCTTGTATTTGAGTGGGCATATGACCAGAGTTCTAGCTACACGAAGGGCCCAGCGGACACCCTTTCTATATGTCTACTCAGTGTTTGTGCCTACATCCCCTTTACTGCCATAGCCAGGGTGTTTGACGTGTAATGAAGTTGATAATGTTCTTGAGTGAGGATCAGACGGGGAGCCTGCTGTCGGGCCTCAACGCTAACAGACCCAGCACCGTGGACAGGGTGACCGGAACGGCCGAGAAGACAGGTCGTGCGAGCATCTGAGAGGGTTTCTACTCCGACGCACTCTGGTTTCACCAGTGGAGGTCAGTCGAGGTGCTTTTAAAACAGCCCATATCTTCTGGCCAGGAGAGCCTATGAGATTGGGGACAGGTCAAGCGAAGGTGAGAACCTTCGCAAGCCTTGAAGTGGGCTTCCAAACGAGCCACTCGTTCTATCAACACCGAGTTCTCCCGGATTATATCTATGTCCAAGAAATCAAATTGCTCGTTCTCATAACCGCTGGGAACCCATAATCCAGGTATAAGCAAATTAGAAGGCGGATGTTACATAGAGCAAGGAGCGGATAAATAACCCAAGTGACGAGGTAAACAGTACTCGAGTGCTAAACACAAACACTCACACGTCTCTTTTGCGTGATTTTCTCTGTCTGCAGGAGGTGCCACGCAGTATCATATGGCTGCAATAAATACGGTGACCCACACGCTGCCACAAAACCTTCCCTCCAGAACTCACTCAATTATATTACAGGAGCGAACAAAGCAAACTCCCAGACTGACAGCTGCAAATAATCATCATGATGCAGAACAAAAAGGGCTGAGAGAGCAAAACGGCCCACATGTGAGATACGGCTGTAGCATGAATGAGGTCAACAGGTGCCCAACACAAAGACCATTTGACTCGCAGATAGAGGAAAAAGCAGATGAGTATGTATATATTTCAGTGGTTTCGCCAATGTAGTACAAGTGCATTCTTGCCAGTACGTGAGTTAGCATCAACGGGCTTCTGAAACAGCAATTCCGAATGATGAACAGAGTACATGGGCACACAAACAACTATTCCTGTCTGTGACTGTTACCACGATGAGATCAAGTGCCTGTGACAAACAGCTAGAGCATGGTGAGCCACAGGAGCCTGACACAACGAGCCCTTCACATCATAGACAATAAAGCAGTATAAATGTTTGGTCTACGAGCTGCTTAAAACCAAATTGAGTCTTCTTGCCCACCATACAAAGCTCTGGTCTTCATAAGACTTCAAAACATTAAGCTGTTCTTGCCATTCGTCATTATTGCAATAGCCAAAACGTCAGAAAATCAATCACCATGGATGAGGCGATCGCGCAAGAGGCTGAGAACATCGAGGATCGAGGGCTTCCTGGGAAACACGACCCGAACTTACGCAATGATATCCTTGGACTGTGGCAACAAGCTACCAACTGGTACACTCTCACAGAGCTGAACCGGCGATACCTCGAAGGCAGACTGGCCCTCTGTCCAAGCTATGATTTTCCTGTTGAGCCGGAGACTGAGTTCTTTTCAAGACTTCTTGAACTTCACGACTATGGACTTATTTCAACAAACTCATGCCCAGGAACAGGTCCCGAGGACACGGAGCGAAGCCAACGTGCCTTCTTGTTCTTCAACATTCCAACTCGTGGACTGGCAGCAAGATCGCCTCACGCATTGTTCAACTTCATCCAAGCTCTGGTTGCTTCTACGGAGGTATATGCTCACGTCCGATTCCAATACTACAATGCACCGTATGGGATTCAACGAGACGCAATCATCGATGGCCTGATGCAACGTGGAAGCTACAATAATCTTCCAAGAATCAATGATGATGCGTGGAGGGGGGAGGGGTGGAGTTATGACCAGGACGATCAAGGTCACGCATGCACCCTCAATTTCGTGCAAGCAGTGTCTCTCAATGAACACGGGAGAGGTATTGAGGACTCCAGGATCCAGACGTGTGGCTCAAGCTTCAGAGATGATCAGAGCCCGATCTCAGCCAGCCACAGGGCTGATCCTCTACAAATCTCCGTAGTGGCCAGGGACTGGAACTACACAGCAATCGGGGAGTTGCTCGAGTGTCTCTTAAGAGACTCAGGAATTTTGCCCGCATACAGTCGATGAAGCAACAAACAAGTCCCATCCACAACGGCAAAGTGAACAGCTATGGCAGTCACTGGGGGGTCAAGTGAATAGGGGGTACGTATCTTACGTGCGTCTTTAAAAAGGGTGCCCAGGATCCCTTCTGCACTCAGAACTTAGCCGTACGCCCACGATACAAACGATCGCAGTATTGCCAGACCCAATCGATCCTGCCACAACACGGTACCACTTCAGCAGCATTGAGAGCAGCATTGAGAGCAGCATTAAGAGCCACAGTGCCGTGTAGATTAAATCAAGCTAGGCGCAAGGGTTCCAGGCGCCAAAAGTGTAAGTCACATACATCACGTACCGACAAGGGCGATGAGGCGATAAAGCTAACTCGGAGAAGCCACCACATCGCTTTTAAGAGAGGTTTTTGGAATGTCCTATATTTTTAGAACGAGAGTGTTTCGTAATGAGAACATTTTGGAGCGAGGAGTCTTGGAAGGAGGTAGTTTTGGAGTCAGTTATTATTGGAATGCAAACCTCGTGTATACTAGACATTGGCCCGTAACTGCCTGCTATGTGTACTGCTGAGGTTGCCCTTTGCGTTGAAGTTGTAGGTGCCATTGGCCAACTGACCCTCGTCTGTGATGGCCACCTTTGTTCTCTCCCAGGCCAGCTTGGCGGCCGAGTCACTGTCCAACGCGGTCGACTGCTCGTCGTCCCGTGCCTGCTGGTCGAGCCGCTGCTAGCTTTGGCCTCTGACAATGCGGCGTGGATTTAGTTGGCCTTAGTTAGGATTGTGTACGATAGTATGAGGTTCCTGTCTTTATGGGGACCGCGCAGGGCGAGAATTGCGCTCTGCGCTCACCGGTCGCCCGTTTATATCAGGTCTGTCGCATGCGGTTCTGGCCGATCACACGCCGACTTTCACCTACCAGAAGGTGAGGGAGAACGTGGCTGAGCAGGGCCATACTTTTAAGCACGACATCCTACTGAGTCAGCTTAAAAATGAAATCACTCTACAGAGATCTTCCGAGTAATCACCATGTTAAATTCATGTAGTGCTGAATTGTGCATCAGGAGAGACAATTGCAGTAAATATAATTTTTATTATGGGCAGTCACGCCGACCTATTTCTGTTAGAGTGACTGTTATCGGCTGACAACGCGGTGTCACTGCCTGCCTGATATCCAGATGATGTGTGTGAAGCACTGTGGTCCGTACAAAACCCCGTCGACCATGGACCCAGCCTCCGGAGGCGCCGGGTACATGTGACCAATGCATGAGGGAATTGCAGGTGGCCCTGGACTTTGCTCCCAATTTTCCGACTGAGCTCAATCCCCACAATGGGTGCAGTGATTCCTTCTCTCGTTCGCCAGATCACTCGTATAGGAGCGACATCTATGATTTTTCTGCTCAGGTTTTCTTCTCCCTTCCCTCTCCCCGCTGGCGGCGGGTGAAACATCCCATGAGCACTCGAAAGTGTCCAGACCATTGGGCATAATGGGTGAATCCTCTGTCCCAATGGCCACGGGCGAGTTCTGCTGATCGGTGGTGGTAAATGACGATTTCTCGTTGTCCATGATGTGAACGCCCGTGGGAAGGATCTGCAAAAACAAGCTAATACGGCGTCGGGTAGCGAGGTGTTTAGCACCAGCTATTGAGGTGCAGCATTATGGTGTACAAGGAGAGCGAGAGGTTGGCCCATCTCATCTCCATCGGCTTGGTTTAGCCGTCGACAGTCATGACTTATTTCTTGGTGGTGAAGTCAATCTCGTTGGGGTTGTATCCGCCATCAGCAGCCTTCTCGCAGGTACAGGCACCTAGAACAGGTCAGTCATCTGTTGCGTGGCCTTGTTGTCACCGCCTATGGGATTGGACTCACCAGCAGGTCGCGAGCCGCATGCACAGGTGGAATTGGGCTTCACGTTCTCGGTGGAGGCCCTATCGCAAGTGCACTCGCCGGCGGGGCGGGCCCGGCAGGAGCAGCGAGGGCCGGAGACAGCGTTCTCCTTGCTCGCCTTGTCGCAGGAGCAGTGCAGAGCAGACTGCTTGCCGCAGGAGCACTTAGCTTGCTGGGCTGTATGTTCACGTCAGCAAATTGTTGTGGGATGGGGGGATTTGTTGATGTTGGCTTACCGCAGACACAGGTGTCGCCCTTGCCGCAGCAGGTGGAGGACTTGGCAGCTTCGGTGGCCATGGCTGAGATGGGTGTGGGTAGATGAAAGAGGAAGAGGTACTTGGATTCTTTGTTGGTTGATTGAAGACGGTTAGGTTACGGAAGATAGTCAAGTTCAGTGTAATTTTAGGAGATGTGAGATGCTTTCTTGGGGTTGCGAGCAGAGAAGTGAAGTGAAGGCAGGCTGGTAATGGATGTATTTATATCGGACTGCCATGACAGGCAGTGGCCTTGCAGGTGGCCAAGCGGTGGGAGGATCTGCAGGGACCTGACCAAGCGCCTGGGCCCACTGCGGCCAGAGCTGACATTCAGCTCGACGCTGGTTGGCTGAGCGCCAGATCCTGCCAATCGGCTCGACTCCATCTCGCGACATCAAGCCGTCCGCCCTCAGCAGGTCATGACCTGACAGAGCCTCATCGTCTTTGCTGTCTGCTTCATTGGTTGTGAGGGACCAATGCTTTCCTAAATCTTCCACACCCAAGAAGGCTTGCGAGATTACACGACAGGTTTCCTTGCCAATTGGCACGTTTCTAGACCATTCTCCTGCTGTGCCTTGTCTGTCGAACGTTGAGTCAGGGGCTCCTGCTGCAATGGACAGAGGTCGCGCGCACCGAGACACGAGACGCGAGACCTCTCCCTTCCTAGCCAACTGCTGCAACAGAGCGAGCTGTTGCAAATCAAATTGGGGAGGAATTTTTGCAGATGGAACACGAGTTCTGACTTCGTGTTGCTCAACATTTTCAACGCAGTTTCCTGCGCTTAGGTGCAGACGTCGTAGATTGTCCCTCGTCAAGCGGCTGCCCAGAATCCTTGCCAAACAAGTAAATCTCGACGACCTCATCCTCCATTCCGAGCACAGGCAGCGGCTGGCTGGCACTCTCCAGTATCTTCCAGCCGTCCTCGTCCATCAGGCCAAACAGCGCCTTCTCGGACGAGTGTCTTGGCTTGGTTGCCAGCATGACCCTGGAGCTCTTCCCGTCCTTGTCCACGGAAAGCTTGTGCAGCTCAGAAATCGTCTTGACCAAGGCAGACAGCATGTCTACATTGTATGTGCAGTCGCTGATGATGATGAGGTCCCAACTCGATGCCGTGGCCTTGGGGCCAAATACACCAGTCTTGCCCTCGTCCCAGTCTAGGCTCTCGAAATCTGTGTCTACACTAGGCTTCCCTGAGAGGACAGGCTTCCTCGCCAGCTTCTCGTCGGCGATGTTTCGCACTGCCACTTCCTCGGCATCGGGCAGATCGGTCAGAAGAACCCTGCTTGGGACTTGTGCTGAATCTTCAGAGTCCCATGAAGAGGAGACTCGCTGATGCAGGGCAGCCGCAAGTCCAACGCCCAGGATTCCAACACCACAACCCAGCTCAATGACGTTGAGAGGGTGCGTAGGTGTTACCGAGCGTAAGAGCTCTCTAAGCAGTGGTGTTCTGTCCCACTTGTGCTTGGATGTCCCGTCCTGGCACATATTCAAGAGCAGGCCCATTGTGACTACGCCTGCATCCCAAACATGCCGGTCAATGCTCTCGCCGATTCTTTCATCTATTCGCAGAAAGTCACCCTCGGTAAGGGCGAATCTCCTCAGAGACTCAAATGTCTGCTGTGTGTCTTCTGAACGCCATGGAAACTCAGACTCCAGGGTTACAATGCGGCCCTTGGAATCAAATGGGATATCCGCAGCCGTAGGGAGATCCACAATGTCATCTGAAGCGACAATGCAAATGCTGGGCATCTTCCCCTTCGGGGGCAACGTTTTCTTGCTCCTCTTGAAAATCTTGTCAGGTACTGGTAGATCCAGCTTCAGAACCCTCATGCCGCTCTTCCAGGAGGTTCCGCTCTTTCCAGCTTTCCTAGGGGTGAGACAAATCGCTGGGGTCTCATCGCTGTTCTCAAGGGGATTCCTTGTGAGGTATACCGAAATGGGCACCGGCTCGTCTGGACAGAGGAATGAGTCGCCCAGGTCTGTCGTTATCGTGAGGACCAGCTTCAGCTTCTGTTCCTTATCGAGGCTCGGTGGCCTCATAAGGCGGATGTAATGCATGATGCGGATGTGCCTGACAAACTCTGTTGACGAAGTTTTGCGGGAGGTGTGGACGTTCAAGGTTGCGGTGTTGAGTTTAATTCCTCGGCCGAAGCTTCGATTCAGGGCCCGAACCCACGGCAGCCCCACCCAAGACCTTCGCCGGGCGGGCCGCTCCGGCTCGGGGTTTACAAGCACCCTCTGGACGTGAGACAGAACCGCCCGTGCTCCGTGCGTCGTAATTGACCACATGGAAGACTTCTGACAGGCACGCCTACCATGGAATTCGCGATCATTTAATGCAAACCAATGGCCAGAGCCATATTCTCGAGCGGAATTCGAAGCAAGACACAGATGTGACGGCCGTTCGCGGGCTCGGAGGTCGCCGGGCATCCAACGCCGCTACGACGTTTCTTCGGTCAACGCCTTGATATCAAGCCGGATTGGTGCCCGATATCGTCCTCTGCATCACACCTTAGACATATAAGGTTTTGGAATACCACCCTCGGTGAAATTCTTTGACCTCGTTCCTCTGCGGACCGTCCTGCTCCAACATTTTTTTCTCACACCTTACCTCCTAGCTCCTGGGCCCAGGAACATACCGGCGCCATGACCACAACCACCCACTCACCCACGGAACTCCTATCCGCCATCCTAACCACCACGGAGAAGGACATCATCCCTCTCACAGCAGAGGGCGTCACCTCAGGGTGCAAGCTCTTCGGCGCCGCGATCCTGACGCGGGCGGGGCTGAAGACGCACACCGTAGCGACCAACAACGAGCGTGTGTCGCCGCTGCTGCGTAAGTACAAGCCTCCTCCCGCTACGGTTGCCTACCCATCTTTGATCCAAATCTTTCCAGAATGCATCGATTCGAGATCCGTAGTAGGTGACTAAAGAATACTAGACGGCGAGATCAACTGCATCCAGGAGTTCTTCAAGGCGCCCAGCACGGCCGAGTCGCCGCGGCCGGCTCCGCGGGACTGCGTCTTCTTCGCCACGCACGAGCCCTGCTCGCTGTGCCTCAGCGGCATCACCTGGGCCGGCTTCACCGAGTTCTACTACCTCTTTACGTACGAGGACTCGCGCGATCTGTTCAGCATCCCGTACGACATCGACATCCTCGAGGAGGTGTTCCGCGTGCGCGCGCCGGGGGATACGGACGAGAGCCTGCGCGCGCGGCCACTTTACAACCGCACGAATAAGTTCTTTACTAGCAGGAGCTTAGCGGAGTTGGTGGAGGGGATTGAGGATACGGGGGAGAGGGAGAGGTGGCTGGGCGAGATTGAGAGGGTCAAGAAGCTTTATAATGGCTTGTCGGAGACGTATCAGGAGGGGAAGAAGAAGGGTGTTGAGACTGCGAGTGTGTGGCAGTGAGGGAGGGAATGGGAAAGTCTGGGATCATTCATGGTGTCTGGCTTGATTTCAAGTAAGGACAAGGAGTTCAATCAGCTGGTATATGAGGGCCCTATAAAGACTGAGGTCTATGTATTGCTTAGTTTCCAAGTTTGGGATTCTAAGCACGATCTGTTTTCAATGCACACGAGACTAGAAAACAAGAGGTAAAATTGGTCCAGCTAGACGTCTCGAATTTGCTTGGTAGCCACGGCTTGTCAAAACTCACAAATCACTTCAAATCGGTACACATGGATCTAAGGAGACGTCACATAGTCTCTTCGAGTCCTACAACTATGCTGGAGAGCGGGTGGCTCAGCAATTCACACAATGTAGTCATGAATAAGCTGTACCAGACTAATATCTCCGATTAGGAACAGGGGCGTTGCCAATGCGTGTGCACAAGAGCTGCTTGTATAGAGGGTATGTTGAGGTCCACGCTATACTTGCTAGCAGGCTAAGCGGTCGAGCCAGTCCTCCTGGATTGCCTGGGCTCGGTATGCTGCGCTGCCAGCCTCGCAGGACACGTATACCGTCCTGCTCATATGCCCACCACCTTTGCAGAGGCAGATCTCGGGTTGATGACAATACATCTGTGTCAAGGTCACGGAAGACCGCTATGACCCAAACCCCTCAGAGCAGCTCGGTCGATTTACCAGACTAGATATGCAACTAATATGGCTATGATACACGGCATCATGAGACATACGGCTCTGTCGTGTGGGATACATGTGATCAGCCGACAAGGTTCACTGGCGTTTACTAGTAGCCCTGTGTGTAAGCGCGAACATCTCGAGTGCCGGCCCCAAGTCTTCGGTCAGAACTGTGTTTCTGGCCCAGCCACTGTCACAATCCTAGATACGTGAGCATATGGCTTGACGGTGTGCGGTCGGACTTTCAGCCTGGCGTCGCTGTGCTACCATAGTGGTACGACTTTGAAGCCATGTTTCGATGGGGTGGTTGGTAAGAAGACTACGAGAAGTCTGGGTGACATGGACACTTCAGCTAGCATGCAAATGTTCGAGTACCAAGCACTGCTGATCCTCTTGGACACACAAAGATAGTCGTCGTGATGTCTAACTAGAAGCTTACTTCGTTAATACCGTCCCCGTCGATTCACACCTATCGCAGGATTACCGGCGACGGCAAAGGGCGCGCATTCCCGCCTAGGCGTATGCATGTGTGGGTGTAATACTCCTCGTTACACAGCCAACAAGGGGGGTGTGTGTCCCTAAAAAAAGTCCCCTCGGCTGATGTATGTACATAAGCACTGCGACACGGCGCAGCGGAAGGAAGGTCTGTATGCACGCAGTTACACACAGCCCCTCCTGGCAATTCCTGGGCCGGATGAAGGTCGCACGTTGTGCTGACGTGCGGGACCTACTGTACGTTGCACCCTGCAAATCTGCAGGTGTGTACCCGAGCACTCTGCCCATTGGCCATTGGGGCCGATAGTGCGCGCCACACTCTGTCAGCCAAAGATAGGACATTGCATGTGTGTTACCCACACCTGCCCATAATCATCTTCGGATGCTGCTGCACGGGCGTGGATATCGCTTGGCCGTACAGCCGTATCAGGAAGTGCGGAGAGACATGAAAGCCATGGGTAATGAGCCGTAGGATTTCTGCTTCGAGAAAGGATCATGGGTGGCAGAGACAGTGTCGTGTCTTGAACGTCGTTCCTCGTGGGCTTCGGCCCGTCTCTTGCACTAGGCGCCCGTGTAGGATGGATGCATTGCAAGGGATTTGCGAAATTGTCGACATCATATCAGCTGACTCATCCCCCCAGGGAACCAGACATACACACACGCACACGGCACATCGCAGAGGCGTAGGGTGGGTGAGTGGTTTGTTGGTGGAGATCGTTGCCGCAATAATGTGATGTGAGAACTCAACCCCAGCATAATATGCCGTGGTACTGTTCACGCTGCTGGAGGACGAACGGACACCGGCGTGGCCCTAGCTCCCAGGCAGGTGTCCCCCCAGCCTGCCCCACCGCGGGGCAATCTACAGCTGATTGGGCCCAGCTGCCAACCTTCTAAGCGCCTGGCGCCCACCCCATCCCCCAATTCGGGGCACTTTTCTCGCCATGACTGCATCTTTGCATGCTGCTGTGCGAAAATGTGCGCCGGTGTGCAACCAACTCCTCTCAATGTTGCAACCCTCGTGGCATTCCATACTACCAGGATTGTCGGGTCGGGGTTCTCTCTCTCATTCGAGGAGCAGCGCTGGACAATATGCCACTGGGTCTTTGACGGTCACCAGGACATCTCTCAACATCTGGACAACTGGCTAGGCTGGTCGAGTCAAAGCTAGACTCGACGCGACTCATCTTGACATTTACCAGTCGTGACAGAGATTCTGCGTGTCACACAAATGGACCAAGCAGCCTCGGGTGTTCATTCGCCCACACCGGTCCCGTGCAGTGCTGACGGAGAAACGAGTGGTGTCCTCCCTCGAGCAATGACTGGATGAGTAACGGTAACCACATGATAATGATCGTTCATCATCCCTAGTCATGGTAGGGCTGACCCCATCGAAAGGCGCAACAGTGGCCTACAGAGGCCGCAGTTCCCGTAGCGTGCGTCATGTAGTGCCCTCGCACTCTCACTGTCACTCTGCCACCCTCTGCCATCGCACTCATCTGGGAGCTAAAGCGGACCATCTGGCCCCCAATTTTAGAAACTGCACTTTCGACTCCATATATGCTCGCTTCCATGGCGCAGGCACATGCATAGAAGTGACAGTAAGCAAAGGGAGGGCTTCGGGAGGGAGGGGAGTGCATCTAGGACACATGTACCTCTCAAGAAAGACGGCAGCCTCGAGCCTTGAGCCTCGAGACTGCTCATCATGCTTCACTCCCAGACAATCGTGGGCATGTTGAGCCGCATGATAAACATGTATCAGATGCCACGCAATGCCTCGACAAGGGCAGACAGCCCTACGGCCGGCCCCTCAGGCGGCCAGCAGGCCCCATCCCCAAGGCCAAACATATCTTGCTATCAGACGCATGTTTCTGCATCGACCTGCAAACCTTCACCCTGGGTGACTGGTAAGATCTCGCGGGGCCTCTCAGATCCGGCCGCCGTAAGGCTGCCGCTATCAGATGGAATGCTACAGATGTCGAGCCCATCTCGATAGGCCATGCACCAACGTGCCACAGAAGTGCCGTGGAATGTTGACGGCAGACCCTGTTTCGCCAACACCTCCTATGCAGGCGCTTAATTTTGGATTTAGACTCCAGACCAGCCCTAAGCCAGAGTGACAACGGCCCCCAACACATTTTTAGGCGCTGAGACCAATTATCACCAACGTCGCTGCAACACATCTTCTCTTAGTCTGCTGTTGCTATGGAGGATCCGCTATTTATCGCTGTGCTTCCCATCCTGCTGCAACCGCACGCGCCTGTTGGTGGGGATAGCCTCTGCCTAGAGAGCACGTCTAATGACAAATTATCTGAAGGCATGGATTTACTTTGTGCTAGTCGCGGCGGGATACCACTAGCCGGCGCGAGCGAGCCGACACAGGGAGAACCCGTGAACAGGCAAGCGCAACGGGCACGGGAGACGGGAGACGGGCTATCCGGGCTGTGTTTTTGCCTACCTAGCTCGCCATGCGCGCACCCCATTCTGCCAAAATGCAATTGATAGCCCGTGGGCAAATTTTTGGCAGTTGGGTAGTATGGACTTTTTGTCAGGATGACTTGAATTTGTCTTGCACACCATCGCGATATAATTCTCTTTTCGCTTGCGCCGTAGGAGCGCTGCTCACTTCCCACTATCCCACCATCCAAATGCATCCTTGCGGCGCAGCAATGATCATAAAGGGGGAGGAAGCGTTGGTGGTGCATACATGACAGTGGCGGTGGAAGTATCTGAGAAACAGTTTCAGAATAGCCTGTAGGGGGTTTGGTTGCGCTCACCCCCCTCCTTTTCTTCATCCCGTCTCACCAGCCACATCCACCATGAGTTTTGATATTCACCACACTGTGCTCTATCTCATGGGATTCCGTAGAATTAATGTGGCTGTTACTGTCAGTGCGATGAAAGGAGAGACTGCTCGAAGCAAGGGAACGCTGCCGAGCCCACACCGAGAACATTGAAACGGGCTGGCCGCGTGGTGTTCCTCGTTGCCTACTCGGCCTGCCCAGACGTGGCGACGTATGCAAAACAACAATTGCAATACAAACACAATGCCCGTCCGTAAACCTGCATATCCAAACCTCAGATGCTCTGGGAAGTCGGTATGAACGACGGGTGCTTAGGCCAGGGGCGGTAACCAGATGCCGTGATGAGACGGTTTCCGTGTTCCAAGCATGCCGGCCGTGCCGTCGCGATGCCACCTGCCGGCCGTGGCGAGAACGAGCACCCCCAACCGAGACACGTTCGCGGGTGAGAAGAGACTGACAGGCGGGCCGTCGGTAGTGATGGATTCGAGGCTGAACGAACGGGTCTTACGAACAGGTCATCCTTCTCAGGCTACTGCTGCTGTGCTTCCTCACTCCCAGCTCCTCGTATACAATATTGAGATTCCATATGGTAGAGAACGGGATACCTGGCTTAAATCCTTCAATGACACCACACAATCAAGAAAATTTCACGGCCATGGGTCAGGAAACACAAAATCCTCAATGGCTAAACCCTGGCAAGACAAAACTTGGGACGAAAGGGACTGACCGACGCAGGCTCGCGTTTCGTCTCATCTCCCACGGGCGCAGGGCTGAGGAGGGTCTCCGAGTCGCGCACACGCGTAAACTTCGCAAGTGGCCAACGGAGATCAAGCGCATCGGCGGCGCCGTGCAGGTGTACATTGGAAATCAAAACAAGGAAAATACAGACCGCTCGCAATCATTCACAACACTGAACGGCTGAACGGGTTGCGCCCAGTCACAAAAGAAACTCCTGATCGACAGCACGCCGAAACATGCGAGTGCGCCCCCGTGCTCCCCTCCCCCTCCTCTTCGGGTTCCCAATGCCACCCAGTGTCCGTGTCATCGCGTTCGAGATTTTTTGCCTTCTTTCACTTTCTTGTGAAAGAAAAGAAGAAACTTGCTCGTTCCTGGCTGGCTGGCAGGGGCGTGCCACAGACAAACAGACGCGGGCAGGGAAGCAGGAAGGAAAATGAGTCGTTGCGCCAGTCCGTGTGCCGTCCAAGGGTGCGCAGGTGGAAGGAGCAGGGTAGGAGGACGGAGGGGGGTGGCACAGAATCAGAATTAGGGTTTCCCCTCTTGTGTTTTAATTATTGGCAAAGCCACAATATTGAATTGGAAATAATAATGATGATATTAAGAAGGAAAAAATTCGGCATTGAATCCAATTGAAACAGACAGACACAAACATTGGCTGGGTGTTTACAGTCCTTTGCTCATCCCCGGTCTCTCGTAATTTCTTTTTCCGACCATCCCCCTCTCCCCCCGGGCGCTGGAAAAAGAACGTTCGTTGGGCAGGGACGGGCGAGGGAACGGCGGATTGGAGCCCAACCGTCTCGTCTCAGCGTCGCCTGGCGAATCTCACATCGTTGCCGCACGGGAAGTCAAAAAAACAAATCAAATGTGACAGGGCAAAAAAGGAAAACTCAATCGAGAGATGACGAGGAGGGTACAGGGGGCCCGTAGATTGGCAAGCAGTAGCACAAGATTTGCTTTCTCAACACGTCAACTCCCAGGGGGTTGCACTGGAGCGTGGACGGACGGGAGGATTCAGGGGCGGGGGTTGATTGATTTGAGGGATGACGGTGCGATGTGCAACTGGTACGCCTATGTGAGAATGCATGATCAGTAAGTCAGGCAACGCCCATCTGCAAACACTCCAGCTCCCGAAACATGGGAACAAGTGATAAACGTGATTTTTGACTGTAACATACGTAGCAAGTGCTCTTCTGACCCGTGGGCCGAGATGTGGAATGTACTCGGCCCTTGGCACTGGCGTGTGTACGGAAGCAGAACCTGTGTTTATGTTGTTCGTCACATCACATGTCATGTCATGTCATATTGCAGCAAAGTAGTCACATAATCGAGAGAAGGCACAGTCTGTTGCTGTTCAGAATTTTAAGATCTGGAATTTGTTCGCGCCCGTCGTAATCTTCACACATCCTCAGTCTGCTAATAAATAATATCAAAATATAAGGGAATGGGGGTATCTCCTCCATCTTTGCCACACACACCCATGACAGCCTGGGTTACATAAAGAACAGAACCCAGAAAAGAAACATATCCGATAACCAGCCAGGCGGTCGTGTGGTGGCGAAAGTGATGCTGATCAAGAAACAGAACAACACGATGTGCGCCTAGCGATGTTTCCCACTTTTCCTTCCAGAACCCAACACGTGAATAACGAGTGACATTCACTCCACGACCAGTCCATTACAGTTTCGCATTCGCTTCGTGTCGTTGCCTAGCACATATTCCCATCCGAACCGAAAAGAAATTCCGTTATCCCATATCCTCCCTTGCCAGTCATCGAACTCAAGCCGTCGTGACATTATCCTAAAACTTTTGTGTGTCCCATGACATAGAGATAAAGAGGGCACTGAGAGATGCCTCTGTCAGACCAACAGGCGTTGGCCCGTGTCGTGCTGTTGTTTGCCTGTGATGAAGCCCTTCCTTCGGCGAGGGGAAGAGGCCAAATATGAAATAACATCCCTGGGTATCATTGTAAAGACCAGAAAGATGACAGCCGCCCCTTGAGACGTGAGTCTCTAGACAGTGTAAATGAGACCAAAAGTGAAAGAGTCCCGAAAGAAAATCCCGCTGATCTGTGAACATAATCGTACAGCACCGATCCGTGTATGGTTTTCTTGTCTTTTTTTCTGATTTTTACTTCCTTGTATGTGTCAAGCACGTTGTTGATTTGAGGTGTGCTGCACATACGCATTTGGGCATTCGTCCTCGAGGACGTCAAGCAGTGCGTCGCGTTTGACTTATTTCGAAGGCTGCTTAAGCACGTCCTCGCAGTTGGCGTCGAAGCGCAGGTTCCAAAGGCGCACCGACTGCATGAAGCGCTCAGACTTCTCCAGCTCGCGCTCGCGCCCGAAGAGCGTCTCGACAAACTCGATGCCCGAGTTCTTGCCCAGCTGCTCCTTCTTCTTGCTCGCCTTGAGCATGGGTGACTCACACGTCTTGAGCACCTTGCGGAGCTTATCCGTGAGGCGCTCGCCGGACTCGATGAAGTCCTCAATCATCTCCCGGTTCTCGAGCGTCCTGATCCGCGGCACGCACTCCTTAGACCTCTTGATCTTCCCAGCAAGCTGGATGAGCAGCAGCCACATGTCACCCGCCATCTCAGAGATCGGGGTCGAGGGGCCATGCGTGTAGACGGTCCAGTCGTAGATCCACTTCCCCAGGCTGTTGGCATCAAACACCGAGCCAAGCAGAAGGATGGGCTCCTCGGTCGGGTCCCAGTTCTTCAATGAGTAACCTGGAGGAATGCGATACTTCTTGGCGTCGGCCTCGGTCGCCTTCCTGGTTGTTGGCGGTGGGGCCTTGTGGTGGGAGCTGGCAGGCCGCGTTGTCTGAGGCCGCTGGGGGGTTGACTGGGAAGCACGCCTGGTGTGTCCAGACGAGCGGCGTGGCTGCTCCTCAAAGTAGCGTGCAAACTCGTACCTGTTGTCATAGTCATTGGCCGGACGGCGGGATGAGGCCTGTGCATAGTGGTGGCGATCAGTTGCATGCCCATCATAATAACCAGAATAGTAGAGACCCTCGTCCTGCCTGCTGTGGCGCTTCGACCTCGTCCGCGCGGGTATCACGTAGGTGACACCGTTGACTTCGACATATTCGTCCTCGTCGGATTCCCCATGTGAATCAGAGGCCCGATAGTAGGAATAAGAAGACCGACGCTCGCGCTTGGGGCGCGTCCCAGAAAATGATTGTTTCCGCGATGATCGCGTTGCACTCACATTAGCAGTTGCGGCGTTGGTCGAGTAGAGCCCATCGCTGTTGTACCGCGGCGAGAATGCCGCCGGGCGCGGACTCGAGTAGTCGTTCATGCCGCTGCTCATGTGCCGGAAGTGCGCTCGCGTCGCAGGCCGTTGCGGGGTGGAGGCGTAGTATGCAGGTCCCCGGGGAGATGGAGTCGGCGAGGGAGTCGCGAACTCGTCCCTGTAGTAGTAGCCGTTCATTTTCCCAAACTCTTGCGATGCCTCGCTGACACCCGGCTCAAAAGAAAATTCGCAGCCCGATATCCCCTTCTGTTGCGGTGTGAAAATGCTGTTGTGTTTTTGATGTAATTTTTCCCGTCTCAATCTCAAAAGTGGCGCCTATGTCGGGACGCATGGGAGAGTGAAATTCGTCACCTTGGTATGTGGTCGGTCGGAAGAGGAGAGGAAAACCGTCTTCTGTTCGCGAACATGTCCAAGGTTGTGGTGATGTCAAAACGTTCGTAGGAACGAGTTGGGCATAAGGCACCAAAGTACGTCGCAAAACGCCTCTGATGGTGACTTCTGGAATAGACTGGAACACTCGATGAGTCCAGTCACTGGAGTAGCGTGGTTGATTATGTGAGAATGCGTGGTTGAGGGCTGGTTTTGTTGTTAAAAGTTGGCGAGAGCCAATGTGGCAGAAGGGGGACACACAAAAATGTGTGGTTGGAGGTTGGGTATGACGGGTCTATTAAGAATCAATCGCCCGGGACCCAGGCGAGGAAGAGTGAGCCAAAGCAAGCGGGCAGGTCGATAGTCGCACAGGGATACCCCCGACCAGCCCCTGTAGACGCTAGCAGGGTGAAAGGATGGTTGCAAATGAATTCCGTACTTGCGTGCCTCGTGGAAACCTGGTGGAGGGGGCGTGGCGATAGGGAGAGGAGGAGCCAAGTACCACACCTAATGTATTAGTCACCCCTGCAGAACCAGCCACAATGTTCCACACCGTCGATGGGTCTGTCTCTTCGCACTGCCGTCTGTTCTGTTGCTCACTCGTCTGCGTGCTGTCTGAACTCTGTTTGCACGCTCAGTGCTGAGCCAGCGAACGGCCCAATCACACAAGACTTGTCGCACTCAACAGCGCTCAGTACAGGTCTAGGCTCGGCTGCAGTGAAGCCTCCTGAAAATAGAAGAAAAGGGGGCTGCGCAATTCTCTCTCAATTGCGCAGCGGCAACACAGCACGGCTGAGGACGCGATTGAGATGGCTGTCTGTGTCGTCCACACCGTCGTCACAAGCTTTGGTTCGAGGTGAACAGGATTCGCCAATAATCCTCGGTGAAGCTCACCCTGGTCCGGGTGCTGGTCCTGGTGCAGAATTTGCAAAGGTGAAGAGGTGATGTTGGGGTGGTTCAACGGTGTGTGAACACAGCTTTAATTTGGGCAACAGGGTAAGCGAGATTGGATTTGCACAACGGCCGGGATGGTCTCCAATGTCGCGGCTCCGGATGTCAAGTTCCAAGACCGGGCTCCGTGAAAATTCTTCCTTGTCGTCGTCCAGAAGTGCAAATTCGATGTTCGAAGACCCTGTTCTTCGTGGCTGCTGGATATAATGTCGATTGCAAGGTTGCGTCTCGTCGCGGCAGCGTGGATACGATACTATGGTAGGACTCGGGTGACGAGGTGGACTGTGGGTTCAGACGGGAGGAGGGCCCGCATTCAATCCTTCCTCCACAGACCCAAGCGTTCCGGAAGGTCGGGAAGCTTCCAGAGTCAGAGACACCCCTGTCGACGTGGTGTCTTTCGACAGCGACAGGACGACTAATACGAGGGCGACCGAGGTGACTCGAGTCGGCCGATGTCTTCGAACCCGTGGACCGTTGAGCCTAGGCGGCCTCACGGTGTAGTTCCCCGAAGGTCGACGCCTTCGTCCGAGGGGAAGGACACTGGTTGAGTGGCAAGAGGCGAAGGCTGTCGTGGCTCCAGATCGAGACTGACAGAGGACGAGGACGGGCGCTTTAAGAATGCAGCAGCCCCGTTGGCCGACCTTGACTTTGTGCGCCTATGCGATGTTTCGTGATCTGCAAGAGCTGGAGGGAGCTGGCCCGTCTTTCTTATCTCGTAGGTCGCTGGAGTCATGAACAGCTGCGGTTGTGATAGTCTCACGGCTGCGGGAGTGTGCAGATTCTGCGGGAGTGCGACACACAAAGCCGGGTTGAGCCACTCCAGACGCTCCAGACAAGAGATGAAGTCGTAGCCCAAGACCCTTTGGACGTGTTGGTAGAGCAAGAGCAAGAGCAAGAGAACCCCGCTCGCAAGATCAAGACCAGACTGAAGGGTGATTGGCCCAACACTATATAGATTGGTGGTGATGCCTGGTGATGCCAGGTGACCAGAACGCGAGGCAATGCGTCGTTTGCCCTGCCTTTCTCACTCCGTTAACAAACGAAGCAGCCTGTGAGGATGGGCATGAAGAATCAGGCGAAACGTCTAGGCGGCAACGAGGAATGACAAAAGCGCACATGTCTGACGATGACTCCAGCGAGGGGCATGGGTGCTTGTACGTACCCGCGTCTTGTGGGAGCAATGTCCCAGTCGCAAGCACCAGGGCGGATGACTCTGGTGGTGATGGTGACGTTTCAGGGAGAGACGAAGGGACGAGGAGGTGAGGGGCGAAGGGGAGAAGGGACAGCGAGGATGACGACAATAATGATACCTAGGCAATGGGTGCAACTGCGTGAATTCGTTAACGTTCTCTGTGCCAAAATCTATCTGACCCCTCATCGGTCCTTCCTCCTCCCTTTACCCTCTACATGCAGTACCCCAGGTAGACACAGGTAGCAACAGTATGCGGCAAGAATTGCGTCTGTACCCCTCCATCCGGTCTCACGGTCCGCCTGATCTGACCACCTGGGTGAACCGCAAGCCCGAGGCTGGCCACCAGCCCGTTGTGAAGGGCCATGACATGGCCAACACCCACAGCATCTGCAAGACCCAATCGAACCAGATTCACAGCTTGTCACATGAAGAACCATGTGCAAGTGATGCGTGAGTGACTGGTTCGCGACAGGCGCTCTATCTTCCTATCTCCCTCTCTCTCTTCTCCTGACTCTATGCCCTCTGCAGGCATCACAGCGGTCGTCGTCATCCCACGCACGCGCACCTCACATGCTCAACTCCGCACCCAGCGTCTTTCTTAGCCGCGCTTTGATAACCAAACAACGTGCTCGAAGCGTGCGACCATCCCAGGCCTGACGAGCCGGTGGGTTAAGATGCCCGGATCCTCCGACTCCTGCAGCCAGCCAGTCTCGCGGACGGCTCTAGATCGCTTTATGGGTCCGTCGACGATCGGCACTGACATCCTGCAAACACCCGACACCCTTTCCTGCAGGTCAATACCAGACCTCAGAAGCGGGGTTGGCTACTGCAAGCAATGGCGATGATGCAGCGGGATTTGCAGTCTGACACTTTGATGACATTCTACGCTCCTTCAATTGTCATTGAGCCCCCGATTCGTCTCGTCCACACAGTAGCCCACAACATCCGAACATCTCCCTCAGCACGAACCATTCGATGACATCCAGCCAGCTCGTTCGTATAGACTACTGCTGATGTCGCGACAGGATGCGGGCCAGGATCATCCAAATGGTCTGCCTCCAACCTACGAATCCCCAGAGTGGAGTTTAGCCCGTGAGCCCAGCCCATCGTTGTGATCCCAGTGGCAAACCTTCTCCTGATTGCCGGGTTTATCGCAGGTCATAGCCGCCCCTAATGTAGGGGTTTGCAGATATGAACCACCAGGGAAGGCCCGAGCACAGTTACACTACCTGCGATCCCCGGTGCAGCCTTTTTCACGAGGGAGTTCATGCACGACGGAGCCTGGACGCCCGGCGAATGGGAGAAATTCCTTGTCCCTTTCCCCATACGGCCGCCATCTTTTACAGCTCGCCCAGGATCCTCCGCCTCGGATCCAGACAATTAGTCCAAATGCCTGTCCTGTCGGCAGCAAGAGAGATACCAGACGCGTTCAGCTGGCCCCCAATGTCAGCCTCCTCCTTTCCCCGTTCAAGGGGCCCCTCACTGCGGTGCAGACAGTGGCCGGTCAATTCTTGACCATACGTCTCTCCTGCTCCTCCCGCCAACCAAATGGAAAGAATGGCACGCCTCGGTGGCCTGCCGAGCGGTCGCAGTTGGGGATCCCATTTGCGGCCGACTTTCAAGCCCACTGGCCCAGTGGCTAAACTCAATTCATTCGTATAAGCCACACGCTCTTCATCTGGTGGGATCATCCTGGGATGTTCAGATATTTGTTCAGCTATCTCTGCTGGCTTTGCCTGACTCGGACGCAGGGATCAGTCCATCACAATGATGTGCAGAGATGAATTGTTTCTCGCACGACGTGCATCAAGGGTCTACATATTGGAAAAGCTCTGCAAAGTGTATTGGACGCGGAATCGTCGCCGAGCTTAGTCTCCGCCGTGATGGATTACGAGTTCGACCCTTACGGCCACCGGCATCGACACTGATGGATAGAACCCGTTCGCAGTTGGCCGGAACTCGACCGTTACCAAGGAACCCTCCAGTTCAGCATTGAGCATTGGTATTTCGAGGATAATATATACAATGGAGATATGACGACACCGTTGGTGTCAAATCGGCGCGTCCCTCGAAGCGACCCGTACAGTACGCCCGGCACGGCCATGTCGGCCGGGCAAAAAAGCAGCCACAGGAGGCCCGATTGAGTGGCCTCGAGCATCGTGAACTTCGCACACGCCCCCGAATCCACTGGTGTGTACTTACACGGCCCCATGTACCACCCCTCGCTGGTTCTTCTCTCATCGTGCAGCGGGCAGACAATGGTCAATTCCCGAACCCCTGCAAATTGCCCGCGAAGGCGTCTCAAGTCTCTGCAGGAATCCACAGTCCCACTCCTTCTTTCTCTGCCCATACCCACTCTTTTGGCTTCTTTCTCCGGGGTCCAGGCCCAGTCTGGCCGGTGCAGCTGTCACCTTGATTTTGCAGTACTACGTACTCTGCCCCGCCCTTTTCTCTCGGGCCGCATCATTCTAGAAAAACCACAGGCCAGGGGCCCTTCACCTTGGACCTTGCGGTGAGACGGCATGAATAAACCAGGATTGCTCGTCCCCTGAACGTCGTCATTTGTTTACATACGGTGAGAAAATTTTCCACCGTGTTAGAGCAGTCATCCGAGATCAGCACGTCAGAAACAGCAGCAGCCGTGAGTCACCAGGTGCGCGCCCCAAGAGAACGTCACGTATGATGCAAATTGAGTGGTGTGTCTTTTTACCATGGCATGTTGCGATTATGCGTTGGGGCCCAATTTGCAGGCCAACTCTCACCCACGCGCAAGACTGCATCCAAGTATTGGCAGAGATGCAGTCAACAAGCTGTCTTCCTACCTGCTACAAAGCCAATGACCGCTCCTGGTGTGGCCGGCCGCATGCAGTCGACAGACACGACTGCCCTTCCGATTGGAGGCTTCACACGCGGGCCCTGCTCAATCAATTAATGGCCAACAGCACCTATGTTAGCATCACTTTTCCCTGCCCGCGGCCGCCCTACCGGCCGCTGCAGCCAGTGCTTTAGTTAGGGACCCATTCCTGCGGGATCGTGGAGACTCACCTTACCCAGCGGCTCGCATTGGATGGCTCGCCTTTGCTCTCACCTACTTTTTGTAATTTTCCTAGCCGCTGCAGGACACCGTCAATCTTCCATGCCCCTCCCCCTCATCCTCCGGCGATAGGGCCTCAGTCGCTCGGCGTGCTTGCTGGTCTCCATGACGACGGCGGAGCGAAGAATAGTGAGGCTAACCGGGCGAGGTCTGCTGTTGCCCTTTCTTGCCAGCTATGACTCTTCATCGCCTCGCCGCCAGCGCGACAACGCACACCGACACTTCCAAGCTTTCTTGATACCAAGGTCCAGATCGTCGGCGCCCAACGAGTCCCTTCCAATGGTTCGCGAGGAAGCAGGGCGATGTCACTGCTGCCCCTCGTGTTTGCCCATGGAAGTGTGCATGTCCGTTCGGTGCCCTGTCCAAGGGCCCTTATCTCATCTCCCTCTCTTTCATGCAATGCAGCGAGCCCTGTAAGTGGGCTCGTTTGATATCCCAACTCTGCAGCATGTGAACCTTGCGGGCGAGTCTGGTGGATACTAGGCTATGTACTGTACTACCACGTATTTAACGGCTCCACATAATGACCCTTGTGGCTGTGCAAGTCCTCTCTTACTGTGCCTGTGACAGTCCTTGACAGATAAAATTAGCATTGTTCAGCTCCTCATGGGATGTAGTTTCCAATGACCGGTATCGCGCAGCACCGCCTTGTTGCTATAGCTCAGAGGCAGTCAACAAGTTTTCATGGTCCTGATTGTATCTCCATTGGATCCTTAGGCCCGCCTCAATGTGGGACGGGCTCGCTAGCTGAGCAGACAGTGACCAGACACGATGTACTGGCAGGGGACAGCTGTCGCCTTCGATGGCGCGGTAGGTGTCTGTGTTGGCGCGATCGTGTTGGGCCTCGATGACATCGGTCTTCCGAGTCCGTTTTGCTGTCAGGAAAGCCGTTGATAGATGGCTGTGCAAGGGCCCCTTCGAGTGAACCGAACATGGCCATAATTACTGCCACAGTTTCTTCCCCGAGATGCTATCAGCGCTCGAAGATTAGCCATGTGACGGAGGAGTCATAATGTTGTTGGTCATTCTTAACCAACGTCTGTGACTGACAGGCAACGCGCAATCAGGGACTGCCTGTTGCTAGATACGCTGTATACTCTCTGCTACTAGGCAGGGGAGTATTTCGACTTTTGCTCGTTTGTGCCACCTATTCTTCCGAAGATCTAATGTGAGTCAAGCAAGTATACACCCTTTCTTTTCTGGTTATCATCTGAGGATGTTTGGGATCCTTCGCGTCCAGTGGTAATTTCATATTTGAATGTCCGATTTGATGGGTTTCAAAACAAGGGCCGCGGCTCAGTATTTCCTTCTACAAGATCAAAGGGATGAATGTCATTCATATCATTGGGATTACGTGGTTCTCGCATAGGTGAAGCAAAGGCTTGAGTTCGTGCCCATGTTTTACAAAGCAGCAAAGACAGTCTGCAAAGTTTTGCTTGTGTTATCAAGTTGTCCATCACTGACGGTTACTCTCCACCTCAGATGACCTCGGCAACGAAAATGTTTACTGTCTCAAATCACACATTGGCCTCGCAAAACTAGTATCAATGCTCTCAATGTGAGGAAAGTTTTCAGAGGGAGCTTTGAAGGTCTTCAAGTAAATTGCCTAAATCAAGTACAAGCTTCAGCATGGCAATGCTGAAGCGCGAAAGATTTTAGAAGGCCTCGCATCCGCACGTATTCAAGTTATATCAGAACGAATTAGAAATACATCCAGGCAGAACCTGAAGCAAACTCAAAGCTGCGAATCTCTTGCATGGACCCATCGCTTTCTATCTTGGTCTATAAGAGATGTAAGACCCGTGGAAGTCCCGCACACTCTTGACCGAGATATCCTTTTGATCTATATTACGACATGTATTATAAGCATCTTGATATCGGTGGAGAGACTGTTGAGATGGTTACCTAGGTGGTCTTCGCCGGCAGCTGCAGTTGCTCGCAAGGTACATCTGTTAACGGTCATACTCGTTTCCATGTAGCAGTTGCTCATCACTCATGGGATACACCGAGTTGTCATCAACCCTAGTAAAATGTCCAATTGTATAGATGAATCCCAATATTGCCTCCAGATACTCTACTAAGAACCTAAAAATGGCAGTGGCGGATGTATTACTCACCTGCAGGCTAGGGCTTGCAAGGCAAGGCCCTGAAAATCTCCTGCAAGTCCTCACGTTGCCGTGCTGCCCTGGACCCAGTCGAGCCGGGACTCTGGAATCCATTGCATGGTTGCCACATGATGTGGCTGTGCGCGCGGGAGTTTTCGACCCAGGGGCTTCCATGTGCATCTGCAGGTCGGGCGGCACCGCCAGCCCCCCGGATTTGCTGGACTCCAATTCATGGCGCGCAACCTTTTAGCAGTGAAACCTCCGCCTTCCATCAACTTCCAGACCTTTGGGTCGAGACTGACAAATCTACGATTCGAGTTGCCATTTGTTCAAAAAGGCCTCCGGTGCTACGTCATGTCTGATGTGTAAAGGGCACAGCCCAGAAGAGCCAGAGACGTCTCGATACGTGCACACCTCGTTGAGGTACTTGTGGCGGATTTCTGGAGTTTACGATGTGCGATTGGTGAGGCCCGACTCGCAGATTCACGCCGTTGAACCGGCTACCACTGGAATTGATGTGCGTCACACCATCATTATTCACAACCAGCCAATCTGAGCTGGGGCATGCCAATCTAGTCAGCCATACCAAATCAGCCAGGGACCGAACAAAAGCTCCTGGAATTAACCCCGTGGCCCTTCCACGCTAGATCCGGCAGTATCGCCGGACATCCAGACAACATTTAAATACCGCGAGCCGCCCTGCGCGAGCCCAAGGGGCATCAGATGAGTCACTGGAAAGTGTCATCGCCCAACAGAAGGTCCGGGTGAATGGTCCTCTCGAGCTTTTCGCTTCCCTGGCATCCATGCTGCCCGAATTCGCCGAGCGCCACAGGCCTCCGTCGCGCGTCTTTTGGCCACCCCGCCAGCCGGTCCGAAATCACCAACCACCCAAATCGCAGGAAAGGAATAGAATTAGCAGCGGGGAGTGAGGCTGACACGGCCCTTGACTGATTACTGTTTTATGCTTCCGATCTCTGGTTGGCCGAGCAAGAGATGACGGCGACAGGATCAAGTGATCCCTGCCAAGCTGGCAGACAAGTCAAGATGCGACGTTGAAGGGAGGCTGAGCAGGCACCAGCAATAGCGACGAAGCATCGCTTCGATCGGCGATCAGGGTTTGGGAGTTTCACCCTCTGGTTGGCTTCTTTGCGACGAGAATGTCTCCCGGGAGTCTGGCTCGACGCCGCCGGATGGACAGTGCCACCTCAGCAGGCAGTCACATGCTCACGCGTCCTCTTCGCTCCACCACAGGCTTTGCATCTCGTCGGCCGATGTTATGACTACAAGGACATACGCCCTGGGCCATCGATTGTCATCGCCTCAATTTTACAGTCACAATCCGCTAATCCGGGCTGTTGGAAGAGTGTCTACTCTGAGTCACAAGTGACAAACGGTGGGAGTCTTACTGGAACATACCCCAGTTTCCGGCCTCAACATACGGACACGCCCCTCCTCGATACTTGTGCGCTCAGTACACGACGTGACATTCGCCTCGAGACCGATGTCTCTGGACAGTGCTTCGCACTGAGCTATGTTCATGGTCCTGGAGGTGAACAGGTAGTCGTCATCATCTGCTGGCTGGAAAGTCCTCTGGAAATGAAACATCCATGGACGTGGACAAGCTTCTGTGAGCTTGAACGAATATTCACGCCGTGTTCAACCACTAGCCTGACACGGCAACATTACCACCGTCGTCTGTGCTGTTCATGTCTTCGGCTACCGCCCCTGATTTGCCCTGCACAACGTGCCACGCGGGCCTTGTTGGCAGCAGCTTGCGTGGGCTGCCTCCTCTGCCTGGCCGGTATGAGACTGTCAATGGACATGATGACTCTACAAGTTCCTCGCGCAAAGGTCATCATCGCCGTTGCCTGCGAGATATCTCGTGGAGGATGTCGTCCATACCACAAGCCCGGAAGAGCGACGCATGCAGACTGTCATAGTAGCTCACAAAGGAATTGCACTTGTGAATTCCCTAACCCATTTTTTCCTCCCATCCCCTGCAAGCCGTGGACCCGTCGGTCATCTGTTGCTGGACGGAATCAACAGTGGACTCTCAGAAAGTTTCATTCGGCAGTATCCTGATGCGATCCTTTTGATACATTTTCGCCGCTACAGCCGAGATATAGCTCTTTAGCATCAAGAAGGTTATCCCACATAGATGATCGGACACAAGTCATTACTCACACAGGTCAACCCGTACATGTTATACCGTAATTACAGGTGATTCAATTCAGGCTGGAAACAATTGCAGCTCTTTCGCCATGCACGCACGGGCATTATCACTCAGGCTGTGAGGTTAATTACTCTACCGAGAATTGAGACACGACTTTTCTGGGGACACTGAATATGTCGTATGGTGGAGATTCATGTGGTTACACGGGTGTGAGAGAAGACGTGTGCGCCAGCAAAAGCTGGCTCAATGAACAGTACCCACTAGGCGCTACAGTGTCTTCGCAAACTCTCATCTGGAGACTTGTTGAATATAGATATCCTTCCAAGCCATTCATCATCGGAATGCCTGAAGAGAGGTTTTCGATGGTACTGTAGAGCTTGCTGCTGTTGCGAGTCTTTGTCATCCGATTAAGGTTTGGCTTATGTGAGTTCATTGGCTAGCGTTGCCCAACGCTCCGAAGATGGGTCAACCCACACCTTGCGAATGTTACACGGCACTCCAGCTTGCTTTGTAATTCTCCCCACATGGAGACCACTCATCTAACCAGTATTCCTATGTTTAACCTACAGGAAATATTGTTCACTATCACACAAGTGACTTTCACAGTCTTTTCCATGTTTGACAGCTTGAAACATTGACCTGTGAACATCCTGAAGAGCTGCGTCCGTCCGAGCGACCGGGAATCGGGAACCCCGGTACGGTATATCCCGTTCTTGTACTCGACCGTATCAAAATCCAACGAGCTAACCCGCGTTCGTATTCACACATCTGCTTTCAGCTCTGTCATTAATAATACCTCAACCTCATTGCAGCCTCCATCTGGTAAGACGGAAATCCCACTGCTACTGTTCGACCATGCCGACTCTGAGACCTGGCGAATCCCGTCGGATTGCAACCCGGCTATTCCCACTTCTCTTTAAGTCCGGCTAGCAACACCAGCTTCCTCCGAACGAGCTTTCTTTTCAAGGAAACTTAATCCTCCGCATTCTCCGGCTCGGGCTTAGTGACAGGAGATAAAACCACTCCACGAACCCTCGGTCCACCTGCTCCTACAGGGAACGACGTCACGCAATTCAGTATGGTGTGAAGCAGTCTCAGGATGGACCTGCAGGATTCATCAGCTGTTCTCCACGATGCCTTTAGTGCTTTGCGCGGCATCGCCATTTGGTCCGAAATCCACTCTGTGAGAGTTGATGTTGATATTTGTCTACTCCGCTGGCCCATAATTATTGCTATTAAAGTCGTGCTCAAAGTCTGTAGTTCAAACTTCACGACCCTCATCGCCGCCACCAACACAAGTGGGTTACTCTGTTCTTTGGAGAGCGCTTTTGCAAAACTTCCTGCCTATTTCCCAGAAACCTGACCAGCCTCCAAAATGGCTTCGCAATACGCCAAAGACAAGCTTGAAGGCTTCGCCAATCGTATCGAGAAAGTTGCGCTCGTGGGTGTAAGGGTTTGAGTCACTTAAAACAATATCAGTATTTTCATCACTGATGCTTAGTAATATTCAGGCCGGCGGTACGCTGGGGAAACACATCGCCCAGGAGCTTGTCAAGACGGGGAAACACGTCGTAACCGCACTCACACGCTCTGGGAGCACCAACAAGTTGCCTGAGGGCGTCAGTCCTGTCATTGTGGACTATGACGACGAGACGTCTTTGGTGGAGGCAATGAAGGGACACCAAATTCTTATTATCACTCTGGCCGTGAGGGCCCCTCCTGGAACACAGAGCAAACTGATCAAAGCAGCGTCAAAAGCTGGCGTTTCTTACATCATGCCAAATGCTTGGGGGACTAACCCCTTAGACGAGAAGCTCATGAAGGACACCTTCTTCTACCAAGGTTTTGGTGAGTGGCGAACCACAAAACTCTTTCATTTACCTGATCATAGCTAATTTTCAAACTCCAGTCGATGCGTGCAAGGAGATTGAATCCCTTGGAGTAAGCAAGTGGTTCGTACTTTCATGTGGTTTCTGGTATGAGTTCAGCCTTGGTGGAACGGCAGATCGCTATGGATTTGATTTCCATAACCGATCCCTCGTCCTCTTTGACGATGGCAACACCAAGATCAACACGAGCACCTGGGCACAGTGCGGTCGCGCTGTGGCTTCCTTCCTGAGCCTGAAGCTTCTTCCCGAAGACAAAAACGATAACAGCCCCGCTATCGAAAACTGGACCAACCGCGCCTTCTACGCTTCCAGTTTCCTCGTCAGCCAGAAGGATATGTTCGAGAGCGTCAAGCGTGTCACTGGCACGACGGACGCTGACTGGACGATCAGCAGCGAGAACTCGGAAGAGAGGTACAAGAAGGGAGTCCAGGATTTGCAGAAAGGTGATGTGAAGGGTTTTGTGCGATTGATGTACACTCGAGTCTTCTTCCCAAACGGCGGTGGAGACTATGAAAGTAGCCAGGGCCTCCAAAATGACATCCTAGGTTTACCAAAGGAGGACTTGGATGAAGCTACTAAGGTAGCGATCAAGATGGCTTTGGATGGTTGGCTAGAAGCTACGTATGGAGCTGTGGGCTCACGGAGTGGTTAGTTAAAGTCTTGCGTACAATCAGACCAAGAATGATGTGAAGTGCTTTTAGGGAAACAGATGATCAGTTGCAGAAGATAACGAACAGCGAATCGGGCTTTCATTCCCCTAGTTTTTAACCAGGAGTCGCCAAGTAACGAGCGAGAGTAACTATTGTCCCCACGAGCATAAGGACAACAGCGCTGCACAAGCTAAGGTCTATTAAAGCGAACAAGGAAAGTGATCACTCGTTTCCACTGAGTTGGCTGGGACAATCTGATCGTGCAGGATTTTCCAATTTGGAAGAAGTAAACAGAGGTCATGATTTAGTGGTAATTTGAGGAGTCTATGGTAAATAAGGCGCTGGCACCATGTCCGATGCAAGCCCCAGCTCAACTGCTTTTTCGGTATCGAGCACATCTCTGAAGTACTTGTCTAGCTTCTGGCAAATTGCTCCTCTTTTGCCCTCCCAATAACCAATTATCTCTTCCATGTTACAAGCCACCCATCTCGTTTCCTCCCAGACCATTCGCTCAACTCCTTTGATTCTGCTAGACGCCTCGGGTGGGTCTTGGTATGCTGCCGCTTGCTCTTTTTTGTAGTTTAGAGTAAGGTCGTATCGACCAACATGATCAAAAACATGGTATGCGTCCCATTTCGGTGTCATCATATGTAAGAAAAAAGGCCGCACACCATAAGGACTGACATTATCCTTTTTGGTTGCTGCGCCAGCTGGGACAGCCTTTTCGGACTCGTCTACCGTCGAAACACTTGAGCTTGATGTGCCGACGCCGGTGCTGACCTTATAGTCCTCTGAAGGATCGCCTTGTATAAGTGCGAACCTAAAAATTCCCCTTTCCCGATGATCGTTGTGCTTGTAGTGGCCAACAGGCTGGGGCGGCGCCTCGACAGCATAGAAAGGAAGCCCTGCGGCTTCGGCTGCAGGGAGGAACGTCTCTTTATCCCCGCAGCCCGCCCCGCCTTGGCATAATAGCGGATAGTAGTATTCGGGCCCGTAGTAGTTGTAGTAAGCTGCTAAAAGCAGCGTTTTCCAGTGCCTGGTCTTCGACACCAGGAGTTGCCCAGACTCAGTACTTGCGCGAGCGGACACAGGCGTTTGTTTTGTTTGCGCAATCAGATAGTAGGCGGGTGATATCGATGTCTGCCAAATGTCCGGCCATGTGATCATGCCTGTACTTTGGAACGCGGTCGATGTGAAGAGAGCGCCGGAGTCGTGTAGCGAGAAGTTGTCTGCATCCAGCCAGAGCACGTTGTTGAATGAGGACAGTATTATGGCAAACACTTTGTATTGGTAGTGAGAAATCTTGCCGCCAAGTTCAGGGAAAGTGCGGCAGGCTGCGTTCAGTGTCGGCAAAACTTCTTCACAAATTTGTGCTTCGTATTCCTCTTCCGGGAGAAAGACTTCAACGGGGAGGGCTGTCCCTATTCGACGCAGAAGTCGAAGTGAAACCATCAAAGGCGGAAAATATGATCCACCGCCGACCGTAACAATGCCCTCGGGATGGTTATTCCTGGAGCTGTACTTCGGCAGCCTCTGTTTTACTGCCTTGATGAAACCTTGGTGGTTCTTCTTCATATTCAAGATCTGCTCTGACGTGGTCTCCAGTATGTCCATCAGCTCGGCATTATGATCAGCCGGCCACGGGTCCACTGTCGCTCCCTTGACTGCCTCAATTGGTGTCGATGCAGCAGGCGAGTACTCCTCGAGAATGGTTATCAATTCATGCGCTATGTCGACCTCTTCGTTCTCGAAGCCGCTAGCTATTGGAAGCCATTTTGAAAGCGTCTCAGTACCATCCCATCTCGTTTTGATCTCGGTGCGATATGGGAAGGCGAGGGCGATTATGAAAATAGCCACCAGTACCGCAATCCTTGGGATGGTGACGAACTTTGAGCGACAACAGGATTGAGCGAGAGTCAACATACTGTCGAGACCTAATACTCTCGCAAGGTGCAAACGGATTTGAAAACCATGCCGCGACTTGCTGGTTCATGGCCCAGTGTCAAGATGATGGAGGGAGTGATTCACGCCGGGAAGCACGTAGAATAATTGACTGCCGATGTTTGCTTGCTTGTGAGACACGGAAAGCCTTGCGACTGGCTGTTCGAGGAGACTGTGGGCCATTTCAATCGGCGGTCGAAAGTTTCTGGTCATTAGGACCGTTAAACCAAAAATCACTGAGGCCTACTGATTCATTGGGGCGGAGCATTGACATGCTTACATCTGTGGGTGGAATGTCAGACGGGAAGTGGGTATGCGAATCATGGTTGTCGTGTGCACTTACGCGTTCTAAAAAAAAGGTCGCAGCCACAACGTCCACGCGGCGTCGACATGATCCACCATATTATTTTGGGTGTCATATGTACCATGAAATGATTCCTGTATTGAATGACCCCTGAGTATCTTAGTATTATCACTGAAGTCTAACTAACGGTCTGTATTCGATATTCAAGGCGGCCTACATTGGAGCCTGCCGGCCTCAAGACCGTTGACCTCATTCTGCAACATCACTGTCTGGCCTAGCGACCGAATTAAATCCAAGTTAAAGTTCATAATAGTGCCAACGTATCAGAAAGTATCACTTTGCGATTCGTTGATGTTCCCGTTCGTCGGCATCGAATGCACTGGTGCAGGCGAAACAGGCGGTTTCCAATCAACAAACAATGCCTGATGCGTGTGATTTGAACTGCCGCTGTGAGAACCTGTGCATGGCTTCTCTTCGTCAATCCCAGTCTGCAAGATACCGGGCACGATCTCAATTTTCGGAACTTTCTTTTCTAGCTCGAAATTTGCTTGGATCCCGCTGCATGCGAATTGCTGGGAAGGCAATCCGGTAGTGTTGCCTGAGCGTCTCTTAAAATGGGCTTTTGAAGCAATAAGAGCCATCTTACGGCGTATTGAAGCTCGAAAAGTGTGGGAAAAAAGCGGTCGCAACACAGGGAGGCAAGCCACCACGATGGCCGCACAAAGCTCGCCGAGTGACCAAGCAGCACCATCAACTTGCCGGTATAAATCGTCGTTGCTCGGTTCAACTGGAAGGTATTTGATTTTGACGAATCCGATTGCGCATGTACTGATTGTGTATCGTCAGCTTATAAAGGTGATCGACCCGTTGAAACACGAAACCTGACCCATGTTGGGGAGAGATAAGGGACCATCACATACAAAAACCCAAGACAGAACAGTGCAATCAGTGACAGCCGATGCCAAAGAGAGGCTCTCATATGCCATAGAAGAGGAAGGGGTAAAGCGAAGATCACCCAGTCGCTCAATATATTCCCAACACTTTGTATGATGTACTGGTATCTTGGCAGACATTTTGCGGATATCTTCTTGTCCCAAAACCCAGAAATCGGCCAGCATGTGAAGGCACACATGAGAACGATGGCCAACGTCCAGACGATGACAACAACGAGCATCCAGTCAATAAGTCTCTTTATCTTGGCCGCAAATAGACGACGATATTGCAGCAAAAGGGCAACCTTAACAATGCCGAGACTTGCGTAAAATATGATGATGGCAACATACCATCGCTACTAGGTCATCTTGTGTTAGCCAATCGTTTGATAAACAGATGTGAACGAATACAAGCACTGAACTTGATAGAATCTTCTGGTCATGCTCTCTGTGAGCATCCAAGCATGCTTCCCCAGGCCAGTCTGTGCCATCAGGCATTGGAATACAGCTTCAGCGATCACCAGTATCTTGTTTCGTCGAAATAAGGTCAGCACAACAAATACTCAGAGAGGTTGACAACGCTGGTAGCCGTACCATGGCAGTTAATATTGCCCAGTCGTCAACACCAAACGACTTGACCACAGCCCATCGTGTGTAAAACCGCAAGCCAACTACCAGGGCCGTGAAAGGGACGACGGAAGCAACAACGTAGACTGCCACGTGGCTTCTATCATCTTGAGGCAAAGACTCCATTGGAAACACAGAATTGAATGAAGCCGTATGGGCCATGATGGCCAAGATGTGTCTCAGTAACGAGAAACAGTATACCTTACTCAGTTCACTAAATGGACGCAAAGCAGCGCCATACTAGAGAAGACTTTATGTCTGCTGTGTGATACTTCTCCCGAGTCAGTCACCGCCATTTCTGAAGACAGAGGAACTGTGATGAGTGAAAACAGGAAGTAGTAACGGTTGCATCCTCTGCACGGACACACCTATGCAAGAAGCCACAATGGGGAAGGGGAAGAATATTAGTTGCATAAAGGGCACGTAGTGTGGGGTTGCATCGAGACCTGATATCCTGGAACACTTGCCGTAACTCAAAATTGCGTTTAAGGTCACCTCTGTCCCGAGGACCAAAATATGGTTCGGACTTTTTTCTGCATGATCAAACTCAACTTCGATTTGGTGTCGCGAATCCCTGCTGTTGTACCCTAGGGTATTCAGAAGACCTGTCATGGATCTTGGTGGTCTAGCGAGCGATAGGATTCGGCTGGTTTGAAGCTGGTATCGCAGTAGGGACGTTGTCTCAGGGCAATTATGACGAGGTACATTAATCAAGCAATGAAATTGTAGTCGCAGCGAGGCAGTGTGAGTACCAAGACATACAAAGCAGACTAAAATACAAGTGTCCAAAAATAGATACGTTGAGTCAGCTATAAGAAGGAATCTAGATGCAATTGTATGATATTTAGGTAGGTACAGCAATTGTGAGGGACATTAGATATAGTATAACAAGCATACCTCCTCTCCAACATTCCTCGATGTGTAGATCTACGCATTTCCCTCTCTTTTGTTGTTTAGGTCTTCCACCCTCCCTGCGTATTGAAACTACCAAGGGGGTGCGGTTCCCTGTATATTTGCCAAGAAGATTTGTGTTAAGATTTCTTTTCGTGGAATTCTGAAGCACGTCTCGCTATTTTTCTTCTGATAGTACTGTTTTCGCTGTATCTTTTAATGTCTTTCAGGTTATTGGGCGGCGCGGGCAGATCGTCTGTCTCCAAATAATGGCGGATAGGCCAGACCTCTTAGTTGACGAGACGCTGTTTTAACGTGGCATGACATTGGCTACTTTTTGAACCGATTAGGGAACGAATGATGGCCATAGAATAGTGAGTCGGACATCCGTTAGGGCTACCGAAAATCATGTAGCAACATGGCCCTATTCCTTAATTCCTTCTTAAAATGGAGTATATATGCATCTTAAATAACAACAGCCTCGAGCTGCCGCTGTATAGCCTGCCTGTGCAATGTGTTCGCATTCATCTAATATCGATAGCTCACTTGGACATCCATTAAGCCTCATTATAGGCGTTCCAGCCCTCCACGAAATTATACTTCTTGAACCTTTGTAGAAGGGCAATTTTAAGCAGGGCATGAGATGAAAGATCTCCCCAATTTCGTGGGCTAGGAGAAGAGTACTTAGAATCTTGAATCCTGAGGTACAGGATCGAGATTAGTCAATCTGTTGGCAGGAGCAAGGTCGAAAATTAGTTGCCTTTTAGAACAGTAAAATAAAAGGGCCCCGGAAGATTATGGTCCATAGATTTCCTAGATTTCCGCTTCTTATACTTATACAATTAATTGCCTGTAATATCCAACAAGAAGGGTACATATAACATTATTATAGCGCCGTTCCGGATAGTATTGGGAAATTAAGGGCTGGACGCGGCTGATATCTTGGCCGAGAAGGCTGCGCGTCAGTGTCAAGCGGTCGGTTTCGAGCGCTAGAGTGCATGGCCATTGACGATTCGCGTCAGGAGTAGTAATGAAGGATACATGGAAAAGATCGTGGCGTACGTTCTTGATGGGCAGGTTTAGAGAATACTGCGGTGGTACTGTCGAATCGAGCCTCCTCGCAGTTTCGTACAATTCCCGCGCCAACCATGATCACCGCGGCAGGGGTAGAGGCAGTGCACGCCACCTTGATTCCTGGAGTGCAGCTAGCATGATGGGCACGGTAATGTGCCGATGTGCTATAGGGGCAGAGCTCGAGAATGGAGGTGAAATAAAACGGACGATTGGAGATGGGAACAGATGTAGTGAGGCAGGCAGAAGTGTCGGTGATGAGCCGTCCTGGCCTTTTATCAATAATGCCGGCTATATACACGGGCAGGCGAGGCTTTAATTACACGAGATTGTGGAGCTGCAGACTTTAACCTGCCATCATTTCAGTGGTCTACCTGGGCTTCGTCAAGGCTCAAGAAACCTTCGTTCACCCTTCTTCACCAGAAAACGTGTCTATTTGAGCTGTACCAGCGTGTTACCTCAGCTCTTTGTTGCGGACGGGAGTGGCGCCAACGATATCTTCGTTCGTTTGTCCTGAAGAATGAAACATGGCCCGAACTTGCTAATAAGCACGAAAACGGTGACAGCATAGTGATTAAGAAAGGCTCGTTCATCAACACGGTATTCTCGTTTGGCCTATCGAGGAATTGATATCTCAAAGATGGCGATGCAAAATCTGGTTCGTTCAAACAGTAAGAGAATATTTGTATCTTTTATAAACATTCGATCTCCACTCTTCTCTTTTTTAGATGATGTCGAATGTTTTGCTTGAGTAACTACAAACGTCTGATGTAACTATCTTAATTTCCCGCCCGTTCAAACTTCTCGAACGTCCAGCCATACTTGCCTAAGCCATGTGGTCCGGTGACGAATCGTCTTGCATTGTTTACACTCAGTTTACTTCGATGAGGCCTATCTTTTGAGCATGGTTGGTCGATACCCTATAGTCATTTCCGTCAGCTTGAAGATCCCCGTCTTGATTTCTCTCCCGCAGGTTACTCTGTCAGGGGAAGCCTGAGCCACCCAACGACTACGCGCATGACTTACTTGTGATTCCCTGAGCGCAGCAGATGGTTGAAACACTTGCAACCCTCCGCGATGACTGCGTGTACGGCCGGGTTCAAATCCCACTGCAACATTTAGAGTTAGCCATCAAAGCACCAAGGAGGAGGTTCAGTGGGAAAGAGGTCGAAGCAGATCACCATATGCCAGTGCCTGTCTCGAAATGGCAGCCTAAGAAGGTTCTTTGACTCCAGCAGTGCTACAGACCACGCATATGGCGGAAGCTTCTCCCTGGTCAAGTTAGGAACTTATCCAGAAGCTGCTTACTAGCCCGGAAGAAATTCAATACATCCTCCCAAGCGATTTGACCGGGCCTGTTCTCTGTACTCGTCGTCATTAGAAGCCTCGCGGTCTCGTAATTTTCGGCGTCCAATACAATCCGTGGCCTTGCTTGCTCAGGAGGAACGTCTGCAGGGGGAGGTGGGTTGAAGACAGGCTGCCTTGCTTGTCGCAGTATTTCAGCCTGTAGCCTCCGGTCAATTTGTGGTCGTCGTGGTCGGTCTTCATCTGGTCTTGCTCGACGAATGGGTGAAATCTTTTTCACACCTATAGAATAGAAGTTTAGAAATATAATCACTAAAACAGATGATTTGATTGAAAATTGAGTAGGTCGGGATAGAATCCGCCTGTAGCTTGTTACGAGAGCTAGGCTCGAGTATCGGGCTTCAGGGTAAGTAGTAAAGTTGTGTTTTTATGGAAGATATATCTTCATGGAAATGTAGAAACTTATTCAGAAGCTGCTCACCATCATTGGTCGTCTTCTTTTCTGGAGTCTTGGGTGCGGACTGCAAGTCTCTTGTCGCTGAAGGCGCCGGAGGGGTCCCAGGAGGACCAGCAAGGCCAGGAGGAGGACTAGATCCACCTATGCCAAGCATGGCACCGGGACGGGCAGGCCCGCTTGTGCCGGAAGTACCAGCAACAGGACTAGGTTCACCTGTGATAGAAAGGCCACCGAGGGGAGGAGGGGAAGTAGTCCCCGGATCGTCTTGTACCGTCGAATTCGGAGAGGCATTGTCGAGGAGACTAATGACGTACGGCGAAAGCGCATCTTCATCTTTTAGTAGCGGTTCCATGTCTGCCCAGAACCTCTCCAGGTTTGTCTCTGCTGTCTTCCTTGCGGTACTCCATTCTGTCAATTTGACGCCTTTCAACTTGCTGTTGGGAGCTGGCTAGAACATTGTCAGTACAAGTCCCCTACCAAAGTGCTATCACAGAGAGTAAACGAAAGCAGGCTGGGCCGCAGCAAGACCTTGAATATGCATTGCTCCCTGCATATTTGGCCAATAACCCCAGGCATCTAAAAGAAGGAGGAAACTCGATGCTACCTACATAGCTGAACTGAGTCATGGGGTCGGGTGTGAGATGCTTCTTCATACAAAGGATAATGCTTGAATGCATCTGATCCATGTTTTCGAGATTGGCCATATAATCGTTCCAGGCACCAAAATCCTGCAATTCAGCATGTTCAATTGAAATTGATTGGCTTTTGAAACTTCTTTGTGTTATCATGTCAACCATTGTGCAGTCGAAAGCTTCCTCTGCCTTCTCAGTTGCGTAATCCGTCATCCAGGGTTGGCCTCTGCGTATAAGGTTCAGGAGTTCATCCGCTATAGTATGTTGATTTAGATGACGTGCGTCCTCCTCCTGCTCGTCTTGTATCAAGCTCATCAGGGAGACAAGGGTTGCCTGTCTGGAACCTTGGGGAACACTTGGAACCCCAGGCCCTGCAATATTTGTTTAGCTATTACAGCACTGATAAAGATTGTTTACGTAGAAGGACAGTGGAGGGGCTACTAGAGCTATAGCCGCACAAAAGGCTCCAGGTCAGGCAGTGAATCTATTCCAAATATGATAGTCATGTTTACCCGGATAGGTAAATTTCAATTCTGAAAGCTGCTTACCGAATGCTCTAAACTGCGGTATGTGGTTGTCGACGGTTGACCGATTGCGGAAGTACCTCCTCAGAACCTTCGAAGACGTTAAGGCATCAGTCACAGGGTAGAAAAGGAAGAGTCGATGGGCCACGAATTCCTGGAGGGTCAGAAGATGGGTTGTCCAGTCTTCTGTACCGGGCACAGCCTCTGATAACCTCAGCGCACGGTCGTACATATTGTGCCAAGTATCGCAAGCTACCGTCAGGTCGGCCATGGCAGCTTTGAAATACGTAGACCACATACGGAGATTGTTGTTAGATTCCTCGCTGGCCTGCCAAGAAAAACACCAGTCAACGACAAGTCGCCCGGCAAAAGGTGGCGCTTCCGCGTCACAACGAGAAGTCCCTGCAGGTAAATTATACTTACCCACGGGTATGAACTCCCATCTGTATACAACACCATATGGTGCGAATGATCGCGGACGTCGGTGAGATACTCGAGAAACTTGCCCGGGTCTTCTTTCAGACCCTGAATCTTGTTCTCGAATGCTTGCATTCGGCTACCGCAGATAGCAATTAGAAACTCCCACATGCTCTCACTCGGACAAGTATAAAGGAATGTGTCGCGATGAATACTAAGATATTGCTCGAGATTTGTTTCGTCTCCGGGTTGCTGTGCTATCCCCCGGGCAGGGGCGGTAGGTTTCCAGATCCGCTGAATGTCTTCCCCAGGACAGCTGTACAACGTATCATTTCTCCCAGCTATAATCTCTGTGGCCAGATTCTCCAGAAATCCATATATTCTGATCTGAATCTCCATGAGAACTGCACCTTGGAAACCATGATCCAGACCCGAGGCGTGTAATGCTTCTATATCGGACTCCGGGGTCACGTAGTAGAGAGCACCGTACGCGTCATCCTCATCATCACCGGCGGAATATAGTCCTGTCATGGCTTTCCCGTCGTAGTAACCTCTGTCACCCACCACAATGGACAAGTCTCCTAAAAATTCTCCGTTCAATTCAAAAAAATCGGAATCGATGAACTTTTTGGGATGATATATCGCTCTGGATACTAAAAGCTGGAGGACTGTCTCTGAGCGCTTGGTTAAATCGGTTGAGTTGAAGTTTGGCCATTTTACGTGATTATGGTTCCCGCCAGTTATAGGCCAAAACTTCCTTCTTTTGTCTTTGCCTCTCCATGGTGCCAGGCCACTGGAGTACTGCAGTTAGCCTTTTGCGTGAGCAAACGAATTTTGGATAGAAGTCATTGCTAGGGCCTCAAGGTGTCATATGACGGTGTGTTGATATTTCTACTTAAAGATTATAGCAACTGGTAGCAATGCCTGTGGCGAAAAGAGAGAAAAAAATAGATGATAAGGAGTGTCTCTATCTTTGTTGATGTACTTACTCTAAATCTGGGCGATGGCTCGTAGGCATACCGGGATAATTACCAGAAGTTGGCCAGGCTCTTGAAACCAACTGTATTTTCTTTGTTCTGTCCATATTAATCCAGCGGTTCTCGATCTTGAAACGATTATTATTGTAGGTTTCCGCGAACCTCCGCCATGTTGCCATGATATCAGCCGCATGTGGAAGCCTCTGCGGCCGCGTATCTGTCGCAGGTTCTGATGACATCTTGAGCGGGAGATACTCCAGCTAAACCGACTGATTAAGAAGGCGCGAAGATTTTAAAAGATCTTCCGGGGAAACTGGCGACTGCTTTCTTTCCGAGTCGAATCACAGTCACCTAGAGCAGAATACAGGCGTTGTATAGACGAAGAGAAGATAACCGTGATTGATTTCTGCTTGCCTTTTTGCGCTTTATTTGTGGCTTAGCATTGACATGTATTTCTTTGATGCAAAAGTCGACTCGACCGTTGAAGTGTATGTGTTGTCATCTTTGTACAAAGCCGTTTCCGTCGCATAAGTCGATCAGTCACGTACAAAGCATTGAATTTATTGATTTGTTAGACGATAACGACCATCACTATCATGGCACGGTAAATCGCAGTTTCTTGATCCGGTAGAAATCGCTTCGTCAGTGAATATGACCTTCTTTATTCGACGAATCAAGTAGACTACTGTTTCCAGGTTCCATCTCTTGACACATGCAAGCAAGCCCAGCTACAAGCCCATGGTAGATATTCGTTTTATCACATCCGCACACAGCAATCCCTGCAAAGATCACGGTCTACATGTTGTATTCATGGCCCAGATCAGCATTTCTCATGGCATTACCTATTGCAAGCATAACCTTTAACGTAGTGGCGGGTCACATTGTCCATCGCCAAATAGGCAATACTACGGATATGGAATTGAATCGGAGATTCCCCAATAGTATTGGTTAGAATTGTAATACTTACATAGATTTGTTTCTAAGCCCGGTATGATACTTGCAGCCCTGCTGAACTTCAGTCCAGCCTGTTCTTTGACTAGTCCGTGAGGTTGACCTTTTGGATCCAGCTTTCACTACGTCCTCCTGAATGGCCACCGCCATCGGTGTTTGAGTATCTAGTTAGCTAGACTGCACGTCTTATTTCGGGCGACTCGTGGGGCTTGAGGCTCGTTAGTGGAGACTGTTGGGCTTGACCTGGAATACTAACAGGCTGCGGCTTCCAAAACCCCGCCTCAGATTTACTGTGCAACAAAAAGAAAGGATGGGTGCCTCCCGTGTTAGCTATATCACCACACTAACGCTGTCCACCAAAACTTTTGATAGGACGAACTATGGACGAACGAGCGAGGATTTCCGTGGCGCTCCCACGCAAGAACCCAAACCGCAGCTACTGGCAAGACCCTCCCGATGACATAGCCGATCTGAAGACGACGCAACACGTGCCGGAGAGGGCTGACATCGTCATCATCGGGAGCGGCATTACCGGCGCCGCCGTCGCCTGGAATCTGCTGCAGGATGGCAGCAGCAGCAGCTCCTCCCTAAGCGTTGTAATGCTCGAGGCGCGGCAGGCTTGTTCCGGCGCGACAGGACGCAACGGTCAGCACAGCTCTCCATCCCTCGATGTGACGGCCCCAGGCTGACACTGCGCGTCCAACCCCAGGTGGGCACACGAAAGCGGCCAGCTACCGGTCCTTTCTCGAGAATGCTGCCGCCCTGGGCACCGCTGCCGCGGCGAAGATAGCGCGCCTCGAGCTCGCCAACATTAATGCCATGCATTCCTTCGCTGCAGAGCACTCGATCCCATGTGACTCCAACCCATGCCAGACCGTGGATATCATTTACGATGAGCCGCACTGGCGCGAAGCACATCAGGCCGTCGAGGCAATGCGTCTCGCCCTTGGACCAGACGACCCTGCGGCTGAGTACGCCTTCCACGACAAGGAGGAGGTAAAGGCGCGATTCTACTGCGCGGGCACCGACCCAGAGCCGGTCGGGGCCATTAGTTATGCTGCGGGGAGTATCTCGGGATATCAGTTCGGCATAGGCGTTTTGAAACTGGCTTTGCAGAAGGGTCTGAACCTGCAGACGAACACGCCGGCTGTAGGTCTGAAGCAGTGTTCCGACGGTAGTGGTAGATGGGAAGTTAGCACTCCTCGCGGACACATTATTGCGGAAAAGGTTCTTCTCGCCACGAATGGCTACTCGGCCTATCTATGGAAGGCGTTTCAAGGTGCTATTGTGCCCTTGCGTGGACAGGTCACCGCCCACCGCCCTGGGAGCAACATGCCAGGGGATGGACTGCCTACGACGTACTCGTTCATCTACGAGAACGGATATGAGTACATGATCCCTCGCCCCCCTGGATCCAAACATGCTGGCGACATTGTAATCGGCGGCGGGCTAGTCAAGGCGCCTCAGGAGGGTCTCTTTGAATACGGTACAACAGATGACACTTCGCTCAACGAGGACATAAGCGCGTACTTACGCGATTCCACGGCGCGTTGCTTTGGAAAGAACTGGGGCGAAGACCACCCCGACGGCAGGATCAGGAGAGAGTGGACGGGGATCATGGGCTACAGCCCTGATGGCTTCCCATTCGTCGGTGAGATGCCCGGGTCAAGGGGGCTCTGGGCAAGCTGCAGTTTCCAAGGACACGGCATGGTGCTCTGCTGGATGTGTGCACGTGCGATGGTGAAGATGATGCGTGCCGATGGAGATCTGGACAGTTGGTTCCCCCGGGCATTTGTGATCTCCGAGGAGAGGCTTGGCAAGCGATTCCGAGGCCGGCTGCACACGTCCGCTGCCGTGGAGGATCATCAGCAGGCCTGAGCTTTGGCTCCGGCCCACCTTGACCGCTGCTTCATCTCAGCAAAATGGTCAGTTGGACCCGGAAATAATAAGCAAAAGCGTGTTATTCTCGAAACTCTACCAGAGTGGTCGAGTGCGATGTCATGTGGCGATGTCACTCTGTGTCGATCCCGCGCTGAGGGGTCAGCCCGGGCGAGCAGAACCTACGCCACCAGGTAGCGAGGCCGAGCCTTACAGTGCCCAATGTTTTATGAGTGATGATCACGCAACCTTCATGAGCCCGTCTGTCTGTGCCCAAGGTGGCTTACAAACACTTGTATAAGAGATACCCACATGAATCGTGAAGGTGCTGCCGGGTTGCGAGGCGGCCAGGGGGGGCATCCTAGGAGTCCGGATCCGAAGCCCGGCCCCGAAAGCCAAAATGGCCCGGAGGATCGGCTTTGCAGGACAGCGTGCCGGGACCATGGGACGAGGGTCGCATCGCCGTGCGTGCTGTACGCAAGGCCGTGTGCATGGGAGGGAATCCTTCCCGAACTTTCAGAGTCGTGTCCGTTCGTCGGCAGGTCGGCTGAAGACCTTCTCCACCCCCTCTTTTCACAAATCCTTCGGAGAACTCACCATCGATCAATGAGCCATCAAGTAATACCAGGCAACTGTGTACTTTCCTTGAAATCTAGAGGTAGAGTATACAGTGGGCTATGATAGTTCAAAAGTCTTCGAGAGGCATATTTCGTGACAGAGGTAGGGCCAGAATTAGCCTATCTGATATTCCACAGCCGTTGCAGACCTGAGTTGTCTGCCACAGTTATCTAAATTTCCCATTTGGGTAGGGCTTGAGACCATGCAGGTATGGGCACATCGTCTCGAGGTTGAAAGCACTAGACCGTCAAGTGAGCCAATTCATTCCCGGAACAAATTCCGTAGACAGGGCTGTGCCAGAAAGATTCGACGTAGATATGTGTGTAAATTGAAATATGAAGCGTTGCAAGGACCGGGGGCCTTATCTCCCCACTTGGAGTCTTGAATTGCTTATCTCTCATGCAGGTTTGAAAGGCTGGGCTTCCTTCTCGGTTTGTTGTGGGAGGGCTGATAGAGATGAATATTCGGTCGGGCTGACCGCATTGGGCTTGGTCCTGCAAGCCTGGCTGAGAGACGGGATTTGGAGAGCAAATGCCGAGTGCGAGAGGTTGAGTTTTGGCTCCAACTGAACTCCACACAGCACGGCCGGATCCGGCTCCGTGGCAATTGTGCATTGAAGGTGAGGGGCAGGGGGGCTTGGAGATCTTGTGCTGGACAGCAAGAGAGGCAGACAGAGACAGAGAGAAAGAGGCGAAGAGGCAAAGACAAGGAAGAAAAACGCAGATCTGCCCGTGCGACCGGCCACCGAGAACGTGGATGCCTCGTGTCTGTCAGTTGCCAACTTGCGTAAGGTTGAGGCGTGAGACGCGCGCTGGCTCCAGGCTGGGAGCGTGCGCACAGGCACAGCACAGGCACAGCCAGAAGCAGTGCGAACGATGATCCGTTTCAATGTCGCACACCCCCGCTGACCGTTGGTGCGGATCCGCGTCTGGCTACATAATTATTCTGGGATGTGGACGTGCTTGGATGCTGGTTGGAAGAGGGACGATGCAACGCTGATGAACGGTGTGTGTGTTGTGTGCCCTTGGTTGACCATGTCCCGCCTGTCCCGAACCGGAAAGTCTGGCGATGTCGACATGGCTCGCTTCAACGTCCGACACCGCATGTGGCTGTCATGATCGTATCAATTTGGCCACATCCTTCGAGGTGGATGGCACCGAGCCAGCACACAGCCAGTGACGATTGAGATTGGCATATCGTGCCTGGATGAGATAGAGATAGACAAACCGAATGAGAGCTGCTGGCCAGACCGTGGGTGTATGTATGTAGATATGGTAGACAGACACGTATCAAATTCTCCGTCAATGCGATCCGGGTTTAGCAGAAATACCGCCGAAATTAAACACGTCCAATGTTTGAGCCGCGTCCTTAGGGTTCAGCTGCTGGCTTGGCCCAAGTGTCTGGAAACCTTGCGGGCGCAGCTGGTCCCGCATCCAGCAAGGCGGCATTGGACATTGGGCATTGGGCAGAGCAGAAGAAGTATCCCGTCTACAGACATGGCTTGCATGCAACAACAAGCGGTGTCTCCATGCCGGTCTGACACGGCCAAGGTGGCAACGGGAGACTGATGTTGTGTTCGTGATACGCTCTACCGTGTTAAACACCCAGTCTATTGTGTAGGTCTGCATCTTGTCTGCATCTTAATGTACGGTGCTGTTGCAGCCGCAGCGAGAAGCCGAGGGATACTTACAGTACCACGAGTACCTCCACCAGCAACAGGCTAGCTAGGCTCTAGCATGCACAGCCAAGTATGATGGATCCAGCCTGAACAGCCCTGCAAAGCGACCGCCACGCCGGGAACCCGATCCTGGGACAGCCCCTGCTTGTCTTCCCTGCTGCAACCATCCCACTGGGACCCGTGGATCTTGCTTCCTCCCGCTCCCTCGGCGCCTATCGGTGGGCCGATACCCACTCCTGTTTGCGCCTGTCCGAATCCGAATCTGACTCTGACTCTGAATCTGACTCTGATCCGACCTACGATGGCTCAGGCTGGGGAAACAGATCCGAACCCCTCACTTGGTAATCAGGAGCAAATTGGGCCTGCGCGTGTACAGGTCTAGTCCATGTAAGCCTAGGGGTTGATCAGGGAAAAAGTGGGTTGATTCTTTCATTTTCCCCCTCCTGCCAAGTCCAGGCACAACAGGCTGCGGTAGACTAGCTTCTGCTGCAGTCCCGGATCTCTTTAGTCTTTAGTTGGACTCTCTCTCCGGGTCGACACCGCTCCAGACCGAGAAAAGCGGCTGAACAGAGCCCCAGGTGCCAACTGGCTGACAGGTCGGGCCCTTCATTTCACAAGACCAGGCTAGAGCACAGCCTTTTTGTGCATGCATGCGACGACCGACTTGGGAACTGTGCAGGCTTGTGTGTCTCATCTGGTTGTCCAACAAGATGACGGCTTCGTCTGGCGGCTTGCAGAGAGCACTCAAGCTTGAGCGTAAGCAGGGAGCCTGCCGGCATTGGCACGAACTTGGACCTGTGATCTTACGCATCTTACGGATCTTCCGCATCTTACGGCATCTTACGGTAGGCATCATCTTCTGTTCGAAATGTTCTTCATGCTCTAGGGCCGGGCTAGTGACAGGCCAAAAGGTACAACATTGCGGTTCTTCTCCACATCAGCTTCCTGGGCAGCACGCGCAAGGAGATGAGTGATGGAAGTACCAAAAACTAGACTAATGGGCTACTAAGTCCCATTGTACTCCATCGTAAGCACTTCCAAGGACTGGGATCCTGGTCATCATCCCCTTGTGCTGCCCAATCCCTGGCCGGACTGGAAGACGGGGGCACCTGAACAAAGAAACCCACCTACCCGACCCTATGGATCATAAACCGGTCCTGGCCCAATGGTTTCCTGCCATAAGTCCACCCATCCTTTAACGACACCACCACTACCCACCCTTCAAGCGAGCCCATACTTATTCCAGCCGCCAATACAGCACGGTACTTTGTACCCTCGTCAACTCGGCTTACTCCCTCTTTTGATCTGAGGTGTTCCCCCTGCTCACTCAGACATCCGGTGTCCAGAGCCTCACTTACTTCCACTCACCACAATTCCTGGACGGCACCATATTGTGTTTGGATTCCGGACAGCCATGCAATACTCACTTACAAGATAGTACTGGTGGACAGTCATAGTGCAGACCAGTGCACTCAAAGCAGGCATCCAGCACATGACGATGCTCTCCCCTCCAGGCTCGGCATCCAGCTCGATCATGGACCAGAACAGGTCACCAGCAGGATCGTCATCCCGAAGAGAAGCACCATTCTCCGGCCAAACATCCTCCAGCCAATACCCGCCAACCAGCGCGGCTTACAACACCTTCCCGCCAACCTCAGGCACAGCCGTGGGCGCCCCCGAGCCCTCGCCCCCACCGTCACTGCTAGGCCAGGCCGCCAGGGACCAGGCCTCCTCCTTCACCAGCACGTGGATCACGCCCGCCTCCACCGAGGACCTCGCCGGCGACGACGACGACAACTACGCCGACACGGACTTCGTCTTCGAGAACGGCCGCAGGTACCATGCGCCCGCCTCGGGCAGGGTCGTGTACCCCCTTCCGAACGACGAGTCGGAGCAGGAGCGCGACGACATGAAGCACAAGCTGGCCTTGTGGATGATGCACGAGAAGCTGCTGTACTCACCTGTCGAGGAGTCATTAGAGCAGGGCGGCATGGTTCTCGACCTAGGTATGTGGCCTCCTTCCTCTGGAGCCTTCCTTCTTACCACCCTGCACCCACTTCCCGTCGACATGAAATTCCTTTTTTTTTCTTCAAGTCGCCGGAAGAGACTGCATCTTGTTCCTTTTTGGCTCCCTATCTTCTGAGGCAAATCACCCGGCTGCAGCACCTCGCCGACCTGTGGACACTATCACCGCATGGAGCCAGAGCCTGGGCCCTTGGCGAGCTGAGCTGAACGGAGATGCCACTCACGTGGCTTTTTGGGCGCGCCACAGAATGGATCAGAGGGCTGACCTATCGTGTAACGAAAAACAGGTACCGGGACTGGGGAATGGGCCATGGACAGTGAGTGCGACGAGACCCCGAGCTTTGCATTCCTTTTGTGTTTCTCCACATCAGACCATCCACCCACTCTGCCGGGATGTAGTGTCTCGGAGGACCTCCGACCTTGTGCGCCGGGGACACGATGCGCTTGGGGGGAGGCATCGGGATACCGCATCCCATCAAACAAGGCTGTGCTTCCTCGGACGGGGGGGGGGGTGCTGTTGGGTAGCCCTTCGCGCCCACGTGCAGTCTCGTGCAGTCTGGTCGGTGTCACGGTCATCACCAGTGAGACAACATGGGGTCCGCTTCGGGCCACTTCTTGTCTGTTGTCATCCAAAAGGGGCGAATGCTATGGCCCCCAAATTCAACGAGATCTGCACAAGCCATGTTGTGGTATTCAGCCGGCAATGGGTGAATCTCACGTCTGCTCCCCCTTCCCGCTTCCCTCCCGATGTAGCACTGTCATGAAGGAAACAAGCAGAGCCACCAGAGTATGAGCTCAATAATGGATATGGACTGACCAGTGTGCAGTGGCTCAGAGGTACGGGAAATCACAGATATTCGGCTGCGACATATCACCAATACAACCGGCATATGTCTGGGATAATGTCTTCTTCTCGGCAGACGACTTTGAGGAGGAGTGGACGGACTATCCTGAGAACGCCTTCGACTTCATACACATGCGCTACACGGCGTTCTCCATCAAGGACCCAGCAGCATTATTACAACGAATAATGAGGTACGACCCCGGCCCCGTCCGATTCTTTGGCAAAGCCTTCCCAAAAGATCTGGAAAAGAGGGAAAAAAGACGGACAAGGAGGAAGAAGGTAGAAAATCAGACAGGAAACAAAGCTGACACTGCGCGCCTCCACAGACATCTCAAGCCAGGCGGCTGGGTAGAATTCCAAGAGATGACCTACTGGCCGCGGTCCGACGACAACACGCTCACAGACACGACGCCCTACGCCTTCCGCGACTTCTGCTACTACGTGCAGATGGGCGTGGCGAACCTGGGGCTGGACCTGCACATGATCAACCGGCTGCCGGCGGCGATGCGGGCCGCGGGCTTCGACGACGTCACCGAGGCGCGCCACAAGCTGCCCATCGGCCGCTGGGCCCGCGACCGCAAGATGCGCCAGAAGGGCATCTGGTTCCTGCGCATGATCCTCATGGAGGGCCTGTCCGCCATCGCCAAGCGGCCCCTCACCCAGGGCCTCGGCTGGAAGGCCGAGCAGGTCGAGATGTTCCTCGTGGACGTGCGCAAGAGCCTCAACGACACGGGCGTGCACGCGTACTTCCCCTTCACGGTGGTGTATGGGCGCAAGCCGCTGGAGGGCGGCGGGGGGCCGGTGGCGACGTCTCCACGGTAGAGATGGGTGGGTAGTGAGAATATATGGCGGGACAGCTATGGAGATTCGCGAGACATGGACCGTGGGTTCTGCGAAGGTGGTGGACAAAATGAGATACCCAATGCCACGGCAGCAGCTGGCATATGACATGAAGGACCTATGGTCCTACAACCTCTCCACTAATATTCAACTCGGTGGAAATGCGGACGGAAGTCCGTCATGGGCTCTCTAGCCCTGACGAGACGGGAGAACATGAATTACGAGAAGCGTACGGAAACGTACAATGAAAGAGTTTCATCATCCCATGAAGATCCATGCATCACCGCGACTTGTTACAATCTGGCCAGATGCTCGACGGTGACATGCGTACACATTTTACGGCACAACCTTGACTTCTCACTTCAATAGATGCCCATCCGCCTTCGCACCAGCCGGCCTCTTCCAGTGGACCTTTACACCACCCCAGCTGTGCTGACTGTACTCCTCCTGCACCTTGCTACACGTCTTCAGCCCCCAGTCCGTAACCCCAACCATCAAGCAGCTCTCAAACATGAACGCGCAGCTGCCTGCCCCGACCTTGGCCGGCTGCAGCTCCGCGTTGCGCGCGCCCTCGTAGCTATCGGCATCAGGGCCGTGCCCGCTCATGACATTGTGCAGGCTTGCGCCGCCGGGCACGAACCCGCCGGCGCCGCCCTTCTTGGCGTCGTACCCGCCCTGGATGAGCCCCATGAACTCGCTCATGGTGTTGCGGTGGTACCACGGCGGGCGGAAGGTGTCCTCGCCGACCAGCCAGCGCGGCGGGAAGATGACAAAGTCGGCGACGGCGGTGCCCACGTGGTCGGTTGGGGCGGACAGCACGGTGAAGATGCTCGGGTCCGGGTGGTCGAAGCTGATGCTGCCGATGGTGTTGAAGCGGCCCAGGTCGTATTTGTAGGGGTAGTAGTTGCCGTGCCACGCGACGACGTCGAACGGCGTGTGTGGCTGCGCCGTCTGGTACAGGCTGTTGGCGAACTTGGCCGTGATGGTGTACACGTTTGGCCCGTCAAACGCCACGCTGCCGCAGTCCTCGTCGAAGGAGGCCAGGGGCGCCTGGAAGTCCCGCGCGTTGGCGAGCCCGTTGGACCCGATGGGGCCGAGCTCGGGGAGGGTGAAGTGGCCCTGGTACAGCTCCAGGGCGTAGCCGCGCGCGGGGCCCGAGGGCAGGTAGACGGCGAACTTGACACCGCGCGGGATCACGGCGATTTCCATGGGTCGGACAAGCAGCCAGCCCTGCTCTGTGCGAATGTCTAGCACGCCCTCCTGCGCGACGAGGAGAAAGTCGCCGTCCGCGGAATAGAAGGCGTGCTTGGTGTCCATCGACTTGGCGGCCGCGAAGATGTAGATGCCCAGCCCTGACTTGATCGTGGGGTCTCCCGCGCCAGCGACCAGGTGCAGCCCGCTCACGAAGTCCGTGTCCCCTGAGGCTTTGTCAAAGGGATCCCAGCGAAGCTGATTGGGTATATAGTGCATCTTTGTCGCGGCTGACTCCTTGAAGTCCACGGGTTGCCCGTTGCCGTGGCCATTTGTCGGCTGGGAAGAGGCCGGCTCGAAGGGCGGGTGGGAACAACTAGGGAGGATGCGGTAGAGCCATGACTGCTTGTTCTCGTGACGGGGCGCGGTGAAGGCGGTTCCGGAGAGCTTCTCAGCATAGAGACCATGTGGAGGCTTCTGCGGGGAGTTGCGGGCGACAGTAAGGGCCTCCGGGACAGCTTCAGTTCTGTTGGTAGATAACAGTATGGTTAGTCTATGGACCAGTTCAGAGAGTGCCAATAATCACACAGGAAACAATAAGTGTTGTACTTGCTCGAAGTAAGAGTCGAAGCCGTTCTGATAACGGTACTTCTCCTTGAAGTCAAAGTCTGTGACCGGCATCGTGTTGGGCTTCCCTCTAGACAACTAGTCTCCTCGGTGTTCTCCTCAATGCTGAAGAAGACTGGTTGATTTCAATGCTTTGATGATGGATAGTCTATCACCTAGCAGCAGTCTTGAAAGATTACTCTTCGCCAGGGAACAGCGTCAGCAATCACGGCGGGAAGTATCGGCATCTTAAAACAGCACACATGGCACCAAGCCCGCGACTCGTTCGGCTTTCTGGATTGTGACGTCGCGGCGCGAGCTTGTCGGAGTGTCAAGATCGAGTCGTAGCTCTCCGACGGCTCGCCCCTTGGCACCGCCCTCTTCCCCCATTCATTCCGCACACGGCTAACACCGGAGAATGCGGGGTTGACAGCGGAGGGGTCCAGTGCGGGCCGACGAGAACCGCCCCGCACCTTCAACGTCGCCGCACCACCAAGGACCCGCTTCCCAGATCGGGAGAAGGTTCGTGATTGATCAGATTCAGAACTAGAATAAGATCTTTGGAGCGTTCCAGTGCCTCGGAAGAATATTGAGCATAATGGGATCGAATGATTGGGGCAGCTGCTCATCCTGTCAATGCCTGTCGAGGTGCAAAGCTGAGGTGGCTGGCCATGGTTAATGGTGGGGCCACTGGGCAGAGAGTATCGAGAGTATGGAGTTATTAGGGGGGTATCCAGGTACCTAGGTATCTCGAACTGTTTGATTCTTCGATCTCAGAAGTAGGTTTCTCACACAGTAGTAGTCTTGGTCTTTAATTGGGATCTGAGCTTAAGAACAGCAGTCAATAAGCTCCACGCTTCCCTCGCTGACTTGAATGCGACGGCTCACACGTCACAACAACTGTCTGCCACGACGCGGAAGATGGTAGGTCACAGACAATTGTACACAGGTATCTTGAGGAGCGATCATAGTCCTTCGATTGACTGCCGTGCAGTAGGGCTAATTCTGGCAGCAGAAGCTCATATGTCTCTCAAGCGAGGACTGTCACAAATAATGCATATTCAACCAGCCCATGATGTTATCCACCGCAACGCTGCCAAGTCCGCACACAACTCAACTGCCCAGAGACACCGAGTCTTGCGGATACACGCGACGAGATGTTTACTCTTCGGCGTGCTTCTTGTTCTTCTTCTTGCCCGATGAGCTTGCCACCACGCCGCTGTTGACCTGCAGGTGAACCACCAGTCTGGTCCATGACTCCTCCTTGTCCCACTCAAATCCGGCTAGGTAGGGCTTGTCCAGCTCGTCGTCTTGCTGTTTTGCAGAGTAACGTCAGTAATCACGGACAATATAGTACAGCAGCTCATGCAAGTGGGCGACATGTTGGGGGGTAGATATGGGGAAGTGGGGCTTACCCTCTTCTTGAACTGCTTGTGGATAGCATCCAGTGCATCCTTGATTGTCACACCCTTGAGGTTCCGTGCCGTGACCTCGAGGCCCAATGGGAAGTGCAGGTCGATCTTCTTGACTGGTGGCTCAGTGAGCATCTTCTTCAGGATGTCCTTGTCCTCAACCGTCGATGGTGACGTGTTGACCTTCCTGTACGCAGCAATGGCACGTCAGCATTCCAGTTTACACCCACCGGGTGTGGTGGATTTGAGCAAAAAGGCTACATACCATCCAGTCTTCTGTGTCTCGGGAGCTATTTGCAGCTCGATCTTTTGCTCCTCTGTTCCAAGGCGAGTCAGCTGATGGTCAAGCTATGTGAGCTGTCCAGGTGGTGGTCGAGACATACCAATATCCTTGATATTCCACACGCCAGGGGCTGCGATCGAAGACATCCTAGGCTTCTTCGTGTCCTTGGCGTCCTTGTTGGTGTCGATGCCCTCGACGGCAGAATCGACCTTGGAGAGTGCTTCCGTCATGTTGGGTAGGTTTGTGTGAGGATGTGGTAGACGAGGCTGAGAGGGGGTGTTCGAAGTAGTAGTCTATGAACTGCAAGGTCACTTGAGGAAACCTTGGGCGATGGTCAAGAGGTTGAGTCTTGAGTGTTGATGGTTGTCTTTGCTTGGTTGTTTGATTCCTTGATGGTGATGATGATGTTCAGGGAGAGAGCATACGAGAAGAGGGGAAGGGGGAAACGCGAATGAAGTACCAGAGGAGGGGAAGGTGGGAAGGTTATTCGGATTGGGCACTGGTCACTGGTGACTGGCAACTGGCAACTGGCATTGGGTAATGGGCCGATCAATGGCAGGCACGCATTGTCCAGGCTACGAAAGGGGCTATGGCGTGAGGACGAGCGTGACTTCGCACGCTGCGCCGTCGTTGTCCCCTCTCCTCACCAGAGACCCTGTCCCTCCGCAGTCGTAGCTACCTCATGGTGTCAGAGTGTGTGGGCCATGTTAGGAGGTACCGTATGCAGCAAGTACCTTGTCTCGGTCAGTCTGCAGATCAATGCCCCAATGCCCTCGTCCAAAGGTACTTGGACTGTTCCCTGAATTGGGTTTCGTCACCAGCCAGGCGGGGTAAATGCTTCAGAGTCAAGTGACCACGCTGTGCCTCTACCTCTGGCCTTCTGCACTCTGCCTATGCGTATGCCATCATACACAAAGAAACCCGGGATCTGATCCGTCATGCCAGTGGGGAGCTGGCTGTTGCAGCTCCAGCTGTTCCGCTGGAGCTTATTACACGACAGGAGACTGTGTCCTCCACAGTCCACACCCAGACGACCGACATTCAATCAGCCCATCGCGTGACCTGACCCTCACCTCGAGCAAGGGTCGATCAGGAGCTCTGCCCCGCTCAGTGCTGGTCCCCTGCTAGCAGAAGGCGGTTGCTACCCTGCTGCGATGCTGCTACTGGCCCGGTGGCCGGAGTGAGCCCAAACCCCTAGTTAGCTTGTCTGGCGACTCTGGGGAAAATCCGGGGTAGAAGATGCAAGGCCGACCCACCCACCATCCAGCATGAGCTTTCCTGCCAGACCGAGCTGCTGATTGGTCCTACCTCCCGACCTATTCACTGCCAAAATGGCCTTATGAGATCCGATCTCATCTTGCATTGCATTCTTGCTCTCGTCCTCAGATCCAGCATTTCCAACCTCTTTTGCACTGCAAAAAGGCGACATGCTCGTTGCGCGAGTTCGCTGCTCCTTCTTCGGGAGGACACGGAAATACGTCACAGGCCTCATGCACGGTCCCGCTTTTTCGACTCCGATTCTGGCCTGATCTCGGTGACCCGTCTGCGCCGCGTCGTACCACCCGCAATCTGGACCAGCCGTTGCGAGGGGCGTCCGCCGCGATGGGCTCCAGGTCACCTGTCACTATGTCTTCCGGCGTCTGTAGTGAACAATGAGGCCATTTCAACTGCAGCATTGGTCACTCACTCTCCACACCGTTATTCCCCGGGTCGATCCACCCAATGCCCAACTTCTTCGTCACCACCAGGACATGACGCTCTACAACAGGAGCTGCACAAAGTACGATGGATGAGATGTCTATTTTGCTGTCTTGACCAACAGGACAATGTTTCTACTGTCTACCTGATCTTTCTGGCCTCGAGATGGCCTCCAACGACCGTGTCACCCCCCCCCCCCCCAATCAGCCCCTCAGACAGCTAGCCATTCCGCCTTCTGCGCCTCAACATAGTCTTGGAACTTCGTAGGCTCCCGCCCGGAGAATTTCTTGATATTCGCCACCGCCTGCTGAAACTCGGATTTGGACAACAACTTCTCTGGCTCTCTCATTTGGTCTTGCACTCGCAGGAACTCCTTGATCATCGGTGGAGGCATATGACCCTCGACCCTAGCAGAAAACTCCTTCCCGTCAATCGGCTTGGTATCGATGTCGGTCCGGCCAGTGATTTTCTTGATGGTATCCCATACCTTCTCGGTCGTGATGAACTCGGGTCCGGCTAGGTAGATGACCTCCTTGCCCTCCGACGGCCTCTCCACTAGCACAGCCCCTCCAACCGCGCCGATGTCCTCAGGTACGATGTTGTCCGACATCGCATCCGCATAAAGAATGTTCGCCCTTGGTGGCTTAGTCGATCTGTCCACTGACATTTTGATATGGTTGCTCGCAAACGATGCCGGCCGCAAAGCTGTGACATACGGAAACCCAACCTCCTCTATGGCGATCTCGACTTGGGCATGGCTATAAGGGATGATGTGCTCAGGGGGAATGGAGCGGAGGTCAGTCCCCGCAGTGATTGAGAAGCTCGACAAGAAGACGACGTATTCGACGCCTACGTTCTTCAGGGCCTGCAGTGTCCCGCGCATGTGGTCAGTCGATCCAAAGACCAAGTAGACGTATGCTGCCTTGGCGCCAGACTTCTTGACGGCAGCGCCCACCGAGTCTGGGTCGGTGAGGTCGGCCTGGACGCGTTCGAACTTGCCGGCCTTCTCGACGTCTCCCGGGATGCCCTCGATTGCTTTCGAGGTATCCCGCATCGCCAGCCAGACCTTGGCTCCTCGCTTGCTTGCCTCGAGAGCAGCTGCCCCGCCAACCGCGCCGGTGGGTCCGAAGATAATGACGTTATCGTACTTTGCCGCCATGGTGATTTTGAGGTAGTGCACTTGCTTGGTCAGGAGGAGGAAAGTGATGAGGAATGGTGTTCCATCATGGAAACGGTAGGACCGATGTGAGCTATATATCCTCACAAGCGAAACTCGGTTGGGTTAGTTGGTATGGTGAATCATTGCACTCGACACCTTCTAACGCCATTATGCCGATCAGGAGTAATCTCCGTTGACCAGAGGCAGCAAAACTACCAACGCATCGCATGCGCGCTCACCTGCACAGCAGGCATCCGCCCGAGCTGCAAGAACAGCACGTATGCACCAGTGGCCGACGAAAAGACCACGCAGCTCACGACTCCGATCCACAATAGCAAGGCTCGGCCATTCGCGCACTGCGGACTCGTGGTCTAATTGATCGCCCGCTTATCAAGAGCGGATCAATGCGGACCCCGATGCGTTCTGGCTGCACGCCGGAGGAGAGCACTTAGCTCCGAATAGGCACTAATGGAGGTAAAGACCGGTTGGGCGGGCCTATACTCAGACAGGGGCACATGCCACAAACGCCTCAAATTCATTGATTCAAGATAGCGCTCACATTATAGCGACCCCCAAGAATAGGTAAGCAGATTGTAGGGTCAATAGATTACACATCTCAATGGACGCCTCGTGCTCTAGACTGTCTTACTCAACTTCCAAAATGACCTCTAAAATCAGCCCACCTGCGGCCGAACATTGTAGATTTGTGTCACACGTTCTTTGTAACAATTCGCATTTTGTCTTGGCGGCGGAGACAATAGTCACGTCTGGCCGACCCGGAGTTAACGGTGTTTGTGGGAGTCGGACACTCGCGATTCCGGTACGCAGCACTAATTGACCCGAGTTGAACATATTCCTTCTTCATAGCCAAATGTTGGATTCCCGTCATTGACTTGCCCGAGCGAAGGCTCAGACCTGTGGAGTCATCCTCCTCTTTCAGACTGAGACGAGCCGCAGTGCAAAGTGAGTTGAAGATGCAATGCTGGTGTAAAAGTTTACCATGTTCACATATGAAGATTCCATACTGATGTGAAATCATTAGTGTATAATTTAAACTTAAGGTTGAGAGCATCAAGCCAGTGCAAGCTTTATAGCGACCGAGCTATGATATTCCATAACGTCTCTTCGAATTCGCTCTTGTCCGCTGTCGTATCTCGGGGTGACATTCCTCGTATCATGCTGGGGCCATGTAGCTCAAGGTGCACACTTTGTTCTGAGACGATGGGAGCTAAAAGAAATCCCAGACATTTCAAGACAATAGTATAGAAGCCCAAAGGCTTCTCTTCACTTAGTATTCTTCGTTATCCTCTCCAGACTTGAATCACCTGTGGCCTTCGCTATACGACTTGACGACTGCATCAAAGAGACGTCGAGTGTGTCGGAGTCTTGAACCGTCACTTCATCACCGGCCAGCCGCGAGCTCATCGACTTCTTGGTCATTTTTCGTCCCTATTGCTGGAGTTTGTCACCCTCTCCAGCACCCTTGCTGCCAATATCTTGACAAATTCAATCTTGCACTTGATTACTGCGTTGTTTGTTGAGCGCGAAATGAAGGTAGTGGAGAAACCCGCTCACACTCCCCCCCCCCCCCCTTTTGCATATGATTAGATTTTGCACGAAGTGACTTTGACTAGCTTGTGTCACAAGCAGTACGCTTCCGGACACTCAGCAGGGTGATGTGAACAGCTTCTAGAATATATAGACTCTTCTCACTCAGCTCTGAGATGCCGATGGTCAACCATTTGCAAGCCTTTCCGGATGTAATGATCCGCATTAACAATATGAAGTAAGTGAAAGCTGGGATCATCTGACACATGGTACAAGAGCGGGTGGAGCTGATATCTAGGGAGTGACACCTTGTCTTTTTACAAGAATCAGCTGTCTCGAAAAATTGTCAGCACAGTAAACCTGACTGCACAGTACCCTGGAGTGGGCTAGCTGGTTGTACTCAAAATTCCAATCAAAGTGGGCAGCCATATCGCAATGTTGTGCCCTCGACACGCTGGAATGCCACGATGTCGCCCTCACTTCATACCAATCTTCTGGCCAGTGATACATTATTCCTTCATTTCGGACTTTCCCGATGTATACTACATGATTTGGGATTGAAAGCTTGAATCCTGACCGCAGGATATCGAATATGACGATGACGATCCGCCAGGTGTTCAGAGTGATCATATAAAACATTGACACAAATATTCATTTCCAGCCAAAAGGTCGGAAATATTTCACAGGGGTAGGGTGGCGCAATACGCCCGAAAATAAAAAGACACCATGGCCCATGGCAATTGAGAAATGGGCCCTGGCAAACCGCCACTTCAGAAAATCATTTAGAGATAGATCCGTTCTGAACAAAGCTGACTAAACAACAGCCTTGTAACACTTTCAATTAGACAGGTGCTAGTCACTACCGAATTCATCTCACAGCACAGCAGCGGGTGAAAATGGCCTCTTTAGCTTTTTCTCGAAACAAAAGTTACACAAAAAGACTGCATGCACTCAGAATCTGGTCATCGTTACCAGTACCTCTAGCCAAGACGCAGCGACATGGAGAGAAAGTCCAGACGCGGAATTGTGCAGTGGGCAAGTTCCCCTGGATATACCAAGATTCATCCCATCTCTGGTAAACGTTGAACAATGCAATTGGAAAGTTTGAGCTTGGGCCAGAAGCCGCGATAGTTTTGCCACTGAGTACATTGTGGCTCAGCCATCTCCTAGGATAGACTTTTATCAAAACCACCACACTCCAGCATCAGTCCATCTGAATTGCGTGTCAGGATTCTAACACATTCCTAGGGATGGAAACATATGTTTAACGAGCATCACGTTAATGACTCCATTCTGAATGCTGGGATGGTGTCACAGAAGTAGGTCACCATCTTCGTCGCAACTATGGATCGTTCCCCCCCACGTCGATTTGCCGAATGATACCTTTGTCAGGTTTCGCATCGGACACCTCCAGAGAAGGAAACATTGCTCCGTGAAGATTCAGTATTGGAATTAAGCTCATTGCCGCTGGCAAAATTCGCTCGGGACGACACTTCCGTCCTGGATCATCGTATTCGCCTTCAAGGTTAGATTTGATGCTCTGATCAAACGTCATATTAGAGACATGTCAGAATGGATGTATGCATTTTGTTCATTGGGTGAAGTTGAATTGCTTAAGACTCGTGCGAGTGGTAGCTTAGGTGTGGGATGGCTACAGATACGTGATGTCTACGCAGAAGTTGCTACTCTATAGGAGCTATTATTACCTTGATTTTCTCTTTGGCTCAAGTGGTAGGGAAGACTTGACCGGTTAAGGAAGTTGAAGCCTCATGGACTGATGTCACACATTAATCTATATTCTATTTGCTCGCTCTCCAAGACGAGATTTACCAAGTGAAACTTTTGGTTTGGCGCACGTACTGTATTTCCGCGGGCTACCTTGGCACACTTCCTCCATACCTGTCTGTTAGCCCTGGCCAGTCCTGCCCTCTGTTCCAGCTCCAGCAGGTTCACCATCGCGCACTATCGATGATGCAGCCGATTCAGAGGTTTTTGAGCTCGTCAGTCTTGTCTGGCTCGCATTGTCATCCGTCCAAGGCTCAATAGCTGGGGCTGACCCCTTGCGTGACGACTTTCTCTGTCTTTGTAGTCTGATGAATGTCGAGGGCTCGGATCCGGCCGCACTCAGGGCGAAGAACTTGAAGAACCGCTCCAGAAGAATTCGGACGGCGGGAAGACAGGACGCAATGATCCCAGCGGAAAGTTCGACACTGGTCCAATAGACTACCGGCACGTACGTCCATGTTGGATCGAGGGTAGTCCCGAAATTTTTAAGGGTCTGAAGGCGCACTATCGTGGCAATCAGACCGATTCCTCCGAGCGCAAACATGATACCGATGAAGAATTTCTTCTTGCGCGTCATCTGGAGTCTCCAGAGCATGATTATTGGTAGAAGGACGATGATCAGATCTTGGACGACAGCAAGACCAGAATTGGCGTAGGCTAAAGCAGTGATGTCTAGGCATGCGCCTCCGGCGATATCCCGGTCCCAGAAGTACTCGACTGGTCGACAGGAGAGGATAGTGAGGATCGTAATGATGGAGCTTGATAGGATGATAAAGGTGAGCACGACGTAGCAGGTGAGGTAGAAGGGGCGGTAGGCCCAGAATATTCTCAGGTACATGGTAACGATAGAAACTTTAATGAGTGCTAGCACAACCACGTAGATAATCTCGGAAATGTAGAATAATCGGAGAATCTGTAGCTTTGCACCGTCCTTCAGACTCCACAAATGACTTCCGAAGCCCAGCACGGCCACTTCAAGACAGGGTACATATGTTAGACAGCTTCGGTACATGTCTGAGCTCTGACGCTTGACTCGAGCGGGAACGCACTCACTGTATATGACGCATACAAATGGAGCCATAGCCAGCGTCACGGCAGCCGTTATTATGTGGTCCTCGGCGTATAGAGTTCTGGTCATTAGCTTCGAAAGTGTCCGGAGCATGACAAAAACTGCGGTGCCTCCAAAAAAGAACGACACCGCGATAATAATACGCGTCGACTGGGACTCATTTGAGAAGCCGCAGGTTGCAGCAGTAAGTCGCGCCATATCTGTGGAAATGCTGTCAGCCTTCAGAAATCCACCAAATAAGGAACCATATGGAACCGACTCGACTGCCAGTCTAAAGCCCGTGGATCTTGCTACAGTTGCAATGGGGCTGTTTAAGGCTTCACATACCTAGAGTCTCCTGCATTGTGCAGTTAGCGACCAGACACATCGAGGTCTTGTCCTGCAAGTTTGTGTTTGCGCATTGACAGGAAGTGTCTGCCTCAGAGCAACCAGATCCTGGGATGGCCTCAAAGAGGCACCTGAGCTGCAATTGCGAGGGTCAGTAAGTAACAGTTAATCAATGTAGGCGAGGCACTCAACGCGTGCAAGGGTTCACAATATAGGGGTTACGTACTCCACATGGGGGCTCATTGATCGGTGTTGTCTGGGCGATAGCTGATTTAGTCCCGAAGATGGCTAGCCAGAGCAAAAGCAGGCTGCATATCCTGATGCTGACTGCACAACCCATAGCCGCCCTGAAAAAGGATAGGGCCATTGCGTTGGCAAAAGGAGAGAACGATGACGACCGGAACGCGGTGGTCGTGCGTTTGGAAGCATCTATGGCAGGATCCGAAATGCTGTATATATCGAGAGGTCGAAATGTGATCGCGAATGTGAAGTGCCGCTATTTGGCGGTATCACATTTATTCCCTCCTGCGAGCGCGAATCGGATCGAGGCTGCGAAGAAGTTGCTGAAACCAGATATCCCGGCGAATCTCTACCAATTGGTTCGTTGTTGTGGCTCGGCACGTCGTTTGGGCCAAATCTAACCGCTGAACCCTGGAAGTCTGGACTATAGCGCGGAACTCGATCGAAAGCTTAATTCAACTCGTTACAGTGGTCCAAAGTCAAAGGATTTGGCAGGCTAGAAGCCTTGAGACGTTGCTGTGTCGGTTAACGTGTTGGGAGGACAACATCGCATGAAACGGCTTTGTGGCATGAATGATGAGAGCTGGAACTTGATATTTTCGCTGTGGGCGACTTCTAGGCTGTATATGAGGACTCGTTATGTGTATGCAGTATGCCGCCCGGTGGCAGTATGCGCATAAAAGTGGAATGCCGGATAGAATTTTGCCCTCGAGTGCTAAGCATCGAGGAGCAGGGCGCAGAACATGAAGGCGTCAGCGACTTTCACCGGCGTCCGCGCCGAGCACGGCAAGTGGTATATAGGCACCGGTGGTGGCGAGCAGGATGACATGTTCTGTATCATCCGAGCTGCTTAACCAAACTGGACATCGTCCAATGTTCAGGCCCTCCTGCTAGGCTGGGGGGTTTTGCACTGGTTCTCCCCTCATGGGCCGGACCTGGTCTGGGGCCCAAAGTTCTCAAGGGGCATCGGCGACTTGGCTCAGCCCAGACGGGAGAGCAGTGGCCAATGATGCATGGCTCGGTCGATGCTCAGACATGCATCGAATGCGCACAGATGTTTGCTCGCTTCACATTCTTCCCGCGTGCACTGGCTCGGAATTCGTATGTATGCCGCGCCTTTCATATGATACGGTCTGGTCTCCCATCCGTTCTGTGAACTTCCCATTCAAGGCCTAGCGTAATGCAGGCTTCGGCACCGAAGCGGTGGAAAGAGAGACAGCACGGGGAGGCATGAGGAATGGTCTCAAAAGCCAAGACAGCATGGGTCTTCTTTGTGTCCGATCCGACAACCTTATTTCGGCCGGCTGCCTCTGAGATAAAGAGGAATGACTGAACAAATACGACACGCTTGAGGAGAGACATCATGTGACGCTTTCTCTTAAATATTGACCGCGTACCCCACTCACAACGGCTCGATATCACCCTTCGATCGTCTCAAATATTGAATGCAACAGCTAGCTGCGGAATAAACGCGAGATCGACGTCAAATGGTTTGATTTGCTCGGTCGAAACATGTCACTTCCAAGGTTCAGCATTGAGATCCCGAGTACCTTGGTACCCTTCTGTTTGCAACACTGCCTTTCATGCTTTTAATATGGCGAAATGCCTTGTCAATCGATGCTATTATCATACTGAATAAGTTACCAGGATCTGTTGCTAGTGTTCCAAGTCGTCAAATTCACCATGGTGAGCGCCAGTGTTGCCTGTCACGCTTTAGCTAGACAAGTACTATCCTGGATGCCACAGTCAACGGCTATACTGAGCATATTATACAGATTAACTTTTCCATCCAGAGATCTAGCAGCGAGAAAAGGTCTATTAGCATGTCTGCAACAAACTTCATGTATCCTGTCGCTCTCGATGCAGTTTAGAGTCCGGATCACGACCTGGCATCTGCTGGAAGCTCTTTAACCCGCCCCAGTCAAGAGCCTTTGTGGCGGCTCTCTCCCCTCGCATCCACCAGATTCTTTGTTGGGCAGTGTGTTCATTTGAACCTAAAGAAGCATATCGCCAGGAAAGGACGGTTGGATTGACAGATTTGCAACGCTTCCATGACGCCGGAAGGCCATAAGACCCAAACACACCGTAACATCTCATTTAGACCCCATCTTCAATGAAGTCGTCCAAGACCAATCCAAGAGACCGCATGCGAAGCCAATGGGGTAGTTGATGTGTTAATACAAATTGGCATCCTCGTATGCGACAACATTCCGGTCTAATGCTGTTGAGCTTTCCCGGGGATTGAGGTTCACTGATGGGATGGACTTGGGCCATTCGGACTCGGTGCGTAAGACCATCAGAAAAGGCATGGGATGCTCTCATCCTTCCTTGACTGATTTGAATATCTAGGTCCCCGTTCAACATGTGTAACTATGTTGCACCCCTACAATGAGTCGCGGATTGCCAGCACTCTGTTCCGCCCCAGAGGGCAGGTCGAGTGCATTCGAGGGAGACATGCATCTTTCGGCACAGTTTGGCTTGGGGGACATTCCCTTCGATGAAGACAGTAACAAGCATCGCACCAGCCTACCCACACACTTTTATTAAGAAGAGGAGAAAAGGAATTTATGAGGCGCAAAGAGATTTCGATAGCAGAGAAAAGACCAGCGATGTAATTCACAGCCTCGAGCCCTAACCCTCTACCTCGTTCTTGTAAAGACGTTGTTCCGCTCACCTGGAATGTACTTAATTTAAACGTCTTCAGGCCATACGACACACGCATGCGACGTCACTAGCAGCGCTGAGAATCAGACGAACAGCCACCAATGCAGTCCAAATCCGATTGACTTGACTCCAGGCTGTTTTTCAGCCAAACCATAATCCCCATTGTTGTTTCCCCCACTTGCTTTCGGCACTTTGTGTGAAACATGGAACAAGATTGACGGGATCAGTGGGTCCGCCCTTGTGTTTGGAGATCAAAGTCTCGGAAGGCAGATTTGGAGCATTCGGATTCGCGCCTCAAGCTAGGAAAATCAGACCAGAGGACAGCGATATGGTATGGCAATGACCGCGCAAGCACCTAATGATCACACCAGGAAAAGTTTCAGCGGCGTCAAAAGGAGGCTTCGAACGGGAACCATATCGCAAAATTTCGGGGTGGCGGCTCGCATCCCGTTTTGGAGCACGCCGATCCGCCAAATCCGACCTGCTCTCCCTAGTGATTACGGACAGCCAGCGTAGTCTCATTGGTGGACATTTCTGCCCTAGGCCTTTCCTGCGCGTCGGTAGCATAGTCATTGCTACTATGCTTGGGGTGAACAAATACCTCCGGTCCTCCACTTTGCGCAAGGTCAGCCTCCGTCAGGGGCTGGAATCGGCAGTACGGCATCTTTATGCAACGTAATGACTCCAATGATCAGAGAATCTACTGCAAACAGTCTTGCCGAAAATAGGGGACCACATGGGTCTATTAGGGGAGAAGAGTGTGGGGAATATGACGGCGTGGGCTTGATCGTACCCACAAGTCTGTTTTAGGTAGTATCTATAAGACCTGATCTCTTGGCTCGGCTCGGCTCACAATGATCTGCTGTGCTAGTCGGACTCATTCTTTCTCGGCACTATCCGCCTCTGTTGTACTTTCTGTTTTGTAAACACGCTTCGCCCACTAAGATGAGGGGACTGGTATCCTTCTTGCCATTGCTGGCTGCGGCCACCGTTGGGGCGTTACCTGCCTCAGAAAATGCATCTTCTGGAACGGCGGCGGCAACCTTCGCCAAGACTGACGGCCTGTTCTTCAACATCGATGGAGAGACCAAATACTATGCCGGGACAAACTGCTATTGGTGTGGCTTCTTGACATCGGACGAGGATGTCGACAAGGTGTTCTCGGACATGGCTGCTGCCGATCTCAAGATCATTCGAGTCTGGGGATTCAACGACGTGAACACGATCCCGGGCGCTGGAACCGTGTACTACCAGTACTTGTCAGCAAGCGGATCGCAGATCAACACGGGCTCAGACGGGCTTGAGCGACTGGACGCTGTTGTTTCCGCGGCCGAGACCCATGGACTGAAGTTGATCATCAACTTCGTAAACAACTGGAGCGACTACGGAGGCATTGCGGCTTATGTGTCCGCCTTTGGTGGCTCTGCTACTTCATGGTTCACCGACAAGACTTCTCAGGCTCAGTACCAGAAGTACATCGATGCGGTCGTCAGTCGATACAAGAACTCAACTGCTGTCTTTTCTTGGGAGCTAGCCAACGAGCCGAGATGCAGTGGATGTGATGCGTACGTCCATCCCTTGGAATACAGGCCTTGAAATGGATAACTAATGGGAGAACAGGTCCGTCATCTACAACTGGGCCAAGACTACCTCGGAGTACATCAAATCTCTAGACTCCAATCACATGGTCACACTTGGCGATGAAGGCTTCGGCCCTTTGACTGGAGGAGACGGCAGCTACCCGTACACAGTATCTGCTGGTGGTTATACGTGGGCCGACAACATCAACATCACTACATTGGACTTCGCTACCTTCCACCTGTATCCCGATAGCTGTAAGTCATCTACTTGAAACGCAAGACTCAATTTAAATATGACTAACACTTTTCCTTAGGGGGTCAACCTTACAGTTGGGGTGATCTTTGGGTATCTACCCACGGTGAAGCCTGTGCAGCTGCTGGAAAGCCGTGCCTGATGGAGGAATACGGAGGCAATAACAATTGCACTATCGAGAATCCTTGGCAACAGACGGCTCTTAACACCTCAGGAATCGCTGCTGATCTGTTCTGGCAGTATGGGGACACTCTCCCAAGCACTGGCAGTCAAACTTCACAGGATGGAAATACAGTGTTCTACAACCAAGGGAACTGGGACTGCATGGTCACTGACCACGTCAAAGCGATCAATGCTCTCTATCCTTAGGTGTTCCAATGGCTTCGGGGCCCGCATGGGGGAGCAGCGCGGCAAACTTGAAGTGGACAGTCTTCATTGTACATATTTGTGGCACATGCACACATATTGATATAGCAGCCTTACAGATTGGCCCGTGAGGGAATTCGGACTGTATGAATACTCGAATGGGGCAGTGGAACAGGCCTAGCTCTGATTCAACGGTCCGGACAGCCTTGGTGCCGCTTTTCACCCAGCATCATCGACAGTAAGGCTCTGGATACAAAGCGCGTGATGTCGTGATTGTAACGCACCTCACGTCATTTGCAGTGTCAAAATGCGTGGTCCTGCATGTTCGTGACACCGAGCACAAATAGTTCGGTGTTGGCGTCGAACTATGCTTACTGCAGTGCCAAGATTGGACGTGTTGGCTTTCCACTTGCCGGGCTTCGGTATGGAGACAGCAGTAATGCAGCTGAGATTGGCTGGCCAGAGTTACACCTTTGTACGACTACTGCACCCTGAAGCCTCAATATCATTGAGCCGCCAATGGTCCAGCGCGGTTTTGATGCAGAGATGACAGCCTGCATTCAACAAGCCTGATTACAAAAGTGCTTCCCCGCGGCTTGATTAGCATTTAGTATGTGTTTATCATGGTGGAATTGCCAACCTTCGCCCTGCTCTGCTGGTCTTGTCCTTTCAGACACCCTTTTCTTCATTGCTACTCATCTACCTGGTAAAATGGCAGACATTCGTGCAATGTCCTCGGTCCAAGCCACCGTGGCTTTTGGCCAGAAGCTTGCAAACCTCTTGCAGACTCTCGTTGAACTCAACCCGAGAAGAGGAGTTGATTTGGAGGAAGTGATGCATGATATCCTTGGCACGTCTGGCACTCTCCGACAGATACAAGACCTTATGGGTCTTGATGAAGCGATAGGGTTTGGACAAACTGCACAGTCGACTGTTACCCCCGCGTACCTGAATGAAATCGAAACTTTGGCAGTCAAGTGTGACTTGATCTATAAGACGATCATGCTAATTGCCCAGAAGGCTGTTGCCAGAGATAAAGCTAAGAAAGACGATGCCGAGCTTCCGAACCTTGAGAACTTGAAGAGTGAATTGCTCGTCAGCCCAATTCCCGATCCTGGCTCGATCAAGTCCATCAGGCTGTTCGCAATAGTCGGGTCAGATGACCAAGAGAGATGGATCGACTCACGTATTGAGCGTTGCCAGGAGCAGCTGCAATGGATCAGGATGGGTTTGCTTGTCCATTTGCACATACTCAAACTTGCTCAATTACAGATCGGGTACGTTCCCGAGCATGCATTTTCCGATTTATTCCTTACTGACTGCTTGTAAAGGTCTGTCGAACGCGACACAGGCGCATTCGAGCAAGAGCTCATATCTAGAAGTGCTGTGCAACTACTGCGAAAGAGGCAAGTGAAGTTCACCAAGAGAAAGGCGCGGCAACAGGAAAGCGCTCAACGACAATGGGAGTTACGGAGACAGGTAGACGACTCTGATACCGAGTCTGTCACGAGCGTAGCAAGTTCGCAGAGGTCCTCCGTCACGGCTAAAACAGCCGTCGACGAAGAAGCGTCTGTCAAAGGGGAGACGCCCATGGCCAAATCTGCCGCCGAATTCTTAGAGATAGGTGAGCCATTCAACACAGCTCTATGATGACCGCAGCAGCTGAACATTGAAAATTGCCAGACAAAAATAGACCTATTTCGACGAACAACATTAACCAAAAGGACGGCGCTGCCGGAAAGCAAGGTGAAACCATGGCACTCAGCGCTGACAGCGCGGGTGGCTTGGTTTCCCGCAGTGGAAAAGCAAAGGCACTGAGCGCTTCAAACTTGAGGAGCAAATTGGAATTCAATCTTCCTGCCTACTTCTTTGACTGGAAACAAAGGATCTTCGGATCAGACGACAAGTTCAAGACCGACTGGCCGAGCAACAACCTCGAGGCTTATATCCGTCATATTCACAGCTTTGGAAAGTCTACGAAGATTCCCTTCGGTCACAAACGGCTTCAATATGGTCTGAGTAAGGTGATAAAGGAGGGCCAGAAAGGGAGCTCGACCTGGAGCCAATATATTGACCTGGGCCAGGTTACGCGCCTGGCGGTGGATGAGGTCGTCGGGGAGGCGAACCGAAACCAAAGCCGCGAAAGAATCTGTGTTGCATTCCATCAATACGACAAGGATTCAGCTGACCCTTTCATCTTGGTGTTTCTCTCCCTCCGTAAGGAGCCGCAGCCTATCTCGTTCAAGGATGCAGTCGGACGCACCTACACTCTTCCTTTTGAGGCCTGTCGCACATGGGATGTAAGTCTTTGGCTAATCGAAGGAAGTCTTCCGGATATTCTTAGAGATACTAAACAGCTCTCAGGCCATGAAATGCACCATTCTGGAGGCTTTCAATCATGTGGAGGTCATCGGCCCTCACGTCATCGAAGGCCATTTTGACCTGAGTAAGTACTTCCATTTCTAATTATTTTCGCTTACATTCCATCATGAGACTCAAGAGCCTCAACGTACGGCTTCAGAGACCAGAGCCTGTCAAGAGAGTACCGGAAGTGTCTTGTGTTCGGAAGTCCTTTAGTCATTACAATTCAAGGATGGATCTGAATATGACTGACACTATCCAAGTAACATCCAAGGGAGATATCATACTGCCTCACCTCTGGAACACCACGATCAAGCCTGGCGCAGCGATTGAAATGAGAATGTGGCCAAAGGTGCCTCTGAGTGGATTCTACGGGAAACCACCGTTTCTCATCAACCCGCACGCGCCGAACGCTGACAACCAGGCCCGGCACGCTGCGAGAATGCGTCAGATGCAGCAGCAACGAATGGCTGCTATGAGGAATTCAGCACCGATGGCGCCGGGGATGGCACCACCACCACCACCTCCTGGTATGGGCTTCAGCTCGTACAGGCCACCGGGTGGCGTCTCACCTGGTCATAGATCTTTTGGAAACCGGCCCCCAAGCGTTGTCATTGTGGATTGTGCTCCCGCCAAATACGAAGTCACCGAGAAGGAAGACGAGCAGATCATGTTCGTTGACTTCGTGGAAGAGCTCGAGAAGGACAAGACTACTACCGTTGCTGACCTCCTTCAAAAGTTCACAAACTTGAAGGATGTACCGGATGACGACTGTCTCGGCGAATTCTTAACCTTAGGTTCTGACTATGATTCCGATGATTCTACGACCAGTAGTTCCTCTTCTGAGATTATCAATGACTGATGACGGGTTTGTTGCGCATGTGGAGGTGTTATGCTCCGGAAGAAGCACTGGTCATATGTTCTTTTGTCAGCAATTTTCATCGTCATACTGATTTGACTCCATTCATTTCGTCGTGCACACAACGATGTCTTTTGTGGGTTGTTTTCCTGGGAGCTGTCCTTTGAGCGCCCGGTATCGACCTTTCAAGTGGATATTGATACGCATGGCGCATTTAACTCTTCCAAATACAGTAACAAGTCTCATATGATTCCTACAAATACTTTTACTTTTTCGAGCAAGGCTACAGTTATTTGATGTAGTCAGATCAGATTGAGGAATATATACTACGAAAACACTGCTATGTGAAACTTATATCCAACCTGTCTATCCGAGATGCAAACGATAAAAAATATAAGGTCATATTGACCGCATTCTAACGCAGTGCCATGGATTGAGGTTATTTATTGGGTGCAACCTTTTCCGATGATACACTATCAACTCACAATGCCGGTTCCAGCACTCGCCTTGACAATAGAGCAGACAGAGTCCGCGGAGTCCAGCCTAGGACACGTCATGTCAGCGCTTGTCATTGCCCACAGTGATTTGACTGGTACTTACGTGTAGCTGTACGGCGGGGTCAGGCTTCCGACCTGGGTGATGGAAATGGTGCTGTTGACGAGCACATTGTTCTGGTTTACCAGGTACCCATCTTCGTCGCTGTCGACGTTCGTCACAAGAGCCTGAGGGACGTTCAGGAAGTAGTTGTTCTCAGCCAACACCTGTGCTCCCATGCGGGAGTTGATGCCCGAGGTCGGGTCGTTCTCGTAGCACGAGCTGTAGATGTGGCCTGTGCCGAAGCGGATGGATGGGAGACGAGAGTTGACGTTAGTGAAGTGGTTGTGATGGTACGTGACATGGAGCTTGCCCGTGTCCTCGTCAGCGTTGTTGTCAGAGTGTCCGACCAGGCTACCCTGTTCGGTGGTCAGTTGCTAAATCTTACAACGATGATGAACACTACTTACCTTCCAATGATCGTGGAACTTGTTCCATGACACAGTGACTTGGTCAGAGCCCTATTTTCTTGATCAGCTGAGTTCATGATAGTCTGAGTGGTACCAAATGGACTAACATGAGTAATGTCCAGCAATCCATCGTAGGTATCCTTGTCGCCAGTAATTCCGAGCGACGAGAAGTCGTTGTGGTCGATCCAGACGTTGGTAGAGTATTGAAGCTCTACCAGGTCCTTCTTGCTCGGTGCCTGATGCAAGTACAAGTTCCTGAGAATCACGTTGTCTGCCCTCTTAACACGAATACCCCCGTTCGTCAAGCCTATGAGCATGATTTCAGTAAAAGCTCTTCAAACTTCATCATCGGAATTCAAGAATTTGAAAAACCACTAACCAGACTTGGCCCCAACGCCAATGACTGAGGTATCAGATACGAGGTCGACAATTCCACAACCATCCAGGACACCGGAGATCTTGATAACACCGCCAGCTTCGGCAGCTGTGGTGAAAGCTGAGCAAGATGTCACCGTCGTTCCACTACCACTGCCGCCACCAGTAGCTGCGGCGCCGTATCCAACGAGAGCATCGACGGGTGCGGCACGGGGAACATTCGGCGCGCCTAGAGCGGCCGGTGCAAGAGCGAGGACAGAGAAACCGCGCATTGTGGCTCGTGATTAGCTTATTAAAGAGACGAGATCAAGGATTGTCTGAGGTTGAATTATAGGTTCTATCTACGGCCAAGGCAGCGGTATGAGCCTCTTTATAATACCTTGACATATGCCTGTGCGATTAAATTGCCTGCAGACGCACTTGGCACACCCTCGACGTGATTATCTCAGGCCAACGTCTCCTGAACTCAGCATCGTACTGGCAATGGAGCTTCTACAAATGGTTGATTTCCCCACGAATCATACCAAGTCCCCAGACCCCCACACCTAGTCAGGTTGCGCTTGGCTGAACGTCACGGAGACGCTGGACATAGACTGACTGACAGATATTCAAATCCGATGTCTACATGATCAACAGCCTGTCTGGCGGCCGTGCCGTCCGCCAAGAATGGGACTCCGGGGGGCATTAGGTGATTCGAGGGTGTGAAATCATACGAGGCAGGAGAACGTGGAGTGGAGTAGCATTCCGGCTCCAAGATGCAGAAAGATAGAGCGAGGCGCCTCTAGGGGATCGCGATTCTTTCTTGGCGTACATGAGGATGCCAAGATCATATAATAAGAGATCTGTTCCTGGTGGGCCCTGCAGACGACTATTCGCTCCAAACGGCTTTGGAGTTCCTTGGTGGAAAATACGCTGTAGCTTCAATTGCCGCCAATTGGGCCACTTCCCATTGAGCAGCCTCGGCAGCAAACATCCGGAGCTGTCGGCCAGCCAATCCGCAAGTATCTGGCGCCTATCGTATGTCGCAACGAGGCCAGGGCTAACCATTCTCGTCGCGGTAATGATTGTGCCGCTCTCGCGTGTTCTGCGAGAGGCAGGAGGGCATTGGCTTAGACCTCCTTTCATATTTGTTTCACCCAAAAGATGACGTGCCGTGCAGGAGACTTCATGCACACATTCCACACATGTCAATATTTTGCATACGACTGCAAGCCTTGAATGCATGTTTGCTCTATGTGATTCTCGCCACCGTTTCTACCATTGGCTCTCCATCCATGCAACCATCGTCCTGACCAAGCCGCTGCCGACTACATCGAAACCATTCCTCATTGCCTCACTCTCTGCCTCGGCTTTCTGAGTAGCAAATTTGAGCCCACTTCTACCAGGCTTGTCGTTATCATACTTCTGAGCAAAGAAATCCACCAACTTGATAGTGGGATTCGTCTCGGGGTTTTGATCAGACTTGCGCAGCAGATCAACCCATTTGCGCTGGGAGACTATCTTAAAATCAAGCCCAGCCTCTTTGAGTGCAGGAAGAAGATCCCTTGTCCAATGGAACAGCCTGTTGTTCTGAACATTGTATACTTCTGATTTAGGGAAATGACCACCATCTGCACTATCAACTCCAGAAAGTTCAATTACAGCCTGGGCCACGAGGTCGACCGGCATCCAAGATGGTGTCTGCCAGTCTTGTCAGTACTAAAGAGTGGAGATGCTGTTTTTTTATTTCGTTATGTAAACATACCTCTTCGAGTGCAGGCAATGCACCTATGGTCTTCGCGCTTTGAATCATCAAAGGGATTGCCTCGGTGGTGTTCCACGAGCCGTGGGTCGTATCTCCCACGATCTGCCCGACGCGCAGGACTGAAGCTGTCATACCTGTTCTGTCGCCAGCAGCCTTTATTATGTGTTCTGTGACCAACTTTGAGCGTGCATAGCCCATGGCCTGTGCGTGCGAGAGGTTCTCAATATGACATTCCCCAATGGTAGCAGGCAGCGGTGTTGCAGCTGCAGAAGAAATAGATGAGCAGAAATAGAACCGAGCTGGGTCAACAGTCTTCGTTCGAAGGCAAATATTTATCAGGTTGTGTGCGCCTCTGATGTGTTGAGACTCGAAGCTGCGGACGCCGAGGTTGAAGTTGACAGCCCAAGCAGAATGAATGACCAGCGTGAGGCTTCGGAGAATTCCGTCCAGATTGCCCTCTTCCAGTCCGAGATCTGGCCTGGATAGGTCAGCAGGGAGGAAAGACACTCTGGACATATCCTCAACCGTCAAGGAAGAGATGCCCTTTCCCTCAAGGGTTGAGATAACTCTGGCTTTGGCTGCGTCTTTTGTCGATGCTCTCACAAGACAGAAGACCTTCTTAACCGTGCGTTTTCTGAGAAGCTGAGCTAAAATGTTCACTCCCAGAGAACCGGTGGCACCAGTCAATAGCTAAAATCAACATCAGTATCATACTGTCAAGTTCCCTGGTGCATAGCACTTACCACAGCCTCACCATCTGGCTGAAATGTCCCAGGCTCTCGGGCATGGAAGTTAGAGTATTTCTCAATCAATTGAGCCATTGCGGATATTTCATCATCCGCTTCTTCCGCCACTCCTGTTCTGAGCGAGTTCAAGTGCTTGGCAAGAAGTTCGACATTAGGATACTCGAAAATGACGTTGGATCCGACAGTGTTGCCTCCAACATCAAGCTCTCTGGTGATTTGAGCTCGAGCCGTGATTGCTTGGCGACTATCAATTCCACCTTCGAAGAAATCTGTCGTGGGCTCCAAGTTTGCGATGCCTAGGTTGACACGGAAGATATTGAGAAGGTATTTTACCAGTTCATCATGCTCCAGAGCTAGAAGACTGGCTTGAGGCGCGGCAAAGCGATCATAGGTGTCATCAATCTGCTTCGCAAATTGCTTGTAGAACGCCGCCCGGATGACAGTGCCCTTGTCGGTGCGTGGGTATTCTGTGCCGGCGTCCAGAATCTCAATCATCTCCTGGGAGATGCGACCAAACTCCTCAGCTCGCGAGTTCGCAAGCTCAATTTTGGGCAGAAGTGCTTGCAGAATCTCCTCCTTGCTCAATGAGGCCGCCTTATCGCTTGGAATCACCATCAGTCCAGGGACAGCCTTTTCTACGCCGAATACAACGGCTTCCTGCACCAGGTCATGCTGTCTGATGGTATGCTCATAAGGAATTGGAAGCACTTTCTCTCCGTTGACGAGAGTTACTCTATCATCGAGCCGGCCGAGATACCTCCACGCGTCTGGAATCGTCGGGTGTGGGGTGAAAGTGTCTCTAGTGTGGTAAGAGTTGGGTGGATCGTCAGAATTTGACGTGGTCTTGGATGGCAAACCATCAAGGACCACACACTCGAATGTATCTGCGCCAATTGGGACCATCTTGATGAATTTCTTCGTCACAGGGAACGGGCGCATGTAATTCCATCCCTTGTCATCTGGATCTCGGAAAGACGTCATGAGCTGGCCTGTTTCCGTGCTGAGCATCTGGGTTAGCTGAATTTCATCCTGAACCATGGCGTGGGAAAGACTCACGTTCCGTACTGTCCCACCACATAGACTCCGGCCTCAGTTAACCGATCGCCCAAGTCATCGGGACAGCTGCTTCCTCCGTACATCACGAGGCTCAATTTCTTCAGCTCCTCGATCCCACCAGCAGTTTCCGCCATCAGCTTCAATGCGTATGGGACGCAATGTAGACTCTGAGGCTGGGTTGCTTTCAAAGACTCGATCAGTGTACTTCCAGCCAAAGGCAAATTGGCATTGTACATTGATATCTTTTTCCCAGCAATCAAGCCCCGAAATGTGACAGAGATTCCATGATTGTGGAATAGTGGCAGCATCAGAAACGCCCGGTACGGGATTCCACTGGAGTAATTCGCAAGGCAAGCAGAGTGTGTCTGATAGATCGGCTTGGGGAGTCCCGTTGAACCCGAAGAATGAACAATAAAAGAGATTTGCTGGGACGCATTTGTTGGTCGCGTATAGGGAAATCGAGGCCCTGAGGGGCTCTTGAGGTCGTACTCCGACTTCTCAATGATATTGTACGATGACAATGGATACTGCTCTTTGATTTGCTCGGCTGCCGTCTTGAAGCCATTGCCAACGACAAGCTTTGATGATCCAGTCAGACGGAGCAGATTCACATAGGCTTCCGTGGTAAGTCGAGTCGATAAGAATAAGATTGAAAACCCCATTCGACTTAATGCAAGCAACGACGCGACATAGTCGAGATTGGATGTTGCTAACAGTGCTATAACCTCACATTTCTCCGTCTTAGGCTAAGAAAATGGTTAGATCGAAATGTTCTTCTACTCGATTCTTCAAAGACGACACATACCTCAGGCCGGAGACCTTGAGCGGCATACTGGCGAGCAGCCTCATCTGCCAGTCGGTCTACATCAGTAACAGTATACCCAACGTAGTCACTTTTTCCTTTTGCGGTGGCTGGGTATTGTATGAAGACAGCATCCGGTGTCTCACGGACTTTACTGAGAAGCAAGTCGGTAATAGTGACCACTTGAGAGTCCTGCTCCCCATTTGGTCCACTCTCTGTTGGCTTTAACCCCACATCCAGGGGCAAAGCAGGCATTTTCTGGGTTGCGACAGCCATTGTGTTGCCAAGTGATTCCGATACTTGACTATTTCCTAGTACCTGAGCCATGATGGGCGAGACGAAAGTTGCTGCTTTTGTATGACGTCTCAGGATGGGTATGTCACACGGCGATGTTAATGGTACACTCTATTTCCTCGGTTCCTGGGCTGAGTACCACGTCAGCATTGGAACGGAGAGCAAGTACATGGATCATGTTGATGGGCGGAAAAGGGGGACCCATGGATGCAATCCGCAGGCCGGCAGAACCGCGGCTGAAACGAGCTTAGCATGACGTCCAGATGCCCCTAGCTCGGGGTGAAGTTATCCGAGGTTAGCCAGACAGACGACTCTTTTCCGACTACCACTATCCCCACACGGTCTCGGAAAAGTGACACTTTTCCGAATTGTAAAATTCGAAGACTCCTGTACGATCACCTTGTTGGACCTGGAAAAGCAGAACCGCCTGTCCGCTCCGTGTACAACCCCTCGGATAGCGCAACAAAAATGGATCACGATAGCCGGCAACTGTTCATCGTCACCCCACCCGGATCATCTGCACAGCAGTCGCATCGCAGGAGTCGGAGAAAAAGCGAGCGGGAAAGGGTTAGGGTCACTCGGGCCTGTGACCAGTGCAAACGGTACGTTGTGTGATATTTTGAAAGTCTTACTTACCTGGAAGGTATTGTTGCTGTAGTTAAGGCCCTTTGCCGTTCTGAAGATCCTCTCGGAGTACCAGCACATTGCACACAAGGTCTTGATATTCTGGGTTGTTTGACCTACACATTCCGTGGAAACGTAGAGCCGGTCTGAAGAAGGCTGATCATATGGTCTAGGCAGAAGATTCGCTGCACTGGGGCGCTCCCATGTGAAATCTGCTTGAGAAAGGGCAATCGCTGCTCTTATGATGCTTCATACGCCCGAGGGCGCGCTCCGTCCGTTATGGGAGGCGAGGATCAAGCAGTTGTGACGCGTCCGGCCGTGGACAGTTCCGCAAAGCCTGCCAACCAAGCCCAGGAGCCAATCTCTGAGCCACTATCATTGCGAGCGTCACCTGAACCAACACAAACAGATCAACAGGGACACTACGTGGGTCCTGCTTCAGGTGTCTCCTTTTTACTCCGAGTGCAAAGGAGGGTCTACCAAACATTGAAGTTCCCACCGTCCTCGTCCATATTCACCTTTGGTGACGCTCCCTTGCCAGACTTCGATGTCTCCTTTTTCGTGCTTCCTCCCAAGGATGTTACACGGCAACTACTGGTTAGGTACTTCGACTTCGCAGTGCCAACTCACCGGTTCTTGCATCGCCCCACTATAGAAGCATGGTTTGAAGATTTATATACCTTCAATGGGTGCATGAGCAGCAGAGATGAGGCTCCGGCAAGGACTGCTCTTCTTTTCATGGTGTTTGCCCAAGCCAGCCTCTATATGACTGAGCCGGCCGCAGATGCAAACCATGAGAATATGGCCGACGTCAGCTCCCGTTATTTCCTCGCAGCAGAGCATCAGCTACAGAAAGAGCGTGGCCAGGTTCGACTTGCCAGTGTCCAAGCTCGCCTGGCGCAGTGTTTTTGGTTGCTGTCGCAATCACGAATCAATCACTGCTGGACGCTGTTCGGCACAACAGCTCATCTTGCATTGGCCATTGGGTTGAACAGGGGCAAGAAGACAGAGGCTCAAGGCCGCACAGGCAAAGTTGAGACCGAGTGTCGCAGGAGAACCTTCTGGTGTGCCTATACTCTGGACAAGTATCTTGCAGCAGCTCTTGGAAGGCCCCGCACATTCCACGAAGAGGACATTGACCAGGAGCTACCATCTTGCATTGACGATTCAGACCTTGAGCACGTCGGTGTCGAGCCCAAAGCTCCTCTTGGCCAGCCCCTGATGCTTGGCGCCGTAGCACATATCAGGCTGTCACGCATCAATGATGGCATCCTGAAGGATCTCTACCCCATCTGGCCACTGTCGACGTCCGCACGGCTTAAGGTCGCTGCTCAATACTCTACAAGGTTGAGAAACTGGTATCAAGAGATGGTGGAGTTCCTTGACTCCAGCAGAATCAACACTTCTTTGCTCTTGCCCATCTATCAACGGCAACGCCATGTCCTGAATCTGGCATATTGGCACGCCACGATACTGACACACAGACCGTTTCTTCTCAACAAATTTGGAGCCACCCGAACCAGTGCAAACACAACGCAGGTTGAGGACCGTGTAAAGGAATGTCTCCAAGCTGCGCTGAACATCTGCGACCTGGTAGATGAACTTATCAGCGCGAGAATGATGTTCAAAGCATTTTGGGTAAGTAAATCCTGAACCGCTGAGGTCATTGTATTGAGGGAGTTCCTAATGCAAGACAGTTTACTTCGTACTACGCATTCTGCGCTGCCGTCGTGCTCTACGTATTCTCTATTCAGCAAAATACAAGTATCCCTGATGGCCAAGGTCGGCATCTGTCTGTAGCAATTCGATGTCAAGAGCAAATGTCAATGATCGCGGAGGAGCACTCACTTGCCAGGCGATACTGTCTTGTACTTGACGAACTACGCAAAGAAGCAATACGACACTCAGAACAGCCGCGAGATGATCAATCAATGGGTGCTACAGGTGATGCTCATTCGCAGCAGCTTGAGGGCTTGGGTGCTGATGAGACTGGGTTGGCTGGGACTGCCGCCTTTGGCCAGCATCCCCTTGCTTCAGAGGCTAACGACATCAACGGCTTCGAACCAAGCCCTGGCAGCTCTCTTTACGATATGTCAGGATGGGGAACATTTGACTCAATGGTGAGTAATTAAGTCACTACGCAAGGCACTATTAGTACAAATCCACTGCTAATCTGATTAAGGTCACATCTGGTTTCGGAAATCTTGAGGATATGCTCGGCGACAGTTCTTTCCACTTCTGACTGGACACAGGTGCGCCTTTGGATTCTCATTGAGATCCTTGTCATTGTCTGTGATTCTCGTAGTAAATAAGATTTTATAACTCTACGGGTCATGGCAATAATTCTGTGAACATCTAACAGGCCTGGCGAGACTTGTTCGCGGCCCTCTTGCTATGAACTTCGTCAAATGGCACGACTGCGGGAAGCGGGTAGCGGTTGGCGGAATAGCATCCGGGAATTGGCGTTTCCGGGGCCATCGAGAAAGTCAGCCAGCCATTCAGACCATGGCGTATTTTACTGAGAAAAGTCCAAAATTGTGGGTTCCGCACCTATTGTCATATCTATCGTCCGTATTCTCAATCCTCATCCCTGAGCTTCTTCTCGTGCCTGCCCACTCGGACCTCGAGCAACTAGCCATGCCAAGTCTTGCTAGAATGGGCGGAGGAACGACGGACGAAGTAGAAAGATTAGCCTGGAAGGTTCTGAGTAAGTTAAATTCATCGGTTTCCCGAGGCGACTTAATTGACAAGAGCTGCACAGAACTCAAAGAGTCAAGGAGCAATGAACAAAGGGTAGTCATTGGAATCTCTGGCGTTCCTGGTTCGGGGAAGTCTACTCTGGCTAAGATGGTATGCGAAAGTGTAAACGCTCTGCATGGGAATCATGACCCGGAAGGAACCAGACATATCGCCGTGGCGGTCCCTATGGATGGCTTTCATCTCAGCCGAGCCCAACTCGCAGCGATGCCCGATGCAGCCATGGCGATACATCGACGTGGGGCGGCCTTTACTTTTGATGCTGCTGGCTTTTACCATTTAGTACAACAATTGGCCAAATCACCCGTCCAGGCTGTAAGCGCGCCTTCTTTTGATCACGCAACCAAAGATCCGGTCGCAGGTGCAATCGATATCCCGGAAACAGCCCGAGTGGTGCTCGTCGAGGGCAATTACTGCGCGCTCAATCGGGTCCCTTGGAGCGATACGGCAAAGTTGATGGACGAATTATGGTACATTGATGTTCCTGCGGATGTGGCTCAGTCACGTCTGGCTATCCGTCATTTACAGAGTGGGATCGTTGCAGATGAAAATGAAGCTCGGGAAAGAGCTGCTGGCACTGATGAACTCAATGCGGAGGATGTCAGAGAGAACAGACTTCATTGCCATGAAAGGCTGATACTGATGTGAACGACTGAGGATAGAAGTTTTATTAGTATCTTGCCTGTAAAATAATGTGATGGTTCTTGACAACAGTTCACCGAGCGACCATCTATTGGGAAAACCACAACTGGTGTCTTACTGGCGGTACACTGAGTGACTGAAAGCATCGTCTACGCGCCCATCCTCGACTAATGAATGCAATTGTAGCACTTGTATTCTACAAGATGAACCATTCGTCTGTGAAAATTCAATAGAATCGTTCTATGGCAGTCTTTGCGTCTACCACGCGCAATGGCCCCCGTCGACTCTGAGGTCAGCACCCGTCATGAAACTGCTTGCGTCACTCAGCAAGAACAGGATAGGACCTCTGAACTCGTCCACAAGACTGAGACGATACAACATGTTGTCTCCAGTCCACTGAGCTTCCATCCCAGGCTTTTGCAGTGCCTCTGTCGTTGCTGGAGTGCGAATATAGCCCGGTGACAACGTATTCACACGAATAAGGGGCATCCCCTTCCGAGAACCCCATTCTGCTGCTAACGATCGAGCCAGTTGAAGTACTCCAGACTTGGAAGCATTGTAGCCTGCGGTATCTACACCCTTTAACTCACTGTTAGCTGAAATGTGCGGCTCTTGACAACTGAGAGCATACCTTGTTGGCAACTGAGCCACTCATGCTTGCCGTTAACACTATGCTTCCGTCAACATTTGCCTTCTTCATCTCAAGAGCAACTGCTTGGGCAAGCGAAAAGGTTCCAGTCACATTGATCTCCATCAAGCGCCGAAATCTTTCGACGGAGAACTCGTGAGCAGGGTCATTGTCAGACACACCGGCACACCCGACCAAGCCACGAATTGGGTATCTCAGACCAGGGACAAATGTCTCGAAGGTCTTTGAAATCGCATGAGGATCAGTGACGTCTAGGCGATGGTAAGAAAGCAATTGTCCATGTGTGTTGGCAAGTTCAGTCAGCTGATCTACATCACCCTGTAAGCCACATAGTCTGTTGATGAGTTTACTTCATGACACTAGTTATGTACTTACTCCATACCTCCGAACGAGGGCTTTCTACCACATCCAGACAGATTACATCTCCGCCAGACTCGAGAATGCAACCCGCTGCTTCGACGCCGAGATAACCAGCTCCTCCAGTGACTAAGGTTCAATTCGATCAGCATCATCTATTCTCACACGGGTGTTCCAAAATGGACTCACTGATTATTGTCCGCTGATCTAAGCGAAACAGATCGGCCGAGCGAATATGCTCACCGCCCTGCCGCGCCTTCACCTCTCGGAACTCGGGAGCTGCAGTGTTGCTCATGTTGACGTTGCTAGTAAATGAGGGATGTCGGTTAAGAATCCCTTGATATTGGAATCTCAAGTCAGAACGGTTACAATCTGAATCTTTGAAGGTTTTATTCGCTTATCTGGTCCTTCTGGTAGTTTGTGACTGTTCTCATACTATTTGGATTATCTGTTCCCACAGTCATGAGCTTCATATGCGTTGAAACACATTCTGATCGTCATTGTGGGGAATGACAGACAGACAGACACCGCAGTTGAAGCTCCGCTCGCCGCCTGCCGCCTACCGCCATGTCCATCCCGCTCATCCGCCCTAAGCGGCCCGTCTTGTAGCGGCCGCTGCTGCCATCCAAATGACATAACTCCGCTGATGCCGCCAATCGCCAACTCCGCCAGTAGCATCCTCCTCGCAGGCACCGTCATGGGATTTCTTGCCACGAGCCGCCAATTCCATCATCTTCTTGCCCTTTCTGGCTGGCTGTCAACTTCTTTCAATATTAAAGCCCCTTTCCTGGAAGTACAACACCCTCCATATTATTACTGCCTTCGAATACCATGTTTTACTTTTTTACTTCACCATTTTCAAAATGACACAGGCGATTCGCCCCTTGGAAGGAAAATTGGCCGTGGTTACGGGCGCCTTCCGAGGTAAGATCATCATAAGTTGCCACAACCATGGGACGAAAATTATTGACATGCCTTTCAGGAATTGGTGCTGCTATCACAAAGAATCTCGCTTCTAAAGGCGCCAATGTCTTGGGCGTTTACACGTCAGACTCCTCGACCAAGGCTGCTCAAATCATAACCGCCGATCTGGAACGGCAACATGGCGTTAAAATTGTTGCAGTCCAGGCAGATCTGAGCAAACCTGAAGAAGCTCCCAAACGCATCGTTGAGGCCGCCCAGGCTGAATTCGGCAGTCCTGACGGCCTCATTGTCAATATCTTGATCAACAACGCCGGAGTCGGTGGGGACTATCCGTTGGGCGAGGTTCCAGTTTCCGAGTTCCATCGCATCTATGCTGTCAACGTCCTCGCGCCCATCGTGGTCACTCAGGCACTTCTACCGTTCCTCCCCCATGACAGATCCGGCCGCATCGTGAACATCTCCTCAGTCGCCTCGACGATGGGCTTCAAGACGCACACTCTCTATGGGGGGACCAAAGCTGCGTTAGACGCCATGACGAGGACCTGGGCCAGGGAACTAGCGGAGCGGGCCACTGTTAACGCCGTGAATCCTGGCCCTGTGGAGGGTGATATGTATTGGGCGGCGGGAGAAGACTTTTGGAAGCAGCTTGAGCCCTTCCAGCTTGCTACACCTCTTTCTGCAGTTCGGGAGGCCGACCGACCGGAGCTTGTCAAGTTGGCGAACGAGAAGATGGCGGGACGACGCCCTGCGTACTGGTCGGAGGTCGCTGCTATTGTGGGTATGCTGTGTGGCCCAGAGTCTGCATGGTGCACTGGCAGTGTCGTCTGCGCCAATGGAGGTCTGCGGTTCTCTCTGTAAATCAGAACCATATTCTAGGATACGCGTTACCTTACTCACCGCGTTGCACACGTTTCTAGAGCTGTGGCTCGGGCGACGGAGAACGAAACCTCATCTTGTGATACAAAGTCCGCAGTATCAAAAAGACAACCTCCGCGCTCGAATCGGGAGCAGCCCAGGGTTTGATAGCGTCAACCGTGACACGCAGTAAGTCGTTAATATCCGGTACCAAGTGCCGTAGACTATGGCAGGTGGCTGCCGTGGCCAGAAGCAAAGAGTGTGAAAGCAATCTACGGAAAATAAAATGTTGTAAGTAGTCGTTGCTGACGATATATGGAGGACTGCACTTACGCTTGGAAAGTCATCCACGAATAGTAGGTCCGTTTGTCCAGCGTATGTATGCCTGTACGGATGTAGTTGTGGGAACTGTCAATGCACATCTGGGAGTATCTGTAGACGAATTCGGGTGGGGGCAGGCTTTGCCCTTGGGACCAAGTCGTTGCGTAAATCAAGCAAGGCCGGCTGATTATATGCTTAGCTGACCAATATCGAAGTCTCAACCAAGCGTCTTGGGTGTCAGAAGGCACAGGATTGGAAAGATCCGGTTTGATGACCTCGGGCAGTGAGCCATACCACGCATCCAGCTGCCTTTCTAACTCATTGAAAATGCCTTCCAGTGACATAAGGACCAAGAAAGCTTGTTGTTGGGCATCAGAGGATGAAGCTAGAGGGCTCGATGATTCCGGAGGACTCAGAGCATCCTTGTTCCCTAAGGTGTAGACGGCGTTGTGTATGCGGTTGAGCAGCCGACGGATTGAACAGAGCGCCAAGAACATCAATGCATCGCGATTGCTGTGTCCTCCCAAACGCGGAAAGTACATGCGGTCTATAGCTATCTCAATTCCGCTCCTTGGCAGGTGAAACTCCGACAAGCTGTCACTGCTCCTATGTCAGCACTCACGGCCGTGAGACAGTGAGGATGTGATGCACGGTACCATTCTATGACAAAGCATGTCCAGCAAAGGCGGCCTAACATGTCGCTCTTCTTGACATCGTAGCTACTGGTCGTTGGTCTACATGGTGTCAGTACTAGTCCAATCATCTGGTTATCCATCTCATTTCTGACCGTTGAGTGAGTAGCTGCAAATTACTCGAAGTCATATATGCTAATTTCCATGCTGCGAGTGGCTGAGACTTGAAGCAGAGATAAATCGCGGCCAAAAGCATCCCGGTTGGTTGAGATAAACTGGTCTCGAACGAGCCAGCCCATTTGATCATCAGAATGCGGTAGGCAACAGCAAAATACGGCGAGCTCGGGTCTCCCTCGTTTTCGGGGCTGAAAACGTCTTCTGTTGATCCCAGGGCTCCCAAAGCCAAGACCAGTAGACACACTGCCAGAGACGGCTGATAAACAGACCTGGCAATGTCTTCAATAGCCTTGTCGAAAACTTCGGGAAAAGACGCCGGATCGACTATTGGAAACTTGGTATGGATAAAGGAAAAGAAATTTGAAATTAGACGAGCTGTGGTCTCCTGATCCAAGTCCAGCTCGGAGAGTAGCAGGGATATATCTTGAGACAGCATGTTATCGTCGGGGAAGGCTTTGGATGTTTCCAGGTCATAGAACAGAGACTGAGGATAGTAGCCCACCAGTCTCCTGATGGGCTGCAGTGATAGTAAGCTTGACGTAGTGGTGTGGTGGCCAGCAGGAATGGTGATGTGAGCCCCTTCCTCGACTGGGGGTGAATTTTGGAAACCGTAGTTCAAGCTCGGGCCACTTTGAAATTGCAGCGGACTAACGACGGGTAATGGCTGTACCGCAGTTTGCAGGTGTGGGTTTGAAACTCCGGCAGTGAACAGCAGATCGTTCCTAGGCGTGGCAAGCTGGGGAGAAGTCAGAGGATCTGGTGTATCACCACCTGGCTGGTTAAATCCATCCTGTTCACTGTGAATAGTTTCGGATGTATGACCACCTTGTGGCGAGTTTGACAAGCCTTCTCTCGCTTCTGATACTAGCCCATGCGACGACGGAGTCCTACCCAATAAAGAAGAAGATTGCTCTGGGACATCCGACTGCTGGGCTTTCAATTGGCTCTCGGCTTCGTTGGCACGTTGGACAAGGGCTTCGGTCGCTGCGTTACCCTGCCTGGCCTTCTGGCTACTGAATTCTTAGTACATGAGCACGACACGGGCAAAATTAGGAATACAACACTTCGGTGGGTTTCTCGGGATAGTTGCAATCCACTCCAGCAGAAGCGCATAGGCCACAAACTGGCTTCGTCCCGTCACATCGCCGTTTTCTGTGATGTGTTGTTAGCACGCGCATAGAAAAGTAACAAGACTCATTACCTGTGACGGCAGTAGCGACAGGCGATGGGAGCACGTCTCCTTGCGAAACTCATCTTAAGACAATGATGTGGTCATGAGACGCGTCCCACCGGGGGGGGGGGGACAATATTGTGTACGGTGCAAAGCCCGTGTCAAGTTGCTTCACACATCGTAGGGCGCCATGATCAGAAAGCACTGTATTCGCGTGTACGGGTAGAGGTGGGGGGTTTGGTTTGAATCATTGGTCGTCTAGCTCCTCGATTTTAGCTAAACCCTATTTAGTCAGCAGCTATTGCCTGGGTGTAAATCGGTTCCGCTCCACATCGCTTTGTTCACATTGCTGTCTACTGTAACGAGACCAGCTGTCTTCAACTGACCCCCACATTGTTCCTTTCAGATCTTTCTACATTCTTCTGCCGGGCTTGTACAGAGAAAACTTCAGTGCATATGTCTGAATACAGACTGTGTGACGTCCCTACCTAGGAATATACTAGGCAGCCTGAGCTAGGACCCGAGTATAGAGCTGTCACAGTTTCCCTATGCCCCTAAAGGACGCGAATGATGCCGAAGGTAATAGCACTAAGAATCGCAGGATGCTGTTCCGTGCTCCATATATTTACCAAGATGGTAGACTAGCTTCGCCTTATGCTCGGAGTTGCGAACGGATGGTTAGGGGAGGCGGGCTCGTTGGCGGCTGGGCAGAAAGAGTCATGTCGTGCCACCCGCTACCCGCTATCCACTACCCGCCAACCGCCTGCCGCCCGCCGCTTGCCAACTCCGTGTCTGATTGAGTTCCTACCTGATGTCGTCGTAAGCCATGATTCGACCAAAGCCGTTCTCGGAGAATTCTTTAACGTCATACCCGTCTGTGGAGGGGAAAAAATCTCCTTCGTGACTTAGAATCCGGGGCCCCAGACTAGGGCCGCGATCACTCCATGATTGTCTCCCGTGGAGGGTCCGCCAAGCCAAGCGAAACGACGGCAGGATGGGTACAATCGATTGCACCTCCGCGAAGCCAGCGCCTGAGGGACACGCTTGATCTCAGCTGACTTGATTATAAAGCTTGATTCGCTCGAACTATTTGACAGTGGTCGTGTGTGCGTTACATCTTCGAATTCCTCAACACGCAAAGTCGCAAGATCAGTCTGGTGATTCAACTGAAAAGATGAAGGGCGACGCAAACATTGTGGGCGCTGCCCTGAACGAAGTTCTGCCTCAAACCGATAAATATTGGTTTCAGCAACCTCACCTTTTGAAGCTTAATCTTGTGCTCCTGGTGCCCATGCTGTCTTCTTCTGTTTTCGGGTACGACGGTAAGTTCTCCCCTTGACCTAGCATCTTGGACAGGAATATATACAAATCTTATGCGGAAACTATTTCTGATCGATGGAGTGCGCAGCATCGCTGATGAACGCGCTTCAATCGCTCGAGCAGTGGCGCATGTACTTTGGCGACCCCAAAGGAGCCCTTTTGGGCACAGTCGTTGCGTCTCAGTCGATCGGATGCCTCATCGCTTTGCCAATCGCTGGCGACTTCTGCGATCGTTTTGGTCGAAAGCCTATTCTCTTCGCCGGTATTCTTCTCATTTGTGCCGCAGCGGCGATCCAGGGGGCTGCTGTGAACTTGCCAATGTTTATCATATGTAGACTGCTCGTCGGATTTGGAGGAATCTTCAGCTCGCAACCTAGTCCAATGCTGATTGCCGAGCTCGCCTACCCGACGCATCGTGGTAAATACACGTCGGCATATTGGACCCTATTCTATCTCGGTAAGTGACCAATGCTCTCGCGGCCGACATCTTGTTCGAGGGACACCTGGGACGATTGCTGACAAAGGTCACCATCCTACAGGCAGCATTCTCTCTTCCTGGGCCACCTTCGGTACGAAAGATCTTCAGAGCGACTGGTCCTGGCGCATTCCATCCATACTCCAAGCTGGCTACCCATTAGTTCAATTGATCTTTATATGGTGGTTGCCTGAGTCGCCACGATGGCTAGTCGCCAAAGACAGACAACATGAGGCAGCCTTAATTCTCCAGGCATATCACGCTGGTATCACGGACCCCGAAGCTGAGCTCTCGCCCCTTGTCGCCGTTGAGCTCGCCGAGATCCGAGAAGCCATCAAGATGCAGCAGGACGCCAACCAAGTCGGCTGGTCAGCATTAGTCTCCACGCCAGGTTTGTGACCCCCTCTCCCCGGTAAAAGGAGATGAAGTTCACTAACAATCTACAGGGAACCGAAAACGAACCATCATTGCCATCGCGGTTGGCGGTTTTGCCCAGTGGAATGGAGTTAGTGTCGTTTCGTACTTCTTGAATAGGTCAGCCTCCCACGCACTTCAGGCAACGCTGTCTGTCCAATGTCGTCTCTGACCATGTGTAGCGTACTGAACTCAGTCGGCGTCACTTCTGCATACACGCAAACTCTGATCAATGGACTTTTACAACTCTTTAACTTCTTTGCAGCTGCATCGGCCGCTCTACTTGTCGATCGATTAGGCCGTCGCACACTCTTCTTGTGGAGTACTGTCGGTATGCTGTTGTCGTATATCATCTGGACGGCATGCTCTGCAGTGAATCAAGAGACCGGGTCTAAACCAGCTGGCATCATCGTTATTGTGTGCGTATTCGTGGTTTTTTTCCACTACGATATCGCATGGACCCCTTTGTTACTCGGATACCCTACCGAGATTTTCCCCTACTACCTCCGCTCCAAGGGCCTAGCTATTGAGATGGTCTCGGTCTATAGCTGTTTGGTTATTGCTGCGTTTTGCAATCCAATTGGCCTTGAGTTAATTGGCTGGAAGTATTACATTGTCTTTTGTTGCTTCCTTGTCTTTATCGCTGCCACTGTTTATTTCTACTTCCCGGAAACGAAAGGCCACACGTTGGAGGAAATTGCTGTCATCTTCGATGGTGAAGATGCTGCCTTGGTAGGAGCACATGGTGGCAAACAACAGGACCTTTCCGCTAAAAGCGTACACCTAGAATTAGGTCAGAACGGGTCGAAGAAGAGCTCCAGAATCAATCAACACGAGGATTAGTGGGAATATGCGAATAATTCAACAAGCTGTACTTCTGTGGCGGTCTTACTCATCAACCACGCCGACATCTGGATGTAATGATGAAAGAACAATAAGGAAATATTTGAAATATTACACAATTATAAAAAACTTCTATTGTCTATGCTAGAATTCTAGCCGGCTTTCTGCAACCTCTCTGAGGCCATTCAAAGAATACCAATGCAAACTAGATTCCGGAATGCCAAAGACGGCCGCGGCATCCCCACACACATGTATTCCTAGATTGCTTTAACACTCCTGAACGCTATAAATCCGAATAGTTGGCTCTGGCCGGCTTGTCCAGAATACAGTCTTCTCTTACTGGTCTCATGACGGGCAGATAAGCGGTCCACCTGTTGCCTGCGCCTGGCCCCACCGCCTCAGTTTGGTATCTCAGATATACTAGAGACATTGACCTCCTTGACTCCATTTAACTCGCGGCGCATTTTGCTGCTAGCGGCATAGACTGCATCTGTCAGCACACAAATCGTAGACAAACGCTTGAATAAAGAACGTACCAACGCGCCTCAGCCTATTCGGACTCCCCAGCGGCTGCAGGCTCTTAAGTCCGTGCCAAGGATCAACCCGCATGTAATCTTCCCAAAATCGCTTCCTTTCGAAGTCAAAGCTGTTTTGGCGTGGAATGACAAGCTTGGCGACAGTCTGCCAGGGGTACTTTTCCTCGTCCCACGCCTGACCTGCGTACTCGACAGGCTGTTCGTCCTGGTTTTCCAGCAGCTGGACCTGAAAGTCGTACTCGGCGTCGTGATCAGCATGGAAATTCTGCAACCACTTGTGCAGAATATCGTCATCGTGCTCGGGCTTCACTGTTTCTTCGTACAGTTTCTTTTGCGTGTCAGTGGACGGAACAAGAGAGTACTTCATCACGTAGTCGCCGAAACGGTATGCCGTCTGCGAGTACTGCCTCGTAGACTCTAGATGTGAGTTCCGAAGTTTGTCCCTGGATGTCTGGAGTTCCGCATCATGACGGGCATTAAGATGCTCGTACAGTTTGTTCTTGTCGTTGCCATACTTCGTGCGGAGCTGGAAGATTTCTTTCGTGGTTTTGGCGTCGGCAAGCTCAATGGCGGGAGCGCTATTGAACTCGATATCCTGCGTGGGACAGCTTTTACCTGCATCGAACATGTCTCCATTCACATTGAAGAGCTTAATCGCAAAGCCACGAGGTTGTGGAATGCGATCCTAGAAACTTTTCAGTCGTGAGATTGGCTGAATCTGCATTGAAAAGACTCACATCGAGACCTGGATCACCGGGTTCTGAACTGTAGCGACAAGCGGCTGGATATTGACCCCCGTGCTGGAATAATTCAGTTTGCTTGAGATGCTCCGGCAAGTCTTCGATTACGATGAAGCTACCCTTAACAATCCCCTGTGTCCGGGCGTGTGTTGCACCATATCCGTGACGAGTCTTGTTCCATGTGCGACGTTGTAGTTCGTTGGCCAAATCTGCAACTGCTTGGATGTCCTCGGCTTCATTTGCTGGTACCTTTTCCACCCCCTCAGCGTCCCATCGAATGTAGTTGCGATTGCTGAGATCTTTTTCGGATTCCATCTCACTCGCCTGGTTCTTGATAATCCTGATTTCACTTCTATGATCAACTTGGGCGTGAGAAAAAGCGAGCGGCCTTATTGATCCTGGACTTGATTAAGCCTACTTGAGCGACCTCTGGAAGCACTCCTCTGCAAGATTTCCACGACTTTTCTGTCATGATCACGATTGTAAAACATTAGCCCCGGGATGATCAATACAGAAGCACCATTGACACGCGCTATGAATCATCAGTCGCCGCTAAATGGCCGATCGCACAGATATATCAACTAATCCCGTTAACTACTACAGACGACGCCAAGGTCAAGAAGACGCGCGACCTCACAGACCGCATTCGAACTCGAAGGGACAGATAAATCCATGAATTTGCCACAGCTCTTCATGAACATGATGCCTTGATGGACACTTCCTACGAGCTGCTCTCCGATCTTGTCAAAGGTTTGTTCAAGTACGAGACCGGCTTCGATAAGATTGAAGTACGTGGCGTCCCCTGTCCGACGCTGATTGTTGCTTCTTTCTTGGCGCTTGCCGAGTACTGTGGATATGCCGTTCAAGATGAGAACATAAGAGACAGCCGAGACCATGCAGAAAATTGGCAGGATTTTGGGTGTGCTTGGGCAAGTCCTGGATTTGAAGGCACATCCAGTCGGCACGCATGGGCTCGACAAAGCGATTACAAACAATCTATCAGTCTATTTACTAGAAACAAGGCTGCGTAGAAGGTTTGCATGGAAGCAAAGGCATTTCCTAAAATGCATTCGACGATAGTGACATTGATTAGAGTTGTAATTGTGATCCTACGATCTAAGGGTGGCGCAAACTCTCGTGCACGTGATAAGGGGCTGACGCGGTGTTCGAAAAATACAGCGGCTAAGAAGCTCCGATTGATTGAACCTCTTCAACACACAATTAGGCTGCTGCTCTCATCCAATCGCGTCCAATGCACAGATCAGATCGGTACATCTGCATCCTGCTCGGGGCGCTGTGCCTCACCGGCACATCAATTTACTACACCAGAGGGCTCAAAGATGACCACGCAGCCTTCTTCGTCCACGTCGTCGCAAGCACCTCTCTCTACGTCACCTCGGTAATCTCCCTCTCCTTCGCAACCGAGGAGGATGCGAGGCTCCAGGCGAAAGTGGCGAAACTGAGGCAACGGAAACGCGCAGGCTTGAGGCCATACCAATACTGGCCCCTCGAGCTTGCGACACTGTCGACCAGGGTGACCGGGTTGCTCGGCGGTCTGTACACCTTCGCCCTGCCCCTGGTATCGCCCTTTAAGGACCCGATAGTGGACGTTGCCATCCGCATCCCGACCTTCTTCTACAGTTGCAAGCTTCTCGACCTCTCGGTCGCCCGGGCGCGCAAGCCGCCCGTCCCCTGCGGCGCGCAAGACATCGAGGCGTACGGTCTCGTGAGCTGGAGAGCTCATGGCGCGAACGCCTGGCGGCTCCTCACGGAAACGAGATACGCGTCATTCAACATCGCCGTGGACGAATCAGCGCGCAAGGCAGTCGAACAGAAGGACGCTGCGTGGAGCCTCATCCCCTGGCTCGCCCTTCCACTTGCGTATTTGTTCCCAGCTGCCGCCGAGGCACAGGTCGTGAGCGGCCTCCTGGGGATCCAGCTTGGCATCGAGGGTCTGCACAGTCTCCTGCACCCCCGGTGCCCGAATTGGCTCTTCTGTCGGCCATTTTCGTCCGCCGGTCTCTTGGAGTTTTGGACCTGCCGCTGGCATCAGGGAGCCCAGCCGTTTTTGTACAGCCTCGGTTATGCGCCTGTAAGAAGGGTGGTTGCGAAGTTGTTCGGCCCTGATGTTGGTAGGGCTGCGGGCGTGCTTGGGGCGTTCAGCCTGAGCGGTGTCTGGCATGCTTGGTCAGGTGCTGCCCTGACCCGAGCTGAATACGTCTGGCATGTGAGCGTCGGCCTGTGGTTCTTGTTTATCCTGCAGGGTCTTGGCTGTCTAGTTGAAAAGCGCCTCTCGAGGGATGTCAGGTGGAGAACAGGCTGGCAAGGGCGTTTGTTTACTGCAATGTGTTGGGCCTGCTCTGTTGAATCTGCTAGCATCTGGCTGAGGTATTCACTCACACGGACTAGCTTGCCATGGTTGCCAGAGTCCTCCTAGATAGGGGATGTAATATGGCGAGGGGGGCTGCTACTCACCTGGAACTGTCTCCCGCGAGCAGTTACCCTCACAGACATCATCAGCCGCAGCCTCACTCCCTTCAGTCGTGCCCTGGAGTCCCTCGTCAAGCAAGCGATGGAGCTTCAGAGTCGACGGACCAGATAGATGTAGATCTGCGAGTCACCACTTCTCCGTCCTGCGAGCCTCGGTCGTACCCATCAGAACCTAGCAGAGACCCCCCACCTTCTCGCTCCTCTTGTTAGAAATCATAATCTTTTTGAGACATCAACGCTGAGAAATGGGAAAGAGGCTGCTTTACTACTGGTCTAGTTTAGGGAGAGGGAGGATAGCCTGTATTAGAGGGAATTAAGGCCTCCTACCCAAGGGAGAGAGTTAAGGGTTAGAGGGTGTACAGTCTGGCCTGTACCTGGGGAACGGATCCTCTGTCGAGGGAAAATATACAGCCACAGAACTTGTAGGATTTCGTCCGTTTCCCTATACTAAAGCCTGTAATCACCAAATTAGTAATTGGCTTGGTGATGGTTAGTAAACACCCGGTGCTGTATGTTTTATTCTTGCTCGTTTTTTGTTCTTTGTGGCATTGCTCTACATTTGCGGAAGTCATCATGTCTATAGTATGAGACTAGCTGTGTACAACTAGAATCAGGTGATGAACCAGTCCGAAAGTACTCCCGGCAAATTTGTTGTTCTAAAGCAGGAAGCGGAAGCCTCTCTCCGTAGTAACTTCTGGAAATCCGTTTGCCTCAGGTGACCCAGCAGCACCAGCGTTATTCCCAACGTCCCTGACGGTCTCACCGCGGTCCAATTTCTTGTTAAGGCGACCAAGGTAAATCCGTAGTACCGTCATGGCTATCACAGTCATTGCTGACATCGCAATGTTAACTACGAAAGCGTTGACGTATCGAGGAGCCGCAGAGGCTAGAGATATGGTCAGCGGTTATAATACATTCACAGTAAATATGGCAACAGTGCGTACTTGGATACAGATACGGTGAGTATACTTGGCAGACATTGCTCAGAGCATTGATAAGAGCTAGTGCCGCAGTACGCTTGGTTGCCGGACGGGGGAGGACTATAGCCGTGGATATTAGCAACTTAATCCATAACGATGTATTGATGCAAACTTCAGACTCACTGTTTGATATATAGCCTAGTGCAACTACATAGGAGGAATAGGTGGCCCCCACCATCACACACATTGCGCTGTAGTTTTGATTAGTGAGATGAGCCAATTATGATATATGAAGACATGTTTGAATACTAACAAGTATCTGGGACCTATTGCAGTCGTTGCAACGGCAATGATGTCTTGGGTTGTGTTAGTGACAGAGGCATACTTTTAGGTGTCAAGAGAATCAGGAGAGCCGCAGCTGCGCTAGAATAGTCACAGGGGATTCTGTTTCCTTAGTACTCACACATCACCATTGCGATAAGAGGAGGTCCAGCAATGTGGAGGTATCTTTCCTGGGTACGATCTGCATGCCAGGCGTTTACCAAGCAGACAATGACGGCGACAATGTATGGAGGAGCGGTGAGGAGTAGAGTTTGGATCTTGCCGTATCCCAGGGTTTCGACAACAGTGGGAAAGAAGGTGGTCATAGAGCCTGACGCAGTTGAGCCGTATATGACGAGCAGTAATAGCCACGTCTTGGGGTCCCTTGACACTTGTTAGCATCGCTTGTGTTGTATATAGATAGAACCTCTTTGACGAACGTGAATGCGAGCTTCAGTCCGTGAACGGGAGACTGATGCTGGCTGTCCACCCAATCATCTTCCCCAATATCTGCCTGGAGCCTCCATGCTGCGAGCTGTTTTTCTTCTTCACTGAGCCACCTTGTCGTTCGAGGGACGTCTGGGATGATAAAGACCGCGATGCTGGCGACAACAACCTGAGTCTTGATCAGTACATAGGAGACTACAGGAAATAGACCAATAAGAAGCTCAGGTCACTTACAGTTAAAATGCCCTCAAGCAGAAAAAGCCACTGCCAGGCGCTCAAACCTGCCAGACCCCCCATGCCCTCCACAATACCAGCGGCGATCAGACCCCCAAAGGCACCGGAAACAAGGGAGCCAGAGTACAGAAAAGCGGTTCGCAAAGCCAGCTCTTTCCTTGTGTACCAGCAAGATAGAAAGTAAAGAGCACCTTTCATGAAGCATTAGAAATTGTGAATCGGGGCACCCCTTGTCCATGCATGATTATTTCAGGGAAATGGCTTGCCATCGAACGTTTAGAAGACAAAGCGGCCCTTCCAGACTGAGGAAGGTAGCCGAAGAGGGGAATGTGTTGGCATTGAATATGGAAAAAATTGGCAGGCTCACCTGGGAAGTAGGCAGCCTCAACAAAGCCTAGGATGAACCGGCACGCGAGAAGGCCACCGAAGCTTTTCGTAGCTGCGGTCGATCCCGAGATAATGCCCCAGACCACCATACAACCAGGAAGGTACAGTGAAGGCTTGCCCATCTTGTTCAGCAACATATTCGACGGAACTTAGACCGGTCAGCGAGCTTCAGGACAATCAATTGACACTGACTCTTGGGTCAGAATTCACGAACCTTGCATCAAGAGATAACCGACAAATAGGATGCTGACTGAAGTCTGATATTGGTTGCCGACAAGATGGAGGTCCTCCTCTAAGCCTGCCAGCCGAGCAGTTGCGATATTATTCCGATCGAGATAGTTGAGGATGTACATGATAACGACCATGGGCAGCCTGTACTCGCATTGACTGTCAGCATTTGACCAAAATGAAATCACGAGGATTAGGGAATTGTTTACAATCTGAAGTCAATCTTGCGCTTGAGCCGCTTCTCTCTGTTTGACAGCTCCTCCGGGGAGATATCCCTGATCCATTGTGGTGCTGAACCAAGCCCAGGTCTAGACTCGACCTGTTCGGCAGTACCCATGTCGGTTTTGGAGAGATCTGTCATGGTGTTGATCTGGCAGTCAAATCGAGATTGGCACGCTTGGCGAAGTTGTTTGTATGGTAGGATAGCACCCTTCAGACAGAGCCCAGGATCGCCAAGGACGGTAGCTGCATCTACGGAGAGGACGGGACGAGACGGGAGCGATGGAACTTGGCAGCTTGTTTTCTTATGAACATGCCAGGCCCTTGACACGTTCATCCTGGGGGGATGGGTAATCCACATCCCCATGGGGTAGAGATGGTCGGGCCCCAGGGGCTCTGCGGGGAAGCTTGTACGTGTTCAGCAGCACGTTTGACGGGGTGTCTTTTCCGTTGCTTGCTAGACGGGGCATCGGAAAACCGTTTGTGCTATTGAAACACACTGTTTTTGTATGACTGCACTTGGACTTTTGTGTTACCCAAGGAGTGTATTTGCGCTAGATGCTTGTACGTATTTCGCATAATGAGCTGAGCAGGGTATTTCATCTACATGCATACATGTATAAGGCATCCCAACTTTCCGACATCGTGTTACTGACGTAAGGCCATGCTCAGTATACACACTCGTCAAATGTCTACAATGTTTGATAAACTAGACCTCTTATTGGAGTGCTATCATGGATTGCTGACGAATTATTCGAATCTATAGACTGCTCTCCGACTTTTCGACGTCGGCCAGATACAAATTCCTCAGCTTTTCCCACTCTCCGTCCGCCAACTTTCCCTTCAGGGGTAGTCTACCACCCTCCAAAATTCCCATGCCTGTGACACGATATACGGCCTCCTTGATACCCACGATACCGGTCTTGCCTATGTATTCCTCTGCTTTGCTAACCACGTACTGCAGCCTCTGCACCTCGGCCAGCGTGTCAGGATCGATTGGTCTCTTTTCGGCGAGGTCCATCAGTCGGGCCACGGTCTTTGGATAAATGGCTGCCAAGCCGTCGATGACTCCTGCTGCCCCGAAGAACACAATGGGTCCAAGTTGCTGTCCGAACCCACTGTATACACGGAATTTGTTGTGGTCAATGGCTGGGTCCAAGGAGACTTGGACGTGATAAGACACATTGCCATGAGACCTGGTTTTTTAGTCAGTGTCTGACATTACACGGAGCGTACATTTCAGGGGAGTAAGTGAATCAACTTACATTTTGCATCCCACAATCTTCGGGTGCTGAGCCAAAGCCGAGTATGTTTCAGGGGCGACTAGAACATTGTTCGTCACACCTGGATAGTTGTATCTGAGATCTTGGTCAGCAGAGTTTTGATTGCAACGTGCCGTTTGAAGCTTCACTCACATCAGAATGGGGATGGGACTGTTGTCTGCAATGATGGTGTACCACTCCTGAATGTTGGCCTGGGAGCCTGCCGCCCCAAAGTACCCCGGGACGAGCACAAGACCCCATTGTGCACCGGCTTTGGCGTAGTCCTGCAACCATTCCAGAGTCTCATCGATGCCGTTTGTGAGTACTCCAGCCATGATGGGGTAGTCAGGGAAGCCTGCATCATCAAGGCCCTTCCTGCACCCGGCGATCAGGTCGAAGCGCTCCTGTTTGTTCAGATGTATGGCCTCTCCAGTCGAGCCGAGTAGTACCAGACCGCGGATGCCATTCTTAGCCAGGAAAACGGAGTGCTTGACTTGTGTCTCGACGTCAACCTTAGGCTGCAGGCCTGACGATGCGGAGGCGGGCTTTAGGAAAGTAGGGACTGGGACAAAGACGCCCGTTGGAGGGCTGGAGACAGGGGCTGACATTTTGGTCTGGTAGGGTGGCTTGCTTCTTTCTTGGGGAAGGATGGTGTTCCTGATACACTGAGGTCTAATTGTCTCCTCATGAGCCAGTGCTCGAAGTAATTCACAAAGCAGTCGACAAGTGGACCATTGGCGTTTGTTGCTCGGGCCATCGACTGCCGAGGGTCACCGGGCCCGACTCCGCACATCGGTGAGTCTCGGCATGCTAGCCCGGACTTGTATGCCCCGACCTCGGCTGCCATACGCTTTATGCATCTTCCGGATACCTCTGTTATGCACGTTGGCATTTCCGGCCGGATAACAATGCACTGTCCCACTGTTTAACACGCCAGTGCATAATGATGTGATGCTGCCACAAGCTCAAATGTGTAATCTACGTACTCACAAAGCCCAAGTAAGACAAATGCGCAAGGAATTGATCAGTTCTTGTCAATAGTTGGAGAATCATCTCGTGATAATTTTGTGCAATTTCCCTGAGTCTTTGATTATCGGACACCACCATGACGCTGGCGGAGTCCTTCAAGTTCAACAACGGACTGACTGTTCCAGCCGTGGGGCTGGGGACCTGGGTAGGCCTTCAGTCACGAAATCATTAAGGCCAGCGCTGACGACCATACCAGCAATCTAAGCCAAACGAGGTGAAGAACGCTGTCGAGCTTGCCCTCAAGTCAGGTTATCGCCATGTTGATGCCGCGGCTGTGTACGATAACGAGAAGGAAGTGGGTGAAGGTATCAAAGCCTCTGGCATCCCCCGAAAAGACATTTTCGTGAGTAGCAACTATTCGGATCGGGATCTGAGAAGTTGTGTATGTTTTGCTAAACATGATCGGCAACGCAGTTGACCAGCAAGCTCTGGAATACCCACCATAAGGGCGAAGATGTCGAGAAGGCGGTAGACATAAGCTTGGCAGATCTCCAAACTGACTACCTTGACCTTTATCTTGTATGAGTACTCATTCTACACCCTGGATGAAGCCGCCTAACCCGTTGCAGATTCATTGGCCGGTGTCATTCCGCCGCATTAATGATACTGAGCGGTTCCCTATCGATGAGAAGACATTTGGCGCTGATGTCATTGATGTTCCGATAATTGAGACATGGAGAGCGATGGAAGCCTTGGTGAAGAAAGGTAAAATCAGGACCATCGGTGTTTCAAACTTCTCGATCGCAAAGATCAACGAGATCTGGGATGCCGCCGAAATCAAGCCAGCAGTGAATCAGGTCGAGCTTCACCCTTACTTTGCACAACCAGAGTTGGTCAAGTGGTGCCAGGACAAGGTAAGTTTATGCAATGGCGTGCCTCGGAAAAGGTATTAGACTTGCTAATAAAATAATAGGGTATTGTTGTTGAGGCCTACTCTCCACTTGGAAACAATATTTACAGCCTGCCAATGTGAGCTTGAAAGACTCGAGAAAATGCACCATCTTGGCTAATCAAGTATCAGGGCCATTGAGGACCCAACAGTGATCCAACTGGCAGAGAAACTTGGCAAGACGCCTGGTCAGGTTGTACTCAGCTGGGTTGTGCAGCGCGGCATTGTTGTCCTCACAAAATCGGTCACTCCATCACGAATTAAGTCAAACTTGGAGGGTAAGTGATGCCACAAACAGCTTTAGAATGCCTAAAATCTGACCTTTCAATAGTATTCGAGCTGCCTGCGGACGCCCTTGAAAAAGTCAACTCGCTTGACCGCAACCACCGGTACAATTTGCCCGCGAGATTAGGAGTGGACATTTTTGGAGACGCAAAGCCTGAAGTGATCGAAAAGGCGGTGGCCGAGTTCAAGAAGAAGAACAGACAAGCGCGTGGACTGGAGGCATAGATGAATAGAGCTTAGGTCTTTTGAGAGATAGATACCTTTTGAAGAGAAGATTGTCATAACGTTACTTCGTCGTGTGTCATCTTTCCCCTAATGTCTTCGTCCCAAGTCACCCGAGTCCATGACCCAATTGTTGCACAAGCCTTTTTACCTGCATCTGAGCATATCAAACATAGTCCTCACGATGATCCTTGACAGATGACTCGCTGTTACTATTTTGACTCTATTTGGTGCCTAAAGATGCATCGGGTGATAGTCAATGACAAATTTGCAGTGTCAAGGTCCAGACAAGTGGTTAGTTTGAGGCTAAAGTGACAATGTCACAAGCCCCTGTTTTCCCCTCACCGTCCCGCAGAGGAGCCACCTAAACGCGCTTTTCCGAAGCACTGAGCCATGTTTTCCGGGTGGAGACTCAAGTGTTGCATGGTGCGTCGCCGGTACAGCAACCAAGCATTACCGAGGCATTCTTCACGTTAACTGCATGCCAACCCATACAGACAACATCGTGGGGTAAAAAGGCTGGGATCAACGACGACTTCGGAAGTGTCAGTCGATTAGTGCGATAGTCAAATTGGAGAGAGAAGTCATTCAACCCTGTCCACGTTCGTCAACAAATCATTTCACACCCTCTCTACAAGCAGTGTATCGCGCAATCGCCAACCTACTACACAGATCCTTTGGACAACACATCAACTTCGTGCTTTATATCCTGGCGTCAAAATGGGGAAAATAGCAACTATGGAGTACTTCCGCGTGCCTCCGCGCTGGCTATTCGTCAAGATCACAGACGAAGCAGGCAACGTGGGTTGGGGAGAGGCTTCTCTCGAGGGTCACACCCAAGCCGTAGAAGGGTGCCTGGATGCTTGGTTCGATCGCTACAACGGCTTCGAGGCTGACGACATCGAGCACATTTGGCAAATGTCATGGCGGACCACCTTCTACCGGGGTGGTCCGGTCTTTATGAGTGCCTTGGCCGGCATTGATATTGCGCTTTGGGATTTGAAAGGTCAACTTCCATACATCTACCTCTAGTGTGATAAAGGAAAAGCTAACCTGATGGCAGCTCGCAAACTGGGGGTACCCATCTACCAATTGCTGGGAGGGAAAGTCCGAGACAAGCTTAAGGTGTACGCATGGATAGGGGGCAACCGGCCAAATAATGTATCAGAAGAAGCGTGAGTTCCCATAAGTTGACCCACGGTTTTGAACTCTGACGCTGAGTCGAACCAGAAAAGCACGAAAGTCGCAAGGCTTCAGCTGCGTCAAGATGAATGCCACAGAAGACATCGGCTGGTTGGACTCGCCATCAGCCCTCGACTCGTGTGTAGAACGAGTCAAGGCCGTCAAAGACCTGGGGATGGACGCCGGTGTCGACTTCCATGGCCGGATACACAAGCCTATGGCCAAACAGCTCGTGAAGCTACTTGAGCCGCACCGACCTCTCTTTATCGAGGAGCCCCTGCTTTCAGAACACATCGAGGGAATCAAGTCCCTGGCAGAGCAGACTAGCGTCCCAATTGCTCTTGGCGAGCGCCTACACAGCAGGTGGGACGTCAAACCCTTCCTTGAAGCAGGCTGTGTGGACATTCTTCAGCCAGATATTTCCCACATTGGTGGAATTTCTGAGATGAAGCGCATCGCTGCCATGGCTGAGGCTTACGACGTGGCACTTGCACCGCATTGTCCTCTAGGCCCTATTGCTCTGGCTGCGAATTGCCAGGTGGACTGCTCCAGCCCCAACTTTGCCATTCAAGAAATGAGCCTGGGTATTCACTATAATGCAGGAACGCAGGACCTCACAGCCTACACCAAGAACCCGGAAGTATGGAATGTTACTGATGGCTATATCAACATCCTCACAGGTCCGGGACTTGGGATTGAGATTGATGAGGAGCAAGTCCGAGCTCTGTCAAAGGATGCACAAGCATGGATTAGTCCTGGCTTCATTGGCCCTGGTGGTGAGATCCGAGAATGGTGAAGTGGTCGAATTGGGAAGAAGGCAAGAACCTACCTATCATCTGTCCGGGCCTTGGTCTGTGACTTATTGATCATAGACTACTTCGTGTACTCTGAAATCTATTTACGATGACCGAAATTAAAGTGCGTCCTCGCCCTGGGAGGGAATGAGTTAACAATAGCATGGCTACGGTTCCTGTCATAGGCGCTGGAACCAATAGGACGAAAACCTTACTAGATCATACGGGTCATTAGGCGACTCGCTGACAGCTGCCGACACCATTTTAGAAAATTTAAATGAGCTCGAAAGAGACCTTTGGCTCATCAATTGTATGACTCAACAAGACTTGACTGATACGCATCATCAATAAGACAAGTCAGTCACATGCTGTTCATGGCAATACGTATTCTCGGGCGCAAAGCACGCCTTCAAATCATTCAACCCATCAAGCGAAAGCCTTGTATCAAAGCGATGAGGGTGGGGTTAAACACTCTCTGTCGCCTTTGTGCCACTTTATTCGACTGTTGTGCATTTCACAAACCCATTGTCGGATTAGCAGCATATTCATGGACAGGATGCATTGAGGCATAGAGCCATTGATTACCAGACAAGGACGACCCTGACACGGAAAAGAAAGAGACAATGCCCATGTGTCCAATTTCAATGCACATTGTCAAATAAGAAAACCACGCATGCTCCTTCGGCTTGAGGAAGCAGGGATCAGTATAAATATTTGCTGCCTAATCGTCGTCATCAACCACCATTACTTGTTCCACTCAAATACAATGCTCCCGAGCAACACGATCAGCACTTTTACAATACGGACTGGAAAAGACTACAACTAGCACTTTTGAAAACCAGACTGAAAATCACGACAGCATGGCACAGCAACAGTTCACGGAGACCAGTATGCTGGTCGATTTGGATTCCTTAGCTTTTGCAGGCATTAAGCTACCAACGAACTTTGCTCAGCATTCAGCAGACAAAATCAATAGTAGCTACGAACGCGCGGTGAGTGATTTACCACGTTATCTATTGGATGCAGTTTGCATCGGAGCCTACAAAGATGCGAATCCTGGAGGCGTCCCCCCTCTCTTCCCTCGCCCTCAAATGCCTAACACGGCACAAGGGGCAGAAGGCGGTGCGAAGATTTCTGCGGTCTTGTACGACCGCATTGTCTTCCTCGGTCAACTAATCCAAGAAGTTCGTCTCATCTCAGAGAATGTTCACAATGCTCTGGGCGGCTTGGACTTGAACGAGTTTGACTTGGAGGAGCTTGTGGGACTTGACCTCGAGCAGCCCACCGATTTCATGACCCCGTTGGCAGCATATTTCCTTCGATCACTTATTCGTCTTCGTATGGCCCATACTGACTTTCAACGCGTGGCACAGGACTTTGAAAGCGTTCTCGAGATAATCGCTGAGGTTTACGAGGGCTGCATAGATCCAGACAAGCCAATGGCTCACATAGACATCGTCGAACTTGAAACCCAGCTAAGAGCATGGGAGTCTGCCTTTTCCGAAATCAACATCGCGTGGTTCGGACTCTGGAATGATAGCAATAGCACAGTCCTATTCTGGGACCAGCGTCGGCGCCTGGAGTACAAGAAGTCGCATAGCGGGTAGGTTTTGAATCGTTGTTTTTTGATATTGAATCTAAATCCCAGACTATTGCCAAAGCCTCTCTCTCAGTAATTTAAATACTGATGCTTGAATGTGATTACTAGTCGTGGTACGTGACCTACACCAGTTGGCGAGTCTGCATTGTCTGTCAGCCGGAGACAATCCGCCACAGCTAAATGGAACTTACTGTTGCACCAGGCCATGTTTGCAGAAGTATTCGAGATCTTTAGATGCGACCAAGCTCTCCAAAATTGTCACCGCAAGTTAAAAATGACGTCCTTATCCAACGCCAAAACACGTCAACGCTCACACCGCCTTTCTTTCGCACAAGCAGCTTGATCACTGGAGTCACTCATGGTTCACTCGCTAACCAAAGCTTGACACTTGATCTCCACGTTCAGCCTCTCATTCGGCAGCGCCGCAACCTGCACACACGTCCTCGCAGGCGCCTTGGTCTTGTCCGGCCAGCGCTTGTTCCACTCTGCGTTCATGGCGGCGTAGTCCTTCATGTCCGTCAGAAAAATGGTGGCGTCGACGATGCTCTCCAGGCCATTTTTCCCGTCTGTCGCACCCTGGATGATGTTCTCGATATTCCTCAGAACCGCGGCTGTCTGTGCGCCGCAGTCGAGCTTGTGGGTGCCATCGGGCAGAGTCTCGCAACCTTCGTATGTCCCGTCGCCGCGCCGGGAAGACGTGCCACTGACGAATATGATGCGACTGGTCGAGGGCGCTGTGCGTGCGTGAGGATAGTTGGCGAGCCCCTGGGCACGCTCGGCTGGGAGGAAGAAGCCTGTCCCGTTGGATGCCATCGTCACAGCTGCTTATTTTCGTGTGACGATGTTGTTCTCGCAGTTAGGTACGAGATGTGTATGTGTGTGCTGAAAATTGCGTCTCGCAATCATCTACCGCTATCCGATATCGTCGCGAGTTTTGACTTCTCGCCCGTTTTGATAGATATACCAGCATAAGGTTGAAGCTTGTCCTACACCGAGAAGCTTAGGAGCGGAGGGTGCACCAAGCATCCGTCTTCCGCTCTGCAGCTCTTGATCTTCCGATTGGCTCAAAATGTAGCTCTGATGCTAGTTGTTAGACGGCCAAGCTCCATAGCGGGGGACGCCATCGCTCACGGAAGCGGAACTTGGCCTGGGGCATGTGAAGAAAGCGACAGACAGGGGCTGTCCATGCTTGCTCAAGGATGGCTAAAGGCTCAGCATTCGTAAACGACAAAGCCGCCTGTAGCCAGCGACATCGTCCTGTAGTTCGACAGCATAGTATTGTGCAGGTTTACGCATTGCCACAGCACATCAAGGCTCATCGCGAGGGTGTACAATTTGCCTTTTTCCTCCAATACCGGGCGACGGTGTCTTAATTTAGTTCACTTCACATCTATTATCATGGGATCGGTACATCAAGTCCACGGCAACGTCTCCGAGGCATTATGGAGCGCCAACACCCATGAGAAAGCCACTGCGCTGCTCAAGCAACTCGATGGCCAACCCCTGACTTTGCAACATTTCACCAAGAACGATTTCACGACAACAGAAGCATCAAAACACATTGACTCGTTCGAGCCAAAATCTGGAAAGCTCATAGCGAAAGTGCCCTGTGCATCGGCCGAAGAGGTCGACGCCGCAGTCAGCGCCGCTAAGGCGGCCTTCCCAGCATGGAGCAAGACACCCCGGACCGAACGATCGAGGTACCTGCGGCAGATCAGCGAGATCATCGCTGAGAACCGCGAGCTATTTGCAGTGTGGGAGAGCATTGACCAGGGCAAGACGCTGGAGCGCGCACGGGTCGAGGTGGACCGGGCTGTGTCCAACTTCGCCTACTTCTCGACCTTCATCCTGCACGAGTCTACATCCGCCCGCATGGTGGATGGCGTGGCGCTGACCTACGAGCACCGCAGCCCCGCGGGCGTCTTCGCCCTCATCTCGCCCTGGAACATGCCGCTGTACCTGCTCACGTGGAAGATCGCGCCGTGCCTGGCCTTTGGCTGCACCGCCGTCGCGAAGCCCAGCGAGGTCACCAGCGTGAGCGCGTTCCTGCTCGCGTCTGTGTTCCAGCGCGTCGGCCTGCCCTCGGGCGTCGTCAATGTCATCTTCGGCGACGGCGCGACCACTGGCTCGGCCTTGGTGGCGCATCCGGGAATCCACGGAGTGAGCTTCACGGGCGGCACTGCGACGGGCATTGCGATCCGGAGGGCAACGGTGCACCAGATTTACAAGCATGTTAGTCTAGAGCTGGGAGGGAAGAACCCGACGTTGGTGTTCGCAGACTCGTTGCTCGCGAACAAAGAGAAGACAATCCGGACGGCCGCGATGGCCGCGTTCGAGAACCAGGGCGAGATATGTTTGTGTGGGTCGAGGATATACGTCGAGAAGAGCGCGTACGATGGATTCGTTGCAGCGTTCACAGAGTACGTGACCAAGACGTATCGTGTGGGCGAGACGGTCGGCGCGGTGGTCAGCTCGCAGCACTACGCCAAGATCAGGAGCTATCTCGAGGTCGCGCAGAAGCAGGGAATGACGTTCAACACCGGAGAGCTGCCGCCAGAAATACGAGCCGGCGAGGAGAAGGGTTACTGGATCAAGCCGACGATCCTCACAGATGTCCCCACCGACTCGGAGTTGCTCCGAGACGAAATATTCGGACCGGTGGTCACGATCGTGCCGTTCGAGGACGAGGAGGATGCCGTACGGCTGGCGAATGCGAGCGAGTACGGTCTTGCAGCAGTGTTGTTGACCACCGACGGAGGCCGGATGAGGAGGGTCGGCGAGCAGCTGCAGGCAGGCATGGTGTGGGTGAATTGCTGGCTGGTCAGGGAGCTGGGAACGCCTTTCGGCGGCATGAAGAATTCCGGCACGGGCAGGGAAGGAGGAGAATACTCAAGGGATGTTTTCACTGTTGCTAGAACGGTGCATCTTGCCACTATCTGAGAGGCAGCCAGAGCTCAGGGGTAAAATCCGAGTCCGTGGCTGTGGTGTCTGGTGATGCTCGGGATTATGGTGTTGCAGTGACGTGCCTCACGAAAGCTGTGGAGAGCTGTCAGATCGGCACTCGAGGCGAATGTTTGACGAGGTAGCCGGGTATTCGGGTTCGAAAGGAGGGATTGCTAATAAGAAGACAAGGATCTCAGTGATCCACCACCCGGCCATTCCAGCAAGCTCACGAGCTCACGAAGTATGATGGAGAGAGCTGCCTCAGACTTGTGGGCAGCGTCGAGATTATTTGTTTCGAGATTTCATCTTGGTTTTCCCAGAAGGGCAGGTCTGTGGCACATCACTCCAATTTAATATTTCAATTCGGTCTTTGGGTCTTCGCAGGAGCCCGATGGCTCGGGTTGTTTGCGATGACACGGCTGACGGCTCGAGTACGCGATTCGCCAAGTGGTCCTCGCGCCTAAACTCCTGTAGTCTGTGGGCTGACCGGGTCCGGGGCCAGACTCGCCAATGTAGTATTTTTAGCCGCTGTCAAGCCCTTCAGCTCAATTTGGGACATGGTTAAGCCCTTTGCAGCTGGCGAAATCAGTGGAACGGCTTGGCATTCATCGCGACTGGTGGCGACCCTTGCAGACACATGGGTTGAGGTCGGAACAACCGTTACGCCTAATCATAAATCTCGTGTAAGTGGAGCCACCGCAGCCCTATGCTACATCAGCCCCAGATCCAAGAGGAAATAGTCCCCTCGGGCGAACACCGTGATTGCTCAAGTCTGAGGCCTGGGGTATTCTCTAATTACTTTGTCCTTACCTATTAAGCATAAGTGTCGTGATCAAATATAGATACCATCCTCTATCGGGCCACTGACGCGAAATATTGGTGTTCCTGCACTTACTACCATTCTCAGTGCAGCCATCAGCGCCAACAGCCAGTCATTCTCCCTTCATACGCCACAAACATAACCCCAAATACTTCGCGTCAGCACTTGCATTTACATCTTTGGCAACTTCACACCTCTCTACACGCGCCATCTACACTCTGTCACAACTGCAGCCTCAGTTCTCAAAATGGTGTCATTTTTCGGCTTGGGAAAGAAAAAGTGAGTACTATGACACAAGGCAGCTTTAGTTGGAACTCACATTAACCATTTATCACAGGAAGGAGGCGCAAGATGAGGGCCCCGTCCACTCCCTATACGCGCAGCAATGGAAGCGAGAGCAAAGCCCCTTCGGCCCACGAGTCCCGCAGACCAACAGCTCTTCCACAAGCCTTCCAGCACGGCCAAGTAGCTCGCACTCGTCAAAAGGTCCCAGCGGCCAGAACTCAATCTACGCAAACAAATCAGCCACGGGGAGCATGCAAGATCTGTCCACAAGACGACCTGGATCTACAAAGCCACCGCGCACCGGCTCACCTCTGAGGCCAACGTCTGCAGACGGGAAGCCGACACCCAACCTCGGAAATGCAAGGCCGATGTCCCCAAGCAGCCTCGCAGCAGCAGCATCGCAAGCTGGATTCCGATTTGAAAATTCACCACAAAAACCGCATGGCGCGCAGTCACCGCGCAATAGCAACCAGAGCACATCAAAGACACCCGGTGACAGTCCCGCCAAGCGGCCATCACCAGGCAGCATAGAACGAAACAGGAGCCCGCTCGGTCGGTACGAGGTCAGGTCGGAGGCAGACAGTGAAGTGTCATCGCCGATGAGCCAGAGTCAAACAACGCGGAGTAATGTGACGAGCCTCACGAGCGTCGGTAGCGATATGGACAAGCAGATCGGACAGTGGGCCGTGAGAGTGAGCGCGTCCAGCGGAATAGACGAGAAGGTGTCGTCGCCGACAGCGTCGAGCCAATATGACCTGGATCAGGATGAGAAGGAGGCCGCTCTGGACGACTCGGAAGAGAATGGGCTCAAGGCGTTGGACACGATATCAATTTCAGAGCCACGGCAATCTTTGATGCCACAACCTGCACATACAGGAGATGGGAGGGGCTATTCGATGATTCTACAGTACTATTTGGACAGCGACGCTAGGGAGTCGATGGTGATATGAATATGCCGAGAGGCCTAATGAGTAATATGACATTTCTTGTCACAAAATTTCAATCCAAAACGCTTGAAGCTTTCGGCTCTTGCTGAACACAATTTGGTGCAACTCGAGGTAGCCTTGGATGATTCAAGTGAAATGGAAAATGAACCCTTGCAAAATAATCGCTCGAAACCTCTGGGCCGATGCCTAACTGCATTCCAATCCTCTCAAGCACTTGAGGTATCACAACCCAGACGCCATAATTAGTTTATTATGTTCTGGTCATGAAATTGAATTGAGATCAAGTTCCTTATTTCATCAAAGATTCCAATTTCGCTCACCCCGAATTTACTTTTGCCTGAGCACATCCCTTCACATCAGCTGGTCTAGCATCTGTTGCAGCCTGTATTCCAACTAGTCCCGGGCCAGCCCTATGCTCCTTCGCGATGACGTTCACTGTGGATCCTCCGTCAAGCCGCATGTCGGACATTTCCTCACGCTCTCGTTCTCCCTCCAGTTGTTGATCAACGGCTTCAGCTGCGTGCCGAGGTCGGTGCAGTGGAATACCTCTTCTCTAATGATGGTCGGCGTCTCGTGCCCGCCCTTCTTACAGTACCACCTTAGCCGGTCCAAGCTGCCCTCTGGCCTCACCCTCTCCATGACGAGGCCGATGGTGTTCTCGAACCGGACGGGGTTGTGTGGCGTGTTTCCTGGCAGCAGGAACATCTCGCCTTCCTTGATCTCTACGTCTTTGAAGTACTCCTTGCCCTCGGCGTCCTTCTCAACCACCTTAAGGCACATGGCGCCTTTCAGCTGGTAGAACCACTCCTCTGTCTCGTTCACGTGGTAGTCGTTGCGTGTGTTGGGCCCGCCGACAACCATGAGAACCATGTCTTTGCCGCTGAAGAGGCAGTAGTTGTTGACGGGGGGCTGCAGCAGGTTCTCGTTCTGGCTCAGCCATGAGGCGAAGGCCATTGGTGGTGGCAGGGCCATGTGGCCTGATGTGTTGCCGTTCATTGCGAGGTTGAGGTGAGCCTGTTGGGCAAGATGAAAATCCGACTTCTGGGATGGTTCGATTTGAGCGGGGGATGAACTGTGGTCATGCAGTGATTGATCTCAGGTTATGAATTAGGTTACGAGTCTGATGAGTAGAGACTTGGCGAAATGAGAGAGTTCTGGACTGGAGAAATGAAGGTTTGCTGTGTAAACGTTAGTCACTGGCATAGTTGACGATCACTTTATCACAAGAACTAAACCGACGCTTCCCTGCGCTGACCAAGGAGCTTCTTGGCGACGTCGGCGTTAATAGGCTCAAGTGCTGCTGTCTGGGCGGCGGCCCGAGACCTCAACTGTCCACTGAAACGGCGGCAACTTGCCGGCCATGGATTTGGCTTTTGGCGTGGCGCTTCCGCCCTCAGCTTCCGCCCTTGCATCCGAACTTGCGGATGCGGAAGACGGGCGTAACACCGGCCACGAGACCTCACCGTGGCCGGCAGCGATGGTTGATTCCAAGGAATATCGAGAACCTTATTGTTCAATAGGGTTCATCTGTGCTCTTAAACCTCGTTATTTATCACTTGAAAATCTGCTGTGAGTTCGCCAGAAATACCAATACACGAGAAGTCTACGGAATTCGAAACTCGAGGAGAATTTACCAACAACTATTTTAAATCACAATCTGCATGCAATTGTAACACATGATATTATGGCTCCAGGCATCCTCACAGAAAGTAACAGTTGCGAGTGCTGCTACCCCGAGTCCGGCAGTTCAACGCCCCTGACGAGCCTGAGCAGCGGCTCACCTCCAACCTCGCACATCCACCATGAAGCCTCGCGCCGGACGGGAGAGTCGCTCTACCGCATCGACCTGCATACGCACATAATGCCCTCCTCCCTGCCAGATCTCGCCGCTGTGCCCACAGCCTCGGACAGGTCGTACGCGTGGCCCAGCTTCCAGCCCTGCACGGACAGCTCCGGCGACATCGACATGTACAACGGCGGCAAGTTCTTCCGGCGGGTGAAGCCAAACTGCTACGACCCGTCCACAAGAATCTCCGAGATGGACGCTGCTGGGGTCGACGTGCAGGTGCTGTCAACTGTGCCACTACTCTTCTGTTACGACGCGCCGGTAGAGCCTGCGGTCGTCCTTGCCCGGTCGTTGAATGAGCACATTGCCAATATCGTCAAGGAGTCTCCGGATCGATTTGTTGGCTTGGCAACAGTACCTTTGCAGGATGTCGACGAGGCTGTGAGAGAATTGAGGAGATCCAAGGGGCTGGGTCTGGTAGGTGTGCAAATCGGGACGTCCGCTCCGTTGGCAGATGGTGAGATCGACCTGGACGATGCGAGGTTGGAGAAGTTCTGGAGTGCATGTGAGGAGCTGAACATGGCTGTCTTCGTGCATCCACTGGGATATTCTTGGAAGGAGGAAAATGAGGCCAGATGGGGCAAATACTGGGGCAGTTGGCTGGTCGGCATGTGAGTAGAGCCCATGAAACCGCGAATTATTTTCACACATACTGACCGCAAATACAGGCCATGCGAGACAGCTCTGGCGATGCACAACCTCACATCAGCAGGCGTCTTCCTGCGGCATCCAGCACTTCGTCTCTGCTTTGCCCACGCCGGCGGTTCCTTTCCTGCGCTACTGGGCCGTATCCAGCATGGCTTCAACTGCCGACCAGACCTGGTGGCACACTCTGCAGGCGGTGTTACGCCAACACAGCATCTCGCTAGCGGGAGCAACATATGGATCGACAGTCTTGTACACGATGCAGATCTGCTTGACTATGTCCTCCGCAAGATCCCGTCTGCCAATATGGTCCTGGGCAGTGACTACCCCTTTCCGCTCGGTGAGGTACCGACGGCTGGTGAGATGCTGATCGGGAATGGGGAGCAAGGGAAGAAACTTGACAGTTTCATGAGTTGGGATCAGAGGGCCGGCATATTGGCTGGTAATGCCATTCGATTGTTGAATTTGGGTGATCAATTCCAGCAACGATATGAACAAAGGTTATCGGCGTTCAGGAAGGGTGCGGAGCTATCCAAGTAGCCGAGAAATCATATGATCCTGTGAAATCAATGAACCGCGGAGCTTGCCACTGTGATTGAGATGTCCGAGATACCAGTAAATTGACTTTGAGGCCAGGCGTTGCTTCGACCTGAGACGTCGACTGCTGAATACTGTGATTAGTTGCTCGCATGACATTCGAAGAGTCCTTAGGCATCCAATGAATGGAAATTGACGAAACTTGAAGGTAGTACCACAATCGCTTGGAGGATGAACCCAGAAGCGTGTGAGCAACGCCTTAGTCAGTACCCTGTGGCATGGCTTCAAAATGTGAAGCCAAATTGAAAGATTATCCACCAGACGTCTTTGGCCTACAGCTCCTCAGTTTAATAGCTTGCTTTCAAAGATCATGGGCATATAAGAGTGTCGACAGAACGGAATCGATGGCAATCGATACTTTTTTGTTTCCTTTCTATATGGCCAAGCCCTGCTGGAGAGGCTCTGTCCAACAAAAAGCTGATCTCAAATGTAGCCGGGACAGTACCTTTCAAGCCTTCACCTTGGCACCAGCTTGCAGTTCCCAACCCATCTCTTCGTATGTCCATCCAAAAACAGAACCGTCAGGGCTATGGTAGCCAAGCAGACTGCGGTGCAAGTCAGGTTTCTTATGCACAGCATCGATCGCCTTCACATCCGCATCATCCAGATGTACGAGCTGATTAGAGAGGTTAGCAATTGCCTTCAAGAAACGCCGGTGCAGGGGACTCACGGTGATGTTGGCCTTCATACGCTCCGGGTTCTCGCTCTTGGGTACTACTACGATGCCGTGTTGCACAGCCCAGCTGAGGACGGCCTGCCCCTCGGTGACGCCGTGCTTCTTGGCAACCTCCTTCACACTCTCGTCAGTGAGGAGGGGAGATACCTGGTCGGGAGCTGGTTGTCCAATTGGCGAGTACGCAGTGAGGACAATGCCGTGGTCAGCCGAGAACTTGCGCAGGTTCTCCTGGGGCAAGCAAGGATGCAGCTCGACCTGATTCACAGCCGGGACGACCTTGGTCGTCGCGAGCAAGGACTTCAAGATTGGCACACCGAAGTTGGAGACGCCGATGGCGCGCACCTTGCCCGTAGTCTCATAGACTTTGACCATCTCAGCCCATGTCTCGTGGTACGTGGGGCTTTCATCCGGCTTCAGGCTGCGGCCGTCCTGTGAGCCTTGGGGCCAATGCATCAGCCAAAGATCAATGTACTCGAGGTCGAGTGCCTTCAGGGAGCGCTCATACGCCTCCTGGACTCGGTGGTGGTCGGTGTTGTTGAGCTTTGTCGTGACGAAGATCTCCTTGCGCGGAATGCCTGAGTCTCGGATCGCACGGCCTACTTCCTCCTCGTTTCCGTAGCCATCTGCCGTGTCGACATGGCGGTAGCCGGCCTTGAGAGCGGCCGTGACCATATGGTAGACCCTCTCGCCACCTCCCTTGGCTCCCATCCAGCATCTGCACACAATGCAAACATTAGTCATCACTACTCTTACCACTCGAGCAGCTCGGAGAACCATAGACTTACCCCAGGCCGACGCTGGGCATCAATACTCCATTGTTGAGTTTAAATTGAGGTACGTTCACTGCCATGGTTGCTTCAGAGAGTGAAATAATGTGATGTGTGTTGGTTGTGGTGTAGGATGGTTTGTTGCGGAACCGATATTGAAGTGGGGAGGAAACGGCGACGGCTAGTTGCATCGAGGAGTGACGTTGAGATTCTAGAGAGCAGGATGCGGACTTAAGATGCTAATCCGATGGAACCGTGTTACATTGCTGTCTATGACGCCAAAGCCAGGGAGAGTTTCCCATTGGCCTGTAGCGGCAATTTAGGTTGCGACTTGCTCCACGGGAGGCGCTTCCGGCTAACTGTGATTTTCAGCGCTCAACGTCTGACCCCATCGTGAGAGTCAGCTGCATCTGAGAGCTACCTAAGTATATTTCCCTCGTCAATCACCATCACGGACTGCCCTTGCGTCCCCGGACGATGCATTATGCACTAGGATCGCATCGACACAAGCAGCCCATCATTCATTCCGGCAAGTAGAGATGCCAACGTGCCCGGCAACGAATTTCACGCATCTACAGCTTCCGGGAGTGCAATCACTCGAGCCCACCTTCAATCACCCATGGACGCAAAAGGAATGACCAGAAATAACATAGTTGTTTAAATACAAAAGGGGATGTGTGTCTATGTGTATACGGGGTCAATTAATTAGGATGAGCTATAGCAGTGTGAGATTTCCCGCTTTAATTTCAGACTTGAGGCTGCAATGAATGAATTTTGATGGTATAATATTTCTGAGATTCAAACAATAGGTTGGTTCTGGATGGCCTGGGATCAGCAAGATCCGAGTTAGCACGCACGAGGTAAGCCTTGCTGTCACATCACTAAACGCGTTCCTCCTGATCGACAGTGTATTGGTGGTGCCCCCGAAGATTGCACTACACGCTCGATAATAGATTATCCCAGAAGAGATTATCCCAGAAGAGGTTATCCCAGAAGAGGTTATCCCAGAAGAGGTTATCCCAGAAGAGGTTATCCCAGAAGAGATTATCCCAGACGAGATTATCCCAGACGAGATTATCTCACTTGCCCGTCTGATGTGGGAAAACCCTTGCTAGACACCAACGTATGTTGACCATCACCCTGATCCTCATGATCAACCGAGCGCAGCTGATTCGGAACGTCACCCGACGAGATATGAATCCCATCAATGAACCCAAAAAAGAAAGAGAAAAAAAATCCTGGGTTCGGAAGGGCAGAACTCAGGATGGGCGTCTGTCTGGCTCGCGAATTTCTTCCAGTATCCTCTTGTCCGAGAGCTGCCGACCTCTGCCCGCGCTGTCCCACCCGAGTCGGCCCTCGGACCATTCCTCGAAATATATCATCCTCCTATGACATCCACCACGGGGGCCAATCCTCATTCAGGACGGCTACATGACGAATGATGCTACGAGCACAATAGGCCATGCAGCTGACATGATTATTGCCGCGATTACCGAGATGAAGTTGATGTTTCCTTCACCATGTGCTCCCCTCCACCGGTCAATAAGGGCCAAAGTGGTCCATATCATGCCGAGCGCGTAGGTAGTTCCGGCCCAAGCGATACCCAAGATTGTGATGGCGAGGTGGTCTGACGGGCTGATGGCGAGGACTGTGCTGATCGAGGTGTCGATCTGCTGGAAGCCTATCGAAGTCATTTTGGCGGGTCTTTTCGAGTTGGGACTCTCGTGGATTTCTCGGTTAAGTAATCAAGCAGGCGAGCGAGCGTGCAACTTGAGGTCAGAGAGCGCCGGCGCAGACGGTGGACTTGAGATGCCAAGGTGGATTAAGGTTTCTTAGTTTTGTAAAGAATGTACGTAGAAAGACAATTGACCAGCAATGACTCAAAAGTTGGAATTCCGCACAGCGTCGAAGTTGGTAACGAATGGAAGTATATCAGGCAGACGACAGAAGAAAGGCAAGCCAAGGGGGCAACAGCCAGCATCCACACCTGGCAGCCATGCACCACTTATTGGGGCCAACGGCTGTGCAGGAGTTCCGCCCCCCGCCCAGCGGCTCGAGAGCTTGGCTTCTTGGAACCGCTCTAGATCGCAGATTTGGTGATCTGACAGGTCCATTGTGTGGTGGTTGTGCTGTGGGCCGTCGCGTGTTCGTCTCAGGGGTGCCATGGATGAGACGAAGGGTGAGACGTTGGCCCCTAGCGCTGGTGTAATACCCTGACCCGGGACGTTTCGACCAACCACAGCCAAAAAGCCATCCGAGTTACAGGCTGTTGCCCTCCACTACTGCCTCTTCTTCTTTTCAGATGACGTTCAATCTAGAAATGTTTCTGTTCGTGGTCCAAACTCTATCTTGCATTGCCGTTTATCGTCGAGTCAATACTGTTCTGTAGACGTAAACATCACGCATCATCAACTACGCTGCAAAGCTGATTCGCAGCCTGTAACGGCGGCTTCGACGTGCCGATTCAGAGCGTCAGCACGCCCCCGGGCTTGCTGACAATGCGGTTGGACTCCACTCCAGCGCCTAGTTCGAGCCTCAAAGCTTGGCAAGGTGATCTACATCATGAAACCGGATGCCCCTTTTGGACGAGATGCAAACCCATCCGTGACCCAATCCATGTTCTAGGTTGTGGCACCACGATCGTGCTACTTTCATGGCAATCGCCGACTTTTTTGGTAGACCATGACAGCACCAAGAATGTTATTTTGACGGTTGAGACTCTCACGAATCACAAACCTTGAATGCAGAGGTCGACCGCGACCTCCTCTGGGTAGATCCCAAGCCAAGCCATGTTCAGTACCGTATCAAATCTTTCCTTAGCTCTAGGCATCAGCTCTCCTCTGGCATCGAGCAGGCTTATGTGTGCAAAGCACGTAGACTGATACTGCAGTGTTCTCGCTTATGACAAAACCATGAATGAGAACCGTTGATTGTGTTGAAGCTTCATTACCTAGTTGTCGACATGCATACCCTCTGGCCAAATTACATCCTTGCGTACCAATTTGCGGCACGCAAGATGCTTTCATGCACGCTACATCAAATGCGCTTGGCGTACAACAGACAGGGACTCGCTCAAAACGGCTTTGATCGTATTCTGAGTGTAGAAGCACTACGGCAGATTATCTAGGGGACGCCACATAAACACGCCTTTGCCTAGGGACCTCAGGAATTGTACCTCCTTGGCACGCGATATATACAGCCGTTCTCTGCCCATCAATGTACCGCTTGGGTCAAGGTATTGAATTAAGTTGACGAAAGGGGCTTGCCCGACATGATCTGCGTGAAAGCTTGCAGTGCCGCAACGGGTTCTATTCGAGCGAATGGTTAGCTGTGTCTCTCTCTGGCTGGCCGATTCCGAGTCTTCACAATGTTTCGGGGTGGGAGCAGACTTACGATAGTAAGGCACCTCGTGTCCAGCCTCGTAAACACGAAGGAAGTTCAAGTTACCAGCAGTCTTGAACTGGCCGGCAGACTTGCCACTGACAGTGTACTCGGCGAGCTTGGTAGACTGGAAGGTTGCGCTGTCCGTGTAGTTGATAGAGTTCACGACCAGCTGAGATCCGTACCAGTTGCAAATCCAGTCTGAAGAATCTCAAAATCAGCGCTGGGCTCTCAAGTTTCCCCGTCTGCTCGCCACTTCATGGATGAGGACTTACCTAAATCGCCAGCCCAGACCAAGACGTTGACACCTGACCGCACGACTTCCGACAAAGGCTCGAGGAATGATCGGGCTTCTGTAGTAGACATTTGAAAATAAGCCTCCAGAGCACAAGCAATAGGAACAATATCAGGTTAGGGACGTGGGGCTCTTACCGTCTCCCGAACCAACCATCTTGTTGTATGGCGTATCAGGGCACTCTCCGTAGGTCGTTTGTGCGCCTATGGCAGTCATGACAGATTGAGTTTGAAGGTAGTCGACGTATGTCTCCGGTGGGTCGGTGGACTGCTCGCTACTGGGCTCGAGCACATCGTAGACGTTGAAATCGTTGGCGTTCTCGATTGGCGACTCCACGGCGGAGCGGCACGTGTTGTCCCCACTGAGGCAGGCGTTGTTGTTACCAGTGAGACCTGTGCATGATGCCATTGCCGGAACACATTTGCTGGTGTAGGCGCTCTTTTTAATGGTCATTGTCAGCTAAATAAGATTCTCGAGTCATAGGCCCATGCAGGGAGCCGATGGGGAAGAAATAGGGCAATTAATTTTAAGCAGATAGGCATACCATGTATGATTTGTACTGGCTCGCAGTGATGAGCTGCTTGTACGTGTTGTTATAGGCGAAGATTGGGTATGCCTGGTACTGAAGCACAGGGTCTATCCAGCCGTTGTTGATGCCTGACACAACTGTTAGTGAGAATATCTCACACATTCATCCACGATTGTACTTTACCTAATGCGACCAAGTTGATCTTCTCGCCAGTAATGGTCCCAGCAGCAACCTTGGCGTTCTGAGCTTCGAAGTAGGCAGCGAACTCGGGGCCATAGTGACCACCGTAGGACTCAGTCCACAGACCGAAGTCGCGAGACTCGTAGTCAGGGAAGGCGGCGTAGAAGTTTTGCAGGAATGTCCAGACGTACGCGGCAGCGCTGACGGTCGATGTAGCCTCATCATCACCATAGCTGAAGCCAGTGCCGATAGGCTTGAATCTCACATTAGCACTGTGTCAAGCTTGTCTAGGAGGCAATATGGCTCACCTGATCAACGTAGAGCATGTTGGCGTAGGTGTTCCAAGAGTATTGGTTCAGGCTTGGCTTGCTGCTTCCGTCGACAAAGTGGCAGGGCCCGTGTTCTTGGAACAGCCCGATCATCGACGAGCATCCAGGTCCACCATTCAGCCAGAGGACCAGGGGTGCTGTCGTCGGCGCGCTCCGAGCAGCGAAGAACCAGTACCACACTGAGAACTTGTCAACCTCTCGACCAAATACTTTCTCAAAAGTGAAGACGTGAAAGCTAGAAGATCACTGAATACAAAAGGTGCAAGCCTGCTAGACCTTGCTAGCCATCTCAAGAGAATCTTCTTGGAAAGAGATGAGTGAAATATTGTTGTTTTCGTATCATTAGGAAGGAGAAACCTCGTGAATTGTTACTTACTGTGCATGTCGGTCCCGACGTCCAAATACCCAGAGTACTGATCAACACCTGGGGTGGTTTCACAGATACCGCTGTTCTTAACGTAGGACAGGGAAGCTGTGTCGCCAGCGCGCTTGAAGACATTGTAGGTGACTCCATTTCGCTCCTCGATATATCGCTTGTGGACTGTGCTGGTGGAGTCCTTCACCTTGGGAGCGGCGGCTGCCAAGCTCGCAAGGCCCAGAAGGGCCAGAACACGCAGAGACATGCTGGTTGCGATTTTGTGCAATATGGCGGGGCAAAGAAAGCCGTTACCAACAGCGAGTCTAGCTATTGTCGGTGAATCAACTTGCCCGAATGGTCAGGAGCCAACGCTGAATGGACGCAAAGACGACTGCAGAACATAGGAAGGCTATGAAGTTATGTTCATCCGGTATTTATATTACAGATTGTCCGCGAGTATACAAATGCATGTCAAAGCTGCGGGCCAAGGCGCGAAGGGACAACCCGGAAAGCTTCATTCAAACAAGCTTTGAAGGGAACATGGCGATGCAACAATAGAAGTGAACTGCCGCTTTGAGAAGGTCTCATTTCGCACATTTTATGGGTTCTCGTGACGAGCATAACAATCGAGCCTATGAAATGGCTGTGTTAGGGCCGCTTGCTACCGGCCCATTTCAAGGGCGATCCCAAAAGCAGGCACAAAGTAGTCAGGCCGACGATCAATTGGTCCATCAGTGGGCTAGATAAGCAGACTCTTACTGTGCATGCGCCTGTAGTGGGCTCAGGAGAAGCCACCGATTGCCCGACAGGAACCGAATGTGGCCCCAAGTCCCCTTCAATACGGGGAATTCGCTGGCACCTCAAAGTCCCCTGAACTAGACCTTCCTGTTCAGGGTAGTCTCGGGGCCCCACGATGCTGTCATTGGACACTGGCCCAGCACCCACCAGCGATCTTTTAATATACCCGGCGAAGCACGAACAGGGAATCCCCAGCCGGCAGCCGGCCGCTCATCAACTCCGGGCGTGAACTGCCCAGGTCGACTGCGCTCCAAACTGGTGGTAATTTCCTTTGGAGGGCTATGCGGTGAGCTAGGCGAGAAGCGAATAACTTGCTGGGTATTGGCAAGATCATTTCTATAGCTGTGTAACAGGTAAAGAAAGTACACATGCATGTCATACGCGGGGTTGCGCTTCGTTGAAAGGATGCCTACCTAGGCAGGTCAGATCGTCAACGTCCACCGAATGAGGGATATCTTTTGGGTGCCATTGAGTCAGGATACCACTTGATCGGCGTATTTCTCAACAAATTAACACCGCAATCGCCTTCCCTTTGCGATTTAATCGATTGACAATGTAAATGAATTCCGATGTATACATCTAACGACAAGATATAAGTCAAGACTCAAGCCACTTCTAAGTAGCTGAACGGTATAGTCTGACCCTTAGAATTCCCTCTCACGCCCCACACAATAGCTATAGCACGATAGGAGTTGTCGCCAGACAGAATTCTTCTGTCGAAAATTGACAGATTACTCATGTGCTTGAAGCACAGAAGGGGGAAAACCTGTCAGCCAACGTAACTACCGTACTTCAAGAATTCCTCATCATTTCTGAGGGTTTGAATGTCTTCGACTCGCAAACAAACAGCGACATCTACATCCCCATCTATTGTCTTCGGCATAAAGTAAAGCAGCCCCTCGATTGGTGCGAACCGCGGTCGCTTAGAGAATACTGGTCGACCACCCAGAACATCCCCGAAGTCCAGGTGATTCAGGCCCAGTCCAGCAAAGCTCGACATCATGAGATCCCAGCCAGACATGTTCAGCGACGCACCGTAGGCGAGGGCATTTTTGTCGTCCAGCTCATGCAATGCCGTAGCGATCGACTCGATGTCGTTGGACTTGATGCTGAGTATGTCGGCACGGATCTGGCGAGCTAGTGCTCCAACGTCGCTGGTTGCAACTGTCGAGTCCAGTGGCACCGTCGCGAAGGTGCAATGGACCATATGTCCCATGTACTCCTTGGGTAAAGGTGGGTCAAGGAACCGCCTGCCATTAACCGCCCTGCAGAACGTGATCTGTGGCTCCTTCTTGTCCATGCGCTTCATACGTGCAGCTGTGATTCTTTGGAATATGAAGGCGGATAGGGCATCATCCGTCGAAATCCACTGCTGAGATCCTTCACCAGCACCGGACTTCAGAGCTGCGGCTTTGAGTTCTGCCAGCTTAGGGCCGTCTAGGTGCAGGTAGACCCACTGTACGTTTGGTGCTGCTGCACTTGCTCCATGGTTTGCAGGAGGGGCAGGCTGAACCATCATCATACTGACATCGGCCTTCTGGTCGTCTGGCCCCAGAAGCTTGATAGCAGTGAGCCTCTCACGATTCCCATGTGTGATCTCGGCCTCAGAGAATGGTTCGCTGCGAAGCGCTTTGGAGAAAAGCCGCATCATGTGCGCCATGCCATTCATATCCATGGCGTGGTGGTTCCCCTGGAAAACGAGGAAGACACCTCCTTCGATGATGTTGGCTTGTATGACGAGGACTGGAGCAGGCCCTTCGCTCTCATCGTAAGAATCGGGGAGCCCCTTCCGTACGGCAAAGACATCGCCACCGAGCAAATGCATTGGTGCGCCTGCCTTCAGAATGTCGTCAAGCGAAGCTGAAGCATCACTGACATCTTTTACGATTACTGGAGTTGTTCTCTCTCCAGGGGGGTAGGGCACGATTGTAGCAAGGCCTGTCATTCCTGGCCCACTTCCTTCACGGATGACCTGGCCGGCGACCCAAGGGAAAGTCTCGACAAGCTTTTGAGCAGCGTCTTTGAGTGCCTTGGTCACCTCCTCAGTGTTCCCCCGGGTTCGAAATCCATAACCAATAACAACGTACGTTTTTAGAAAGCCCATCTGGCCGAGAACATCTTGCAGATGAGGAAAGTCTTGGGGGGCTGTCTCCATGACGTCGGTTCCGCTTTGACGTGCAGTATTGTGGAAGTGAGCTGGTACCTCGTGGTATTGTGTGAATATAATATGCCGCGCTGTCTTTGAGAAGTTTGGACCAGAGATGTCGTTGTTGTTAAAAGTTTTGTTGTATGTAGGGACGTGGGGATAAGAATGATTCACCGACGGACGGTGCGGGACCTGGAGCTGACCACTAGGCGATAGTACTGTATGTGTAAGTAAGCACTATTGATCGATCCAATGAGCGCCTACATCAGCTGACAGGCGTGCGGTATCACCATGCTATCGAACTGGGTTCAGTGCGACCGTATCTTCATCTATGGCGCAGAGGCTTCACAATTTGTCACACTTCCGAGACTTGCCAACGTGATCATCGCGCAATGGCCCGCTGTACCCGATGGCCTGGATGATTCTCAACTTTCGCGTGAGAATATGTCTTCCCTTCCGCATCGAAGATGCAAATGTAAAATCCTTGATCGCTTGCATGTCTGGATATGTCAGCATTGCCGCTTGGACGCGCAAAATGCAGTAATAAAACTTGGTATAGCACTAGGTGCTGGAGACCAAATTCACAACACCAGAACAATCTCTGGCGTCGTTTCAAGACCTATACTCACGCACGGTATGCTCTCAGTAAGCGCTAATGTTCACTCTGTTACCCAAATCAGTAAAATGATCCGGACCAGGAAGAAAATTGCGCGCATACTCAGCGTTCTTCGGTTGTATCAGGACACTTGAAACGGTGATTTGGTGGGCTTCTCGCCTGTGCAGTTGCAGAGTTATGCCTGAGAGGCACATTTCGATTGTGACGAAGACACCGTGGACCCGAGACTTCAAAAGACATTGTAAAACTCTGATTCAAGACATCTTCAAAATTGTGATCAAAGGCATTTACCCCTTACTCGAAGGTTCCAGATGCGCCACACCCAAAGATACACGTTTGTGAGACTGTTTGGCTCCATCTAGGTGTCAATGACAAATGAGGCTAAGTCATTGTTAATGTGAGAGTTCAATTCTTGGAGAATATTCACAGGGTATGTAAAGACAAGCAAAAATAGATCACGTCCAGCGTATACTGCGGGTAAGACAAAGACGATTTTCTGACTCTTATGAGTCCTCCGTCGAAGTGTTCGTAGCCAACGAGCTGAAGTGAAGCTGTATATATTTCAGGTAACATGCCAGTGCACACCAAGTTGAGCTTATATACGAGTTAAGCTTAGCACTTAACAAGTATTTTTCCGAGTATTCTGGAAGCGGCCTTGGCTTAAATAGACAGATGAATAAAAGAAAGTGATTGAGCTCCGGGCTTCCGGCAATACCTATCTTTGCCAAGATCGTAGTGCAATGGCGATATGGCTGGGCATAACGTACCTTCCGCATCAAGGGTCCCGTCCGAGGATTTTGCAACCCCAAGGCGGATGTCAACTCTGTTAAATCTGGGGCCAGCTCGTATTCAGCCTCTCTTCTACATGTGACTAACCGCTCGTTAACCTCAGAGTCCGCAGACAAATAGGACGAGGTGTACCCATATCGCTCCTGTTTTCGGATACATTTCGCGCTAGCAATGCATTCTGCAGGACTGGGTAGGATTGCACCTGGGAGCGAGGTCCAAATGAGAGGTGATGCTTAAAGGTAATCTCACAGCCGACCTTTCTGCACCGATAGACGCAGGGGTAGGAGTCTTGGCTGGATGCTCGAAGCCCTGTTTAGCGTCAGGAGAGTATCATTGGAAACGGCGATATAGTCAATTCTCACATTCTGTCATATATGATATGAAGGGGGTGGAGGCTTTGAAAAGTATATCAGGCTTGCTTCGACGCATCAACTTTGGCGATACTGGATATCTCATTGCATCGATCTAATTCCATTTTCCCAACGGTCAACTACCTAAGAGACATGAAGTCCTTCACGAGTATCCTGGTCACACTTGGTGGCGTGTTTGTTGCGGCGCAAGAGCTTTGTGGATCGCCTGAACCGCCAGCAGACCTGCGTGCATTGGTTAGCCGATCACAGAGTGGTCCGCGGAACGTTGCCGCTGAGCAGGCCATCAACACTTACATCCATGTCATCACAACCGAGGCCAAGGAAGGTCAATATCCACGGTCTATGATAGATCAGCAGGTGGGTGGCACCCAGAACAGGATTTCATGTGGCCGCTTGACTAATAATATCATAAAGATTGAAGTGCTGAACGACAGATTCGTGGGCTCTGGCTTCACTTTTGCGACAGTCAGCGTAGACTACAACGTCAACGACACGTGGGCCTTTTGCGGCGTCTGGGAGCAGTGCGAGTTCGACTTCAAAGCGGCGCTCCGCCAAGGAACCTACGCCGACCTGAACCTATACTACCTTAGCGACTTGTCTGAGAACATGGGTGTGCTTGGCTACGCCTTTTACCCAGAGTCTGACGTGGACGAAGCGACCCTATCGCGCGACGGTGTCGTCAACCTGGCTGGCACCTTGCCCGGCGCAGAATTCGCAAATTACGACCAGGGTCTCACGACAGTTCACGAAGTCGGGCACTGGCTCGGTCTGTTTCATACATTTCAGGGCAACTCGTGCACTGGCGAGGGAGATCTCGTGGCCGACACGCCTCAGCAATTAGAAGCAAGTGCCGGGTGCCCCACGAGCTCCGACACCTGCCCGGATAGCCCTGGCCTCGATCCGATCCACAACTACATGGATTACACAATTGATGTATGTAAAACGGAGTTCACTCCGGGTCAGATTGCTCGGGCACAAGATATCTTCGCTACTCTCCGATTGGGGAAGTGAAGGCCGAGGTGATCTAGGGTGTGGCAAAAACCTATATCCTGGAAGACAGTAAAAGCACAAGGACCAACAATTACGGCATTATTCATACGTATGCACGGTATTGTATATATCCCGAAGATATGGAAATATAAGCAGCTTCCTGTCAGATTGTCTGCATCCATGGTAATGATTCTCTTCTCAAGTAATCTTGGGCTTGATCACAACTCGAATTCCTGGCAAGCTAGATTTGCTAGGAGTCATGCGACAGCTCTGAAATCTGTAAGACCTAAAAGCATGCACATCCATAATTAGAAATGACGGCGGAAAATTGCAGCTTAGCCTCGAAATATGCCGCGTGCTATACACCATCCGCACAATCGTTGAAGCACGAGACATCATTCAGCGTATCATGGTGTTTGCTACTTGGGTGTCACATCTATCTCTGTTGAATCACAGACCTTGAAGGAGTCAGAGCGGGGTGGCATCAGATATAGTCGATTACAGAACCCACAAACTAATGGACTTGGCTTCAACCGAACCGAGACTTATCGACGGCTGCATGATGAGCTGTCCTCGCCGCCGGCACTCCACACTCTTCCCAGTGCCACATTGTGATCACTGTGATCAATGAGCCAACTTGGCAGCATGCAGTATTCAATAGTCTATATGTGGAGACTGGTCTTTTTACTCACATGCAAAATCTGTGCTGCAATTCAATTTGCCGAAAACGTGCGATTTCGGGTACTGGTGCCATTGACAACTAGTCATCCGCGGGCCGCAGTCGCCACTAATCGACGGACTTGACGTGCGATATCGCAATTCCGTTCTATAAAGGGCGTATAGGGAAAAAAAGTTTCTCGGGACTATAAGTCGTGACTCAACCGCTCAAGATACTGTCATTGACGATACACAAAACACTCGTGGCATTCTCAGCTTATGTCGCACTATGGACTCGTCAAGAGCTTCGTCGTCGATACAGTTGATTCAGCTGCCCAACATCGGCCAGCAGGATGCTGAACAAGCGGTCCAATCGAGCCAACGTCCCATAGCGGCCGGGGAACTTCTCGGCGAGACAATTGAAGAGCAGCTTCCCCCTCGGCCGGATCCCATTCCAGTTCCGGAGACGAGCGCCAAAGCATGGCTTTCCGTGGCCGGTGCCTTTTTCTACTTGTTCCCAACTTACGGCAAGCGAGAACAACGTGGAAGGCTCTATGATGTGCAATTCGCTAATACCACGGTCATCAGGCTTCATGCAAACGATAGGAACCATTCAGTCCTATTTGTCCCTTCACCAGCTGTCAGGATACTCCACACAACAGATTGGATGGATTACCGGCTTGTACACCTCGCTAGCCCTTCTCCTGGGCATTCAGTTTGGCCCCCTGTTTGATGCCTACGGTCCTCGCCTCCTCGGTCCCATCGGATGCGCAATATACATTCCAGTCTTCTTTGTCCTGGCTGAATGTACTCAGTACTGGCATTTTATGCTCACAATCTCCGTCTGGGGTGGCTTCGGGGCGGCCATTATCTCCACCATCGGCGTTGCGGTGATCGGGAAGTGGTTCGTCAAGCGCCGTGGGCTCGCAATGGGCATTGCTCTCTGTGGAAGCTCGACTGGCGGTATTGTCATGCCGCTGATGCTGCGCTCGCTGCTTCCCAGACTTGGCTGGGCCTGGACTATCCGCATCCTTGCGTTCATCAACATGGCCGTGTTGATCGCTGGCTCGCTTTGTCTGCAGCAGCCGCTGCCACAGCAGATTTCTGCTGCGTCGGAGCAGCGTCGCCGGAAGAGAATAGCCTTGAATTTCATGGCGCTGACTTCCAACACCTTCACGTTGATAACCCTCGGTATTTTTGCATTGGAGTTCGCCATGTTCGGCGTCTTCGGCCTGTTGCCGACGTACGCAACGGCAGCCAACTTTCCTGCGAGCACAGGCTACGCCCTGGTGGCGATCTCGAACGGGTGCTCAACATTCGGTAGGCTTTTGCCTGGGCTGGCTGGAGATTACTTTGGCCACTTCAACGTCTTGGTTTGCATGATCCTCTGCACAGCAGCTTTCACGGGCGCGATCCTGGTCCCATTTGGCTCTTCCTCCCTCAAGGCCCTGTACATATTCTCTGCTCTCTGGGGCTTTGGCTCTGGCAGCTTCATATCCCTTACTCCAGTTTGTATGGGAAAGACCTGTGAGACCGAGGACTACGGGAGGTATTATGGTAGGCATTTACCAGACTCTATAACAAAGCCCCTTGTTGACGGATATTTGCAGGGACAATGTACTTCTTTGTCAGCTTCTCGCTATTACTGACGGTGCCTCTCGGCGGCCAGATGCTCTCTACCTTCGGAACCCGAGCACTGGCTGGTCTTTATGTCGGCATCGTACTGGCAGGAGGCGTGTGCTTCTTGAGCGCACGGCAGCTAATCTATGGTAAGAGAGGATTTGGCCTGAAAGCCAAGATCTAATGAGATGTGTCGGTTCTTCGATGCCACTCGGCAGGTCATCACTTCATAGTCTATATTCAAAGGTTAGGACTTAGACTGTATTCTCTTTCTTTTCTGTGTCTCTTTATGTACTATTCCAATCAGATTGTACCACCAAATTGGCGCCAAACTATTGGAATCAGGAAGACTGTGTAAGGCGTAGTCATGTGAACACATGCAAGTCCTGTTTAATATTTCAATATAAGCATGTGATAGAACCCCCCCCCCCCCCCGCCTGCATAGGTTTCCTGAAACCTCACCTCATAGGGAACACATGACCAGCGTACATGAGCTTAATGCATTTCTCTGCTTATTGGAAGTGCGTCATAAATTTCAGTGATTTCTTGTGCCACTCAAAACCATGCAGGGTACTTTTACCGACCAATGCGTATTCAATGAAAATGCCTCGAAGTGGTATAGATTGGCAACGCAGGTGCGAGTAAATACTGGCGAATAGTCGTTGTTGATTACTCATGAACAACTTCAAGTTCATCCGCTGACGAGGCCGAGGGGCCTGTTCAAAAAGTGGCATTGCCTCAAGTGATGGTAAAACTTGCAAAACACGTGGAAATGCAATGTACAATTCACTTGAAACGGTCTTCGCGGTCCAGTCTTTTCACCTATAATTATCAATGATCTTTTTGCATTAGTAGGTGCTTCTGGGGCATACACAGTATGAAAGGGTCGCCGTTTGCGAGACGGGTGGGTCACGGTGGTGGCGGCTGCCTTGGAGTGAATGGCTGCCCAGTGTCTTGCCTTTCTGGAAAGTTTGCCTAGCCATTCACTTCCCTTGAAATGTGTGTCCTTCCACATGGAAGCAAAACGCCACATTCTGATCAAGAACAACAGAAGCAACAATCAAACACCTTGCTCAACACCGAACGCAATCAAAATTTGACCTCGCAAGATGGACGACACCAACCCTCCTCAACCCAAGGGTGATGACCGTCTGACCTGTTTTTCAAGCAACCTCTGGCCCCCTCAGCTGCACGAGCCGGCCGAGCAGTCGCCCACCACATCAACATCACAGAACGGATCTGCCCCACAGACCTTCCACCGATTCAACGACTTGCCACCAGAGCTGCGAAATGCGATCTGGGAGCTAAGTCTTCCGCACAGGGTCCACACATTCCCTCGTCCAAGGCCAAAGTTCGACTTTCACAATCACATCTGGACACAGGAGCAATCACATGGAGCCCAAGCTGAAAAGCGACCAGCCATTGCCCACGTGTGCAGCGAGGCTCGCGCTGTGGCCTTTGCCAGTGGCTCAGCGAAGAAAATAGCTGGCCCCAAAAAGAGCAGCAGTTGGTTTAGGCGTGTCTGGGTTGACCGGAGGAGAGACACCGTTGTGATCAACATGTCCCAGCCTGCGTCTCACGTGTACAAACGCAAAAGCATCGATTTTCTTAGCGGGCTGCTTAGAAGCCGAGAGGTGCATGTTGCTCTTGATCTATCATGGGCCTTGTGCTTCTGCGTGGTGTATAAGGACCAGGCTCGCGAGCTCTTTCGTGATTTTCTCCATGGACACAAGGAATGTGATTTTGTTATTGTGGACTTGCAATTGGACGTCACGGATGAGGAAGCTGCCAGCACAGGTCTCTTTGGATATTCGAGCACCAACACTAGCGTCTTGGTCCCTATTGAAGACACCTGTCAAATGTCAAGACTCTTCGCCGCCCAAGCCAAGTTCAACACTGTCGATCGGCTAAATAAATGGGCCAACTTCACACAATTCCGAAAGCCGACCAACCTTATCGACTACATGAAGCGTTGGGAGAAGCTAGCTGGTCGGGAAATGGGGAGTGTGCAGCAGGGTCTGGATTTTCTGGCCGGTGTGGAAGTGGGCTGGCAGGAGAAAGATGTTGGTGAACTCAGGGCGCAGGCTGCTCGAGCCGCAGCGATCAGAGCTAATATCCCTACTCTCCGCCCTGTCATCATGGTCTCCCGACTCCCTGAGAAGTCAGATTGATAAGGCAATCCTGTCACTGAAGCTGGTGATGGAGTGGCATTAAGTCCAACATTCAATTCGACATGCCCAGCATGCAAGGGTTTCTGGGGTTCTGCAGGTGTAACTGACGCTAATGCGGCATTGAGGCTAAAGATCGTGGGGCCCCACTCGAGATCCGAGACGTCGCAGGGGTCCTGGAGTCTGAGGTAGGACAGGGAATCCAGAAAAGTGTCTTCTACCACCTTATCAACAATCATCCAATGTAAACCCTCATTAATCAAGACTTTCCAATTTTGTTGTATCTTTTGTGCAGAGCCTTGCTATCCCGTCACCCTCCCAGAATGACAAGGAGGGCGCAATCCCAGCCTCGACAACGTCCCCGAACATGAAACGGCTGCCCGGCTCGGGCCAAGTTCCCACGATGCTGGCCCTCTTGCTGCTGTTCATGACGGCAGCCGCCTACTCGCCTCTTTCTGACAGCTTCCTGCGCGCTGTGCCAGCGCCAGGCGACGACTTCGACATCCATAACGGCGCGCTGCTTGCTCCGATCCTGATCCCCCGCGTCCCGGGGACGGAGGGCTCCCTCAAGGTCCAGCACCACTTCGTCGACTTCTTCCAAAAAGAGCTGCCCAATTGGACGATGGAATGGCAAAACTCGACCGCGAAGACACCTGCGACGGGGTCTAAGGACGTTCCGTTCAATAATATAATATTCAAGAGGGAGCCGCCATGGACGAAGATCGGGCAAGCCAACATCCTGACGCTCGTGGCCCACTTCGACAGCAAGCTCACCCCGGAGGGCTTTATTGGCGCAACCGACAGCGCGGCGCCATGCGCCATGCTCATGCATGTGGCGAGGAGCATCGACAAATACCTCACGCAGATGTACGACGAGATGGTGGCACTGGGCGAGCTGGGCGGAACACCAGCGATGGACATGGGCGTGCAAATACTACTGCTTGACGGCGAGGAGGCCTTCGTATCATGGACTGATACGGATTCATTATATGGCGCAAGGTGGGCTAATATATGCTTCTTGGCCATGGCATGGTCGAAATACTAATGTGTACAACAGGTCCCTCGCCGATTCATGGGAGCACCAGCCGACAATGGCCATGGCCAACTTCCCGAACCGCCTGAACCAGATCAGCCTCTTCGTCCTGCTCGACCTCCTCGGGTCCGCAGACCCCAAGATCCCGTCCTACTTCCTCCCGACGCACTGGGCCTACCGCGCGATGGCCAAGATCGAGCAGCGCATGCGGGACCTGGGCCTGCTCGAGACGGCGCCGACGAGCCCCTTCATGCCCGACTCAGAGAAACTGACGACGCAGTTCTCGCGGTCCTGGGTGGGCGACGACCACGTGCCGTTTATGGCCAAGGGTGTGCCAATTCTGCACCTCATCCCGACGCCATTCCCGCGCGTCTGGCACACGATGCAGGACGACGGCGAGCATCTGGACATGCCGACGGTGCGGGACTGGGCCAAAATTACAACAGCGTTCGCACTCGAGTGGCTTGACATGATGGAGGTATGGCCTCAGGACGAGTGAGCCTTGTGTTGGGTACAACGGGCCAGAGGCTAGCCTACAATTTCCTTTGCCTTCGGATTTATACTACAGGAGAGCGGCAACGGCCTACGTCGAGCGGATGTTACGGAGTGAACTGACCCTGGCCGATAAAACGAGGCTGAACTAGCGACGTTGCTTCGTTCTGGAAATCATTGAGACTATTGCGCGGTGTTTGGGCGTTTCACGGTTGGATTTGATATGGCAGGAATGGTCTTGAAAATTACGTATTAGATGGGCAAATGTATAACAACGAGATCAATCGTCTGTCTCCTTCTTCTTCTTGCTGTCGCTCTTGGGCTCTGGATCCCCCTTCTTTGGCTCGTTCTTGGAGCCCGGCTCATTCTCGTATCCTCCGCCCTGCTTCTCATACTCCTTGGCTAGCTTGGAAGCCTGAGCGAGCAATCGTCAGCGTCATTGCTCAAGACCAGCGTCCTAAGAGATGGGGTTCTGTGTTTTCTTTACCTTCCAAGCGGACCATTGGCCCTCACCGCCGCCTGATTTGTTGGGCTCTTGCTTGATCTCTGCCGGGCGGTGTTAGCCCCGGTGAGTGAAGCATGCCCGAACTGGTATGGGGGTGTCAACCGCTTACCTTCCTTGATCTCCTCACGCAGCTCGGGATCTGTTGGCTTGCCCTTGGACGACGGCATGTTGAAGATTGGCGAGAGCTTGAATGTCCTAGTCTGTTTGGTGCACGTTGGGAGGGGCTTGATCAGTTCCAGTGAACGACGGAGCATGTCACTACTGGAGTAGACTGCGCGTGCGATTCAGGTGCTTGCCATGCGCAAACGGCCCTTTTATGGGCGGTTGCCTGTCTACAACTACATCAAGACGTCATGTTGTCTTATAGCACAGCACAAAGAATATCCATGACGATATTACTGAGAGGTCAATAAGAAGCAGTAGCAGCTTGTCTGGTTTGTCCCATCTCGCGTGCGGACGCCTGGACTCCCGCGGATGGCGGAACAGCTGCGCTAGTTGCTGCGTGGTGTTGACGGATCGACAGGGCCGTCTCGATTACATCACCATTTCCTTTGTGACATCTGACAGCTGCAAGGGCCAGCCGCGTGGAGAAAGCTGCGAATGGGAGGAGTAGCTACCGCGAAAGTGTTTGTCTCGGCCGATCCAATGCTTTCGTCCGTATCAAGTGGTAGTATACACCACGAGAGGAGTCAACGACTGCGTGGTCATCCAATGAGCATGCCCCTCTTCGCCTTCTCAACCCTCCCAAAGCTCGCAGTATAGGTAGTTTCTGTTATACTATTTGCTTGCACACTCACAGTTCTGACTGCTCTAAGTAGAGATCCAAATCGCAATACTGCAACCCGGCATGTCATCTTGAGAGACCCCGTCCCTGCTACACTGACTTGACCGGTCAACGTGGCAAACACAAATAGCTCCTCGAGAGAGCTACCACCGATGTGGTCAAGCCACGTCTTCTCAACCCCCCTGGCGGCGCTGGGCCCCACGCCATGCCCTCCCTGACAGCTGTCAGACAAATGGCATGCCGCCACCAGAGATGCTACACGACTCAAGACATCACGAGCCCCAGCACTGCCCTCGGAGTTCGCAGACTACTTTGACAGCTCAGATCTTGTGGGCTCTTTTAAGAGCTTGTGGGCAGCCTGTACTTAGCTTCAAGTGCCCGGGGCAGCTTCTCGTGGCTAGGTGGGTATGAGCTTCGAAATGAGCTAAGACAGCTGGAGCTTCCTGGCTGAAGCTCAACAATGACCAGGCAACGAAGAGCTTGGACAGCAAGGACGCAAATAGAGCTGAGCTCTGAGTGCCTTTCAACTGAAATCAACTGAGCACCTGCATCACGGCGGACAATATGGATTCGGGGCTACTTCTGTCAGGACCTTCGAGCAAGACAAGGTCTCATAGTTATAGGCTCCCAACCAACGCCCCTTCTTAACAAGCCACAAATGGGTAATCACCAGGCAGACAGGTCGATCATTATCAGCCCATCATCACCTTACTCGTAGCTCAAGCTCAAGCTCAAGCTCAAGCACAGCTCAGAGAAGGCTCCGTCGCTCGCACAGACGTCAACAAGAGCTACAGACGACAGTTCACACAACTGGTAGCCTTGCCAGACTGTGTGCACAATGAGCTTTTACATAACAGTCCGAGGTTATTATCAGGGTGCTCCATCTTGATCACAGGCTGGAAAGAGGGTTGAGATTGTTGATGTGAGCCTCATGATGATATCAGTATGGAATAGTCAACAAGTGTTGGCATGTGTCGCTCAACAGAAGGGGACGGGCCTATCACATCAACATCTTGGGGCGAGATTGGAAGCTTGGGGATATAATAGACTTGTCCGCACATCTCGAGAGGTTGTTCTCCTTTCCTTCCTCCCTTCTTCTTCCTGACTTCTCATTTGCAGTCAAGCAATTTGTTTCCCGCTTGTATCGCTCGCTAGGTCTGTCCTCAGAGAGCCAGACATGCGTCTCACTCACTACGTCCTGGCCGGCCTGTGGGCTACGGCGGTAGACGTCTTAGCTGTCCCTGATCCCCCAGACTATGGTAAGAAGCCTGGATATGGCGACCCCCCGCCGCCATCCTACCCTGATTATGGGAGCAAGCCTCCATACCCCGACAAGCCCTACTATCCAGAGAAGCCTCCTGAGAAGCCTTACTATCCGGACAAACCTCCTGAGAAGCCTTACTATCCGGAAAAGCCTCCCGAGAAACCCTACTACCCGGAGAACCCTGACTATCCCAAGAAGCCAGAGTACCCGAAAAAGCCTGACCTCCACAAGAAGCCAGACTATCATGAGGGGTACGGTCACGCAAAGGTTGTCAATTTTTGCCCGTTCGAGGTCTACTTGTGGTCTGTTGCTTGGGACACGGACGGCCCTTACACGATTGGCTGCCGCCAGGAGTACGTTGAAAAGTACTTGAAAGGTGGCGTAGCATTGGAAATTGTCACCGACAAGGATTCGTGGTACAAGGACAAGGACAAGCTCATCCTCTACTACAAGAAGTACGATAAGAAGGTCTACTACGACCTGTACGAGAAGTACGGCCACCCCTTTGAGGGCCACAAGGTGTCTCTCAAGCCTGAAGAAGACTACTGCCCTGCTGAGTACTGGGATGATGGTATGTTCGATGGTATCTTCCCCTGGAATCTGGTCACTGACATAGATATGCAGGTTGCGAGATTGACGACGGCGGCAAGAAAACTTGCGATGACTTCAGCGACCTGGTCTTGTATCTCTGCGAGGAATACAAGGACAAGAAATATCCGAAGCCGTCGCCCAAATACCCCCCCTATACTCCTCCTAAGTACCCAGATAAGCCCCCATATGGACCACCCCCGGGTAAACCACCGCCATATGGACCACCACCATATTTACCACCCCCATACAAGCCGCCACCAAGTGAACCACCCCCATACGGGCCGCCACCAGGTGGTCCGCCACCATATGGTCCGCCACCATATGGGCCGCCACCAGGTGAACCACCCCCATATGGTCCGCCACCTGGAGTACCTCCTCCATATGGACCACCCCCAGAAGTACCGCCTCCATATTTACCGCCTGACTTACCAAAGATCCCTCCCCGATCTGTTACACCACCTGACGTACCAAAACTACTTTCCGGTCCAGGACTTCCCGATCCGGGCCTTCCTGGTCCGTCAGGGCTGCGCAAGTTGACCAGGCGCGGGTACAACAAGGCTCGCTCCGCGGAAGGACAGGGAGAAGATGACGACAGCCAGGACTGGCACGCCAGGCAGTGGGAGAACGACAAGCCAAGCTGGGACGCGGACGCCAAGTGCAAAGATTGTGGTGAGAGGGAGCAGGGGTCCGTTGTTGACATGACGGACGGTATAGAGTAGCATGATGCCTATCTATATGGGAACGAAGGGGAACGACTAATCTGTCAGCCGCCGGCTCTCCAATCTGATAAAAAGTCAAGCACATTATAAAAAAGATAACGGCATTGTGTTCTATTCTCTGCAATTTTCTTCTGCATTTAGATACCCATGTCTTTCATTCTTTTCCGACTCTTGGGTTGATTATAGTGTAATTAGGAGGGGGGGGAGGAGGAATGTTGTTTCAATGGCTCGGTAGACATGAATGCTGTCTGTGAGAGCTTTCTCTCATCGCAAGATAACTTCATTCATTGTACTTAACCATAAACGCGTTTCAAGCCATTTCGTTGGTGATTGTTCAGATTCTAAATACGTTGTGAAATCGTCCAAGTCTAGCTCGTCCTTCACTAAATACATGCCCATCCATACAGTTACTGTCAGAGCTTCCTAGTCATGGTTTATTACTAATCATCTGTTTACATGGCTCATGGTACATGTGGAATAGGTATACGTTGACTCGTCCACAGCGTACGAGCTTAAGCATAGATAGCGGCTTTGCGGCTACAATTTTTATGTAGAATAAGTAAATGAAGGTAGCGCGAGTTATTAAAAGAAACTAACCTTCAGAGTAACCAATTCTGAGTGGCTTACTTATTAGATAACCTCCCGTAGATTATAGTTGATTTGGGCAACCTCCTGCGGGATAATCTGTAGAACAACCTCCCGTAGGATAACCTCCCGTAGGATAATCTCTTGCAGGATTACCCGTTGGATAAATTTATGTTGGATAATATTTTATACTGGAAGTAAAATAAACTACAGATGGCTCTGTTAAGACGTGTTACGAGTTTTTGGGAACGCGGCGGTGTTGTTCCAACAATATATGTGACGCAACTGATGCTATTGTAGGTATTTGGTGAAAGCACCAGCAAAAAGCTAGACCAGAGAAGATTCGAGTCAATTAAAACACCCTCATACTCAGTGCACGACCTCAATATCAGTATTTACATGTGCACAACAATCATGCGTGGTCCATCTGGGGTAATTCTCCTGAAAATGTTTGGCTTTAAATTAGAATCTATCATAATTGAAAATTTGGTATGCATGATCCAGTAGATGCGACGTGAGATATTGCTGTATTGTTTTACGGGTCTACCATAGACCTAAAAATGACAAAGTGATCAGATAAAACAGCCATGGTGGGGGCCCGTTTCTCGCAGCATGGCTCCACATTCCATTATCTCCTGGAGCACCATCTGCCGTGCCGCTGCTCCCGGTGCCGCTGACCTGACGCCCGACCTGCTCGTCAAATTGGCCAATAATGTTTCCGCGCGGCCAGTACTCACAGACGAGATACCAGCCTCTCGTACCGCACAAGCGGCTGCCGCAACCCACGGCCGTAGTGTTCTTCCACACGAGCTGCGTGAAGTGGCCCGTCTCCTCGCTGAATGCCGGGTCGTCGTAGTTGTACTGCTCCCGCTCGTCGCCCCACAGGTCCACGCACCCCGTCACCTCATTGCAGCCCAATGCTAGGTTCTCCCCGTATGGACCGCCTGAGTGGGAAAAATCACACTCAGACCCCGAGTCGGGAGATTCAGACCCCATTGACGCGAGGTACGAGGACGCGTATGTTGATAAAGTGTGGTTCCATATCACAGCGGAGGCATTGTGTTCACTCCGGAAGAAATTCGTGCTGTTGAGGATAGCGGAGGTGAAGCGCGCGGTGTCTGTGAACTGCGGAGCGGTTGAGGCAATGCTCGGTGGGGCGGTTATGGTTATGGTTTGGACTTGTACAGAGCCTGGCGCAGGTGCGGGAGAAGCGGTGGTCGGTGCCAGGAGGACCGAAGCGAGTAAGCCAAGAAGGCTCGTTGGAAGATGGAAATAAAGATTTTGAGGCATTGAGTTGGTGTTTGAAGCTATCCGAAGTTGACGGGCAGGGATGCAAGGGTCCGGAGACGTCGAGACATTTGAGGAAGCAATATATAACAAAGGGACAATCGGGTCCGGCCATCTATAGCAAAAGTACATCCTCTGACCCCCCTCTATGGCGCTAATCATTGCTGCCGTTGCCGTTGCCTCAATTGCTCAGCGTCGGCGGTTATAAGATTTGCCCCATCATAGCACCCTCCACAGAGTTCGATTGGACGTCAGCCTTCAGCGGGTGGCCAGGATCTAAGCGCGACAGCAGATTTATCTCAGAACCAGACAACTCCGTTCAGCTGAGATAATCAGCCCTACACTCATGGCATGTTTTTTTGGTGCTCCGCTCAGCTATTGGGGCCCTTTACTCTGTTTAATGGCCGGATTGCACCTCAAAGCTGGGATGAGGCGATTTGGCGAGTTTCACATGTAGCCTCTCACGCTATCTCATGAATGTCCATCATTTCACTTTCTCGATCATCCGATGATGGCTGCTAAGCGTCTCTTTACTGGCACTTTTAGTCCAGCATCGCAATGACGAAACTCACATGCTGCATGCAAATGGCCATTTATTGATGTAACGCTAAGTGGCTTGGAACCTAGAGAAAGTTATGCTGACAGATGGCGGCGATTATCTCAGACCGGCTCAAGCAGCTTGATAGAACGAGGTGTGCCAATGTCACCATCGGCTTTTTGGGTCCAACCAACGATGTTGCACAAGTTCTTCAGGTGTTGGCCGCTCGTCCGGGTTTATCTTCATCATAGCCCGGAGAAAAGACCCAAATACCTCCTTCGAAGTTTGATTTAGACCTGGTAGAAATGCTTCCGACTCGAGGGGTGGACGGCCCATTGGCTCGGCGTCTTTAATCCTTCCTTCATCGTCAAACATGCCCTGGGCGGTGGCATCACCTTTCTCCAACAGGATCTTAGGGAATGGGCCGAAAAGGTCGACAATCTCCGCCAGATGTTCTCTAACTTCGTAGTGACCGTCGGGCGGGACTCGTCCATCAAACAGGCGAACGGCACGATACACCTCGAAAACCACAGCGCCGAGGTTCCACCAGTCGACTTTCGTATCCCACGGAGCCCGAATAAGGACCTCGGGAGCCCGAAGAGCGACGGGCTGGATGTTTTCAGTTAGATGTTTGGTGGCCCAGCTCGACACCCCCCAATCGCCCAAGGCGATGTCGAGCTCGTTAAACCGTGTGAGATCGGACCCGAAATAGTATGCCCGTAACGGCCGAGCTTGGATCGGAGTGTACCATTCTTCGGCCTTATTCTGCTTCGGGATGGGCTCCTTAACAAGGTACTCTGACTCGATACGTTGCACATCTCGAAACTTGACAAATATATTGTCGGGTTTAATATCTAGAATCCGTTGAGTTTGATTGCTCATACCATGGTTCTCAGGGAAATGGCATACCGGTATGAATCACGTTACTCTCGTGAGCGAAGTCGAGGGCAGCCACCAGTTGGAAGGTGAACTTGCGCATGATCGGGGTAGGCACCATGTGCTCTTGGAACCAGACGCCGAAGGTCCGCAAGCTTTCTCCCATAAGCTCCAAAACGAGGCAGACGTGGTTACCATTGGGGCCCTTGAGCTCGAAATCGTCAACGAGGTGGCAAATGTATTTGTAGCCCAGCAGTTTACGGTTTCCGGCGCGAAGGTGAGTGAGAATCTCCCTCTCGAAGATGGGATTATCCTGGCTGTAACACTCTGCACTTAGAACCTTGAGAGCCCAAAATCGGTGCTCATCATTCGTCCTGCACATTATAGGCCGAGTTAGTATAGACCCGGCAACGGGACAGGGGAGGGGTCGAAGAGACGATGGACTCACGGCTTCGAGAGGTCTTTAACCAGCCACACTGTCGAATAGCGTCCGTAACCAATCTTGCTCATCACTTCATACTTGTTTGCATACACATCACCGATGTAGACTGGATGGAATCCACCCGGTCGGTATACATCTCTGCCCTCTTCACTGTCACCTGAATCGGTCACCACAACGCCGCTTTGTTGCTCGGTGTCAGCTGTCAAAGCAGCGCCTGCATCATCGGTCTGGTTTGGAGCCATGTTAATTAGAGCGAAGAAGTCTTGAGAACAAGTATTCGTATAGACGCGACGGCGTTGAGCTTGGGTAGCTTGCGAGATACTCCAAGCCGGCGACTGAAGAAGCAGTGAGTACTGTGGCAGCACAAGGCAGACAACGGCGAACGTAGTAGTAAGATCAAATCGGCATTCCGGGTATCGACCACTGCAACAAAAGAAAAATTGCAACTAAGCTCACGGTGGCATATTTGGCGAAAGGTTTTGACGATCTCTAGCCGCTTCTGCATCAGTTTGCAACGGATCAAAGAGGCTCGAAAGTTCACGTCGGAGAGGTAAGGTGGCGGCTGCCCTAACCCAACTGTCCAATACGATTACTTCAACACCGCCCCACGCAGGTGATCATTCAGGCCAAAGTTGCCAACAAGGACCAGTTGTTGTCTTAGTCGTCGCGAACCAATTATAGCTCTTATCACGGCCTGTGATACGACCTGATACCGTACAATTGCACACCAGCTGGGCGCTGAGGGTATTTCAAAAATTTTATTTTTGGAATCAATATGCGCGTGAGGAACCAAAATATCATTTCGGTTCGCTGTCAACCAACGGTAGAGGACCTTTGTACGCGCCAAAACAGATAAAGGAACAATGCATCCATGTAACTAGTGAGTGAACATAGAGACGGGTATAGACCTTATTGTTATATAAGATATCCTCGGTTCTCTTCCGAGACATACAATTGGTATTACTCCTGCATTCATCACAAGAAACGTCATTACAATCCTAGCCGCCCGACAAGTATCCTAGCCTTCACAACCCGGGAAGACAACCCAGTCTTCTCCATTGTCATTGAGCGCAAACGCGTGCAGCATGTCTTCGAACGCCAATAATTCTATGGGCTTCACTGGGCAGCAGAATGATGGATTCTGCGAGCTAACAGGACCGGAAGATAAATGTGTTAGCGTCTTGGATTCTGACGATGGAGGTGATTGGGACGATGAAGAGGACGAAGATTTCGAGCGGGACTTCCTCCTCGGGCCTCTTACTCACTTGCTTTTGCATCGGTTCGTCGAGCCCAACCCCCGTACTAGCTGCAACGTTGCGGTAGCAGCTCTCAGAAAACCATTGTCTCTGCTGACCAAGTACAAACACAAGAAGTTGCAGGACGATTCGAAATATTTCCACGAAGTTTTCTCCAGCCATTGCCCGAGGCTCCATCGAGCCAAGCTTTTCAGCCGACGCTCGCCCCTCAGAGAGGTGCAAAACGTGGATGACAAGGAAATTTGTTGAGCGAAGGGCGTCAATGGAGATCGCCGCTCGGTACCGAGTCGGAGCTGGATCTAAGCGTGCTACCAAAGGATCTCTTCTTAATCACTTCCCGCGTTGCACGCCCTCTCATTCCGCCGATTCTCATTGGTGTAAGTATTTGGGAGCGAATAATTGTAGATTTTCCTCGTGATCCCCTTTATATTGGCCTAATTGTTGTGACCAAACCCTCTCTGAATACGTTCTCAAGCCACTCGAGGATCAATGAATACTTTGTCTTGGCAAGAATGGCTAATCGTGCCGTGCCGTCCAAGCAGTCTAGATCTGCAAGTATGTCCGTTTTGGGTATCAAAGCGCACAGTCGCATTGAATTTTCGTTTGACGAGAGCGGCTTCGTAGTTAAATCTGGCGGTGATGCACACGGCTGACTTCACGTGGCTGACCCGATATACTCGGAGATATGTGATCTTTGTGTTGCCAGATTATTTATAGGGGGAGATTTTTCGGGCCCCAGAAGAACTTGCACAACTATGATACGTATTTCGCGCGACACCCCATAGGTGCCGCTCCCCGCTTAGCTGCGAGCTGTCGCCCTGTGCAGGCCGTTGCGGCTTGCACTCGCGTACAACTCCCACCTTTTCAGGATGCAAGACCAGCGCAACATTTAAGCTTGGTGACATGGCCGCAGCTAGGGCCTCGCGGGGACATGCACACGCAGACGACATATACGAGGGGCATGGGATGCCTTTTGGCTTGGCATCTTCCCCGCTGACACTCATGTGTAGACCTCTCGATTCTCCAGGCCTCCTAATCTGCGAGTGTGCCCTGAAGTAACATTGAAACTAATTACGGTGCCGAGGTTAAAGGAAGCCGTTCCGTGATTACCGCTGCAAGGTGCCAATGGTCACATCTTGGGTGCATTGTAACAGGCACGGTACTTATGTAGCTCGAGCCATGGCCGAGCGTCACTAATAAAGCTGGCTGAAAACTAAGAAGCTACCTCAGCCGGATGCGGTTGAAGACCCTTATTAAGGTGAGACCCTCACCGAGGCTTTCAGAGCCAGTCATTCACGTACTATCATTTTGTTTCGGTCAAAATACAGTCGTAGTTATGCGGTCTATCTTCGTTATTGCCGCCATCTGCGGGCTCGTCAAGAGCCTGGAGTCTCGGGATAGCTCTACAGATAACGGGAATGAGCCACTCCCACCCAATGATCTTGCTTTGACACCACCGATGGGATGTAAGTACTTTGTATCGATTCATCAGCTACGCACAACAACGATGAGGCCACTTTTCTGTACATGATGTGCTAGGATGAGTGCCTCACTATATATGTGAAAGTGAGTGCGTTTACTGACATTCTTAAAGGGAGCAGCTGGAACTACTTCGGCCCGATCATCAACGAGTCGATTGTAATATCCACCATCGACTTTGTCGTTTCCAGTGGCCTCCAAGCAGCAGGATACCACTTCATCAACATCGACGACGGCTGGCAGCGTTACAAAGGGAACCGATCAGACCATCCAGGGCCCCTTGAGGCCGATCCGGAAAAGTTCCCCAATGGTATTAAGTACGTCGCCGATTATGCGCATTCCAAAGGCCTCAAACTAGGCATTTACAGCGGGCCTGGGGAGACGACCTGCGCAAAGTTCACTGGGACGACTGAGGGATCTGAGGATCAAGACGCCGTGACCTTCGCTTCATGGGGAGTAGACCATCTTAAATACGACAGCTGCTGCTCAAGGGGAAAAGAAGCCCCACAGGAACTAGTTAGGGGCGACGTACGCCGGATGGCACTCGAACTTCGCGCAACGGGCCGCGATATCGTATACCACGCGTGCCACTGTGGATGGGCGGACGTCTGGACCTGGGCACGCGACGAGGGGGCGAACCACTGGCGGATGGGGCAGGATATTAGCGACGACTTCAATTATCCCGGATTCCGGGAGGATTATTACTTTGACGTTCTGGACATGCTCACCCGGGGTGAGAACGTGAGTCTGGCCGAGTACGCGGGACCGGGCGGGTGGAACGACTACGACATGCTCATAGTCGGGCTGAACGGCCTGAGCCCGCGGCTTGTTGGCGCCGGGGCGAGCAATGTCGAGTATCGCGCGCACTTCAGCATGTGGTGCATGGTGGCCAGCCCGCTACTCATTGGGACCGACGTGCAGACGCTCTCGAGCTACGAGCTTGCCACTGTCACGAATAAAGACATCATTGCCATCAACCAAGACCCGCTGGGTATCGCAGCGACAGTTGTCTACGAGGAGCAAGATGGTCAGCTGCAGTATTGGGCAAGGGAGTTGGACGATGGGAGTGTAGCCGTTGCGTTTCTGAACCGCGGGTCGGAGCTTGCGCTGATGAGTCTCTACATCCAGCGATACTTGTTTGTGGAATGGAGGTCTTACACAGTCAAGGATCTCTGGACAGGTGAAGAACAAGGGCCGTTGAAGTCACCAGCCTTTTCAGCTGAGGTAATTCCCCATGAGGCGAAAGTTTACAAGCTGACGGCGGTGAAAAAGTATAGTTAATCCGGATGGCCCGGTTAGGAGCCAAAGGGTGTGACCAATGCAGTGGGTTTCATAAAGTCAATTAGGAGCTAAGAGCAGGAAAAAATCTCCTGATAGCCTGAATGTGGGCTTACAATCGTGTGATCAATTGTGTGAAAGCTTCTAGTCACATACACTATTAGAACAACACCGCCGCACTCTCAAACAAAAAACAACACGTCCCCCTGTGGCTTATATCCCCATACAGAGTTATCCGATAAGAAACCATCCTACAACTGATTATCCCAAAGGAAACTATACTCCAGAATGCCACCCCATCAAAGGTTATCCCACAGGAGGTTATCCCACAGGAGGTTATCCCACAGGAGGTTACCCTAAAGGAGGTTATCCCATAGAAGGTTATCCCATAGGAGGTTACCCCATAGGAGGTTATCCCACAAGAGGTTATCCCACAAGAGCTCATCGTATTCCCCTTGTGTCCTTTGTATAAATTCCAGAGATACTGTGGCCGCAAAGCGGACACCCGACTTTGGGCTTGTACTTTCTAAAGCACTATTGCGACACATGCATGCACCTCACTAAGCAAGCCTCTCGCTCATCTTGCGGATCAATCCGAACGCAAAATCAGGAATCTCGTCGATGAGTGACTCCAGACCGTCTTGCTTTGAAGCATCCTCAACGATGCAGGCATAGTACAGCGTGATCATGTCTCTAATCTCGTCCTCCGGGACAGTGTTCTGGAACACGTATTTGGTAAGAGTTGCAATGTCGCTCATGCGGTTCGGGTAGAGAGTGAACTCCTTCAGCGTGGCGTGGAGTCGGTGCAAGCTGAGCTGCTTCAGGGCTGGAATGTCGTACTTGTCGCCCAGGACGTAGAGCTTCGCATGGCAAAGGAAGACGCCGGTATAATTCTCACAGCTCTCGGTATTTGGTCGAGCTGAGAAAGCAGGACTTGACGTAGGGTAGGAGCTACCGCTCTGGTCCAAGAAGGTATCGATGAGTTCGTCTCTTTTGCTGAAAATTGACGACTTGGTCAGGGCCGCGCAGGTTGCGCAATCGGCGAGTGCGGAACTGCAATAGCTACAACAGTTAGTGGTGTAGTCCTGGCGACATTTTGGACACTTCAACGTGCGACTGTTGTTGCCGTGATAAAAGGTGCCATTGCAGCTGGTATTCTTGCACGACGTTCTGCCAGTACTGATTGGCGGTCCACATGTCGGGCAGTCGGAGTATGCGGAGCAGCATTTTGCACAAGCAGTTGTGTAATAAGACTTTTTGCAAACAAGACACGTCACCTGGTAGTTGGTACGTGAGTTATTGCTCTTCCCATACCAACCACAAATATAGTTGAAGCAACCATATTTCTTGTTGGGCTGGCCAGAATTGATTCTGAGGAGAGAGTATAGCGGTAATTCGGCTGATGTGTTGCTTTGTGGCAGCGCTTCTGTTGCTGTGGAAGATGCTGTAGCTCCAATGACAGAATGGTCAAGGAGGATGTCAGGCTCCTCCGTCACGTAGGTCTCAGTATAAGCCCACTGGGCGAAGCGCACGAAAGTCTTCTCGTCGACATCAGGCCACTTGACACATCTCTCCGTGGCTTCGCGCATGTTGCCGTTAATCAGTACGCCAAGAGGCTTTGATAGACTCGAGATCGTAACGCTATGGATATTGAACTCTTTGTCATTGGGACCGATCACAAATTTGATGATGTCCGACTCGATGATGCTGTCCAAACTGTTATTTACGGCTCGATTGTACCACATACTAGTATTTAGAGACTGTAACTCACTCCTTGTATGTTGGTCTCATGGCGAATGTCTCCGTGGAATTGTCTATCAGTTGAATTCGGAATGAGTAGTAATTGAGTTGGAGGAATTCCGAAGGACTACTAGTAGTCTGGGTGGGAACACTTTTTCACCATCGAGTTTTTCCAATGAGACATGAGGACTTCTTCACATAAATCAGACTAGACGTGCTCTGTTCACTCTGCTTTATATATGGGTATGAGCAGAGGAGAATGTGTGTGACAAGTCATCTAGCCAAAGACATTCTGAAGCGCACATCCCCTTCACAGCGTTACAGTTTCTGCATCCTATCCTGTTTCTTTTGTTTGCTGTGATGTCAGATGCTTCGAGAAAGGCCTCTTGCGCCGGCTGCAGGCTTCCGAATTTTAATCCAGTTGTGCTGTTGGTTGATTCAGGCCGTGTTGCTGCTTGAGCCAACGCAGGAGGCCTACCATATCCGTCTTCACCAATCAGGCAGCGTTCTGCAAGCTCACCGCGATTTGTGTCTTTGACGAAACAAGCCAAGATGTCTATGGAAAAGCAGAAGTGCAATGAATGTCATTTTAGAAGTCGTGAATGCTCCCTCCTAGAGCGTGAAATGCAACTCTCACTGATCGAGAGCAACTCAAAGGATTCCCGCACTCTTGCCGAGCTCCGTTTGTGTAGCCTCTCCACCAACCTCCTCCTTACAGACAACCTCCAACCTCCACCCATCGGGATCGATAACAAATGCAGCATAGTAATTCCTTCCGTAATGGGGCCTCACGCCCGGCCCGCCATTGCTCTTTCCGCCGTTCCGGATCGCCGCCTCGTAGAACTGATCGACGACGTCCCGGCTGTCCGTGTTGAAGGCGATGTGGCTGCCGGGCCCCGGCGCAGACGCGTGGGGACCATACTCGAAGACATTGAGCAGCTCATTGTCCGCGTCGGGACCGTACCCTAGAGTGCGAGGCCCATCGTCCTCGGAGGAGGGAGACGGAGTGGTGGTGGTGCTGTCGTAGACGAGGTGTAACCCGATGAGGGGAAGCGTCGCGCCGTAGAAGCGCTTGGCTGCCTCGTAGTTCCTCACGCCTATGGAGATATGGCCGATGGGATGTGAATGCATTTTGTTTTGTTCTATCAATGATAGTGACCCAAAGAAAGCCCAAGGAAAAGACAAGAGAGCATTTATCATTTCATCACGAGGCTCCTGGTCCACCGAGCTCGGCAAGACGGGGGGCCACGAACTAGACTCTCCGAGATGTTTGCTAACGGTGCGACTAGCAGGGAGAGGCCTGCGTGCACGTGTATTCCTTGACCACACGCGTCCACTTTCCGCCCGGGAACACTGACCCCCATCATAACAATTCTTCAAAGCCGTCCCTCCATACGGCCCGTATTGTTCGGACCGTCCTGGTAGGAAATTGTGAAGGGGATCTTTGGCAGACTCTCGTAGTCTAGCAGGTCATCCGGGTCCCCAAAGAGCTTCAGTGCCTTGATGTCAAGCGCGTAACGGCCCTCGGGGACGACAGACCCGTCTGCCAGCATCCCGTCGAAAAGCACCCAGGAGGGGTAGCGCGGCAGGTAATATTGCGGAAAGCCGTAAGCGCTGCCTGCGATGGTTTCACCCAGGACCGTGGTTGTTGGGCCGGTGTAGTTGGCCGATAGAGGGATGACATCGGCGCGGAGAACCCTAGTACCGAAATTGAGACTGAACTCGGCCGAAGGGTACACGAAGATCTCGGTCCAGTCCAGGATTTCGGGAACATTCTCCATGGTTGGGTACGGTAGATCGAAGGTGATGTTGTCCGGGTAGGTTGGCCGTTCGCCTTCTTCTGCACAGGCGAAGTTGAATCCAAGCATCTCGTCATCATTCTGGTCCATCACGAAAGCATTCATCATGCTTCCTAGAACACCGAGGTAAGGTATGACCGAGTTTTCATCATTCGTTCCGTTGATTGTGATGTATCCTGAGTACACGGGCAAGAGCCCGTCGAGAATTTCATGCTGTGCCGCAAAGGTTGGCGTCACAGTTATTTCGGCGCGTCCCTTCGGTGGCAGCGTTACCAGGGATTGGGAGAACTCTATATCTGCAGTCGCAGCGATTATTGTATTGGGAAATGATTGTGGGTAATAGGTATTCATAAAAAGAGTGTTCATAGTCAAAGCGGGACGGTTCCCAAGCTCGTAGGTCACAGATTCGGATCCTAGGTTCTGAATGGTGAAGGTCACGTTTCGGAGGTTGACCGTGTCATTGAAGGAAATGCCTTTGGTACTCAGATGCGTCGTCAAGAATGCCGCATCGTACGCCTGTACCAGTCCTGCACCTTGTTGTGGGACCGGGGCGACGCCGTTGATCGTTCCAAAGCCGTCGTTCCATAATTGAGCTTGGGAGGTGCTGGAAAGAGCCATTGCCAGCTCCTTAGGGTCATAAGTACCTCGAACTTGACCCACGAGAGCATACACCGCCGCAATCAAAGGCGTGGCCATAGAGGTACCGGATAAGACACTGTAACCACCCTGATTGAGAAGGTAAGTGGAGAGTATCTTTCCCCCAGGAGCTCCTACGGAAGGATAGACGTCGAGCTCTAATGTCGGACCCCAGCTTGTATACCAGCTCGCAAACCCTCCAGTCAGATTATTTTGCACTTCTGCGGGTACGTAGCCGGAGTTTGAGGGATCGATCAGGGTCAAGTGCACGTCTGAACCTCTGCTAAGTAGGTCCACCCACTCTAGGCCTTGCTCAGGAGATACCACCCCTGTTCCTTTTGTGTAGCCGGTGTAATATTGCTGCTCAAAAGAAAGAAATCTTCCTCGTGTTAGCAGAAGCAAACAGGATAATAATGGACTCACTTACTCGTCCATTGAAGTTGCGTAGAAAAGTACATATTGAGCATTGAAGGCCGCTACATTCCTCACCTGAATATAACCTTCGCAAGCCGTGGTCATTCGTATTAGAACGATGAAATCTGACAGATCCGGGGTCTCAGCAGGGAGCCTCGCGCATGCATCGTCTTCCACAGTCGGGTCGTGACTTGTAGCCCACAGGGGCATCGAGATATTTCCTAAAGGAGGGGAACCGGGAAGCCACCCAAAGGACTTTGAGCCGGGACATGACTCAGAAGACGACGCATTTGTGGAGTAGCTGCCTTTGGAAAGAAGGTAAGGCGTTTTAATATTGTCAAAGGAAGACACAGCAGTAACACCCTTGCCGTCTGCGGCTTTGCTGGGCGTCCACATCCCATCTATGCCATCATTCCCGGCAGCAAGGGTGCAAGGGACGCCGTTTTCCACGATGCGACCGACGGCTAAGGACCAAGGGCCCTCACTCCATCCGCCAGGTCCGCCAATTGAGGCGGTGATGATGTCATTGCCATCATCGAAAGCCATGTTGAACGCAGAGATCAGGAGATCTTCGGTGGTTCCCATACCGGTACAGCTGAAGACCTTGTACATCGCAAGCGTGGCCCCCGGAGCTGCGCCGATGAACCCCATGGGGTTGGGCCTGGCGCCGATGATTCCGGCCACATGGGTGCCGTGGCCATCGCAGTTGTCATACGGGTCAGGTTTTGGTTGAGGAGCACTGGTTCCATCGTAGCTTTCACCCGCAAGGTCATAGCCACTAGCTATCAGGCACCCTTCACCGAAGCATCCTCCCAAGGCGGGATGATAGTAGTCGACTCCGCTGTCGACGATTGCTATGCGAGATCCTTTTCCAGTGTATCCCAATTCGTGAAGGCGGTCAACCTGTGTCATCACGTGGGGAGAGAAAGCACCAGTACCGATGGCGGTAGCGTTGTCTGGCTCTGAAACAAAGTCAACGGTATCCTGGGGGTTGTGGTAGGAGGTAGTATTCGAACGCTGGAATCCAGGAGCAGGATAGCGGTGCATAGGCCAAATATTCTTGACGGATGGCATGACAGATATCTTTGAGGCAGTTTTGGTGTGCCCAGTGAGGTTCGTGATGGAAAAAGAGACACCGTTGAATAACTTGAAGGTCATATTCATCCGCGGGGAGACATTGATATCGTTGGCCCTCAGGCTGCCGTAAAATGACGTGTGGTCGTTGCCGTCCAGGAATTCAACAATATAGGCGCCGGGAATAATGGTGGCATCCGGAGAGGTCATGTTTCCTCGGCTAGCGGTGGCAGTAGTGAAGGCACTGCCCAGCAGAGCGGCTAAGCTGATAGTTGGACGCATGATGATTGTCGATGGTATCAAATTTGAAACTGAGGAGGCTAGCAAGCTTCACGAAACCGGGTATTAAGATGACGGGTGACGCTGTGTCCTTATATCCTCGACAGTGGTAGCTCTCCGGCCTCCTTCTCGACCAGCACTTCGGTATTGACTCCTGCCAACGACAACCGCTCAACACTCTCATGTGAGTGAGCAAACATCTCTGCCATAAGCACACGTTGCACAAAGCTTGTCTGAATCAAAAAGCATAATGGCTATGAAACTGGCAGCTGGCCAAAAGCGGTGACTTAGCTATCCAGCGAGAAGGACACGGTATTGCAGCCTCTCATATTAAACCACATTTCTCCCGCCAGACCGTCAATAGGCGAGACATTGATATTCCATATACCTCCGGGCACGAGAGCTGAAACTCTGGACACACAAGTGGACACACCGATGCTAGGGGCTGGTCAATCGGGCGTGTGTAAACAAACGATCCAGCAAAGGCGGAGATGCTGGTATCACTGGGCTTGTGGCTCATGTACAAGGCTTCAGCGAGGGTCCACGAACGGAGCAAGTCCATCATCATAAATGGGAAGAGAAGCTGATAAAATCATCAGCATTAATTAAGAATGCGTACCGCAAACTTCATGGCAATTAGTCCAGAGCGGCACGGCCCCTAGGTTCTGTGTCACATTACCATCGTGGACAGATGCAGCTCGCCTAGTAGATGTGGAGCACTGTATGAAACGGTCTTCAGAAGCTGGGTCTTGGATATTCAACGAGAAGGTGCTCCAATGAAGGCTAGTTGGCCACGACGTTAACTCTGAGGTCCAACGTTGTTGGTGTTTCTCTGCTCTTATTCTCGCCATGTAGCATCTAGAGTGACTTTGGTGGGGTCGAGAGATGCTGACTAAGTGGCGTGACCATAGCAAACCTGGAGGGGTGTCTTGAGTTGGCTGCTGCCTGCGCAGGACTTGGACAGGCAAGGCAGTCCCAATCCCGACACCCCACACCACCAACCACCAACGTCCTTCCATCAAGTTGCTTGCATCACCCTCGATCACGACCACATCTGCACCTTGCCATTCGCCGTGTACCTTCATAGCACGCCTCATGGACATTCGTCACCTCACTTAGTGCCTGAATCGAGGACTCACCATATTTCCCAACATATTTTCTGCTCCTGACCTGGGCCTCAGAGTCCTACAAACCTGGCGGCTAGCGGCTGTCTTGAACCTTGTGACAGAGGAACACACACAGAGTCAACGTCTACAAATACGGCTGTGGCCATGGTCACAAAAGCCAAACGGCATATACGATATTCAAACTACATTTCCACGATTTTGTGCACACAAAAGCCACGTTGGTGCGATGCTCAACAGTCTCACCAACACCACCGCAGGCAAACAAGCACACCTCAGAGCCCCAAGTCCTCAATAAAGAAAGGCCAGACACCTGACGCCAGCGAAAATCATCGACCCAAACCTCATTCCCACCCCAATTTACCCTCTTCATCATAACTCATGCCCCTCTCCTTGTGAGCTTTCATCTCGCCCGGCGACCATCACTTCCAGCAGTCAACAGCTTCCTCCCTGAAGACCCACGTATGTGAGCCAAGGCAGATTCGACTTGTCATTGGTCAGTATGGCTTAGTCATGCATCATCCCAGTCGCATGTCGAACGACGACAATGACAAGGTATCTCGACGTGCTCCGACCAGAGGAAGGGGAGTGTAGATGAACCTACTTTGAGAATCCATCTTTGACCTTTCCTCACGATACATCTGCTCATCTGAGCAGCAGTCACAGAATTTGTCGCAATTCGCCCTCAATTCAAGCTCAGGGGTGCCGAGTCTGCCCAACTGTGGCGTATGTGGTGGTGTCGACAGCCCGTCATCCCCCTCCTTGACATCTCTCCAGCGAACACGCTTGGGGCTCTTCCCCGCAGGTGTCTTCTCACGACCAGGCATCACCTCGCTGCTGGGCTCTGGTGTGTATGACCTCGTTATACTTGCACCATGCTGTCTCGTAGCCCGGCCACGGGCCTGTGGCCAAGGCTCCCGTGACCAGTAGTACTCGGTTGCAAGCACGACGTCAGTGACGTCTTCGAGTGGGCTCCTCATACCATTGACAGGGAGAGCTGGCCGACGTGGGCGTTGATCTGGTGATGATTTCCTTTTCGGCGGCCGGGGTCCTGATTGACGCTGGTAAGGCTCATAGGGAGGAGTGGAAGCCGATGTCAAACTATGACTCGACCGCGACATTGTTGTTTGTCGGGTCGTGAGACCTTGTGGAAACTCTTTTGTTCCTGAGATATTGCTGCAAGTGTGACAGTACTCGCAAGAAAGGGGATGCTACGAAGGTAGGTGGCAATGAGCACGGCGTGAAGGGGAAATGTGCAAAAAACGAGGTCAAGCGTCTTCAGGTTGGTTCTGCCAGATGGACTCTGATGCCACTTGAAGTTTCAAGGCGGTTTATGGCAAGATATTGATGATTCTCAAAATTGATTCAAGAGAAGGAGAAAGATATGGAAGAGGAGGTGGAGGTGGGACAGGGCTTTTTATACGGGGAAAGACAAGGTGGGAGGACTGACCTCGACGTGGCCAATCAGCACCGGACCTGCCCTCAAGTCCCCTGTCAGCTTCCACCTCACCCTATGCACCTCATGCACCCCTTCCACCTCCATCTTGCTATAGATACGCCATCGGGCTCGGGCATTGAAATCGGTTGCCTTTCTTTACTCGAACCAAGCCCGTTGGGCATGCGAGTTGCAGCGTCGCCCGGCGGCCCCGGCAAAGCCCCCAATATCAAGTGCCTCGATCCATATGTGGTCGGGGTCTCTGATCAGCCTGGGAGCCTTCCCAGCCGTACACACCCGCCCGTGCCCCATGCAATGCTTCCAGTGAAGCTCTCTGAGCCAGTTCTCCCCCATACTCTATTGGGGACAGCTCCCACAGCCACTCCATACGCTGATGCCTCTGCACGCATGCTGCCAGCAGGGCAGTCGTGCCACTACGAGAACTTACAACAATGGTACAGGAAGCACATTGCGTAAATGCAGCCACGCTGCATAGTCACATGCCGTCTGTCATCTTCTGTCTCTTTCAGATGTTCATTAGCTGCTGCTACAGTGCCGAATTTGTCGTCTCTGCCGAGACACGTCGTACAGGATGGCGAGCCGTATCTAATTCACAAGTTATGCCGGCTGCTGATGGGTTCAGAATTTGTAGCCCATGGGTCTATTCAAGGGATCGGGTTGTTCATCTTCCTATCCATCTCCTTATGTCAGATTTTTGAAAGGCTCGTCGAAGCAGACATGGACGGTTCTCGAGCCCTGCCCATACGGAGGGCAGAAGACACTCGCACCGGGGCATCTTGTAGAGCTGATTCGTCGTTTCTATTGGTTTGGGAATGGGGAAGTACACATAAGCCCAGGAAAACATTGGGACAGTACCCAATATGATTGTGTGGTCAGTATGGCCGTGTCGGAAGGGCCACGTCTTAGTAAGCAGGCCGTCGACCATTCACCAAACTTGGAATGCTAGTGTGCCAAAAGAAAGATCCAATCGGAATCGTGTTTCTCACACTTGTACGGGCCTCAAGCTTGACGTCCATTCTCAGAGCCGTACAAGTTAGTGTCAAGAAGGAAAGATAGGCTCTTGAAATTCCTGCCTATCTCCCTGAAGGCTTCGGGTTTGACATCGCCGTCCTGGTGACAATCAGGTCGAAATTCATGCCTGGCTGTCGGTACTGGCATGTATCTAAGAATCCAACACAACGTCGCTGTCGTCTCCTCATGCTGCTCTTTGGCCATTCTCACTTGCGTTTGACATGATGGCATGCTAGAATATCAAATTCTTTTGTCTATCTTAGTGTTTCTGCGTATCAACTTTTCAAAGTATTGTCTCGCATGTCATTCCCTATTATTTTCAAATTGGAAGCCGTATCATAGCCAATGATTTGAGCTAGCATTGTTGTCACTCCTAGTTGCATCGCAGAATGGCCCACTGCCGAGGATGAAGAGACTTCAGGATAGCTGCAGACGGTGCTGAAGGTGGACTTGATGTTTTTAGTGCAATGGCGCCGCAGGAAACCACACTTCATCATCGTCATAATAAAATCAAGCGCTTCCCCACTATCACATCTGACTTACGAGCGCGACAACGTCCTACACGGGAGATAAAATCCACGGCATTTAGTGCCTTCTGATCCACGCGCCCGCAGCCTGATTCGCCCGCATTACACCCGCTCACCTGGCGAGATCTTCACAGAGGTACCACTCACGTCTATTACAACAACAAGAGCTTAGGCTCGGGTGTTCGCTTCGTGGTTACAGTATCTGTACGATGATTAAGTGACATCAAAACTTTGAGTCGTTTGTATGATAATCCGGTCAAAAGAGAATCATTTCTAGGATAGCCGTCTGTAGGTTAATTTCCTATACGATGACCCGTAGAGAACCTATAAGATAAGCTCCGGTAGGACAAGCTTCTATACTAGTGAAGAGAAGCTTGGGCTCACCCGCGCGGTCTCTATGATACAGACTTTGAGCGACCTCACCAATACAGAGAAAGATAATTATAGAGGGTTGTCTGAGGATATTGAAGAGAGCGATCACGTGGTGCTGCTAAGTGGAGGGGGGTACCATACGTGTGATGCCCTCTGAATAAACAAACGACACGTGCACAGATGGTGGATGGTTGGCACTGGTGGTAATGACCGCCCAGAACCTCGGCCATACACGTTCGCCGGTCAGCATACATCCACGTTGTGATGCAGGGAAAGTTCTTAATGACAAAGACAAAGTTTAGGTGTTCCGTCCCGTATAAAAGCTGCCATGGAAGAACGCACAGCCGTTTACTAGAAGCTTTGCTGACATCAACTCATTCATTCAGTTAGAAAGACTCGAACTAGGTTGGTCAGTATCGTGTGTCCATTGCGGGCAACGCAAATTCTTGTCACAGTTCTCCAGACTTGGCCTTGTGTTGTGGTCTAAGCGAGAACTCCGGGCCAAGAATTCATGGATCTTCCGCCAACGAGGCAATTCTCCGACCACTACTGTACTCTCCACATGCAACCTGCCAAGAGTCCCTACATCAAATCAATCCTTGAAACAATCCACAAGAATAGCCAAGTGGAAATCACACTAGCGACGGACAGGACATTTCAGTCAAATGTGGTGTGCCTCTGACAGCGATCACTGCCATATTTCCACCTAATGGGATTCTGTCGCGAAGCCTATTGTAGAAACACGGAAGATCATGATTCTGTCTTCCCTCTGATATGACGCCTATAAAGACATTCAACTTCGGCCATTAGTGCTCTATGTGCTGTTTAATCTTAGTAACCCATCATTGAATTGCTTTCACTTGTGTGACTTCTTGACCATGAAGCTCTCCACGACCCTTTTTTTAATTGCAGCGTCGCTGGTCTCAGCAACACCAACCCCTACCCTTGAGGAAGGAGCTGCAAAGGTGTTGGCTAAGAGAGCAAGTATCACTGATGCTGCTAACATTGGCTATGCTACGCAGAATGGAGGGTAAGCACATACACTCAATCTTCAGAGGTGGTACACTGACATGCTTGACTAGCACCAAGGGTGGAGCTGGCGGAGCAACTACTACCGTCAGCACGCTGCCTCAGCTCTCAGCTGCAGCCAGTGCTTCGGGGGCGGCAGTGATTGTCGTGCAAGGTGCCATCAGCGGTGCTGCGAAGGTGCAAGTCACGAGCGACAAGACTATCGTTGGGAAGGCCGGTAGTTGTATGTCCATATCCTTCCGTCCTCAACCTCGTGCTCCTTGTCTTGAGGATACACTGACATCTACCAGCCCTTACCGGCATTGGCCTCACAATCAATGGACAAACAAATGTAATCGTTAGGAACATGAAGATAGCCAAAGTGCTTGCAGACTATGGTGACGCCGTCACCATCCAGAAATCGACAAATGTCTGGGTTGACCACTGCGACCTTTCCGGCGACGAGACAGTCGGTAAAGACACATACGATGGTCTAGTCGATCTATCACACGCCGCAGATTACGTGACAATTTCACACACCTACTTCCACAACCACGTAAGCCCTCCCTTTCCCAGCCCGTCAATAGCCAACAACCCACTGCCAGAATATTCCGTTCACATATATGATATAGTCCAAGGGCACGCTAGTAGGCCACTCAGACTCCAACGCCGCTGAAGACACCGGACACCTCCGCGTCACCTACGCCAACAACCACTTCTACAAAGTTTATTCCCGGGGTCCCCTCCTGCGCTTCGGTACAGCACACATCCTCAACAACTACTACAACGAGCAGAGCACGGGCGTCAACACGCGCATGGGGGCGCAAGCGCTGGTGCAGAGCACTGTCTTCGAGAATTCTGGCAAGAAGATGGTGTTCACGGAGAGCAGCGATGAAGACGGGTGAGTAGACTCTGTCCTTTGATAGGATTGTGAGGTGCGACGGGGTAGACTCGCACTAACTATATGATAGGTATGCTGTGGTCATTGACACGATCTTTGGTGGTGAGAGTGCAAACACCGCGCCGGTGGGGACACTGAGCGCAAGCTCCTTCCCGTACACATACTCTGCCTTGGGCAGCGCGAATGTCAAGGCTTCTGTTACAAGCGAGGCTGGGCAGATTCTGGCGTTTTAGATTGCTGTGTAATGAGATCTTTCGCCGATTCTTGTACATAGCTTTGTCGAATGTAGCAGATGGATGACTAATTGCTGCGAGACCTGGAACTCATCAACAGAGAATAGTTCCAAGTGCTATATGACTATGGCATCTACATTTTTTCCAAATGTGACGGTAGAACGATAAATATAAGCCTCGCTATTCATTCAGCTTTCTTTCAACCACACATTGGAAAATGAGTACTTGCAAATGTACTATAGCTTTAAAAGTAATAAACTTCATTTAAAGTTCAAACCCAGGTAACACAGTTCTTTAAGATATTACTCATGTATATTTGACTGTGATTTGAAATAATTTCGTTGCCAAAATGTAAGATCAGTCGTGCCTCTGGATGATCTAGACAAGAGGGGGACATGGAAGCTTCATTTCGACACAATAAGACCTGCTCATGTAATAAAATTCCAGGCGTTTTAGTCGTGTATCATAGCCCAGGCTCTATGCGGAGTCTCTAAACCCCATTTGCTGAAGTCTGTGGCCAGCTCCTCCAGATCTTGGAATCCGTTACTTAAATACAGCTGGTGTGCTGCCTCAGAAGACTCTAAATACGCTGGGAGACGCCTCCTAGCTGCCTCTTCGACGCCTCGCGACGTCAGCATAGCTCCTGCACCACGTCCTTGGTGCATGGGGTCGGTGTGAAGTAGATGCAGGTCTTCGGAACGGCAGGTCAGTCGCAACTCTTAAAGAACAAGACAAATTTTATTGCAGGGGGCTGTCTCTTTTAGTCCAGGCAATTCAAGCCAGAATTTAGAACTCACAGAGATGTTTCCTATCTCCCATGACTCTCTTCTTAAGCTCGGTCAGGCCGCCGAACAATAACTCACACGCTTCGCCGTTGATGCCAGGAGGCCACTGCCTCTGCGGCCTCGGCTTCGGCGGGTTAGTCCCATCGTAGACGACCCTAGCCCATGGTATCAGCCTATTGGTTGTCTTTCACAAACTCCATGGCAAAGGCTGCTTACCACTTGGCGAAAGATATCATCTGCTCGCCCTCGAGTTCTGTGTCGATGACCTTGAAACAGAAGGTGTTGGGCTCCTTCGATTGTGCTTTTAGCTCATCGGCTCGGTGCTCCAGCACGTCGGGTGGGAACGGCCCGGGAAATAGGATCTTGTTTGTCTCTAGGGGCTTGTAGGCTTCATGTTCGATCACTGCGGATCGGTACATATCGGCCTCTTCAGCCGGTAGAACTTGCAGCACCATTCTTACGGCAAAGCTAGAGACAAGGGAAACCAGCTCCTGTACTACGACATGAATTGTGCTGCATTTTGGCAAGGTTGTACTTATATAGCGACAGAACCGGGTTACCCCTTGGCTTTTCAAGGCAGGCAGATCCAGAACGCTCATAATGCGAGATCTAGCTTAAATGCATGCGTAAGCTAGGAGCCGGTCAGATGAGTCACTGCGGGAATCCTTCCAGTTGCCGCGTTAGTGTCCTTCGGTGTCCCAAAGCGGCCATGATTATCAAAACAAGCTGTTGTGGTGGTTATTAACGACAAGCGTCAGCATACCTCATTCAATTTAGAAATATCTATTGACACCTGGTCTTTCACAAATTTAATGATACAGTCACAGTATTTGATCTGATTTGGGAAGCTACTTCGTACCATCAATATTTATCTTGTGATTTGTCAAGTAAAGTATTAACACACACTCGTGAAGATTTGTTCGTATTGGATGAACATCCACTCGATCATAGACGATGAGGACAGAACGGTCACAGACTAGGGAATGGAATCCACCATGGTGAACCGGTGGAAATTGGACACTGGATCGAGACCTGGATTGGAACAACAGAAGCCAGCAACTCGCCTTGTCTTTCGAAATTGAGGACAAACATAGCTCATTGGAGGTCGAGAACGACACGTCCGTTGAGTTCGCCCTTGTGCATCTGCTCAAAAACCTCTGTGAGCTTGTCCATCTTCTCGGTCCGGAAGTGCGTCTTGATAATTCCCCTTGCGGCAAGGTCGAGGGTCTCAATGGCTTCCTTCCGATTGCCGACCGCAACGCCAACAATCTTCTGCGCCTTTGCGATGAGAATCTGCGGATATGCTGTAGAAATAGCCTTCATTTCTCCTTCTGGGATCCCTATGCAAACCATAGTCCCTCCGAAGCGAAGAAGGTCCATGCCCCTGCAAAGTTACCATGTGTCAGTATCTTTCTCGTGTACTAGAAGATGGCGTATTTGAGACTATCAATAGAAAATACTCACATCGAATATGCTCCATTTGCAGCGGTGAGCACGACTACAGCGTGGGCCCCGAGCCCTCCAGTCAAGTCCATCACCTCTTTTGCTACGTCTTTGCTTGCCGCGAAGTCGATGAAGTGCTCAGCTCCGGATTCAATGACGATGTCTTTCTTACTTCCAGAATCAATACCAATTACCCGTAGGCCCATTCCGCGAGATGCTACCTGAGCTGCAAGATGGCCAAGGCCTTTTTAATAAAAAAAAAAGTTAGACTTTCTCTGTTGTTTGGACTATAATGGAAGTGGAATCACCTACCGCCTCCCGCCCCGAGTAGAACAACCCATTCTCCGCTCTGTGTGTTTGATTTGCGGAGAGCGCTGTAGACTGTGACACCAGCACACAACCTGATGGTAATCTTAGAATCCATATAATGCCATGATCGGCCAGGCTTGAAGGACTCACATTGGTGCAGCAGTGTCAGACGACAAAGCCTCTGGGATGGGAGTGACATAAGTGGCCGAGCTGGTTACATATTGCTGGAATGTTCCCGGCCAAAAATATCCAGAAATCTTTTGGTTGAAGCAAACGGCATCATACCCAGCCAGGCAGGGTGCTTTAAACGGACTTTAGCGAGGCAGACACTAAAGGCCAGAGGAGAGGACGGCTTACGACAATTCCCACAAATATCGGCAAGCCATTTTATGCCAACCCTGTCACCAACTTTCACGTCGGATCTTTCTGTTCCGGGTCCCATCTTGACGATTTCGCCGACACCTTCGTGACCGCCAATCTGCAAAGGGGGTCAGCGCCTGTAACAAATGTACTCGGCGACTTCGAACAAACCTGGCCAACTTCAGTCGGGAATGGCAGCTGCGCCCATCCATTCAACATAATTCCGAGATCACTGTGGCATACCCCCGAATGGGTGCTGCGAATGTATTAGCCTTTGTTAGGCACTTTTTCATGTTTCTTCCCTTGTGATGTTGTTGCTTACAGCTTGATCAACACCTCTCCTGCGGCGGGTTCCGGCATGTCCAACTCGACCATCTTGGTCGAGATCTTTCCTGGCTGATCATAGATCATGGCCTTGTACTTTTGAGGCAGTGTATCGGCCATTTTGCCTTTTCGATATCTTACTGGAGAAATTGATTTGGAAGTGACGTCCCAGAGATCTATACTTGAGAATGGAAGCCACGTATAATTTACAACTTTTACAAGAAGAGGAGAAAGCACCCGCTTATGAAACTGCACCCCAGGTTTCACGGCCTTTAACGTCACGTACACCTGTGACCCCGTATTTCCCCAGAATAGTGCGCTGTCCCCGCGGGGTTTCAAGCGGGGTACGGATCGAGGGTAAGGGAACACCTGGGCGGTGGCGCGTCATGACTTCTACATCTACCGGGAACTATGCCACTTACAGATGATGCTGATCCGTTGTGGGGGGCTTGGGAGCATGCGAAACTTGGATTCACCATCGTACGGGGTTCGTGTGGCGGCGTCTCCATCCTGTCGTCCAATCTCTTCAAGCGCGCACAAAAGGGTCTCGTGCTCCTAACAATAGAGCAGCGGCCGTTGCCGATAGCTATATTATGATACTAAAGTTCTTGGCTAAACCAAGTCTGAACATGTCTTTGGGTATTGTAGTGCATGCTTGATTGTGGTCTTGAGCTTACCACCATCAACCTCATAGATAAAGTTAACTTTCTGCAGCTTTTGCGCGCGAGGCTTTAGCGCCTCTTGGTATCCAATGATGTTTCCGTAATAAGGCGATGCATAAGCCACGTCGACATCGAGGTAGACTACATTCATTCGTTAGCCAGGCTCGAAGCTCCTGAAACATAGCGAAGCTCAATTGCACTTACATGTAGTAGAGTTGAGCACGTTGCTGGTATCCAACACGGAGAACATTGCAGTCTCGTCCCAGAAAGGGAATTCGGTGCCGTAGTACTCGTGCATAAGCTTGGTGTACGGGGTCTCGACCTCAAAGACTTCATCCAAGTAGTCCTGGGTTGACATGACCTGGTTGGCAGCGTTGCCCACAATTGCTGTCTTTCTTAGCAGGTTATTCACCCAACCTAGTCAGAGATTGTACTCACTTATGCTGGGAAAATCAGCCGTCAAAGCAACCTTAGCTCCCTCTGGGTCAATCTTGAGATTGATCTACAGTCCAGAATTAGCAAACCATCTTGTGAAATCTTCATGACTCTTGCTTCAACCAGAAGTATCAGTCAAACTCACATCCGAGCTGAGATCTGCTTGCAAAACTGATCCAGATGTTTGTAGCAAAGTTACATCGAGATACCCGCCCATGATGACGAGTCCTTTAGCCAGAGACGCGAATTGGGGATCCATGCGAACAGCCAGTGCAATGTTGGTGAGGGCACCGCCACTGTAGATCATAACCTCGCCAGGATACTTGCGAACCTGCTCGATCATCCAGGCCGCAGAGTTGTTCCCCGCCAGAGTCCCGTTAGGAAAGCCCTCATTGAAGGCCGCCTTGACGACCTTCTCTGGGTCGCCAGAGGTTGGATCACTACCAAGTTCCTCAGCGGTCAGGTTCTCAGGGGCAAAAGCACCTTGCTATATAGACTGTTAGAAAACGGTCACTTCTCCTGAATTTGCATTATGAACTCACCCAAGGCAAGTCACCGTGAAGGTCCTCCCATGTCTGGAATAATTCTGGCGTATTGACCAGCGGGTAATCAGAGCCCTTGTACACGGGGATACAAGAAGACAAATTGCCAACCTCTAGGGTCGCCAACCCATGAAGGCTGGTCTGCAGAGCCCACGAGTCGCCGGTGTCCCCAACCAGACCCAACACATCCCAGCCAGCATCGAGGGCCAGAAGATATGGGATGAAGCCAGCGGTGCTCCAGTCGTTGTCCATAATAATCTTAGTTCCAGCAGTCGAAGAATTTCGAGCTTTCAAAGAATTAGCATCGTGGACCGTTGATTGGCCCCTTCTGTTGCTGCTGGGAGCTGCTGTAGCAGCGGCTGCCAGGCCCAATACAACAGATGCAGCTTTCATGGTGAATGAAATGGGAATGATCAGGGCCTTAGTACAGCGAGGGACGCGGCTAAAGCTGAAGTTTCTGATGAAAATCAAAAGGCGCACAGAAAATTATATAAGTCATTGTTAGAGTGAGTCCACATTTCTCATCGGCTACCCCGAAGATCCACCGTACTGATAAGATGCCGACTTCGGGCAAGTCTTAGTGAAGATCATCAACGATAGTGCAAATTACATCTATAGCTACTAAGCCAGTCTAAGCGAGCTCAATCTACACAGTAGTCTGCTATGCTCTGTTAGGAACAGAAAAGAACAGGGTGACAGAGGTTAGCTAGTCAATCCACGGAACCACGATGAGAATAACAACATGATGACCGATCCGGCAGAGAGAATAAATTCAAAACTGTCTTATATCAGAGCAGTTCTCAGGTCTTATGGCTGAAGTCTTTTAATACTTTCGAACTATTCTCTTATCACATCCAATAGTGGACCAACATGGCCGCACTCGAAGAAAATACGAAAACATCATTGCACAACTTGTGGAACTTTTACTTCACTGTATAAAGGTTTTTCCAACAGAAAACTATAAAACGAGAGGTCATCCCGAATAAAATTATCCCAAAGGAGGTTGTTCCAAAAGAAACTATCCTATAATAGATTTCTTTTCCAGCTGGTTATCCTGTAATTTACTTATTCATCATAGGAATCGTGGCCGCATATTGATACTACCCATTACAGAGTTTTGCATTTTATTACTCATTCTATTCCGTCATTGATATAAATACAGATCGCGTTGAATGTCCAGAAGAAACTGCATTTAGTAAAGATGGGAATGAAAGACCACCTACGTTGGCCGAAGTAGCAACACGGCTCAACGAACCAATGAAACACTGGATTAGATGCTGGAAGCCTGCAGCTGATGCGGAAGGCCTTGCTTCAAGCAGCTAGCATGGCCGGGCTTCCCCTCCGTGACAAGACACTAGAGCGAAACGAGCCTCTTAGATGTCTTGTCTTGTTTTTCTCTCTTCACTTGGCGCGGGTGATCCCTCCACGGAATTTTTCAAGCTTAAACAACTCAGCAGACAGATCCATACTCACCCGGGCATCATTTGAGGGAGAGACAGCAGACCCCATCTGTGGTTTCCGAGACTGAATAGCCACACCATGTAGGCACGCGCAGGCTTTCTGGACGTAACTCGAGGTGTGTTGATGGATTTGGACTCGAAAGGCTTGGCTCGCGGTCTTGTTTGGAGACGAAAGTTGGTCGTACCGCAGCTCTTGGGGTCTTGTTGGTACACTCTGGGGCCATGTTGGGCGAAGTTGTCTTCCATGGCGGCGAGGGCGATAAGCAGCCCATTGAACTAAAGCAGACATGCAAATGGGTTATCAAAGATCACATATATCTCTTGGTACGAGCCAAGAAAATTCTCATGTCAGCAGCGTTGCCCACATTTGGAAGTAGAATCCATGATCGCCATCACAGCGCCAATAGCAATATCTCAATAAATGTCATGGTGATAGGAACGACTAAATATTCAAGTCGGACCTCATAGACCAGACTCAATAACTTCATTACGAATTTCAATAGTCCCTGTGTTTGTTTTGTTGTCTCGTGCCGTACCCCGTCCATTATCCAGACGTAGAAGTTTCCTGGAGCACCACACAAGTCTTGTCAGATTGCTACGGTCTGCTCCAAATCTCCACTTTCTCCCTGAGACTTGTTCAACCCTTATTCCTTCCCAGACCCCTCTTTCACGTGTGGCAAGAGTCAGTTCGGCTTGAGTGCTGTAGCCATGAAGTTCACCTTATGCCAAGCCATCCTGGCGTTGCTCGTGCCAGCGGCATTGAGCATCGATATCGTTGGCGGCCATAGCCCAAAATGCGTTTGCGTCTGTTCACCACCCTCCAACTCGTTTTCCCTCTCGTCATCGAGAGTCGATGTGCTGACAATCGGAGCAGTGTTCCGCCCTCTCGAAGGACCCTGAGCTGAAGAGCAAGGTACTTGTGCCCGATACAGAAATATACGACAAGCGTCTGCAGTCTTACTACTCCGCCAACGCGGCGCAAGCCGCTTGGTGCATGGTACTCCCGGAAAACACATTAAATGTGTCGCGCATTGCCAAAGTCATCTCCAAGCATCAGTGCCCATTCGGTATTCGGAGTGGCGCGCACTCAGCTTTCAAAGGGTCCAATGGTGCTAAGGATGGTATCACCGTTGACTTCGGTAAGCAGCCCAGCAGTATCTTTGACCACTTCGCGCTTGACTGATTTTATTTCCAGGCTACATGAACAAGACGACTTACAACAATGTGACCAACATTGCTTCGATAGATCCTGGTTCTACTTGGGAGAGGGTATACACGACGCTCAGAGATGACTGGCATGTAACCACTGTTGGTGGTCGAGCTTCAGTCGTCGGCGTTGGAGGTTTTGTGACTGGCGGTGGTGTAAGCTCACCTGCTCCTCATGCCTCTTTTTGCTACTTGTTGAATATGGTCTTGGCAGTACTCCTTCCACACCAATGCGCACGGCTTCGCATGTGACACTGTCACCAATTTCGAGATCGTACTCGCGAACGGCACCGTGGTCAACGCCAACTCGACTTCGAACCCTGACCTTTACAAAGCTCAGAAGGGTGGCTCCGGCAACCTAGGCTTTGTCACCAGAATCGATCAAAGTGAGTCCACGGACCATTCCAGTTGACATGTAGAAACTCACTACCTTCACAGAAGTTATCAACTCGACAGACATGTGGGGAGGTCTCACTGTGTACAACCTTACGGAAAGAGACAAACTTTTCAGAGCTTACATCAACTTCTCCAAAAAGATGGATCAGGATCCCGCAAGCCAGAACATCGTGGGAATGTACTGGGGAACTCACAGGGGTTACGGTCTTCGAGGAATCTTGACGAACAGCGACGCCGTCAGCAATGCTCCAGCCTTCGATGAGTACAAGACCATAGCGAACATCAGCAGCACTTCTCGCGTTGCAGCCGTTGCTGAAATGGTCCCGGAGTTCACTGGTCCCACACCGCTTGGTCTATAGTAAGTACAACAGTATCCGGCTTGAATTTCTCATTGATCGCTAACAATATGGTTCCAGCGCCAACTGGTTCGTCGGCGAATTTCAAGACGACTTCCGTATGATGACCTTCGTCGACGATAACCTTCGCATATACGGCGAGGAATTGGACAAGATAGCACAAGATATGGAACAAGAAACAGGGCAAAACGTAACCTACGACGTCCTTGCACAATTCCAGCCCTTCACGCAATCCATGGTCAAGCACAGCCAAACGAACGGAGGCAACATCCTTGGGCTTGAGGACGTGGTGGCTGATGGGCCCACGACCAACTGGCTCATCGTTCTGACATGTGATACAACCGAATTGCAAGACAGGATGCTTCCACTCGCGCAGGAGTTTCGAAAGGAAATTGATGCTTACGCCAAGGAAATTGGGGTGTACAAGGACTGGAGGTACCTTAACTATGCTTGGGTCGATCAGAACCCGATCGCGTCGTACGGCGAGAAGAATGTGGCGTTTCTCAAGGCTGTTGCTAAGAGGGTAGATCCGGATGGCGTTTTCCAGAAATTGAGGATCACGGGGTTCAAGATCCCGGTTTGATGTGAAGACAATGTAGTTGATCTAGTGGGCTACGACAGAATATCGATATTCAGGATTCGGTTGTATTGAAGACGCTTTTCAGGATATTCTGTCGCCTAATTGGTATTCTACAATTCAAGCAAGACCTTTCATGTGTTTCTAGCCTAGCTTGGAACGGAATTCTCAGGTTTGACGGCGCGTTTTAAAGACTCTGTCTCAATCTCCTCGACGATGCCTGAAGCTCCACCATTTTCTCTCCCCAGCCGAACTGCCATCTGAAATCTCATTGACCTGGGTATCGAATCCTTCGTCCTTTCCGAGTCCCGTAGCGACTACAGAGTCAGTCGGCACAACACCCAGGTTAGCTGCCTCTTCCGCCGTAAAAGTGCCGTACTTATCCTCCTCATCAAACTCGCCCAGATTGGGCAATGGGAATGTGATGTTAGCAAGGTAAAACAACAAAAACGAGATGAAGAAACCGACGAAAAACGCAATGTAATATAACTCGTAGATCGCATCAGGTGCGCTCTCGTCCTTCTTCGCGCTAACAATCAGACCACCAATAGTGGGCGCCCACCCCGCGATCCAACAAGGGATTACGCGCCAGTTGACGCCGTGCCAGTACCAGTAGTCCGAGCCTTCGGGGTGGAACAGATGCGACAGCTTGACCTTGCGCTGACGCAGGAGGAAGAAGTCGCAGACCATGACGCCCATGATGGGCGCGAGGAAGACGGCGAAGGAGTTGAGGACGGCGACGAAGGTGGCGGCTTGGTTGATCAGCTGCCAGGGCTGGATGATCCAGGCGGCGAAGAAGGTGATGAGGGCACCGCGGCGGATGTCGATGTAGCGGGGGAAGAGGCCGGCGAGATCGATCCCGCCTGCGACGGCGTTGGAGCAGACGTTTTCGAACATTGAGGTGAAGGCGAATGCAAGGGAGAGGAAGAACACTGCGGCGCGGGATGCAGAGGAGCCTTCGCCATCTATCGCAAATTGATTTAGTATCTGGGACTTGAGGAAGCCTTGGAAAGAACTTACGATCCATCATGACCATCAATAGGTCGGGAGGGTTCCACCAAATGTTTCCGTAGATCTTCTGACAGGCTGCGGTGGTGATCAATCCGGCAAGACAAACCAGCACACCGGTGATCCAGTATACGGACACCGTGCCGATGATGTAGTCTCTCTTGTTCTTTGCGTAACGGGAGAAGTCACTGCTGTTGGTCATACCGGCAGCCTTTTGACCGATGGCTTGGTTGATCCCCGCCATCATGAGCCATGAGACGCTCCAGCGGGAACCAGAAGAGACGCTCTGGCCTTGGTAGAAAATGGGGCCGACGCCTTTTGCGACGGTGAGCGACCAGATTAGCAGAGCCACCATGCCTGCACCACATGCGACAGATGAGACGAAGAAAGGCTTCTTGAATCGTTCGGGCCGGATGAACAGGAAAGGTATTGAGATAACCCAGAAAACAATAAAACCGATGAGTTCATAAGTCGTCGTCGGTGTGCTGGCGCTGAGAGTGTTGGGGATCTTCGCGAATGAGGGCCAAATGGCGGTGATGCAAACGCTGATAAGTTTCGTCAGTACTCTGTGGCCATATTTTCGAGGTATTATACTCACGTCACGAGTTTACCGCCGTTCCAGCCTGAGAATCAAGTCAGTTCTATGTCTCTTCGATCCCAGAAACGAGAGTAAACAACTTACATTGCAGAGCATTCCATATGAAATTCAGCAATATGCGCTGCATCAGCGGTATGTAACTTGCCCGGAAGCCCCACGTGTATCGGTTCTGCACCGTGAAGCCGATGTGCCAAGTCAGACCGCACCAAGCGACGAGGACTGCGAACAAGCAACATAAAGCTCGGGAGACGACGATGACAGCCATGGCTTGACCGACGGAGAGTCCTTGGGTGAGAAAGGTATTGGGGGTCTGCCATGTTGCTACATTGAGGGAAGACCTGCGGGTCAAGGTCAGGACATCACTCAAATGTCATGAAGTTGGCGTTGTGATTGATACTCACAGTGACCAGGAACCAAAGAAGTTGAACCAACCCCAAGTGCGACGAGAAGGCGGCAACGGGATCAAGTCCCGGTTAGACCAGGCGCTTACCTCCTCATGCTGCGACTCATCCGACTTGAGTATCACTGCCTCTTTGAACCTTTGAACGTTCTTGTTAACCATGATTACGCCGAGGAACTAGAATGCCTGAACCAAAGTCAGACTCAATTTAGAGGGTGCCGGCTACCTGATATATGGTACCCCGGCATCTTATCTCGGTGTCCACCTGCAACTCAAGCTCCCTGTAGATCTTTGGATGTTTTCGCGTCTTGGCGGCGACTCCATTCGCGATACAGCGCTGTTGGGCTTTGTTATCTGTCATGCATACCAACCGATATTCGGTAACAGTTTCCCAAGTATACGACACTTATCCCCAAAACGGCCCCAGCGTCGACAATTTGATCAATTAAACGCAGGGATGGAGCAACGAGAACGGCACGCATCAGAGACATAATGGCCAGAAGGAACAAAGCATTTATATATAAGCCATGGTGCAATACGGGAAGTGACCGGCAGTTTTGGATCGATACCGCCATTTAATCATGGTCCTATCGTGTCTCTAGAGTGCAACAGGCCTAATTACAGCCTCTGTTAATCTCGTCACTTACAGTGAACTACCCGCAGGTGTTGACTGATTACACTTCTAATAATGGACAGGCTTTTGGCACGACTTTCTTCTGAGGTCTTCTGGCTCCTCGTATATCAGAAGTTGACAGACCATCAAGCTCCACAGTAGGGTGAACTTACGACGAACCAGGACATACAACCCGGAGACAGATAGCCAAGCTGTGCCGCAAAAGCCAACCAGCAATCCGTCGGACGGACGCCTCGAAGTTGGAGCAGTGTTATCCTCGCGTGTGACTGAACTCGTTCGCTGTGGTAGACAGCCATCACAGTCAGCCTACCTCCACGAGCATAATTTAACGTCTAGAAAGACGCAACGCACGAAGATGACTATCCTCACGAAAATTTGAACCGCAATCTCAATATTCCTCCCAACATGTCTCCAGCCAATCCACAAAACGAATCTTTACAAGGCGCAACACTCTGCAGGCGCCCAGATGACCGGGTGAGGAGCTCCAGGCGAGACGAGGTGACCGGAGAATTCCATATAGCCCCCAGCCGAGAAATTAAGCGTAAAAAGACAATGGCATGTCATCAAAGCCCTAATTTTCATTGTATGGACACTGAGAGGATGAAGACGCTTCACTCAACGCGGCGTGGCGGATCTTCGTCGCGTTTTACACATCCATGAGGAGCCTGAGCGCCGTCAGAGAAGGCTGCGTGAGCAGAACGAGGATAATAAGGTGGCGGGTGGAATCTTGAGTTTTGTGAGTATTCGGACGGAATACTTTGTGAGTGAATGTTGTTGTTGGTGGAGGTGTGCAGCTGATCTCTTATGCTGGGGTGATGCACTTGTCTTGAGTATTGTCTTGCGTATTGTTACTGGCCACAGCGATACAGTCTTCGTGAAAACCGACTCAAAGTGCTCCGGGAGGAGACATGAAAAGAATTCAGACCTACCCAACAACAAATGCCTCAACCAGAACAGAACGATAAAAATATGTGAGCCCTATATCTTGATAACATACAAGCTCAAGCTCGGGTGTCCGCTTTGCCGCCACAGTATGTATACAGAGTCAGTCGGGGACAAAAAGATGGGGGGAGGGGCCGCGGAGATGGAAAAAGAAAGTAATCTCTTAAGGGTAGCTAAATCTAAAATGTTCTCTGATGGGACAGTTTCCCGTAAGGAAAACCCTTCCATAGAACAACCTCCTGTGGGATAATCTTTCATGGGATAACCTCCTACGGGATAACCTCTTGTGGAATAACCTCCTGTGGGATACGGTTTATTCATTCCATGTCTGCTTCCACGCGGCACGCTCTGGTTTCTATGGCCATTGCGAAGTGGATGCCACGTATGGCACCAAGTAAAACCGAACCATTCGTGATCGAATCCGAGCACGGTTCCATGATCATCTATGCTTGACAATCCAGACTCTGGACGAAGATGTTTGCAGTGACGCCACCCGCGGCACCGATTTGACTTTGGGCAACGTCTTGGTATCTTCATACGCAAATGTGATTCCGTCCCGGTTGTTGTTTGACCATAAAAAATTGCTGATTGTAGGTATTTGATGGGATCGGTAATCGAATCCAACTGGCCGCACCACTTAGACGGCTACAACGGTCTACTCGATATGCGAGGCGATTTTGAGATTGTGTATCGCGTGACGCCTTACGTGGCCCAATGCTGCTTTTGTTTCCAAATATGTAAATAGCAATTTCCTGGAGTTTCATCAAGTTTATCACGTCTCTTTCATCAAGCAGTTTCTTTTGAACTACAGGATCGTGAGCCGTGAGATGAGTGAGGTGCACAATGTTAGACAAGCTTGCCTCACGATGATAAATGGTTGGAGCTGTTGAGACACAGGTACAGCATGTCCGTCGAGGCATGACAAAGAACGAATTGCCGATGGTGAGGCGTTGTAAGTTTGTGGTCCGGAACTTGCACTCCGGGCTGGAATCAACAGCTCCAAAAGAATCTCTTATAGTTGGTTCCCCTTCAGAGAATACCCTATTTTGTTGAAAAACTACCATGTTTTTATCTTACTCGCTCATCATACAATGACTGTTGGCGCGAGGCAGACACCCAAGGTGAAGCTCGTTGAGCTCTACGCATTCAATACTGTATCTCTAGATACATCCGAAGACCGTCATGTATTCTACGCAGCTTGGTGCTCCTACAATCCTTGGAATATCATTGTGACGCGCAACACACGGTGTGTTGTACAACGCCAGAGCGCCGGGGCCATATGCTTCGATACCATGATATGTCTACTCTTTCATAAATAGTCTTCGACTTTTCAGGAACATGCTCAAACTCAAGCTGAAGAGCAGAATTTGTGTACAACATTGCAAGCGGCCTCCCTCGCTCGATCCTCTGGTCCTGATGGGCAGCTCGCCAGGATCGGTCCTCGCCTACCATGCTGTCTTTCACCATCGCGCGATGGCCAGACCCATGGTAGGCTACAAGTGCACTTAGCAAGCTGCCTCGCAGGCAGGAAAGCAGACCAATATCGGCCATCGTAAAGCTCATCTGAGTACGCAGGGCGCAGGGCGGCCGATAGAATCGAGCCACCGAGGGCCAGCCCAATCTGATACCTGGGGTCCAGGCCTCCGTCCGACATCACCACGGGGCTCTGGAAAGGTCCATTTGATCTCTCTGTCTCAGTGCCCCGTGCCCATGCGACAGGTCTCAGACATGATCCTCGACAGCTGTCAGCGGCCGGCCGCGCAAACCGGCCACCTGACCGGACTGACTGCCTGCCCACCGGCCCCACAGGCGTCTGCCACTTTCAAATCATGCAAGTTTAACGAATGCTTCCTGCGGTCGCAGACGTGCAGGCCCGGGAATCACTTGATCCGGGGGGCTGTTAAACACACATTGAAAAAACAGGGGAAAATAAATGAATGCAGGTTCGTGCATTCCTGGTACCGAGAAGCAGACTGCGCAATGCAAATATAGAAAAGGAAGATGAAATGACCCCACAGCTGCGGCTAATACTGCCAATCAAGCACACGGCGTGGACCAGCGCGGCCGAAAAGAGCTGAGCTGAGCTGCACGTTCGCCGTGGGTGGCGCTGCTGAGCAGCAGAGCGAAATAAGCAAAAGAGAGCAGTCGAGCTTTCCGGGAAAAGATCGTGCATGTTTGTTACTGCGAGGGCAGGGAGTGAGCCGGACCCCACGACGCGGTCGCTGGGGTCATTCTTTCAACTATTCTGGGGAACGGGAAGGAATGCTTAGCGAGCGTCTATCTGGCTTACCTGCATCGATGGGTGCTGGGCGCCTGGCTTTGTTGGGCGATTATTGATGACTAGATCTTCAATGCATGCACGCAGCTCACTGCGCTTGCTTGGTGGAGTGACTGCATGCCACCCTCGAAATGAGCGCGGCCGCTTTCTGCATCACTGTTGTTGTTTGTTGTTGTCGATGTGAAGGGGCCAGGTCGCGTAGGCGCCAGTCCTGATCTCCGGCAGGGTTGGTTGACGATGATGCGCGCGCCTGTTTTGGACCCCGACCTCTGGGAAAAGCATCGATTGTTGTTGATTTAAGCGCCTGGTGGGAAATGACCAAGGCGGCCAAGACAGTGCAAATCCCCAAGCGACAAAGCGACAAGAATGCCCGTGATGAAATTTGCTGGTTTGATCAACCGCCTCAGCCATGGTCGCAGTGAGGCCGGCCTAGCATCAAATCTCGGGTAAGCATTATGTTCGTGGCTCGACGAGTTTGCCGGTGAAGTTCCGTCCTGCATCGGGAACGACACAGACTTCTGATCTTGCATGATGAGCCCCTGCGATGTATCGGGCAAAGTCTTGGTTTGCAGGTAGCTTGCGCCAAACGCGCTTCATCTCACCGCAGGACTGACTTGATGTATCACAAGCTACCTGGCGGTCAGTATCCGAAGGTGCAACATCCCGGCGTCCAAGGGCTGACTCGGGTTGTGAACCGATTCCGAGGCGCGGAGGCGACGGGGCGACGGGATGACGAGATGGCAATGCAGCCAGACAGCCATGTCAAGATGCAACGCTCATTGATTCTGGATGCAGACCCCAAAAAGGTTCGCCTTGGCCACGACTGGCACCACTCAGCGCGCGCTGCAAACCGTTGAAGCCAAATTTGTGCGCATGAAATGCTCCTCGGCCAAGGCGGGTGGCCCAGCATGGCTAAATGTGGCTGGTGCGTACACTTCCGAGACATCTCGCCGCCGAAAGCCGAGGGGGGTGTCTACCAAACCCGTCGGATGACATGCTTCTGCCAAATCATCAACTGATAGAAGTTTGGAGGTGGCATCGGCTTTTCGGCAAGTGAGGAAATCTGTAATGTCAGCCATTGCAGCCCGCCACCACCCAGAAGACCACTTCATCGTCGGCCTCCCATGCCCGATTACCTCGCCATCTTCTGGAGGACGTGCTAAGTGACGTGGGACAGATAGGTGCTCCCGGTTCACCCGAAAGACGACGGTGATGCTTCGTCCGGTCTTTAGATTATACCATTTACATCGGGCACCCATCTCAACACGATGAAAATAACCACAAATAATCAATTCTGCAATATCCTTACGGGAAGTTAGGGAAGCAAGAGTCAAACTTTGCGCGCTCGTTTCAGAGGGCAGCCAAGAGACGGCGCCAGTCTCCAGTGACTGACCCAAAGCTGCAGCTAACCCACAGCCGTAAAGCATCGCATAGCGGAAAGCGTTGTGCACACATTGTGGCCGTGGCAAAGGCAACTAAGACGTTCACCTCCAATATAATTGAGGTA